TTAGTTATGCCTAACTATTTTTAATTAGTTTTAAACTTAGCTAGCGCGCAGCGCTAGCGTTGTTTTGTTAAGGTCTAGTTTTAACTTATTCTAAATATAATTTTAATGTTGCGCTATTTTAACATGCAACGTTTCTACTATTAAAGTAAGTAAAAACTTAAGGGTTTTCTTTTTCTTCTACTATTTTAACTCTTTTAGTAAAGAGCTTAAAATAGTAAAATAATCTAGCAAGTCTTATAAACAGAGCTTTTTAATTTTTTACTTTAGAATCTAAGATAGGGCAGGATCTTCCTCTTCTTCCTTTTTAGGTTCTTTTTTAAGTCTAGTTGCTTAAGAGGGCTTAACTACTATATATAAGTTATTGTAAGGCTGCGCTTTATATAAAATTAATAGTTTATTTAATTTATTTTAGTTATTTATAATAAGGTCCCTAGGCAGTTAGCTGTTGCAGATCTGCTTTTATACCTACTTATATATTTAGTTTTAAGTAGAAACTTTAGTCTTCTTTACTTAGGCGTTGCGCACCTAATTAAGCAACTTTTTAGTTAAGTTTTTCTAGTTCTAAGATTAGGTAGCCGCGTTGCTCTTAGTAATATCTAGGTTAAAAATAATATATTTTTTATTAATTTTATCTAATAGAAATACTTTATTATTATTATCTATTATTGCAACTCTGCAGTTAAACATTACTTGCTTTTAATTAGTAAAAGGTCTGTTCTTTTAAGATGCTTCTTTTATAATAATGTTTACTTTTACAGCTTTAATAATATTAAAATAAACTTCTAGTATAGGTTAAGTAAGCAATTTTATAGTAACCTAGTATTAATTTGCGCAGCACTATTGCAGCTATATTAAAATTTCTTGCTAAAGTAATCTTCTGTTTAAGCCTACTAGCTCTAAGCTTCTGTTTACACTTCTAAACTTTTATTTTTACTTTTTATTTCTTTAATTTTTAAACTTGCTAACCTAGCTGCGGTTTTGCAAGTTCTAGAAGTAATTATAACTAAACACTTTATATTTCTTCTCTTTATAGCTTTAGCATTCTAAGGTAGAGTTTTGTTTTTAAAAACTCTTGTCTCTTTTTAGCTAGTCTATAGCGCGGGCTTAATATATAGCTATAAGTAAGTTGCTTAACCTAGGCCTTGCAGCAGTAACAGCTACAATAAATTATGCTATATTAGTTAAATACTTAAAATATTTACACTAAATTTATTTTTAGCTTACAACTATTACTGCGTCTGCTATACTTAAAGTTATTTTTTTAAACTTTAATATTAAGTTGTTAACTAGATCTGTTTTGTTAGTAGATCTAGTAGCAGTTTTATATTGTTTTTATAATGTAGTAGGCTAAGTTGCTTTTACTAATAGCTTTACCTTTTACTTAGCTATATACTAAGCCTTGCGCTAGAGAGAAGAACTAGTTTTATCTTTTAAATAGTAGAGCTTTTTTTCTGCTTATACTTATTTTTTAAGAAAAGTATATATCTTATTTAGATTGTATAGCAATGTACTGTTATTAGTAGTTTATTTTAACTTAGGCATATTAAACATTACCTAGTGTTAGTGCTCTAGCTTAAGGCCCTTTATAAACTATTGCCCTTAGAAGTTTATAGTAATTTACCCTTTATTAATGCATATATTTAAATAAATGCAAAACTAGGTGTAGTAAAGTTTAAATAATAGCTTGCTATAAAAGCTTTCTTCTATAAACGCACGCAGAAACGCCTTAGTTTCTATTTGCTACTCTAGGTCTAGGTCCTTTTAGTGCTTCTTTATTACTTTCTGTAAGTTCTTTTATAACCTACTTTTAAATGCAGGGAGTTGCTTAATTAGCAGCTCTAGCTCTTAGTTACACTACTTAGAAAGCGTATACAGCTTTGCTAAGTTAGTATACTTAGTATTATTGCAAATCTAATTATAATTATCTAAAAATGCAGTTACATTTTTTTTCAAAAAAGATAGTTTCTTCTTTTAAGATAATTACAATTAAGAAAAGCTTTTTTAATACTTTTTTTTTTTAAAATAGTCTTCTGCGCAGTGCGCGTTAGACTAGTGTTAGTATTAAGTAAATATAATGCTTAGTAGTTAATAGTTGTCTTTGTCTAGTACTATATTAGAGTTGTTGTTAAATAGCAAGTTTTAAAAGAACTTGTTTAAACTGTTGCCTCTTTTAGTAGTTATCTATTATATTGTAGTTAGAGATAGTAAAGACAGAAGTCCTACTCTTATTACTAAAATCTAGGCTGTGCTATAGCTCTTTTTCTAACTTATAAGCTATTAACAAGTTTAATTACTTACTTACTTTAAATACCCTCTAAGAACTATCTTCTTATAGGTTTGTAGTAATAAATAGGCTAAGCAAGCTAATAACTCTTGTTACTGTGCTACGCAGATAAGAAGTAAAGACTATAACTAGTATTATAATAGATTTTAAATATAGAATAGTTTTTTTTTTATACTATGTATATTTAACATCTTTCTATGCTAGGTGCTTCTCCTCCTTATATACTATATAAGAAGCAGCTATCTTAGGTTGCTCTGTACTCCTGTTGCTTTAGCTTATTAAACTAAGACTAAAGAGAGCTCTTTCTTTGTCTTAATACCTAGCTTTTTCTTTGTACATAGAAAAAGCAATAGCAATAGCTAGGTAGGTGCCTGTGGGCACGTATAACTATTAATTAGTACACCTAAGCACTTAGTCTATCTAATAGCAACTAAGTGCCCGCTAAGCAACAAAGGAAAATTTTATAATAAGTGTCCTGCTACGGCACACTAGCAGCCTTGTTACTTAGTAAGTAATTTAAAAGTCTATTAATTACTAATATACTAGCTTACACAAGTGTAAGCTATATAAGTAATTTTTAGCACTTAGCAATAAATACAACAATTTAAATATAAAATTTAGAATTTTATCCTTTTAACTACAAAGATAAAGCAATTTTTTAAAATAAGCAATTTTTTAATAAGAGCTAGATTAAAACTAACAGCTTTTTGAAAAAAATTTTAAATTTATTTTTAAAAGCGTTTAAGTATTTGCCTACTATACTATCCTGCTGTAATAGTTTATAACTATATAGTTTATAACTTTTTTTTATTTTTAATTTATTACTATTTACTGCCTTTACTTTGCAATATTATAGTGTTTTTAATTTATTACTTTTTTTTTATTTAATATCTACTTACAGTAGTGTGCAATATTAAAAAACTAAAGATTTTTTTCTATTATTTCTAAAGCTTATATCTCTGCGAATATTAAAGCTATAAAGCTAATCTTTTAATATATTAAAAGAAAAAGTTATAAATAATTATAATATATTTTTTATAATACTTAGTAAGCTAAGATAAAAGTTCTATTTAAAGCTAAAGTTAGTTAAAGTTTATTTATATTTTTAAACTTTTAATAACTTTTTTTTCTAGCGTATAGAAAATATTAAAAGTTAACTATAGTAGTACTAATAATATAACGTTTTTATAGTAAAATTTTTAGTATAAGTTCTTTAGTAAAATTTAAAAATAAACATAAAATATAAAATAATTTTTTTTTAAATACTTTACTAAATATATTTATTTTATTTTATTTTATTTTTTAAGTTAAAGTTAAGGTAATTCTATATATAGTAATAGTTTATAATAAAAAGTTTGCTAAAAAAACAAGCAGTAAATATATTGATATTATATATAATATATAAAGTTTTTTTAAAATATTTAGTATGTAATTTATATTTTAAAACAATTTTTTAAATTTTTTTAAATTAAAGCCATTTTAAAACAATTTTTTTAAAACTCTTCAATTAAAGCTATCTTATATATAATTTTAAAAATTTAAATTTTAAGTATTTTTTAAAGTATTTTAAATTTAATATTACTTAGTATGGTAAAAATCTACAGATTTTCTAGAGTTTAAAAATATATAGTACTTTATTTAAGGTCCACTTATTAAATAGTTATACCACTTTAAAAATTAAAAATAATTTTTTTCTTTTAATAGCTTACTAAAGTAGCAAAAAATATATTAATATATAAAGAAGAATTTCCTTATTTTAAAGCAGTAATAATTATTTTATACAGCCTTTTCTATAAAAAGTTATTAAAGTTTAAAAATATTAAAAATTTTACTTTTTTAAATAAAAAATCCTTTTACTAGATAACTTTCTATAAAATGTTTATATACTACTTTAATTAGTATTAAATTTCTATTATATTTTTTATAACTTTTTTTTAACGTTAAATATAAAGTTATTAAGCTTTATATCTTAGTAAAAAAAGTTTTCTTTTTTTGAAAGTAAATAATAATATTATAGTGTTTACTTAGCGGAATTTTGAATTTTGATAAAAAAATTTAAAAGATTCTCTTTTTAAATCTTTAAAAATTAGCTTTATAGCTCTAATATTCGCAGAGATAAAGGCATTAGAAATAATAATAAAAAATCTTTAGTTTTTTAATATTGCACCCTACTGTATTATATATTTAATATTATTATTTATTACTATATATAGAATTACCTTAACTCTAACTTAAAATAAATAAATAAAGTATATATATTTTTCTAGTTTGTTTATTATTATTACCTATTGCTGTGTGTAGAATTACTTAAACTTGTTTTTTAAAAAAAATTAATAAAAAATAAATAAATAATGTATCTAAAATTGTTAAAGAATTCTATTAAAAAATAAAAAAGTTATTTAAAGTTTTACTATTTTAGCTAAATTAGCAAAATACGTATATTTATACTTAAATATTTATATTTATGCTTATATGTGCAAATTTTTTAAATTTTGCACCTCTTTAAAACATATATTTACTAATCTACTTATACTATTTTTGTAAATTTGCGTATTTGCATAATAAATTTTTACTAATGTAATATATTAAACTTAAAGCTATAAGCAAATGGGTAATAAGGGGTAGAAGCAGGTACAGAAACAACAAAATAGAGCAAAGGACTAGCAGACCTACAGACGCGCACTCCTCTCTTAATAGCAAACCAACTATCAGGTGCCTAATAAACAATATTCTCCTCCCACACAGGCGCATCTCTCGCTTTGCCTTCATCCTGACCCTTCCACTCCACCTTGCCCTTTTCGTTAAAGATTGCCTGTTCATCCGTCATTACAAGGCTAGGAACGGCCTTCTTAGTGTCGCGGATCTCTCTCTCTGATATGCCCATATCATCGCGTACAATCCACAGAACAGGAGTGGGAGAGGTGATAGCCGGGTTGAAGTAAGCGCGTTTCTGTATCGCTTCGGGAAGGGGCTCCTGAGGCTTGTGATAGAATTGGTCAAGGGAGGAGCCCAGGTTAGCGACGGAAGTACGTTCAGGATTGATGATCTTCTGAAGAAAACCTGGGATTCTAGAGGGTCGAGGAGCGGCGTTGTTGGCGGAGGCAGTGGCATTGCTATTGCCATGCGAAGTGGCACCATGCTTGTCGTTTGTGAAACCATCCTCGGCGTGGGTTGCTGAAGGAACCGGATCGACGTAAGAAAGACGTGCTTCGTGGTGCTTTAGAGACTGTCGTACGGTAAGATGGAAAGCAATGGTGCAGGCAAGAAGGAGGGCTTCGATAGCTAAGGGGCCGGCGGCCATTGTGTTATTCCCGGTGGCGATGGCAAACAGACCGATCAAGCACAGCTCCGAAATGTATACCCCAACGATGAGTTGACGGAGAGCACGCGAATAAGCAGCTCCCTGAGTGTCAATCTTGTTCTCGTAGCAATACATGAAATTGTATCGGAAGGCAAGGTAAATAAGCGTGAAGCCCACGGTCGAGAAACCAAGGACTAAGGGGGCAATGCACGAGTAACTCAGGGCAATAACTCCCAGATTGGTCCATTTGGGAAACTCGGACCCCCACATTGGGCCGGCGAAGTTGACCAGTTTTTGGAAAATTTTGCGGGGCGTTTTCCCTGGGAGAATACGTCCGAGCAGGACCACGGTAACAAACCCTCCGATGTTGAGTAGCGTTCCAGCGGCAGCAGACAGACCAAATAGCAGGAAGTAGGATATGTAAAAGTTAGAGGCTTTGGGCAGATTCTCGGAAAGAAGTGTGAGCACAAGATCTGGTTTGGCAAGAACTTGTTGGATAACAGTAGTCACTGAACCAGCAAGAGTGGTAATAAGGAACACCTGTACTACCTGGAAGGCAAAGTACCACGATTGTGTCTGGAGTTCGATTTGACTCATAGTAGGGTAACCAGCTAGTTTCGCCATGACTGGGAAACACGTTAGCAAAGGAGAGTATATTGACGCGATACATGAAGAGACTTACGTCGACAGATGATGGGCACAAGAGCCATCAAGATCGCGAGCATAATGACAGGAAGGAGACCTGTAACGACACCCAGAATGACTGGTGGGATATCATTGATCCACTCGAGCCACTTGAACTGGCGGGTGAGATAGTTGATTTGGGAAATTACACCAACAAAAGCAACCGGGACAGCCCAGAACACGATCATAACAGTGATGAAGGCAGACACGAGGAACCATCTTGCCCAGTGCTCGGCAGTGCCAACGCGCAAATTGCTCCACACTACCTCTTGGGGAAGGACACCGAGCTGGCGAGCAGACAGTTTGGAGTTGGGCTTCGTCTTCCTCCTCTGCATCAACTGCCATGCATCCTGAGCCTCCCTCTGGGTATGGAAAGTAAGGAAGACAGCACCGACAAGGTCGCCCTGGCCGTTCCAATGTTTGTCCTGTTCGGCCTCCACCTTGGGAAGGAGTTCGGCGAGGTGCTCGCGTCCATAGGTGATGGTGTCGACTTTTTTGCCGATGAGGAATTTGAGTTTGTGCGTGGGACGATCCTTGGGATTGACGTACTTGTCAACTCCCTCGCCAGATTGGAATGCCTTCTTTTTGCCCTTTTCGGCCTTGATGCGGTTGTCGTTGGCATCCCGCGACAATTGGATTTCAGCCTCTTCAAGCTTCGTGGCGGTCTCATCCCGATCTTCAACCAACTCGGTAAGCTCCTTGCAGTTTGAGGCAACCCAGGCATGCCTGACGCCGGCGAACATTTCAAAGAGCTCAGCCTGGGATATGGTTTTGGGCACATTGGTGAACAAGATGGTCTTTGAGGATAGGCGACTAGCCCCCCAAGGCGAGCGACGGTAGGCCTGGCGAAGATTGACCGTGTAGAAGGACTCGCGGGCGATGATGATCATGACAAGGCCCAGGAAGATGCAGGACATGAGGGCATGGGCATAGTATCGGTTGACCCTATCGCTCGCGACATTGCTCATAGAAAGAAGATCGAGCTGCGTTCTACCGGCTCCTCCGGTGGCATTGACAGGAAACAAGACAGGCCAGGTGATGAGGCATCCGAGCAAGCTGATTATGATCAAGATTTTGAAAAAGCGCACAAAGAGAAAGCCGTCAATGGACTGGTGGTCCAAGATGTACTCGTCGCGCAGACCACGGAAGCTCTTGATCCAGCCAAGGAAGCCCGGGGCCTGAGGTGGCGTCTTTCGCTGTTGGCCAACACTGTCTACGTAGGTTCGAGGTTGATAAAGACGGCGGAACCTTCCCCGGAAGATGAAGAAGAGAGTGACGAAGACGGCGAAAGAGATGAGGGTGGGAACAAGGGTGGAGACCATGGACGACAGAGAATTGGATCCGGGTTCGTCGCGGGCAGAGCCCGGCTCCCCCTCGGTGGCCTGGATGGTGTTGTTGTCAGCGCGGGAGGACTTGGTGGGAGAAGGGATGAGTGGGGACTTACACGCGATACGAGGAAGGGATGCATGGTGACGGGGGACCACACAAACAAACAAACAAACAAGCAAACAAGCAAGCAATCAATGGCTTGCGAGGGACTGGAAGACCCCGAAGCAGAGATGTACGTTGTTGTAATGTAAAAGGATGAGGAGGATGAGGTTGAGAGAGAAAGCAAAATTAGGTGGGTAAGTAGGTAGGTCGGTAGTCGCGAAATAACAAGGACAAGGAAGGACAAGACGCACAGACTGGCTGATTGCGGTCGGGGGGCGTGATAAAGATGAAATGTAGGTAGGCTGGATAGGCTGGCTGGCTGGGGGATCCACACGTCATTTCCAGGCCACACCACACCAGGTCGCGAATCGGGGGCCCCTGGCGATCTAGCCCCCCTCGCCTCTGGTCCGCCTGCATCGCCATGCTCGTATACTTGTCGATGCACTCACTCATCGTGTCTGTGTGCCATGTACTATGTGGATGGAGGTATGCGAGAAAACACACACGAAAGCCACCGCCACCGCCATGTCCGTTTCCTCCCCCCCTTTTCTTGCGCACAACCATCACCACCACACACACGCACTACATACGGCGTGGACAGACCAAGCAAAGCATGCAAGCAAGCATGCAAGCAAGCTCTTGCTCTAACCACAGGCATGATGATATTATTGATGATGATGATGCCCAGGCCACCATGATCCCCAAAGCAGAAACCTGATTTTCCCGTCAATCACACCCGACTTCCCCACGACGCCGTAAACCTGGCAGCGCATCATCCTCGCCTCGTCAGGCCTTTGGTGGTACAGCGGTTGAGCTTGGAAGCCAACACAGCACGCGTGCCACTCGACTCAAACATGCCTGCACGCCTGTGCAACCCCAACGCAATTGAATCGGCCGCCTCCGTCTGTGCTGGTAAACCATCACAACAGGATTACATCCGCCAAAACCTCCAGGGCACGCGTGTGTGAACAATTAAACCCTTTTTTTCCACCCACTCACCCAACCCAAACTCGTGCAAATCTCCCCTCGACCATGAATGACATCATTCCTTGTTTGGTCCATTCCCTACATAGATGCACCCAAAACAAAACAGTCAGGGTTGAGAACCAAAACACCATGCCTCATCCCTGCATGATTAACTTCACACTAAAAACCAATCGTGCATTGCTAATTACAAAAAGCCCGACGCGACGCGCCGTGGCTGCAAAACTCATTCATCATTCCACACATGCAACATCATATGTACTGAGTTTATTTTTGGACGCGTGTTGTTGCTGCTGCTGCTGCTGCTGCTGCTGCTACCGAATGATTGGGGGGTATTTTGAAAAACCGCACGACACGCAATTCGGAAAAGAAAACCTAACAAGCTTTTGCAAACCCATCATCCCCTCTCCTGCTTGTTCATCCCTTCCCGTCATTCCATGCCCCAGCTCCCCATGGCTCTTGTAAGACGCTCAAACAAGGAATCAAATCTCGCATTTGCACAAACATCCGTCAGAACAAGGAATGGAACCACTATAACCACAAAACTATCCTCCACCCACCTCACCTCCATCTATACCACTGCCGCCACCCCTAGAACGTCTCCGAGTCGCTGCTACGGTAGCTTTCAAGACTCTCGGTATCCGCTGCATCAAACCAATCAGTAAAAAACTCAATCATCTCTTGTTGTTCGCCATGTCAAACTCACCAGCAATGGGCTTCCTACGAACTACCGTGTCCGAGTGCTGAAGTCCCTGTTGTCCGCTTGGGCTTCTGCTCCCCATCGGACGCGGCCCTGTGATCTTGCGCTGTGGGCTGGTCATACCCGCCCCTGGCGTCAGGTTTTGACTGTCGCGGAGGGATGGTGATGGCGTATACTGCAACATGTCAATTCTCATCTCCACTAGCCTTGGTTACTTTGGGGTCTTGAGGTTGTTCAACGTACGCGGTGCCCTCTGTCAGTCTCAAGTGAGTAACGCACCTCTTGAATGGGTGCCAACGGCGTCAAGATGCCCTGACCGCCGTATTCATTGGGCGAGCTGTACATCTGTCTCGCTTGCCCGTGTCCTGCAAGTGGCAGCTGTTGCGGGATCAAAGGACCATCGTCCACGACTTTGGGTGGACGGGCGGGAGCTTGCTGTTGCTCCGAAGCCGAGTGCTGGCTGTAACCACCGTCGGATGAGATGGGAGATAGATGCCCAGCTCCTTGGCTAGCTCCACCCCCAGACAGACGATTGCGCGCTAGGGCAGGGTTGCTGCCCCACTGGTCGTAATCCGGGGACCGGATGGGGTCGAAGATGCGAGCTTGACCAGGCAGCGGCTGCGGGTGCTGCAGGTTGAGTGAGTTCCGATGAGCTTGATACTTGGGATCGTCCATGGTGTATCCATCATCCTCGGGAATAAGGGGAGACGCGGACCGGATAGACCGCCCGTCCCGATCGAGCGACGTGTTGGAGCGAAGTCTATCATCGTCGTGCAAATCATATTGGCCATCGCCGTAGGGGATGTTGACCTGCGATCCAGACCGGGATCCACTCGAGTATGGCCGTTGCTCGCCAGAACCACTGTTGCGGGGAAGGCTTTCCGGATTTGTGGATGCTGTTGTTTTGGACCATCGGGATATCTTGGGAATTCCAAATATCGACGAAGAATTGGATTTGTGCTTTCGCTTCGGTGTGTTCTCCTGGCTTTGGGAGTCGCGGAAAGCTCTCGATGCCTGCGGAGGCGTTTGGTCCTGGGCGATGTTCCGCCTGGCTTCCTGTGTAGGCGTCGTCATCCTTTCCGTGTTCTCATATAGGTCATCGTCCATATATTCTTCGTCGTCCTCCTGCACAGTGCTAATGCGGTGGGTCTGCGGAACCTCGAATCCAGAATGCAGGTCCTGGATACGCCGTGATGACGGGTTTGACAAGTATCCAGACTGGTTTGGTGAAGAGGCCGTGTTTGCTCGACCCTCTGGCTCGTATCCAGATTCGGGACCTCCACTAGCGCGCAGGTTCTCATAGGATGTCATGCTGTTGGAGCGGTTTTGTTGTTCCAGAGACAGCTGGTGGAATTGCTTCAATCCCTCCACCTCCCCGAGCAATTGGACCAGCATGGCTTCGATCTTCTTGATGTCACTGTCGCTTTTCATACTGAGGCCTTTGAGAGCACGCTTGAAAACGCTCTTCTTCTTGGTCTCCGTGTCAAGATCGTCGGTCGATGATCGAGGGGCACGCGGGGATCCCAATGGTTGCGGACGGGGGCCGCCAAGTATACGCTGCTCAGCAAGGTCCATCCTCTTATCTGTACTGTTCATGACCATCTGGTCTTGAACTCGAATGAACTGCTTCATCTCTTCGAATGTGGTACGCATCTCCGCTGCACTTCGGACAAGCGTAACCAGAATCTCTGTGTCGCGCGCATTGCGCTGCGCATCGCGTACCGTCAGATGATCCATCAAAGCTACAATATCCTTTGAATCGATGCGGTCGAGTCCTTTTCCAGTGGCGGAATCATAGAGAGGTGATGCCATACCATGTGAATTGCCGCTGAAGTGACGTTCGTGTTTGCCAGGAGTGATACTGCCCAGCCTAGCATCGTCATATTCTCCCATACCGTCATCAAGAAATTTGGATCGGTGACCTTCTGGGGTAACAGCAGGCTGGTTGGCGGACTGGTAGCCCTCGTCTTTCCAGAGCGCTGGGCTTTGGGTTGGCGTGCGGTCCTGGGCGTAACGAAGATGCGCAGACTGAGGTCCGGCTGAGTACGGATTGTTATAGTCATCCTCCACGGTGGCTTGTCCATAAGATAGAGCGGGACTTTGTTCACGAGAGTGCGAACGGGCCGATGAGTTTGTTGCCATGGCAGCAGCAGCTTTTCCATAAGACAGGGGAGTGCGTTCACGCTCACGCTCCTCCTGCCGGCTGAGAAGCTCCTCGGCATGGTCAAGGTAATCACCACCTCCGATTGGGCCTTGGATTATGGACGGATTAGTGTCGACCTCAGAGGCATCGTCCACGCCGTAGCCATACTCAGGCATCACTTCTCCTGTAGGGATCGCGCTGGAGCTAAAGGTCGGTGGATTGCTTTGCCTGGGAGAGCCGGCCGACCCAGATTGCGCTAGGACGTGTGCCTGGGCTTGGTTGCGAATTGCACCCCACCGCTCATGGCTGATCTGTTCACGTGACGGGCTGTCTCCATGATCTGTTAAGTGCTGGTAATCAGGCTTGGGACTGATTTGTGACAGCCTGCTCTTTCTCACCGGGCTCGATATCGAAGAGCGAACACTAATGGTGGATGGTTCGACCAACGATGCGATCGCAGACTCAACAGCCACGGGCGTGTGAACGTATTCCGGAGTGGAACCGACTTTGAGAATATTTTGTCCAAGAGCTAACTTCTCATCGCTCACTCCCTCGGGACTCTTGTCTTTGCTGTTAGACGCCAATCGATACTCGTTACTAGGAGAGCCATGTTCGCTTTCCTCGATCTCCCTGCGATATATTTCGTTTTGCTCGTGATTTTGAGCGAAAAAACTATCCGCATCACCGGGGGTATTTGGTCTATCAAGCACTTCCCGGGAGCGCTCCAGCGTAACCCCTTGTGGCCGCTTGCGTGTTCGGGCCGCTTTAGTGCTTGGCGTGGATTCAAACGACTGAATCGAGAGATTAGACTGCTGGCGTTCGACTCTACGACCAGCTGAAGACATTGATGCGCCACTGTGGGCAGAGTGAAGTAGAGGGCGTGGTGATCCGGTCGTGTGAACGCTATCGCGGTAGCTAGCTTCACTTTGAATGGGACTCAGACCACGAGTTGGTGTCGAATCTGCTATCTCATACTGAGACCTTTGTGGCTCGGTATCCTCTATTGCACGGATCTTTGCGGCGGCTGTAGCGGAGATGGCAGCACTGGCGGCATCTCGCGATTTTGATGCGTGGTTCCTGGAGCTGCGGCCGCTTTTGGGAGTTCCCACGCTCATGTCGCCATGGGAGCGGTTGCTGTGGGTCATGCCGAGAGATTCATGTAGACCAGCTGGTGATTTACGAGTAGGTGTCATTGGAGATGGCGATATATAGCCCCGAGAAACCTCACGGAGCGGGGTTTCGACACCCGTCTCTCTCGAAGAACTTGTATCAGGTCGTTCACGTGTTTCAGTCTCGGCAGACAAAATTGAATCTCGGGTTAGTTCAGAACCTTGGAGTTCGCTCTGCAGTATGGGCAGTGGTGGTACGTCAGCCTTCTCTTCATAGTATTCGCCTTCAAAGCTCTCGGCTATGCTCGCGGTGCGACTTCGACTTGAGCGCGAATGCTTCCTTCTCCTGTCGTCCTTGCGCTGTTCCGCTTGGTCTTCGCGAGAGTTGTGGCTTTTCAGAGCTGCTGCGGTGAGTCCAGCACCTGCAAGCCCGGCCAGAGCTGCATCCCGCGTCGAGGAGCTTTTTTCTTTGCTCTTTTTACGCCGCACCTTTTCGTCTCGTGATTCTGCACGGCTATGCTCGGATACCGAACCACGGCTGGAACGACGGTCTTTGCGACTAGAGGCTCCAGAGAGAACGGTGCCCGGGTCATTGTCATCCCGATTGAGGACCAATTTGGGTTTGCTGTCGTGGATGTGAGGGGCGCTTGAAGATTTGGATACACGCCGTTTAGACCCATCACGAGAACTGGCTCTAGACTCAACAGTCTCATACGTGCTGTCGCGCGAAGCATGCTCGAATTTGGAGTGATTTTTCTGTGTGCGCTGTTCCTCTTTCAGGGCAGTTAGCTCTGGGAGGATCAGGCGCTTGATGGCATCCTCTACTGTAGCGAGAAGTTTGGGGTTGTTGATGGACGATGTGCCAGAAACACCAGATCTCATAGAATGCACGTCGGCCGACCGGCGATGTGCGTTGGATGATAGCAGACTGGACTCAGTCCCACTGATGGCGCTGTATTCATCCTCTCGGGAAGTCTTGCTCCTTCGCTTGCGACTTGATGTGGACTCATCTCGAGTTCCTCTCGTCCGGGACCCGCTGCTCTCGACCGGCTTCTGTTGGAGCTTCTCCATAACGCGAGCGGTGATGCGCTCTTTACTCAAACTCCGGCTACGCTGGCGCGCTGGGGCTTTGAGTGTGTCTGATGCCTCAACCATGTCGGAAACGTCTTCAACTTCAATCGCCCGGCTTTTCCTGGGTGCAGGTGGCTTGATATAAGGCTCTCCTTCCAACATAGAATCCGGGGGCATAGACGAGATGTCAGATGTCATTGGTAGACGATGAGCCCCGTCCGAGCTGGACAAGTCGCTCGCGTTTTGTAGAACTTCTATCTCTACGGGTGGCACAGAAGAAACGTTTGAGCCTTCGGAATACGAAGTGTCTGTTTGTGGAAGCTCGTCACGACCTTTGCTGCCCAGGGAGATGCGACGTGTGTACGAAGGTTTTTTGGAGCTGCGGGTGGTCTGAGTGATTTGCAGATGGTCGTTGGTGGATGATTTGTGTTTGCGGGAGGAGGGAGTGACGCGGACGCGAACACTGGGTCGGATGCGGACCTTGCCCTCGGCTTTTGCGCCTTCGAAGTACTCGATCAGCAGCGAAGTCTGCGAAGGATATTTCTTGTGGATGACGCCGTCGCGCTTGGTGGTGTTGATGGTGACGGGGCTACCGTCCTCCGGGATGGAGTAGGAGGTTTTGTCGGTGCGGGTGGAGACGTTTGTGTCGACGTCGTCGCGCAGGGTGGTTTCGTTGTCGCCCGAGTCTAGGGTGGAGGGTTCGGTAGGTGCAGGGAGAGGAGGGCGTTGAAAGTCTACACCCATCATTGATCCTGGCGGACGCTAGACGGTGGAGTGGGAACCTGGGACGTGCGACATGTGGGCAATTCCTGCTTGCGACGGTAAACCGGAACGAGATGGGACGGCAAAGCGCCGGTGAGTAAGGCGGAGGGGGAGGACAGGTTGGGTGGTGAGCGAGACGACTTGGAAGCTGGTAGAACCGTGGAGGGACGGATGGATGGTGTGGCTGGGGCCTGTAGGTATGCCGAGAAGAGCAGCACTACGGCGCAGAAGCCGGCCTGGGGCCAAGACGAGGCACGGGAAACGAGGGAGAAGAGGGGGAGTAAAAAGAAGGGAAAAAGGAAAAAAGGAAAAGAGGCTGGCAAATGAATAACAGAGACGAATGTCGTCTGTCTGTGTGTCTGTCTCGGTGTGTTTGCACGCAGCGACCAAGGTGGTCGATTGGCGGCGGGAGTTAGCTGGTAGCGGTGGACTGGCCTGCACTGGACTGGACTGTGGTGGTTGTCAAGTAAGGCAGGCAGGGCCGGGCAGGGCAGGGCAGTGACGACGGGCGGCGGAGTCAAGGCAGGTGCAATGGGTGTGGGTGGGTTCTCTCAGTAGGCTACTTCCTAGGCTGCTGGCTAGCCCATCTCAGCCGGGACTAGCGTTATTGCCGTGGAGTAGAGAGAAACAGAGGTGGCCGGGAGAATAACGTGCACGGGCCCCCTGTTTCTCTCGTCTACATGTACACATGTACACATGTACATACACAACTCGACTAATTCATCACCATGTATTATTTATGATATATACCAGGTGAGCACAGCCAATGCTCGCTCAATGATGATTGGGGAAGGGAGACATCAACATCAACATCGACGGCAGCCTTGTTACAGCCGCCGGGGGAGCAGGGTAATTAACAACGTACCATGTAGTTGGTGACAACTTGAAACTATTCCGAGCAGCCACCACCGTCTCGTCACTGTGATGAAGCCGTTGGCCTGCTTACGCCTTGTGCATCTCCGGCTGCTCCCACTGTGCACCATTCTTCTTTACCTAGATTGATTGCACAAATCTACAACTCCTTCTCCATCACTGTTCTCATCACATCGCACCTACTACACTCGCTCACCTACTCACCGCCAGATCCCCCCCCCATTTCCCCAACCACCCTGCTATCCTGGGAAACGCTCAAGCTCATCCAGCATCCGAGGGCTCAAGACGAGAGGAACGTCATCACCCCCGTCCCACCATCCCCAGCCTCCCGTAACTGTGGAAACAACGCTAAGCAGAGAGAAAAAGAGAAGAGCCGCGCGCACGTACGGGCACATCCGCCTGGGCATTGATTGCACCCATCCTTGCACATGGCCCATCCATCTTACACTGTGCACCCCTGATTGGCCCTCCTCCCAGCGCGTAGCCCTCACTGGTTTGCCAGCGCATCGATTCATGGCTGCCCGTTTCGCGAATGAGCGACCAAGGCTTTGTTTGGAACTCTCCAGAGACACATCACCGTCCACGCCCACCTCGTTCGCTTGTGCTTTGCTCCCCGCCTGCACCTCTTTGCACATGCTATACAACGCATCGAGCCAAGGTTCGCTGCCGCTTGTCAAGTCTCGACCGAACCGCCTGGATGTTGAGAAGCTGAAATAACTCTGCACCGCGTGCTTGCATCAACGGCACTTTTGCCTCTTCAATTACTGCTACTATACGTGCAATCGATCCGGGGTGATACTACTGTAAATAGCCCGTCCATGTGATTCTGCAAATTGACAGGTGCCACGCAAAGCCAAAACTGAAAACCCCTTTGGAAACGCCGCCCATTTTGGTCATTTGCATGCTACTTAGTTCTGCCTCGGCCTGTTGGGTCGCCGTCCCTGCTGGGGTTGACTCCCGTACGCTCTCCTTCCTTCAACCTTCTTGTCTCTGCTCAGACTGGCCCCCAGCGTGAGGTCGATCCTGGGCGGTGTGGAAAACCCAAACGACTTGGCCACCTTGACCAGGTCGAGCTTGTGCACGTCGAACACAGACCGCAGGCTGTGCGAGGCATACGAGTGCAGGTACGCTCGATACCCGTCTTTTGCCGACTGTTTCCAGCGTTAGTACATGTAGGGTGTGCGCAGAGCAAACAGCACGTACCTTGTTGAGATAGTAGTTCTTCCCAATGAGCGTTTCAAGTTGTGACTGGATATTCAGGATTTTGTTGGCTGGGAGCTCGAATTCCACGAGCGGTACACGCGCCTCCTTGAGCAACTTCAGGAAGCCAACCTCGCTTGGGAGCAAGAACATGAGCGACCGGCCTTTGCCGCTGGTACCTCGCGCTGTTCTACCCACGCGGTGAATGTAGTCTCGTGGGTCGTCCGGTGGGTCAAACTGGATTACCCAATCCACCTCGGGGATGTCCAAACCACGCGCAGCAACGTCTGTGCAGATCAAAGTCCCCGAACTTGCGTTGCAGAATTCGAAAAATCGGTTTGTCCGTGCCTGCTGCTTGAGTTTCCCGTGAAGTTCCAGTACCGGCAGATCAATGTAATTCAGCACTAACATGGTCAGCCCCATACTAACTCGAAATGTCGAGATACTCACATTCCGCATAGTATTTGACAGCGTTACAGCTGGAGAAGAAGACGATAATCTTCTTCTTTTGATGCTTTTTGAGGAACGAAAACAAGAGTCGGAATCGAGAGTCGCTGTCACAAATGACGTATCCCTGCTCCAACCCCTCCACCGTTGAATGCTCTTTTCTGTAGTCCACGTTGATATACAACGGTCCCGGTTTTAGAGATATCCTCGCCAAATCCTCAACTTTGGTGGTCTGTGTTGCTGAGAAAAGCATTGTCTGGCGGTCTCTAGGGAGGATCTTGATGATGGACCTCATTTCATCTTCGAAACCGACTTCCAAGATTCGATCCGCCTCATCGATGATCAGGCTCTTGAGGTTCTTGTACACGAAACCTTCGGTATTGTGGAGGTGATCGAGAAGTCTACCGGGAGTTGCAATGAGTAGGTTGACACCTTTGACCAATTTCTCTGCCTGGCGAACTATTAGCATCTCCCCTCAATTCTCCCTGGGCGAAGATCCATACCTCTGCTCTCCTGTTCGCGCCTCCAATGCAGATCCCGTATGTTTGTGAGTGTTTTTCCAAGAGTTCTCGCGCTACGCCAAAAATCTGCAATGCCAGTTCACGAGTTGGGGAAACGATGAGAACACCGGTGCCGTTGCGCGGTTTAAAACGCATGGAATGCAGCATCTCGATCGCTGGGATCAGAAACGCCAATGTCTTCCCGGAACCAGTCTTAGCGGCGCCCAATACATCCTTTCCCGTCATCAGTGGAGGAATCGCACGTTGTTGGATCTCAGTCATAGTCTCGAAGCCCATGCTCTGGATTGTTTGCATTGTGCGATCGCTCAGCTTCAGATCAGAGAACTTCACGGGCTCTTCGAGAGTCGGTATTGAGGTCCCAGAGGGCAAATCAGTCTGCTTGCTGACTGCCTCTTCGTTGTCCTCAGACGGCGCATCGTCAGAGTCCACGGCCGCTGCCTTGGACTTGGCGGCAATTTGTTTCAACTCCTCGTTGAGCGCACCTTCTTCCTCTTCATCTGCGGAGCCGCTTGCTACCTCGGCGTCTTCCGCCTCCACAGGTTCGGGTGTGTGTTCCTTCTTGGACTTCTTGCGGGACTTTACTTCGGCGGAGCCATTGCTGACGAGGTGCTCTGGTGCAGGGTCCTCGCGAGGTTTCGATTTGTGCTTGCGCTTGCGCTTTTTAGTCTCGATTTCTTGGGCGTCCATGGTCGAGATATCTCGTGGATCGGTGCGTGGTGTGTTTTACGATATCCAGTGAAGTTTTGCCCACGAAAAAAAGTTTTGGCGTCGGCAACTGGGAATATTTACGCCGACCGGACTAACTTATTATCGACTAGCGCGTCCTACTAGAAAGCATCTCCGAGGTGGACTTGCTCCCTCTACATACAGTTGGCTTTATCCTTTGCCTGTTGCCAGGCAGCAGTCACAGGTCATGAGATGTTGAATCGTTGGGATGGTTGAGGTATTGTACCGTGGTTTACTGAGCTTTTTGTGAGTAGCATTTGCCTGAGTCATTTTAGTCATCAGGTTAGCCCGCCTTTTTCAAACACTATTTTTCTTTTATTTCAGTGCTCACTCAGCACGTAAAAATCGATAATAGTACAGTTGGCCAATTCAAATATTGGCCAATATCCTACCGTGAATTGCAATCGGGCGATACTTGATTCTTCTGAGAACATTTTTCCTCCCACCTTTTCGTGCCCCCAGCTGCGCGCGCTGTTTCCTCGTTCGTTCGTTCGTTCCAGAGCACTTTTCAAAACGCCAAGTTTATACATGTAGTCTGCCTGCAGGGGTAATTATTAGACTGTTATAAATATGATTCTATATCTCTGACATCCAGCCTGACGGCCTATGGGTACCTCGCAGACTATCAGTGTAGCTCTTACCGCAAGCTACATCTATTTCGATGATGCATCCAATCGCACATGAATCCATGAACAACGACCCAGTAGCGGATTGATACCCACCAATTCATCATGTATGACCAATGTCTATTAAGTCAATTGAGAGATGTTTTACACCATCTTTCTTTGCTTCACAAACTATCATAACTAAATATCATGTTGTTCTACACCAACAATCAAAACTCATATGATCATCGCACCCTGGTTACTCTTCTTGGTGTAGAGTGCGTGTGATTACCAATCACCCCAACTCATGTACATTGCAACTAGTCAAGTGAGCTATTGGCGTTTCCTACTCCGCTACGAATGGATTTATAATCGAATTGGGGTGGCTGTTCTCAACAGGAAAAGAAAATATAATAGCCTCTCGAAAGTGCATTCTACCATCCATACTCAACGCAGCACTTGGCTTGCTTATTCACATAATCTTGAATTACCTGATCTATATATTATAAACCGCCGAGAACACAGAATGACTCCCAAGATTTTTATGTAATTCCCACTTAACATCACAGTCTGAAACTGCACTCACACACTTCTAGAACTGGTGGTACTGGCTATGTCGGAGGCTCAGTTCTTCACACCATCGTCACAGATCACCCGGAGTACGAAGTCACAGCTTTCCTCCGCACCGTTCCCCCAACCTTTTCGACCCTCTACCCAAACACTAGGATCGTGAAAGGTGACTACGATAGCTCCGACATCCTTACCTCAGAAGCTTCCAATGCCGATATTGTCATCCGTAGGTCCTCGCTCCACAGGGCTACTTGCTCATTTCCCGCTCGATCTTTTCACGACATGAACAGCCCACTCAGAAAGACCCATTCTCCACTTACATTGATTCATTTCAGACAACGGAGATTCGGACCATGAGCCGTCCCTCAACGCCCTTATAAAAGGCCTCCTTCTACCTCGATCGACCCCTGGCTATCTCCTCCACCTCTCTGGCACAGGCATAACTTCGGACTGGGCCTCCACTTCTTTTCTCGGACGCTCCAACCCCAAGATTTGGTCCGACATACATGACCTCGACGAGGTTCGTGCAATCCCTGATGAAGCTTTACACCGGAACACAGAGAAGATTCTCCACGAAACGGCAGCGAAACAAGGCGATCGTATCAATATTGCGGTCATTTGTCCGCCAGACATATACGGGAAGGGCAAAGGGCTAGGCAAGACATGGAGTGTATTTATGCCACTTTTTTTGAGGGAAGTGAAAAAAATGGAAGGTGGGAGGGTGTTCTACTACGGAGAAGGGACAAATGCCAGGGGTTGGGTTCACATTGATGAGTTGATGGAAATATACTTGAAAGTTGTGGAGGCGGCTGTTGCGGGGGGAGCTGGATTTGGTTGGAACAAAGAGGTACGCATTGCTCCGATCTCTACTTGTTACCATTCGCTTTTCTGTTTTGCTTTTCATTCTTCTCGCTTCATTTGCTACTTCCCGTAAATACATCCACAAAGAATGCACTAACAGGCTTCCTCACAACAGGGCTACTACTTCACAGGAACCCAAGAGTACGTATCAATGCCAGATCCTTACTCATCTACTGATGTTGACCCCTCTCGGCTGCAGACACTCCCAATTGACCATCGCGAACGCGACCGCCAAGGTCCTTGCCTCCCACAACATGATCAAAAACACAACTCCCCTTCAACTCTCTTCGCTTGACAGGCTTGACACCATGATAGACTATCCCGGGTTCTCAAAACTTGGGAGATATCTTTACGCCAGCAATTCGCGCACGAGGGCTGACAGGGCCGAGAAACTTTGGGGATATAGGGCGAGTGCACCGGGTCTCTTGGAGGTGTTGGAAGAAGAGGTGCTGGATGCTGTTCAGAGGTTCTAGACGCGTATCCAGGGTGCTTCCAAGCCATAGACTGAATGACCCAAAGTTGATATACAATCGAACACTCCGCAGTCACATCACGTTATACCAGTTGACTTCGACTGCGGAGTCTCTTGAGCCCTGGTGTAGTTGTGCAATCGCAAGTAACGCCCCCCTCCCCCCCCCAAAAAAAAGCAGCCGCCATCATATGCATACAGTAGACTTGATTTGTGCTTTTCCTGGTTGTCAACAAGTATTGCTGGTAGCAGAGTAGAGAGGACTGCTGCCATATTCATTGAAGATGGATTGCGGAGAGGTGTAATGACGGAGTTAGTGGCGCTTTGGGTCTTTGGGTTCAAATGTTCGCTTAAGGTGGGATGGCGGGGTTCGCGCCGATGAGTCCCATCGAATCGACCAGCGCCTGACACTTTTTTCTCTCAATTAACACTCGACACGCGAGCACAGTCACAAAGTTGAGCGATAGCCAAGCCTGCAGTCGCAACTGACTCACCTGCTGTATATAAGCTTGGAGCTTCTACTCACCATCACCAACAACCAGTTGCACCGCGGCAATGGCCGACACGAACTCCTCCTCTGCGCAGCCCGCTGCCACCACCGAGAATGCGCCCAACCTCCACAAAGACGAAGTCACCGGAGAGATGGTGTCCAAGAGCGAGTTGAAGAAGCGTCAGAAGCAACGAGAGGTCTGTCTATCCGTGTGATCCAAAATCAAGGCGAATGCCAATTGACTGGCTCAGATCGAGAAGAAGAAAGCAGAGAAGGCGGCCAAGCTGCCAGAGCGTCCCAAAAAGACTGATGGCAAATCCAAGGAGGCTGAGGTTGAGCTGTGAGTACTTCCTAAGCGCTTGATATCATGTTGCTAACCAGGCTAGCACGCCCAATCAATATTTCGAAATTCGAAGCAACAAGATCAACGCGCTGAGAGCCTCCAAGGATCCGTTTGTCAACCCATACCCTCCTTTTCGCTCTTCGGATTATCTGACAGCACCTATTCTAGAATCCCATATCCACATAAATTCGATGCGCACACTCGACTACCCCACTTCCTCTTGGACCACAAAGATTTGAAGCGCGGAGAAGAGTTGCGCGAGACCGAAGTCAAGATGGGTCTACGCGTCATGTCCATTCGAGTTGCATCCAATGCTCTCCGTTTCTATGTCTGCAAGTCTGAAGGAATGACTGTACAGATTATGTGCCAACTTCAAAACGCCAAGGGCGATGTTCCCTTTGAGAAGCAGCATGAGAACATCCAGCGCGGAGACATCATCGGTGTAGTTGGCTGGCCTGGTGTGACCGCTCCCAAAAACCGCCCTGATGGTGGTGATCTTAGTGTCTTCGCCCAGGAAGTCATTCTGTTAACTCCCTGCTTGAGGATGTTACCCACTGAGCATTTGTAGGTACTCTCCTAGAAAGGCCCAATTTTTTTTTTCTGACACACTACAGCGGCTATAAGGATCAGGAACAGAGGCACCGCAATCGTTTCCTCGACTTGATCATGAACAACTCTACTCGGGAGACATTCATCACCCGTTCCAAGGTCATTAAATCAATTCGGTCATACCTCGACAAGCGCGACTTCCTTGAGGTCCAGACACCTATGATGAATAAGATCGCTGGTGGCGCTACGGCCCGACCTTTCAAGACACACCACAACGAGCTAGATATGGAGCTCTTCATGCGTATTGCACCTGAGCTGTATCTTAAGCAGCTTGTAGTCGGAGGCCTCGACAGGGTCTACGAGATTGGTCGGCAATTCAGGAACGAAGGTTAGTGTCACCGTGACCTTTTCTTTGACACATGCTGACCCGGTCAAGGTATTGATCTTACTCACAACGTACGTACCCACACTTTTTCTCAAATCACCTGCTAACCGAATATCAGCCAGAGTTTACTACTGTAGAGTTCTATCAGGCCTATGCTGATATGCATGATGTTCTGCGAATGACCGGTTTGTCGACCTGTTCTTGTCGGTATTCGTGATCCTGACGCGTAACAGAGGAGATGGTGTCTGAGTTGGTTTATTCGATAAAGGGATCGTACGATACAGTCTATCATACACAGAGCGGAGAAGAGTATAAGGTCTGCTGGAAAGCGCCGTGGGCTAAAGTTGAAAGCAAGTTTCAAAGCTTCATAGCGGGAAAAGTGCATAGCTAACAGTTTGCAGTGATCCCCGCACTCGAAGCTGCAACCGGGGAGAAGTTCCCTCCTGCTGATCAGCTGCATACCGCCGAGACAAACGAATTTCTGAAGAAAGTGCTCCAGAAGGTCAATGTGCAGTGCTCCGAGCCTCGTACCAACGCTAGGATGATCGACAAGCTCGTTGGAGACTTCATGTCGGTGGGCCCCACTCGCGTTGACTGTTACTAAAACTAACTCTCAACAGTGAGGAGAAGTGCATCAATCCTACATTTATCATCGGTCACCCAGAAGTACGTGATATTCGCTGTTGTGTTTAGAGGGAGCATTGCTGACGTCCCAGGTCATGAGCCCGCTTGCCAAATATCACCGCGACATTCCCGGCCTTTGCGAGCGTTTCGAAGCTTTTGTCTGCAAGAAAGGTTTGTCGGCCCCAAATTTACGACATGCCTCAAACCAACTGATTACCTAGAAATCTGCAATGCATACACTGAGCTCAACGATCCGTTCGACCAGCGCTTGAGATTTGAGGAGCAAGCAAACCAAAAGGCGCAAGGCGACGATGAGGCGCAGCTCATCGATGAGACCTTCCTGCAGAGCCTTGAGTACGGGCTCCCGCCCACTGGCGGATGGGGCCTAGGAGTGAGAAATGACTTCCTTTGAATCAAGAATCTAGCTAACCCGATTCTAGGTTGACCGACTGGTCATGTTCCTCAGCGACAACTACTCGATTAAGGAGGTCCTGACCTTCCCTTTCATGAAGGACGTTGAGGAGCCCAAGAAGACCGCTGCTGAAGTTGTAGGGATCGAGCCCAAGCCTGAGGAGGGTATTCCCCACAAATAGAAACTGTGAGATCGGATCTCTTCCCGGGAATCTGGAGCGTAGGATATCGGAATGACGACCTGAAGCGTAACAGAAATATGAGACATGAGTTCCTGTAGACTGAATGTGAAACGATAAACACAGCAAGACATTTGACTTCTGGAACCTCGGTCATGTCTACGCCCTCACTTGCGGTTGGCTCTGATAGTTCATGAGTCGATTTGTGTGCCGTGAACTGATTCGCAAAATCTCATCCTACCTGTGCTATAATCCTCCCTCTCTCCACGCTTCTCCAATCGTTTCAGGTAGCTTGATATTAGTGCACTCAAGAGTGGTGTAGAAAGGAAGCAACTTATTATCCCAAAAAGGAGTGCCTGCCCTGCAAGCTTCTAATACTTGATTTTCAGCTTGCGCAAGACTGTAGGATAGTTACTCACGTCGATCAGAACATCTGTAACAATCGTATTTGAAAGTACCTACATGTAGGTAGTTTTGACAGTACACATGTGGTTGAGATTATTGACGCTGCTCGCACGTCAAGCGATTAGCGCGCAACGTGAGATACAGTCCATGTAATAGCGTACAAGCGCCTACGAAGTCTCCACATTATGGATGTGTCTCTGGGCATTATCTACTAGGTAAATATGTACATATGTAGGTAGATCACCGTGGATCACGTGCTCTGCTAGGCCTGTTAGGAGCAATGGCTCGGCTTCAATAATGGGAGGGGAAAGCTCGTCACCCCAGTAATGGATTCCATTTATCCGCAAATCATCTCTGGCGGGACAGCACTGATTTGCGGAGCACAGTGCCAGAACGGCAGTACACAGAACCTATATAAAGCGCGCTGGTCGTGGTGCCGAGTGAAGCTGACGGACAATCGTTAATTATGATCTTCTTCTCCAATTGTATCTTCGCTTTCGCGACTCTGACCTCGCTTGCCTTGGGCATCTCTGTGACTTCAACCCGCACATACAACATCAGCAATGACGTCGAAGGATCGGTGCATTTAAACGGCCTCGCATTCCAGCAGAATGCCCTGACGACCTTTGGCGACTACCAATACGTAGCATTCTACAAAACAGCGACTGGTTATGGAAAACACCATGTTAACCTCGGACGACGTCGCATTGCACCTAGCTTGAGCGACTGGCAGTTTTTCGCATTCACTGACTACGTTCAGCAGACACTCGATGAGCACAACACGATAAGCATGGGCATCTCTGGGGACGGCAGGATACATCTGAGTTTCGACCACCACGATGTACCTCTGAACTATCGAGTCTCTGCAACAGGCATCGCCAAGGAAGTCCCAGCCCAATGGACCATGGCAGCCTTTGGAGGATCCGTCATGCACAGTCTGCCAGGCTCCACGGGCCCGTGGTCGCCCTTGACCTATCCACGGTTCGAGCGGCTAGCAAATGGCGATCTACTTATGGAGTTTAGGATCGGTCAATCTGGCGCTGGAGATTCGTACATCCACCGATACTCCAGCACATCTGGGCAATGGAGCGCCCTGGGCAAGTACCTCGAGGGACAAAATAATAATGCATATATCAACGGTTTCACGTCGAGCAACAGCAAGCTATATGCCAGTTGGACAGTGCGAGAAACACCAGACGCCAGCACAAACCACGACTTCTACTTTGCCATGTCCGAGGATGAAGGCCGAACATGGAAGGCAACCAGCGGAGCTGCTGTCGCAAAGCCCATCACGCCGTCTACGGCAGGCATCAAAGTGTACGCAATTGCCCAGAATATGGAGATCATGAACCAAGAGGCGCAGACCACAGACGAGCAAGGGCGTTTTCACGCACTCATGCGTGACAAGACTTCCGGCACATCGCGGTTCTACCATTACCTACGCACCTCGAGTGGCACCTTCACTAAGACATCCATCAATGCACCTGGTCTCGGTCCAGTACCTTACCTGGCTTATCGCGGAAAACTCGCGGCCAAAGGTGATGGCCTGATTGCCATTCTCCCCGACAAGACAAAGAGCACAGCTGTGCTTTATGGAGCGACTGCTGGGGGCAACTACCAGGACTGGAAGCTGCTGTATACTATTTCGAATACTGAAGGAGAGCCTTTGGTCGATGAGCAGAGACTGGCGCAGAATAGCGTTTTGAGCGTGTTTGTCAGGCAGGGAGGTCCTTTTGGAACGAGGCAAATTCAAGTATGGGACTTTGAGCTGCAGTTTTGAAAACATGTACATACGTGTGTACCTATACAACGTGCGTTCTGTGAGAGACTCTTTAGTAAGGGGAATGTAGCTATAGAATTAACGCATTCTAAAATTAAGAGGCTGTTAAACAGCAAGAGATAAATAAGATACAAAAACTGATAGAAGTGAAAACAGTGAAGAGCGGAAGAACCACAACACTGAACTATTATCGAGGTACTTGAACCGTCACTACGCAAAGAGCAGCAACCTACGTTTAATCTGGGGAAATCACCCCATGTAGATAATTGGGGGGAGGGGGGGCAGTTATTGGGCGTCCTAGCCCTGTCTACCCACACCTTGGAATCGGGAGGGCCATACAAACCATAGTTGACTTTTCTCTTATCTTCAAAACTCTGACACCATCCGTTGACGAGCTGTTGAGCGCTGGGAACATTCCTCCTCCGTCTATCCTGGATCCTAGGGTCAGGCATATTCCACACCTCCCTGGCGATCCTTAGCCCTATGAAATTACCGCGCTTGATTTTGTACTATAGGTCGAGGATACCTACCGACCAAGCCTGGCTCTCAATCTCGGAGAGAAAGTGTTTCCATGTATCTATATACGTGGTATCTTGTTCAAAATAGATCGAAGGGAAGTGAGCCCAGGTAAGGTAGTCCTTGCTTGCCAGTGCAATAGCAGAGCACCCATTCAGGCGACCCATGACAAAGGACTTAAAAGGAAAGATAGGAATGAACAGGTGGTTAGCTGAGACCTTGAAGAAAACTATGAACCTGTAGCGCCACCGACATATGAGCAGGCGGCACAAGCAGTAGTAAAAGGCTGAAAGCTGCATCTACTTCCTCGTATATGCATTGTAGATGTGTCTCTCCTATAGTGCAACATCGTTCAGCTGTAGCTTATTATACAGCTGCTGTACCCTCAAACAAGTAAGAAGCTGGTTGCTCCCTGGCTTGGCGCCGACAGCAAAGCTCCTTAGGTAAAAGCTTTTGTTGCCGCCTACTTTTTGTGAAATCGTACTTTATCAGCTTTTCGAGCGTAGGAAACAATTCAACTTCCAATGAAAAAAAAAAGAAGTTAGAAGCCACCAGTGAACACCGCAGAAAACTCTTTGTAGCTACATGATGTTTACCAAAGACATGTATACTTAATACCTTTCACTTGCATTGATTGTTCTGAATACTCTATGCGTTTTAGTTCAAAGAAACAGAACAATGACTCAACATAAAAAAAAATGTAGAAAACAGGAGTCCAACAGCAATTTACTGAACTTCTGAATCTCTGACCTTGACTAGTCCGCATGTGGCTTCAAGTTGTAGCTCTTCCAGCACTACCCTTCTCGTCCACCCACGAACTGGTCTTCCAAGCCGGGATCCCACTCTCAAACATGCGATCAATCTCAATTGCGCTGCGTGCCCTCATCTCTGGCACAATAGCCCACGTAGCAGCTGCGGCTATCACACTTGTTCCCATAAACACCCATCCCGTCTTTGCTTTTAGATCCGCGCTATCAGGATTGTACAAGTATGGCAAGACGAAATTTGCGAAAATAGCAGCGATATATGCCGCCACACCGCCGATAGCTTGCGAAGTAGCCCGGAGCCGCAGGGACGAGACTTCGGACATGATGGAGTACGACGCGCTCCAGCAACCCAAGCCACAGACAAAGATGATGAGCATCATGAAGGCGGCGGTGAGCCATGCTGCAATACCCGATTTCTCGGCAGCAGGAAATAATCCCGTAATACCCATGCCGCCCCAGAGAACAGCAGCGACGAGGAGAGTGGCGATAGTGAGGCGGCGGCGCGGCAGATGCGAGAGAGTCCATGTCGAGCCTGCGTTACCGAGGAAGCCGATGATGATGCCAACGATGAGAAAGACGAGAGAGTACATAGATGACATACCGACTTGCTGTAGGAAGTAAGAGGCCGAGGAGAGAAGTGTGAGACCGAAGAGCGGGGGAAGGAAGTTAGCGAAAATGACGATAGCGGTACGGCGGCGGTTTGCGCCGCGGAAGCACTCTGCATAGGTCGGTGCGCCATCGCTATAGGCTTTTGAGGCTTCTTCCTGCTCTGAGGTTTGCAGCTGGGAGAGGATTTTGTCGCAGTCGTTTTTGGGCGCGAAGAGGCGGTGAATGCTATGGGTTGCGTCATCCAGACGCTGCTTGCGGACGAGGTATACTGGGGGCTCAGGAAGGGTCGAGGCCATGATGAAGGGTGCGATGCAGAAAAACCATTGAAGACCCAAGGTGATCAGGTATCCCATGTCGGTTTCGACCCCGTTGACAGCGAAGACGGCGAGGGCGCCAAGAAGCTGACCGACCAGATTGGCGGCAGGTATAATAGCCATAGAGGGTCCACGGAGGCAGACGGGTACTGTCTCGGAGATCCAAGTTTGCGTGGTAATCTTCAGAAGAGCAGTGGCGAGGCCTTGGAGCATTTTACCGGCGAGGAAGACCCCGCGCATACCGTCGAGACTGGGCACTCTGTTGGCCAGGAACTCGATCAGAATGCTGATGGTAACTAGTATAGCACCCCAGAGCATGCATGATCTCCTGCCTCTGCTGTCTGCAAGAGGCCCCCCAATGATGGCTCCAACTAATTGCCCTATAGCTGGAAATGCTTGCCACAGTGAAAGCCAAATCTGTGGAATGATCCATTTTTCTTTCCCATCGACCATCTTGTCGAAGACCCCGAAGTCGCGTTGGAAAGGTTCCAGGGAGGCAATAGCGCCCACAACAGATAAGTCGTAGCCCCAGAGAATGACGACAGATGAAAGGCCGAGAACCCATAGGGAGACTTTGGAATATTGTCGATAAGCAGTTCGGAGTGGAAGATTGGCATCCGTGTCGAGGTTTTCGCTTTGTTCTTCTGTATCATTCAAGAGTTGTTTTCCTGTAGATTGTGAAGCTGGGAAAGAGAGTATCTTTGTCATCTCTGATTCAGGTTTGTAGTTCGTCGACGAATCGGGTTTGTTTATATTGTTCATCTCCATGGTTGGTCGTAAATGCTCAATTGTATGAGTTCTGGAGGTCCAAGTAAAGGATATGCTAAAGATCTAGAATAAGCGCGGCCCTTGAGGTATAAGTACCTAGGTATTTACCCCTACCCATGCATCCATCTACACAGGATGAACATATCTAGAGGAATTGCCTGAACCTCCTTCAGACTATGAAGACATGCAGGGGAAAGAGAAGCACGCACCTTCAGATCTGCAGGCCAATGCATCTACCAGTCAACTAAACAGGAGCATCCAAAACTACCGCGGCACAGCACAATGCATTCCAATTGGTCAAAGAATAGAGAAGATTGGAAGATATAGCTGGCATTCCTAGCAGAATCTCTGGCAGATCCCGTCATCACTGTGGCTCATCGCTATTGTTAACCCCGAAAATATGGGGTAAGGCGAGGTCGGGTCTTGAGCCGAAGTTCGCCAATGGCTCGGAACTCCCCTGTCTTCCACATCGAAGGATCAGCCCACGCGTACATTTTTCAGAAAAGAGGGGTTTCTCAACGATATGCATGTCGTGGGATCTCGTGCGTGGAAGATTTCGCTCCAATATCGGCGTCGTCAGCGAAAGACCCTGATGGGCGTGAGGGTTACGGGAGGTTAAGATTGATCGGCATCACTAGCGCGCTTTCAATTGTGACTACACTCCTTCTTGTAGCCAGGCAGGAGAAGAACAACAGCACGGGACTGTGTATCGAAGATATAATGTGAACGAAGATACACTGGTGGTCGTACTACTTGTCAAAAGCGAATGTGCTGTCTGGCCTTTACCGAGAAGGAAGAACCACCGCATATTGTCACCGCTGGTAGTCTGGTTTGCGTAGCAGATATACGTATGCATACGAAATGCTCTGGCGCGTCATTGGCAGTCGAGTGGTTTTTACCAAGAGCGGTGCTCTTACGAGTCAACATCCGACACGGCCGATTCCGCCAGAGATAGGTACTCCGATCCCTAATCGCTTTTCAAACGTCACAAACTACGTGTATTCAACCTTATTCGATTCCGACTCGTAGCTCACCGGCAAAGTTCCAACAACGCCAAGACAGCATATCGGAATGCTTGAAAAGAAGGATGTGGTCCAAAACATCTGAAACAAACAAGTGAGATTGTGGCATAACGGTTGCCCGAAGCAGAGTTGCTTGCGAAAACCGCCTGGGGAAGAAAGGGGCGCAGGGGGGAAGGCCTTGTACGCTAGACCGACTTCAGCGGCCCTCCCTTCCCTCTACAAAAAACAACAACAAGCTTCAACATTGGGATGTGATCAATAGCAAAGAACAGAATATCAATGGCACGTAGGTGATTAAAACTGTCTACCAAATTCATCATCATGAAGTAGTGACATAGTGGTCGTGCTAACCAGATATCCATCCATTCACAAACCAGAAGGATGCTCCACCTTTTCCACCAACTCCACCTCCCAACAATTCATTAGATGTCCACGTCTCTTCAAATGTACAGTCTCCTCACAGAATCAGAACACCGGCGAGAGAGAGTCCAGCCAGGACAGCATAAGCCGACCCAAGAGCGGCCCCATAACCCACGAACCTCGGGCCATGTACGCTCCCCGCGCCTCCTTTACTAGAACTTCCTTCCGCCCCCTCAGTCCCGACAGCAGCTGTACCTTTGCCTGTGGGACTCGGCACTGACCCTGTACCACTGCTCCCAACATCTTGCAGCAAGCTCGCGCAGCCGGAGCTCGTAGATGCGCTCTGTAGCGTAGCCATGCCACTGAAAGCGCAGGCGCTGCTACTGCGGCCGTTGCCGAGATAGTACTGGTTTGCAACCCATGCAAGCTGGTCTTTTGGATTGCAACCGCTGAGGGCGCCGAATTTACCTGTTGTGGCGTTGTGCTCGATACCTGCACAGAAGGCATCGTCAGCGCCACAGATGAAGTTGAATACAGAACCGTATTTTGTCTCGTCAGTGGATTTGATGTTGCATTGGAGGTTTGCAGCCATGCAGGCGCAGAGTTGCGGGTTCGGAGACGGTGGGAGGGGAGATGCTTGTGCTGCCCAGTCTGCGCCCACACTGGGGCATGCTGGGGCACTGGTGACTGGGGTGTATGCGCTGCGGGCGGTAGAGGAGGGTGAGATGGAGGCAAGTTGAGATTGAAGAGACGTGAAGTCCGGGTAGGGAGAGACACTGGCACCATTTTCGGTGAGGGAGATGAGACCGTAGTCGTTTGTTCCCATGAACCATTCATAGACAATGCCGCCAGAGAAGACTGAAGTCATATTGCCATATAGTACCGGAACGTCAGTGAAGGGACGATGCGTAGCACCGCCCTCAGCTTCAAGTCCTTCGATACATCCGTACTCTGCAAAGAAGACAGGTACCGGGTAATCGGAGAAGAATTTGACCCTCTCATCGTAGGAGGAAGATGAGTAAGAGCTGTTCCCGCACCAGGAGTAGACATTGTAACCCCAGAAGTCAATCTGCGTCTGGTTGCCTGAGTTACCAGGTTCGCAAGCGAAGTAGTGAGCAAGCTCGTTCCGTGAAGGTACATCAGCTGTCGCATATCCGACTCCGAGAGTGTGTCGGTAGCCCTGGCTTTGAATGTATCCTTTCGTATCGCGCACCGCAGCCTTGACAAATGCGGCGGCAGCAGTCTGGTTGTTCGCACTGACATTCTCGTTGCCGGCAAAGAATCCTATCACGTTTTTGTATTTGGAGAGCGAGTCGATGACGCCAGTATACCGCTGATACAGGGCGACATCCCAGCTAGGATCATCTGATATGATGGACGTTCCCGGTTCGCCTGAAAACAAAGTCAGAGAACTCGGATCGGGTATCCCTCAAGCAGCCGTTGAGATTTCCCATAGACAGCGGAAGCGATGTCTCAATCAAACACTCACCTAGGTCTGCAATCACATATATGTCGGCAGCAGCCAACTGTTCCATGCAGTCGTCATGATTTTGCGAAGGATCAATCGCATAAACTCTGAGAACGTTGGTATAAATCTGTTTCAGGTAAGGGATATCCCGCTTGCAGCCATCTCCATCGGCGAGCGGATCTGTGTACTTGGTATTAGAGGATACGGAGCCATTGGGAGAGTAGTTCTGTTGGTATGCGACTCCGCGCAGATAACTTGGAGTAAAAAGTCAGCGCAACAACACTGGACAGACGGCACCCCTATGTACTCACAATTGCGATCCATTGTTGGTGTAGAAGAAATGCTGGCCATAGACCTCAATATCTGGGATGGAATTGTAACTCTGCGCTCTGGCGCATGCTCCTAGCAGCAAGATTGTCACCACCGTGGCAAGCAAGCTCGTCCGAATGCCGCTCTTCATGGTTTCACACTCGCAACGAAGGACAGCTTGTATCGACAAACAAAAGCACGCAAAGCGAATGCACGAGGGTTTACAGCACGTCAATATTATGTATCGAGAGAGATGGATAAATATGCACTTGGGAGAGCCCGGGAGACGCGGCAAGCTGGTGGCATGAAGAGCGAGGCCACGGAAAACGCGCGTCGCCGGAGCGAAATCCCAAGTACATAGCGTAGTACATCGATGGTGGCTCTAGATCGCGTACGGCCGGCCAGGTGGCTGTACACGAGCTTGCGACCTGGGATTGGTGACGTTTTGATATGGGCGGGGCCTATCGATTCATCGATAATAGCTCACGCTAGCCAGAGTCGGCATGGCAAGCGTTAGTCACACGGCTTGATTACACGACGCCTCGTGGCAATGTATAGCAGAGGCAGAGCCTACGCAGTCTGCAATATCCGCCGGCCATTGTGTACACTCATCCAGGTGGTTCATGGAAAATGTCAAGCGTCAAATGGGTGTTCAGGTGGCGATTCGATATTTGCATTGTAAAAACTATTCTGTTCCGCTTGGATTCTTCCCCTCATTTCTTCCAGATCCAGGCGCATAAGCGAGTTCCCTCGAAGGATCCGTTATCATCCTCGGTATCAACCCTTTTTTTTTGTGCTATGAGCGGGAATAATCGCAATCCAATAACGCCGGTCCTAATGCCACCATGTACCTAAATGCAAATGACGTGAGGAAAGGGCCGACGCTAGCCTTCCAACTAATCTCCCATTTTCATGTCCTCGAGATCGTCAAGTAGCTGATCCATGGGTATAGCAAGGCCGTCATCATCACCGAATTCACTCTCCTCCACCTCCATAGCATCGGCTGCTGCTTGCTCCTGCTCTGTCTTGTAGAGAGCAATACCTGCTCGCAGATCCTCGTCCTCCTCGACATCACGCAAGAACATCTCAAAGTCGCGCTCCATCTTCTCTTGGTCTTGTTTCCTCGGTAGCATCTCTGATTCCTCCCTGGCCATGCGCTTGATGCGCCAGTTGCGCTTGCTCTTGGCTTTCTTGGAGCGGTTGTAGTGTTTCTTGACGAGAACCACGTCGGGGATATGAGAAGCTTGCTTGGAATCTTCCAGCTTGTCGAAGAGCTCGTTGTTGAAATTCGTGCCCGACATGTGATAGCCCATGACCGAGTCGCCGACACCGAGAATGCCACCAAGATGTGTGCGCGTGTAGTATGTGCTGTCGTTGGAACCCATGTCGCTTGCACGAGCAACGGTGGCTTCGGCAAGGAAATGACGACCCTTCTTAGCTCCTAGTGGCTCAATGTCCAGCACAATGAACTCGCACAGCTCCTGTACATCAGCAAGCGGCCGGAAAGGAGTTCTCCAGTAGAGCGCCGTATCTACATCAGCAGTTTGAAGAGTCTGTGGATCTATGAGATTGACCGAAGTTCCGATGCGGTAGCACAGGGTCAATGGAGAGATGTTGCCAATTTTCCGGGCAAGGGGAATGGGCAGGACCACAAGATCGTCTTTGCACTGTAAGCACCATGTTAGTGCATGTCGTACGCAGGAGTGTTGTTTCGGCAATCAATAAACTTACGATAGGCACCAGCTCCACGGAATAGGAGAACTTGAAACTCTTGGTCGATGTGTGAATGTCGTGACTGATGAGCTCCTGACTCTTCTTCACGTTGACGGGCACCACGGCCTTGAGAAAGTCTATAAAGCCCTCGGCATGATTTCTCTGGGCGAAGAAAAAATCAATACCATCATGGACTTCCTTGATATTGATGGTGTCCTTATGGGCGGCATGCTTGAGAATGGACTGTTCCAGGAACAAAAAGGTCCGCTTGTGTGGGACCTTCTGGCGGACCTGCACACATGCTCTCCAAGTGTTGTGGGTATAACTCTTTGCGCAGTCGGGGCATTGGTGGTAGTTTTGAGTGTATTCCACCTCGAAACTCTGCTGCATAATGGCGCCATCGCCGATTTCCGATTGAACCGTGATCTTGACCTTGATCCTCCTGGAATGCGATTCGGTCCAGATGAAGTTGGCGTCAATGATGCGCAGTTTGTTCAGACCGCGCAGTTTCTTGAGGCACAGAGCGAGAAGCTCTCGAGACTCTGGCTGGGCAACAACCCAGGAGTTTGGAGGACTGAGCCATCGGTCGCAGTCTCTGCACATATGGAGAGTGGCCTCGCGCTGGATGGTGCCGGTGACATCGGTCTTGAGCTTTATGCAGTCATAGCAGAAGGCGCCAGCGGACTGTGTGCCATCGATGGGAGCGCCGCAGTCTGCGCAGAGGACCGTAGGGGCGTTTTTGGTGTCGGGCGTGAAATGGAGCGGGGCGTCGACCTCCATGGCGAGCGGCTCGCGGGGTGGTGAGGACGGCGTTGAGAGGGACGAAGGGTATTCCTGAAGGTATTGACGAGTTGCCCGAGAACTACGAAAGATGGAGGAGCGCAAGTGAGGGGGAGTATATATGGATGTATGGGTCGACGTGTGCGTGGAAATCCTCTTCTTCTCTTTGCTCTTCGCCCCGCCATTTTTCGCCGCCCAAGAGCAAAAAAAAGGGACAGGGATGATGGTAGCACTGTCTGTTATCTAATCAGCACGTGCTCAGCCCTGCTCGCTGGCTACTATCGGCGCTGCGAACCGCCGGCCGGCCGACCGACCAGCCAAAAAGTTGATGCAACCAAGCTTCTTTCATGATAATTATTGATGGACTCCGGAGCCATTGCGTCGCGTCGCACCATCCTTCGTCATGTCGATACCTCGTACTTTCTCCCGCAGTCTAAGTCGCTGTCGATCGTGTAACAGACCCTCAACCCCGCGCGTTACTACCACGACTGCTGCTGCACCGTTCCAACGATCCTTCACATCCACTTCCAGACAGAAAGCAGACGCGAACAACGGAGCTGCTGCTTCCCACTCTGATGCCCAACTTCAGGATGATGTCTGCAATGCCTCCTCGACTACATCGAGTGAAGGACTTCTCTCCGACCAAGCAACAACTACAGTCTCTGCGACACAATCATCTTCCCCTCCATTGCCATGGTATCTCCAAAACCGCCCGGCCCCTGCCCCTCAGCAAGCCGCCCTGATTCCCGATCTTCCTACCAACCCACCGCCTCTTCTCGCTACGTTGCTCGATTATATAGCGAATACAGCCGGTCTTGACGATATCCAACTCCTTGATCTTCGCCACCTCGACCCACCCCCGGCGCTGGGCAACAAACTCATCATGCTCATCTGCACTGCACGGTCGGAGAAGCATCTGCACGTCTCTGCAGACCGTATGTGTCGTTGGCTGCGGCGTGAGCATGGGCTCCGTGCCAACGCCGCAGGGTTGCTGGGACGTAACGAGTTGAAAATCAAATTACGACGCAAAGCCAAGCGCATGAAGATGATGGCCAACGTTGGCGCTACCGAGTCGGAAGGCAACATTGATGACGGTATCCGTACGGGATGGATTTGCTGTACTATAGGGAAGATTGAGGCGCATCCGCTCGACACAGAGATTCCAGGGGACAATGTGGAAGGGTTTGTAGGATTCAGCGAGGTCAAACCTGGCGTGAACGTTGTAATCCAAATGTTCACCGAGGAAAAGCGCGACGAAACGGATCTGGAGACGTTGTGGGGTGGCGTCGTAAGGACAGGAGCTAGAAAAGACAGGGTGGCCGACGAAATGCTACAAGAAATCCAAGAAGTTGTCCAAGAGGTCGATGCTGCGCAGGATCGCGAGCAATATGGTGAACCAGATGAAGTCGACCATAAACTTTTTGGAAATTCTTCTGCGACCACGGAGCCCGCTGAATCCGCCTCTACACCACCCACACAACCCAAGACCACTTCATATTCCTTCAACACTACAACATCGTCGACCGGCGACGCTTTCCCGGACTTAACATCCTTCCCTTCAAGACAGAGACGCCGATTTCACACGGTCGGACTCCGCACGTAATTCATTATGAACAAACATCCTACAACTGTTGTATCATTTGCGTCTTTCTTCATCTGTAGCATACTGTATTCTGTGTTGGAGAGATTAGAACTAGATTAGGTGGCTAGTACAAATAGATGGTTGACGGTGAAAGCGATCAAGTGTATCTGCAATCAATTCCTCTGAAACAGACCCTCCCTCCTTCCCCCCCTAAAGTCTAAATTCGAATATATTCATTTATAAAGTCCAAATACATCGACTGTGACAGCAGGTGAAATGCCCCTGTACTTTTTGTTTCCTTGGAAAGACCTTGGAGAGCATGATTTGCTCGTAAAGCAACACCTACACCTTCTTTTACATGTCTCTGTCGCGAATGGACGAAAGGAACGAGAAGATAGTGAAGTCAGCAGAAGCAAACACAGAGATTAGAACTCGAGGACGACAGTGATATATGAGGAACAAGTGGGTCAGTTTCATACATGGAAGGTCTTCCATTAATTCTTCATTGATTGATCTTGTTTAGTGAGAATACTAGGGGAAATATCCCTAGGATCCCGGGCATCGAAGCGGCTGTTCTTTGCCAGCAACGAAAGAAAATCAGTGCTCTCGCTCGAAAATCTCGAAATGGGCAACCATTTTTCCGTACAGAAACACATAGAAAGGCTGATTGCAGGCAGGCAGCAAAAAGAAGAGAATATAATCATACATCCTCCCCCTGCCTTTAACCCAGTTCATGTTGTTCTCGTATCCGCAAGAATCCATTTACCATCCCATCCATTCAGCTACTTGCGCCGCATAATTGGAATTCCGAAATGAAAACAAAGACTCCAAGACTCGTTTCTAGTACATGTTCGGAGGAGGTCCCGGACGACCGGGCTGCTGTTGCCTCGGCCCACCCGGTCCCCCGCCAAATTGCGGCTCAAACATCATCCGCTCATCGCCACGCATCTGCATTGGCGGCGGTGGTCCGTATCCCGGTGGTGGGAAGTAGCCTTGCATCGGGGGAGGCGGGCCTTGCATACCATTCCCAGCTCCTCCTTGAGGCCCTCCGGGGAAATTAGGACGAGCCATGTTACCCGGCGGTGGAGGGGGAAATCCAGGTGGATGACCTAGCGGAGTGTTGCCTGCTGAAAAGCTCGGCACGGGTCCCATTTGCTGCTGCTGCGGACCAAGCCCCGGGGGTTGCCTCATACCAAAACCAGGTGGAGGCGCAATGTTAGGACGATCTTGCGGTGTGGGAGGCATTCCTGGCTGGCGACCACCACCCATGAACGGCATTTCAGGATGAGGTTGAGACGGTATTCCCATGTTGGTCAATTGGCGAGGGATCTCACCGGCCGTGTTACGACGCTGTAGTCCTGCAATTGCAGGGTCCTCTTGCCCCGGAAATCCCATTGGCATCCCACGATTCTTGTTGCGCATGGCCTCTTGCTGTTGGAATTCACGCATTTGGTGTTGGCGGTGCTCAGCCTCGCGACGCAACATTTCGTTTTCGAATAGGCGCGGATCTTCCATGAAGCCAGGTGGGGGTCCACCGCGGCCTTTCGGTTGACCTTGAAGACGCTGCTGTCCAGGCTGATCAAAGAATGCTAGGTTCTGAGATTCCATTTGTTGACGAGGCAGGTTGTGATTGGGCATTTGCGGAGGAGTATTGCGGGGTTGCTGCATCAAGGTGAGAAGGAATTCCTTCGACTCCCGTTCACGATTGGCATCCTCCCGGGGGCGGTTGTTCAGAATAGCCGCAAGATTGGGATCCTGCATGTTGTGGTTCCTCGGAGGCTGCTGCATTGGATACTCGTCGCCAAGAAATTTGGGTTCTGCCCTCGGAGCTCGAAAGAGCTCGTTCAATCCATTGTCTGGCGACATACTGCTGATTCTACCTTGTTGTGGGGGTCTGCTCTCTGGAGCGATATGCCGTTGACTTAAAATGTTCTCTATCAAAGCTTGCTGCTCGGTGGTTCTAGATGGCTGCGGAGGAGGCGCCCTCTGCTTTTGAACATCTTGAGGCGGAGGAGAATAATGTGGGAAGTCCAGCGCGACGCCGCCTTGCCGCGTATCATTCGTTTGCTGAGATGGTGCTGGAGAAGCCGCAGAAGGACTAGCGATGTTGTGAGTCGCAAGCATTTGGAGGATCCGATTGAAGCCTTCCTGATCAGCACTGGCTTCAGGGACGGGGCCTGGCGACGAAGGGGCTGCTGAAGGAATGGGTAAGGGTGCGGAGGGCTCCTCTGGCTTCGCAAACATGGTCATGAACCTGGATTTCTGAACTGCCTTGGCTTTTGGAGGAGCTGGGTCTGCAGACATTGATTCCGCAGGCTTTTCCTTGCCCCAAGTACCGAACATGTTGCCAAGGTTTGGTTCCAGCGTGGGAGTATTAACGGCCATTTTCAATGCAGTCTGCTCAGTCACGGTCGCGGGTATTTCCTCCAACGCCTGACCCACGTCCGCTCGAGGTTCCTCGCGCTCCTCAACTGGAACCTTTCCGCCCTTGCTGGCTCGGCTCTGTTCCAACCATCGCTGGAAGTCTTCTTGAGTGTGCTGCTTTGACTCTTTCTTCTCTATAGGTGCATCCATCCACTCGGGATCTTCTTCCTTGTTGCCACCACGGTTCCAATCGCGATCCTTCTCACGTTCGCGATTGCGCTCTCGATCACGCCAACCGCCCTGACCAGCGGCACCGAAGCGGGCATTGTCACCGTCTTTCGCAGTGGTATCCTCTCGACGTCCCCAGCGTGCGTTGCCTACTCGCCGTACGGAGCCATCTCCATTGTCAGCGTCGCGATCGCCGTTGCGACCGAACCCCCGGTCAAAATCATCTTGACCCAAACTCTTACGTCCTTTCATACCGGCGCCGGTCCAGCTCTCTCCGTCTTCTCGCGCAGCCCTCCGGCCGTTGAGGTGACCCTTCTCTCTATTGCGGTCTCCCTCGCGGTCTCGCCATCGCTCGGCGCGGTCGGCTTTGGGGAAGCGGTCGCCTAGATGTTCGCCATCCGTCGAGGTAATTGCAGTGGCAGAGTCTTTGTGCTTGTGGGCGCGGGTAGCAGAAGCGAAATTGAACTTGGGTGGGCCGAGAACAGTATCTTCGCCGGGCTCTGCAAACAACGCGTTAATAGCGGCGACCACGCCATAATCGTCGACGGGCCCAGACTTACGCATGCTTTGTCGCCGGGCGAACTGGCCCATTGGGTTGTTGAGCGCTTCAGCTGCGGCATCACCTCCCCGAACGTTTGCCCGCGGGCGGCGAGCAGCCACGCCTGCGGCATTGGTGCTGACGTTGTTATGGTTCTCATTACCCGAATCAGCGGGGACGTCCATCCACTGGCTGATTGAGGGCAGATCATCTGGCTTCTTGACCAGCGGAGACTCCCGAAGGTGCTGTAGTTGCTCTATAGAATATTGCGGGCCCGCCATTTTCGCCAGTGTTGAACGATAATGGCAGGAAATGGTTTGAAGGGTGAAAATAGGGTAAAGGGCCGGTAGTGCCTGGCTAGGGTGTGACGGTCGTCGTGGTGGTGGTGGTGGTTGTGGTGGCGGGTGGGTAGGTTGGCAAGGTGGGAGGTAGAAGTAGTGAAAGGCCACCGACGACGGCGGCAGGGCTGCCCCGTGGGCCGTTCTATGGTGCGACGGTCCAACTCAAACACTGTCTATTGAAGAGCACCACAAACGCACACTGAACCGAACTAGTAGGAATACAATGCAATGTGTGTGGGTTGAGATGGCAATAAAAAGGTGTTGGTGGGACGGACTGGAGCTGATGCTACAGCTACAATCAGTAGAGTCGAGGAAGTGGAATGGGCGCCGTAGGTAGCAGGTGGATGAGGATGTCAAAAAGCTGTGGGCGTGGGTGGAGTTGGGAGGGGTCGAAGGTGGAAGAACGAACGCACTGGGGTCTTGACGCACCCTTGCGGGCGACGGTGTAAGGTGGAGGAGCTATAGCACGTTTGGCGGGAGTAGTGTTCAGAGCTGCGATTGTTTTGGTGACGCGCGATGATGGTCAGGGAATTCGGGGTTCTGGCGGGCCAATGCGGGTGCAGAGCTGGTGATGATGATGCGAATGGGTGGAAGGTTGCTTGGTGCGTGGGTGTGGTGTAATGTTGTTTGGAGGCGTTCCAAGATCACATGACCCATTTGTCCGCCTACTAGTAGTACTCCAGCCTACAACTAGCATGGATGGAAGTCGTCCACTCTTCATACCTCAATACTCACCGTCTGTCTTTCGATTGACATATATTCATCATCCATATCCTCCACGTCGTAGAACCCTTGAATTACTTGATAGAATGTGTGGTATATCTTGATTACTACACAAATGTGACTTCGCGATCATCGTCTTCCCAATAACATCGTGTCAAAATGGGATTCCTCTGACGAGTATGCATCCCAACATTTGAACACATCGAACCTCCCTATGATTACTTTCTCTTAGATCCCCATGATCACCAGTCCTTCTCCTCTCCGTCTTCAAACCACAACCTTCCCCACATCGGCAATCAATTCCTCCATAGTTCCACTGCTCCACCCCGCAACCTTCTCTCTATCGCAGTTTTCCCAAAGCTTCTCTACAAGCACCTTCAGGCTCTTGCCCCGATGGTCCCGTTGGTCCAACATGATGCGCACCCATTCTACGACTCCGCAGCGCGTTATAAGCGTGGTAGCCCCACCCACTGCGACTGCTCTAAGCAACAACCGCACGATCTTCTCTTTGGTATGGATCGAACACGATTTAGAAACGTAATGGCTTAGCAGCCTTTCGAAGATATTATTGGTCCGAAAAATCTCCATGTCAGCCGCTGTGCGGAGGCAGTCAAGCATGTAATCCATATACCAGTCGACTTCTTTGTGGTAGGATCCGTCTTGTTCCGGAGGCGAGAGCAGAATGATCTTGGAGAATCTACGGGGGAGGTTGGAAACCGGCCATTCGGGTCGTTTGGTAAGAAAGGCGCTGATCTTGGGGTAGAGGAAGTGCGAAGGATCGGCGATAATAGTGACGCAACGGGCTGCAAACACACCACCCACATAAGGAAAGGGGGCGTTGACATATTTCGCGAGCGACTCTAATGTTTCACCGAGAACGAGGTACAGTTGCTGGACGTCCGGGTTGTCTCTCTGTGGCATTGTCAGTCTTCTTCTCCTGGACAGGTGTAATACGAAGGCAACGTACATCAAGAGATGCCATCAATTGACGCATGCTGGTGGTAGCCTGCAAGCGGATTTCGAAGTGTTTGGAGCAGAGACACAGAATCAGATCGCCGATATCTCCATCTTCCATGGCCTCCTGTACGTCCTTCTTCCTCCATCGATTGAGGCCAAGATGCTTCTCGTCTTCCTCTGGTGGTAGCTCGAGGTCCACAACGGGGAAATGCACGGGCTCATCCTGTTGCACCGGCGCCGGAGATGTCATTGACCGTTCCGAACCGCTGAAATCAACACCAGTTGCCAGTTTGAGAGCCTCTTTGGCCTTTTCTTTCCCCATCTTCCAAAGAAACGAATCTTTCAACACATCTTTGTATGCAGCATCGGCCGAATCTACAAGCGAATCGCGCACCATTTCAAGTGCTGCCTCGTCTTCTCCTATGAGTTTGAAAAGATACAGAATCTTTGCCAGCCATTGAGCTAATGTTTCTGCAGGACTTCCCTTCTCGGGCTTGCCTCCTCTGAAGGGCCATTGCTCTACCAATGTCATTAGTAACGGACTGAAAGGCCCAGCATCGGAAGTTGACCGCTGATTCTTCTGTAATGTTGTATCGAAGTCGTCGAAGTATTTGATGGGTCCTTTGACGAAACGCGCCACGCAGTCATCGAGAAACTCAAGCACGCTCAAAGATGATCCGCAAGATGAATCAAGGCTTGCTATTAAAGCATCGAGCGCATCAGGGGACGTTTGCAGTTGCAAAATATCATAGTCCCGCACAAGAGTTACCAAAAGAGTCTTGATGCCGGCGTAAAGCTCGCTTTCTGCAGAGGAGGCCACCAGTTTCAGAAGCATCACGAAGGGCGAATGACGTAGGGTTTCTAGTAAGGTCAGCGTAACTCATCAGTTGGTTTTCCATACTCACTGCTTTTCTGCCACCAGCGCATCGATGGCGTGTATTGCGCCATCTTGATCCAGTGCTCAAGTTCCATTATACCAAACGCCTTTTCCTCTGCCGACTGCGTAGGTTTCTCGGCCTGTGTTAATGCGTGGCAAAGTGGTACCGACACATCGAACTTTTCCTGGAGTGCCACTTGCGGCGTGACTTCATAGTACAGCCTCAAGAGTCTGGTAATGGCTTCTCGTTTCACGCCGCTCTGGAAGGTCGGCTGTCTGAAAGCTACGATCACTGTCTTCATTGGCGGGCAGCGTTTGCTGAAGTCGCCGACAAGTCGTTTTGCCGTGGCAACCCACGAACTAGAGCGCTTCGATATACGAGCAGCTTCGATTATCTTCAAGACAGCTTGCAACTTTTGGAAGGCAACTACTAGGATGCGAACGGCAAAAAACGAGATCAACTCCGAACTGCTGTTCAAGCATTTGACAAGAACATGTTGGGTAAGGGGCTGCGGTATGATATTTCGCAGAAGGTTTAGAACCGGTGGCGGCTGGTCACGATACCCTTTTGACGCACCCAAAAAGCCAGGTACCGGAAGCTCAATCGTCTGGTAAAGAAAAGCAGAGAAGCCGATCCAGGTGGATGTGAGTTTCGGTTCAAAATTGAAATCTTGCTTTTGGTAAAAGTAGTTGGCTACCAGCTCCGGACAAGCTCTGAAGATTTCCACGACTAACGCCTGATGCTGGGTATTGGCGTAAGGTCGAAGAGACTGAAGAAATTCTGCCAAAATCAAATTGCGTACAGGTCCCGGTCTCTGGTCCACAGTATCAAGACTTAGATCATTGTCAAAGAGATCATCCATCAGCGCATCTCCATCATCATCTTCAGTGGTATGGGAGTAGAAGCCTTGGGTTGGGAGCATAATGCCATATGCTGGCGATGTACACACTAGGCAAAGAAAGTCGTGCGCAAGTACGTCTGGGGTCTTCTGGCCTTCTTCTACTGTATCCTTCGGCGTTTCGTAGCGGTAAAGAGCAGCAATGTGATTCAGAGCTCTTCCATTCAGAATTCGGCTTTTGACGTGACGTGGGATAGCCTTGTCCAGGAAGATGTGGTTTTTTAAGACGTCAAATATTTCAGCGATGAGGAAAGGTGGGTCAGTGGTGAGATGATCGAGAACCGCACGAACAACGTCTTTGTTGGACATGATCTCCGTTTTGGCTTTTTCATCTTGGTGTTTCAGCTGGGCTAGCAGATATCGTACGGAAGTAGTCCTGACGCTGGGCTTTCGCTGTAAATCAAGGGCAGTCTGCGCTGTCGAGCTCTTCCAAGCAGCGATGTTTCTTGCCAATATCTTAGGCTCAAGAGTGAAGTCTTTTCTTGCATATACTGTCCTGGCGTAGGCGCCATCGTTAAACTTTGTGATTTCGATGAGTAGTCGCAGGGCGGGTAGAATGACCTGTTCCTTTTGGGTAGGGGCTGACAAGCTACGGACTAGACGCCGCGCAACAGCAGGCTGGAGTACCGTCTTGCAGAGAAGCGACCCATACGGGATAAAGTCGTTATGGGAAGCGAAAACCTTGAAAAGCAAGGCAAGGACTGCAGTGACCTGAGCTAACAAGGCCTCGAAATTAGTTTCGGCTGCATAGTCCCAAGCTTGTACGAAGTGTGCCAACAGAGTAGTGTCTTTCTCGCTCTTCCCTTGGGCTTTCTGTGTATCGAGATATTCACGAAGGATGGCGCGCTTGCGGGGCAGAGAGTCTTGGTCTGCGGAGTACAGTATGGAATCGAGGAACCGTTTGATCACACCGAGGCCTGATAGAAAAATTTAGCTTATTTTCTGATATGATATATCATAAACACGGACTGACCAGTGCGAAAGCTTGGGGCTGAACTTTGGTCGAATACCAGGTCTTTTTGCAGCTGTCGGGCGGAGGTGACCTCGGTCTCCGCCAGTACAGCGCCGCCGGTCGCTGGCGAATCCCGCTCGTATTGATTTTCGGTACGTTGACGCTTGGTATGGCGGCCCGTATGCGCAGCCTTTGGGTTGGCCTCGAAAACGGTTCGTTTGGCCATTGCGTGGAGTGACTGTCCCGGTTATCGAGAAGTCGCAATGGTGGTGGTAGTCGTTCGCAACAAGAAAGTTCGACTTGAGATTTATTTTCGGCAGGGATCTCGACTCGCGCTAGTCTCGCTCCAGTCAAGCTTCGTCTACTCCATTTACAGCCCATTCTCGGCCATCACCAGTGTTAACTTCATCACTTATGTATGTGTGCAATCGTTGTCACCAGTCGCACAATTGTAGACTAATCAACCAGGAGTTGAAGTTAAATATATGATAATGAATGCTAACTTTTGGCAGGAGTGTACTATGGCGTAGAGCTCCGAGTATGAGGGGTATCGCAGGAATTGAAGATGACGAAGAGAAAAGAGGACTTCAAATAGCCCAACCAGCTTTGGCTTTGGCCGCCCTGGTGCTGATCTGCGGTGTTGCCGCCGCCGTTGCTGCAGCTTTCATCTCGCTGAGGTCTGGAAGTGGGTCGTTGTCTCTGATATCTAGAATCGTCATCTGGGGAGCAAGAACTGCTGGCGATACCTCCGTTTCTTCAAGTTGATGATCCAACTGTGCATCTGCTGCAGCTATACTCTCTCCGCCTATTTCTGAGTCATCAGCTTCCCCTACAGTCTGCTCATCATCTTCGTCTTCCTCCTCGTCTTGATTCACACCACCGGCGTCCCCGTCTATGCCGTGTTCTTTCATGTATGCATCAAGTTCCTTGGCCATTTTTTTGCTGAAACCACTGGCTTCAACTTCAACATCCAATCGTTTCGTGAGTTTCTTGGTAGAATCCTTGAAGAAAGGTCCCGGCTCGTCACTCGTGAAACCAAAACGGCGGTCGAAGAAGCGCTTGATGCAGGCAACATCACGATCGAAATAGTACTCGGCATTGGAGTGTGAGATGGAGACCATTTGAGGAAAGTCGATAACGGTTGGGATCAGCGCGACACTACCGTCTTCGTTGGGTTTCTCTTGGACAAGAATGTTGAACTCGTTGAAGTCTCCGTGGATGAGGCCGAACTGGGCCAAGCGAACAATGAGCGACAGCAGCTCGGCGTATAATGCAGCTGGATCGCCAACGGTGGAGATTTGGCGCATGGGAAAAGCATCAATAAGACTCATAATGACCGTGTGGCGGTTCTGGCCGATGGGTTCAGGAACAGGAAATCCTTCTCGACGGAGCGCCTTCATGAACTCAAACTCCTTGACAGCAGCCAGGCGCGACATATACATCCAGGATGCCGAAGAGCGGTTCCGAAGGTAATCACGGTTGGCCTTGACGGTGCGGAAGGATATGCGGCCCAGACGGTGGATTTTCAAGACCTGTTGCTTCCCAGTCTCGGAAGCGCAAACGAAGATATCCGACTCTTTGCCTACACCAATTTGATTGCCGACCGAGTAGACGGTCGAGGATTTTGTGTGGGAATGCAGCGCCAGGTAGTCGAGCCCACCATATGTGAGGCGGTAGCCATCATATTTTGCGTTCTTCACTTTTGCGATCAATCCGATCTTGGCGAGGTTAGAGATGCATTTGTGCGCACCATTGCCGGAGCGGAGAGCAGCAATTTGAGTGATTAAAGGCGTCGGAACAACCTCATGATTCCGGCTGCCCTGCTCAGTCTGCGCACGGCTCCATCAGCGCTAGTCTTTCACGGAGACGAAATGCACGGCAGTGGAGGGCATACCGCAATCAGGACGCGCCAGTCGTCGGAAGCCAGGTAGCGGATGTTCTTGACGTTCAACTTCATTTTTTGCAAAGGACGAGGCAGAGGGGTTTGCAGGGGTGTGAGTCGTTCGTTCGTGGGATATGTAATTACTTCAGTAAGTGTGTATGTAGCAGAATAATTTTGGACGCTTCTCGAAAAAGTGACGAGGGTTGTCTACCTAAGCGCGTCGATCCTTGGCGCTGTCGCCGCCGGTGCGTGCGTGCGTGCCTGCAAGCACCACTAGACAGAGCTCAGAACCTCAACGTCAACACTCTCTCACCCATCATACACCCCACCACGTCTCCCATTTCCGCTTCAACCTCTCTTCCCCTTTCTTAATATCGGGCCATCTTGGAGATAGGAACCCCCAGACATCCGGCCGGACCTACCCCGCCCCGAAACTCCAAAAAGCACACTTCGCCGCCCGCCTAGCTACTACTACAACGTAATCACTATGGCGAAGGAGGACGAGAAGAAGCCCACGGCCGCTGATAAAGGCAAGGCTAAGGCTGTGAATGGCGACGAAGAGAAGAAGGAGATTCAAAAGGACAAGGATGGCAAGCCCATAGAGAGCAAGAAAGATGCACCACAGGCCGGTAAGGTTCCGGAAGCGTAGCAATAGCTTCATTCGCGCAACAGAAACTGACGGCGTGGAACAGAGGAACTCAGCGAAGAGGACCAGCAGCTTAAGAGCGACCTGGATATGCTTGCTGAGCGGATATTGGTATGAAGCTCTCTCATATACTCATGTATACCTTCGTTGTTGTCGCATACGTGTATTAACACTTTTGTACAGGGACCTGACAAGGACCTCTACATGCCCGCGCTGGAGAAGATCAAGGAGTTCATTAAGACTTCGACTTCCTCTATGACAGCCGTCCCCAAGCCTTTGAAATTCCTCCGACCGCATTACGAAAACTTCGAGAAGACATACGATTCATGGCCGGCGAGCGATATCAAGGTTAGTTACACGCCGAAGCCATACATTATGAGTCAATGGGGCTGATTTTGCAGAAATCATTCGCCGATATGCTTTCGGTGCTCGGGATGACATACTCCGATGAAGAGCGCCTCGACTGCTTAAAGTATCGCCTGCAAGCACCTTCGACAGATCTTGGATCCTGGGGTCACGAGTACATGCGTCATCTTGCCCTCGAAATTGGGAGGGAATACCAAAAGCGACTCAACGACGACAATGATACCGACGACATTACCGATCTCGCCCTGTCACTGGTTCCCTTTTTCCTGAAACACTATGCCGAGGCCGACGCAGTCGATATTCTATCCGAGTTGGAGATGATCGATCGGATTGAACAGTTCGTCGACGAGAACACATATTCGAGGGTGTGTCTGTACATGGTCGGGTAAGATTTCCATTGGCCACCGCTAGTAGCAGGCAGAGGCTAACGATTCCAGCACGGTACCGTTACTCACCGTACCCGATAATGAGAACTTCCTCCGCACTGCCTACAGCATTTATCGCAAGTACAAACAATATACACAGGCCGTAGTCTTGGCCATCCGGCTGAACAACCGAGATCTGATCCAGGAAACTTTCAATTCTACAGATGACAAGTCTATCCGAAGGCAAATGGCATTCCTCATTGCCCGGCAACGGATATGGTTCGATGTTTCGGACGATGATGACCCGGAGCTACAAGACTGTCTCAGCAACACTCGCCTCTCAGAATATTTTAAAGCCCTGGGCAAGGAGCTCAACGTGCTGGATCCCAAGACCCCCGAAGACATATACAAAACGCATCTTGAGAGCAGCAGGACAGCTGGGCTCACCAACACCGATTCGGCACGACACAACTTGGCATCGGCTTTCGTAAACGGTTTTGTGAACGCTGGATTCGGCAATGACAAACTTATGCTGAGCTCCGAGAGCAAGAACAGTTGGGTATGGAAAACAAAGGAAGAAGGCATGCTATCGACTGCCGCCTCCCTCGGTATGCTCATGCTCTGGGATGTGGAGACGGGTCTTGACAAGATCGACCCCTTCACCAACGTCGATGAAGACATGGTCAAAGCTGGTGCCATGCTTGCTACCGGTATCTTTAACTCGGGTGTGCGACTGGACTCAGACCCAGCCATGGCTCTACTAGGCGAGGAAGACAACCTCTCGCACAAGGACATGAACATTCGCGTAAGCGCTATCATGGGTCTTGGTCTGGCCTACGCCGGATCCAACAAAGAGGAGCTCCTCGAATTGCTTCTTCCTATTGTCACCGACACTAATCTCGACATGCAACTTTCCGCCATGGCTGCTCTTTCACTGGGGTTGATCTTCGTGGGATCGTCACATGGTGACATTGCTGAGGCGCTCGCCAACACTCTTCTCGACGAGGATCGGACATCGCAACTAAAAGACAAGTGGACGCGTTTCATGGCTCTCGGCCTGGGTCTTATCTTTTTTGGTCAACAAGAAGAAGTCGACGTCATTTTGGAAACTCTGAAGGTCTTCGATCATCCCATGTCCAAACCTACGTCCGTCCTTGCTGAGGTTTGTGCATGGGCAGGCAGCGGAAACGTGCTCAAAATTCAACAACTCCTTCATATCTGCAACGAACACATCGAAGAGGATAGCGAGGAGAAGAAAGGAGATGAGCTGCTTCAATCATACGCCGTCATTGGTCTGTCATTGGTAGCCATGGGCGAAGATGTGGGCCAGGACATGATCTTACGCACTTTCGGCCACCTGATGCACTACGGCGAGGCTAATATTCGCAAAGCGGTGCCACTTGCCATGGCCCTCATCAGCCCGAGTAATCCACAAATGAAGGTGTACGATACACTATCGCGATACTCTCACGATAACGACAACGATGTCGCCATCAATGCCATCTTCGCAATGGGTCTTCTTGGCGCTGGTACCAACAACGCTCGTCTCGCACAGTTGCTTCGTCAGCTAGCAAGCTACTACCACCGTGACCCCAATGCACTTTTTATGGTCCGCATCGCTCAGGGCCTCTTGCACATGGGTAAAGGCACTCTGTCTGCCAACCCATATCACACCGACCGACAGGTGCTCTCGCGCGTCGCAGCCGCAGGTCTTCTTACTGTTTTGGTGTCGCTTATCGATGCAAAACAATTCATTGTCGGAAACGCACACTATCTGCTGTACTTCATGGCTACCGCTATACAGCCTCGCTTCCTTATCACTCTGGACGAGGAGTTGAAGCCCCTCACAGTCAATGTGCGCGTTGGTCAAGCAGTGGATATCGTTGGCCAGGCGGGTCGACCAAAGACGATCACGGGATGGCAGACACAGAGCACACCTGTGCTACTGTCGCATGGTGAGAGGGCAGAGCTCGAGGATGAGAAGTATCTAAGCTTGAGCAATGTTCTCGAGGGCGTGGTAATACTAAGGAAGGTAAGCTCTGCTCTTCAATCCGACTATCAATGAGAACACGAGAACTAACCAGCATGCTCACAGAACCCCGAATGGGAAGATTGATGGAGTGGATTGGAATGATATGATGAAAAGACCAAAGGGCAAACGAACTGCGGGATCAAGGGGATGAATCGCCCCGAGCTGCGATTATCGGTGTCTTGAGTGAAGAGAGACAGAGTGTTATTCTGTGACACTCCATATGTATAGGTAGCATATTCGGGATCCCACGCGAACCAAACGTAACTGCCGTCGACAGATCAATCGACCGACAGATACTTTAGCTAGATAATTGGCCGTTATCATCATCGTCATCGCGGATCAGCATCAAATCCATCCTCATTCAGTTCACCATCTCTCCCCCCTTCCGCCAAATCCTTAAGGAATGCGACTACAAAGACGTGTGTGCTGCACGCAGAAATACGAAAAAGAAACAATACTTTGTTTAACATGCCGAAGAGTAGCATTGCGCGTCCAGACCACATGCCCATTTCTCTTCACATCGTAGAGAGACGAAGAGAGAGATAAACGACCAGACTTTAGTAAACAGCCCATAAAAATAGAATCCATCTGGTTCCATTCCCCCTTTTCAGCCTTATAAGGATTCTCTCGAGCCGCTGTTTGCCCCCCTGTGTGCAATTTAATGACGAACAGGTAGACCACTTCCCCTCGCCAACCTTCATTCTTGTCTCTCTCTCTCTTTTTTCGCGGTTGTTAACGAGACAATAGGATACTACATCTTCTCGATATGGGAAATTGATCGTCCTTGCAATTAGCAGGCAGACAGTCATTAGTATGTAATACACGAGAAACAAGAAAACACACTATATTTAATCATGTAGGACTATTGAGTAACATCTTTGCGTCAGAATATAATATATTGGGGGAGGGGGGGGGGGTTGGTTTATCTCTAGTAGAGAAGTTCCAGTTAGATCTATCAGACAGGAACATGTGAGCAAAGTGGACTAGGCATGGAAACACCCAGCGACAGTGAGAAGACCAAACCCAGTTCAAACGCACAAGTGCTCAGTTTGGAAGATGTGCGTAGAAGAAATGATTTTAATGAATATTATAGATTGTATTACAGGGGAGGGCCGACCTAAGAATAGTGTTAAATACTTTTTCTATTCAGTACCCTGTTTGATCGCACCTTCACATAGTTTTGGAAGAATGGTAACAAGATCTAGACATATAGTATAGCCTTAGATAAGTGTTAATATCTAATCCTATAGTAGGCCCGGCCTTGCAATGAAGGTCAGTAACAAAAATAAGAACGGCCTTGAAACTGGTAACGATGTCAATGCCAGCAATCCATATAAGACATGCGGATATAGGACGCTATGTATGCAGGCTACGATGTTACTATAGAGACAGTTTAGCATCAAATCTTAGATTTAAGCTGGCAAATGGCTGACTAGAGCATCTTGTACTGCGCGGTAATTCATAGAGACAACGGAAAGAAAAAAGTATGTGACACTGAATTATGCCTAATCTCTTCGGACTACTGAGCAAAGATGATACAACGGTATTCCACCCATCCATATTGACTGCGCATTTGACGTAGTGACGTATACGACGTCCCAACGATCCAGTGGAGACGTCCGGATTTGTTCCATCTATATGCTTCGCTGACAACCAAAATTTCTTCATAAAAACTGTCATACCTCTCTTTGTCATTTGTTACAGTAGTCTTCAGAGTCAGCGACGGCATCCGACAACTGACTTTTCGTATTGTCGAGCTCCGCGCTGATGGCCATAATTTCCTCCACTTCAGCCTGACGAGAAACTGCCGATTGCTCGACCTTTTTTTCGAGCTGCTTGATCGTAGCTTTTGACTCCTCATGCATCATCTTTAATGAATCGTGCAACGACAGTGAAGGGCTGTTCCATGGCGACAGTGACCGTATCAGGAGCCACTAAGGCAGTTCAACCTCCATGGTCTTTTTCTACGTTTCAAGTTCTTCTTTATGTTTGCGAGTAGTTTCGAGTGCTACCACTGTGGACTTGTAGACAGCCTCCCAGCGTGTCGCGCTCAGCTGCGACTGTCATATTCTGTCCCTCGAGCGTCGAGACTTTCTTTTCCAACGCCTCCGAATAATCAGTATACTTCGCTGTTGCAACTCATCAGCTTCGTTCCTCAACCATCAATATCGTAGCCGCCTACCTTTGCCTTTGATAGCCTCCTGACTGGCTACTATCATCAGACTTTCCTGTTCAAGAAGCTTTGTTTTGTAGCTTGCATACTCGTTAGTCGGCTTGGTATGGTCCCCTTCGGACTTGTTCAGAAGCCTTTCGACTTCAAAGCTCATTGTTCCCAATTGAGCTTGCTGGCGAGAATCCTGTAGATGAATGTTTTCTTGTCTCTGTTGCATGCTTTTGACTGCGACTCCAGCTCACAGATTCTTTCTTCACGACTGTCGTGTGATGCCTGCAGTGCTGAAATCTGGCTTCCCAACTCCATCTTCTCATTTGCCAACCTCACCTGACTGGAACCCATTTGTTCTAGTTCCGCAGTTTGAGCTTCTCTTTTGCCAATTTCCGCATCCCGATATTGTTTCACGATCTATAGCTGTTTCAGAGTCATCACATCACCAAATTTTCTCCTGCAATTGGTGGGAGTCAATCAGGCCATTGAGTTTGATTTCTATTTGATTTTTCCGTGTCTCTATGTTATTACTTCTGCCACACAATGACCTTGGTCAGATTTCAACTTGCGGACTTTCACCTCCAGCCTTTTCTTGTCTTTCTCGTGTTCCTAGGAATGAGTTTTGGCCGACTCGAATTGCTCCGCCGCGCGTGGAGGTTGACTTTTATAAGTCCTTGCATCGAGAGCCGCGCTCAAGTTTTGGTTTTCTTTTACAAGACTTCTTTGGCTCTCGATACTGGCAGTCAGATCATCGATTCCTTCTTGGTTCGCCTGTTCATCGATGAATCCAAGCAATCTCCCAGTTAATCGAGGGGAGGATTGGACTGCCGCATGGTTATAGTCGGGTGTTTCAGCCTTCTTCATAGTATCTGCTAATCACCTCTCGGTATTCGATGCCTGGTAAACGGCACTCCAGGCGGTTTCGCTGGCGTTCTCATTCAGCGCATTGCCCATCTTCTGTAGTCCGTACATCTTGTCTGCGTTGCTCTCTACCTGTTCGATTGGAAACCGACCTGCGTAGGTCCTAGCAAAGCTATTCGGCGGTTCCTCTCTGCCAGTCATCGGTAAACTTGCCTACGATATCAGGAGTTGGCGAATCCACGGAGTGTAGGTGCGTGTGCGGATGTAGGTGGTGTTGAGGACGATTGTCGTCTTCCGATGCACAAGGGTTGGGTTGCGCTAAAAAGTGAGAGGGAGAAAGAGAGAGAGCCATTCATTGCAGCAGGCGCGCACCAGACTCATTACCCGTCCGCTCTTTCCCGCCACCACATTGTATCAGCAGATTACAAAACTTTCATAGCAACTTCAATAGCAATAATGACAGATGAAAAGAATTGATTCTCAATAATCGTCCTTGGCGGTGTGTAAAAGAAAAAAAAAAATGGTGGAATGTAGGGTGTGTAACTTCGGATGAGTAAAAGGATAGCCCAAATTTTCTTAATGCCACTCCGATCTCGCCTTTGATGCCATAGTGATCCCAAGATTGTAGTTAAACGCAGATCAATCATTACCCTTCATCGACGTCGTCGCAGGGCTTGCGCAACTGCATCTCCATCAGCGTATATGATGCCTAGTGCAATGACTGATGGCATGTCCAATCCATGCGCAAACCATCATGAGCTGAAATATGATATCGAAAAGTCAGTTTCATCGTGGCACAAAGCTGGAAAGGGCATCACAGCACTAAAGACTCATGCGGTTCGGAGACTTATTTATTATTTGAAAGCGTAGAAGCTGCAAAAGATCCTCCCATGAAACTTTTGGTCCAACGCCACTCCACTGAATCTGTCCACCTTTGAGTAATCGAGCTGGGATTATCCTCCGATGTATCGAATTGCCCACATGGAATCATATACCGTTAATATTATAGCCCGATCGAACACCAAAGTCCAACCAAAGAAAAGAATCATCGCTCCAAGGATGGGTTCCCACAGTAAGAAGTCGGTAGAGTGAGAGTTGAGAATGACTTGAGCAGGAGGGGGTAGTGTGAGATAGAAAGGAATGGACGGTGTCGCTGACACGATACCAGGACCGAGCACTTGAGATAGTGAACGACCATCCGCCGCGAACCGCGACACTCAATTGGTTGGCCAGGTAGCATTTAGTTGGGTAAGATTGACCTCCAAAAAGGCTCTCGGGTTGAACTTGGCCATGCTGAGAGAACAATTAGGAAAAATAAGTGTACATGATGTGTGTGGACGAATGAAGCCGAACGGCCCGCACACAGCACGCTTGGGCTTACTCGTCATTGCCGGATCGTCGAGCGGGGGACGTGGAGGGTTCCTCCTTAATTGGAGTAGCTGGTTCAGCCTGGATCTCCGCACCAGACTCAGCCCCGTCATCGATGGTGCGGATACCAGAGCTATGAGCCATGGAATGCATGGATGGGCGAGCCATGCCTAGAGTCGATGGAACGGCAGGAGCCCAAGGTTGACGATAGCGTGCTGCGGGAGCCAAGTAAGAAGACGGATTGCTATACAGAGTCAACTTCTGTTCCTTTGATATGACAGTAGCTTCACTCACGCTTGTTCCTGCAGATAGACCTCGAACTCGTTACCCGCACCATGGCGCTCCGGTGACATTCCCACATATCGCTCGTCGCCGCCATTGTAGACCCCCCTAGCTTGGGCAACACCAACTTCGTACTCTGCAGCACGGAAGACGCGGCCTGCTGCTGTCTGTTGCTTCAGTAGTTTCTGTTCTTGTGTGTCCGAGTAGCGGATCTGGATGAGATGCTCATCGCCGCCGGGCTTGCGGACGGGCGCGTTGTTGAAGGTCCGAATAACTTCTTCACAGATATCACGGGTCTCGAAACTATGCACAGTCAGCCTTGATCATTATTCTTGGGCGTGAGAAGTCTTACCGAGCAAATCCGACACCACGGCCAGTGCCTGATGGATCACGGAGGATCTTGCTTGAGCAAACCTTGTGGGGAGCGAAGATCTCGCCAAGTTCCTACGATAGGTCAGATTGTCGGATCCAAAATCCCAGGGAAGGCAACTCACATGCTCATTCATGTTCTTAGGGATGTTGGAGACGTAGAGGTTGGTGTTGTGCTCATCGGAGAACTTCTTGAGCTTCGAATAGAATGACTCACGCGCGAAGCTGACTTCATAGCCAAGATAGTGAAATCCACGGATGCAGTCTTCAGCATCCTCAAAGTTGTGGTATTTGATAAAGCCGAAACTGAGAAAGTCAGAATGATATCAAAAGAGGCTTTGAATAGGTACGTACCCTTTGCATTGGTTGGACTTGGCGTCGATGATGGACTTGGAGCTCTGGATGTCACCGAATCGCTTACCCCAGGAGTGGAGCATGGGGTCATCCGTCTCGGGAAGCAAACCACGAATGTAGACGTTGGTCTCGCCAGTCTTGTTCTCCAGGCTGCGATCGAGCGGCTTCAGAGGAGAGCTCGGAGCAGGAATGGCACGTGGGATAGCAGGTTCCTGGTTGAGCAACTGAAGGATACGGGGAGAGATGGGAGGAGCCATGGCTGCTTGCTTCTGCATGGGATGGACAAGCTGATACTGTGCCAGCTGAGACGGCGAGGGGGTTGCACTGCTGGTGTAGACGCCGTTGGGGGACCGGTCCATGATGGCAGTGGAAGCTCCATAGCGATACATGCCTCCGCTAGCGTATGGTGTGCCGGGAGCATCATTCTCGTTAGAAGACACCGAGTCCCGTCGAGGGGTCATCAAGGTCGGCATGTCGGCTGAGGATACACGTGAGGTCCATCCTGGGGCCGCCATCGGGCTGTTGTCCACCATTGCCTGGCCGTATTGCGAATATTGAGGGACAAAAGCCCCGGCGTGGTTGTACATACCTGGCGAGTGGTTCATGGCGGGCTGTTGCTGAGTGGCCCCGGCCATGACGCCGTACAGATTAGGCACCCAGAGTCCATGGTTTTGAGGAAGTGGCATGCCGCCATAGTCGGACGAGTTGGCGGGCAAGACTGCACCGTTGGCTTTGGTAGCCATGGCGTGACCGTAGGAACCGTGCACATTCATGGCTGCCATACTGTTCGTCAGATTCTGAATGCTGTCACCAGACGGAGGGGACACCGGCAGACCTCGAGGGAGGTATGGAGCGGTGCCATGACCCTGGCCAGGCTGGTTGTAGTGACCCATCATGCCCTGACCCTTGTAGCCCGAGGCAGAGTTGCTGTAGTTGTTGCGAGTGTTGGAACCCATGGTTGAAGGTGCGGGTTTACCGGCGTCCTACGAGATGCTGGCAGGAAAGTATGGAGAAAAGAGGGATAAAGAGATCACGTCTGCAAAGAGAGCGTTTTGAATCAAGGCCGTGTGATAGAGCTGGAGGGAAGGCAGCGGCAAGCTTGGAGAAGCACAAACCGTGGAGAGTCGATTGAGATGTTGTAAAAAAAAGGTGGTGCTCTATAAAGACGGCAAGTTAGTCAAACGGCTCTATCGTACAAGTAGCAATGAGAAGCAGAGGGTGAAAGTGAACATGAAAGTGAGGAGGGAGATGAGGTGGAAGAAGATATTGGGTGAAGAGGCCGAGTGAAAAGTACAAGGAGTGTAGGAAGAGAGGAAGTTCAAAGGGCAGGAGGAGTTGGAAACGGCATGACGGGCGTGTCACCAGCGGCTCTGATAAAAGTGGGGCAATTGGTCGTAAAGCTTCGAAATGTGCAGAAGGAGGAAGATGAGAACAGAAAGCTGGGCAGGTCCGCCAAGACCACCAGAGGAAGCAGAGGACGGGGAGTGCTCACCGAGTCGTAAATGTGAAATCTTTGCAACGTGCGTTGCGTCGTGACTCCAAAGCTGTTGAGCTCATGTTAGCCATCTGAATATGAGCCTTGGGTCTGGGAGGGACCAAGGGTGGGGAGAAGAGTTGGCAGTGGTGGTGACGGTGGTGATGGTGTTGAGAGGGTGGGAATGAGGGTGGCCTGTGGTGGTGGGCATGCCAGAACTGACCTGCGAAAAGCTACAAAGAATGTGGCCACTGAAGCGTACTGGTGAGAAAAGAAGTGTGTGAGTGAGGAGAGAAGAAGGGATCAAGATGGGGGACGAGAGTTGAGGGTCTTGTTGACGGCGGCTGCCCGTCTGGTGAAGAGGGAAGGAGCTATCCATGACCACCATCCACACCATCCACACCCTCTCACAACACCCACCACCGCTTTCCGTATCCCATGCTAGGGAAGCTCCTGCGCTGTGATTTGGAGAAGAACACGGGAAGAAAATCTTTCTCACCTTGTGGAATAGCAGTGGTCACCGGCTTTGGGGAGGCGGGTCCAACTTCAGATGCTGCAGTGTATACAAAACAACGATAGCTATGATCGGGTAGTGGTGCTGCGTGTGTAGAATCGATATGTCGCAAGTCTCGCGTCCGATGAAGTTTCCTTTGCAAGTGCAATAACGATGGCGGCGCCCGAATAAAATATCGCAGATGAGCTACATGGATAGTAATGGGAGCGCTGGGATGTTGTAAATCCGCTACAATGCCATTTGTGTGCGCCATGGGGGGAGGAGGGAGCAGCCCTTTAATATCGTCAAGTCTGGATGGAAGCTGCACCGGTTGTGTACCTCGACAACATGCCAGGGGATTCACACCAAGCCTTTGTAAGTCCATCAGGGACATGGTACGAGGTCACATCATTGAGTACAATGTACCTTAGCAGTGCCCCCACCCCTGCACTCGCTGGACGCCACGGTCTGCAGTCAAAGTCTGGGACACACAGCGGGCCGATCTAGGACAGAGATAGAGAGATTGATGCAAAGACCCCCATGGGGTTTCCGTCTTCATCCTAACATCGTATTGCGACTCTTTTGCATAATTTTTCAGGGAGAATGTTGGCGACTTCGGAGAGCTCGCATCCAACTCCATCGCCATGGCGTGGCACTCGAGTTAGCGGCAGCGAAAAGATGATGGATCTTTTTTTTTTTTTTTTTTTTTTTTTGCCATCCCATCCCACGCTCGGCGCCTGCCTGCACCCCGCCAAACACTGAAAAGCTTTGATGATATGCAGCTATCTGAGTTTGACATGAGATTAACCTGCAGCACGTTAGTGAGGTTACACATACACGAAGAGGTGCTGCAATTCCTCTTCCCCGCTCAGTCCTGGTCGAGGGTTGCAGCTGCAGATGTATCTCATTCGCCCTTCTCCCCCCGTATCCAGGTACTGGCAGGCTAGTAACATGTTTGATTGTTGGTGGCCTTATGGAACAGGATGGAAAAAGCGGGCGATTGCCGGTGCCGACTGCAGAAAATGTGCACAGGGCAGATTCTTTCATTTGTGACCCTCGGAAACAAATCCCATTGTGCGCTGGTCGCAACGGCCATGCATCTAAACGGCCGCCTGGGGAGGCTATCATCTTGGAACCCTTCTGGCAGGGCGGCTCCGAGACATGCGCTCGTTGAATCTCTCGCTGGTCCTAGAATGGACCAAGTAGACTTGTCGGGTTCACCATTTGCGGTACACATGTGAGAGATGGAAAAGAGACGAATCCGACTCATGTACTCACTTTTCGAAGTCACCCTCCCGATTGTGGACATCCATTCGAGGCAAGTCGAGGGGTATTGTGCTACCTCATTCACTCGAAGCAGTATCCTCCGTCTCTTGCGTGTTCCGCGGGCGTAGGAAGACACAGAGTCCCCAGCCACATGCGGGCAATCTTGCGTTTTCTGAAACATCTCATATGCATGGAAGATGCGCCCTCCCGAAAATTCAGTGCCTGCTGTCAGATTTTATTTGGCCGCGAATGGGATTGAGTCAAAGGCCCGATCCTGGTACGTTGCAACGGGGCGGAATGAAGATGATAGGAAAACACCAAGTCCAGCACCAGAGTTGCTCCGTCACATGAGCGAGTGTGATGGGCTGGTTGATTGATTGACAAGCGTTGCACTTGACATGGACGACGGGGATGGGACCGCTTCACCTTTGTCAGCCAGTTATTGCTGTCAATAACTCAAGTGAGTAGCTACAGTATGAATACATCTGCACCGCTCAGTCAATAGGTATCAACATCATCGAAATTGTATTCTCTTACTTGGGTGTCCATAGGTTTCCCTCTCACCCAATCGTGCCCCTGACCGGAGACGCCCGAGGTGCTGGGGTAGTACAAAGGCACTGATCATCAGAACCATCTGCTTCTAAACTCACAACCACCTCCTCTCCCTGCACAGTTCCTTGTGCGATAATCAGAACTCGTGTTTGATTGTCTAGTACATATGTAAACATTGCCTCTCGCACCCAATCCGATGTTAACAAGGCGCAGGGTGGGGTGTTCAGTCACGGCGTTAGTAAGCTGGTTCTCCTTTGGCCCGAGTTGGGAATCATAGGGGTCAACCACTCAGACAACGAAGTCGATATCGCAAAGTGGTTGAAGCAGGCTGGATACACAGTCTATCTCTGGATGTATTTTCCAAACGACGTAAAAAATAAACTCCTCTTCTTTCCTCCCTTCCTTTAGGTACAATCTATATAAGTAGTAGTAACTTGGCGAATTGAAGATGGGAAACCGGAAGAAAAGTCACATACCAAAAGAAGCGTACTGAAGAGGAGAATGAGAAAGAAAGAAGAAAACAAGATTAACGCGCAGAAGACACATCTTCTCGCTTAGAAGGACAGGAAGGAAAACGCCCCGTCCGCTTGACCATCTAGAAAAAATAGCAGATCCTGCCGAGCCTGTATGCAACCAGATGCCGCTTTTGTTGCCCTGAAAATGTGAATGTCGTGTTCCGATAACCAGTGAGCGCTCAAGACCATACGTCTTCTTGATACTGGTTTGATGCTCGCATCGCCTTGACAATGGACTCGCCCTTGGTTTCCGGGACGTCGCGGTACTTGGCGATGACCTTGCCGAGAAGCGTATTCACCTCACGCGCCATGTGCGCGGCGTCACCGCACACATAAAAGTACGCCTTCTGCTCCAGAAGCTTGTTGAGCTCTTCGCCGTACTCCTCCATCTTGTGCTGTACGTATACCTTCTTCGGTCCGTCGCGGGAAAATGCCGTGTGCATCACAAAGTTGTCACCGAGAGCTTCCTTGTATTGCTGAAGCAGTGTGTCAGCGCGTTGTTTTAGAGTAGACTACAAAGAAAGTGAATACGTACGTCCCACTCGTGCTGGTACAGAAAATCCTCCGAAGCTTTCCTGCAGCCAAAAAACAAGACTGTCTTGCCCACGTTCTGGCCGGCCTTGGCTTGCGCAGCTCGCTCTTGCACAAATGCGCGGAATGGCGCAACACCAGTACCAGGACCGACCATGATGATGGGCTTGGAAGGGTCGGAGGGAAGTTTGAAGTTGGAGTGACGGACGTGGACTGGTACGTGAATGCCATCATACTTGTTACGGGGGCCGGTGATGGAATACTCGAGCCCATGGGGATCCGGGTTGGGCTCGCCATGCTGCTTCTGCTTCAGAGCCAAGAGGTAATTGGTGGTCACACCCTTAACGATATGAGGAGCGCCAACCTTCTCGGTCGACTCCACAACGGCGGTAATGGCAATCTTGTCCTTTTGGACAAACGAGGAAGATGAGATGGAGTAGTAGCGAGGTTGAATTTTGAGCAGACTTTCAATCATGAGCGAAAAGGGAATCTTAGACCATGGCTGGCCATTGGACACGATTTCGAGGAGCTGCGCAAGGTTGAGATTACGGTCGGTGACCTTTTCGTGGAAGTAATCCTTGTCGTTTCCTAGCTTGATCATCTCGGCCTTGATCTCATCATTGGCGGCGAACTGGGCAATGGTAGACACGTTCTGGCGCGAAACGGGGGCAGAAATTTCCATGTGATAGCGCACGGCGGCGTCGTATGTGGTGGGGGACGGGAAAGGGACTTTGGCGGTGGAATCTAGACCCTTGACAGCAATGACCGTGTGTCGTTTGGGGCCGAGGCCCAAGATGTTGAGGAAACGATCGACCTCCTTGCCAGCATTGGTGGGCCAGACAGCGATATGATCACCGGTGGTGTAGGACAGGTTGGAGCCCTGGATACCAATTTCCATGTGTAGGCAGTTGCGGCTGGGGGTCGTGAATATCTCCTTGGATTCGAGTATGGGGGCGATGAAGGGGTTATTGGCGTTGTAGGGTCCCTTTTGGGTGCCTTCGAGATGGTTCTTGTTGGGCTCGCCCAGGTAGACGGTGGCGTCTTCTGCGCTCAGATCGGGCTTCTCGGAAATCTCGAACACGGCTTCATAGACGGCTTCGCGCTCCTCCAGGCCCATGCTCTCACACACGGCCTGCCACATGGGCTCCTTCCAGGCGAGGAAGTCTTCCTCCATGGTACCGGCGCCATCGTCACCCTCACCGGCAGCGCCGAGACGCGTGGCACCGAGCTTGGTCAGATACTTGTCGACATTGCGGACCATGGAGTTGTAGTGTTCATACGTGTTGTTTCCTAGACCAAAAGCGACATACTTGAGGCTGGACAAGGGCTTGTCTTGGGCGCTGCCACCCTCGCTGAAGGACACATCGTCGGAGCCGAAGAATTCGTAGAACTCGACGGCGTTGTCGGTGGGCTCACCTTCACCATACGTGGCCAAAACGAAGACGGCGAGCTTGTCGTCGGGGAACTGGTCAAGGTTGTCGTAATCGTAGTCCTCCAAATCCGCCACCATGGTCTTTAGGCCGAAGCGCGAGGAGCCCTCCTTGGCCAGGCGGGAGGCATAGTCCTCGGCGGTGCCGGTTTGGCTGCCATAGAAGACGACGCAGTTCTTGTCCGACTCGTCCAGCTTCTCAAGAATGTTGCGAGACTTTTGGGCCTTGGCGGCACCGTTGCCGTTGGCCAGAGAGCTGGCATAGGGATCCCCGTAAACAGCCCAGTAGGTGCCCTTTGTGAAATAAGCAATGGTGCCGGCGAGAAGGGCGGCGAGTACAAGAAGGTCGAGCGTGTCCAGTTGCGCCATGGTGGAGGATGCAGCTGCGGCTGGAGAGCAGGTGAAGCGGGGCCGGGACCGGGGAAGAGATCAGACGACGAGTGTGTCCTGCGGTGGTAAGAAGATGAGAAGGCTGGTCGGGGAAAGGAAGGAAGGAAGGAAGGAAGGAGGAGGAGGGGCATGATGATTTACCTGTTCCTGGATCAACAGCCACGACAATTAGGATGGCGAAGGGATGCAGACAGTGCAGAGCAAAGCAGAGCAAAGCAGAGCGGGGCAGGGCACAGCAAAGTGAAGTAGAGCAAAGAGGAGGAAGCAAAGGATGGATGGCGGGACGAAGGGGCGGAGGAGAGTGGGCGGCGCGGTGGAGTGGAGTGCCTGGGCTGGACTGGGATGGGGTTGGGATGGGAATATTCCACCTTCGGAAGTTTAGCGCAAACGACGGCGACGGCTCCCGCTCGGCATCTGGAAAGCATCCACCGCGATCCATCCATCGTATCATTACCGTGTGATTTGCCAGCCAAGAATACCTAGGTAGTAAAGTTTTGGACGTCTACTATGTACAGACAGAATGGCTGGCAGACGCCGAGTTCAATAGCGGTGACCAGCTACTGCATACATGCATGCACATGTACATGTATGTACAAGATGATGATGATGATGATGATGATGATGATTGATGCTTATCATTACCCTACAAGGAGAGGATAGCTACATACATAGTAGGTACTTATGTAAGTAGGTACACATGAAATCAGAGAATACATTTCTGAAATATTTCCATGTTGAATGTGGTGGTTGACACGTGCCGGCACATGGAAACCTTGAACGTTGACTCCAAGAGTGTTAGCGACAGGTTGTTCGGAAGGCGGAATTGCCGCGCTCCCATTCGGCCACTTTCCCTTTCCGTAGACACCCGCACCTCCACCTCCATCACCTGTGTACCTCCGTGCTTGGGTACATACATGCCTATATACCTAGGTAGATATATGTATATATATATCGTGGTTGCCGTCGTCCCCCTACATGTCCTGCTCAAAACCCTTCCTTCAATGGTCGTGCTCCCTAGAAAATATTCCCAGCCATAACCCTGCATTGATCCCTGTGCTTCTGCAATTGCCTGTGTACAGCGGTCTGTACGTGTGTATACATGGAAGCAAGCACGCAGACCGTAGTACCCAAGAAACGGCCGCATACGACCTCCAAAATGATGGCAGCCATGCAACCCTCACTTGGACCGCCAATTCTTCTATTTTTTTTCTTCTTTCCCCTCATCGTACCATGTCCTCGAAGTGGATGTTGATGACAGGACCAACGACGCGGAGGCCACGCGCTCTCAAAGGGGACTAGGGCGGATTTGGATGGATGGATGGTTGCTTGCATGGGCGGATTTGGCTTGCCATTGATTGATTGATTGATTCATCATCCAAGACGACGTCGCATCGTCTGTTCTGTTTTGTTCGCTTTGGACCGCCCGTTGCTCACCCTTTTTTTTGGTGTTGTCGTCCTTTTCTTCTTCTCAATTCCATCACCATACCCTCGCTTTGATTCCCGCTCCCGTATCCAGCAAGTAATGACACCGCAATCTTCGCCCTCCCTTCTCACCATCTTCCTTTCCTGGCCGTGAGCCGCCAGCCAGTCTTTGCCGGCAGTGTGTCAAATGACGGCCCCATGTGTAAGTACCTACAGAGAGCATCATCCATCCAGCAAAAGAGGCGAAGAGGCACCAGCATCGCAGGCAACCCCTTTGCTCTGCCGCCTTTGCTTCCATCTCAACCCCTTCAAACCGCCGCGAAACCCCTCAATGGCCAGCCGCTGAACTGAACCACCCTTCCACCCCTTCCCCTGCCTGCCGTCCCGCACATGTCCCCGATCGCGCGCCGGCCATGATATGCTTTTGCCCTGCTGCTTCAGCCTCTGCGTCTGGCGTGCCGTGGCGGCGGAGCTTATTTGGACATGCACACCCGACCCGCACCTCCCCCCCTCCGCCAAACGTAAATCCCTAGACCAATGCCCCCAAATGTCCTGTACAATCCATACATGTACACTTGATCCAGCCACCACTGACCCTTTGTGTTCTCTTCGCAGCTGCTCCGTCCGCCTCTGCTTCCCGTGAGCCGTCACGCGGCCGAGCTCTCACCTCGTCCTCTTCGGCGCGCCCAAGTCTCTCGCCCGCCCCCGTAGCTACCAGCACCGTCACCATCAGCAGCAAGTCGAGCCCTGACCGCGGCATTGGCCTGGAGCGCAAGCCCTCGCATTCATATGCACACAACCGAAACACCTCCATCGTGGGCGGCATCCGCCAGCACTCGCGCAACACGTCCTTTGTCAACTCCCCCGCAACCAGCCCGCTGAGCCCCAACCAAGGTCACTACGCCGGAGCCACTCTCGATGGCATCATGTCCCAGGAGAGCATAACGGACGCTTTTGCCGCCAAGGGCACGCACATGGGTTCCCTGAGCGAGGTTCCTGCTGCCTCGCAGTCCCATCGCAAGCCAGAACGCGCCCCGAGTGCACGCTCACGCAAGGGCGGCCACCATTCGCAGACTCGCCAGCCGGCCAACGAGCTCAAGACCATTGGGGAATATGCGCTGCATCACCTTTTCAATGCCTTCATTCCCCAAGCCGACCAGAAAATCGCTCAATGCATGGCCCACCACGACCAGCCCGAAGCCAGGGTCGAGCTCGTGTGCGGTCCTGGTGTTGATCCCAAGTTTGATCAGCTCATATCATCTCTAGGTCACATCGCCCACAGGAAGCCGAAGCCTCTGATCGATACCATTATGCTATGGCGTAAGGCCAAAAGCGAAGATGCTTCTCAGCTGCGGACGAAGCTTGCCATGGTACGTAACCCTTCACCATAAAAAAGCTACATGCGACCCCCCTTGTTCAGACAGAAATGGAAATTGACTCGTAGGTGGAAACAAACAAAAGGCACAAAAATCCCCTCAGCAACCACCCCAGCAACCTCCTTCTTTGCTTCCCCGCCGCAATACCGAACCCGTACATACCGCAGACAGCCATGCCGCTACCAACGTCGCAACAGATCCCGAGCAATTGCATGCCCTCCAGCAGACCGTGACACAAGCCGAACACCGCTCCACTGTTTCCACGTACATCCTGTGTCGCGTCCTGATTGAAATCATTTCTCAGACGGAGCTCAAACATTTAACTGGAGACATGGCCGAGCGCCTGCTCAGTCTATTCTACGGTCAGATCAACACAGTGGAGCCCGAACAGGTGGACGAGTCGCATCTAAACCACGCGAATTGGGTCATCTACAGTCAGCTTCTTGGTGTCTTGAGTGGACTCATTTTCAACAGTGTACAAGCTAGATTCTTTGTGGACCTCAAGGGTATTGATCTCCAGACGCTCGCCATCAGAGGCCAGTATACCAAAGACCTGGAGGCCCGAGGCGCGTTGCTCGTCCGTGGAATGCGATACATTCAGGTCAAGTCACATCCTCCTGAGGCGTGGGGCCAGACTTGCGACTTCATGCTCTCTATTGCGAAGCTGTTTACCAACGTTCACGGTCAAACGCTCAAATACGCGTATTGCCACGTCCTGCGCAATCTGCTGCTGCGTATTGCCTCCAATCTAGCCACTCACCCCAAGCCCGATCTCAATGCCCCCAGATGGAAGAATATTGTCGAAGCATTGAAAGCAAGATGCTCACTGTTGTTGAGCAAACCCAAACATTGGCATGAAGCTTTCCCACTAATGTGCGCCATCTTGTGCGTATCACCAAACGAAATATTCACAGCCCAATGGTCCTCGCTCGCACTATCATCACAATCTCGCCTAAAGGAACGTGCAACTAGAGTAATTGCTCTACGGGGGATATGTCAGCTTGTTTGGAGTTATCTTCATCGTACCACGACCGATACCCCTGTGCTAGCTACACGCAAACTCGAAGACATTATCCGCATGGTGTTCCAACCCGGACGACGGTCATATCTTTCGACTGAGCCTGCTATTGCCGAACCATTGATACAACTGACCCGTATCATCGGTTACACCCACCAAGATCTCTGTTTTAGATCCATTATTTTCCCGCTGCTCAATTCCGAGTTATTCACTTCCGGGAAAGAACTACGCGTAGAACACCTGGAACCTGACCGTATGGTAATAGGCATTCGTTCATTTCTGGCAATTATGGCCGACCTGGAAAATTCGGATCGAGCTTCTCCGCCATTTCCAGACGTTTTTGAGTCTTTGCCGAGTGTTGATCTGCCCACGCTTCCAACAGCTACACGAATGCCGCAAAACGTCTCGATAAAGTCCTCGCTTTTGAAGGAAGATAGGCTATCTCGGCCTGTAGACTCGACAAAGCTTGCTCAAGTGGCCAAAGAGTACTATTCGCGCTTCTGCAAGATCTTGGGAGAAATCACCATCATCTGCGATAACGCTTTCGGTGGACAGGCTGCTTTGGATGAAAAGTTCTCGATTCAAACTCCCAAGACTCCCATGGCCGAGGCTTTTAGCTTTGGCCGTCGCGATGACCATCAGACCTCTCTCGATCCACGACAAGGTTTCTACGATCTACTCCACGTTGCCGTTCAGGCATTACCGCGGTGTCTGTCACAGCACATATCTATCAATTCACTCATCAATCTTCTCTGTACTGGAACGGCGCACGTGCAGAGCAATATTGCGATTTCCTCGGCTCAATCTCTCAAGTCCATCGCCCGTCAGCAACACGCGCAACAGGTGACGATCGGCTTCGCAAGATTCATCTTCAATTTTGACGACAGATATGCCACCATGTCCGACGGCGGTTTGTTGGGTCCCGGACACATCGAGAGCACATTGAAGCTTTACGTGGAACTGCTTCAAGTGTGGATCGAAGAGATCAAGCAAAAAACCAAAAAGGCAGCTTTGGACACCCCCGATGATGGGTCCGGGAGCAGAGGGACACAACTGGATCTCTCCTCAGTATGGGCGCATGTGGATGAAGTGGAGTCGCATGGGCTATTCTTTCTTTGCTCACCCTCGCGCCGCGTAAGAGCATACGCGGTTACCGTTCTTCGCCTCATCACCGAATTCGATACAGCCTTGGGTGGATTGAATACTCGAATCATCCGCGTCATGGAAGGTAGCCCCCAGAAAGTATTGGACATTAGTGACGACAAGCTGTCTCTCGTCGAACGCAGCCGCTTGCAACGAGGGATGCGCAAGAGCAACGTCCACAGCACGTTGGTGGAACTATGTGGGAGCGATGTGCCTTATGACTCCACCCTGTGGTTTAAGATTTTCCCCAACTTGATACGAATCAGCTTCGAGGTTTGTCCGTTCGCCGTGACACTGACACGCGATATTGTGTGTGCTCGGCTGGCTCAGATGTATAGAACGTTGGCTTCGCTCTCTGAAGGTCCCCGTCCAAGCCCCCACGCAGCTGAGGCGAAGGCCAGCGGTCGTTTAGCCACAACATCTCCAGCAATGATCATTGAACAGTGGAAGCTGTATTTGATTTTTGCATTCTCCACCTTGACAACGCTCGGTCCTAGCAACCAATCTGCACTCGGTCAAACATCCATACATTCTAGAAAGAGTTCGAAATCGTCCCAAAAGAGTTCAAAGGTGTACACTGCAAGCGAGTTGTTTGCGAAAGTTATACCCTTTCTTTCGGCCGATAGCCCGGCCATAAGAGATGCTGCTGTTGTCGGCCTCGGTTCGATCAACATCAACTTATACAAAACTCTGCTAGAGTCTTTGCAGGGGCATGCTGCAGCTTGCGCAGAAGAAGCGAAAAGCCGTCTGGGTACCCACACCCGTACTGCCAGCAGTCCCCGGTCCTCAAGAATGGACCACATGCGGATCGAGATTACACATGTTTACAAGCTAGTGTCTCAATTCCTCAAGTCGCCCGAAGCTTACAACGACGATTGGATCTTAAATGAACTTGTCAACTATACCAAAGACCTTCGGATCTTCTTGAGCGATCAATCGGTCCAGCGTAGCCAGGAATTTCATAAGCTCCGTACCCATTATTGTGGGCTAGTTGAAGTGCTTTTTGAAGGTATCAACAAAACCCAAGATCCTCTGCAATGGATGCCTTTCCAAGCCCGTAAGGCAGCTTTCACCTTGATGGAAGACTGGTGCGGCTATTCAGCAAACCAGTCACAAGTGCGACAACAGCAGGAAGACAACATGAGACGCTCTATGCTAGACCGTGACATGGATGCTGCTAAACGTGAAATCCTTAAACGAGATCTGCGAATAGCCGCCCTGAGTGCCATGGCGACATTGTGCGGTGGTCCAATCAGCATCACCACTGACAGCAAAGTCGTCCTTCAGTTCAACGTCCAGCGTATGCTCTCTTGGATCGATGAAATCTTCGAGACACCTAGTGATCGGACACATGCCATTGGTAGGCGTGCTTTGACGAATCTCATCATTCACAACCGCGAGCATCCATATCTCCTTGATCGTGCCATTGAGATGTGTTATTTATCCAAATCGTCAAAGTCGTTGGAAAGCTATTTCGAGGTCGTCACCCAAGTACTTACCGAGCGTGAAGACTATAAGCTTCCGTATTGGAAGGTCCTCAGTGCAGGGCTTTATACCCTTGGGCACGAAAATAATGAACTCCGTATGAAGACTGCGCGCCTACTTAGGACACTTGAAGCACGCGAGCAGAAGAACTCAAAATTACAGGATCTGGATATCAGTATATCGGATAAGACCATCGCCGTTTACAAGCTTGCACAATTCGAGGCTTCCCGACGCCTTGCCAAACAGCACTCCGAGCTTGCATTCCTTGTTTTCTCACAGTTCAGCTACTACTTCAAAGAGCTACAACCAGATCATCAGCGCAACATGGTTGCTGCCATGCTACCCTGGATTCAGACAATCGAGCTTCAGGTAAACCCAGACGGAGGGCCGACTGCCAACTCGTACATGCTGTTGGTCAATCTGTTCGAGATCACAGTGCGTTGTGGCAGCGCTTTGCACAACGAGATACAAGCCCTATGGCAGGCACTGGCCACTGGCCCTTACGCCGGGAATGTGCAGCTCATCTTGAACTTCATCATCAACCTCTGCCTGGACAAGCGGGAGCAAAACTACGTCGATTATTCAAAACAAATCGTTGTGCATCTTTCAAGTACGCCGGCCGGACTGAAAGTCGTCGAGGCTTTGTTGTTACAGATCAATCCCAGATCCATGGTCCTAGAGAAACGTGAACCGACTCCCCCGCCTCCAGATGCTATCAATCTTCCGTACCTTGCTGACCTTGGTGCCCTGCTACCTACCAGCAACAAACAAGTAAGTGTTCTAGAGCCCTCAATATCTGCGATTCGCTAATGACCGGGATCGTCAGTCTGGATTTGCTCTAGGTCAACTGTGTCTCATTCTCTTAGTCGATCTCATGGTCTCCCCCGTTCAACTTGCAGGCGAGCACGTTCCACTCTTACTTCAAGTAATTATGATATTATGGGATCACTATACACCAGTGGTTCAAGATCAAGCGCGAGAGATGCTTGTGCATCTTATCCACGAACTTGTCATTTCGAAAATCGATGAGTACCCCACTGATATTGACAAACGAGCTATTGAAGACTTTGTGGAAAGTGTTAGGCAACACGATACTAAGGTCGTTTGGAACTACGATGATAAAAACGGCAAGGATGCAGAAGATGCAGGGAGCAAAGTGCCAGAATCAATGACATACGTTGCTGGCGAAGTGCTCAAGTTCTTCTCACTCGCCTACCCTGGGTTGAGGGAGGCTTGGGGGAAAGTGGCACTCAACTGGGCAACTTCATGTCCTGTTCGACACCTGGCTTGCCGATCCTTCCAGCTTTTCCGTTGTATACTGAGTTCGCTCGATCAACAAATGCTCTCCGACATGTTGGCGCGTTTGTCCAACACGATCTCGGATGAGGAGAGTGATATACAAACATTCTCCATGGAAATCCTCACCACCTTGCGAGCGATCATTGAAGCTTTGCAGCCGGAGGATGTGATACAATATCCGCAATTGTTCTGGACTACCTGTGCATGCCTGGACACCATTCATGAGGGCGAATTCATGGAGAGTATGCTTATGCTTGACAAACTCATGGACAAGATGAATTTGGATGATCCTGCTGTCATCCGCATTCTGGATGAAAACTGCCCCGAGAAGTGGGAGGGCCAATTTGAAGGTCTTTCACAACTTATCTACAAAGGTATCCGATCGAGCCTGTGTCTGGACCGGGCATTGCGCTTGCTGGAACGACTGGTGGTGCTGCAATCCAATCGAATAGTGGGTGACGAAACCCGCCTTCTCTATACCACTCTTGCGAACATGCCACGTTTCGTCCGAACCTTTGATCACGTAGACAGAGATGCTTCTGTCATCGCCACAGCTGAGCTCCTCGCCGATGTTGCGGAAGACCATCACCTTATGGACCTCAGAGACACATTAGCGACATTTGTGAAAAGGCAGCATAGAAGTAGCAAGACCTTCATCGAAGTGACCATCAATGCTGTACGCGCATCCTTCCCTCCCGAATCCGATTTTGGAAGCCTTGTTTTTCTACTTGGTCTGCTAGCGAATAAGCACGATTGGATCAAAATCAACACAATGGAAGTGCTTTTGTACTTCATAGAAGGCCACGACACCCTGAAACCGGAAATCGCCAGCAAAGGCCCAGATCTTATCTCCCCTCTTCTGCGACTTCTGCAAACCGAATTCTGCCCTCAGGCTCTCCAGGTCTTGGATTCAGTCATGAACATGACTACTGCTTCTATGCCTCAGCCCGTGGAGAGAGCACACCTTCGCATGAGTATGGCTGGGTCACAAACAAGCCGAACTTTCAAGAAACAATATGATAAGACCCAATCGCTGTACGGAATTCCCGAGGAAACCGGATGGTCAATACCTATACCTGCTCATCACAGCCATCTGACCAGAGCTAATGTACATGCTGTATTCTACACATGCGGAGCCGCCGAAGATGCCGACGTAGCTCAAGCCGCCACACCAAAGATTGAATTCCGTCACGAAGAATTTCCATTCAGTCCTATATCAGATTACCGAACAGCTACCATGACGTCAGAAGATACTCGTGGTGACAGTCACATTGGCGAGCTTGTTATGAAACTTGATAGCCTGGACGATTTCTTCGAGGACGATGATGATGTTGAGACCCTTGCTGATCTTCCCAACGGTTCTGTATACGGAAGCAGCCGGTATGCCAGTACGGCCTATTCTACCACGTCGTTAGACACACGCGAAACCCTCTATGACCAACAAACGGCGCCGATTCTGAATAAATCACTTGCTCGCAATCCGAGCGTTACGTCATTTCACTCTGGATTCTCTGACACCAAGCTTTCTCCAGCCCGCGATCCGGGGGTTATGAACCCCGGCGCCTTTAACAGTTTCAGTTCCCACACCAACTTGCCTCTCCATCCGCCCTCTCGACCCGGCTTGCACTCACGCTCTGTAACGTCTCCGTCCGCGCCCAACCAATCTTCAGTCAGTCGCCTCTCCCCAGCCCTGTCCAACACGCTCGAAGAACACGACGAGCCTTTTTCAGATGACGAGTTCGCCTTGCTTCGTTCCCCAACGGGCCTGAATGGTGCCGATAAATCGGTGTCACTCGAGCATATGGTGAATGGGCTGCGTCAAGACACCAGGAGTCGAATCCGGAGTGGTATGAGAAGACTGACTGGGAACAGCGGCGACGCAAAGGAGAAGGAAAAGATCAAGCAGAATCTACAGGCGCAGAGGAGCCCCCAGGTTCCTAAAGTGCCCGACATTTACTTGGTACATGACCAACAACAGAACCAGAAGAATCCGAAGAGCGCCGACCTGTAGACAGAATTACTCGCGACACTCAGGCGACACCAATACTCCGAAAAAGAATACTTCCACGATTATGAAAACTTTTCTCTTCGCAATGCCTTTCTCGTCATGAATTGGGGGAAAGGCAAGGAAAAAAGCCCATCACAACACGCGAAAATTTCAAGAAGCAAACGACCAAAACCAAATCTGGACACGACTTATCCATCTTTTTATTTTATTTATTTCTGACCTTGTATACTCGGCATGATCATCATCATCGAGGGATGATGTGATATTGAAGATCTTCGGGAAGATCTGCATACATGGCGAGCAATTTTCTTTCCTCTTCTGCTCATCTGGGCTTGTTGGTTGATGATGGATGGGATATGTATGGCTTCATATTTCAATGTATGTAATGTGCGCGTGTTAAATATGTAGAGAGATACCAATTCGTGTTTTATTCTTTCGTTTCTTGATTGATTGGGAGCTATATATGGGTAAATGGAAAAGATAGATAAAATTTTAAAACGGGACGATCATTCGACGAATTCGACGGCAAGCTTCGAGTGCATGTAACCTCGCAGTGATAGTGAGGGTGGATTGTGCGGTCATTTATAAGCGTGCGGTTGAAGGAGTGGAGTCTGGCACCGAAGAAATATGTGTTTTGAAGATCGTGTGGCTTTGATGTCAAGAATGTCACCATTCCACACAGCTGCCTAGGTATACACGCAATATCAAATGTTGGCCTCCTCTTTGATCACAGCGGGGAAGTTGTACCTGCGTTGGTGACTAAGCATGAAATATCCTCTTGGCAATGACTCAATATCCCACTTAACGTTCTACAAGAACAACCACAATCGCTCAAGTTATCAAATTGATCTACGCCGCCATGAGTATCGCACCGCTCTCCAAGGAGCTCACAATGCCCGATTTTGACATCGTAGGCGCGTATCGCAGAATACTCAGCGAGGACTCTGAACTGACAATGCCCGTCGCCGCAATTGAGGCGCTCGTCGAGGCCATCGCAGCAAGCTCCGTTTCCACCGTAGCAGAGACTCTCGACCTTTTAAGCAACCTCACTTCCATTCTCAAAGCTTCGATCGCAAACCCCATCTCCTTGTCGGCAGGTACCGATCTTTTCCAGCGATACCTCATCACCACCCTCAATCGCCCCGCCGCTTTGAACCTAGGATCCAACGACGATTTCAAAATCATAAGGAACCACTTAATCTCGAATGGCAATCTGTTTGTGGAGAGGGCGAAGCAGAGTAGGGAGAAGATTGCGAGTTTTGGCACATCTTTCATCCGGGAAGGCGCCACTATACTCACCAACGGAGGCTCTAGGGTCGTGGGTGCTTTGTTGAGGCGGGCCGCCGAGTCTAGCACTATGCGATTCAAGGTCATATACGTCCTATCGTCCTCTAGCTCCGCGGACGCTGAAGGTGGCCGCAAGACTGTGGCGGACCTGCGTACGCATAATGTACCGGTCGCTGTGATTCCCGATTCCGCAGTGGCGTATTCGCTCGGCAAAGTGGACATGGTCATTGTGGGTGCCGAAGGTGTCGTGGAGAACGGAGGCATCATATCTAGATTGGGGACGTACCAGATGGGTCTGCTGGCTAAGAGCAAAGGGAAGCCATTCTACGTCGTGGCCGAGAGCCATAAATTTGTCAGGCTGTATCCGCTGAATCAATTCGATCTTCCCATCGACCAAAAGATATTAGACTTCAGCATATCGGATGATGTTAAGGCGGTTGACGGCGCAAAAGTCGCCGAGGATGAGGGCGTTGCAGATCTGGGCAGCTCGGAGCCTAAACATTCTGCGCACACCGCTGCGAACGCTGTTGATTTCACTGTAAGCACCACTCATTTACCCTCAACCGTAGAGAACGCGAGGAGCTAATTGGCCGTTTAGCCTCCCGACCTCATTTCAGGCATTATCACCGAATCTGGCGTCCTCACACCCTCCGCCGTGTCCGAAGAGCTGATCAAGATTTGGTTTTGAGCCCCTTCCTCGGTTTCCTCAAGCGCATAGTAGCACCACCAAGCTCATGACAGGTCCAAAGTCTCAACACCATTTACCCGTCGATCTTTTGGTTTGAGATTTGCCACTCACCACAAAAGTATACCAGGAGTGTTGCAGACGATCCGCTCCTTCGCCTTTCGAGTACGAATGGCACGGCGCGCCAGGAAAGCTTAGGCGAGCAACAGGAGCATGTTTGCAATAGAGATGACTGCGTGTGGATAGTGGTTGTGGATGATGGCATTGCGAATATGTTGTTGGCGTCTGTGGGTTGAAGAGAACCCGGAAAGACTACCCATGTTCACTAAAGGGCTGTTATTATATGTCGTTACGATAGTGAGGGTCCCACTCGCACGTTCTTTACAAAGAATCATAGATATATACTTTTATCCAGTGCCCATTCCCAAAATTATGCTTTCCAATTGCACTATTCGGCGCGTAGGATCATCCAACTTCATATATTCAATATGTATAAGTCATCTCACTGCCTACAACAGCGTGGCCCCAAATCCTCGTCGATCATTTGCGCAGCCTCTCCCTTGAAGCGGAGAAGAACAGTGACACATTTAATTAGGGATAGTGGACTGACCACCTTGTATTTATTGCTTGATATCTATCGGGTTGCAATGCGCTGAAGCATCCGTCCCAGTATTATAAAATTGGAGAGAAAGTGCATGAGTCTACCAGCTCATCATCGAACGTAAAATATTAACAGACCATCGGTTCGCCCAAAGCGACTGGAAATCCCTCTATCACGACAGCACACACCGAACCCAGAAGGTTGAGGCCTCAATTTTGAAAGCTCGACAGCCCCCTTGCATATTGATTATACCTCCTGGTTCACCCCTGCATCGCTCGCACTCTTCGACTCACTTTCCGTCTTCTTCTCTTCCACCGTCGCCTCCTTCTTCTTCCTAACATCCGTCCACCCCATGCCGAAACTCGCGAGAAAAATCAAACACGCAAATCCCATCAACATCAACCATATATTCCCCAACGATTCGCTGTACGCCTGAAGCACGCCAGGTAACTCGTCGCGATGGCCCTCTACTAATTGCTGTATGGCGTCTGAACTCGCGCCGGCTGCTAATGCGTCTTGCATGGAGACGGACGGCGCGTACATGGGAAGCGTGCTCTTGAGGGTTTGCGTGAAGATTGTGTTTGAGATGATGATGAACACCGAGCCCGATATGCCCTGTGCGAAGATGAGGAAGGCGAGGGAGGTGGGGATGAGTTTTTCAGGGAGGTTGTTTTGGGCGGCGACGAGTGGCTATATCACATCCGAAGAACGTTAGCACCTCATTACATCGCATGGATGATGAAACCATGGTATTTGTTGGGTCTTGTGTGGTGAGGAACATACCATCTGCATCCCAGCTCCTCGTCCAGCTCCAGCAATGAATAAGTACCCAGCCCACGCCGCGGTAGAAGTCGAAGCATCCATGGTCGACATGAGACCACAGCCTATGGCTGCAAGCACACCACCCAATGTAGCCCACGGGAGGTAGTAGCCTAGCTTTGAAACTGCAGCTCCACCGACAACGGCTAGTAGGATTTGGCTGAGGATACTTGGGAGAGTATCCACACCGCTCTCTGTTGGCCCCACACCCTTGACGGCTTGGTAGTACACCGGCATATACAGACTAGTCACCATCGTGATGGGCGCCAGGAATGAATTGTAGATTGAGCTGGAGATCATGATATGTCCTTTGAGGAGGTGTTTGGGAATGAGGGCGTCTTCTCCCGCTCTCGCTTCCCAGAGCATGAAGAGGATGAGCAGAACGCCTGAGCCGACGAGCAGGCCTATGACGGTCGCGCTGTTCCAGGGATATGTCACGCCGCCGAATTGCAGTGCGATGAGGAACATGCAGCAGGTTGGTGCGAACAGGGCGAAACCGGGGAGATCCAGCAGAGGGATGACTTTTTTGATGAGGGCGATGGTGTAGCGGGTTTTTGAGTTTTTGTCGTTAATGTTGACGAGAACGAGAACGACTGCTGCTATGCCGCCAATGGGGAGATTGAGGTAGAAGCCTGTGTGTGGTGGAAAGTCAGTGAGAAGAAATAGGTTTTTCGAGGGGAAGAGCTTACACCATCGCCATGTTGCGTGTTCAGTGAGGGCACCTCCGATCAGTGGGCCTGAGATGAGACCTAACTGTGCAACTGGGTATGATCAGCTTGACATCATATGTGATTACGCTTCATGGGATCTCTTACACCCCAAAAGAATGCCGGTGTATACTAAACACGAACTTAGTTCATGATTGCTCAACTTGAAGACTCAATGATACTCACGTGGTCTTTTGTGCCCAACTACCGCATTGGAAATGATCGTCAAACATCCATTCATCAGACCTGCGCCGCCTGCTCCTGCAATAGCTCTCCCGCCGATGAGCATGCCAGAACTGGTCGCAAGACCGCATATCAAAGAGCCAACCTCAAAGACAAACAAATGGAGGAGAAAAACATCCTTGTTCCGGAAGTAGGTGTAGAACTTTCCAGTCAGGGGTTGAAGTGCAGCCCTGAGCAGAATCGATCAGTTGAAGATTGCAGAGTAAAGTGGAAGAGCTTGTGACCTACGTGCACAATTGGAACGCTCCACTGTACCAACCCACGTCCTCCAGTGAATGGAATTGTGCTGTGATCTTGGGGATAGCCTAGTTCTGATCAGTCATGCTCCTTTTGATGTTGAAGCTTGGATGAAGACTCACCGTAGACATGATGGAGATGTCTAGCAAGACGAGGAAACAAACCAAGGTCATGCTGGCCACTAGGAGCCCCAACTTGACACCAGTGAGATAGTCCAGTTTGGCATTCTCATGAGGAGCTTCGCTTGACTTTGGCGATTCTTCTTTCTGCCCCGTCGAGCGAGCTTCAACTGGGGCTGTTGCCATGCTGATAAGGGACGTTGTCGGAGATCACGTGGCTTGGAGAGAAGGCGCGGGCGATTGAATCCAGTACGAAGGCAAATGAGAACCGCTACCTAATGAAGGAGCGACAAAGTTGGACATAGGCTTGATCTGGTGGTTATATAACACGATGCGCAGAAGGTAAGGCAGCAATATATTCACCGCTCGTATTTCGCGTTGATGGTTCGAAACCCGTTCCTGCTGACCAAACCCGTTCTTCCTCTATACTATTAAGGGGCGATCACCGAGTGCCCGCGCTTGACTGATACACGCAGGATCACTTCATGATTGCATGTTGTCAGCTATTGAGGTTATAATCTAGCAGTTCAGGGACTTCAAAATAGGTTGGCCAATAGTATTAGGGATCTGGTCATGCAGGATTATTATGCCGGTCTGTTGGTGTTGACGCGGGCACCCGTTGATGTCCTTGTTCAAGTGCTACCACCATTCCTGACACGGTTGACCAATGAGGGGCCAGATCGGACGCGGCACCGGATTTCAGCCTGAATCCCGTCCTGAATCCCGATATAATAAACCACAACCCTTTGACTTCGTCCGACTCACATTATGCGCCTACGGATTTCATTGCTGCAACACCGCTATCTGCACCATGAACCCATTAATCAGCGAACCAAAAAATTCGGCCGCGTACGGCCACGCTTGCTCAAACTGTGTCAAAGCCAAGTGCAAGTGCATTCCGCGGGGGGATGACAACAGCTGTGAGAGGTAAGCTCCCATTTGCAACTTGACATGTACACCCATATGTGCGAATCATACGCTCCATCACCTCGCGAGCGTATCAAGTGAAACCATGAATACTTGTTTCTGAATATTAATGCATGTGTGTCCAGATGTCACCGTCTTGCAAAAGACTGCCACCCGTCGACATCTTTCCGGAAGCGTACTACGAAAAGAGCCAACTCACAACTATCCAAGACCTCACAGCTTGAAGACAAACTTGACAACCTGGTGTCTCTACTCCAAGCTCAGAATGCACCTCATGCGGATTCAACGTCATCTCACCCTCCACACGCCCAGACCTCTTCTGCCCATCTACCTTCACATCACGTAAAACCACAATGCCTACTACGACCTGTTCCTTACCCCCCCTCACCTTCAAACACAAATTCTTCATCACCACATTCCCAACTATCGAGTTGCGATCCCAGTGAAATCATCAGGTCCTTCAAGGACCGATTTCAGGCTAGCTTTCCATACATCCATATACCCGAGGACCAGCCTATCGAGAAATTCCTGCAGGAGCGACCTTTGACTTTCCAAGCTATTGCCACATTATGCGATTTTGTGGGCGAGTCACAAATCGTCCGCGCAAAGTGTATTCGGGAGCAGATTGCGTTGAGGGTCGTAGTGGAGGGGGAGAGGAGCCTTGACCTTCTGTATGCAACTCTTACAGCCACAGTATGGTACGTCACGGGTTTGGAACCTTTCTTACAATATTTCTTCAAAAATCAATACCGAGGGATCATGTACGTGTGCAGCTGACTATGGCTAGGCACGTATACTTTTCGCACGCAAAACCCAGCGGGGGCATGTTCTCGAGCATTTGTGGAGTGCTCGTCAAAGATTTACGACTGATCAAACGAGATGGATCTGTGCGTACCTATACGGAAGATTTCAATCCGATATTGGTGAAGCTAACGGTCGCTTGAGATTTGTGCACCTAAAATGCCCCCACTCTATGAGATTCCGGAGCCCAAAGAGATTTTGTCTGACGATGAACGGAGGGCAGTTCTTACCTACTTCATAATAAGTACGACGTAAGTGGTTTTTCTTTTATAATGTGAAAGAACCGGGATTTATACGACTAACACACCTTAGGTACTCTGCGTACCTCAATTATCCACCTTGGCGATGGTAAGAGACCAGCCGACTGCTCGCTATGAATCCCCATACTAGCACCATGCTATATCCTACAAATCGATTCGATCTAATCTCTCCTATTGCACTAGGTCCCCGTATCTTGATGAGGCTTGTCGAGGGTTGATGCTCAATGATCAAATCCTAGGTGATCGAGTTCTTGTGGCTCTCGCGCGTACATTCAAGATTGCCTTTACTGCAGCAAAAGTTATCAAAAATGTTTCCGAAACCGACAGTCAAATTTCGCATGCTCTGATGCAAGTTAAACCCTTGCGCACAATGCTTGATGAACTCGAAAAGGAGATCGCTCCAGAAGTGATGGAAAATAGTGAGTCGCGCTTTACCACTTAGCTTATCCACATCTGACAAAGTACTGTAGGAACCGTCCGGAGTAGCTTCCACAGTAAGTTTGTTGTGGTGCAAAAAGACCATGAATGCTATGCATGGATCTGTACCGTTTATCATCCCTGTCTACGGCGCACTAATGAATCTCAGGCACTTCAGTCCTTGTCAGTGAAGCTGTACTGGTCGCCTGCAGTGCCTTTGCCCCAAATGCATCACCTGCTCTCGACCCTGATATTAATCTTCAATGTATAACAACCCTCACAACTTGTCTGCATAGCTGTAAATCAGCCCTGAACAGTTATGTCGACATGAGATTCGACCACATGAACATGTCCATGATCTTTTCTTGGATGCATGTCATGCATATCCTTTTCAAGCTTTCCGTACTGGACTTCCCGAATTGGGACCGCGCTCTGATGCGTGCGACTGCTGACCCTCTCTATTACTTCTCTCGCACTATCACTATGCTGAAGACTGCGCACGAAGAGTTGAAGGAACTGAGTGGATCATGCGAAAACATATTCACAAAGGCTCCCGACATAATGAAAGCCAAGATCGGGATCTGGAAAGAACACTTGGAGAATCATGACGCTGCAACGGCAGCAACGGCAATGGCGATGCCTGGTGGGATGACCTCATCGGCAATGCCAGTGGGCGGACTGGGACAGGACGCTTTCAATGGCAACAACCTAGCAATGGGCTTCGATGTCATGGATACCTCGTGGCTAAATTTCCAGGACGACATGTTCTTTTCCAATATCTTCTCGCAGTAACCAACTCCAAACGTCCGGTACGGATATCGGAGAAGAAGCATATTTAAGGTGGATATTATTCGAGTAATGCAATCCGAAATTGACGGCGCCGATCTTTCGGGTGGATGTCATCGCCAGGCCATCCCCGATCGCTTGATTGCCGATCCCGCTTCTGGATCAGTTACGCTAGCGGTTTATGTCCCTTGGACGTTGTTGGATCGTCCGTTTCCAACAGTCACTACGACGGCTTCGCCTCATCGGGTTCACTTTACCAGTGGATGAGGCGAGCCGCCCCGGTTGGTCGTACGAGTCTTTAGCTGACGCTATTGAAATCAGGGTGCGGTAATGTGGCACAGCAATTGGGGAAGGTGCACCCGGTGCGGTTTCTGATAGATGAAAGCGTATAATATTGTTCCTTACTACATCTTCTCCCTTCTATCATGCAACTTGAGCTTACTATGCTTTGAGTACCGAGGCATCTTCACTCGGTCTTACTAAGGCTGCATCCTTTTGCTTACAACCTATCAAAGCCTTGATCGGTGTGCGAGGGTCGTGGCGCATCACTCATCACCGGACTCGTGCGTGCATGGCTTGGGGAGGGTGGTTGATGAATGAACTTGATGACAAGCGCGCTGAATAATCAGTGGAACGATTGTCGCATTCTCTTCTCCTAATTATCGCCCACATGTGAGAGATTTGGACTTTGATGTCACCAAACGGACGTCCGAAGAAACAAGCTTCACGTGAATGCCGTTATCTGCTGCAAGATGTACGTGGAGATGTGTTGGCGTTCCACCCAGTCGTAACGATTCCCACCAAAAAAATCGTCGCACATACAGGCAAGGTGTATTCCACCCTCTCGGAGCCAACAAACACACCCACAAAACCTCCGCAGCTAGAAAAGCAAAAAAAAACAAAAAGAAAAGCAGAAGAAGGTGGAAAGTGGAACCAACAAGTAGTCGTCGCAGGGGGCATCCCGAACCGAGCCCGCTAAACAACGTTTCTCGCTATAACGATCTGTTTAAGCACTGGGATCATTACTCACGTTCCCGCCTTCCTGTTGACTGATTGGCGATGCGGATTTTCCCGATTGCCAGTCTTTCTTTTTGGCCCTGATTCTGTATTTGGATTGGAGTTTCATCGACTTACCAGGCATGCGCATAAGTGGGACCGGATTTCAGGGGAAGGGAACCTGGTCTTCGGTGTTGCCGTTGAAGGATTGTGCACAGTGGATTAGATCCGCACAAGAGGGGTAATTGGTCTTTCTTCTTTTCGGGGACGCTATGAGATAACGGTGTGACACATGCTTGGGTATTCATTTTTTTTTGTTGGGACGAGGCGAAGGGGTGTCTGCCTATTCTTTTTTTGTGTTGGTTGAAATGTCTGCATAAGGCTATCAACTCGACAATGTGGGTGATTGAGTGTGTCCAAGGTCGGATTCTTGGCGCATTCATGGGGCGGAAACTGTGTCAGCGCGGGTAAATGGCAGTGTAGACGGAGTTCGAGAGTAATTAGAATGTGTGAGGTCACGATAAGCAGCAGAGAACCTGTGAGAATCATGGCAATGATGTGGGAAAATAGATGGAAGTTGTGAGTGGGATATAATTTGATACATGAACGCTCGGTGAGTTGAATGATAAGCAAAAGTCCAGCCTGGTATATGTAGAGATGAGGAAACAGAAACTATGCACGCGGTGCATTATCTACCCCATTTCTTCGGGGGTCGCACTGCGATCTCCACTCGATTCTGGGGCGTCTTGCCCGTGACATGATCAACCACAAAGGTGTCGTTGTAATCTGTTTTCCCGCCAGTAGCGACGCACGTCAGCCCTTCCTGGCTGTTGTTGCTCTTGAGTGATTGCGGGCGACCCATTTCGAAATCATTACCATTGTCAGTGAGTCGGGAGTGGTGCGTGACGTGAATCTCTTGCGTTACGAAGATCTGGGGTAGAGAGCGAACAATGACGGGCCAGAAAATGGGGATCGAGGCAGTGATGATGGCGAAATCGACTTCGAGCGCGGAGAAAATGAGCGTGAGTGGGAACCACCATGGGAAATCGAACGACTGGATACCAGCGGCGTCGTGTCTGGCCACGGACCACAGGCGGAGGATAGCCATGAGTACGACACTTTTGGAATTGTTAGTGTGCGTGTTTGACATGTACAATAAGGGGAGAGCTTACATTGAGCCCAGCGCGAAAAGCGCTGTGAGTGCCACGATTTCTCTTCGCCCAATCCCGGGTTTCCAATACACAGACATTGGAATCGCGAAAATGATTACATCCAGAATCATGTTGGTCGCTGCGAATCCGTAGAGAGCCATTCGAGCTCCGTCGATGGTGGCATAGCCAAGCCCCCAGCACTTGGGACGAGGAGTCTGCAGTCGGTCCCAGAAGCCATTCGCAGGAAAACATGGAAACCATCCTTGCATAAATGCCGTCACAGTGTATAAAACCACCAAACCCAAGACGATCTGGCAAGCAATACGCGATTTCCCTTGCTTGAACATGCGGAAGTACTGGAACAGTAGAGACATCTTGACGATGCCCGAGCAGGTGAGGTATGTTGCGTTTTGTATGTAGAGCCATCTCATTAAAGGCGTCAACCACTCAGCATGTTCATTGAGTACGAATCCGAAGTGAGACCCCAATCCATAATCCAAACCTGAAGTGAAGGATTAGTTGCTGCTCCATATGCAGTAGATTGGATGTAGACTTACTACAAAGTACGCCAATCAAAGAAGCAAGATTGAAGAATGCCGCAAGAATGATGAGATAGTCGTCAATCCCTATCTCACGAACCACTCTAAATCTTGTGTATAGTCGAAACCCAACGGCGGCCCAAGAAATGATCTAGACATGTCTATTAGCTCATCGCACCCTTGGGGAAAAAAGATCAGTGTCGTCTATCCTTACATGAAACGGTATCGTGGCCCCATAGATAGTTTCCTGCCTATTTGCCAGAGGAATTTTTTCGTTTGGATCGAGTGGCTCCTGGGCCATCATGGCCATAGACATGAGGAGGTCGTCCGTCGCCATTGGGAAGGCAGCCGGCAGCTGCATGCTGGCGGTTGTCCTGTTCGAAATCGCTGCGATTGATACTCCGAATGGAACGCCCGATGTCGAATCCGTACTCTCAAAACTTCCAAAGCCGAGTTGAACGGAACCGTTTCCTTCCCGTGAATCCCTTCCCAAAAAAATCCTAAAGTTCGAAGAGAGAAGGCGCAGAAAAGAATGGCATGCGCTCTTTGTTAATACATGAAGAGAACCTGGCAAAGGGCGACTCTGTCTTTTCCCCAAGTAAAAGAAAAAAAGAACCGTGTAAAGTGCACACCGATTTGACAGGGCTATCGCTGAGATTTAGGAGGAAAGGCGAAACGCTGGGTCGAGGGCATCCCATGCAAGTTGCATACTAAGCGAAAGAAACCGTTCAGATCATTTGTCTGATCCAGGCTGAGCTCCGTTTACCATCCCCGCGCCAAGATGTCATTCTCAATTTCATTTGGCGACTGCAGGTAGCATGGCTAGCCTGTACGCTCCGACCAATGTTGTGGTTGCTAGAAAGTATTGATCAATTCGACCCTTGTACATCTGTAGTCAGGCTGAATGATGCTGACGCAAAGAAGCAAAAGGGGAAACCACTAGTGTTGCTTTGACGGTGTATACGAGGCAGGAGGTATTCTTTTGGGAGCGAAATGCAGTGATTACCGTCGTTCTGATCGGACTACGTTGCTCATACCACGTTTTGGTCATCACCACGTGTTGGTGCGGCTAAGTTCCACCTTACCCACGCAGTAGCACTCAGACCTAAAATGTCCGGCCCAGCGATTTAAGAAGTGACGTGATACTGCGCTGAGGTAAGTCCAACTCCAGTGTATTACTGAGGTGATGACTGTCGGCTTCAATCTGATCTGGATGTTTGCATTATGTTATGATATCGCGCAAACTAAATCCATCCACTCCACGGAGTCGACTCTTCTGTCTTGATGCGGAAGGACACAACAAGTTAAGTTCCGCGCTGGAGATTCCGACATCCGGAGGTCGAAGGACGAAGGATTCGTGCGACATGCACAACATCGTTAGCCTTCATCTCTAATTGGCTTTGGGTGGGAGCACAATCTGGCGGGCTTTTTTTATCCATCGAGCTGCCTCTTCCTGTATAGTCGCCTACACCTCTCGATCTAAATGCGGCCATTGTAGGGATTTTGCATGCTACGGCATTGAAAATTGTAGCACATGCGCGGACAGCAGAGGCACATACCCTACAAGCGCATTACAGCTCGAGAGTTGGAGTTCGGCCCCCATTGCCAGCGTCCAGACCCACAGTTAGTACGGCATACTCGTTGTACGCTACGGTTGACATGGGATCCAAGGAATGAATCAGATGAAAAGGCGCATCCTCGGCGCATCGGTGTAGTGACATAGGAAGCAATTTCCGATTGGATATCATAACAAAATACAGATACAAGATTGACGTTTCCCAACTTGTCATTACGCATCTCCGTACTATGCAGGCCTGGTTTTTTTTCTAATCTTTTCTCTTCTTCTACTTCTTCTTAAAGTGTACCCTTTGTTCCCTCACGACCCACTCACTCTGCGAAAACCCAGACGACGGACAAGCAGACGCAGCAGAAAATGACAGTAAAGATGACTCTCCAATCAGCGACGATTCCCACCGGAAGGCCCTCGGTCGTGAATTGCGCGACGATGCCGTTGGTGAAGTTGTTGGCGGCTTCGACGAGAGCCTTGTCAGTCAAGTTGCCGCATTGGCTGTTCAGAGCCACATCAGCGGTGAGGGCCGGGAGCTTGAGTTGAGCGGCATTCAGCATGTTCGCCGTGGCGATGGTACCGACTTGGGCCTTTTGCATGTATGCAGCACGGTAGGAACTGTTTGCGCTGATGACGGACAAGTTGGCTGTGATGGAGTAGTCGACACATGGGTCTACGCCGCCCGTAGCGGCCCCCGTTGCCGCCTGGCGAGCGACGATTGCATCGACAGGGAATTTTTCCGGGACCGCGATAGCAACCTGCAAGAGTGCGAGGAAAGCGATGAGAAGGCTGGAGAAGAACTGCATGGTGGCGAATTTTCCGGCGGTAACTTTGGAGCGTCGAGCTTCGGGTTCAGGTAAAGAATGTGAGTATGTATTAAAGAGGGAGTGGACCAGCACTAAAGAAGAGAATTGAGTAGAGTCGAAGGAAGATGGTTCCTAAGAAGCTAGGGATTGAAGCAGTGAACGAGTGGTTGACAAAAAATCAGGCCACACGCCAGGGCATTGCACTTTATCAAGCTACGGTCCAGTAGCACCCGCCTGAGGGTTCTGACAGGCCTGAGACACTCTGTGCTGGATACCTCAACTCCCGGACGTGGCACGTCTCAGGCTCTTTGACTGGACGGTTAAGCGCCCACGCCTCTTTAGTGTCTTCGCACTCGCAGCGCCACGATCCCATCTCCACAACTCGCGCAGTAGTGGCTTGTCGAGACTTTGGACAGCAGAATGAATATAATCATTCATATGCGCGAAGTCTCGATGGTGGTAGAATTCGTCGTGAGAAGTTCTGAGGAGCTTCAAGACGGGCATTTTGCGTTCCAGCGGATGCTAAGGTTCCGGGCCCCTTGTGAGTTTCAGCCTCAGGATAAGCGAACATCCCATACAATCTTCCCGTGCACGTGATCTCCAGTTTCTATTGTTTACCCCCAAAAGGGTTTTATCGAAAACCAGCGTTCGTTCATCAGTAGATTGTCCGCTGATGATCGCGCGATATATTGAGAATCTTGCAGCGTGACTTGGTTGGGCACTGTATAAGTTAAGCCGGATCACCTTTAACCAATCACTTGCAACCCAGTGTGAGATCGCAGTCTTGGCTCATTCGTCTAGATTAGATCGTCCAATATAGACTGCGTCACTGTTTATTGGAAATATGCATCGAATTACGATCCTTTATGGGGGCGTGTCTGACCCTAGGTTGGAAAAAAACGGTGACTGCAGTGAGTGGATGACGACGATGTCTTCGACAGCTGCAAGGTGCCTTCAGACGTATTCACTAGCGTATCTATTGAAGGACTTAGTCATATGGATATGGACCAAGCAGGTGTAAGGCCGTACCGCGTTGGATGTATTAAGCGCTGTCAGCTTCACGTGGCATGGGAATGACTCAGTTGCAACGTTATATCTACTAAGCATATACGCATTCGCGTGTCAGAGTTCAGGCTTCCGTGCCCTGTCCTTCACTTAGGTCGAGCGAGACGGTCTATTGAGGATCTACACCAGTGATCGTATCCATACTTCACTTCCAGATGTCGTGCTGCCCATCACAACAAAGATCTTTCACACTATGGAAATTCACCTAGATACTAAAGCGAGAATGAAGCACCGACGAAACATTTGCTCATGAATGCGATGTTTCTGCGCTGTTGAGGTCTTGACGCTGGAAAAAGTGCATATCTACATATCGGGTTGAAAGCTATAAAAAAGATCTAAATTGGACTCAATACTTCCTACGATGAACGTCAGACTGCGTCGTTGTCATGCTGCGAAATCATATTATCGCCGAAGACGAAAGATTGTCGACAGAAGACCACATGATATCATGAGTGCCTGTCACAGCTGCCATCACAACACGCTGAGACCGATATCTGTATGAGATCTAAGCAGCCCATTCAAGTAATCCGGTCCCAAGTCACACCTTTATCATTCTTCACAGAGGGTCAATTTGCAATATAAAAGCAACCGCTTCTACGCATCTTCATCCTCCTAACGAAACCTTTATCGTCACCCTCACTCGTTGTAGCACATATTGGGGCAACTTCATCTCGCGCTACAAAAATCTTGAGATGGCCGGCTTAAACAATCGACCAGTATCCACAAGCATGCTAAACAATAATGAAAACGTCCCACAGGGTATATCTTCATACGAAACCCAATACCCCAACGATAGTATAGATGCAAATTGCGCCTCCCACACTAGAGAACTCATGCCTAGTACTCAGGCTGAGCACAGCGCATTTACCATACCAACATGCTTTGACCCAACCACTGCCACCAACTTGACTTCTTCTAATGTTATCAACTATTCAAGAAGTCCCGCAATGCGGACAGCAACGCCACAGCAAGTTTACCTCAACATCCCACTCAGAGAGGCGACACCAACGCTTCATGGATTTCTCACATCGAAAGACGCTCAGTCATCTCTCCCCTATCATATGGAACCTAAACCAGCATATTTTGCCCCCTCATCTCCTCCTCTATCACACCTAAATTACCAAGAGGAACCCTTACAGCCCTCATCCACATCCCCCAACAACTCACCCTCCAACCCCAACACTGTACACCCACTACCAGACCGCTGGCAACTCGCCCAGCACTACCGCACGCGCGTCCACGAACCTCCCCAAATCGACCCATCCATCGACCCTACAATCTCTCTCGTCACCCAAAACGCAGAGCATTGGGTCTACCTCTTAACATCAGCCCTTACAAACGTCGACTCCTGCAAAGACACCCCCACATCCCACGCCTACCGCCTCTTCCACCCTTCACCACCCCCAGCTCCGCTCCTCGAAGCCAGCGCGCGCCAAATCTTCACTTCCCTGCTCGATCGCTGCACCCACGGTTTCCGCGGTCCAGCATCCTTCAACAAAGCGCTCAAACCCATTGCAGGGCTGGAAGCGGACCGGTTTGCAAACTGCGAAGAGAGGTTACGGAATGTCGTTGATGTCCTCCGGGGGAACAAGAGGGTTTGCAAGGATGTTTTGTATGAGGATTGGAAGATTAGGTTATTGGTTAATCATCCGCTGGCGTACGATAGGGATAAAGATTGTCAGAAAGGGAGTAATGATCAGAGACGGAAGAGGTTGTTGGAGGAGAGGGAGAGGTTGAAGGGGGTTGAGGGGGAGTTGGAGAGGCTGACGGGAGGGGGAGCAAAGAAGAGGAAGGTGGGTGATGGCGGAATGTAGGGGGACGTAGAATTTTGAGGATGGTGGGTTATAGATGACATGTTTCTTTCTCATTTTTGAGCAAAGTTTATGACTCACGATGAATAGACGACCAGTGCCTGCTATTCATGCGATAGGTTTTGTGCAATGTTCATGGCATCACAAGCTTTATGGGGGATGTTGCAAGCAAATTTAAGAGAGGAGACGGTTTGTATTAAACAACTTTTTCTATCGAATTTGAAATCTAGCTCATGGCTTGAGCGATTGAACATAAAAAGAAAGAGTAACAACATACGCATTCCCAAATGATACAACAACCCAGAGTCGGTGCAGATATAACAAGCGCCAAGCGCTTGTCCAGTGTGTGAGTCACCAATAGCGCGCCATCAGGAGGTGTGTTGAAGATATTCCAGTGAGAAGACCGTGTCCCAGACCGTTGATTAGGCAATGAGTTTTCGATTTCGGTAAACATCGTAGGAACCGAGATGCTACATGATCCATCAGAAGCACCTAAGTCTCCCGATACCACATTGGGCACAACTGTGTTATATGAGATTTCATGAAATCGAAGCGTTCTGCTTTCAAGCAGATGGCACATTCCTTCGGGGCTGTACATGCTGGCTTGCGGTGATTATACCTACCGCAAGCCGTACAGTACTTCTTGATACCAACCCCAAGCGATACTTCCCGTGACGGATCTATCAGATTCTTGATCACTCTATTCAGAGACTTGCCGCTGGGTTTGGAGTCAGTATCTGGACGTGTCGCGTTCATGTCATGGTCGCGGGTCAACGCCATCTGCACGGCTGCGATCAACGTGTACATGGCATCGTTGAGCGCGGTGTGAGAATTGACAGCCGTGAAACCGCAAGCAGTGCAGAGATTCTTGAGGCTGATCTGCTTCTGGGACAAGCCTTTTTCACGAGCAAAGACTTGCGTGTCGAGGGTCCTCACGATCGTTCCGTAATCCTTCCACTTGAAATCGAATTCGTCTTCCAGCATCTTCAAATCTCCTTTGATCGCATGTCCGAGACAGAGGACAGGACAGTATCCGCGGGAAAGATCGTTGGGGTCAACTGGGTTGACGAAGATGATGTCCAGTACTCTGCTCATCTCGTCTTTGGTAACGAATCGAGTTTCTCCAAAACGACTCATCTCTGGGTCCCCATGCAAAAATGCATGATTGATGAACTGAGCGGACTCAATCATCCGGTAATGGTAGGGGTAGATGGTCTTTAGGATCTCTTCTCCATGGGGTCCTGGATCCTTGCAGACCTGTCGCACGTCCGAAAGGTAATAAGTAGCGAACCCAAGTTCGGTCAGCATGCGAGGTGGGTGTGCGAAATGTTCTGCGTCGAGGCAGACAACCACCAGGTTCTTCAGATATTCAGGCGCAGGGATGTATCCGACCTTGCGACCAACAGCCAGCTGCATCACTTGAAGGTCTGAAAGATTATTCAGGTAGCTCGCGACTTGTTTTATGCCGTCCGTAGGTGAGCTCGATGCCCTGCTGCTCGATGGCGTGATATGGTTACGGGGTGTTCGGAAAGAGGGAGACATGTTGTGTTGTTTTTGGTTGATTTAATGACTTGGTGGAGTTGAGTGAAGGTGTATGCGTGTGTATGGAAGTGAGGAGGGTTCTTGAGGAGCAGAATATATACTAGTGGGTAGTGAATGGCCAAGCCTAGGGCGTTCGCTGCTTGCAAACGATCCGAGTGAAAACAAATATTGACGATGGCTGTGGTCCAATAGAACCACTAAACACCGACAGCAAACAAACAGAGTTCTTTACTTGGTACCTAATCTATGATAGGACGCTAGACGTGGTTTGATTGTGTGGTTAGATGGGATACAGTCAGTTCGTCGAAGGGATGGAAAGCCGCCGGTGGAATTTCTGCATGCTTTATACGCGAACTCTATGTAGCTATTTCAGCAAGCGCTGCCCGAAAATGAATCATTCCAGTTATATTTACTTGTGTATCAGATTATGCTCGGATGTACTGTTGACAGGACATTATTTACTCTTGTTAGCATGTAGGAATAGAAAGCTCGCGATAGTTGTATAGGGAAGATTTGTGTTCATGGGGTTCTTGATGCTGAACTCATTCCGTTTGTGCTGGATACGGTTTTTGCAACTTGTCATTCGTAATGCAGTTGACGGAACAGCATCTTAGAGCGCTCAGGCATTCAACTTCCAGACAATAGCCCGATATCAGTCTTCTCTCCAGACAACAAGAAAGATCCCGGGTGGTTAGATAAAGACAACGAAGTGCTTCCTCATTTGATAGAGTGAACGCCCACTAGTTCTTATGTACATATGTAGATGTGATGTCGCTTCCCTTTCTGGGTCCCAGATGTGCTCGATCATGCTCTCTTTCAAATGACTCTTCTAAAGATCATTAGATGTAAGCACATGAATACTATTGGAACAGTAGATTGTCATCAAACAGAACTACCTTTAATTCCTAGATCTGACAGAAAGTGCATCAAGTGCAGTGCCCTTGGTCGCATGCCCACCTGATGTGACATTCCAGCATGAGCCAAAATTAGATTTTTCTTGCATACAAAACAAACATCATTTCTTTTCTACCTGTCTTCAACTGTGTATTCAAATTTTGGTTGTACGATCCTGTGGGGATGTTGTAGAAGACTGCCACGTGACTTTATCCCTTCGAGTTAGCGTCTGCACGTGAGAGTGCTGAAGAAGGACAAGCGCCTTGGCGATTGCTCATGGCGCAACATGCTCTCCGTCAGCAACGCACGAATATATTGGCAATCGAATCAAATCACCGCATTCGCAGATTACATGTCGCGCGTACCTGCATCGACCTGGGTCGCTCGCACGGCCTTGCAGAGCTCGGCGCTACCCGCCATGACGACGACAAACTCCCCGGCGTTTAGAGGTCTACTGTGCAGAGGTCTATTTCCCAATGAGATCAGCAGCAAGAACTATGCATGCACGGTGGATTGTGGGGATAATGGCTTGTATGATCTGATTGAAATATGCGAGGCTCTCTTTAACGCCGTAGAGCTGCGTGACAAGTATCGGACTATTCTTGAATCCATCCGAGGACGTGTCTAGGATTCTACGTACGCCAGGAAACGGAGCCCGGTGGTATATCGAATTGATTTTGTCCGTACCAGAATCCAAGCAGTACACTTTGCAACTATGCTTGATGACTATCTTTCAGCGTTGCCGAAGCCGGTCAGCATGTCCCGGGGCGCATGCTGAGTGTCGCTACTCTTGCAATGATGGGCGACCTGAGGATGTTCGCAGGCTGCCAGATGGAGCAGAGCATCGGTGCCAGCTCCCAGTCTCGGCGATGCTCCCTGGAAGATGAAGCTCACGACATGCATGTACATGGACAGGTGCTCGAATGACTGTTACAAAGCTGCCAACGTTTGAAGGACTGTATGACAGAGTTGGGTGACGGAGGACGAATCGACGGTCTTCAGCCACAGGGATGCGCCAAGAATAGGCAATCTCGAGCCTTTCCCGATTAGGTACAAGTGCCAGCTAAATAAAGGAAGTCAGCGCGCCGCCTGCGCCTGCCCCTGAGCGAAATCAAGGGAAAGGACGGCGGCATTCACCAATATTTGTTGTGACAGTCATCAGTGCCTGTGTGATGCTGTGCTGTCGTTGGGGATGATTGCACCTAGGGACATGGAGGAGGTAATTGGACAGGGAGCACAGTCAACGGGGCGGCGCTGAAATGTTTGACTGAAACATGTCGTCGCTGTCACCCACCACTGACTGACCAGGAGACGCCCGATGGACCGACACTATCCACTGAGTGAGCGAGCGGGTGAGCGGGTGAGCAATCAATATTGGAGCAACACAACACACACGCACAACGCAGTGCAGTCATTGGCAGGCTGTGAATTCATAAACAGCAGACGCTGTGGGAAAAGGGCCAGAACAATATTCCAGGCCCAGCATGGGGATGCGCACAGCCCTGGACCGAACCCCGTAGCCGTTTCAGGACATGGGCGTCGTCAGGGCTTCCCTATTTGCTTGCTAACTAATCAATCCTACCCACGCCTATCCTGATCTTTCTCTCCACAACCCCCAGACTTCTTCTCCTCTCTCTCTCTTTTCTCCATTAACCATAATCTTTCTCGGTTTTTACCAGTCACTCTTTCAACCATTCTCATCATCCCCTTGCTCTCTTTAGTTCCCTAATTCACAGTCTCTCTTTAAACACTCTTTTCACCTAGACACCACCGAAAGACATACACACTCTCACACATCCACCATGCGTTTCTCCTCCACCGCCGCCGTTCTCGCGGCCACCGTCGCCACCGTCGTTGCTGAGGACAAGTACCTCGGCTTCAACTCGGGCGCCACCAACGACCAGGGCAAGGTCAAGACCCTCGAAGACTTCAAGACCGAGTTCAAGTCCCAGCAGGAGCTCAAGGGCGCCCCCGGCAAATTCAACGCCGTCCGCCTCTACACCAACATCAAGCCCGGCAGCGAGGACTCCCCCGAGCCCATTGAGGCCATCCCCGCCGCCATCGAGACCAACACCAAGATGCTCCTCGGTATGTGGGCTTCCGGCACCACCAACGTGGACAAGGAGCTCGCTGCTCTCAACAAGGCCATCGAGAAGCACGGCAAGAAGTTCACCGACCTCGTCGTCGGTATCTCCGTCGGTAGCGAGGATCTCTACCGTATCTCCGTCGACGGTATTGCCAACAAGGCCGGTGTCGGTGCCGATATCGATGTCTTGACCAAGTTCGTCAAGGACACCCGCGACAGCCTCAAGGACACCGACCTCAAGAACACCCCCATCGGTCACGTTGACACCTGGAACGTCTGGGACAACGGCACCGTTGCCTCCTTCATCAAGGAAGTCGACTTCCTCGGTGTCGATCTCTACCCATACTACGAGAACGGCAAGAACATCCCCATGGAGGGCGGCAACGACATCAAGAACGCTTTCCCCCTCTTTCAGACCGCCATGAACGCTACCCTCAAGGCCGCCGGCGACAAGCCCGTCTGGATCACCGAGACCGGATGGCCCGTCACCGGTGAGAAGTGGGAGCAGGCACAGCCCTCCAAGGAGAACGCCCAAGAGTTCTGGCGCCAGGTTGGCTGCTACTACTTCGGCAAGGTCAACACCTTCTGGTACATCCAGAAGGACAGCAACCCCGACAACAAGATGAAGTTCGGTCTCGCTCCCGAGCTCAACGGCGAGCCTCTCTTCGACCTCAGCTGCCCCGACGACATCAAGCGCCCCACCAACGGCGGCACTGTCAAGGGCGGAAACAACGGAAACAACAGCACCTCGGGCGGAAACAGCACATCTGGTGGTAACAGCACCTCCAGCGGCAACAGCACCGGTAACAGCACCCTTCCTTCTGCTCCTTATTCCAACTCTACTGCTCCCTTTTCAAACTCTACATCCCCTTCAAACAACGCAAACGGTAACCTGACAACTTCAGGTCCCGGATCCAACGCCCCCAACGGCGGCTCCGCAGGCCCCAATGCCGGCAGCAACCCCTCCGCTCCCGTAAACTCCAACGCCGGGTCGTTCGTCAAGACCAACGCCGCCGCTTTGGCTCTGTCCATGGTCTTCGCCGTCGCTGCTTGGGCTTTGTAAATATGAGCATTGTGGAATAGGGGACCATGTGGTTGTGCACTGTACATTGTTACATGGGAACTCTTGTACCTTCTGGAGGGACGGCTGCTGTTCTTCCATTTAGCATGGAATCGGAAATGTGATACCAGATACCATTGATCGAACTTCTACCGTATCTCTCCGTCTCGCGTCCACTACTGGACATACTTGTGCCATTTTACCCGGTTCCCGGTTGCCTTTTAGTCGATTCGAGCGCGCGTGCCTTGTGAATTACTTACCTACTAGATCTCCTTTCTCTGTCATCCTCCACCTTTTCTTTTCTTTATCCATCGCATCTTTTGATATTCATTTGGACTCATGCGGTTGGGGACTTATTTGGGAATATCTCTGGGACAGAGATTTGGTATCGTTTGGGTTTTGCGAACTAGAAAAGCAAATTGGATTTAATATATACCCTCCCTGCAATATACAGCTTTCAATATAGACATTACGCAGACAAATGATCATTCTCTCTCATATCTGTTTCTCACCTCTGCTGCTTGAGTAATGTTTGATATATTCGTTCTTCACAGGAGGAGTTTTGTTGATGCACTGATATAAAGTTTCCAGGGACGCTAAGCTGAAACGGATTAGTGCTATCAAACACTCGAGACCTCCTTATATCACCATCATATCCCATCTGCGATGGGCCCGGCCTATTGCGCTCTCGACATGACATCAATCTTATCGCGATCGCGTAGAGCGTTTGTACGACCTCAGTCACTGTATCAAGGTGTGCGATCAACAAGAGTGGAAGTTCGGTGGTTGGAGTACCGCACATTTTGCAACACATCATCGCGCCAGGCGGCGGAGAGCTCACCGTTTGTACGCTATCAACAGCAACATGAACCGCCAACAGACTATGGACATGGGAATTATCAAGAATCCCAGCAATCAGGATGGACAGGAGGAGGGCAATATCAACCCCCGGGTGGAATCAAAATTCGCATCATTCGACCTGCTCTCTTCACTTTGGGACTCTCCATTACATTCGTGGCGGCATTTGCATTTTTCAAAGCAAAACAAGAGCTCAAACCCGTACGGAGGACGCTTTCAAGCTTTTTACCTCAAATTCCGTCACGCCGTACCACAGCGCCTGGTCCTATCGAGCTAGTTGAAGACTCATGGAAGCAGCTGAGTCCTCTCTCAAAATTGAGCTACGGCATTATTGGGTTTAATTCTTCCATCCACCTCGCAAGCTACCTATTTCCAAAGACTTGGATGTCGCTCTGGCACATTCCGTCTCTTAACCGCAACTCAACCCTCCTCACATCAGCGTTTGTTCACAGCGGTCTCTTTCATTTAGGCTTCAACATGTGGGCATGCTCCAATTTCGTACCCGCAGTCGGTTATTCCCCGCTCTTCCGCGGCGACCAACCTAGCATTTGCGCGTTCATTCTGTCCACTGCCCTTCTCACAGGGTTCTCCCAACATGTAGCAAGTGCTGTTTTCCAGCGCGGAACCATGAAAACTGTTCCCTGCGGGGGACTCAGTGGAGCACTTTTCGCACTCTTTGGCGCTTATTGCATGGAACGTCCTACAGCTCACGTTGGCATTGTATTCATTCCTTTGGAGCTCGAAGCCCAGTATTTCTTGCCTTCCATCATGCTGTTTGATCTCGTTGGTATGGTCAGGGGGTTTCAATTCGTCAACTTGGGCCACGCGGTTCGTTCAACATTCAAGCAGTCATCTTTTATCGGGGTTTATTGCTAACGCTATGATAGGCACACTTGAGCGGGGCTCTTTTGGGAATTGCATATTCCTATTTCGATGGTTATAGAAATGTTTGGAGACCTGCCGTTGACACTTGGAAGCGGATCTTGCTGAAACAGAGAAAAGCCTGATAGCCGGCTTACACGTATACTCTCAGAAAGCCTGTCTCACGACTGGCTACACATTGGATTCGGTCACAACTCAGCTCGATGACCCTTTGCATTCTGTCTATACATAACATTATTCCACTCGACCATCAAACACATGATGAGACATGATGTGTTTTTTTCATCCCATTTTTCTTTGAACAGAATCGGGCTCGGAGGTTTGCACTTGGGTATTTGCTTTCCATAGCAATTACAAAACTGGATGCTGTAAAATTTCTGTAACACACATACATAGACTGTAATCAAAATCCACCGTCGAAGGTGGGTACATTGGAGGTTTTGGTGAGAAAGCATTGCTCTTCAATGGTCTTTGGAGAGTTTGACAAGCTGATCGCTCCGCACAAACCACAGTTATGGTACGCTCCGGTCATCGAAAGTGCAGAAGAGTTCATGTTGCGCTTCAGCTCGTCTGGAAAGTTATGCTGACAGGCCTGGCTTGACAGTCTATGGATCTTTCCGGTCACGCAAAGCCAAATTATATCATCAAACTGGGTACTTCGAGTCCAAGACATTCGGAGCGCAAATCTAATTGCACTCAACCAACAAATAATCACAGGCAATCAAAGAACACGCAACAAACACACTAACAGAGCGAAAGGTGAAGATACAAAAGGAGTCACTCTCGCCAACCTATCTCATCCGTCCAGCGAACTGCACTCAGTATTTTCCCATCAGAATGTGCGTCCCCAAAATCTCCGTGGGCTCCTTCTACGGCCTCCCACAAACCTTCCACATCAGCACTACTGCTCAGAGATTCTGCCCCCTACTCGCCATTTTACCCTGCGGCACATCTCTTCCACGGACCCACACCAAAGTTTTCGACTTAGTTCTTCAATATCTCTCCGGCGATGAAGAACATGGCATCGACTCCGCTCTTATTACCTCACTCCACCCCACACCTAACATCGTGCTCTTCGCACAAACATGGGCCCTCGCAGCCCGCATGAACATTCCCTATCTCCAAGACCATCTCATCCAGAAAATGTACGATATCTACAAATCTCTTATAGAGAAGCTGTATGACGGTAACGACACTGACACATCGTCATCTTCTACATCTTCTATTGAGCCATCACCCCCTGCGACAATGATACCACCCCGCCAAATCGTACGAGCATTTCTCCATCTCGACCGCAGCGTTCGTCCAGATAGCCACGCTGAGAAATTCCTAATCTGCTTTATTGCCGGACTTGTTCCTGATGCGAGGGTTCTAGAACAGCAGATGCAGAGGATGACGAGGCTTGACGAGAGGATTCGAGAGAAAATTGTTGCGGAGGCAAGGTTGAAGAGTCTTGATGGTGGAAATGGGGACGTTGTAAGGAGATTTTTGGTCCATGGGAGGCGTGAAGTGCTTAGGTATCCGCCGCTTGAGATTGAGTTTCCTGCTGCGTCGGCGACGGTAACGGCGAAGGCGAGGGCCTTTGGAAGTGGTGGGATCGCGGGTGCAAGTGCTGCTGCGTATAGAGGGATTGGCTTTGTAACTGCTACAGCTAGTGCTATCTCGAACGGGACAAATGGATTTGCGAGCGCCACTGCGACAGCGACGATCGGCGGTTTCCATGGAGAAGCGTGTTGCTGCGATGGTGGCTGTGGAGGCGGATTGTATTGCCCTCCAGGTAAGTGGAATCTCAATCTCATGTTTTGTTGTACCGCACATCTCCCTTATATTTATCATTGTATATTCATATCGTGGGAGACTAAATGTATGGATACAGATGAACCTGAGCCCCCTGCTGGCCCCAACGATCAAGACCCTACGCCTCCGCGCCCACCGCCGTCACAGCCACCGGGTGATTCGTCCGACGGTTCATCGAGTCATGCATCACCCGCAATTCCTCTTGGACTTCCACAGCCGCCACCACCATCGTACAGAAGCGAGAATGTCAATCTTCCCTCGCAGCTTTTCCCACCAGAGAACGTCAACATCATTGGCCCAACACTTCCGTTTCGCCCACAATCTCCCGTCTCCCACCGACCCCCAGCCCCAGTATATCAACTCCCTTCACCTCGAGTTCGTTCTGGCCGGAGAGGGGGTGAACAACAAGATGCAGCCGGGTTAGACCATGCCTATCCACACAACACCGAGCAGGAAATTCAGGGGATGCATCCTGTCGCAACACCGCCGCGTGACTCAACTTCGCCCCCAGATACTCACCTTGGTGACCCCCTTCGCCTAAATCCCATCTCGCAGCAATATCACCACATCGATATCTTGCAACCTGTGGACAGGATTCTTGTAAATGCTGACGCGATCCGCCACCTCCCAACGCGTTTCGTCCGTGGAGAGGGGAATAGAGCACGATATACCGATATAAAGACGGCTGAGTCGATGGGGAGGGGAGATGATCATACGAAATACGGGAATCGACATGTTGATCGGAAGGAGGAGAAATCGCGTCGGAACCGAGATGGAAAAAAGAGCAAGGGCAAGGGGAGAGGCGGTGTACGAAGGTTTGTGGAGAATATGTGTTGGAAGTAGTTCAAGATGTTATCGACTTACTGGGGTTCAAATGAGGGGAAATAATGTGTGAGAAGCTGGTTGTGCTGTTGTGAGAGTTGGAGTCGGTTTCTTTGCTGTTTGTGATTATCATGTGCGTATCATATCTTCTGAAACTCCCTCTTACCCCGAGAGGTTTTCAGAGATTAGGATGTGAAGACTGAGATTTTCATCACTTTATCAATCTTTCTTTGTGTATTTCTCTAGTGTTGGTATTCAATATTTAGATTCTATTTCCCATGTCGAAACAACATCTCTACTCACATCCACCCTGGCATTACCAAGAAAAACAAAAGGAAACAATAACTAAGTCTCCGCGATGAAAACTATCTCAACTCACTCCTCTACTGCTACTAGAGCTCACGTGCATACAACACGGCCCTCAATCCCACATCTCCCCCACTCACCACACACCCCCGTACAACCCCAGAATCCTCTTAAACCAGCTCTTCCCCCTCCAAATCCTCCTCCGCCTCTTCTTCCCCCACTCCTCACACCCGACCCTCAACCCCTCCAAATCCAAACTATTCCGCGCCGACCAACCCACCGGCACACCACCCCCCTTCTTAACCTCCTCAACAGTCTCTTCATCAGCCGTGCCCGCAAAACTCAGCAACGCCGCGTAATTACACAGCAGCATCTCGTTCTCGATGTCCGCGGGCGTCATCGGCGCTCCGTTCTTGACGCGTTTAGGGGGAGGGTAGTGGAGAGTTGCTGGACAGCAGGAGGGGGAGACGGGCGAGGAGTGGAGTGCGCAGGGGACTAGCGGGTGTGAGTCCTGGAGGTCCTGGAGGAGCGTGGTGCGGCGGTCGTGGATTTGAGAGAGGGTAGATATGAAGAAGGGGGTTGAGCGGGGAGGGGGAGGGAAGGATATGGTCATGGTTCTGGGCGGTAGTGATTTGCTGGTTGTTGCTGCGGCGATGCTGGGTTCGCGGGGGCGAGCGTGTCGGGGGCGGCGGCGGATGGCTGGGAGGGGGGTCATGGAGTCGTGGCGGGTTAGCCTGCGGGGAGTGGGTGGTATAATGGGGGTGGTTGGTGCTGGGGTGTTGAGGTGTATTTCTAGTTGGTGTTGTTGTAGGTGCTCTCTTGTTAGAGGTGGTGTTGGTGAGGAGTGACGCTTCCGCCGGAGTGGAAGGGTAAAGAGATGGGCGCGGAGACTGGAGTCTTGGTTGGCCATTTTTTTATGCTAAGGAGAGGTTGAGTGTGTGGTTTCCTCGAGTTTTGTTGTACTGGTGCGTGGGGGTTTGGAGGGCGTGAATGAGTCGTGCGTGATGAGCTCTTAATAGTGTAGAGTATAGCAAGCAGTCTTGATGGATAGCTGTTCTTTAGTGAGTAGATGGGTTCCAGACAGTGTGGGTGTCCTATCATATATTTATATTTCACCCCAACAATCCTTTTTTTTTTTGCGGATATTTCGTTTTCAAAGTGCCCTGTCGGATGGGCGGGGACAATATCTTGAGGCATTTGTTGAACACATGACGAAGTCCCGACATAATACCCTTCTTTGAAAGATGTTTGTGAGAAATTAGTGGTTGATGGTTCGAAGTTGATATAATAGATGTAGTCGTAGTAGTAGTCTGCTGCATAGTGAGGTCATTGACTGAGATGAAAGTTGATTGCGTTTGACAGGTGCGAAGAACATCATTGTAGATGTGAGAATTCTATTTTTAGATGTTTTACTGGCAGAGACTTCGTTGTGGTTTGCTCCTCGAGGTTGACGTTGCATTCAACGATCGCAGTGCCTTTGGTACTTTGGTACACGCTATAGAGCCATTGACAATATCAAGCCTCTCGTTCGCTCAAATCTACCAAGAATGGATGAGGATGAATGGGTCAACCACCGCCAAAGAAAGAATACGGGTGAAGCAGAACCAGTCAATTCAAACCCATTTCCATATTTTGAATTCCATTCTGCTTCGGTGACCGGAGTCGTTGGATTATCCGACGGATATACTTCATCTATGTACTCCCGTTTTTTCGCATCCAGATCTCCGACAGCCTTGCTCTAGCCTTGCTGAAGACTAGATCGTTCTACTACCAGTGATTCTTACACTGGTAGCCGTCCAGTCTGGAATAGGATAGTAATTGAGTGTGAGTGGGGTACAATCAAGTGGTATAAGGGTGAGGGTAAGAGTAGATTGATATAACAAATAACTGCAGGTGAGGGTACAGGTAGAATGTAGTATTCTGTATAGACACCCATGCAGGGGCTACTTCATCCTACTATTACCTACAGTCAAGTAACCTTACTTTTACCCTTATCTACACGTGATGTAACAATACCTCAATGTTACCTCACCCGCGGGTGTGGTAGCAGCCATTTACTACCTTAGTCTAGAACACACTCAACAAAGCTGGCAAAGGCGAGAAAAGTATTTGCGAACGGAGAAGAGGGAGGAAAATGCAAAGTGAACAAGAGGAGTTGATGATTAATCCAGGTCTCATGAATCATCCTGGGCTCTTATCAATACAAATGATATTCGATTTTGTCTATCTAATTGAAAAGTGACAAGTAGATAACAATGCCAATGTATTTTACAACGCCAAAAATGCCAGATGTCATCGAGGGCAGTTGTACTCCGCAATTAATCAGAAGTTTCATAGCCTGTCATCATGTCGCGCTCATCAATCATGCGTTGGATGCTCAGAATGATCTCATCAGTCTCGCCGTCCATGTCCGGGCCCGGCTCGCCATTCTCAACGCAATCGATCTGTTTCAGCGCGATCCGCGCAGCCCCCAGCATCTTATAGTCGCACTCGAAGCAAAACCACTTGCTCACTTTTCCGTAGCCCCCAGAATCTCCCACACACTGGACATGAAAGAACTGGCGGTGGCAGAGTGGGTAGCTGCACTCCACCATCTTCTTCTCATCCCACTTCTCCGGCTTCGGCGCCTCGCAGTAGCACATGCGCTCTTCCTCAGGACCGAGAAGGACCTCAAAGTTCTTCTGATGTTGGCGTAGTTCTTCCATAGTAACCTGATCGCGGGGAAGGCGTCGCCGATTGATGTTGCGGAGGCGCTTATACTCCGCGATCTGCTTCATGAGCTCGCCCTCGACGCCGCTGCGGAGATAATCCTCGAATTCCATCATAAGAGGGACGCAGCCGACGGGTTCATGGGAGCCGATGTTGACTTCTACCCATTCCTCTAGGTCTCGGTGCAGAACCATGAGATTGTTCCTCAGGCGGGGCTGCTTGTTGAGATATATCATCAAGTTGGCGGCATAGAGCAGGTTGCGGCCTTCCATGACGCATTTTCCATTCAAAGGGTAGACGATGTGGAAATTCTCAGCTTCCTGGCTGTGGCACATGCAGTAGTTGGGGTGTGTGTGCATAGGGCAGTCGGAGGTGCCTGTAGCCTTGAATTGGCATGGCTCCCGTGAGTCTCGGTCGATGATGTCACCCGATGAATGCTTCATTTTGATGCGCGGGTTGGGAACTGTGGACATTCCGTGAACGTAGAGTTTGTCTGTAAATTTTGTCCAGTCATTCCAGCGAGCCTTTGTCGATAGCGTGAGAGCTGCCGAAGTTGATGGTGGCGGTGAGACAGGGGTGATATTGTCTTTGTGCTCCTCAAACCAAGCTACGGATCCTGTCGGGCGAGCAGAGCTAAGCAGCGTCTCCAAGCTGAACATATCATCACCCGAGAAAGGTAGATCAGAGGAGCATGGGGACGTAATGGTGGAAATTGCTGCTTCGGTACTAGATTGCTCATTAGCAAAAGAGTTCTGCTCCAATCCGTGTTCGCCAACTTGTGTCTCAACTGAAGGTTCTTTGGAAAGGTTAGTTGAGTCCTCAGTGGCAGCCTCAGAGACTAGTGTCTCATCAGGCATACCGTCAGCAAGGGTCTGCTGCAACTGCGTCTTATCGTTCCCTTGGGCACTCGCTTTCTCAGCAGCCCTTCGAGCCTTGCGCTCGGTCTCTCTGCTCTTCTTCTTGTCCTTCTTCTTCCTACCCACCAGGGCAGGAGTCTCCTCAGGTACCATTGAGACCTGCTTGACGGGCGATGGTGAGGGATGGAGATTTGGTTTGACAACGAGTGAAGGGGTGATCTTGGATGGTATCACTTCCTCTAACTCACTCGTAGGAGATACCTTTCCATCCTCGACGCGAACTTGGTGGGATAGGGACGGCCACTCGTGATTCACGGAAATACCCGTCTTGGGAAGTACCCTCGGCGGTACCCTACGGCGAGGTATGTGGGTCCAGACAGACGTGCTGTCACTGCTGCGCGTGGAAGGCTGAAGAATGCTGGTAGGCTTGATCGAGAGGATGCCGGGGTTTTTTGACGTCTTTAGCTGGGTATCGGGATGCACAAGGGACCTATGCACCCAAGGACTTGCGAGTGCTTGCGGGTGCAGATTCCCATCCCTCAAAACCTTGTGCGCCACCTGAAAATGCCTATTATCTGCTTTTGACGGTATGGCAATATCTTCGGAAGTGGCGCTATCGCTATGCATGCCTGCATCGAAAGAAGAAGACCTCGTGTCGCTAGAAGGGGTGTTGGATCCTGGGGTATTATCCTCCAAGGGTGAAAACTTGGCGCCCGTCTTCCAGTCCTTGACGGAGTAGCGATGCATCATCTCTTCAAAGCTTGATCGATTGGCATATCTGAGAAACGCTGCCCGTCGCATCCTGATCTCTAACTCATCCTTTTTGAGGAGGACAAGGTCTTCAATGACCAACTCCTTGAAGGATGTGACCGCAACCTCAAAGTCCTTCAGCTCTCTACCCACAAGACCTCTATTCTTGTAGTTTCGGTTCTGAAGCTCCGTGATTCTGAATGTGTCCAGGATTCTGGTCATCTCGTTTTCGAAATCGATGTTGTCACTGGGAGTGATGTCTAGCTCGGATTTCATGACTTTTGGCTTAGTAGCATTGGCGTACACGTGGGCATGATACCTGATATGCTTCTCGATCTCGGCGACCTCATCAGGGTTCATCGGCTCTTTCTGGTTTAGATCGCCCTCTTGTTGGTGTAGAACCTTTTCAACGTATCCGCGATCTTCCAACGTCACGATGTTGGGTCTGTTTGCAGCCTTTGCGAGCCTCTTTTGGTCCTTCCTCTCGCGCTTCGTCAATGCTGTGCTGAAGTAGTTTGAGTAGTAGCCCTCCTCTAGAAATGTATCGTCCTGTTCCGGGATAATGGTCATATCCGAGCCGGCGACATCATAAATCTTTTGGAGGCGGTGAGCAATGCAAATGTGCCGTTTCGTGTGAGCTTCATCAATAGACTGGCACATGTAACAGGTGTGCCCCTTCCCGCGCATGAACATGGCTTGATGGAAGCGCCAGCACGGCTCTGAGTGGACGCCGAAGCATGAGGTTTTAGCGGCGGGGTGAGCAAGGGGGCGATCACAGAAACCGCAGTGGTGGCCTAGCGAAGTCAGTATTCACGAGCTGAAGAGCTGTCGGAGCGAACTGTACGTACTGAGGTGCGGGCCATCCTCCCAGCGGAAGTGGGTGCTCGACATTGACATTGTGATTGGATACCTAGGTGGAGGTTGAGGGTTGGCGGTCACGTGTAGACGAATCTGGGTGAGGATGATATCTGCGGAATGTGTGGAGGTGCGCAGTGGTCGAATGCAGAAAGGAAACTCAGTTGAGGCAGTCAAGGTAGATGAGCAAGAGTGGCTGCCTGGCGGGGGTGGGTGTGTGGTTGAGCACAATGTTGCGGTCGGTGTAAACAATTTATATCACACAATAACAACGAAAGAACCTCAATAACGCGCGCGCACGGAGCACGCGCCTAGCATCATGAGGGCTCGGATTAAGTCTCGGTGCCGATGAGCGAACCGGCAGGCAGCAGCCTACTGGCCAGCTGGCCGTCTGGCCGTGTCCAGGTCTCACTCGTAAACAAAACATGGCTTCCACCCGACTCGCCACATGGGTGGGTATTCTACTGGATGCGAGAAAGATCAACATTAAGCTATCGCAAAGAATGTGATTGAATGCCTGCTCGAGGTTCGAAATCATCAGGTGTGTGTGTAAAATGAACGATTTACGTACTCGTAACATGTGTTGAGCAAACGAGCAAGCAGCGAGGCTGCCCGACGTCGTTATACGTGGAACTTAGAAAAGGAAAGTCCGCAAACATCGAATAGAACGTCGGAGAAGAGAGCGTAAGGGTTTGAAGGAAATAACAAGCGAAAAATGTGACTACCCATCAGTAGACGGATAGACGCATACCTACATATGTACCTAGGTACAAGTAACGACCGGCTCGTGACCAACACGTATATCCTTCCGACACCGACATATCGGAAACATGCATGCTCAACAGAAAATATACACCGCTATGCATGACACTCGGCATGTATTTCCTTATACATCCCGCACAAGGCGTGCAGTGGCCCAGACGAAAGGGTAGTTACGCTGATACCAGCTAACACTGTGAGTTTGTTAGTGTTGTTCACACTATGAAACATGGTGTTGCGGGAAAGGAGGTAAACGCACAATGTTTTTCGTCCGGCGATGCGAGGATGGGTAGCCCATGAACCCCCGAGGACAATGTTGTGTTTACCGTCGAAGAAATCCCCTGGTGTATTCTCAGTCACCATTCTAATAATGCATCCTGACAGTAGCGTGAGACTTACCTGTATATCCTGGGTACTCTGGCATCGCTTCAAACCCTTGATGCTTTTCCAGCACAGTGCTAGTCCACTCCCACGCGCCACCGAGATCCGACTGACCGCAGAGCTTGTTACCCTTATCGGCTACAGATACCGGATGCCAGTGTTCGAAAGACGTGTTGGTGCCCGTCAATTCGATAAAAAGATTGGCTGGTTGGGGACTAACGTTTGTGCTGGAGTTGCCATTTACCAAAGGTGCTGATGGTGGTGTCTCATCCACGCCATTGTTGATGAGGTGGCTATTCGGTTAGCGTACATAACACCCAATAAAGCTCTTCCGACTACTTACCCGTTCACTGCTGGGATCTTATTGCCTGGCGACTGCTCAAAAGATTGTTTCGCTCCTTGCTCGACGAAATTGTAGATGCTTCGGGCTTCCTCCATCGTTGGGACGCGCCCGCCCATCCAGCTGGCGCAGCTAGCCAGCTCATCGTAGGAGGCGAAGACAGGCCAATGCAAAGCAAAGGGGAGGGGCACAGTGCCAAACACAGTACGGACGTACTTTCCCTGGGCGATACTCTGAGCTTGGGCAGAAACTGAATTGCCATTTCCATTCATCACGCTGTCTCTTTTACTCATATCCGAAGTCTGAGTAGACCCACTGGGCTCCTGGCACCAAGATGATGGTAAAGTGGTCTTCCCAGTCGTCGCCAAATACTCCGCGTATTCCCCATTGGTGATGGGTCGGGCTTTGGCTTGGAAGGATTTGGTATTTACGGAGCGGCTTGGCTGTTCGTTATCCCAACCAAAGTGATATGAGCCAGCGGGTTGGCCTTTGCCACTGTTCAGACCGATTGAAATTTGAGCTTCTGGTACTGTGAACCACTCGTTATCCACAGCAGTGACTTCAGCTTTTGCTGCTAATGCTTTGAAATCAGGAACGGGGGTATTCGGAGGCGGCATCACCTTGTCGCTCTGTATCAACATATAAAGTAGTGTTTCCAAGTGCATAGCTTCGTGCTCGAAGCCAAGCCACAAAGCATGAGAAATCCGAGAATCGGAGTGGGCGACACCGGAATCATACAAATTGCCGACTCGTTCCCGGACTTTTTCCTGAAAAGCCAAGATGTCTTCCACGGGCGGCCAAGATTCTGGAATGGGACTGTGATCATGGCAGCGCTCCGGGTCATCGACATCGGGATCGATACCACGCTCAAAGATTTCCTGGAAAAATACTGGATCCGTGGCAGCCTTTCCAGTCGACCGAGTAAGGTGAATGTCGAGAAACGTGGGTATATGTCCAAGATAGAATAGACACACATTGCGTAGCTTGATTGGCTGGGAAAGAAGCTCCTCCTTAGGAATCATTTTTTGGGTAACTACATCCCAAGCCGCCCATAGTTCACGCCATTCGCCCATGGAAGGGACCGGAGACTCCGCATAACATTCCGGTTTGGTTGGGAAGAAAAACTCGGGCTTGGAGACAAAGTGTAGACCTGTCGGGATTTAGCATGCTAGATGGTCTCAATGTTGGTACGAGGGCCCTACCATAGATCCCCAAAGTGTTGCTCCAAACCGTGTTATCGACCAAGCCAGATTGTTGCCAGAGCTGAAGTATCTCATCTCGCGAAAATTTGTAGCTTTCTTCAATGCGAACCTTTTCTCCTTGCTTGATCTCCACACCATCGATCGTAACATCCTGGGAAGGTGAAACCCAAGCACGGTGACAGCCTTTCTCAGCGTCATATTCGCCCGAAGCCTCCCATACGTCGGGATGAAAGACGGTCTTTCCCATGATACGATTGGCATGCTTGAGGCCGTTGAGGATGAATTGGTGGGTCACATTCTCGCGGTCATTATAGGCGTGATAAACACGGTCACGGTCCTTACAAGAGTCGATGCCTATCATCATGGTGTCTCCGGGCTGAATTGCTGCCCGGAAACCGGAGAAAAAGGGAACCAACTCGTGTCGTTCAAAATTCCCGAGACTGGAGCCCAGCCACAGGATAGTTTTGGGTTTCGCGCTAACCTGCGATGACTTGAGCCATTCCAAAGCATGATCATACGTTCCGTGTAATCCGAAACATTTCACATGCTTATAGCCATCTATATACAAGTCAGGATGATGTCTGAGTTCAGTGATGCTTGGTTTACCTGTAGGAATCTCTGCAAAAGTACGCTTCAGCTCAGACAAAGACAGATCGACAGCATAATACTCGACATCTTTCCCAGCACGCTCAATGGCTTGTAGGAGAATGTTGACCTTGCGCAAATTACTGCAAAGCGATTAGTATCGTCAAGAAGCGGCGTGAAGTTTGCGCCGAACCGGGCGGGCTCCTACCCGCTCCCAAGTTCAACCACAATCGATTCCGGTTTAATTCTTTCTACCATTTCATCGGCGTATCTCTCTAGCACTTCGATCTCGGAGTTGGTGAGGTAGTATTCGTCCAGATATGTGATCTTCTCAAACAGGCGCAGGCCTGCCTCATCATACAGGAGCATGGTTGGCAAGGTCTTGTGCTCGCCATCTTCAGGTCGCAACCCCTGCTTGATGTCTTGTAGCATATTGAAGTCAGCCTCACCGACCCGAATGTCGATGATGGGAATCGCCCCGTTGGATAACATGACTTTGTATGACTTTAGCCTGGAGCCAGTAAAACGAACAGGTTGGGATAGCTGGAATGAGATGGGATTGGCAGAATGATGTGATTTATATGGAAGTATGACTGACTATGGAAAGCAAAGAAGTCACAACGGCGGAACGAGTAGATTGATGATGGAACTAACGTTGGTGGCTTAGTGAGCAGCGGAGTAAGGCCAGGGTAATGTTCCGTTAGCGCCGTAGATAAAACTATTGGGGTATAAAACCGATGGGCAAATCAAGACACTTATAGACTTCACGGTGGATGGCAGCACGACAGAACTGTTCTGATGTCTCGCCACAGCTGCATGGGCGGCTCTCCATCCAACCCACCGGATGTGCAGCGATGACCAGGTTGCATAGAGGTGAGTGGCTGGAAAGATGAAGCAGACGAGCAAGGTGGGCTGCGCTGCTTGATGATGACGTTTCGTGTTGCGGGCCTTCAGCGAACCGCTTTCGGCAATCGTAGGGTTAAGCTGGAGACGGAGAACAAAGCGTGGTGAGCTACAGGATGCTGCGAGAAGAGCCCTATGCCTTATCGGGTATAGACGATACCGGAACAATCATGGAGTGGATCGCCATATCGGTCGATACATAGACCACGAGGTGAAGTTTGACAGCGGGAGGAAGGGTAGAGGATCAAAGGTCATACATGCTAACGGACTTTGTCTGCAAGCTGTTAGCTGAGCTAGCTGACGGTGCGTGTTGAACGAAGTTTGGGTCTCGAAATTGGAAATTAGATTTGGAATCAAGTCACTAGGCAGGTAGATGCATGCAACCGAGGGGCGAAGATATTGGTGAGACGAATTCTCGTGATGAAGCATGGCGGGGTAGGGTGAGGCGTGGTCGCACGACCGAGGATGCGAACAGGAGTCGTAGATGAGATTGGACCGGATGCCCGATTCTTTAATTGAGGTTCTGCAGTAGTGTGATGCTGTGCAGAGATGCTTGTAGCGTTTGGAGATGCATCTATCCGATCGACCATGATGGTGGTGGTGATGGCGATGTTTGAACGGTGAGGCGAAAACGTCGCCAGCTAAGCCCGATCCGACTAGCGCAGATCTTATCTCGCTCGCTCCAATAAGAACCTACATAGGCAGGTACATCTGGACCTCAACAATCAGATAATGGCCATCTACATCATGTTGACTTATATTGCATTTCACACATGCCATGAAAACAATAGGATGTGATACAGCTCTAGTTCTAGCACCCTATCATGCAATGGATCCCGTTGACCCACACTTTGTATCTCCTTCACCACCCGAAAACCCATGAACAAAACCCCTTGTTCACGATCCTTTGTCCACATACAAAGCTCATCCCGTTTCTTTACCAACTGCCTTGATGCTGCAAGGCGAAGAACGACTCGGTGGCACCTGATAGACCATCCCCGCTGCCTCCTCGCGTTCATGAGCCTCCCGACGCTATGACCCTCATTTCACCTTCATCCATTCTTTCGGAATCCGCGCCGACCACATTCCCGCCCGGCGCCTGGAGCGCCTCTTTTTTCATTGAACCCTTCTCAATAGTCGAGTGTCTAGCCATGTGCGGGGGTCAAAGAAGAATAGGCTGGATCTGATGGGTGGCAACCCTGGCGTCTAATCAACCTGAGTGTCCTATGAGCTCGCCGTGGTGGTTGTGGCTATCAAAGGGTAGAAATCAGGCTTGAATCGCGAGTCTCGGTGCCGCTGGCTCGCATTGAATATTCAAAACCGATAAAACTCATAAGGGAGGACCGAAAAGCTTTCTGCTTACGCTGTACTGCATACCTGAAGTCAGCGCCAGCCATATCACATACTCCAATTTCGAAGTCATAATGGAGTATGCACTGCCTCCTATAAATTCATACGCTCATCTATCCTTATCGGGGCAATCTGGCGCCTTCGTACATAATACGATCAACATGCAAGATGCCGGCGCTTGGACTTCCTCATTGAACGTTTTACGCGATCAACGCGGCTATCTGGAAGATCTGCTTGCCAAAACGATCACGAAGCTCAATGCTCTACGCGATAAGCAGACGAGGAACGAACGTTCCCTGAACGCCCACCCGGAGCACTCGCGATCGAAAAAGAAGAAGATCTCCCAGAACAAGTGGAGGACGAACAAGACTATAAGCACGTGCGAGAATGAAGAGAGAGTCATCTTGGACTGTTTGAATGTGTGCAGGAACAACATCGATGCGTTGGAATCTCTGCTACACTCGGTGGGATGTCCTCCTGCTCAAGCCGACTACAACTCGACGAACTCGTACACGGGGTCGGAATATAGTGGCATACAATGGACGACTGGCTGGACAGAAGAAGACGAGCCCTTTTCTCCGTTTGAATTCTCTCGTGGCGCGCCGAACACATTGCTGGACCTCGCACCGGATGAGGGGTTTGGACCAGGCCCAGTTCTCGTGGGGGACTCTGTGACACATGAGACACATTACGCCACATTATTGCCACCGCACGAACGGGCGTGCAATCCTCACGCATCAAATTCAGCTTCGCGGTTGAGTCCCAAAGCTGCCGTCTTCGAACCAAGTCCTACAAACAACATGGGCAAGAATGGAGGATTAATGCAACAGGTGGACAAATTGAGCATCTCGGGCCTGTTGTCATCTATGAGTATGAAGAAGCAATTATGTGGGAAGAGTTTCTCAAGCCAAGCATTGGAGCAGTCCATGAGCCGTGCTTCGAATGGTGAACGGCACGGGTCACAGTCAAGCATCCATCGCCGTCGCTCTGCGCTTTGAGCCTGCGACAAGGACATAACACACACACACACACACACACACACACACAGGTGGACAGTGTGAGGGATACGTACATACATTGCTGCACGCACGCTACACGACAATTTCACTCAATACAAGCCCAACAACAATCCCAGTGTCTATGAATGTTTGATCGTGAACATCTGAATGGCTGCAGCGGTGGGCTCATAGATACGTCATGTGAGGGGCTGATGGAGGTCTGGGGTCGGCTAAACTAACCGGTTTCACATGCCGAGGCGCGGCAGTTGTTGCAGCCCATTCACGACAGCTTCGCATTCAAGACACCATCAATCACCTCAAGACACTCGCGATTCTCGCACTCGTTGCGCCCATTCAACATCCTTCCCGGAGTATTCAACAACACTCCTGGATCATCGTTCCGCATCGACTGTGGCCTGTCTTTCTCTTCATTGCTGCTCCATATACCTATCCACCCTTCTTCGTCATACCCCACCATCCATATATCCTTTCATCCTAGCCTACTCCACCGTGCCATCACAGGTACATACTTGCCTTCGTCTCTGTTATTGGCACGGAATTGTGCAAAATTTGCTGTGCGCTGTACGCACACGGCTGCAGAGGCCTGCACAACCCCCTCTACGCGAGTCTAGGGTCGATATTTACCTCTCGCCCCGCACTCGCCAACGTGTACGCTGTTGCACTTCACTCATCGTTGCACTGGTAGCAATCAATAGCCATAGGAACAGCAGACAGAGTATGGCCGACACGAATCCCATCATGAGCACCAACGCCGACGGTAGCCGGCTGCGTGAGCGTCCCTCCGCGAGACCGCTTCACCTCAATAACTCGGATGATGCCAGACGAAAAGTCTTGCAGTTGAATGAAGAACAGGCCGACCAAGACCACAAAGATGCTTCCCAAAAACGCACATATGGCAGAACGCCCGACGGCACCGGTACGTACTTGTGCATGAATGCGCGCAACAGCTCTGCCACACGACACCGCGAAGCATGACACCCAAAGCGACTCCCCAAAGCGACATCACCACTAACGTCACTGCTGTCCTAGTTTTCATCGTTCCTCAGACTCATGACATGGTCTCACAGCTGCTCTCGCCCTCGCAACCAAAGAACCTATCCGATGTAGTCATCCTCGCTTGCCTCGCCGTTCTCATACTTACATTGTACTTTCTACCCACAAGCGCCCGCAGGCCTGTTTTTGCATGCATTTTTCTCTTTTGGCGCGCTGCCTACAATGCAGGCATTGGTTGGCTGCTTCACCACCAGTCCAACCACAATCGCCTTGTTCTCTGGGCCAAGAACTCTCACATCTTTGATGCCCCAGAGAACGGTAAGAACCCATATCCCACTCTGTACACTCTACTCAAGCGCGAAATGGAGACCAAGATTCCAAAGGACTACAAGTTTGAGGAGGCTCCACTCGAGTACAATACTTGGCTGCTTTTCCGCCGCGTCGTAGACCTGATCCTCATGTGTGACTTTGTCTCATACTGCTTGTTCGCGGTAGCTTGCTTCAACCGCCCCGACGAGAATTGGGTCTTGTGGGCCTTTCGCTGGACTGGTGGCATCATCCTCTTCCTTTTCAATCTCTGGGTCAAGTTGGACGCCCACAGGGTGGTCAAGGACTTTGCTTGGTACTGGGGTGATTTCTTCTATCTCATCGACCAGCAACTCACCTTCGACGGTGTTTTTGAGATGGCTCCACATCCAATGTACTCAGTTGGTTACGCAGGCTACTATGGCATCTCCATGATGACCGCTAGCTACTCAGTCTTATTCATCTCCGTAGCCGCGCACATCGCTCAATTTGTTTTCCTGACTTTTGTGGAAAATCCGCACATCGAAAAGACATACAATGCGCCACCTCCCCGAAAGCGACTAAACTCTCAATCCGTTCACCAGGATGAACGTCCCAATTCGCGCCACTCCGAAGCAGCATATGTCGACGGCGTACCCGTACTGGACTCGGAAGGGCAACCCTCTGAGATCCATAGTATTGTCGGCCCCCAAAACACTGACCTGCACCGGAGCATCGACGTCTCAACAATTGCAATTTCGTTTTACATGCTCAGCCTTGCTGTTCTTACCCCAAACACCTGGCCAATTCGCGTCTTCCTCCTCGTAAATGCCTTTTTCTGGCGCTTGTGGTACGTTCTAGGCTTGGGTTACCTACTTGACCGGCAGTCCAAAAAGAAAAACTGGACCCGTCATTTCATCAAGTACGGAGACAGCAAGACAGAAGCGTGGCGCCAGTGGAAGTATCTGTACCATCTGAGTATGGTCATGTGCCACGCCAGCTTCATTGCAGCCGCATGGAAGATGTATAACATGCCTCCAGATTGGTCGTACGGATGGACACTCCTGCGCCATGTCATTGGGGTGGGCTTGATCAGTCTGCAGCTTTGGGTCGCCAAGAGCATCTATGAGGCTCTGGGCGAGTTTGGTTGGTTCAGCGGCGACTTTTTCTTTGATCCACCCTCCAAGAATCGTGAGTCTCCCCATGTACTGGCCCCCTATTCACGAAATAGTCATTCATGAGAAAATATCTGTAGTCACATATTCGGGAATTTACCGGTTTCTCAACAATCCCGAGCGTGTTCTTGGTCTTGGTGGCGTTTGGGGCATTGCGTTCATCACCTGGAGCGTTCCTATTTTCTACCTCGCAGGAGTAGCCCACGTTTTGAATCTTTGCTTCCTCCAATTCGTGGAACGACCGCACATGCAGAAACTCTACGGACAGAATCTTCGAAAGACATCCGGAGTGAGCAAAACGCTCAGGCAGGCTCTCCCAAGCCCGGTTCGAGGCTGGCAGTCGGCAGCAGACGAGTATCTTAACTCCACAGTTGAATTTATCGAAGAGCTCGTTGAAAGCGCACGGCCGAAACTTGCCGCCGGGGTCGACACTTTCGTCAAAGATACAACAGCCCTTTTCAAGGCTCAACCCACGCGCATATCCATCACTCGTCTTGCTCCGGATCTTGCTGGAGTTGACCCAAACCAGTACAAGCTCGAGATTCAGGGCACCCGCCTATCTGCAGCAACTCAACGACGAGCAAGCGGTAGTCGCGAAGGCGAGATGGCCAGAGCACCAGCAGCCAGAACAAGCGAATTTACATCCCATGTCTTCGAATACGGAGCGCCTATAAGAGTGCGCTGGCAAGCACCCTTGAAGCACAGTAAGAAGGACTGGATCGGACTATACAAAGTTGCCGACAACGCTTCACGCGACGTCACGAAGCTATCATCGAACGGGCGATGGATCGCTACCAACCGTGCTGTTTTCGACTCCAACCGCGCAGAAGAAGGCATTCTCATTTCCGACAAACCTGTTTCCACCGGAGGTGACGACACTGAGCACCTCAGTGGCGAGGTAGAATTTTCTGGTGACAAACTGTGGTGGACCACGGGCGTATTCGAGTTTCGCTATCACCACGATGGCAAGCACAACGTGCTAGCCGTTTCCCACGCCTTCGAAGTCAAGATCCCTAAGTTCGATGCAGACGACGTTGAGTTGGATGCGAGCGGCACCATTCACCAGCCTATTGAGCAAGCTCTTCTCCCTCTTGTGCAGAACTGCTTTGACCGCGACCCTGAGATCGCGCCCTCCACTTCTGACGAGCCTTTTGGTAGTCTCGTGGAAAGAGATGGGAAGTACTCGAGGAGAGTCGTTTTTGCTGTGCACCAGATGTAAGTCTTCATTCACCTGGGAGATCGATATATGTTTCCAGATACTAACAAGAGGATAAAAGGTTCGGCATCGAATTTGCCCCCGAAGTAGTCCAAGCAGACGGAAACGTACGCAACCTGGCGTGGCGTATCTGCAATGCGAAGAAAGTCTTGGTGTGTTTCCTTCTCTCTTGATATAAGCTGGCAGCCGTCTGACCTAGTTCAATGTATCATGCTGACTTTATCACCAGGCCCCATTTAGTATGTCTGCCAGTTGCGGCAGGAACACGCCTACATCTTAGGTAATAAGCTGGGAATAGAACCACTAATATCGCCAATCACGATTATGGCGAAAGTGTCCGAATTAAAAAAAAGAAGGCAACTCGTTTCCCTTTGTTCACTGTCTTAAAAAATCTTATCATAGCACATTCATCTCGATTTGATCCCGAAAATTGTTGTTTTGCCGATTCTACTATTCTTGTTCATTCTTCATTGGCATGGGAAGTGGTAGGATAATGATCAGCATAGCATTGAGAAAAAAAGCAACCATTAATGCATTAGTTTTTCGTTGGCATGTAATCTTCATTGATCTGTCTTTTGGTGGATAGCGTACATATCCCACTTTAATCAATCATTCTATACGTATATACAAATTACGAATGCCATCACATGCTCTTTTCTAGAGAAGTATCTCACAACAAGAACTTCCAGTGTCTCGCTCTCCCAACGATCTTGAGTTTTACACCTTTTGAACCGATTAATTCGCTGCTCTGCATAATCCCTATCGCTATAAAGTAAATGTTCATTTGCAACACGGGGTATGTCAACATACCAATATTTTGCCGATGCCGTGACGTTTTGAGCCACAAGTTTACCCCGATTACTTCTCCATTGGTTCGTTCATTGGATGAAAAGGGTTTTGTTTGCTGAAGTAAACCAAAAAGCAAATCGCGCTAGCTTGGATAGTTGGTATATAACATCAATGCTACCGCTACGCTCTCACCTTCTTTCATGGTCTCACCCTTGAATTTGCTTATATGTACTATTCGGCCGCTATATCATTTTAATTCATAACCTGTATTATAGGCACAAGCCTCTCTTTCGTTTGAAGTTTATTAGTGAAATACAGGAGCATTCAATATGAAGAGGGGTCATGGTGAAAATAACCACCTTCTTCAGTTCGGTTTGCAGAGAAGGCATGGATTCACCATATCCCATGGCACTGAATCTACTAGCTCTACTTTCGACTTTTCGGCGGCTGTGAGCACACATGAATAAGTCTGCGTCTCCTGGGTAGGGATGGGGTGTTTGTACACTGTTTAACTGATTTTTTTATTCATTTTGGGGTCGCTGCCTTATTCGTGCACTTTGAACGCACAAAAAGGAGTCACTCACTCACCTGCGGTTTATAAATCACTTACTGTATATTTCTTACTCGACTTTGTTTTTCCAATCATTCAAATCTTCTGCTCAAAAACCACCACAACGTTTTCAAACCGGATCATTCTCAACTCTTACTCAATCTTCACAAAGTATCAAGGCAACCGAATAACTCAACCCCGATATGACCTCGTTGTCAAGCGCACGTCCGGAATTCAAAATGTCTCCAGGATGTTCATCGGCCGATAGCATCGCTGAGCTCCGGCGATATATAAACGACTTGACTGACCTTGAGGCCATGCAGGTCGCTATCGGTATCGATATTGGAGGCTCTCCACCCCTCTATCTTGAAAAAATGATCGTCGTGTGTCTTGACACAGAAACGTACCATCGGCAGCCCAAGATGCTCACAGAAATTGGCATCTCGACCTTCACGCGGCAAGATTCCCAGGCAGCCCTCGACTCTCCAGGACCACATAGCGAGAAGGTCCTCAAGCAAATCTACCCTTACCACCTCCGCATGATTGATTCTGCCTAATTCATCAACAGGAAGCGGTGCAAGGGAGATCCAGAGCGAAATCGCTTCGGCCAGACCCGCTTCGTGAACAAAGAGCAGGCGATTATGGTTCTCGAGGAGATCTTCGCCTTCTCTATCAACGGACGGGATAAATCCATGCTCTGCCCAGTCGTATGTCTGGGTCACGGCGTATCTCGCCATCTCGAGACTCTGCGGGATAATCTGGGCTTTAACATCCAAAACTTGGGAACTATCGTCAGGGTTGTGGACATCGAAACTATCGACCACGATCTAGCATACTCGTCCTGGGATCAACCCGTCTCCCTTCGTACCATTTGCGATGGCTACTATATCACTGCCGAAAATTTATATACTGCAGGAAACAACGCAATGTACACCGCCATCTGCGCTGTTCGCCATGCTATGGGTAGAGACACTGCGAGGGAAGCTAGAAAGCCGATGGATGAAGTCGTCGAGGAGATTGCGGAGCATACCAAGGGCGTCGATCAACCTGTTGGCAAGAAGAATCTTTGCACTAGGTGCGGGCGATTCAACCACCGTATCCCACAGTGCAAGGCAGTGCACGTTCGATGCTCGACGTGCGCTGAGAAAGGTTTCTGGAGAGCTAGCAAGATGCATGTGGATAGTGTCTGTCCCCACAAGGGATGGTCTTGATCTGCGTTTTGCTGTTCAGATGAAGTGAATTTGGCGTTCTGGGCTTTATATTTTCTTGTCTTTCTGCTATGGGACAGTTGGAATCTGCGAACTGCATTCCTGTGGTATCGTCGTGAATTGAACTGACCCAGACATGGAACATCAAACAATATCACATTTCTTTTCAGCATATCAATTTTTCTCCTTGAATACTGACTATGTGTTCAGCCGTGTGTGGTGCCGTGATGTTAAACACGTTTTTCAGATAAATAGTCGGAAGTATAGGATAGGATGAGCCAAGTTGGTGGAGCATGTCTTTGTATGGCTCGAGTAAGATGCAGTGTGCATAATACTTTTATTGGCTTTCAAACTCAAATATGTTTTACTGGCTTTCAACCTCACATGTGCATACCTAGGTACTCGGGTAGACAAACAGCCGCAGAGGATACACAATCTTATAATTTTTTGATCTTTTAATAGCATAAAGCAGTAGATTTGCAATCAATGTAATGATTCTGAGTGGAGTCTGAACTTAGCATCAACAAGCACAAATACCAGCGGGGTGATTTGTCCATGCTGGGTATTATATTGCATTCTATTAGGTCAGATCTCGGGAAAGTTTCCTTGTACGGTGCCATCTGGGTCTGAGATTCATATTTGATCAAGCGTTGACGCGCCGCTACCTATTTGACGTGAACCCCCATTTGCAATTTGACTCCCGAGGATTTCCATGTACTTTGGACATGCACATGGAAATTCCGGAGCTGCCTCTCCCTGTGACTGAACACATGCATGTGTCTTATCGTGGCTTTCCCGACTAACCCATAACTGGACTAGCGTGCCGTGGATAACGCCTGAATAACCTCGGTCTGACGAAGCCGCGCCGCTACAAGCATCATCGCATCTTCTGGAATACCGAGACCGGGACGACAAAAGCAAAAACAACCACCAATTCTGCCCCTTCTGCCATTTGAAACCCGTCCATTCGGCACGCATAATACCCTTTTGACGGTGGATCTAGAAAACCGCCTCGTCTTGCTGGCTGGAAGTGAGTGGCAACGGCGCGCCAGAGTAATCGTCACGTCAAGTGGATAGACCCGCGTGCAGACACGACCAGCGAATAGACGCCTCACATCTCATCTGCATTGAAACGGCTGCTACCCAACGAGGCAACGATAGTCCCCGAGCGAAACGCAACGTCCATTGTATATAATCGGAGCTTCCCCGCCGGACCATGGGCAAATCATCCTCCAAAACCATAATGGACACAAAGGTCCTCCCCCTCATCCCTCTCGCCCCTCCGCTCGCCGTCCTCCCCTCCACAACCCTCAAGATCCCAATCGCGAACCGCTCTGATATCGCTGCTATTCTTGCCAAGATCTATTCTATCTCACCGAATGCACGACCCGATGCCGCCATCACCGTTGCCTGTGTGCCGCTCAACTCACTGCATGTGGCACCTTCCGATGGGAAACTGCTGATCGATGATGGGAAGGAGAAGGAAGGAGAGGCGTACCAGATAGATCCCGTACACGCGACCAGGAGGGATGTCTTTGGGTATGCGTGCGTGGCAAAAGTCAGTGGTGTGCAGGGGAGACGGCAGGGAGAGCTGAGTTTGGTGGTCGAGGGACTGGAGAGGGTAAAAGTTGTGGATGTTGTACAGGAGAGGCCATATTTTGAGGGTGTGTTGGGTTCCTGTGAGGAATTCGGTAAGTTTGGACCCCCTTCACCTTCAGATGGGTGACAAGGTGTACTGATTACTGGCACAGTTGATGTCACCAGCTCGGAACTCGCGGAGCAGTTCAATCAGTTGAAGCAGCTTTCGAGAGAATTGCTCGCCCTCGTCCGGCTATCCTCGATACTACCTCGAACGCCGAATGTTTCGCTATCGCCGCTCGTAGCCCGAAGAATGGAACTATTTATACAGCGGAAGGATATTGCCGAAGCTGGAATATTAGCAGACTTCATGGCGAATGTGGTGGATTGCACCCATGAGGAGAAACTACGAATTCTTTCGGCTTTGGACGTCAAAGATCGAGTGGATCGTGTGATAGAGGTCTTGCAGAGGCAGATTAGCAGTATCCAGGGTAACACACGGATAGCCATTAGCACGGCAACGATGACGAGTCCAGTTGGAAATATCGATATCGACCAATTGAGACGGTTGCAGCAAGAGGCATTGTTGAGAAGAGGAAAGATGGGAGCTCCCGCGGGTATGCCCAATCTTCCCGGCGGTTTCTCCAGTGGCGGAGGAGCAAATGTGGGAGACGATGAGCCCAACGAGATTGAAGAGCTGAAGAAGAGGCTAGATGACGCAAAACTATCCCCTGACGCGGACAAGGTCGCGCAACGTGAGCTACAGAGGTTACAGAAGATGAACCCGGCACAGGCGGAGTACCAAGTGTGCAGGAATTACCTCGAGAATCTTGCAGAGATACCTTGGACAAAGATGACAGTTGACCAGTTGGATGCGAAGACTTTGGTTAGGGCACGCGAGCAGCTCGACAATGATCACTACGGCCTGGACAAGATTAAGAAACGGTTGCTGGAGTATCTAGCTGTACTGAAGCTCAAGGAGCAGGCGAATCGTACAATCGACGAGCAGATTCGCGCGTTGACAGAGACGGCACATCCCAAGGAGGAAAAAGAGGCCGATGCTGGAGACAAACCCGCCCCGGAGCCATCAAGCGAAGAGTTGGGTTTGCTCGAGAAGAAGCGTATGGTCGATAAGTCACCCATCATGCTGCTCATCGGGCCACCTGGAACCGGAAAGACATCGCTTGCAAAGTCCATCGCTACAGCCCTAGGACGCAAGTTTCACCGCATCTCGCTGGGCGGCGTCCGTGACGAAGCTGAGATTCGCGGACATCGCAGAACGTATGTCGCTGCTATGCCAGGATTGATCGTTTCCGGTTTAAAGAAGGTCGGAGTTGCTAACCCTGTCATTCTGTTGGACGAGATCGACAAACTGAGTGGATCAAATCACAATGGCGACCCCAGCGCTGCTATGCTTGAAGTGCTTGATCCAGAGCAAAACCACACTTTCACAGATCACTATGTCAACATCCCTATTGATCTGTCCAAGGTTCTCTTCATTGCTACAGCGAACAGCCTGGAGACAATACCACCGCCGCTGCTGGACCGCATGGAGACCATCCAATTGAGCGGTTACACGACATTGGAGAAACGACACATCGCCGAACGACATCTTATTCCCAAGCAGATTACTACTAATGGTCTACTAGCCGAGAACATTGAGATTCCCGTCGACGTTCTTGATAAGGTCATTATGTCCTACACCCGCGAATCCGGAGTGCGAAACCTGGAGCGCGAGATTGGTTCCGTCTGTCGCTCCAAAGCCGTCGAATACGCAACCGCAAAAGACACCGACACACTCTCGGCATACAACCCGGTCGTCACGCTCTCGGATCTTGACGCTATTCTGGGGATTGAAAAATTTAGCGAGGAACTCACTGAGCAGCACTCGCGCCCTGGCGTCGTCACAGGTCTCGTCGCATACAGCACTGGCGGCCAAGGTAGCATCCTCTTCATAGAAATTGCAGATATGCCTGGAAAAGGCCGCGTCCAGCTCACCGGTAAGCTCGGTGACGTGCTCAAGGAGTCTGTCGAAGTTGCCCTCACTTGGGTCAAAGCACATGCCTTCGAGCTCGGCTTGTCATCATCTGTCGACGAAGATATCATGAAGAACCGTGCCATCCACGTCCACTGCCCCAGCGGCGCTATCCCCAAGGACGGTCCTTCCGCCGGTCTCGCGCATACTATCGCTCTCATCTCGCTCTTCTCCGGAAAGCCGGTGCCCACGACTCTTGCTATGACTGGCGAGGTATCGCTGCGTGGCCGCGTCCTGCCCGTCGGCGGTATCAAAGAGAAGCTTATTGGGGCTCTTCGAGCTGGCGTCGAACGCGTATTGCTACCTGAAGGTAACCGCAAAGACGCCAGGGATCTACCAGAAGAGGTTACCAAAGGAATGCAGATTGAGTTCGTCAGCCATATTTGGGAGGGCATTGGACTTGTTTGGCCGGAGAGGTGGGGTGGCGAGAGGGGAGTGGGCTGGGAGAGTCGGTTGTAGGTGTCATTTTGTAGGTGTCATTTTGCCCTCCCCCTCCCCTTCCTTATCATAAGTGGTGGATAGGTTGGAGAACTGCTTTCTTTGTATTTTTGGGATCATCTTTTCTTAGCAGCGCATTTGTCCCCTCTGGATTTTGGACTTGGTTTTGCATAGGTTGTGATAGTCATTATCAGTTTGTTTGTAGTCATTTAATCTAGCATTTGTAAAGTTTTTTTTATCAGTTGATAGGTGAAGTGGTTCCTACACTCAAAAGGCTGATAATATGTTGCTTACTTTTCACATTTTGTGCACACATCTCGCGTGCTTTACACAATCTACGTAATTTTTGCATTTTCCTTTATTAATTGCTAAAGTCCTGTTTTAACACATGTAACGTAACCGGCAAGTGAGCGGCGCAGGCAAGCGAGCGGCGCAGGCAAGCGAGCGGCGCACCTTGTCAACTTTCCGCGCCTTCTTAGCAATGTATCTTAACAACGCGATAAAGCAGAATAATATAGTAGTTATATAAGATTAGCTACTACTTATAGCTTACTTCTTACACGTTTATAAATTATAGCTAGTCTCTCTACACTTGCTACAGCGCGCTAAAGCCTAACAGCTAGCACTTAATTAAGCCCTCTCTTAACGTGTTTCTCTCTTAATCTGTTGCTTAACTTTCTTTTAAGCTATTATTTCTTCTCTCTTTTTTTTTGTAAGCGTCTCTTGCTTTTAAATCTGCTTTTTTTTACGTGCCCTACGCGTTGTTGCAGCTTAGTTAGCTTGCTTAAAGCTAGCAATTTAATTGCGCATTAGTACTAATTTATAGGCTATTCTTTTAGCGCTCTTTTAAAGTAAATTAAGCGCAGCAATAATAAAAGCAAGTAATAAGCTTTTATGCCTTTAAATGCAATTACAAATTAAAGTTAATTAAGCTCTTATTTTGCGCGCGTTGCTTAGTGTTTTAGCTTTCTAAAAAGCAGCCTTAAAGGCAGGTAGCGTTAGCGTGCGAAGCTTGATATTAAGCTTGCTTATTACTGCCTCTAGATTGTATAAGACTAGGCTAGCGCCTTAAAAGCTAGAGCAGATATTTTCTTTTATAATTGCTTTCTTATACGCTGCGTAGAAGGTAGGTAAAAACTTAAGCTTTATAATATAGTTAATGCTGTTGCAGATTAAGTAACTAATTTAATTACTATACGCACGCTTTAACAGTAAGAAGCAGCCTATATTAAGAAGCTAAAGGAGGTGCAATAAATAGAAGGGCATACAAAGAGCAATAATATTGCTCTTCTTACAGAGCTAATTAAATTTAGCTAAGTAGTAGCTCTTGTAGCTATTAAGAATTAGGAGCTAATACTCCTCTACTCTTTAATCCTTTATATACTTAATAAAGTACTTTAGCTACTCTATAGTAAGCTTATTTGTAGTCTAGCTATTATTACTTAGGCTAATTAGCTAATTGCCTAGTATATTGTTACCCTTATACTAGGCGGATAGGTAGTGCTAGCTAGCAAAGATAATAAAAGGTAGAATCGCCTACCTAGCAGCGCCAATTCCCTAGATTATAGTTACTTACTTGTAATTGCTAGGCTAGATAGCTTTAGGTTAAGAGCATCTCTTAGAGCTAGTAACAACTAGCTAAGCTAACATCTTGCCTATCTAGAAGCTAGTTTTATTAAAGTTGTATATATCCTTGTTACAGATACTGTACCTAGCCTTTGTATGCGCTACTAGCTTAAACTAGGCCTAAATAGCCTAGGGGTCCTTATAAAGAGCTCTCTAGCAATTATACAGTTAATTAAATTACGTTATAAGGCTATCTGTATGCTTTATAAAGTTGCGCAGCTATTTTTTTCTAACCTAGCCTGCGCTGCGCTTAGTAAGTAGCCTATCTGCTATATCTTGTACAGCACCTAGGGTAGAGGGAAATCTACGTGAATCTAGGTTAAGTATATACTTAGTAATTACCTCCTCTTTTAGCTTAGTAAGCTTTTTTAATTTAGGCTAGCAATTGCGTTGCGTAGCAATTCTAGCGTGTTAACAGCAGAGCGTAGTTTTAGGTATGCTATAGATAGTAGCAGCACGTTGTCTACTTTGTATTTAATTTTAATTAATAGCTAGGATAGCAAGGTAAATATCTGCTTCTTTGTAGGGCAATTAAGTAAGATTTGGTTAAGTTATTGTAGTTTAGAGGTGATGCGTTGCAGAAAGTTGACGAGGTGCGCCGCTCGCTTGCCTGCGCCGCTCACTTGCCGGTTACGTTATATCAAAATGTTGCATTACATTTCCGTTGTAATATCTACTATCAGATTGTAGGTTTCTTTTGTTAGATTTCTTGTAGCAACGGAGGTCGCACAATTCTTCCCAGAAGCCAATACGTAACGCAATCAACAAATTCTGCACCCAAAAACCTCACATTGATCGTCGGCAATGCCAAAAGAATCGTGGCTATTCTCACCAGATCATTTAGATTACACCCACGGTCGTATGCTTGTCGGCGCACCCCATGACTGCCATGCTTATGAGAGCATTGACAGAGTTATTCTGGATTTATAATACCAAGTGTTTGTGCCGCATATAAAAGCGATGATTGGATAACAGACTTAATGAGCATTGCTACACAAGCTTGGATCCTGGCGGCTTTCTTAAACTTCCAGATACCTGCTATACTTGGGCTAGAACTTTAGAGGCAGATCGGTCTTCTGCAATCGACAGCATATCCCACTGATGAACGGCAGAAGTGCATTGACACGCTTTGTTTGCGTGTTTACGCAACGTCTCTCGGAGCAGTCGGCGTAAGGATCATGACGAATGACTTTATGGAAGAAGAGCGTTTTTCCAGAAGTGCGACTAAGGATGTGCAACTCAATCATACGGACAGGAAGTCTATGGTCCTCATATCACCCTGAGTCTCCGTAATCTGTAGCGTTGGGCAATTGAGAGCGAATGGGGGGACAATGAAGAAACGCGACGCAGCTAAGCGTTTGGAAAAATGGATGATGATTCTGTTCGACATGGACACGCCGACGGACATTCATATTTGATGTGACACATCAATGAAATATCAGGTCGATGAAATGCGAATTCAAGTTCAATTCAAGTGCCATGAGTATAATGATTCAGTTGATGGGTTTGATTGCAAGCTTTGCAGTCTGTAACCTTGGGAATAAGAGCTATCTCATTATGCCGAGGAGGAGATCATTTTTTCTCCTTGAAGCTACCTTCAGTCGTACAAAAAGCTTGTTGTTTCCTGTACTGATATGCCACAGACGCTAACTCCGACTCCTTTTGTAACGCTCGATCCCTGGTCGACGCTTTTGCCTTGCCCTTTATGCACGTCTCTGAAGATCCACAAATCCCAACGTGCAACGGATTCAGAATAGGTGAAAGGTTATGACCATCTGCGATGTCCTCGCTTGAAACTAAGACGGAAAGTTAGTATGATCTATGCCGGTTCATAAACGCTGCAATATGTGCTGGTGGCACGGGGTGTCCGCACAAATGTGATGTACGTACCAAGGAAAATAGTCACCGTCTTATCTAAAGGCTACGAATACCCGACCCCCATTATGAGGGTCTGGCATGATCTCATAGTATTCGTTTAAACCTTCAAGTATGCGCTCCACGTTGACGTGACCTTTTGCAACTATTCCGGTTGTCGCGCTTGTTGTATCAACTGAGGACCAGGACAACACACTAGACTGTGTCAAGTTCACGAGTTGTAGGTATTCCAGGAATCCGCTCCTTTTACGAAGTTCTTTGAAAACGCTACTCCAGTCATCAAGCCCGGATATTCCGCAATTCTTCAGCGAGAGATGTTCCAACTTCCGGGTGCTTTCCAGAAACATTGGACCTGGGAGGAACGAGCCGGAAATCTCAAGCCGCGCCACCTTTTGGAAGGGCAGGTCATCTACCTCTGTCAGATAAGGATTCCATGAAAGATATGTATTGTTCCCCTCTACGCGAAATAAAATATCTTTGGATGTTTTAGACGCGGCGTAGAGTGTTTTGACGATCTTCGAATGCCTGAGAGAATTTTCCCGGACCCCAAGATGGTAAACAAGCAATCGATAATAGTCCTCGTGGTCTACGAGTCTACTGGATGGGTCCAGCCACGTAATAGTATTGATTGCGCGACCTAAAATCAGTAGATTGTGGTCTACTTGTGGGGGCATCTTCATGGTCAAGAAACGTGAAGTCATCTTGCTGAGTTGGAGTTGCCATTCTTGTAGGTCTAGATTGCCCTCAATTTCGATATCTCCAAGAGGCCCGACGAGCTTTGATAGTGTCTGGCATAGATCATGTTGCCTTTTGACGTCTTCGCCGGCCATATGACCCTGTAGTAAGAGGTTGATGTTTTTCTCTTTATAATTGCTAAGATAGACGCCCCACATGACGATATGTAGGGCCCAGTCAACGGCAAAGGTTTGTTGTGCTAATACATGCATCAACAGGCGAAGATGCTCCGTAGAGTCGATGGAGCGACCGTCGATGGACATGGCTTGAAGCTTCTTCTGCAAGCCCATTGGTAAATTTTTGGGTGAGTTTTCTCTAATGGTGCAGCCCATGCGAATCTCGATCCCAGAGATGTTACTCAAGGTAGCAAGGCGGTGGAATGTCTCTTTCAAACAACGTACAATGGGTATGTTCGTGTTACAGGCTTGGCCGTACTCTTCCTTCATTTTCTGCAATGATGGACTGAACACGTTCTCTTCGTGATATGCTTCCCCATATTTCAAAGATATTGGAGGTTCCCTGGAAGGATCGAAGCTATCGAAGTAGATACAGCAGATGTCGATGTACTTGATGCACTGAGCGATTGCGGGATTGGCCATAACCGCCTCAAGAACTTGGAGATCATGAGGCGTGAGGCTGACGTGTATCACAGCCCCATTCTTTTTGCAGCTGGCGATGATCCTTTCAAGCACAAGTTCATTGAAGGTCTTGCTTACTAGCCGCAACACACAGGCATCGCGCAGAGCCAGACATTCCTGGATTTGTGCCTGTAGCTCGGTTGCAAGACCTGTCAGGTAGTCCATGATGGCGACCGTGGCGAGTCTAGGTAATAAGAGAAGAGCGTTGCCGAGCAGTCAGGCAGTTCACACTCCGTGAATGAGGGTTGAGCGAAGGTCGCCACGAGGTTAGAATTGGTGTACGTGGCAAGCCCAGCAACAGCCCAACCATTTGAAAATCTCGATTCTACAGACTGCTTAGTACGTGACAGTCTTTTATGAATAGTTCGTACGCACTTGGTTGCAGCGGTTAGATGGAAGCCCTTTCCCAGTGAAAGCTACGGGGGCAGCGTGATGTTGTCGAGTAGATGTCTTGACCCTGATTCCTGAAGGAGGTTGCCGATAGATCCGCCTGTCGTCGAGGGCTCTCGCGCAGTGAGGGTGAGCGAGCTGTGTTGGGGCAGCTATTCAAGTAGTCATCCACTTTCTAGTCCCGAAACTAGACCAGGGTCCGTGCGTTGGTGTAACGTCGTAGTCACATGTCTGGCGCGCTAGTAAATGTCGGCCAAGACCCGACTTCACCTCAATGATCTCGTCACGGGTATAAAAATAGGAAAAAGACCAGTCCGAATAGAATTTGCGCACAGCATTTATCAATCGATACTTTAGAATACTATATGTAGCACAAACACTCACACGTAACACAGTGTTCAATCGCGTGACGATTACTGGTACATACCTACCTAGGTATGTACGTCTCCTCGCTACCCATTACATTTCATCTTTACAACTTCTTTACTACACTAAGAAATATGGAGATTCCAAAGACCGAGACGTGAGATGCAGATCTTGCCAAGGTGCCTGGCACGACTAAAACTGTTCTGCGAGCGGGAGTACGTATTTCATACTAGGTTACCAGAAACGGTGCACATTAAAACGACACACTGGGGTAACTTCCAAAACACAAAAGTAGCCACTAAGCAGCCATGTTCAATCCTCCCCGGCGAGCTATTCGAATATCGACTGCTTCTTTTGGCTGTAACCGGACTATCGCTTCAAGATCTATTGGCAGAAAACCGAATATTGCGCTTAAGAGAACCCAAGGTCTGGAAAATGGACGAAAGCTTTGCGTGCTGATGTTTCGAAATCACTAGCCTGAACGAGATCTGGTGATCAAATTCTCAGAAAGGGAGATTCATTTGTGGTGTCCTGACTGATGAAAATAAAGCATGAGCATTGCATTCGTGTAGTTTTCTTCTTCTCCATTCGTGAGTATAAGATTTTCGTTGCCAAAAATAGGAAGTAGTGTACGATTGCCAGTCATTCCTACCGGATCCTGACCGGTCTTATTGCTTCGGAGTGGAAGGCAACTCAGCGAGCATAGGAGCTGGCGGCTCCGCCGACAACTCTGCCTTGTATTCGGGGTAAGTGGGTGGCTCATTGTTGCCAGGGTGTGGAATTTTTTGTCTCTGTTTCCTCCGGCGAAACAGTATCAGTGATCCAACCAAACAGACGATAACCGCCAGTCCCACTCCAACGCCGATCCCAGCGATTGCACCTTTCGACAGTCTTCCGCCACCTCCGTTGATTGGTTCAGTAGACGATTTAGGTGGTTGAGATGATGTTGCGGGGCTCGTCGAGGACGATAGTATTGATAATGAGGACGACCTTCCCCCTGGAACGGTCCGAGATGTGGCTGGCGTATCTATCGATGATATTGCAGCTGGGGCGCTCGGTGACGCAGACTGAATCGCAGTACTTATTGCGAAGTAGCCAGATGGGGGGACGGAGAAAAGCGTTGCGAGTGATGAGGGTGATGGAGCGTTGAAAAACTCGTTCGTGACTTGAGTGCAGTTTGGGCCGCCTTTGGTGGAGTCGCCGCAACACGCCCAACGTCCATCCGCGAACACAACGTCGGGCCAATCGTGATCGGCTATAAATTATCATTTAGAACTGCCATAGAGTCTTGCGATGTTGCGGTAACGAGCCAGGGAGAAAAGAACTCACCACATATGCCATGTTTACAGCCTTCGCCATCCCCGGTTTTGCTTGTACACGGCGCAACGTAGAATCCACTTGTAAGCTCCTGGGAATGCGTGAATTTACAAAGTCCGTCTGAAAGGCATTGATCGCCCTTGTGACAGCACATCACATCAGGAGATGTGGTGTTGACATTTCCACATGGAAACGCTTCCTCCCACAGTTTGGGGCCAGAATTCAGCACTTTGTAGCAAGAAAGTGAGCCCGACGTGCCCGATGAAGGGTAGCTTGACATGCCGAGGGAATATGTGCTAGCGCGCTCCAGAGCACTTTAGAGGGGTAGATGAGATTAAGAATTCGAAAAACCTTGGAAAGGGGAGCGGTTGCTGACACGTTTATAAGAGAAATGTGCGGACTCTACGAGGCTGAGACTAATCTGAAGCCCTAAGCGCCATTGTCGTATCTGCCAAAATCCCGCCCGTAATCTTTCTATAGCCCCCTCGTATCCACCATTTCCACCTCTTGACCGATGTTGGCATGCCAATCATTGAACTGCAACCAGCCAATGATAGGTCATTTGTTTCGCTATCTTTCATCCGCCCCCACACGCGGCATTCCATCGCTAGTCTAAGACTCTAAGTTGTGGGTTACACCACGATGTCGATACTTTGATCGTAGTCGGAGATTATTCGACTACCGATATAATCTGAGTACTTAGAATTTACGCTACCCTTAATTAGAGCTTAGCGCCAGATAATGCCTAACAATTCAGTTCATCCAGTTTTACTGCGTGAGGTTTGCAAGTAATATGGTTCTCGATTTGGGGATATTTCTTTCCCTTCGCCAAAGAACATGAGAAGAATTCTCGGAGCTACAAATGATCCCGAAATAAGACGGAAATAAGATCGCTGTCCATGCAAGAATAGTTTGCTCTGCTAGTCTTACGAAGGCGTCAAGCTTTCACGGAATCCATTCGTTTTTTACTGACAATTCGTAGAATCATATACGCCGAGCCAATAAAATGGATCACCGTTTCCAAGCGTGTTGTTTGTGTAAGAAATAGAGGCGATGGAGGTATCACATCGTGGAAACTGCATACGGAAGAAGACGCTGATCTAGATGAGGAAGAAGAGAAAATGAGGAAGAGAGGCGTGCTGGATGGGATATATGCCGGATTGATCAAGAAACCCATTAAATTCGGTGGCTGTTACCGTCGGCCTGCTGCTGCGCTAATTCTTGATTATTTATGTCGATTGGATGCCGAGCAACTCACGTTGTGAACTATAGGCATTGTTTTACTCGGCTGCCTGGTAAGTCTGATTTTCCAATTTACATAGTACGGTCCAGCAACAACTATTTCGTGAAGATCTTCGTTGAATTGGGAAGCGGATTTGTGCAAAGACTTTCCAAAGTTCCTGGAATACAATTTTCGCAGCCAAATTCCGCGAGAGATGCCGAAAGACAGATTTAAGCCTTCTTCTTCGCAAGAATGAAATAGTGTGATTCTGAATCACTGTCCGCGTCTTCGGGCGGCAAATGCATCTCCGTCAACGTTTTGACGATTTCAAATCCCTGTTTCTCCAATAGAATGGCCCATCCCTTTCGCGTGAACAAGGTGATGAACGTCCGTGCACCCATGAACCTGAATCCAATGTCTCGCGCACATAGACCATCAGCATCGTAACCTTTTCCCTTCTCCTCGGGAGCGCAATCCTCAGCTGGGATTGTGCAGATACACAATAAGCCACCATCCGGCAACCATGCACTCCATTTTTTTGACATGGATTCGATACCCTCCCTATCGAGCAAGAACAGTGAAAGGATGTTGAAGACAGCGTCTAGTTGTACCCCCTCAGGTGGTGTGTAGTGTCGCATGTCTGCAACATCAAACGTACCACTAGGTACAGCCTTGCGACTCAACTCAATCATGGCGGGTGAGATATCAATTCCAAGGATGCGATGCCCAGCTGCTGCCAGAGTGGTGGCTACTGGATTGCCTGTCCCACAGCCGACATCCAAGACAAGGGACTCGGGGGGCATGCTGGGTAGGATGGCTTGAATGAAGCCGAGAAGACCAGCGTCGTGGCCGAATGCATCTTCATACTTGCTGTTAATCGAAGAGTAAAAGCTGGCGTCGAGCATCATGGTCGGATTGGTAGTCGGCGGATATTGAACAGAAGAGTGGTAAGGAGTCCGACGTTGAGATTACAGTCGTTGATTTTTACGCAAAATGACATGGAGTATTTTCGGGGATTGACCAACCACCAGAGTGGGGCACAGTGCAGTCTCTTCACAGCTTTGGTAAGCTCAAAAGCCGCAAATTGGTTGTTGGGGGCAGTAAATCCAACAACCAATAAAACGACGTGGAACCGCCACTGGCCCTCATGAATTCATATATACGTACCTCTATAAGAAAGTCTAGAATCCGCATGCTGAATCCCCTCTTCAGCGCACGTATTCAGAAGTGGAGAAGCGAGAAGCGAGAAGCGACAGGTCAGCGGCCAAATTAATATATCTGTAATTCACGAAGAGCAACTCTGTCACGTTAAAGCTAGAGTAGAACAGATTTGATGGCTTCTATTAGATCTTCCATCGACCCTGTAATCATCTACTTCTTTATTGGAACGATTCAAAGCCGGTACCCGTACGAGAAAGTGCACTCTAACTACTATTTTCTGACATTCATTGTCACCTCACTCCTCATTGAAATGGAGTAACTGTTATCCTTGTTCCGATCTTCATCCTAGCACTCTCTCACGAGGTATCAGCATTCAAGTTTCCTGTCCGCATATTCTGCAATTCGATTTGTCCCTTACTTCCAGTATTTATACCACCCAGATCGTGCGTAGTTTATTCTTCACTCAATCTTCTCACACTCCACCAAGCAGCTTTAGGCCGAGAGCGGAAATTTCTCGTCAAAATCGATCAACTAAAAGAAGAAATCGAAAAACTGGAGATCCAGATAGATGAGAAGGATGACCCAATCACCATTTTTTTGATGACGAAGACGGATCCGACAAAGGGGAAAACCCTCAAGGATCTTGAGCATTCAACCAACAACCCATGACCGGATACATATGTTCTGTTAATCCTTCTGTCTCATGCCGTGTACACTGGAAGAGAGCGTAGGATTGCCATTTTTTTGTTCGTTATCTATATTGTCTACATCTGCTTTTGGTCATTCATGCTCGTTTGGATCTAGACATCATTCATGGGTACGAGCTACAGCTTGGTCGACGATGGTTGCGTCACTTTCTTGGGACTGAAGTTGACAAAGTGATGTTGGTATCAGCATGTTTATTGTAATATCGATTCTCGATATATTGTGACACAACTACGCCCCATGTCTCACCGAATGATCAGTCAGAAAAGCCACAGTTGGCACAGACCATGTCCGCGCTCTTGTTCCAGTATATCGGTTATATTATCACTTATCTGGATTCAGGGCGTGGTCTTTGTATCTAGTCGTCCATGATTTATTACATCCAGAATGCGGAGAATAAAATTGAATATTTGTCTAATCTAAGAACGAAGCGACCGAGTAATTATTCTTTATGTTCCCCATCTACGAAGCTGCAGATGCAATTGAGCAGAAAAATATGTAAACCGCCAGTTACAAATTCATCACAGCATTTTAGAAGTTTGTGAATGAAAGACACGATAGCGCCGTGTGAGCGGTGTTTCGGCTGGCACTAGTGATCAAAGACACATACATCCAAGCGAAATTACAATCACCCTCTCGACGTCCCAACACAAAATTCGCTCTCAAACTCACTCATTCAAGCGCAGAGAAAATACTTTCAAGCTTAGAAAGTTCCGTCTGCAATTCTTCCCCGCCAACGTCACTGGAGAGCACGTTGGCAAGCTTTCCAAGGTATTTCTTGACAACCTTCTTAGGAAGAGACGAAGGTATCTTAGAGATGAGCTCTTTAACTTTATCCTCAAGTCCATCCTGAGACACCAAATTCTTAAAATGAGAAAGCGTCTTGTGGATCTTTTCCTGCAGCTCTTCGTTATCGCCGGACGCAATAGCGTTAGCGATACCAGTGATGAGCTTCTTCACGTCCTTCGCGGGACACGCAGGCGAAGTAGGAGTCGGATCCGCCTCACCGGAAGATTTTCCAGTCGGCCTCACAGCGGTCTGGAAAGTGGTCGGCGCGCCGGACGGCAACGTAGGCTGCGCAGTGATGAGGGGTGCTGCTCCACTGGAAGTTGCGCTGGGCGCTGCATTGCTCGATGACCGGGCTGCCATGGCTTCCGTGTACGCACGGTACGCGGACCACGCTGCTGCTGCGTCTGCGGGGTCGATACTGGGGGCTGGGATGGATGGCATTGCGGTGTCTAGCGCGTCGTGGAGGGCTTGGTCTACGTCGGGGTTCCAGGAGCCGCCGCCGATGAGTTGGGCTTGGACACCTAGCGTTCCGGCGCCTAGGGCGAGAATGAAGATTTTGGAGAATACTGGCATCTTGGAGGTAGAGATTTAGATCAGTTGGGTTGGTTGGTTGAGTCGGAAAGTAGATGTGCGTGGTCAGTAGAATAGAATGAATGGATAAACGAGTGGAATGAAGAGCAATAGCTCTCAAAAGAAAAAAAGAGCAGTCAATGAATGAAATGAAGATGGAAAGTTTGAAGTTGCAGTACAGTGCTGGGATTATAAATGTGTCGTGAAGAAACTGGAAGCGATTCAGTTTTATATCTTCCTGAATGCAAGACCGGAAGAGAAAATGCTGTGTCAGCCACCTTTTCTTGTGCATTCTATTTATGCTTGGGGCGTTTACTGAGTCGTTTGTTACGATTTCTCATATTCTGACGGGCGTATGTATAATCAGGGCGGGAAAGCGGTATACACATGAGGATTAGCGACGGGCGTAAAGCCCGCGTCCTCAATGAGGTAATACACTTGATAAGACACGAAACCCGATCAAAGAAAGGCAACGATTCAAAAGTGGTTAAAATCAACTCCCCACGCGGAAATTATCCGTCATGTATGCGAATTTGTCAGTTCGGGCAAGCGCGTGCGCACATTACCTCGTTATAAATGGACATGATGGTGAATCCTCAAGCTCACAACTACGCGTTACCCTTCAACTGCTGTACCCAGCCAGCCGGACAAGTCCCCGTACACGCCAGCCCACTATCCGCATTCATATTACTACAAAGAACCTTCGCACTCCCTCCATCCTTCGGCTTGATATCGATACCCTTGAACTTTAATCCCGTACACGGCGTCGACTTACTACAGTAGATCCCCGCTGCAACATTATACCGACTTGTCCCTGTGATATTCTCCCATGTGATATCACTGATCTTCAGCCTACTCGCATCGCAGTTCGTGTAGCTGTAGATGCAGGGAGATATGTAGATGGGCTGGTTCACGTCCTGGAATTTAAAGTTGCGAAAGGTAACATTCTTGACGTGGCCTTGACCTGGGTAAGTTTTTATCCATGCGGCGTTGGAAGAGTGAATGGCTGTGAAGTCTTCAAAGAGGATGTTGTCGACGTAGTCGGGGACATTTGTCGGGTTTCCCAAAGACCCGATGACGGCTGCGCCCGATTCGGTGCATGTTACGTTTTTGACGTGGACGTTGCTGCTGTTGCCTTTGATGGAGATGCAATCCTGAAGTGCATGGTTAGAAGGGGGTTGGGAAGACGCGAGGAGGGACTCACATCTCCGCATGTCACGGTCCAGTTTTTCAGCACTATGTCCTTGGAGTTCCAGGAATCGAAGCCGTCGGTGTTTACAGTGTTCCATTGCGAGTTGGAGATGGCGCTCATGTCCAGGTTTGTCATCGTGATGTTGTTTGAATAAGCGACAAAAGTATGCCTACACAATCAGCAAGTTCTGCGTTTACGGTTTCAGTCACATACCAGAATTGTGGCTGCCTCCAGGTAATGCCGTCAATGAGCACATTCTGGGCTTTCCATAGTGTCAAACTGATGGGACGACCAGCCATGTTGGACCCGTTCTTGTTGACATCGTACCACGTTTGGCCGTTTCCGAAGAATAACGCTTTGCCGTAGCCGCGGACTGAAAAGGTGTCTCCACCTAAGCGGAAAGCCGTGCTCCGTTGAGAATACGTAACACCAATGCTATTCCTTGTCCAGTAATTGACGTCGGTCGTCCAGGTGAGTTTGCCTCTGATACTTATATCGCAGTTTTTGAGATTTAGCACATCCATGACCTTGGCAATGGTGTAGTCGCCCTCAACTATGTCAATCTGCATTGTCGGCGTTCGTCAATGATGCCCACCCTTTCATTCAGGGGGCAATGTTACAAACCTGGCCATTCTGCCCACACTGCTTGAAAGCATCCATGATATACCCCGAGTCATCACTGGAGCCGGAAGGAGTGACAGTACAAAGTGTGCCAGTTTTGGTCATACCGGCCAAAACACGGACCGCCAAGAGGGCGGCCACTGGAACAAAGCTTGTAAACAACATGATGGAATAAGCTCAATAGCTGTCAACTGATCCACAAGCAACGAAATGGCGCGATAAGGCTTGTTTAAAAGCTTGAGGGCTCCCAGACACGCGGCATGACAAGGATTGGTGCGAAATTTATATTCCCGGAATGCAGAGGAATTCGCTCATTGGTTATCTATTCATATGACTATTAGGCGACGAGAACGGTCTAAAGAGGGTTATACTAGAAGCAATATATTTGGCGAGCGGGTGCATATGCGATGGAGAAAGGGATTAGGCCATGAAGAGGTTTTAATGTTCCCACACTGGAAAAGTCTGTATCCAAGTATGGTATAGTCAGACCGCGCCTGCCTTGATCTTGCACAAGTGTCTCGTAGTATCTGTAAACTACATCCATAATTTATATTGCACGAGCATGTATCCAGTAGCTCAGCATCCGAAGGACGTCTCATTGCCACCCGCTGTCACTTCTGACAGGCGGCTGCGGTGTTCCAAGCATACTCAGCATGTGCTCACATGAGCTCGCAGCAGCCTCGCTTGTGAATTGATGGGATTCCTTGCAATTTGGATGCGTGAAAGAAAGCACGAACGAGGGACTTGAACCCCAGTCGCAAGGCTTGTAAGTCTGCAAAAGCGAGTCTAGAATGTCCGGTGAGCCATCACAATCGCCACTCCACGAAACCAGCAAAGTCATTGCTCGTGCGTCGACAGTTGTTCCGCGCATCTTTTGCCTGTAGTAGCAAAAAGCTGCATTGAGCAAAGGTTTGCATGCCTGAGTATTCTCGTGAACGGTAACGGTAGACATCGTCATAGATACAACAAGACTTGCCGGAAAATCCTTGTTCTCCAATCAGATAAGATGGGCAAAGCTGATTGCGCAGGTGAGACGTTGCCGCCTACATACGCGACCCTTCTCAGGCTTGGCAGCATGCAACCTGAGTATTACGGTATTACGGTATCGGTCGGCGAGTATCTGTGAGCGTCCATTGCAAAAATGAACGTCAGTCAAGACATACTTCTTACGATATTCCTAAATCAATGATGTGAGTAGTGTAGCCTGCTCCATGGAGCAAAGCTTCACTCTGCATCTTGTGCTCACTGATCCGGGTATAGTGACTTCATCTCTGCTGCCCAAAGAGAAGACATGCTCCAAATACGATGGAGTCGTGGGTTGGGAGCTGTGGTCAATGAAGCGAGCTTCCCTTGCTTTTCCCTTCCATAAGCTGTGTCAATTTTGTTTGTCTGATGAGAAAGCAAGCTAGTGGCGCTCCAGAACGACAACATAGGGAAGGAAAATCATTTCCAGTTTTCCGAAATCGCGACATGCATGAAAACAAAGGATTGGCAGGAATGACACATTCCAATGATCAATTGGCATTGCGCAAGCCCGCGTCCAGCGCCTCGGCCACTTTTTTCAACATGATCGGTTTCGTCAAGACATCATCAAAGCCGGACGCAATCGCAGTATCATGAGTGCCCTGGACCACCGACGCCGTCAGCGCAATCACATACGAGCGAGAACAGACCTTTCCGCCATCGTTTGGAGCATTCTTGTCAGTGGCTTGCTGCATTTCGAATTGCCGGATCGCTTGCACAGCTTGAAAGCCATCCATGACGGGCATACTGAGACCCATGAGTACACAATCGAAGGGGTCTTTGTCTCCCAAAATGGCGTGGGTGTAGAGACGGACTGCTTCGGCGCCGTTTGTTGCGGTAACGAAGGGGAGACGGAGTTTTTTGACGTAGAAGCAAAGGACTTTGAGGTTGATTCCGTTGCTCTCGACGAGGAGGAGACGTTTGAATTGGGCTGGGGTGGTTGAGCTTAATATGGACTGGGTTGTACTCGTCGGCGGTTCGGTGGTGTGAGGAGCAGTAGATGTTGCTTCGAGAAGCGGGTCTCCTGTAGGATCCTGGTCGACCTGAGGAGCCATTACCTCGTCGGCTTGAACGGGATGAGATGCTGGCGTAGCTCTGCTCCAAGCTGATGGTAGTTCAGGTTGGACTTTTGTGTGAGTTACGGTGGACATGATTCATGGAGAGACTCTGCGGGCTCGAGCTACAACGGCTAGCGGGGTAGCAGCCGGTGAAAGCCCGAGCACGTGTGGCTCACGCTAGTCCCGAGCCCTGTACTGACGACGGATTTGCGACCTCAGGTACCGGAATCACTATCAACACATCAAGCGCTGCTGATACATTTCCCCACATGATCGACTGAGAGTTGGAGCGCCGATACATTGTACATATGCATGTAGCATCAGATTTACCTCGTGCCGTCAAGCAGAGCTTCGCCCCACCTTTGTGGTCTGAGCTTGGTATGATGGGATCCACGATGTAGGTACCCGTCGAATTCGAGTGGTGTGGCGTCGGCCGTCTTCCCCAGCCTTTAGGACCCTGATTATGTATTATGGATCCCGCATGAGTCCAAGACATTGCCGACCACCCTGAAGATTTCCATTGCACTCGGTGAGTAGGTTCAAATCCTGGCTCGAGATTGCAAGCCGGCTGCAAACACGGGATTCGGATCACGTGGCTGCAGATGTTTTTTCCAGAGCGTGTGCCGATTGCTTACAGCACGTGCGGCTATCTCGGTGGCGCCAAGCCCAGCGGAGCCTAGCGGCCGGTTTGGGGAGTCCCAGGGCATCGGCGATCTCTCCCACCATCGACGATTGCCATGCGAAAGTGCTCCCAGGCCTGATCGGACGTCATTCCCGCCCATCTGCCTACAACCGCAATGTTGCGAGATGCCCATTGTTCCTGCTGAACACCATCCACATCCATGGCTCCCAGCGATGGTGCTCAGAAATTGATCTTTTTTCCCAAGGCGGATGCTGCAGTGCTATCTCTCTCTCCGCCACCAGATTACCCCAAAACGGTGGGTCCCATCTACGACCGCGACAATGTTGATACCCCGTGCTTGCCATACCCGTTCGATGCAGAAGAGTCTTACTACCCTCGCGCAAACCAACTTTACCTACCTGAACCTGCCCCAGTCCCGGACAAGCACTTCTGCATCTCGGATCGCTACTTGCGCGCTTCCCTGACTAAGAATGAAAGGTTCCGCCTCTCCATGCTTTGGTATTACACGCGCGACATTTTTCACGAAACAGAATTTCTCTCGGGCCTGCAGGAGAAGGTTCGAATTGCACAAGAGTCGACAGGATGGGAGTTTGCCATAATCGGTATCCTCGATGTGAATTACTACACACGTCTCGCCACCGTTGGCGTCCCGCTCGGAATCCTACCGCGTGGGGAAACCATCTGTGCCCATACAGTCGCTCAGCCTCCCGGCAGTGTCTTTTTGCTACCGAACATGTTGGAAGATTGGAGGTTCGAGAAGTCGCCCTACGTAGAATCTGGTGGACTTCGCGCATACGCTGGTGTGCCGCTTCGACTGCAGAACGAAACTGGACAGACAGCCTGCCTAGGCTCTCTGTGTGTAGCATCACCATCGCCCCAGGCCCCATTGACACAAGCACTGCAAGCCTCGCTAGCCCGCCTGGGTGATTGGGTCGTCTCAGACATTGTTCATCTTACTAGAGCGCGGCGTCAGCGCGCAAGACGCCAGATGGTTGATCTAATAGCTACAGTGAAATCGGAGACAGATCCTGCTATATCTGAAGAGCCCGTTATCCAAATACTCAAAACTATCTATCCCGACGCGACCATTACTCTCCAAGCTTCGAAAGCTGGTCATATCGAGGCCGAAGGGCGCGTTCCAGTTCCATTGTCTGAACTGGAAGGGGGACTGTGGGAGGATGTTGAATACATGGATCAATTCATCGCAGAGTGGAATCACCGAGATCTCCCTGACGACCGTGTGGTGCGCATCATTGCTGCACAGTGCGAGAGCATATCCGGACAGTCATTCCTAGCCGTAGGAACAAAGGATTTCCGGCTGGTGTTTGATGACATCGATGCCTGGTTCGTACACACGTGCGCAGGCATCATCTCTGAGATTTGGCACAAGCGTCTTCTTGCAGAGGTTATGCTTGCCAAGGAGAAATTCCTGCGCGGTTTCTCACATCAACTCCGAACACCCGTCCACGGCATTCTCGGTACCGTAGAGCTGCTTGCTGAGGTGTTGGAGTCCCAGAAATCAAAGAGCATCCCTCAGCAGACAGTCGCACTACTCGAGGCGGCCGATGCTGCCAAGCGTGGCGGGGAACCGAGCGTTTACCTTGATACCATCAAATCGGCCGGCCGAGACTTGATATCAATCATTAACAACATGATCACTCTGAACAGGTGGGCCGACGTCGCCAAAACAGAGCGCAACTACGCAACATATACCATCTACGACCTCGAGAGGGAACTTTCCAACGAGATACTCAAGATGACTTCAGGTGACTCACGTTATAATGCCTCCGTTTGTTTCGAACATGACCTACCCCCGGATCAATGTAGCTTGTGGATAGACATTGGATTACTGTGCGACAGTTTGCTACCTCTTATCATCAATGCCATTCAAAACACGCCAAAAGGCAATGTTATAATCGCCATTTCTGCTCGCTTAGATACCAAAGAGCTTGTGGTTGACATTAAAGACACGGGCCGCGGAATTCCGCCCGAGGACCAGGAGCGAATTTTCGAGCTGTACGAGCAGATTGACACGCATACTTCTGGTTCAGGAATAGGTCTTACTCTTGCTTCCAAATTCGCGGCGCTGCTTCGAGGTTCAATCGATCTAGTGTCATCCGATGTACATCACGGCTCTCATTTTAGGGCCAAGTTCGGGGATGTAGATCTCAGATTCTCTGGATCATCGCTGTTGGATGAACCGCTGATTCCGCAATTACCCAATATACCAACACGCTTCCACGCAGTTCCATCTGGCACGGAACGCTCATCCCTGTGCGACCACTTTTCCAAATTCCTTACATGTTACGGATGGACATCCTCAGACGATGTTGAGGATACCCTCATCATTGTCGACTGTTCGACGGACATTGAGCAACATCGCGCGGTATTATCGCAGTTACCAGCAGATCAAGCTATCGTCTGCCTGATCTCGTCTTCTGATACCATGCCCAAGTCTGATGGTGAATTTTACAATGTGGTATACGTGGAGGGACCATTTTTCACTACGACAATGAGCCGCGCACTTGTGCGAGCCGCCGAATGCCTCTCGACTATGAAAGACGGCCAGACGGTTCTTACTCAGCATGAAATAGACCTCGCAATTCGCCCAAAACAACAAAGTCTCGTGCAGAATGACAGCAAAAGCGAAAAGGCCAGCCATGTCGCTCGTGATTCGAGTTCAGACAAGATGTCGCGCACCGATGATGTGACCGTTGACACATCCGAGACACCCTCATCAGCACCCACCGAGACCGCACTGGACCTTCAGGAAAAGCAGGATTCGACAGACTCATTACCCATATCAATAGATAGCTCTGGCGATACAAACTCTGATGATTCCACGCCCCCAACATCCGATTCCGACGAAGCTCATCTCACAACACCACGTCCCTTTCAACCATTCCCTTCATTTCCATTTCCGGAGTCCGCCTTTCACGCCACTGCCCTACTGGTCGACGATAACGCTATAAACCTCCGCATCATGCAATTATATTGTGAGAAACGCTCCGTCCCCTATGTGTGTGCTAGCGACGGCCTCGAAGCAGTATCAACCTTTCAAACCCACCAATCCTCCGCCGGCAACGACCAATCAGTACCGCCCATACAAGTCATCTTCATGGATCTCCAAATGCCGAAATGCGATGGCATCGAAGCTACAAGACGGATCCGCCAGCTGGAGACGGACAACAATTGGGGACAGAGTACGCTTTTTGTGGTGACTGGACAGGACAGTGCCACTGATCGAAAGGCGGTGGCCGAGGTGGGTGCCCACGAGTACTATGTGAAACCCGTCAGCATGAAGAGTTTGGATGCGGGCCTGAAGAAGTATTTCCCGTCATTCCAGGCTGGATGAAGAGATTCCTCATATGTGTCGATTCATCATAAAGCGGAATACGAGTGGTGGCACCTCGATTGTCGCGAACATAAGCGCTGAATATGCGCACCACGCAGAGCATACAATTAGGCTTCAGCGGAGCCTTTGAAATTTGAGCGAAGAATTACCCCATCATGACATGAGCAGCGGTTCAAAATTGCTGGCGTTCTTTCCTTCAACACAGAACCTTTTTTTATCGTCGTACATAGGTACATATGTACGTATAAAATCGACGCGCAAAACTCCATCCATTGGTGTGCAGTTCATCACCTTGCAGTCGGTTTACAGCTGATCGGGTAGCCAATCTTTTGCCATAGCAAATCAATATCTGGGGCTACTAGCTCCCTGGGGTGGGAAAGGGCCGATAAACTAGATTGAGTTGTTATTACCGATCTCGATCGAGAACCCTGAAAAAGAGACATGAGAATTCACTGATGTATTAACACGATTTCAATTTGTAATTGTATTGAAGGAGCTATGCTCATGAGCTCTACATGAGCTTTTGTAGACATAATGTTGTTATACTTCTACTTCATAATCCCTATCGGGTAGGGCAAAAAGAGATGGATCTGCACTCAGCATTCTTTAGAGGCATAATGTATCAATACTCATTATCTGGTATGATCCATGATCATAGCAAGCTGGAATTAAATTTTCTACTATGCGGGGAAAACCCTGCCAAGTTTGATGGTCTTGAAGCCAACACTATGCTCCCCACCATCGATTGCATCGCTGCGTTGTTCACGATAGACAATCTCCATATCAGCATCTGCTTGCCCGCTTACATCCTGACAAGCCCAACACCTCTTCCCCAACAGATACACAACCAACACCACTATTGATAGTCTGTTGATAACTTCAAGAGCTCTCAATCTCCCATCAACACAGCACTCATGCTAACCCAATTTAAGCTCATCCTTGGTAGACCCTCGCTAGCACGCTAAGTTAAGCCCCAAACAGTAACCCGAGAATCATGTACCTAGAAACCTACGTCACTTCAGCCTCTACACTCTACGTAAAATGGCAGGTGGCATTCTTAGGTTGGATCGAATCATGATAAGCCATTGCGAGCATCGGAGAATGCAAACCGAGGTGGAAAGTGGGGGAACATCTGGAGCTCGGAGATTTTAATATAATGAGACCCTTTTCTCGCGTTGGTTGGTTGACGTCGTGCAGGAGAGCCAGTCACGACACTACATGCACTACTCCGGAACTATGAATTTACTGGGCCTTGGTTGGGCGATATGCGCGTCATATGTTGTGGGTGTGCGAGCGGGATCTGTTCCTTTGGATTTGACGCCGTATTTTGACAATCAAGCTTTCGGTACCTACCCGGGTGAAGCTGCGTTCGATATTCTGGGTCAATCGTATCCGGCGACCACATACGACAACGATACCGATTTACTTTATACTTCTCGTACCGGTATCACGTATAATCGTCCCAGGTACATCGGGAACGCGACTGCGGACAATACAATCTGCTCAGGCCAGGCCATCACACTTCCTGAACCTTCGTCTTACTATGCTGTCTCATTACTGCATTCTTCGGATGTGCGAAAGAAGACTGTCCTCGGCAATGTAACGTTCACGTATACCGATAATACGACGTCTGTTACGGAACTGAGGAGTGAGCCCTGGTGGGCATTCCTGGCTATCAATCGCGGAGAGATTATATATCCTTCGTTTTATACGGAGAACTCGACGAACTTCAACACTAGCCATATTTATGAGTTTGAAACAGGGTTGGTACCGGGTAAACAGCTTTCTGCGATTACGTTGCCAAATACTACAAACACGACCACGGGGAGGATCCATGTTTTTGCGATCTCGTTGTGGGAGAATGATGTCGAGAATTCCGTGTTGGGTGTTGGTGTGCAAAGTGTTCGACCGACGCAGAAATGGGTTACCAAAGGCCAAGAAAAGGCACAGGTAGTGGAGGTGATTGTGAATAATGCTGGGTCAGAGTGTATACATGGTGAAGGACTGGAAGTGAGCCTCAAGGGTGACAACTTCTCGGCGATTGAGGCGGGACGGATAAAAAGACTATGCCCTGGCGATCAAAAACGCGTCAACGTCCCAGTACTCGGGAATGGAACAAGCAACATCGAAGCTACCATCTCCTATGGCGGCAATAATATCACGCAGACGTTCGAGAACATTGAAATCGGACTAACAGACTGGACACTCGACCCTACGAACCTAGCGCGCCATGAATCTCCACAGTGGTTCGACGATGCCAAATTCGGCATATTCATCCATTGGGGGATCTACTCCGTTCCTGCATGGGGAAACTCTACACCGCATGAATCCTACGCTGAATGGTTCTGGTGGTACACCACGCACCAAGCAGCCGACAAATCCGGATTCACAGACTACCGCCTCCGCACATTCGGACCTGATCTGAACTATGACGACTTCATCGCAAACTTCACAGCCAGCTCATACGACCCTAAAGAATGGGTCGATCTCATCGCCGACACAGGCGCAAAGTACTTTGTCCTGACTACAAAACACCACGAAGGATTCACCCTTTTCGACGCCCACAACACCACGAACCGCTCGAGCTTGCACTACGGCCCCAAGCAAGATATTCTCTCTTCCCTTTTCACAGCCGCGAAAACATACCATCCGTCTCTGAAACGCGGAACGTACTTCTCGCTGCCGGAATGGTTCAACCCTTCCTGGGGCCCTTACGGCTTCTCGCAATACGACCGTCCAGACTCGACCACGCACCCGGGCATTATCGCGCGGAACCCATACACCAACGAAACAGAACCATACACAGGCTGGATCCCCGTTGACGATTTCATCGACGATGTCATGGTGCCGCAGATGGATATCCTAGCATACGAGTACGAGTCCGATATAATGTGGTGCGACGCCGGCGCCGCGAACGGCACCGCCGAGTTCGCGAGCCGCTGGTGGAATTGGGCACGGGACAACGACCGCGATGTCACTGTGAACTCGCGGTGCGGCACCGCTGAGGTCAACGATTTCGATACACCGGAGTATGCGACGTTTGCTACGCCGCAGAGGCAGAAGTGGGAAAGTAATCAGTGAGTGTCTCCGCCTTGCCTACTCTCACCATCATCACAGAATGGGTAAGAGATTAAAAGAGAATAATGCGGCTAATCTGTATATGTGTGCGTGTGTGTATAGAGGCGTAGATCCCTATTCCTACGGCTACAACCGCGCCACCCTCGACGAAGAGTACATGAACGCAACAACAGTCCTCCACACCCTCATAGACATGATCTCCAAAAACGGGAATCTCCTGCTAAATATCGGTCCACGAGCCGACGGCAGCATTCCCGACGCCGTAACCCACAATCTCCGCGAAGCGGGAACGTGGATACACCAGCACTCCGAAGCCATCTTCAACACGACATATTGGTTCCAGAAAGCAGAATATATCGATGAGAAGGTGAATGTTCGGTTCACGCAGACCGATGACGCTTTTTACATCTTGGGGTTGGAGGAGGTTGTTGATGGGAAGTTGGTGGTTGAGGCGCCGTTGCCGATTCTGGAGGGTGATCGTGTTGTTCTGCTTGGGGGAGATGAAGCGAGCGAGTTGGAGTGGAGCTTTAGTGGTGAGAGGTTGGAAATCGTATTCGATGAACAACTTTCGGGGTTGCGTAGGGACTGTTGGGGTTTGAAGATTGAGTATAGAGCGTGAGGCTGTGTATAACGTCCCTCTACGAGTTTTGAAGTGGTATTCGCAAAGATATAGTCTTTCTTACCTACGTACTAAATAAATCCAGAAAATCCAAAAGATTCGCGGGTTTCCTAGCTATACAGAACAAGAGGTGGCACTTTGTAGCTTGGAGTTTGGGTGATCCTAAACCCAACGACATCTGGATACAGTCACAACGTCAGAGGTACCAGAAAGACATGCGACCAGCAAAAACGAATGTCCGAACAAGAAGTGTAGCTGAATTTTTCTGGCTACGCTTCCATCGATAATTGCACATAGTGCGAATTACCAACGTAAGCGGGACACTGTAAAATGCCCAAGTCCTCTGAAGATAAAGCATATCACGTGATGCAAGCATCTCACATCCCCACATCATCAACATCTCCCCATTCCCATACCTCATCACTCCTCATCATCGATTCGCCGCCAAATTCCTCCCAGGCTAAACCCGTTTCAGGGCTAAATGCTCGTCTCGTGAGCCCAATGGCCGGGGTAAGGGATATATACATATGTATGAAAGCAAGTCTCGTTTATTTTGCTGCACCCCGCAAAAATTGAGCACCGTTATGCAATATCGCGTATGCACTCCACATCACAGTGCGCAACTGCACGTCTCGGGAAATTTACTGTTCTTGTTATTGTTCTTGTCCAGTGCTTGGATTTTTTTGGAGGCGGCTTGTTATTGGTAGTGGAGTATGTAGTCTTGGGTTTAGAGTGTGGAAGTGAGTTACGGTTTTTTTAATATTGCTGGAAGTTTGCATCTTGATAAAACGAGATGTTGGTCGGAAGAGAGGAATGCAACGAAAGCGTGTGGAAGAGGATATTTTGTCAAGATAACTCGCAAACCCACAGTTTCTTGGTGCATTGTGATGAGTGGACTTGATTGGTGTCAGCAGTGCTGTGAACTCAGACTTTGATCTACTGATTGTTGCGAAAATCTATAAAGATGTCCCATAACTGTAGCCAATGCAAATTCTTGACATTCGCCTGCATAGTCGTATATATTTGATCTAAAGTCTCTGGAACCGATCTCTTTGCATCCGTCTCGGTTTCAGCTGCTTATTCGAGCTTTTGCAATTTCAGTTGAGACAAGAAACGGTCATGGAGCGGAGGTGTTTGGTAGGCAAATCGCGTCTAATCTAGACAATAGTCGCAGCCCCCATGATTATTGTTCAAGACTCAATGTTGAGGTCACTGAGCTTTCATCCAATCTACACGATGGTGGAACGGTTGCCAGTTTAGGGAAACAGAAAGTCGATGTATCGACATTTGGGCAGACAGGAGCGGGAAGAGTGCGACTTCTTTGGGCAGCCCATCTCCTCGAAACTCCCAAGTCGAGATTAGAGTGCCCTGACTTGGAAATCAGAGCGATACCACCACACGCACCCATGCCTCCTCTTTTCACTCTATTCATGATACCACCTAGTGGTCAGACTTAGCATATACAACTCCTGTGAGGATATAGAAAGGGGTGGCTTAGCACTCAAGCGATGAGAATAGATGAATAGCTTACCGCTTGATTGGTAGGTGTCTCATGATTGGCATACAAGATAGTCTCCCATGCTCTCTTAAGATTCGCGATTGGTGGATCTAGATGCGGGATTTGCTTCCCGCTTTGCACCAAGACGATGCTTACATATTTGCCCCGTTCTGGATCCTTCGTTACATCCTGGGTCTGGCTGAGTCTGGATGAGACTCATTCGTGCCGCCTTGGTATCTCTTGGATGTACTCTTTCGATCTGTTAAGAAAATAAGAGTATACGGCTGGCAACGAGCTAGATCAAATCAGTCATCGTGGTGTAGATCCTCCTGATTTCTCCGAAATCCTACAGGAGTTTCGGGAGTGTGAGCCATCACTGCAGAGTCAGCCGATTTTCTCCATGAATAACACACCTTTTTATCTCACATTGCTTTATGCAGTGATGGGATTTGGATGTGCCAATGCTGATCTATAGCTCTGCCCAGCGCCGCGGAGATCGTGCACCTCACGGTGAGTGGCATCTGAGTAGACTTCATTCTATCTAGAATCGACGTCCCAGACCCGAACTGGCAAGGCCAGCTTGGTCAATCTACGGGTGCAGCCTGACGTAGGCAGCCACCAGCGGCTGAACGCACCCGCACTGTTTCATTTTCCGCACACTGAAATCACCACATCGCGAACACATTCCCATGTTACATTCGATGTTGGTGGCGCTTGGTAGCCGAGGTCTTGGTATTTGGTCCTGTTGTAGAACTGACATTAATTTGTTATGTGGAGGTAAAACAGCTGTAGTTTCAGAATGATGAGCTGACCCACCAATCAGATTTTCTTGGTGCGAAAACTCATTAGACACCAGGTGCCCCAACGTAGTCTGAGGAGTACAGTCAACGTTATTTCAAACGTGCTTTCCGAAGAAGAACGTCCTCATCTGAGTGAGCATGGGCAGGGACGTCGAAAGTTTCCATTCTTCGCCGTCCACTATTCGTGCATGCGTCTTGCATTTCCATCAAGGATCTCTTGATGCAATGAGCCAGTCCGCTCATCGCTATATCCTCGTCTACAATCTCCACTTGACAGGCATCAAAGTTGTTTCGTTTTGTTCTTGTCGCTTACTGGCAAGCTAGTAGAATGTGGATCTATCATCTAAAGTCCCCACACGAGTTCCAGAACATTGCCTCAGGCGACCCAGTCAGATGTCAAGCAGCAGACAGCGTATACTTTAATCTGAGCTTGGTACACAAGTCGATCTTCAAGATATTAGGCGGACTTGGCTGACGGTCACAGCGCATTCTTGGCTCGACCTACCAGAAACTACATTGGATCGCTGTTTAACTGATCCCGGGCAGTAGGTATGCTGTGATCATGCGTAATATCCAAATTGATGAACGAAAACTGTCGAAATATCGCAGCCCTGAAGCAGCACTATAGTCGAACTACGGGGGCCGTTGCGGAGGATTCGCATCGCACCGGTAGTCTGCCGGTATTGCTTTTGCCCGTTGTTTTTTCCGGGCGGGCAACTAGCATAATGTGCCCCAACCTTGGCCTTCGTATAAATATTAATTTCCGAATACTTGGCTACGCCAGCGGGGCGATGTTTGGCTGGCTCATTTCCTCCCACACGGCTAGCATAAGCAAACATTGCCAAGAGAAACAGCTAGATGAACTGTATGAAACATGATATAATTCAGTGGCATAACGGGCTTGGCTGGAAGCAATTGTCGTCGTTCAAGTGCAGTCAATAACAAAATCCACTTAGGGGCTAGACGATTATCCGCCAATGGCCCGAGATGTCAGGAAGTCGAAAAGTTACATAAATACTGCTTCGCCGCCATTGAAAGAAGACCATCGGAGCTGGCTCATTCGCTTCATATCCAGTACCATCACCGTTCCTTCGCTACAACACCAACTTCGCCTCTCTTCACCATGAAAGCTGTCAGCCTTCTTGCGCTCGTTGCGCCCCTCGGTGCCAACGCCCACTACATCTTCAACCGTCTCATTGTCAACGGTGCCTCCATCGGTGGCGAGTATGCCTACACTCGCAAGAACAGCAACTCATACAACCCTGCTTTCACCAACGACATTGTGAACTCCAACAACCTCCGTTGCAATGTCGGAGCCACCGCTGGCAACACCGCCACCTACACTGTCAAGGCTGGTGACAAGCTCGGCTTCAAGCTCTTCAACAACGAGTTCATCGAGCACCCCGGCCCGGGATTTGTTTACATCTCCAAGGCTCCCGGTGATGTGAAGAGCTACGACGGCTCCGGTGACTGGACCAAGGTCATGGAGAGCGGTCTCAACAACCCCAGCACACCCGGTGTCGATACCGCATGGGCCAACTGGCAAAAGGATAGACTCGAGTGGACTATCCAGAGCAGCATCCCTGCTGGAGAATACCTTGTGCGTGTTGAGCACATTGGTCTTCACGAGGGTCACGTCGGCAAGGCGCAATTCTACATTGAGTGCTTCCAGCTCAAGATCGAGAGCTCCGGAACTGCCCAGCTTGGCCCCACCGTCAAGATTCCCGGTGTTTACAAGACCAACGACCCCGGAATTGCCTTCAACAAGTGGAACAACCCCAAGAGCTACACCATGCCCGGCCCCAAGGTCTTCTCTGGTTAGAGTTCTGGAGCATCTTGTGGTTTGGATTCATTTTGTTAAGCGATCTGTCTGAAATACAGCAAGTAATGGATTCGTCAGGCAGTGACGTTTCCCGCGTCGCATGAGTGACCCAGCGTTGCATGGAAAGCACCGGTGATGGAAACGACTTCTCTTCTTTTCTTTGGACATATTTTTTTTCGTGCTTGACGCGAGGCGGTTGTCTTGAGTGGTGGCTTTTTAGGGCTGTCGCTCCGAGGTACAGAAGGTACTGGCTGGCATTTCGCAACCTTTCTTTTCTTTTTTTGTAGGGTGTCTATTGCTGGCATCATTATCATCAATCTTATCATCACTCATGTGCAAACTCTACCTTTTTATGGAAATGTGATGTTAAAATTTCGATGTGACGGTCCTGCCTTAGTGAGACTCACAGAAACGCAAGCCTTTTTGATCTCTCCGGTACACGATAATTTACTACCTTCTTGCAATAGCAACGATCGATTGCGCATTTCGTAGCATACGTGCCTCTTCGTCTGTAAGACAGTCAATTTTGACGTGGGATCGGAAATGAGGATCTCGCAATGTATTTCATCCATCATTCCCTGGTCGACTTCAAGGAACATAAAGTTGCATATATAATTCTCCCCCATCATCATAGTAAAGCTAAGGAAAGCATGCTCTAAGAAAGTCTGAGCTTGTTGTATATTGTTGATTTAGACAAAAAATTGTCAAAATAATCATACAAAGATATACGTCACTATAGAATGGAAGACATCGACGGGCGGAAATTTATGCCGTCTGGGACTTGAGCTCATGGCGTGAATAACGCACTCCCGGCAGCGCCTTAGGTGTATCTTGCTGAGAGTTTTAGTATAGAACTATATCCTGATTTTGCGGAGTGACTTAGATCTCTAGTCATGGGCGGTAATCGAGTGAATGTCAGTGTCACCTGATACTGTCCTATTTCGGACTAGACTCGGAGCCAGATTTATGTGCCTCGGACCGAACGCGGCGTCATCGGTCGAGGGCGTTTCTACCCTGCGTCACTATATTTTGACCCTTCCCGCCTTTCTCCTGCGTAAACCGTCTTAGTAAAGGTGTGTTCTGGAGTTTGATTCAATTGCAGTGTCGTTTTTCTTATCTCGCCGCCATGTCCAAACTTGCGCCGAGCCTGAAGGCTCTCATAAACGCAGCGCACGCGCGTCCGGGTCCAATTCCAGCTCCACGAAACATACAAGATGTATACAAGAAAATTGAAAGAGAAGCTTCTGCACATAATCTAGGCCGTCCAACATGGCTCGCTCTCACAACAGCGGCGACGATGACGATGAATTCTCCAGAGTCAATGACCGCGCTATACCAATCTGCGAGCGCGTCAAAGCCTGAGAGCGAGAGTGTCGCAGTAGCAGAAACCATGCGGGAAGTAGGCTTGAAGTGCATTGGCTTCAATGGTGTATGAGCCCCAAATTTCCACAGGTCCAACAGTCCACTGATAATCAACAGGTGCCCCGTACCATAAACATGCTCAACGCATTCCGCGCAGACCTTCCTTCGTCCGTCGTATCATCGCTCAGTACCACACCCTCACGATTGCCCACCACTTCCAACGTCGATTCGATTAATAATCGCGGCCGCGCATTGTGGGACTCCATCTACAGACCGCTCGAGAAGAAGTTAGAAAACAAGCTTGCAGATGCGCATCCTGATCTGCCAGTCTTTATCATAAGTAGCGAATACGGCGCTTTATTCACAGACCCTCCCCGATCGAGCGGTGCAAACATTGGTCGGATATCTACAAGTCTAGTCGCAATTGCTTGCTTGCGCGCGCAACAAGGTGTCGGACCACAAGTTCTCAGCCATGTCTTTGGTCTGAGAAAAGCGTGGGATGATGGAACGTGGAAGTCTGAGCCCGAGGCAGGAGATGAGGCCGCGATAAGATGGCTAGTCAGCGATGAAGGTTGTACGTGGACGCTTGAGAAAGTCGACGAAGTTGTGGAGGCCTTAGGTGGCGGCCAAGGCTCTACGTTTGCGCCCTTCAAGGCGAAGTTATGATTGCGGGAATAGCGGCATTGAGTTCAACGATTGGATCTGTGATTTCATCAGTCGGTTCACATCTGAAGCATTTTTTAGCATTTTTTTGCAGGTGAAATTAGGCAAAGAAGAACGTTCTTGTTTATGACCATGGCCATCTCGTACATATTTAGGAGAACTACCTACGAAGCTTCAATGTACAATATCATAAGACTTGGTTTTCGAAGCAACCGAGAACAGAAACAAAAGCTCACCCTTTACGGCCCTTCATGATTTCCTTACATTGTCCTAATGCGATTAGCTGAATAATCGCTATAGATGCTCATTCAGACCGTCGAAGCATGATGGTTCAACTCAATGGTGGAATAAATATTTTTCCCGACCCGACCTTTGATACCGCGCGCCACATGCTCTCACCACTCCTTGATCACCATCCGGTACTTGACCAAGATTAAGCTCCCACGAAAACGCTAGTATTTCAACCTTAATGCTTGGCTTATGCGCATCAGCAAATCTGAGGCTGCTGCCGTAATCCACTGTACCTCTTTTGGTAATTGTCACCCCCTGTCAGGGCTTCTCTGACATGCCAAGCCTCTGGAAAACCCTCACCATCGACGCCCGAACCGCTGCCTCCCGCTCCGCTCTACAAGATGGTTCGCTATTATCCAACGAGATAAAACAAGGGTGGTATGCTTAGAGAGAATGTCTGCGGAATAGCGGCAGAAGCTGGAAAAGCGGGCTAATTGGAGACACGAGACGTTTACGAGTGTATGGCGTTTGCGCGGTTGTGGCTGTAGTACCGTGTCCGTGCGCGTGATGCGCGGATTCGCGTAATGCGCGGGCAACAACAAAAACGCTCTACTAGAAATAAGGCAATAAAGCTACCTACAATTAATAGTATTACAAGATTTTTTAGTAAAGTATAAAGCTAGTAGCTGCAATTAATTTATACTATCTATATCTATTAGGAAGCTTAACGCTGCGGCTGCGGCGCGTAGAGATTGCTAGAGTAGCAGATTTGCCCTGTAGAGCTTCTCTAGTATCTAGAGCATTAATAACACGTTTCTAACGCTTTCTACTTTGTAGAGGTGCCTAAGAGGCCTTTCTCTTACTCTTTTAAGATAATTATAGAGCTTTTTTAGCATTATAGGCAGACTTTAGAGTAGCACGCTAAGCTACTTTTTTAGTCTTTTCTTTCTTCTTTTTCTTTCTAGCTGCCTTACGCGCAACACGCTTCTCTTGCTAGATCTTCTCTTTATATAGCTTAGCTGCCTTCTTAAGCTCTGCTCTATTTGCTTTTTAAAGCTATTAATTCTTTTCTTTTTACTTTTTAATTAATTAACGTGTACGTGCCTCTCTTACCTTTTTAGGTAACTAGAAGACTGCTTTACTATAATATTTCTTCCTCTACTAAAGGTTTAGAGTCTTGCCTTTCTTTTTACGCTTCTGCTTAGTAGATAGTACTTGCTTAATTCTATCTATCTTATACTTAAGTAGCTTATTTTAAATAGATAGGTAATAAAGTAATTAGCGTAGCTTCTAAGCATCCTAACTACTCTAATTCTTAACAGCTAATTGTACTAGCCTATCTATCTTTTGCTAGTTATAATTGCTAAGTTCTAATAAAGAGCTGTAACCTAAGTCCTTATTATAGGTAAACCTATTAAAGATAGGAGTAGGATTAGGTAGTGATATACCTGTTAAGCTAAAAGAGCTAAAAATAGTTAATTTCTTAAAAGAGGCCTTCTATGCTGTTGAGATCTTGGAGAACTCTGGTTGGGTTTCGCGGATGACTAGCGGGTAACACTGAAGTAACAAAGGTAGAAGTATAAAGTAACAACTAGATTGTATTTCCAAGAAGTGGGTTGTAACTTAGAGTGAATACAAGAACCATAAGGTCTTCTTGTCTACTGACTATATACATATTTTGTCCCATAGTTCCCATATGTCCCATAGGGTTTCATAGATGGGATATCGTGGGATCTCGTAGGACCCTGTGGGACACACGTGACTTGTCCCACAGCAACTTTCCGCCAAGACTCGTGGGACCACGTGACGTGCGGGGTGGCGAAGTCTATTGGTTCATACGTAGTGTCCTGTTTGCTGACCGTGAGTGTTCTTGTAATTACCTTCCTTCATAACCTGTGCATCCCCATTCTTAGGTTCGTAACACTACCCCCTTCTTCCAAGTTCTTGTCCTCATGAACTGACCTCATGGTTTCCAAAAGCACCGCTCATCGTCACGCCACTGGGGATCGGATAAACGCTGTTGGACAAATCGCCATGGTATCTTGTCAATATTGTTCGAAAAAGGGTTTGGAGTGTCGCATGTCTTCTTTGAAGAAGGAGTGTGGGAATTGCTATCGCAATGGCGTAACGTCGTGTGTTCCTGTGGAGGTTCCGCCTCCCAACTTCGAAAAACTGGACCGGGAACTGTTGCGTCTCGAGCAACAGGAGTCAGAAGCGGACGCAGCCGAGGCAGCAGCGTTGGAGGCCCTGGTTGCGGCGCGAGCGAAGAAGGACCGTCTTCGTAAACAGAAGAAAAGACTTAAGCGTCGTGAGCAGCAACTGATGGATGACTCAGGAAAATTCGTTGAAGAAATTGAAGCTCTTGAGGCGTTGGAAGGACTCAACAAGGATGTGGGCAACCTTGAGGATGGGTTGATGCCTGGTACCCTGGCTCTGGACTGGAGTTCGTACATGCCCTCTGTTTTGGAGGGTGATCCGTTATTTGACGAGGCCGTACTGGCTTCTTGAGGTTAGTTGTTCTGGATCAGCGGCGGTCTCCTTTTCCTGTTGTATTGTTTGATTTTTTGCTGACAGTTCGCCAGGTGTGCCTCTGGTTCCCAACTGTTGTCCTCGTGTGGGTATCCCTTCCATTTTACCAAATATTCTTTCCTTCCGCGGTCTAACTTGCATTGTAGTATTCTTTCGACTTCGAATTCGTTTTCTTCTTCTGTTTCGTAGTGGAATGTATTTTGTAGTGGCGTTCCGGGGTTCGCAGGTTCCAGCAGCGCTATGTGGAACACTGGGTGTATTTTTGCATCTTCTGGGAGTTGGAGTCGGTAGTTAACTGGGCTGACAACAGCATCAATTAAAAATGGTCCGACTTTGACGTGGTCCAACTTTTTGCTTGGTCGTTTTGTCCGAAGATTTTTTGTTCGCAAATATACTCTATCCCCCCTTTTTAGCTGAGGTGCCATTTTTCTTTTCTTGTTAACATATGAGATTGATTGTTGTTGTGCTTTTCGCATGTTTTCTTCCAGTTTTTTGTATGTCTCCTTGTATTGTTCTGCGTTTTCTAACGCTTTCTGTGTTTTTATTGTTGGAAATGTTTTTTCAAAGAGATTTGGATGTCTTCCGTGGTTTGCGAAGTATGGTGTTTCGCCTGTTGTTTCTGATAACTTGTTGTTGTATACCAACTGTGCCATAGGCAATAAGGAAATCCAGTTGTCCTGGTTCTGGTTGCTGTATAGCCGTAGGTACGTAATCATGGTTTGATTCGTACGTTCTGTTTGTCCGTCTGTTTCCGGATGGTAAGCTGTTGATAGCTTTCGTTTCGTTCCGATTGTTGCCATCAGTGTCGTCCAGTAATTGGAGGTAAAGAGCTTGTCTCTGTCGCTGATGATTGTCTTTGGTATCCCGTAGTTTCGTACTAACTTATCTAGGATAATATGTCCTAACTGCTCGGCTGAGTAGTTCTTATGGAATGGAATCATAAGTGCGTACTTAGTGAATCTATCCACGATCACAAGTATCGAATTGTACCACACTCTTGTGACAGGGTCCTGTGATGCAGGGAATCCTGTTACGAAGTCCATAGCAATATCTTCCCATGGTGTCGTAGGCACCGGAATTGGTTGCATTTTTCCGTACTTTGCGTGTGTATCATGTTTATTCTTCTTACATTCGTTGCAAGCCTGAATGTACTGTGTGACTTTCTCTTTCATGTTCGTGAAGTCGTAGTTTCTTCGTATATGTTCCATGGTTCGTTTAATTCCTGGATGTCCGTATAGTGGGTCGTCGTGATGTTGGCGTATGATGCGTTCTTGCCATTCTTCTGGTACATCGTTGGTAATTTGCATGGTAACATTGACTTCCTGGAAATGACTTGGTCCTATGGTTCCGTCCTGGTTTGTCTTAAGTATCGCTTGTCGTACTTCCGTTTTCTCGCCTGCGATGTCCGTTCGTCGGCTGAGAGCGTCAGCTCTTCCGTTATCTTTTCCTGGAGTGTGTATGATCTTGAACTGGTATTGTCCTAATTTCTCGGCCCATCGGACTTGTCGTCGATTAAGGTCCTTTGTGGTCGTGAAGGTGACAAGGTTCTTGTGGTCCGTGAAAATTGATAGTTCAGAACAACTTTCGCAGTAAATTCTCCAATGCTGAATTGAATCGTCAATAGCCATTAATTCTTTATCATAGACATCGTAGCGTTCTTCCGTTGACGTGAACTTTCTTGAGTAGTAAGCAATAGGGTGCCATTTTCCATCTTTTTCTTGTGTGATGCATGCTCCTAATGCGAGATCCGAAGCGTCGGTCTCCATTCTCATTGGTTTTCCTGATTGGAACATGATTAGTACTGGAGCAGAAGCGCATGCTTCCCGAAGTTTCCGGAATGCGTCGTCTTCTTCTTCGTTCCAGCGGAAGGTTTCCTCCTTCCTCGTAAGTCGTGTGAGTGGAATCGAGATCCTAGAGAAGTCCTGGATAAATCTTCTGTTGAAGTTGCAGAATCCCATGAACGATTGTACTTCTTTGATGTTCTTTGGTGTGGGCCATTCTTTGACAACTTTGACTTTCTCTGGGTCTTGCTCGATTTCTCCTTCCCGGATAACAAATCCTAGGAACTTGACTTGTTTCGCGTGAAACTCGCATTTCTCTGGTCGTACTCGTAGGTTTGCTTCTTGTAACTTTTGGAGCACCCAATGCACATGTTTCTGGTGTTCGTGTTCGTTCTCTGAGAACACTAGAATGTCATCTAGGTACGCTATGACGGTAATGTCTAGTTGATCTCTAAGGACGTTGTTCACAAGTGCCTGAAACGTTGCTGGTGCATTGGTGAGTCCAAAAGGCATAACCGTATATTCGTAATGTCCATAACGAGTGCGGAATGCGGTTTTCCATTCTTCGCCTTTCTTCATTCGTACCAGATGGTACCCGTCTCTAAGGTCCAGAGCTGTGAAGATTTTGGCCTTCGCAAGTCGATGTTGTAATTCTTCAATATTAGGTAATGGATACCTATTCTTTACCGTGTTGTCGTTGGTCTTGCGGAAGTCTACACACATTCGTAGTTTCCCATTCTTTTTATTTACAAAGAGGGTCTCGTGTGCTACTGGCGACTCCGATTCTCGGATATGTCGTTTAGCCAGTCGTTCTTTGATGTAATCTCGTATAGCTGCTAGCTCCGATTCGGATTTCGGGCGCAATGGGTCAATCGGCAGTTTCGATTCATCCTTGAGGATTATTTCGCAATCCCAGGGCTGATGCTTAGGTAATTCAAGCTCAGGTTCTAAATCCTCGAATAGTGCTTTGTACTTCCGATACTGTACAGGGACTTCAGGAGTTGTGCTGGTCTCCTTAACTCTCTTCTCGTGACCTGGTACCCAACCAGTGTCTAAGGAGTCGACCGCTCTCTCTGGGCGTATCTTAGGCGATGGCGTTGTTGCGTTAACGCTCCTCTCATCTACCACTCGCGGCGCGCGGTGCGTAGGCTTTGAACTGCGTGCACATTTGCAGTTCGCAAACGAAAGTGTCCCTTTGGACCAATCCGTCACTGGATTATGCTTTCGTAACCAGGGGAGTCCTAGTACGACGTCGAAGGTGGCCATCTTCAAAACGTCTAGGATGATCTCTTCCCGGTGTCCACCAATTTCCATAAACGTTGGGTTAGTTTCCTTATCGACCCAAGTTTCATTGGGTAAGCGCTCCCCGGTGACTGCTCGAATACCGTACTGCTCATGTTTTCCTCGAGTAGAAAGTCCCGCTTTCTTAACCACGTGGCTTGACACGAGATTGACTGAAGAACCGGTATCGAGTAGTGCTCTGAAATGGTGTCCGTTAAGCTCAACCGATAGCCTAACTAGTTTCTCTGAGTTCGTTGAACATACGGTTCTGTATGTATTCCTGGTGCTAGGCGTGTCCCTAAAAAAGAATGAACTGGTTTGAATCCGTTGGCGCATTTAGCGTCATAGTGGCGTTCGCAATCATCGCATAAGCAGGTTTGCCATGTGTTATCTCCGATGCATTGTCGGTTTATTGCGATCTGCATATCCACTGTTTGCTTTGGTGTCTTGCCTGGAAAGTTTGAACTAAGTCTCTTATCGAACAGGTGGATGGGACAGAAGTCGTTGTGACACTTCGTCCAATTGTATCCACAGATTTTGTGCAGATTGTTTTTTGGATAATAGGAAGCACCTTTGTCTGACTGGTGTGTCCAGCAAAGGTCGTACATGCAAGCACTGAAATGTAGTCGTCCATGATTCTGGTTTCGTGAGTCAACGTCGTACATAGGTTGACGCATGGATGGCAGTTCAGGTTTCTTGGTTTTCTTGCTGTCCTCCTCGTACTTCCAACAATCTTGCCAGTGTTCTGAGACATGTTGTACGTAGTTGTCTCCCCATAGGTCTAAGACTTCTGTTTTGGTTTGATTCGTTTTCCAATTACCATCTGCTGTTTCGTTCGGCAGATCCAGTTCTTCAATTTGTTTAGCGAGTTCGTCATCATCGTATTCGATGGATCCTCTCGGGCTATCGGGTTCCTCAGGAGATAAGTACTCCTTTTCCGAGTCTGATCCGAATCCCCGTGGATTCTTCGTAATGTACATCTGTTTAGCTTCTGGTGGTGCATAGTTCCTTGACGTAGGATTTTCAGCCCAGAACTGCTGTGTCAGACGTAGACGTCGCTTCTCTCGTCGATCATTCCTGCTTCTTGCAGCAGCTTGTCGGGCGTTCCGTTCCGCTCGACGTTTCTTAGGTGGTGGTGCATCTTCATGATGCTCGGGACCGCTTTCCGAATCTGGGTCATCCACCATGAGTCGTCCTTCACCCGGCGTGGGTTCTAGGATTTCCCATTCCGATTCGCCTTCATCCCCCCCGGGGCATGAAGACTTGGTCGTTACGTTGACAAATCGTGTGACCTTGTTCTTTGATCGACAGTTCCTAGCTATGTGGCCGGTTTTACCACATCCGTAGCAGGTTATCCCCTTAGGGTCCTTGCTCTTCTTGTCATACTTCTTTCTTCCATTGTTATCTCCAGCCTTGGATGGAAACGTTGCATTAACGTCACGTGTCCAGTCCATTTCCTCGGTGTATCTGACCCTGGGTCGAACAGGGACGCTGCGGCCTCTTCCCTGGGGAAAATAGCGAACAGCTTCCTGAGTCCTTCCGTAGGCAGATTTATAACCGTGGATCCCTTTCATTTCTTCGGCTAACTCAAACAAGTCATTGTCAATGCGGATAGTTTCCTCGTAGAGTCGTTCTAGTGTGTCCATAACCACACCAGACCTCATGAGTTCTTCCTTGACCTTGGGTTTGAGTCCTTGGCGATACAGTGCCATGAGTGCGTTGTCATCCCAGTCAGTCTGGACTGCGTAGTGTTGGAACTTCGCAGCATAGTCGGCGGCAGACTTGAACTGTTTGACGCGTTGAATTTCACGCACTGCCTTATTTTTCTCGTTGGATATTCCGAAGACCTGGCGGAGCTTGGTCTTAAACACTCCCCAGTTTTCGAACAGAGTGGTGTTTTCGTCGTCTTCGATATCGTCGTCCAGATATTTGGTGAGCTGAGGCGCGATCCATTTATGGGCATCACCTCGCATAAAAGTCGCAGCGTAGGTGGCCTTGTCGTCGTTCTCGATCTTTTCATTGAACTTGAAAAGCAACTCGAGTTGCAGGATCCATTCCTCAAGCTTGACACGTTCCCCATAGTAGGTGTCAGGTTGTTTGGTCTTGATGCTGACAGGGGTGTCGTTGTCCATATCGGGAGTAAGGGTAGGCTGGTCAGTGGTACTGAAGCTAGACATCTTAAGGGTATTCACAATGTTGAGATCTTGGAGAACTCTGGTTGGGTTTCGCGGATGACTAGCGGGTAACACTGAAGTAACAAAGGTAGAAGTATAAAGTAACAACTAGATTGTATTTCCAAGAAGTGGGTTGTAACTTAGAGTGAATACAAGAACCATAAGGTCTTCTTGTCTACTGACTATATACATATTTTGTCCCATAGTTCCCATATGTCCCATAGGGTTTCATAGATGGGATATCGTGGGATCTCGTAGGACCCTGTGGGACACACGTGACTTGTCCCACAGCAACTTTCCGCCAAGACTCGTGGGACCACGTGACGTGCGGGGTGGCGAAGTCTATTGGTTCATACGTAGTGTCCTGTTTGCTGACCGTGAGTGTTCTTGTAATTACCTTCCTTCATAACCTGTGCATCCCCATTCTTAGGTTCGTAACATATGCATTCTAGAATAAGGGAAAGAAATTACCCTTAGTAATAGGAGCTAGGCCCTAGCTTCTGTAGAGGTAATTTAAGAGCTCTGCTAAGTAGGCTGTTAATAGAGGCTTAAACATTGCAACATTAAGAGGCTAGAGCGTATAAGTTAAATAAAGAGGTAGGATAGCAAGGAGGATCCTATTCTAATTACAGTAGTTAATAAAGTCTATAGTAATATAGGATCTATAGCCATTAAGGACTAGAAGTTAATAGAATTATTAGGCCTTCTCCTTTGTACAGCAATTAAATACCTGTTTAAGCTAGGCAAGCCTAATATTGTTGTTAGTCTAGCTAGAGGATAATAAGGTAATAAAGACTTTATGTTCTCCTGCCTTAATATTCTCTACCTAAGATAATTAAATAGCTTTGTTAGCAGCTTTATAGATAAGGCTTAGTAGCAGAGCTAATCTATTAGCACAGATACATGCTAGAAGTGTAATTTATGCCTAGTTGCTATTCTAGAGTAATGCAGTAACCTCCTTCTTCTCTTATATTTGCCTGCTAAAGATTCTTTTTAATCTACTAATAATTCTAATTAGGAAGCCTTTCTTATCTATATTGTAGGTATAATAAAGATCTATCTAGTATTAATTAATCTTGCTATGCAGGTAGTTAAAGTAGAGGCAATATTTATCTTTTAAATTAGCTTTGTAGCAATTGCTGTCTATGCTAGCTGTCTAGCAAGAGATTAGATAGATACTGTAGCAGTTAATAAAGCAAGTAACCTAGCTCTTGCTAACTAGCTCCTTTGCTATTATAAAGGCAAAGTTCTGTATTATCTCTCTAATAGAAGGAAAGTGCCTTTCTGTAAGTCCTTTAATATACTGTACAAGCTCTAGCTCTTCCTCTAGAGTAAGCTTTTGCTAATTAGAGCTTTTAACTTAGAAAGGACGCGTTACTCTACAATGCCTTTAGATTAAGGTAGACTATACAACACTATATTTAGTAGTAAAAGCTATATATAAGAAAGGCTCTTTTAGCTCTAACAATTTAATATTAGTAATTGCCGCCTTAATTAGATCTATAACAGTGGAGTTATTGCGTGTTAAAAGTAGGGTGTTTTGGTGTTGCCCGCGCATTACGCGAATCCGCGCATCACGCGCACGGACACGGTAGCACATCGCGAGGCGCTGCTCTGGTGAGAAAACCACTGGATAGGGGTGGTGATCAAGCGGAAGCGCGGTTTGAAATCCTTAGGCCATGACGGCTGGCAACAGGGTAACGATTGCGCGATGACACGCATCGTGTTATATAAACAAGAGGCAAGTAGCTATGCTATTACAGTTCATTCCAATATCCCTTTCGTTTTCACGTTTCCTGTTCACCGGCTTGACGCTGTTCTATTCGTGTCTTCTTATTCCAAATTATTGTACCAGCTGGGCTGTAACTTTGTTCTTTCTCCACCTTAATCCCATCCAATTATATACCCAATATGCGTTTCGCTCCCGTTGCTATTCTCTCCCTCTCGGCCCTTGCCGCCGGCATGCCAATGGCAAAGAGGCAAGCAGCTGGTGTTCTTGCCGACACCACCTTCGACGCCATCTCCATCTCTGGTGGCACTGCTGGAAACGCTGAAGCCGAAGCCCTCGCTGTTTTCTCGAAACTCGGCGCAGCCGCGAACGTCGCTCAATCCGACATCAAATTCCTCAACCAGGTCAACCAGGTTGCCAACGACGCGGAGAAAGAAGCGTTCAATCCCGCGATTGAGGCGGCAACTGGCGCGGAGGCCGATGCTCTCGCGGTAAGAACTTCTTCCAATGAGAATATGATCGATAGCTTGACAGTTACTGACAAACCACCCAGGCTGGCAAGACCAAGAACAAGGTGCTCAAGTTGACGGCTACTAAGCTTCAACTCGAGGCCAAGCAAGCTCAGGGAGAGGATGTAGCTGACAAGCTCGCCGATGAACTCAAGAAGTTGAACAACAACATCGCTACCGATAAGAAGAATGCCGGACAGCCAAGCACAGCCCTCCCATTCGATGCTACCATCTCAGGTGGAAACTAGTTCGAATGACTTGTTACCGCAATACATGCTACACGCCAGTTCGGGCAATTGCAAAAACAGCAACTTAGACTTCGACTTATGAAGGAGAAAGGATTCATGTACATTAATTGACCACAAATACCAATGTCTATATCTTGTCGGATAAGATCATATCCCTATTAACAACACAACGCTACTATCAGATTCTATCGTTTAGATGAACGATGTTGTTGAAGTCTATAGTGGCAAACTGAGTTCACTTGTTCTCAAGTGCCGTAAAAGCTACTAGCTAATTCATTCAGCCTCAAACGCCCAACCTGCCACTAGCCCGAACTTATCGACACAGTTCGTTCCTACCACAATGTAGAACTTTCCGTTCTTCTGCAGAGCCACACATGCCGATCATATCCATTTCCAGAGCCCAGAATGTCTCTTAATTGGATTTATGGGCCCCACTACTCCAATAGCTAGCGCTGTGGCTACCTGGCCCCAGCGTTGCATGTGGAAGCAGTCCCTTATTCGTCCTGCAATCGATGGTTTGCAACATCTAATAAGTAGGCGCTGATTAAGTGCATTTACCCGGAGCCCATCTGGCATGTTATGATGCGACGTCCTAAACTCTCAACGATCACACTACCTAACTGCTGCGATGACACAATCCTTTATTTCATAACAATACCCACAGCCATTGATTGAACAGATTCATGGGGAAACCGACGCTCAACAATCCGCCCTCCAATGACGATTAGAGAAGCTGTAGATCCAAATGAAAAAGATATTGTGGTTATATGCAGATAGTCGACAAACAACCTGGTACTTGATCTTCAAAGACGATATGATCCCTGCCAACACATCACGGCATCTCATAAATTCATCGTAGCTTGGACGCCTTGCCTCGAAAATCTTCCCAATCTCATGGTCGCAATATGGAGAGAAAGTTCCGACTAATATGCGGAGTGACGTGAGCGCGTGGCATGACTTGTTGGCCCAGAATACTTAATCCCTCCATCGGCAATCGTGCCCGCAGGACAAATTTGGTTTTCTCGCGGGGCGTCCTCCTGTCGCATTTCCTGAATTGTGGAATCATTCAGAATCCATTCTCTTCAAAGCGCGTAAGAGCTGTAGGTCGGAAATGGCGCCCGCAATATCATCGCTCCTTTTACTCACATGTCTCCTCGCAATTCCTTCCCAATCGAGAACACTATTCGCCTTCGAACAGCAACAATTGACCAGGGAGTATGTCGCATCCCTGCCAGAGGAAGATAGACAGCTTTTCGCTTTTGACGACCAGTTCGATACCGAGATAGCGAGTGCAGCCGACAAGCCTTGCCGTTACAACTCAACAGATGGGAAATGGCCGTCGGAGAAAGCTTGGAATGGATTAGCGAAGCAACTCAACACATCGTCCTCTCTCATAAAAACCATCCCGCAAGCCTCCGAATGCTATGGGTCGAACAAAAACGTCGCGAAATGCCAGGAGCTTGGGAAAAATTGGGCGAACCCAACACTGCATATTGATGATCCGTCGGAGGTTTTGTCGCCGATCTATCAAGGACTGACATGCCAGCCGCCCTCTATATACGATAGTATCAATTGTACGCTTGGGGGATATCCGACATATGTAATTAATGTCAAATCGGTGCTTGATATTCAACTCGGAATCAACTTCGCCCGAAACAACAACATTCGACTGATCATAAAGAATACTGGACACGATTTTGCCGGGAAGTCAGTCGGCGCGTCTTCCTTGAGTATTTGGACACATGGGTTGAAAGACATTCAATTCTTCGACAACTACGTCGATGAGTCAGGTTACAAAGGCCCTGCAGTCAAAGCCGGTGCAGGCGTGCAAGCATTCGAGCTATACAAGGCAGTAAGCGACAAAAATGTAGTCGTAGTGGCTGGTGAAGGCCAGGTGAGACAAGAGTAAGAGCTTTTAGATACCGTACGCTAATTTTGACCAGACTGTAGGAGTGATGGGAGGATACATCCAAGGCGGTGGTCATTCTCCACTCAGCTCACTCTATGGCATGGCCGCTGATCACGTTCTTGGGTTTGAAGTTGTTACGGCGATAGGCGAATTCGTCACTGCGAACTCAACTAGCAACACCGACCTCTTCTGGGCTTTGAGAGGAGGTGGAGGAGCGACATATGGTGTTGTAACCTCGGTAACAGTGAAAGCCTTCAAAGACATGCCAGTGGCTGCCGCCTCATGGTCATTCAACAGCACCAAACTAGGAGCGGCAGGGTTTTGGACAGCAACTCAAGCGTTTATCGACGGTGCCAACACCTACGCAGACAACGGAGTGTACACCTACTTCATGATAGCCCCGAGCCCAACCGGAAAAGATTATACATTCTTGATGAAGCCGCTTTTCGCCCCCAATAAGACAACCAACGAACTGAACACGATCCTCGGACCATTCCTCAAACAGCTAACAAGCAAGAACATCCCACTATCTCCTAAAATCACCGGATACAAGGGCTTTTACCCTGCATGGCAAGCGGAATTTGGACCAGAAATGGGGTCAAACGTTCAAACAGCTGTAGGTTCGCGTCTATTCCCACGATCCAACTTCGCCGACGACAAATCCCGAAATACGACCTTCATTGCGCTTCGCGAAACTGTCGAGGCGGGACAGCCAATCATTGCATTCAATATCGCACCCACTTCCGCTCGTGGAGGCAATGTAGACAATGCGGTGAATCCAGCCTGGCGCAATGCCGTGATCCACGCGATTATGAGTCGCTCTTGGGATGCGAAGTCTTCGGTGACTGATATCCTCACGGCACGCAAGTCTTTCACGACCGTTGCAATGCAGAAGTGGAGAGACATTACAGCTGGTAGTGGCAGCTATCTGAACGAGGCAGACCGGATGGAACCAAATTGGCAACAGAGTTTCTTTGGCGACAAGTATACAAAGCTGCTTAGTATTAAGCAAGATCGCGATCCGAAGAACGTGTTTTGGGCTGTGAACTCTGTGGGTAGTGAGGGTTGGGCTGTGCAGAGTGTCGATGGATTGCCGAATGAGAATGGGAAATTGTGCAAAGTCTCCGCAAGAACTTCTGAGTAGATAGTCCAAGTTGATTCGGAAAGATTAGAGTACATTTCAGAGCTACCAAGGGAAGCAAGTCGTCTCATTCACTATTGACCTAGATAATCTAAGATTTCTATTCATTGTACGACTATGCGGTGCGCGAAAACTAACCCAGGTTGTATGCTGGATTTGATGATTCACTGGAACATAAACACAATTCAAGTGCAAAGTGACAAGCGGAACCCAGGAACCGTCCAGAATTAGTACAAGATCAGTCACGATAGCACGCATCTATTTCTCAAGTACCATCCTTCCAGTCTAAGGCCGCATCAGACCACTCTTTATAATGTAAATTCCTTGCTAACATATAGCAATCGATATCTCTCTTAGCAATTAGCTCGTAGCTTCACGCATTTTCTGAACTTCCAAACTTCCCCTTTTCTGTCTCAGCGCTACGTCCATCTTCTTTACTTGTTGGACTTGAGTATACAGTTTGAGCGAAAGGCTCTGGTGATGTTTGTCGTTGAGCGCCGGCCGGAACATCTCATCAAGCCTTCCCCGTGGAGTTACTGGCCTGGCCGGTCAATAATTTTGGGGGGACGGGCGAGAAGCTTGCTGGGGTCTCCAAAACTGGGCACTGGTGAACGAGTAATCTGTGTTAGAACGCTGGAAGCTATGTGAAAGATAAGCGAAGAGATAGACCAGAATGTTGAACTCTACCGGGTGAGAATTGCAGGGCTGCTAATGAGACACGTCTTGATGATGTTGTGCGGACGTTTATGGTAGAATATGTCGCATTCGATGCTGAAGATAATGAATACGAAAGCTATCGACGGGTATCCATTTTGTGATCTCGTGGATGTTGGCGTTCAGACCGAGTCACAATCTTTGGCTTAGTGGGGTCAACTGGTGGAATGCTCGCGTCTCGTGGTCGAAGTGGCTGACAAGAGCGTTGTGATCTTTGTAGACCCGAGTGACAAGTTTGTTTGTTTGGTAGTAGGTAGACGTGTGCTTGGTGTTGTTTACGAGCGCCCTATACGCTAAATTGCTGACCCTGAGATCACGTGAGATGCGCAAGTTTCCAGATGTCGTCTTATACTCTAATCTTGCTAGTAGAAAAAGGTCTGTTTATTAATTCATCCTATTTGAATCCCAGTGGTGTAAACAATACAACCGACTGAAAGCGAACAATGCCCGACGCCTAAGAAACAAGAGTAAAGCTTTGGAAAAGTACAGCAGTGTAATGTCAAACGCCGTAGAAGAACAGCTTCCAGTGCAGGGAATCTTTTGTGCAAGCGACTGACACATGATCCGACACCCAACCGGCAGATAAAGTCACAGAAGGACCAAGTTTTCAAACGTTGTTTCTTTATCCTAATGAACGCGTGGGTCCAGACACAGAAGGACTACATTTGTCGTGACTGCGAATGAGATTCCTGCCATCCATTGAAGTGTTCCAAGCGTTTGGTCAAGACTGAGGTGGAGATTGCTGTGACTGTGACTGAGTTTTCTCGAACGTATGATCGGGAGCGGTCGGTTGAGTATCAGATTGGGGTGGAATTTGTAGTTCCAGTGGCTGAGTTTCCTGGAACGTATAATCGGGAGTGGTCGGTTGAGTACCAGATTGAAGTAGCATTTCTAGTTCCTGCGACTCAAGTTCCTGGTACTCAGATACTTGGGATGTATGATTAGGAGCGGCCGGTTGAATATCAGATTGAAGTAGTATTTCAAGTTCCAGTGGCTCAAGTTCCTGGTACTCGGATTCTTGGGGTGTATGATCAGGAGCAACCGGCTGCGTGCTGGTTTGCGCCTTATTTCTTACCATCTCAGCCAAGGCTGACAGAGGTGACTGCGGGGGGCTGTAAGAACTTTTTGATTGCGCATGGGCTTGGGTGTCGTCGTGGGTCTGGCATTGGGACGTTGACAGTGGTTCAAAGCTGAGCACATCCGGCACTGTGGACGATGGCTGAGGCTCAATAAAGCCCTGCATATTTTTACGAGGATTTTGCCTCCATCAGCCGCATTAGCTATATGACATGTAGTTCGACGGAAGGGTTCAAGTACAGGGTCTGAGGAGTTGCCATGAGGCATTGGATGACTAGACCCTCGAAATCGGGACGTTGTCTAGAGACGGCTTTTGCGAATTGGTCGGACGAAGAATCCTGACTTCTCTTTTCTACCAGCCAAAGAAGACTGTTGCGTGCCTCGTGGCGTCGGTTATCGAGACGCTGGATGGCCCGGGCAAGATCATCTACACGCTTATTCAAACGAGCAAGTTGTGCATCTTTATCGATCAGTATTTGCTGCAGCCCCCGAATAACTGCCGTGGAACTTTCATTCTGCTGACGCAGCGCAATTAGAAGATCGGAAATGGTTGGCGAGTATTGGGTATTGGCCATATTGCTGATATACGTTAGCGAACATTTGTGTACTTAGCGGTCCCCGATGAACTGACATGATCTTCTGAGGCTTCGTTGTTAGTGATAGATACTCGATGTGCGTGAGTGTATGCGAACCCAGGAGAAGCTTTGGGGAGAGCACGTTTCCTGTCACGGCGTTGACAATTTATTGATAAGGTAAGCGTATTCTGCGGGCACTGTTGCCTGATGCTTGGAATGAGGTTACCTCTCGACATCACAACATGTGCGCTGGGTTTTCAGCAGGATAGTGCGCTTGGGAGTGACTGCCAGTTTTTCAAAACAAAAAAACATACATATGTAGATTTGCATCTCGGCACACTCTCATACTGTATGCAATGGTAGCTTCGCAATTATTGCAAAGAGGTAGCTAGTGTAGATACGAAACTCTCAAGTGACGAGAATCATTGGACATCTGAAGAGGCTACATCTGGTATGTTGCCATTCTTTGTCAATTTACAGAGCTCTTAGTTCGTAATGCCGCGATGCAGATATTCGTAGCACAGTATGACGGAATCACGCAGGGGACGGCCGCAGCTTCCTGTGATGGTTTTTGCAGGTATGACTACACAACTCTTGTTTGTTCTGATATCTGAGTCTGCCTAAATCTGATATCCCAAAAATTGCGGCTCTGTCATCATATCGATTGTGCTCCGTAGTGGGCTTTTCTAGCCATGACAGTGAGTACAATTTGTTTCGCCACCCACCTCGAGCAAGGTAGACACGACGTTTGATTGCCTGCTCATATGAGGGCCATCTGGGTGTTGAGACGCCTCATCGCCGTCTTGGGAGTACATATGTATAGGAGGCATCATAGTAGTTCCACACATAGATACGGACAAGATTTGGCCCCCTCGACCTATCATTCCCCGGCATTGCGACCCCGCACCCCTCGCTTACCTTTCCTTGGCTTCAGTAGATGCCTGGATCACCAGCAGACCGTCTTCTATGGCATTACTCTATCATCCGACGTGTCTCATATTTGAGATGGCCCAAAACGTGCTGGGCGTCCATCCGCCATCTTGCTTCTCTGATGATGCTTGAGCATCGCGATCAATAGATCAATTTGCCACCGGTATCGAGGGTAAGAAGACCTTACAATGGCGACCGGTATCGAGATCTTCGGCATCGCTTGCAATGCCATGCAAACCATACAGTTCGCGTTCAATACAGTGTCGCTATGCAAAACAATACACGAAGGTGGCTCTGTATCACCAGAGATAAAAGTTTGCGGCACAGAACTGACACAGGCTACTCAAAGCCTGCAAAAATCTCTAAGCCAAGCTCAGCAAAGAAAATTTCATGGAGACGACAAGGAGATAGAAAGGGTGGCCCTGTCAGTTCTGGAAACGACTACCGACTTGCGAAAAGAGTTGGCAAAGTATGAAAAGATTCCGGGTGGGTCTCGCAGTAGTTCAATGACAAAAACCGTCAAATTCATGTTCCGGAAGTCGAAACTCGAGAAACTCAACGAGCAGCTGCAATCCCAGCGCAATATCATGGAAACTCGAGTTCTGTTCAGACTGAGGTATTAATTTCCACATTTTTTCGTGTGAATCTATATTAATTAGTGTAGTAAGAGAACGGATCTCATTCAAGATGTATTAGACAACCGACTTGATGCGATAGACACCCAGCTGCATGTGTTCCTAAATCGTCTGAAAGATGGCCATAGAAAACTGGAAGAGGTCGTACGGAATAACAACCTTGAAGTGCAGGAAGTTGTGCGCAAAGAGGCGACGGAAACGAGAATTCACACCCAAGATATTGCAGCTCTTGAATCCAATTTGACAAAAACACATGTAAGCGCAGAACTGAAGAGTTATGAGCTACTTAACGCCACACGGAACCAGAAGGACCGGTTGCTTCGTAGTATCAGATTTGAGAGTATGCACACGAGGGAGAACGCTTCCGCAATTAATCAATCCCATGAGGGAACTTTCCAATGGATATTCAAGGACGTAACAGAATCTCATGAAAACCCTGGAGATAACCTCTCGTTCTCCGAAGGTACCAATGGCGAATTTGATGACTTGTTCCTAGGGAAACCCCACGAACAGCTGTGGGACAGTTTCACGGAATGGCTTCAATCGTCCGACAGTTTCTATTGGATATCTGGAAAGCCTGGCTCCGGAAAAAGCAGTTTGATCCGATTTTTGACATCTGAACCCCAAACAGAAATCTTACTACGACGTCGGGAGGGTGCGGAAAAGACAAAAGTCCTCCGCGCATTCATCTGGGCAGCCGGTGGAGCTCTTCAAAGAAGCCAAAAGGGAGTGTTAGCGACGCTTCTTTATCAATTATTGTCGGACGAGGAGTCTGAGGCCCGTCAAACAAATATCATGGACACGCTATCCAAAAAATATAGCGGGAAATCTGACATCGAAGATTGGTCCCTCAAAGAGCTCAAGGACACCCTGGAATACTTGTTGGCCCAGTCATCCCCACCCACTTGTATCTTCATCGACGGTTTGGACGAAATCGATTCTGGCGACTTCGGTGGTCTGCGAGGATTACTCAAGCTTGTCACTTCTCTAGGTCGCTTTCATAATGTCAAGCTATGCCTTGGGAGCCGCCCAGAACCTATTCTCGCTTTGGAGCTTTCCAAATACCCTCAGTTGAGACTTCAAGATCTAACAAGAAGAGATATGCTGAAATACGTAACGGAAAGTTTGAGCGAAGTTCGTGAGCGCTATATCACAGACGAGGAATACAATCGCCTGGTCAAAACAATCATTTCAAGAGCAGAAGGGGTATTCTTGTGGGTCAGCTTGGTGACCAGAAGAATATCAGATGGACTGATATCTGATGACTGGGCAACTTTGGTTGAACGCGTGGAGCAATTACCTAGTGACCTTTCGGACCTCTACAAAGCAATGTGGTATCGAATCAACGAAGACGACCGGCCGCTATATCAATCAGATGCCGCCACATTCTTCCTCATGATATTAGAGGATGGGCATCAAAGTTATTTTTCGGGTCCGACAGTTGCTCAGATGATGTTAGTGGCAAGGCCCGAACTCAGACGCAAACTCCTTGCTGGCGGAAGCCAGATGGGTCAGGACCAGATTGCTGCAGAATGGCAGATGCTGAAGCGGCAGGTTCAGATACGTTGTGCCGGACTTCTCGAATTCCCAAGCACGATACACGATGAGTTTGGTGTATATCCCATAAGGTTCATTCATCGGAGCGCCTTAGATTTCATCAAGGATACCGTAGAAGGACAGCAAATACTTCTTCACGGCAGATACTCACAAAAACAACTTCGAATGTGGTCCACTATCGCGACAGTGTTTCAATACAGTATGGACACATATCCGGACATGACCGGCTGTATACTAAGCCTCCGCGACATATTGATACATGTCGAGAAAAGTCTCAATGACGGTAGTATAGGTCTTTCTTCTTCTTTCGTTCTATTGATTCAGGCGATACTTGAGAGGTCTAAAATTTGGACAGAGACATTGAAAGCGATGCCACTGGAGTGTGTTATGGCACTCGCTGGCTTTGACAGCTATATCCAACACCGAATCCAGGAGCTTTCAATTTCGGTCAAGCGAAACCAATCGCATCTTGATGAATTGTTGGCACACAGTGTACGACGATTCTATCAGGTGATAGTCGATGTGGATTTTTTACTGCCATTTGGTTTTTCCGATATTGATAACGACAACCTCGAGACAATATCTCTGCTATTGGAAGCTGGTGCTGATGTCAACTTCAGCCTTCCCTGTTACACCCTTTCCGACACAATTCACCACAGCTCGTTTGTGATGTATCTATTCGCAATGAGTTTCTACAGGCAGTACAAAGACCAGAAACACTCTATTAGACTGCTGCAGACACTTTATAAATTTGTAGACTGTGGAGCAAACTTAGACAACAATACTCTTGTCAAATGTTTCCAGAACTTAAACCACCTGAAATTTGGCCAAATCTCGGGCTTTTACGGCAAACGTGATCCAGGGGACGCAGAAGACAGACCGGGAACGCTAGCATTGATCAGTGTCCAAGATTTGTTCCTACATGAGCACACGATGTGGGTGGAAACCCTCTCCAGCAACGATCCTCAATTGTACAAACATATCAGCATCCGACCACTTGCAAGTAGGGCCCCATTGCCCTTAGAGCCGCTACTAGGATCCCAGGTTTCAGTCAAAGGTGTGAGATTCTTTCGCTGCACGAGTCAGACTGCACACATTTTCCAAATACTGGAAGAGCTTCTCAAGGATCCGCAGGCAAAAGACCAATCGAAGATTGACGATTTAAATTCGAAGATCCAATGTCTGACAGATGACAATTTCTTGACAGATGACGAGATTGTAAGTTATCTAGTCGGCCGGGGGGTTTTACTGGAAGAGGTTAGATTTGCCGCCGACGATCAGAGGATTTTACGCAGAGATCACTATCTGCCGCTTGGCAGTATAAAATTCGATGCGGTCGAGAAGCTGGATTGGTCATTTGAACCCGAGTATGATGAGTTCGTCGCTGCATTCAACGAAGAGTGCAAGCGAAGCGAGGAGGCGAAATAGACGCAATCCCAGACTCCTCGAAACAGAGTTTACTCGACAGCTGAGCCATGCTCACAACGAACCAGGCATTTGACTGGTGTAGAGTTGACGCTGATTGGTCTCCATAATGTCACTTGATTTCTCCAAGATCAACATTCGTGCATTGGGAACTCCCGCACTTCCCACGGGGAGGGGGGGTCAGAGATGGCTGATGTTAGGTAGTAGAGTTGTTCTTAATTGTTGAGCTTCTCAGTAAAAACGTTGGCTACTCCGCCACTCTGCCTAGTGAGAGTCATAGATGGTGCTGCGCCACTACATGCATTCGTCAGACTTGCGCAAGGATTTATCAGTCGACTACTCTCTGGTCTGCACCATGTTATTTGTGCAATCAGTAATTCGGGCATATTCTATACTCAACACGTACGGATTCTGTTCTGTACGTGTACTATCAGGCGACTTTATATGCAGAATTGTGTTGCATTGATAGCAGTTGTTCGAGGGGTAATGTGTCTTAGTCACAGTTACGTGTGGGAAACTGCGCCGAACCCACATCTTGCCTGACTCACAAGCAAATCCCTGCAGTATCTATACTGGCTAAAGCCATACCCGAAAATCTTATATGCGCATGCTTCCTGTTTTCCAGGCTTACCTTATGCCAAATTCACCGCAGATCTCAGTTTATCTATGAATTGGCAACGCAAACCAAGAAAGACGAGCGAAACACAGCAAAATCATATACGCGAGAGCATCGACAAGGAACAGCAACTATGGCAGACTTAGAATCGACTTCTACCTTACTTCGCCTCCCGCGTGAACTCCGCGACATGATCTACAATTACGCACTCTACCAACCCTCGGGGCTCTACTACCAGCGAACGGGACTCTACGGCGCTCAATTTTCGCGCGAACCAAACAATCCCCACGGACTTAATCAGCTTCAATTCACCAACCGCCAACTTCGTCAGGAAACCCAGCATTTAGATTATCAACTCAACACACTCATATTCCCACAACTCATTCAAGAACACGGCAAAACAGTGTCAAGATGCCCAGCCGTGCAGTTGACAGGCTTTCTCGATATATGCGGGGAGCCAGCGCGGCGCAGCCTTCGAAACATCCGCTTGCACTACAACGAGCGCTTCCCCCACCCAAAATGTCCTGTTGAATCCCTCCCCATCGACGCAGTCCACAATGGAGACCTACTTAACGTCGCCTTTTTCTGCGAAGAGTACCCCAATGTCACTGTGTGGTGGCATACACGCGCTCTGTTGCATCTATGCCACACCCACAACCCATACATGACCATCAGACAGTCGGTACTGGAAGCAGGTCTCATGTTGACCGGCGCGCTGCGTCCTGATCACAATTTGTTCGATACGTATAGGGAGTTGGGAATGAGAGTGCGCGACTTTGCGCGGTGGAATAGCGTGTTTCATAGTTGTCGGTGCCGGGTGAATGTGTGCTGGTACAATCACACTGTCAGAGGTTATGTCATGGAGCCGTGCACGAATTTCACTCGTGAGCGAGAGGCGTACTTAAAGGGGCGGAACTTCCGATGGTTGCCTGACGTAGAGCAGGGGTGGGAGGAGGAATTCCGGAAGGAGTCAGAGGGGGTTGAGGAAGAATTCGTGAACAGGCGTATACAGAAGGTTCGAGAGTTTGTCACTGTGGGAGTGTGAGTCCATGCTGAGCCTCGTTATAGTATTGCAAGCCTACAGTCTCGCGACAGGTTGGAATCATGTAGCGAAGGTATAGATCCTGGAAGCCATAGATCAGACTGCAATAGAAGAAACTACATATTTAGATGCGCGTGTTCTTTGAAGATCTGCTCCATCAGGTTTTGGAATACACGCGCTGGAATATAGAACCAGTATATTCTAGTACCTCAAGCGACATATACACAGTCTTCAACTGCAATGAATCTCCGGAGAATCTGGAAGCTAATGTAAAAGAATGAGATAGATACAAATAAGAATAGAGAAAAAAAAAAAGAAACACTGCTAATCTGAATCATCATCAATCGCAGACCGCCAGTACATCAGGAGTTTAGCTAAATGTTCTGGATGAACTTGGCCAATATCTTTCACTTTGACATTCCACTCTATCGGGTACACCTTCCCGAATCTTAACCGCGAGTAAGGACTGATGACTACGGAGCTGTCGGCTGGAATGATTTCAATCGGTTCCTTAGTTAACCCAGCCTCATACTCCCCCGAGACATAGGTAGGTTGTGTCCCCTCAGCGTAAACAATTGTGTGCTCTGATGGATTACAGCCAGGCTTCAGAACACCACGCTGACTGTACGTTGAAATTGCGCAGGCATTGACAAACCCGTGACGCACACTGACGACGACGAATCTCCTTATCTGGGAGTACACGTATTCGCCGAATCTCACGATCGTAAAAGCGTCGTCCTCTGGGCCACGACGGGCAAGATTCTCAGACATGGATTCGTTGTAGAGCATAGAGAACACCCTTCCTTTTTTGAAGAATTGGCGTGCCTCCTGTCCTGTCCGCATGCGATAGCTTGAATCAAGCGTCTCGTACCACCCTCTGGTGGGTGTGCCTGCGATGAGATCGGGTAACATGGCTCGGATGTTGGCAGCTAGTGGTTCGGGCATTGCGGGAACGTTTGACGCAGAATTCTGGTATGGATTATCTGCATAGTAGTTGGATTCGGTTCTCACATGAGAACTGTTGTATTCTGAATTTCTATTCGTCGAGTAAAAGTGAGCTACCGGATGATATTCACGGCGTTGATCATTGATGGCAGGTACAGGGTACAACAGCGTGGAATCACCTTGCGAAGGCTGAGTCGAATATAAGGGCGGTGAAGAGTACGCGCTTTGTGTGGAATATCCGGATTGTAAAGAGGACACGCTGTAGGCGGGTTGTGGAGAGTACGCGCTTTGTACAAGATATCCTTGATACCGGTTTGTCGAGGGCTGTATGTTTTGTGTGTCATGATTGGGATTTGTATCATTCGATGGATTTTCGCTACGTGCAACGCGATCAGATTGTCCAAGATATTCTTCCATTGTCTGGGCCCTTGATGCGCGACGCCAATTGGCTCCCACCGAAGTCGGTGCTCTCGGTGGCAAGTCCAATGTTCCCGAGGAAGATATGCTGCGCGTTGAACTCGGCTCTAGTGGAGGTATCGTATGCAAAGGATACAAAGGCCGATCATCCTTTGTATCATGCTGATTTTGGTTTGTTGTCGTAGGTTGTGGTTGCCGATGGAGTGTCTCAGAAGCATTGGGGTGTTCTGTATGCAAACCCAAATCATTCAGCTCGGCGACTTGTACGATCTCCTCACCCACGAACTTCTGAATTTTATCCAAGACGCTTGCGATAGGAAGCATTTGAATATACGGTAAATTAGTATATCCGCCGTATATCATCCCGTAGACTCTATTTTGACTGACCACCCATGCTCCAGACATTCCCAACCCTGGACCAGCATGTTAGTTGCAACAGTATCAAGAGAGACATGATGCTTACGCCCAAGCTTTTCTGACTGTATCACTTGAAGTTCCACTTTATCCTGAGCTATGAAGACCGAGTGGTATTCGGGAAGTGGTTCTGCCTCGGTTGGTGAGGCGACTTGATCAAGGATCCACAATCGACCCTCTGCTTCTTCAATGACATGGCCAACCTCCTCAACTTTCCACACCCTTTGAGTTTTGGGACACCAGTACGAGTTCACAAAACTGGGATCAATCTCAAAAGAAGACAGCTTGATGAGGGCGAAGTCAGAGCCGGCCGGAGCATTATCTTCGAGTTGAATGCTTGCAGATATGGTTCCACGGCTACCATACGCGATAACATCTGGGATACCTACCGACTTCCATTCGGTGGAAAATGCAATTTTCGATCGGTCTCGTTTGTCCTCATGCTTGGGCCACGGCGTTTGAGGTGCTTGATACACAATGTTTCCCACCCCATCAAGAAGACCTTCGATGAAGTCCGCGTCAGAGTCAGAGTTAGATTCAAGATCGGGGTCAGATTCAGAGTCGGAGATGGCCGGATCAATGCTCATCTCTTCTAGTAGATCTGTGGGAGTGGTTGGATCTTGGTGGTGCGGCGAATCGAGGACTGCTCCATGCGCCGTGGTAAGACCAAAGACCTCATCCCCGACCCGAATAAACCCCCCCACTATTGACTCCCTGGTCGAAAGCTCCACCCCTTTCGATATCGAGAATTTGGATACGATATGCATTACATTCTTAAAATTATTTCTATCGACTCAGATATCCAGGGACAGCGCTCTTTGAGCATGAGATTTGGGTGATTTTCCGCCATCGGTATTCATCCAGACTTTCATTCTGCTATCATTCGGGAGATGCCACACGTGTGTATTTTGGGTGATACCATATTTGCGTTTGAACTCATCCAGATATTCCAGTCCGGACAAGTGTTTCATGGCCGTTTGATAGATCTCTTTCGAGTTACAATCGATCCACACCGCAGGAGCCAATAAAACAACGACATCATCCGGGATCTCAGAGCTGCGGTATATGATTGGGATGGATGTCTTCCGACATGACTTTCCAGCATATCGTAACCAAGGTTGAAAAGCTTGATCTTCTTGTGATAGTGTAGGATGCTTTTGCATGATAGCGGATGACAAATCCTGCACAATCGAGCTACGAACTTTCTCAATCCATTCATTACTCATCGCCACAGGGAGAGGAAAGTCTTTTGCGGAGCCAATATAACGTTTTCCGTCTGCGGGAGACACTCTGAGATCATTTTTTGAAGTCACGTGGATGGTGAACGGGGGCGGCATGTTAGTCTGACTCGTAGTAGGCAGTCGCTGCCTCACTGGAGCTGACAATCTCGTGAATGTCGTGATTGAATTGGACATTGCAGTAGGCTTCTCTCGGAAATTGTGGGGTGCCAGCCGCTTTAATGAGAGCCCGCCGTCATGCTTGGTGCCAAAGAATTGTGGAACAATAGTCCCTTGGGATGTTTGACTTCGGTCAAAGTCGATACAGCGAGATTGGAAGGAAGGGTGTCCTATCGTTGCTTCATAAGGGTGAGTCTGGCCTGCCCCTCCTCTCACAGCTGTAGCAAGGCTGACTCGCTTATGTGATGATCATGTACAGCGCATCAATACGAGCATTGCTTCCGTGTTGTTCACCGGAAGACTTGCAGCTGCCATTCAGCTGTGGCTTGGACCCCGACGTATCACGTCGCTGCAATCGATGACGTAGCTTTAACAGACTGTGCATTTGGATATAATCTAGTCTCTTTCGCATTGCAGCTGAATCACGATGATTTTACGAGAAGAGATTGCTTCGATTGCCTCTCGGGAGGTGTACACCAACTAGCTCGCGATTTAACCGGACGTCGCGCCACAGCACTATTTGAAGTCCATTTGTTATGATCTTAGCACTACCACAATCTTTTGAACTCGGACCACTCACGCAACATAGAGTTTCTCTGCATTTATCACACCATGCATATCTTTTCATGCCCGAATCCTGGATACCCTGAAAAGATCCATCTCATCGACAGTCTTTGGCCGAGTAGAAGACAGAAAGTCGACACGTTCAACGAGAATACATACGCCGCATACTTCCAATTCTTGCTACATTCGCTCAGCACATTGGAAAGCTATAGTAATGACTTTGCGGTCCAGGATATCAAAGGGATCCACCTCATCATCCGCAGACTATCCAGAAATCCTAGGATGACACGGAACGATGTGAAAAAGTCGATTAGGAGAGATTTTCTCAACACCGAAAATAAGAAAATTCATCGCTCTATCGAGTTCGCTGTCAGCCTTTGGCTAGGTTTGAAACTCTCGTCACACTTATTACACACCGGCCCAGCCGTCGCAGGCGATACGACCATCGAGTGGCCGCCCAACCAGGATTTGCAGACCACGGTGGATGCAGAGTTTGATCGACTGATTAGCAAAACAGTCTATACAGAATTTGTGTTAGATCATTCACTGACATATGAGCGCTTGTTAAAGTACCGTCAAGTCAGAATCATCTGGACCAACAATCTGATCGACCATCTAAAGCTCGAAGGACACAGAGGTCAGCGCGCTCTCTGGATCTACCAGCATAGAGTTTGTTTGGAGAATCATCTGCGCTGCTCAAAGGGCGAACCCAGGCACATCATCAGACAAGAGGCCCTCCTGGAAGCCATTCGGACATTAGACTTACTTTTTCCATTCGGCGATCCCCAAACAGCACGATTCCTGGCCAAAGAAGGCCGTCAAAATCTCTACGTTCCTCCTTGTCGAGACACGGCACACCTCCAATCATTATCCCACTTCAAGTACTGGAACGGTCGCCTTGCCCAACTCCTGAACTTGTATCAAGGTCCACCAGAATCGAAATGGCAGTATTTCCGGGATCACAGAAATTTCGGACAGTGGGCATCGCTATGGTTGGCAATATTTCTAGTTGCTTTCATCACGATAGTCTTTGGGGTCTTGAGCAGCTATTTCGCCGCGAAGTCTGCCAAGTTGTCCGAGCAGGCGAACTGGATTGCCATCGCCGCGAGCTGTGTTGAGAATCCAGACAACAAAATATTCAAATGCGACAAGCTTAGCTTGAGCAATTAGGAAGGGACTATGCATGCTAACGAATTAGGACACACGGAGAACTGACAAGCGGCTTTTTCGATAGCAAGCTCACACACAAGGCACGTTTTACACAGAATATATACTTTCATTGCCTACACACATATATACAACAGAATCGAAAAAAAACTTTCACAACAACCTCTTCTTGGGCTTATGATCTCTGTTTCCACATTTAAGGGGAAATGCACTGGCTGTAGTAAGGGTTCTGTTCCTTGCAAGTCCAGCCATCAGCGCAAGAAGTAGCACCCTTGTACTCCTTACCACCACACTGTCCGTACTTAGCAACAGCACCAGAAACAGCACCGGAGTCAGCACCAGTGGAAGGAGCTGGACGGGCGGAGGTAGCGAGAGTAGTGGGCTGAGGAGCGGCGGAGCTAGGGGCAGCAGAGCTGGCAGCAGCAGCAGCGGTGGTAGTAGCAGCAGGCTCAGCAGCGACAGAAGATGTGACTGGGGCCGAAGCTGAAGCAACCGGAGCAGCAGCAGAGGAAGAAGCAGCAGGAGCAGCAGCAGCAGAAGACGAAGCAACGGGAGCGGGAGCGGCACCGGATCCACCGACAGTGAAGTCAATGCATCCCTCGTATGTCTGGTCGACCTCACGCGAGTCCCACCACCACTGGAGGGCACACGCGCCAGCCTCAGCGCACTTTCCGCCCAAGTCGCTGGGGATAGTGATCTCAAAGTTTGTCTCGTTGGCCTGGGTTCCACGTGCCGTCGAGGCATACACATCCCAGCTGATAAGCGGCTCGCCAATGACGGAAGAATCAGCAGTGTCGATGATAGACACATTCGCGACTCCAGTGTGGGGAGCAGCAATGTTGACGACCATTGGGACCTTCTCTCCAGCAGTCCAGGCCTGCACGTTTGCGGTGTTGTCTTCAAACTGCATACCCTTGCAGGTCCAGATGTTGCACTTTGCGGCGTCGAAGTCGGGGCCTGGGTTCTGGAGCGCACCTTGCATGTTGCCGTTGATGTCGGAGTTGAAGGTGTTGAAAATTTGCTGGCCGCAGGCTGCTTTCATGGCATCACCTGGCATACGGGGAGCAGGGGAGCGGATGTAGCCGTGGGCGGCGACGGTGGAGGCCATGGCGGCGAGGCTGATAGCGGAGTAGGACTTCATGTTGTCTGAGGGTAGTTGTAGATCTTAGATGATTGGGAAAGAGTGTTTGTTTGGAAGTCTAGCTTCGGATGAATGAGCGGATGGTAGAATGAATGACTGGTGAACGAATGTCAGGTCTCAGACCGAGAAAAGCGAAGAAGATGCTGTGCAAAGACGAAGTGCCGTGAAGGGTGAGGCCACAGCCAAAGCAGCCCGATGGTCAGCATATATACACCTGTGCAATCCCGTCTGCTTTTCGCTGTGACGCTTTTGGTGGGTCTTGTCATCCAACATTTGAAACAGGGGACCCAATAGTCTCTCAGCCGCCGAACCTCGCTACTGTCTATTGCAGACTGTGCAATGCCCAAAGGAGTTTGAAACGATATGTTTCCAGCAACAAGCGCCACAAGGAGGATCATGCCACGCGGGATGCTTAACTACGATGCTTGTTAAGTTATACCACCAATCAGAAAGGCTCCGGGGACTTGGGGTACATAGATATGGCGCCAGAGCAGCATTGTCGAGCCATCCACGCCATCCCTTCATATATTAGCACAAAATATAGCGAAACGCATAACACAGAGCCGCAAATTGGCACAGAAAAACAACAAAAGCCATGCCCCAACAGAGGAAGAGGCGAATTTCTAGATTGTTCTTTGATAGTCAAGCGAGTCGCTTAATTACCACGAAGCACCGATGACCCGGGTTGAAACGCTAAGGTTGTTTCATGTAGACAGAGCTTATGCGGTTGGACAGCGGGACATTTTATGCTAAGAGATAGCCAAATGTCGGTTCGCAATATTGCAGGAGCTTGGTGGTGAACACATGGTTTGATGGATCTACTGGTGGCGTTCGGTATGTAATGCGGACTTTGCTCAAGTTTGTTGGCTTTCAGTTATGTGGACCGACAGCCCCCACTTTTGCATGTCGTAAAATCTCCATTGCTTATACGCTAGAAACTATCTTTCCTCCAGTAAAAAGTGCGCAGAGCATTGTTCAGTGAACAACAAAATTCTCTCGCTGTATTTGTGCGAGTGGTGTCGTGGAACCTCATGGAACGTAACTCTCTAGTGGTTGTAAACGTACAATTTGTCGCCCCTCTAAACTTTTTGACCCAGCTGTTTATATAGCATGAGAGAAACTGGCTGGAAATATGGGATGCAGGCCGGCATATGCTGGTGTATCCACTGGTCTCGAGCTCCTTGCTACAAAACAGCCAAATTGTGCTCCCGCTCATCTGTCGAAACTCAGCGCGTGCGATGATGATGCAATTTCCGTCCACAGACTGTGTTGACATGTAAGTAGCCCCGATGCATCCTGGTCTGATGGTAATGGCGATCTTTTTTGCCGCGTTCCGTCTTTCTAGTCCATCAGCACGTCGTTCATCGGATCACATGGGTATCGCATTCTGTCAATTATGAATGACAGCGTGTCCATGTCTCGAGACGCATATAAATATTCCGATACAAAAGGTTCGTTTTGATAATCAGAATCCATTGCAAGAACCATACGATTGCTGTCACCAGTACCACGGTTCATGTTATAGCAGATTATCGTACGCCATTCATTGACAGGCCAAGTTGACTAATCCGCATCCTCAATAATCATCTCTGCGGCCTTCTCGCCAATCATGTAAACCGGAACCGCCGTATAGAACCCAGGGATTTTAGGAAACACAGAGGCATCCGAAACCCTCAAGCCGCTTACACCCCTTACACGAAGTTTAGAATCCAAGACTGCAGTACTATCTCCTTCTGCCCCGATCTTAGCTGTGCAGCATGCATGATGACCCCATGCCTCCTTTTCGACGAATTCCTTCATCGCATCCGACTCAACCCCCTCACCAGGCCAAACTTCATTAAAACCTCCACCAAGGGGTATGAGTGACTTGAAGATCTTGCGACTGAGCTCCATACCCTCCAGCATGGCCTGCAGATCCTTCTGATCGCCATTCCCCTCCGTCACACCTTCATTAAAATAGTGGAAGTTAATGAGAGGCGTATCCTTAGGATCATTGGATCGCAGTGTCACAGTCCCAGCGGTATTCCTCGGATGACCTTTCAAGACTACCCAAACCCAATGCCTTTTGTCCACAAGCGAGGCATTAGAGTAGCCGTCGAAATATCCAGTGAAGAAAGCGGGAGCGCCCGAGATAAACAAGTCTGCATCACCTTCCGCGACAGAAGATCGTTTTGCGACACCAATAGCGATGCCGTTTGACCCGTACACGCCCTTGAAGACGGTGTTGTCGCGCCATTGCTCATAGCATCGGTCTGGAGTAGACTGGAGCCATTCGCAGGGCTCTGTTACGGAGAAGTCGGAAGTAGATTTCCCAGCAAAAGCGCTCTCGTAGTGATCTTGGAGATTGGTTCCCACTCCAGGTAGATCTGCGATGAGAGGGATGTCGTACTGCGCCAATTCTTCGCTAGGGCCGATGCCGGATAACTTCAAGAGTTGGGGAGTGTTGAATGCTCCGGCCGCAATGATCACCTCTTTTGTCGCCTCGACGTGGTTTGTTGTCCCTTCGGTGGCACCGGAGGATAAGGGGGATGCTCGGTAGAGGTGGCTTCCGGACAGGTAGTCGACACCGTTGGCTTTCGGAGGCGTAACCGAAGTATCAAAAGTCACTTTTGTTGCGAGGCTGTTCAACAACACATCCAGATGGTATTTTCGGCTTCCATCGGCATTTTTCGCATTTGCAGTGTCTAGGATGAACTCTCGGGACCCAGTACGAGTACGATCGTTCATGGACAGGGGAATCTGATAGAGTCCTTCCGAAGCATCACGCGTAGGTGAATCCGCATTGATGTCCAAAAGCAACACTTCAGCCAGACCGGTAACTGTCGTGATGAGGCCCAGAATGCCTTTACCCATGGCTGTCGCCGAAGCTATGACTAGGGAAAGGAGCTTGAGATCCTGGAGCACTAGCGTCAAGTCGGTAACCATCGTGGTAAGCCATCCACTGAAGCCGTGTCCGACAACTCCATTGGGCAGATATCTGCTTCGTTCCAGTTTTTTGAAAACTTCTCTCATGTTTTTCGCCGACCATGTTGAGTCACCCGTCAAAGTCGCAATCCCCTCCCAGTCGCTGTTGAAAGGATATATGGCAATCATCGCGTTGTGCGCACTGCAGCCTCCGAGTGTCCCGGCTCTTGGATAAAGGATTCCCAAAGGCTCGCTCCCAGCCGGAGGCTCACCAGTCCCAAGATTGCTGTTGGGACCTATATGCAGTTCTCCACTTGGCGTACGATATGTCATCTTCGAATCCTTCTTTTGACGCTCGAGGTCGGAATAATGGTTAACGTAGAAGTCCCAACTCATGCTCTCCTCTTCGGTAGATTGCGCATGAAGAGCTGGGATTTGATAGCGAAGATTCGTGCCTTGATCATCGCCGGCTTCTATGAGAAGCACTTTGTAACCGGCAATGGCAAGCCGCGCCGAGAGAGGACCACCGCCCGGGCCGGAGCCCACGACCACGTAATCATACGTTTCAACTTGGCGCACTGCCAGCGCTGAACAGCATGAGACTAGAAAGAGCGAAGTGAGCCATCTAGTCGTGCTAGACGGAGTCATTGTGAGTGACTGTCGAGTGCAGTATAAGTAGGAACAACAGTCGACATAAACCCTCGAGTTAACAGACACTTATAAGGCGGCTCATCCCCCTCGGGCTTGTGCGTACATGCATATACGATATGAGATGACTGTAAACAATACTGTTCGGGAGGGGGTTGGATTTATGACCAATAGATCTCAGTTGGCTGACTAGGATCATCGGAACAACGTCCATAACGAACGAGCGGGGTCCGGTTAATGAGGCGCATCCTTGCACGCCGTGAATAAGGCTCCTCAGGTACAAGCTACACATTGCGTAGTCTAGTCAACAAATACGATTCGGAACAACCCGAGTTAATCTTTCAAGATTCTCAGTCCGCTATTCGTAATGCCAAAAAGAGTCGAATTTGAGAAGTGGAGTGGATTTCAGAATGAACACATCGTGCAATTCTACATCGATATCACCTTCAATACGTACTGCTTTCAAAAATTGAACGGGATGACGAAACGGAGTTCTCAACGCCCAGATGAGCATATTGATCGATCGTTCCTCATATCTCCGATACCCTCCATACCAATCTCTCCATGCTCGCCTCTTTTCTCCTCAACGCATCCATCGCTTTTTGCGCCCTCTCAAGCAACGTATCCCCCTCGATGATTTTCTGCGCATTTGGCTTGACAATCCCTTGTTCTAACATAGCCGGCATGATATCGGCCTGTAGATGATTTTTGAAGAATTCATTCTAGCAAACGAGATGTTAGCATAAGCAGGCTCTGCATCTCGAAAGAGATGATTGATACTCACCTCGAGGTAATAATGTGTTCTTACGCCCTTGGCGATGACGCCTTCTTCCCAATCTACAATCGTCTCCACATCTATCGCATACTCCGGATCTTCCGACTCACTGGAATCCTTCACAATGATGGGCAACAGAACCGCTACTTTGGAGCCTTTCGTCGCAATCTTCGCAAGCGGCGTAAGACTCCCCTTCAAACTCCCTATACAGTCCACAACCAACGGAACACTGCCCTGTGCCGTCTGCGAAATAGAAGCAATAACATCAGCGTCGTTGTAGTCGAAAATATGCTTGGCCCCCATTGCGCGCAACTTCTCGTGGTGGCGTTCCGACGCCGTGGTAAAGATGTTGGCGTACCCGTAGTACGCCAAAATCTGGATTGCGAACTGGCCGACCGACGATGCACCGCCCCAGACGAGAATCACTTCGTCTTTCTGATTTGGTGCGAAACTATTCGGTTTTGGCCACGGGAGTTCAAGACCTAAATCAGCTGTTACGGCATGGAAAACAGTGACGAAGTTGTTCGGCAAGGTCACCGCTTGCTGAAGCGTGAATCCTTCAGGTAGCTATACAAACGTCTCTCATTAGCATTCTGACTAAACTTTTGCGGAAGATCCACTTACCACACCAACCAACCACTCTTCAATAGTAACAAACTCCTGGTGTGCCTTCTCCTCATTCTTTCGCCAGCCAAAGCCAAACACCTTCTCCCCAACTTTTAACCTCTTCACATCTGGCCCAACTTCCACAACCGTACCAGCGATACCGTCTCCTAGGACCTGTGGATGTTTAACAAGGAGTCCGCCGTCGTTTTGATGTAAGTCGAGAGGCGTAGATGCAGTCCATTGGACACGGATGCGGACTTGGTCTGCTTGAGGTGTGATAGTAGGTACTGATATGATATCGAGAGGTGCTTTGATGCCCACGGTTGCTACTGCGCGGTGGGTTGTCATGTTGTATATATGGAGATTGGAATGTTTTTTGAGGAATGTAGCAGGTTTGAAGGAGACTCTTTGGTGATGGGGAAGTGTGAAAAATGAATTGCGAATTGGAGGATGAAAAGTTGATTCCATAGCTCTCCTTCAGCTACTTATAAAATTCCTTCTCAGCCTTTAGTTTTCCTGTTACAAATCAGATGTTCTTTTCCAAGCATCGTAGACTGGTCGCCTGGAGTTGTCATTACTAAACAGACGCCGCGCTAGCGAGAATTCCCGAATCGGGCAAGGCGCGGGTCTTCCTCAGTTTCACGAAAGAATCAGTCTCGCTACATGCGCGTATGAGTATCTGCTCATTGTGGAAGAATCTGTCATTACTTGCAGCGTTGCGCAATAGCTCTGATGTCAGATGCAAAGTCCCAGAAGCGGATGACCAAGGATATGTTCTGATTGGCTGTTACTGCCTTTCTTACGACTGAAACACGACGCAAGATGTTACTGTGGCAATCATAAACACAACATGGCGCTTCTGCTTATGCATGCTAGTTTATATGGTCCTATCAAGAAGAGACACTACGCGGAATTCAATTGTCTCTGATGCACAGGTGAACGTTTGCGTACTTCATAATCAATAGATTCCAGGTACGACACGCTGAAGGCAGGAAAGAGGCCTGGATTCATGAATCGCATACCATTGCCATTAAATAGACTATGAAACCAAGCTCTACTTAGCATGACCTGGAAGCAATAAAAAGAGCAGGCAATCGTGTTCCTCGCACTGGTTTGCCATCTTCAAACACAACTGGCGCAGACATGAACCCACACTCAAGGAACGAAACCCTCATACGTGAATCCATGCACTGGATCATAAAGCTCAAAGATCGAGAAACCGCCTGGCTTTCTCAGATCCGCCGGATGAGCAATAAACTCCGCAATATTGTTCTTGGCGCAAGAGAAGTATGTACCGCCAATCTGATCCACGTAACCGTTATTCCAAACCTTGAAGGTAGCAACCCAGTCCTTGATAGCCGGATGATTGCGCCAGGTATCGGCGTCCTTGTTTATATGGCGCGAGATCGTCGACACGTTGAATACATAGAAGGCCTCATCATTCTGGCTGCCCCAGACGCTGAAAGGTGCACCGCGTGTGGGATCCGTGTTGACGGTGAGATGGAGGTTGCACCAGACTGCATTGTTGTAGGGAACGTCGAACAGGAACTCGGTCCAGACCTGCGTGTGCGTCAGTTTGACATTCGTCGAGTGTGATACAAGGGACATACATCACGCTCAATATCGAAGGACTTCTGCGTGTTGATGGGTACATTCTCCAAGGACTTGTTGAGGGGGACGACAAGGTGTGGGAATTGCCTGTCGATGAGGGCTCCGAGGGAGGGGAGAGCAAATAGAGCTGGAATAATGGTGAACAAATGCATCTTGAGTAAGTTCTGCTTCTTGCGGCCGGGACGTTGAGCAGTATTGATGGAGTCTGCGGTTGAAGTGGTGAAAAGGGCCAGGAGCCCGTGTATTTATGTGCTTTTGAAGTAGTGGCCTCATGGTTGGCCGTTCTTTCCTCTCGTGCCTAGATGGTAGTGGTTGCCGTTCGGCCCTTGCAGAATGCTCAATGTACTACACAGCAGCCGGAGCAAACAACGGTCTGTACATTTGTACGATCTAAAGACGAACGACCTGCTCGATGAACCAGACCCCTACCAATTCACCAGACGTGCCAGACCTAGTACGGTTCAATGCTCGTACACAACATTTGAAGTACACACTTCTAGATAGTCCTGTGGAGTGTAGTGCAGGCATCATACTTCCCCCAAAGGTAAACATGGTAAGAGTCGTATTCTCGTGCTACCAATATGGCTCACCAAGGAAGGAAAAAAATACCGGGACAAAGTTGTCAATCACGTGGAATGGTCTTCGCTCATTCGAATGGTGTTGCAGTTGTACGATATGAATATGTACACCCATGAGCTTGCTAGAAAGCTGCACAGTACCAAAATTCGGATGCTCGGCTCAATTGTTGCATAGAATTGAGTTGAATCGATGCTAGTTTTGGTAGTTCAAAGTAACAGTGGCGCAATGCGCTGGCTCGACAAAGGCTTGCTCATGGGCCGAAGAGTAGGTTGAAGCTCATCATTGTCAGCGTAATGTATGTTACCATTGGCAGACTTCATACGGGGCGGTTGGAGTGCTGGCTGTGCGATGGACACCATTGTGTGCACATGTATATACATAGGAACAGACAAGGAGGTACCGTAATTGCCAAGACATCTTCTCGCTAAATGCGGAATTGTTTCCGGGTCCGGTATCGTCTGATGTCAGTCATCCACGTTCCTGCACCCTTCGTCAGCCCCAACGGCCATCAAATGTCGCCCAGCATCTGTACAGCATGGCTGCACTATCACAATTTCGAGCCTCCGTAAGACTATCACACAGGTTGCGGTTATGCCAGACGAAGACGCGTCAGCTCCATCTGGCGCCGCCCTGGCTTCTCGATGATTATATCCCCCGACACCAACTGCTGTCTTCCGTCGACGCGGCTAAGAAACGATCTCTCGCATATGCACATCTTCGCGAATGCAATCTTTGCCCTCGCAAATGCGGGGTCAACAGGTATGAGAAGACGGGCGTGTGTTTGATAGGGGCGGAGACGGTGAAGGTAAACACCATAGGTAACCAAAGTTCCACTAGCACTGGCTGTCATTCGATATGTGCACAAAAGTAACGCTGCTAATACTAATGGAAGCGCCCCATTTTGGAGAAGAGCCGTGTTTCCAAGGTCATCATGGTTCTGGAAGCGTCTTTTTCAGTGGGTGTAACCTTCGCTGTGTGTTCTGTCAAAATTTCGATATTTCACATCAACGAAACGGCTTCGACCTGACGCCAGAAGAACTGGCTGACTGGTACCTCAAGCTTCAGGTATTCTTCTCTGCTGCGCACTAGACCAACTCCAGTTGTGCGTGTGTTATACTGACCAGTATACGCGCCGTCATAGGATGTCGGGCATGTCCACAACATCAATCTGGTCACACCTGAGCATGTCGTTCCGCAAGTTGCACTTTCCATTCTTCATGCGCGCGAAGTCGGAAAGCTCAAGATCCCCATCATATACAACTCTTCGTCCTTTGATTCCATCGAAAGTTTAGAGCTCTTAGACGGATTGGTGGATATCTATCTACCTGACTTCAAAGTATGGAATGACGAGACGGGTAAACGACTGTTGAAAGCGGATAACTATACGGAGACCGCAATGGAAAGCATCAAAGCAATGCATGCGCAGGTCGGTGACCTCTGCTTCACGGGCGATGGGATTGCAAAGAAGGGCGTGCTGGTGCGGCACTTGGGTAAGTTGTACCCATACGAAGATCTCCTGCTTGATGTCTTACATCCCCCAGTCATGCCGGGTTTGGAGGACGAAGGCCGTGATATTATGGGATGGTTAGCCAGCAATGTGTCCAAGGACTTGATGGTGCATATAATGGAGCAGTACTTCCCCCGTGCCCATGTAGGAAAGCCAAGGCGAGGTAATAAAGAAGAGGGCGGGAGCGGAGAAGCTCGATATGCGGACATCAATCGGCCTGTAGATCTCGACGAAGTCTCATCCGTAAAGAAGGCTGCTGAGGAGGCGGGCCTGTGGCGGTTTGTAGAATCTGCTCAGCACGGCGGCTTCAACATATAATTCCTCCTTTTCCACCGTCTCTATGCTTGACATGTTAAGATTATGAAGTGCAAATCCTCGGCCGGGTGATGCTGGTCGCTGCATGTCAACAGGCAGGTGCGACCGCGGGCGATGATGTAAGCTGGCAATATCGTTGCAACCACACGCAGCCTTTGTCTCTCACCTCACGTCTCATCGCATCACTACCCATCGATCAACGCATTTCTAAAATGCAGGCAGTCAGCATAGGCGAGTCTGCTCTCGCAGCGGGCCTCGAACACAATATCGTGGCCGCAATTCGCAGCTTGAAGATAGAACGCGATACATGGCGGCACACTGCGGAGCAATACCAGTAGGACGTTGACAGTGTGCTCGCAAAGACATATGCTAAAATTTCTGCTCAGGGCTGCTTTTGAAGAGCAGTCTTCACACTTGCGCGAATTGCTCGACATCTGCATTGCAACACAAGCCGAACTGGAGAACGAGAGGATCACCCATCGGCGTCGACTTGCGCGGTCAGATTCTACACTTCCCGACGACGCATCTCAGCGGAACACCAGTGGAAACCACGAGAACCAAGCTTTTGGCACTGCCATTATTCTTCGCAATAACCTAGGACAGGCGAAACAGCGGCCACTGACGTGCTTCAGTCGAGTCGAGTGCCTGTGTGAGCAACACGATTATGGCTCAGCTCTCATGGAGGTTGATCGCTTACTACGTGGCCCTCTCGCATCGAAATTCCGGGTGGAGGGTTTGTTGATAAAGAGCGACATACTGCGTAAATCTGAGTTGCTGTACGATGCTTTGGCTATATGTAGCGAGGCACTGGAGCTGTGCGGTAGTCTGAGCGAACTACACGCGTACATACCCAAGATTCATTACCAGCGTGGCGTTTGTTACTATCATCTGCGAATGACGAAGCACGCACGGGATGCTCTGAGTCAAGTCTCGTCAAGCGATAGGTCGCTGTCCACTAAAGCTCGCAATCTTCTCGAATCATGCAATGATCAAATCGACACCAGCCGTCGATCTGGCTTTGAATCACATCGAGTAACGTCCGACGGTTCGCCTGTGGCGTTGGGCGAGGTTCCGCTTGATGTAAGCTGTCGCGCCAATTATAACATCACTTTCTAATGCATCTAGTCGAAGCGGAGATCGAACGGCTCACAGTTTCGGCTCACTGTTCACAAAGGCAAGCGGTTTTCTTTCCCCGCTCGCTGGGGTGCCTCCAGGTCAACCTCGTGCAGCACAAACTGAGGTGTGACTGAAGTTGAGTCTTCGGTTTGACACTGCTAGCACTAGAGACCTATCAAATCTGCGTCATCATGGAAATGCGATGTATCATTATTACTTTTAGTGTTATGTTTGCAGCGTTCATGTTTGCTAAATGTTCTTTGTTATCCAATAACACATTTTTCTCATGTTGAAGGGTTTTTCTTTGTTCGTGCTGAGACTTCATTGCTTGATCCACCACATTCATCACCTACCTCCGCGGGCACGCGAGAAAAGTAATTAAATGACTTAGGGCCCGAATTATTCGATGTTTTTCTCTGGAAGCCCCCTTCGTGATGTCCGAGAAGAACCCTAGGGATGACCCATACAATTCGGACCTAAAAACACAAGAAAACAACTTCGCAGGTGTCTCCAGCGCGAGTAACACATCATCAAAGAGCGTGACAGGTACCACGCGCTCAAATATTCAGGCCACTACTACAGATCGCCGACGCAACCCCTCCCAGAGCCGCCCTAAAGGACGACGGGTAGCGGAAATCCAGCAACGATTGACTCAGAAACCCGACATGTCGCCTCTCCGCAATCAGAGATCTATTGAGAGAATCAAAGACGAAAGATATACACCTTGGAATAGCGATGAGAAATTCAATGATTCGGAAAATAGTCGGTTGGATGCTCATGGCCATTCATCGGAGAACATCCAACAGTGGATGCGTGGTCAAGATGAAGCCCAAAGCGGATCTAGTGAGCAAGCAGAACAGGCAGAACCTCCACCTCCAGCAACAGCCATCGAATTTGAAGACAGGCTTAAAACCCTGGAGTTTTCAAAGTTGGGATACAGCTACGCCATGGATAAATTGGGTCAAAATCCCAAATCGCGGCCAAACTCTCCGACCACCCGCTCCAACTCATCCTCCAAATACCCCTTGGCCTGGTCCGACTCCGAAGAATCAGTCTACTCTCAAGAAACCTCCAAAACCAGCGTCCCGGAACCTCTGTTCCCAATTTTCCAGACCAGATTCAACCTCCGCATCCAAATCAACATGACCCGCATCCTCATCGCGCTTACCTGCTGCGAATTCACCGCCCACACAAGCAAACTGCAAGAGTCCAAACCATGGCAATTCTCAGACTCAGAAGTCCAGCTAACATACGCAAAAATGGCGCAATACGCGGACCGCGCTTACGAACTTGCCAAAAATCTCCACAGCGACGGTCTGAGAGCTCGTGCGTGTTACTGGCTTGGCCGTGCGTACGGTAACCAGTTGTCCTGGGACGAGGCGGCCAAAGCATTCCAAAACGCTCTCGCGTTCGACACCACAGACGGCGAGGGACTCTCCGACCGCGAGAAAGAAACGGTGCAGCTTTTTCTTGGGAGCGTGCAATGGCGGGAACGTCAACAAGATCGCGACGATAAGTTGCGTCGGAGGAATACTGGAGAGTTCTCTACGTTAGTAAAGAGCAAAATCTGGCGCCCGGAGGTCGATGCTGCGCTGTATCAAGCCGATGTCGCGAGAGCGAAAGCCGGCCATGGTTCCTCAAGCACGCCTCCGCCTGACTCGGCGGATTCTTTTGAGACGTCGAATATTGTTACGCCGAGTTCTGCTGTTGCGGAGTCGGTGGAGAGTGCACCGCTCAAGACACCAGAGATGCATAGGCTGTATAAATTCACAGAAGAGGAGTTGGAGTATATCAATTATGGTGGCGAGGCGCCGGCAGCAATTCTTCGTGGATACGAACTCGCATCTCCGCGTGAGGTTCACGAGACGAATTTGGGGGGTGCGAGACGTGCGCCTCCCATGCCTATCAAGATTCCGGTGAAGCGTGGTGGAAGAGAAGAAGTACGAGGGCAAGATGATGATAAAGAGGAGAGAAGATCCGATGTCAAACCTGATGATAGAGGTGGCAGCGGTGGTGCTAAGATGAATCTAGAAGATGAACTTAAGGGTTTGCGATCTATTGGGGATGATGAAGTAGAAAGCTATGACGGAGAGAGTGACAGGTATAGTTCAGAGTATGGTAGCGATGGTCTTGGAGGGGAAAGGAACGATGAGGGAATGTGATTTGAGAATTTACAGACAGATACAAACTATGTCAAGATATTGCAATGCTCTGCCCGGCATTATAGTAGGGAGATACTTTCATAGAACAAACAATCCTCCGTTCCGAGTTTCGATGTCCTCCGTGATTAGGAATCTTGATCAGTTTACCTTGTTCACTCGTTACATACCAGGTAATTTGGAGACCCCTGGAACACGATCACGTTAGTAATCGCCATCGTTATCAAGCCCGAACTCAGCTGCTGCCCACCACTTCGTCACCAAGGCATCCCTCCCGTCCGCCACCCTTCCCCAAAAGAAAAAACAGATCGGGCAATGAGGATGGACAAACTTACAGCCGTCCATGTTCTCACCCACGAAGTCCTTGACTGTGCAACGATTCGCGGTTGTCATAGCTTGCTTAGTGATGGAACCGCAGCCATCATAAAAGCACTCCGATTTCGCCATAGCTCGCTGCAGCGAGTCGCCTTTCCATCCGAACATCTGTGATCATAAACAGTCAGCCTTCCTGCTCCCTCCACTTCGTCAACGAGAGAAAGAAGAACTCACGTAGTCCGCATGCGTACCCCCAGCTTTTCCTTCAAAGCTCCACACAAACGGGTTTGGCGTACCAGATGGCCACATGCTGTTGAACTGTGTCGTGTCCCAGACGGTTTCGAAAGTGACTTGGGGTACGCGGATAGGGTGTGATGCGGGGCATGCAGGGGCGTTGGTGAAGCCGTCGCGGTTGATGGTGTTGTACATGTGAGATTGGTGGTCTGGGCTGTCGAGGTTGACGCCGTCCCAGCATCTATACACAAGGCTCATTAGTAACGCTATCAAAATTTGGCATGCTGAAGTCAGTAGAAAAGAGAAAAGACGATTTGGTAAAGGGCTGAAAGAGATTGGCAAAGAGAAGACTCACGCAGGGAAATGCTGCGTAGCAAAGATACCTCCCGTACAAGGCTTATCCGGGAAATCCGAAATCTCAGGACCCCGACTCTGGCCCGTCAAACACTGATATCTCAACCCGACATGCGGTTTCCCAGCTTCGGTCGGCGCACCCACCGTCATGCGGAATCCAGGCTTGAACGGCGTAATAGCTTGCTGCTTAAGGTTATCCCGACTAAGATCAAACTGCGTATAATACACTGTCAACCCTCCCGTGGCACCCTGTGATCCACCAAGAAGTGGCTGCACAGGAACGACGGGGACGCGGTGGTAGGAGCCATTTTGCGGGTGTTTGAAGTAGAGTACTGCTGTCCAGTAGTTGGAGAAGTCTTCGGCCATTTGACAGGTCGTGCATGTTGCACGTTCGCCGACGTCGCCTTCCATGGATGCGTTGAAGGCATTTCCGCCGACAATGTGGTGGAGATGCGACGAGGGGAGGGAGCCGGGTTGCACGACGGGGTCGAGGCGTTGAATTGTTAGAGTTGAGCAGGGGAAACGGAGGCCTGCGTAGGCGGGCGCGATGAGCGCGAGGGCTGTGGCGAGTGATTTCATGGTGAGATTGCCTCGAGAAATTTGACTTGGACAGTGTCCTGGGGACGTGGATGGAAGTGAAAAGAATTGTATTGCGTCTATTCGTTTTTATATCATTTCCTCTATCGCCTCAGCCTATCTATCATTCATGGGTTCGCCACTGGAATTGAATCAAATCTTGGGATACAGCATCGGAGTAATATGTGCATATTGCTGCGCCGTGCTGGATCGCGACGAATCGACCGGTATTACGCTGGTTGGGTTGCTGATTAACTTCGCTCAGTTGATTTACAGGCATCACTCGGCTGCCGGCAAATGTGCTTTGAGTGGTTGTTTGGGTTCTTTAGCCAGTCAAACTGTCTATTCGAAATTGTTTTGAGAAGGATCCAATCGTTTATAGCGCCGACCATCCCATCGTGGTGCAATCAGTGGTGCTCGATGTGAGTTTGGATGCGGAGTCTGTCCGTAAGTGCGTGCGGAGAAGATAGCCAAGCGCACGACATTTCAACAATTAGGACGGGTTGGGCTGTTCGAACCTGATTGAGTTGATACGAGCTATGGTCGTCCAGCCATCAGAAGGCATGTAAATGGTGTACCCCGAGAATAATGTAGTGTACTTGCGTACACTTTGTGCCGACTACATCAGCTGGATTCAGCTTTGAATCATAATCTCAGTCTCCCTGGTCAGTTCCTGACGTCGGAGAATACGTATCGAAAAATCAGACAATAGATGGAGCGATATCAACTCTGTAGGTATTGAGATGAAAGAGTGGACGATATTGTTGTACTTTCAATTCTTCAACGGGGTTCCTCGAGTCCAATACCGTGGGTTCTCCGCAGTGTGAGAGCGGTCATAGGGGCGTCACACGATGATCAGATCACGATCCAAAGCTTGGCGTCTGTCAAATACGATCTCGTTCATCTTGAATGGAGATGCTCCTTTGTAGGCGGCCAGGATGGGATCATGATGGAACAAAGGACAAGATGTCGTCGAGCGCCGACCATGAAAAGGGGAGCGGAAGCGGCAAAAGAGTTGCACATATACGTGAGTGCTGTCTCGATTGAACAGCCTGATGAGCGTCTCATTGTACCCCCAAGGCCACTGTGGCCGGGGAAGTCGTCGTATTGATATGAAGAGAGAAGAGGATGGATGAGTGCGATGGGGCATCGCCGGCATTTTGGAAGCTAACCTGGATTGGGGCTAGTTCGCGGTGCCGTACGACTGCAATCTTCCGACCGAACCCTCTCTCTAGAGTACCCGATTTTTGAAGCTTCTAGCCTTCGTCTCCCCGAACACGTCGATTTTGCAGCTTCCCGGTAGGCAGTGGGGGGTTCAACGCCATCAGGATCACCACGCGATACCCAATCAAGTGCCAAGGACTCGCTTGCGGCTAGTCACGACATCTGTGCCGCCAATGGCATCATCAACAGGTATCTCGCCCTGAGGTCGAAATGACTAACGCCTTTCCATCCCATCGTCTGCCAAGATATCGCCCTCCGACTATAGATATGCCCTTTGCCCGCCTTGCCCTTCCATCTGGAATGACACGAGTCTTCCGCCATGGCCCTATACGATCCCAAGCATGCGCCGGCTGAGCACACCAGCCCGTCCAGCTATGCCGGCGAACGGGATTTCGCCAACATCGACCCGGATAGTGGTGTCAAGCGCGGCCTCAAAACCCGACATCTCTCAATGATGGCTTTGGCTGGTATCATCGGACCTGGCATTCTCATCGGTACAGGTGGAGCTCTCGCGAATGGCGGACCGGCCGCTTTACTCATTGGATTCGGTATCATTGGCATCGTCGCATTCAGTGTGACGCAATCGCTTGGAGAAATGACTACCCTCTATCCTACCGGTGGCGCGTTCGTTACCCTGTCTGAGAGATTCGTCGACAAGGCTTTTGCGGTAGCCGTGGGGTGGAATTACTGGCTCTTGTGGGGTTGTGTGCTTGCCAACGAATACAACGTCATCTGCTCGCTCCTGGTTTTCTGGAGCGACAAGGTTCCGCTTTGGGGCTACTTCCTCATTTTCTGGTTTGCTTTCCTCGCATTCCAGATGCTTGGCGTGGAATCCTTTGGTGAGGCCGAATTCTGGCTTGCGCTGATGAAAGTCTTCGGTCTCATTTCCTACTTCATGTTCTCCATCATCTACGCTGCTGGGGGCTTGATCGGCCAACAGGAACCATTGGGTTTTCGGTATTGGAACGATCCTGGTCCCTGGTCGAATGGTTTCCGTGGTGTCGCAACTGTATTCGTGTTTGCATCCACATTCTACGCTGGAGTGGAAGCTGTTGCGGTCGCAGCTACAGAAACGAAGAATCCGAGTGTCGCAGTTCCTCTTGCTATCCGGCAAGTCATCTGGCGAATTTTGTTTGTCTACATGGGCGTCGCCTTCTTCTTCGGTCTCACTTGCCCATCCAACGCTGATGGTCTGGTCAACGGAGAGAGCCGGGCGCTCAAAAGTCCGATGACAATCGCGATCCAAAATGCTGGATGGGAGGGCGGTGTGCATCTCATCAACGCATTCATTTTCATCACCGTCCTTTCTGCAGCGAACAGCTCCATCTATATTGGATCGCGGACTCTTCTATTCATGGCCCAGCAGGGGATGGCCCCACGCTTCATTGGAAAGACAAATTCTCGCGGCGTTCCCGTCTATGCCATGCTCATCACAAACTTGTTCGGCGTTCTATCTATGATGAATGTTTCCACTGGTGGAGGCAAAGCGTATGGGTACATCATAAACCTGAGTGGTGTCTGTACCTTCATTGTATGGGGCGCTATCTCTTACACACACATCCGGTTCCGCAAAGCCTGGTCTGCTCAAAACCGGTCCCCCGACGATTTGCCATTCAAGTCTATTGCTTATCCTTGGAACGCATATTTTGGCCTCAGTGCCAACATTTTCCTCGCTCTCGTCCAAGGCTGGACTACACTGAGCCCATTCGATGCTGGTACATTTGTCGACGCTTATATTCTGCTGCCGCTGTTTGGCGTCATCTTTGTGGGATACAAGTTTTGGTTCAAGACGAAATTTTGGCACAGCGACGAAGTTGATCTTGATTCCGGAATGAGAAAAGATTTGGATGCCAAAGAGATTCCTGAAGAAGCTGAAGTCGCTTCTCCAAAGCAAAGCTGGGTGAAGAAACTATGGTCGAACTTTTGAATAGTCAACAAAGTCGATAGCTGCGCGTTGCTTTACTGAATGAAAGATCTCATACAATCGCGCAGGGAGAAGTACTAGAAAATTCCCTTGTCGATCCAATGCTTGCTCTTGGTGCACAGAAACTCCGATCCATTGCTCACCAAACCTTGATATGCCATATATCCTAACGCCTAGACCATCGGCTCCGTGGAATTGATACCAGTAGTGCGCAGGCAGCCATCCCAATAAGGAAAGACGCTAATGAATTCTGGTACTCTTAAATCCGGCGCTCCCCCTTACTCACTCATCTCAACTCTCAACATATCCTCCTCTTCACCAGAGCCTCCACGGTAGAAATTCAAACAGCCATTGACCATGGGATACTCTGAGGTGCGTGGTTTGGATCGACTAATGGTTCCAGCCGACCTCGGCTAATCCTGTCCTAGGTCTTGTGCCAGATCTGCGGCGTCAGCTTCAACATTGGTCGAATTCGCAGACCTGATGAGCCGCGAAGTGCAGCATGGGCGTTGTACGGTCCCATTGCGAGGAAATCGCTCTGGGACTATACGTCTCGCGAGAATATGCTCTCCAGCTTCGTAGAGCAGCGCACGGATTTCCGCAGGGCAAGTTGCGGCCAAGATTCTGGCTGCATGTTCGTGACCAGAAATCCGCGTACAAAGAATATCGATTGGCCAGGATTCCGGAACAACGTTGAACATTCGACTGGGGAGGTGGATGGCGATTCAAGTGATGATTCCGAATGGGTCCCAACAGATGAGGAGGAGCAAGAGTCGCTCGAATACTCTTCGGAAAACGAAGATAATTCAGATGGCGGAAACGTGGATCAAGAGGGTGATGTCACTATGGCCAATAGCGATTTAGATGCAGGAGACATGTTCCCCTCCACTCTGAGCTTGGTTCAAGACCAGATGATTTTCAACCCGTGTACTTGGAACGGGGAACAGCTTGAAAGACTAGTTGGCGGCTCTGAACAACTCCCGGCGTGGTATCGGGGTACTCCGTACTATTTCGAAGCGGATTTGCATCATGACAAGACTACTGAAGAGATCTCCCCACTGTGGCCTGGTGATTCTGAGGGAGCCGATGACGCCACAGCCAAGACGAAAATGCTGGATGAAGCTCAACGAAAAGCAGAGGAGTCGTATTCGCGCGAGAGGCAACAATTTGAACATATCGCGGGACCGGGCTGCGAGCATGCGCGCGGCTATTCTGGTCACGAGATTGGCGTAGAAGAGATGCGTGGCTGTCAGATCGCGCAATGCTTGATCCGGAAACCGCCGGGGTACGAATTTGTTCCATCGTTTTATGACGAGGACTTTGAGGTGGATGGAAACTTTTTTCTGAGCGGACTCACTGATCACATGCCCTCGCGCGACTACTCGAACCCCACGGTGACTCCTGCGCGTCAACAATGTGAGCAACCGTATGCTGAAAACATAATGTGGGATGAAGACAATGCCAACGAATACGCATTACCTTTCCACCCTTCCTGTCTAGAAGTCTTCAAGCAACTCTCACGTATGTCGAAAGGCAGCGTTGACATCAATTCGTTGACGAGCTGGTGGTCTCTGGAAGCCGACTATGAAATTTTCCATGGCTTCCCTCGTCATCCCGATCTCTCGCAATGCAACGGGCAAGAGTGGGAACATAGCAACGGAACGGCCTATCTAGCCGCTAATCCTCTTTACGTCCCTAAACTGAAAGAAATATGCGCTGCAGCAATCGAATCGGACCCCGCCTTCAATCCTCGAACCGGCGCCTTCACCCTGCCCCAACCTCCATCAACCTCTCCTTCCTACGACCCTTTTCTCTCAATTCCCAACGAAATCCTCACGGAGATTCTCGATCACCTCACCTCCCAAGATATCGCCACCCTTCGCCTCTCGTCCCGTGCATTTACAGAACTCCCAATTGCATACTTCCAGAAACTAATCCTTCGTGAAATGCCATGGCTCTGGGAAGCCTGGCCAACCTTCAAGACCTCGACCCGCACAAAATACTCCCTCTGGGCAACCCTAACGGCCGGAACCGCCATGCGCACGCTCACAAAAGCCGATCGTGAAATCGAAGCGATCCAGGATTACGTCGCCATCGTCAAGAAAGAGATGCCCGAGCTTAGCGAACAAATGGACGAAGCCCTCAAAACCCAAACACAAGCTGTTCGGGCAGCCCACGAGTTTGACATCGAGAATAGAGAGGAGAGGTTTCCGTGCTATTTACCCCCCGACCGCACGAATTACTACAAGTTGTACACGCTTATCATTCGCCATTGGAAAGATCTGAAAGGGTTGCGAAATCGCCAGAGAATCTGGAGAGACTGCGAAGAAATCATGCGGCGCGCAGATGCGTATAAAGAGAGTGGGCGGATCGACGAGAGTGGGATCACGGAGGAGCTGGAGGATGTGATTCGTGGGAACCGAGAAGCTTTTCAGCTGAGGGAAGCAAGGAGGAGGAAGGAACGGGAGAAGTATTGGAAGACATATGAAAGAGAGAGGAAGAGACTCGTGGAGGAGAAGGAGAGGGAGGAGAAAGGGGAGTCAGTAAGTCAAGAATTGCCGCAGCGTCCTGGGCTCACGTTTGTGAATACCTTTTCGGAGGAGGGAGTTATGGAGACGGAGGGTGCACGCGTAACTTGACATGGTAAATTATAATTCGTCTGCAAATGTCCGCATGCCGTCGTATACCGTATCACCGAAATTTTTGACGAACTAGCGAATAGGCGGATTGCGGGAACATGCCCTTTTAGTATATGTGAGGTTGACAAACGCTGCTTTATCATCTCGACCGTGAGCATCACTTCGCCATCTTCTTCAAAAATTCGGAGCCTACACAACAACAATTAACAAGGATGTTTCCTCAACTCCTAAATCATGAATGAAAGACAAATGTTGGGTTCCGCATTTCCGATTTCCTACCTCGTTTTGTTAAACTACTCGGGTCCAGGATTTTGAAACATGGCGAGGCGAGTTCAGCCTGCCCCAAGCGCCACACATCAGTATACACACCACCCCGTTGAACTATCCGTTTCTCAGTGTATTAGATAGTAAAATTAGGTTAGGACCGAACTTATGTGTAGTCTATGTGATTGTTTCCTCTTTTGGGTTTGTTTGTCCATGTTTCGCTGAGGCGATTTGGAGGGTGGAGAGATGGAATGTTTGAGGATGCTGAATGTCCGGGCTGCCAGAATAGCGGGCGTCAATTGGACGGGGGTTATAGGGTAATCATGCAACCACTTGGTTTGTTCTCGGTCCTATGTCTTTGTAACATGGAAATGTTGGCCACTGGAATTATTCGAGGTCGATGAAAGAGTAATAAGGTGCTCTGTAGTATTTGCGAAACCTTTCTCATCATGGTGCTTGCTCGATCATAGCCTCTACGTCAGGAGTAGGTAAATAGTGTTACTGGCTCTATGTGGCAAGATACTGTAGTCTGAAAATGGCTTTACACGCGTCCTTCGGACATCACGAATGTAAACTCGGGTCTTTGTTCACCGGGGATTTAAGCATTCAGCCTTGCATTAGAGTCTGCGCTAGTCCCATACGTAGTAACCTCGCGGACCTGATTTGACTGTTTGTAGTAAGCTATTCGAACTGCGCACCAATGATAGCTTTTTGGGTCTAGAGTTGGGTTTCGCTTGTTGCTGGGGATTTGTCGATACTTTCGGGCTTGAGAGAATTCTACGTCGGTCGCACTGCCAATGTAGCGAGCCTCAAGGACTCCACAGGGATTTTTCTTGGACCAGGTGATCAAGTCACAGTACAAACTAGCATCGAGGATGAGGCTGTGGTCGCGATGTAATGTCCGGGGCCATCAAGCGAGCTATAGTCTTTCGACCTCAAGACCGAGAAAAAAGTGTATATAAACTGAGAAGAAACGCAGAGAAGGAAAGCATTCAGCATCACATTCATTCCAGTTTCATTCATTCACTCGCTTCGCATTCACTTCTACCAACTCTCTCTGCGAGAAAGAAAATCAATCTCTCCCACCTTCATCTTCAACTTCACTTCCACGACAGTTTCATCAAACAAACAAACGAATCCAATCCAAAGCCAACTTCAAAATGCAGTTCACCAGCATCCTCCTCCTCGCCGCTCCCCTCCTTGCCTTCGCGGCTCCTGCCGACATGACTGCTGACCCAGTCAACGTCGCCATCGGTACGTCAATACCAGGCCTCGACTTTCTCCATCCCCGAATCGCCCACTAACAGCATATCCGTTAAATAGAAGCCCGCAAAGTCGACGGCTGCGTCGTCAGCTCCGTATGGGGCGGCGAATGGACCGAAAACGGTCTCGCCCGTTACCGCACCAAGTTCACCGCCAAGAAGATTCCTTCTTCTGACGTTTGCAAGGTTCCCTACTGTAAGCATTCTCCCTTTTCCATTCCTTTTTTCTCTCTCGGGAGGTGAAGAATCAATAACTAATTACATCTGGGAATGCAGTCAGCTGTATGGCCATGACCAACCGCGCGTGCTGGACCGAAGGCGACACCACGTTCGTCGACGCCAGCTTCGTCAAGGGCGCTGGCTTTGGAAGCTACACCGAGTGTCTTCGCAAGGCCAAGGCGCAGTGGGCTAGGGATAACGGATGCGCTTGTGAGGGCGAGTTCTGCTAGATTGGTTATGCCTGAGGAACTTGAGCTCTGGCTGGTTAGCTACCTGCCGAGTTTAGCGTGTTATGGATATTTAGGGGAGATTCTTTCTTTCTTTGTTGGGGACCTTTGGTTCGCATTGCACATGTGTATTTTTCTTTGGGGGGTTGGCTTGCTTGCCTCCTTGTCTTGTTCTTTCTCTGGGCCCTGGGTTTAGGGTGGGAAGACTTAGATATTTGCAATTTAGATGCGCTTGCGCAATTTTTTCAACAGTGCAGCTCTCACATCGGGTGAATTTTTTTTTTTTTTTTTTTTGGAAGTTACAGTGTTTCCTACACCCAAAAAGTTGTCAATTGAAACCCGGTGAGAAACAGATTCGTCAAACGAATCTGTACAAGGTGGTCCAAATCACTTTATCCTCCATTCAGTATTAGACCAGAAATTGGGTGATCTGCTAGGAGCTTGCGTATATCAGTCTCGTGTGTCACATAGTCAACACCACATTTCGTGCTTTCATATACATTGCGTTCCCAGGGTAGCTTCAATGTCATCTAAGCACAAGAACAGTCACAAATGATTATTTGGCCCAGATCATGTCTGTGTATTAGATGACAGGTAGTTCTAGACCTTTGTTCAGTAATCCAAGGATGATGGTTTGTGAGATTGTCCTTATTCAAGACGGTTTGTACACCATGAATCGGAAAAATTCCGGGAATGACTAATTTCGACAGCGCTTACCTTCCTACTAACCAAAAAGGACTACAAAGTAACTTATTGAGGTAAAAGGATGAGATTCTGAAAGATAATTAGCATTGAAATAAAAGTGGACACGTCTACATCTTACCGCGTTCTGCTTAGGCTGCTTCGAGAAGGCAACACGCGAGTCAGCTCGAGTCAGCTTGGTTATACAATCATATAGCAATTGAATACTAATCACACCTATATATCAATCGCAAAGGATCGCGTCTTACGCCTAAAACTAAACCAGAAACACAACTAAATCATTCAGAACTAAGCAATTTTCTACTACTCATTATGGCCCCCAAAATCCATCTCTACCTAGGCAACGGCGCCTGCTCCTTCGCAGCCCACATTGCCCTCTACGACGCCAACATTCCCTTCACCACCACCGCGCTCTCCGTACGCGAGGGCTTCCCGGCCGATAAACTGCATTTGAACCCCAAAGGCGCAGTACCTATTCTCATCTTGGACGACGAAACCATCACCGAAGTCCCCGCCATCTTGACCGCGATTTCTCAACTCGTGCCGGAGAAACACCTCCTAGGCCGCACCAATCTCGAAATCGTGCGCGCGTACGAATGGTTTAACTTTCTCAGCGGGAAAGTCCACGGGCAAGCTTTCGGGGGATTGTTCCGTCCGGGACGGTTCGTCACTACGGACGCTTTGCATGATGATGTGAGGAGGAAAGCGGTAGCAACGATTAATGAGTGCTTTACGGCTATTGATAAGAAGCTGGAGGGGAGGGAGTGGGCGGTTGGCCAAGAATACACCGCTGTGGATGCATACCTACTTGTTTTCTACAGGTGGGGAAAGCCTAGTGGGGTTGCCGTGGAGAAGTTTTCGAATTATACGCGGCTTGCGAAGGCGGTTGCAGCGAGAGAGGCTGCTGTGAAAGCGGCAGAGGCGGAGGGGATTAATGTTTTGATTGATTAAAGGATTTGTAGGGTGACTGGTGGTGATTTTGGCTGCTGCTATGAGCCGTGATTTCATTCTAACTGCTCTATTGAGTTATCGCAAATAGACTAGATAGAATAGATCAGGAGATTAGATGAATCTATCAATTGAAGTCCTGTCAGTAAATTTGAACTTTGCAATTGAGAGGATGAGGATGGCAAGGAATTCTGTGAACTTCACAATTCTTTGACATACTGATGTCCAAACATCAGGATTCTATCAAGCTATTAAATGATCTCTGCGCCTGGATTATATACGCGCACTCTACATCATCCGATAGTCGCGTGTCAGCGTTTCAAATGTTTGCTACAACCAATGACTGGTCAACTAGAAACATGCAACTTTGCTGACAAGCGAGCAGCAAGCGATTGCCCAATTATTCACCCGATATACGACATAAAGCTTGATGCAGCTTAGCTATTACTTGGCTCGGTCTAGTCTACATTATTGATAAGCTTGCTTGTAAGCAAGAACCCTTGGGCGGTGACTGCAAGGCAACTCGGCAAAGGCTGCTCTGCGACGTAACAATCTCGCGGGGCGGTCCAGGCAACCACAAGATCAGCAGTTTTGCCGGAAAGAGTGAATGGTGCAAGCCGATCACGGAAACAATCTCTCAAAGTTGATGCTGAGGAAGCGTCGCAATATACTTGCTTTGTGACCTTTTCCCAACAACGATGGCGACAAACCAGGACCAGACTACTAGCCAGAAGCCTGGCCACCCGCCCGCTCAAGCAACGCTCCACGAGGTGCGGACTGCCGAAAACAGTGCGGCCTTTTTGCTTCCCAAACTGCAGGATATGAAAAATGTCAATCCAGATTTGAAGCTACTAGACGTTGGTTGCGGCTCAGGTACCATCGCAGCGAGCTTCGCAAAACTCATTCCCGAGGGTCGCGTCACAGGCATTGACGTCAACTCCAGCATCTTACCTCGGGCGCGCGCCGTCGCGGAAATGAATGGCGTCGCCAACATCGAGTTCCAGGAAGGCAGCATTTTCCAGCTTCCCTTCGCCGACGAGACATTCGACGTAACGTTCTGTCATCAGGTACTTATCCACATCGGCACGCCTTGGGATGCGCTGCGTGAAATGCTGCGAGTAACAAAGCGAGGCGGCATTGTCGCGGCACGCGAGGGTGACTACGAGTCGGAGTGTATCTGGCCTGAGCTCCCCGGATTGAAAAAGTTCCATGCGCTCATGGCAGGCTGCATGAAGGCAGGTGGTGGAAATCCGACTACAGGCCGGCTATTGCTTTCGTGGGCGCTCAAGATTGGCGTCGAGCGAAGCCATGTTCAGTCGAGCTTCGGTACATCGTCGTATGATACACCGAGTGGTCGAAATACTTGCTGTGAGTTTCAAACCTTTTTTTCGTCTCCCAAATGCAGAGCATTAGTTCTGACTTGTTGGTTTCAATAGCAAAGGGATTGCGCGATCAACTCAGAGGAGGTTCTTTGCGTGAGAAAGCCTTCAAATATGGTCTTGGCTCTGAAAATGACCTTGACGAGATGATTGAAGCGTGGGAAGAATGGGAGAAAAGAGATGACGCATCTTTGTCCATGCTGCAAGGAGAAATTCTCATTCAAAAGTGATGTCGAAATCGCGAGTGATGTGGGAATTCATGCCTCGGGAACAGAACGTCTGTTGGGCCGAGGTCCCTTCTTGCATCGAACTACCCTATTGAGTAGGTAGTCTCGGCCAGATCTCATGTACTGTCGCTGAGTAGGATTTGCCAATTCAGACGTGTGATGGAGGAACAGTAGTTCTTTCTTGGTAAAGTGGGCCTGCGTGTACTCGGTGTTGGTTGGTAGCGGGGAAAGCTAGTAGCATGGGGAAGTTGACATGTATATCAGGCGCTCTTCAAAGCCCACCGAGATGCTTCACGTGATCTGATCGATGCCATTACTGATGGTAATTCACTATTCACCTCACGTTTGATCCTTTGGCATATATTAATTGAGTGTGTTTCTAACTTTGTGTGGCGAATGATGCAAGCCCAGGACGGTTACAAGATTGGCGGATCAACTATACCTCATCTTGATAACGGGAATGTCATCCCAATCGTAGCGGGGGCGGGAAGCGGAAGTTCACGAGCTGAAAGCACCAATTAAATTGTTTTAAGAGGTAATCGAAAAGCAAATTAACGTCGCTCCAGCCGATATTCTGGGGAAGTTAGCATCCAGAGATGTCACTCTACGCGAGCTAGTGTTAGCCTAAGGCCAGATTAAGAACTTCTCATACTGCCAAGTAGCAATTTAGACGTAACCAAGGTAAGTATACAGCAAGTTCCCTATACAACAGATCACGTGTGACCAAGAATCCAACATTCCACAAGTGATTTAGGGCATCACCAAGAGGTCTAACATGACCCTGCTGCGCTGCCATGAGACTTGGCTGTAAGCAGCCTCAACACACGAAGGTTTCAACCTTGTTCACTATCCACCTTGATCAAAAAGATGCACTAATAGTCATCGAACGGATGGGGAAACTAATGTGAACATCTCTCCGAATTTCACGGGTTATATAAAAGGCGATCAAAATCCCTCATGTCTTCACTTCTTTACCCAGCACAGCAAAAGCACAAGTCCTGCCAACACTCTATCGCTCTCAGACTCGAATTCAATCTTTCATCATGAAGTTCTCCATCGCTGCCGTCCTCGCTGTGGCCGTTGCCTGCGTCAGCGCCATTCCCAACCCCGAGCCGGTCAACGCTGAAGCCGTAAGTTCCTCATCATCTGTCATTAAACTCCCGTTTATTATTCGCGTACTACAAACAGAAACTGATTTCTGTATAGATTCCCGCCAAGGCTGCCTGGGAGGAAAAGCGCTTTGCCATCAACAAGTTCACGAAGCGTGCCTGCTACGATACCTCTTGCATCGGCGATTCTGATTGCCGGGCTGTCGGCTGCGAGTTCTGCGTCCGTGAGAACTGGGGTGCTTGCGCTTAAATTTGCTTGGATTGAGAAGTATAGAGATATTTGGCCAACGGAGAACTTGCGGGGAAACTGGGTGAACATGAAGTGTTTCACTCATGTCGATATCCTGTTTGGTGCCTCGAATGTGTCTGGCTCGACTCTTGTCGAATACAAAGTTACTATAAAACAATGAAACTTTGCTTCTATGCTGCCTTCCAAGGTCTCTGGAAAAGTCCACCTTCAATGCTATTGCGCGATGTGTGTACACGAGCCAATTGGCATACAGATGTATTTTCCGGACTTCAGCAGCCACACGAGGAAAGACGAGTGGAGATGACGTTCCCGGGTGACGGTGCCTCGTTTGATTGGTTTTTTATGGAAAGTCTTGAAATAGTGGTTGACGACGAAGACCTGAGACCATATAGCTCACGCTTCTTAGCTACAGTCGCTTATCCTCTTCGTGTAATAGATTTGCGCAAAACGTTTGCCGTTTGTCACTGCTTTCTTTTGTATTTTCCCTTCATATTGACTGCGAACAAGATTTGTTCTTGGATGACCGGGCGTCTGTGTATTCTTGAGCTCCTTCAGACTATATCAAGATCAAGGAAATTCGGTTTTCGCAAAAGTCTTATCCATTTGGTGCGCATTGATAGAATTCGCCCGAATGGAGATGTCAGTCTGCACGTTAATTGTGGAGAGAGGAAGTAAATCCGCTCTATCGGTGTCGGTAAAGAGGCTCGCATCCGTGCGCTGCTTCCGCCGGCGATTTGGCGCGGACAAACGATGACTAACGGAACGCTCTTGCGGGTACATGGGTCCAGACTTCGAATCGTTTCTGCACTTGGACACGAGGAATCTGATCCAAGATGATTCCCGGAGAAACTTGGACGCAGTTGTGAGACATAAGATTAAGAAGCCGCAGAGCTGCTCCACAGTACACCAGATCCCTATGTGGGAAACAGTGTACGTTACGTCTTCGCTAGTGCTAAATCTCGAACAGTTATAAACGTTCCAAGCTGCCGCGATGCAAGCGCTGGATAGTCGAGTGTTAGTGGGCGACTGTGCTGATCATGTGTGATTGAAACTTACGAAATTCCAAGAGAGAATAACGCGGCGATCGCAAGCTTCTTGCCGGTACTCATTTGCAAGCTCCATATTACTGGCTGCGGAAGTATGAATATCATCACACTGGATACCAAACTCATGCTGGAGGTGACTAAATAGACTGTGCCGATCCTAAGACACATCCCAGGTACTGTCCGATCCCAAGATTTCTGTCGTGGATTACACATGAAGATGTTGAGGAATGTGCTGGTGATGTAGAATACAACCGTAATTGCTGCGGTGATATAACAGGTCCACCAGAACCTATTCCTGATGCCTCCGGGAACGAATATACGTGACCACTCAATCAGTATGCTTGTTTTGACAAGCATCATGACTATACCATGAGTGACGGAGCCAATATTCATGTACTATGATTTTTAGCTGGTGACATTGATGGCGACGAAGTTACTTACGTAGAGAAAATGGGGCAGATTCTTCAGTCTGACGTCCCATTGATGAACAAAAGCTCCTGTGTTGAGCGCCAAAGTCCACATACACCAGAGGTAAGCCCCCAGAACACCCTGATCAAGTTATTACTTTTGTATAAGTAGATAAGAGTGCAGAATACCGACCAAAGCAGCGACAGCAATCGCTGGTCAACGTTAGTATGACACGGTTTTGGTGTGTGGCAGGCGTACTAACCGTCTTCAACAAGAATTTTTCTAAAGTAGTGGAAACGAGAAAACACTTTTAAAGCAATCAAAAGTGTGCAGAAGACCCCCGTGAAAATGGCAAACACGTAAGCTAGATCATTCTTATTAGGAGGATTTGCGAAATTCGACACAGCGTTTTTGGGCGGATTCAATGCTGGACCGTCCAGCCATGATTGTCTCTCAGCTGGGGGCAAATCGTTGATGAATGAAAGGTCTTCCATAACAGCAATGTACGATTGCAACTTAGCGGTCGATAGTGTAAGCTTTACGGGATGAGGACGGGAGCGCCGCAAAATCTTGGGGACTCACTCTATAAGGCGGAGAGGCTCATGCAATGCGGCGCAGTATATGTGAAGGCTTCGGGTTCCGAATCAAAGGAGTGCATAATTCTGCCTCACAGCTCCTGGCTCGAGTAGAAGGACCTCATGTCGCAGGTATTGCATGGTTAAAGATTGCAGAGAATCAGCACTAGCAAGGGCTTCGAGCTAAGACGGGAAGGAGTCGCGGGGGCGTATTGAAAGCTCCAGAACGAACAAGAAAAGATAATTCTATATTGGTGATTCCGTGAGATTCAAAGACGTCACCCAGTGTACAAGGTTTGCTTTCTCAGTTGAACCGGACTGTTGACGTTTTTTAACAATGAAGCATTATCGCTGTCAAATCTTGAACCCGATGTTCTGCGTGCGCAGTGGGAGCGCCAAGGTTACTGATGCTGCAATGAAGCGGCGTAGCAGTCCATGGATTAACTGGAGGACTAACACCATTCTAACGATTCTGGTAAGGATTAAATGTGATTGGGGCGAATTTTCAAGACGGGCGGACCCGACATGGTCTTTTTCAACAGAGCGGATCGTAAATCCCAGAATCGAATGGCTTGCCGCTTGACGTGCTCATATCCGCACCCTGTCTCCAGTATTACGCTGACAACTTCCCCGCATCTCCCGTTGTCCGGGAAGCCTAATCATCAGTCTTGATGAAATATTACATGCGTACTCTTTGAACAGCAAAATAAAATAATGAAAGGGTATCAGGCATTGAATTCGTTGATTAAGATATCTAGCATAGCTCTGGTAAGAGGATGGCATCGCCGAGTTCGCGAAACAGGGACTACACGATCACCGAGCAACACGCACGAGAAAATTGGGGGGAAGTTTAATTACATGGGAACATCGCCAATCGAATCTGTCAGATGGCAATACGGTAGGCCGGATCGAATTCCCGCTCCCGCGTCCCTCAAAAGACGAGAATCAGATGCAGAACCGACACCTTTAGATCCATCACTGACCGAATTGATTGAATACTTGAACCAAGCCTACCCACTATCCTTCGCTATAAGGCTCGGTCATTTTGATGGAAGATGTATGTCTCAATCGACACGGGAGTATGTACAGACTTCGTGGTTAACTGATGAAGTAAGCCACGTATAGGACCTATGAAGCGGTGCATCTCTTTCTATAGAATCACATAATGAATAGGCATAAATGCTTGATACACCTGCTCAAACATGATATATAGCCAGCAACAGACAGCAAAGATTGGGTGAGCAGCATCTGTAGCAAAGCTGGCATTGATAACACCGACTACTTCCGCTGGAAAGACGAAAAGTATTTAGAAGATGCACGCGCGATTCTTTCATGCTTCATTCTTTACAGAATAATAATAAATTTTCAAGCAGATTGTTGTGTTTTGGCCCTCCAAGAGGCTGTGTCGCGCTTGCCAAGCCCCAGGTACTCGCATGCGGCTGAGATAAATACCTAGCTAGATAACTAGCAGGCGACGCGTTGCTACCTCGACTTACCACCTGCACCACAAACGAAACATGAGCATCAATGTGCTACCTGTAAGACCTCGTATATTATGTTTGATTGGTGCGAGAAGCGCGAGCAGATGGAAACGCATTTCGGGCGTCTCCATCCTTCGGCACTCATTTTCTACCACGACATATCAAATGGATCAGCTCTCATATTATTGTGGTATTGATGCCGAGCCTCTGCATCGCTATGGAGAAGGTGGCTATCATCCTACTCTATTAGGGGATGTTTTGAAAGATGGCCGATACAGAATATTGCATAAATTAGGCTGGGGTGGGTATTCGACAGTCTGGGCTGCAAGAGATCTAAGGTCTAGCCTTCCACTATTCTTGAGCAAACAGAATGCTGAAAATACTCAGGGAACATAAATATGTTGCATTAAAAATCTCCGCCGCAGAGAAGAGGCAACAAAGCCAAGAAGTCGACGTTATGCGCACCTTAGCAGCAGCGACTCGAACCGATCAGCCTGGATCGCATCATCTCATGTCAATGCTGGATAATTTTCAGTTAGAAGGCCCAAATGGAAGTCACGACTGCTTTGTGCTGGAGATGCTAGGGCCAAGCGTTTCTGACCTGGTTGAGACGCGTATGTCCGACGAAAGACTCCCAGGTAAACTTGCGAAAACCATTGCGAAACAGGCTCTTCTTGGCCTAGATTATTTACATCAACAGAAAATTGGACATGGAGGTAGGCGCATATCGTCCAACTTCATGCTACAAGTTTTGCTTATCTTAAGTCAGATCTACACATTCGTAACTTGGCTTTCACAATCCCTTCTGTGGATTCGCTGAATGAGGAGCAGTTCTGCAAAAAATTGGGCAAACCTGAAACGGGGATGGTAAGAAGAAAGGACGGAAAGCCACTAGATCCCGGCGTGCCTCAGTACCTCGTTAGGCCTTTTTCTTATCCGGCAGATTCTTCGCTATTTTCCAGCCCGATTAAGATTATAGACTTTGGCGAGGCTTTCCTGAGCAATGATACTCCTAGAACACTTCACACACCACTCCCTATTCGAGCGCCCGAGATCATATTCGGAGAGAAATTGGACTATCGCGTGGACATGTGGAGTATGGGCTGTCTGGTAAGTTCCAATCCGGAAATCGATGGGCATCAGATGAGGAGAAACTTACTTGTCTCGGTAGCTGTTTGAGCTCGTAGTCGGTCAACCGCCGTTTGACAGCATCATGACAACGCCTACAGTCCTTGTCCGCCAAATGCTGGAGATGTGCAGTGACGATCTACCAGAACGATGGCAACAGTCATGGCGCGCCATAGACAACAAAGCCGCGGGAGAAAACTCGAATTATACACTCCAACAATGGTTGGAAGAAATGTACTTTGATGGCGAAAGAAACGAGGATTTGACTCGAGACGATATAATAAAAGTAGGCGAACTTGTTGGGGGGATGCTACGATTTGAGCCTTCCACAAGGACGTCAGCAAGAGAGGTCCTGCAGGATCCCTGGTTCAATGGAGAATAGCTTGACACAAGATATACCTCTGCGCCGCTGGGGATCTCGTTAGTGACGAGATCCAGAACAAACTGTACAACTTATTTTTTGGGCATTCTTAGTGATGGGAGGACTTCTTAGCCAATGTCCCAGTACAACACAAATACGACGATTCAGAACGACAGATGTCCGCAGGGGCGGCGCGATACCAATGTTATCCGCAAAGAGCATCTTGTTTTCACTTGGTATTGATCATCGTACTGCGACGACACACCTACGAGGGCAATTGTTTTGATTCTGGATCGTTTGAAAGTGTGATGACACAAAACCAGACATGAAGGTTAGACACCGGGTCAGGACTATGAAAAAAGTGTACAGATATGTGACTACAAGATGCACGTTCTCGAACTACTAATTTCATTTCCGCGATATCTCGAACAGCTTCCTAAAACCCACTCATCCTACTCTTCCCCTTCTTCTTCTTGTTCTTCGCCGGTCTACTCCCATGCTTCCCACTCTCAACTTGACTCTGAACACCCAAACCAGGGAAGAAGCCCTGACTCAACCCTTGACTGCTACCGAACCCGCTTCCTCCAGGCTGAGATCCCGGAATGGTAAACATAGGACCAGGAGAGCTCTGTAGAACCTGAGGCTGGCTGGAGGAGAGGTGTTTGAAGATATCGTCTTCGCGCCTTTGACGCTTTTGCTGGCGCGCTTTCTTGCGTTGGTCCTTCTCGCGCTGGTATTGTGTTTTGGGGTCCGAATATGTGGATGCTTCGTGAATCACACGTTCGATGGCGCCGTGACTGTACTTCTCCGGGTCGTCGCCGGATTGCCAGTGGGTTAGTACTTGGGATATACCAGGTGGGAGTTGCCTGGTTATTTGCTTTTTCGTGTGGAGATGTTTGCTCAATCGACTTAAAGGATTTTTGGGGGGGTCAAGTCCCGGGGTTGATATTGGTGTAGATTCCGCGATTATAGGTAGAGAGGATTGTGGCTGCGAAGAGAATGTACCTGAGCTTAGGGGGGGAGTGAGCATATCACCGTGCGGGTTTGGCGTAGACTGTGAAATGTCCACTGCCTCCAAGATCTCGCGGTGGAAACGTGTAGTGCAAAGGATCACCTCGGCTGCGATGCGACGGGCGATTCTTTCTTGCCGTTGGCGGGTAGTAACAGGTACATACTCCGAAAGGGGCGCTAACCAATTCTGGAGGATTGTATCGTAGAGTGATAGTGTATTGGTCGATTGTTGTTCTACAGTCTCCAACAAACCAAGAAGATCATCCGTGGCGATCCGCTGTAGCCCCATCGATCGTTCGTCTTCTATCCCGGGGAGTAGGCGGTCCAGAGCGGCAGATGCGTCAACGATGTCAGAGACCACAATCTCAAGACTGGCATACTCCATTCTATTTCCATCAGTTCAAATCCATCTCGAATTCGTGTGGGGACTTACAATGTGCCTAATGGTAGCTGGTCTGGCGACGAAGAATCGTTCAATGTTCTTGCGACATTTTCAATCACTTGAGATATCTCTTCAGTCTCCGGCGTCGAGCCCAGATCAATGAATCGAAGCCTTTCGTTCAAGCTATCATATAGTCTGCCTTCATTTCTTATGTACCATGGGTTGAGCTTTGTCGGCTGTGGTATCAGCTTAGGCGGCTTCTGTGGTTTTCGCAAGCGCGGGGCCTCGATGGCCACCAAACCATCAGGGACAATAAACGCATCTTCTTCATCCAAGTCATCGACTGCTGGTTTCAAGAGGCAGGGTTTCACCCGCTGGGTATGACACCACGATGTGGGTTCGACAAGCAGATGACCTTGAAAACTGTCGCTGAACGAATAGAACAGCATCTCTCGTATGCAGAGATCAGATGTCATGACGCTTAGTCGGTAGAACTCAACTCCATTCTCCTCGTACTCGTGGCCTAAGCTTGTTCTTCGCGCCCTCAATGACTTCCCGTAATTCAAACGGTCTACGTGGATGTGATGTAGTAGCAAAGACCCTCGAGTGATTTTGAGACCCTCAAGGTTGACATTGACGGGGTCGGAAGTAAGCGATGCAAGGGAGTCTCCCGATGGCTCTTTGTTGAAGCGATATAGCGACGCTAGTTGATTCACCCGCGAATATAGTACAACAAGGCAATCTGCCAGCACCGTTAGTTGGTAACAGAGAGTTTGACACATTGATCACCTACCATCGTCTGTAGACATCTGAATAGACATCTGAAGCGTTATGTCCTCGGTGCTTCGGTAGTGCTGCCACGAGATTACGACAGTTGCCCCGACATCATAATCGGCCTCCCCGAAGTCATCGGACGGGCATGTGACAGTCAACATGAACAGCCTGGTTGATGTTAAAACGAAACAGTGTCTTTCGTTGCCAGGATGCTTCTGAACATCCAGGATCCAGTCAGCTGATTTGGATTGAATCAACTCCGGACAGCTTAACCTCTCGATCCCCATTTTAAAATTGAAAATCCTGAAGCATCGTCTGTTGGACACAGCGACAGTGTTCACATCGCCTACCCATATGATGCGACCCCAGCCGTCCTCACGACCGACTATCTCATTCTCCTCGCGTGCAGCTTGGTCTCCATCGGCGGGTATAATGCTGCCTTTGGTAGAGCACTTCAGTGTATGTTTGCTCATGTGGTAGTAACCATCATCGATTTCCCAAATCGACCAATTTCCGCGCTGGTCTATGATACCGAACTGGCGCTGGTAAATCGGATTGAAAGTCACATGAGCGTGGGGAACATTTCCTGTCTCTTTGCAACTGACAGTCAATATCGGATTAGGGTCGATGGTGGACGGGGGCAGATCAAAATATCTCGAGCGCGTAGGTTTACGGCGATGGAGATATTTTGGCTGGAATATCACAGTACGCGATAGAAGCCTCACAGCCAGGAAAGAGCTTCTTTCGTCTGTTTGCGCAAAGCATATTTGCTGGATGGGTGCAGCCTCTTCATTCCAATATCCGCTCTCTGCATTGTCCAATGACGGTGCCTCTAGCCAGATGCCTGTTTCATTGCCTTCCCAGCCATAGCGTTGCTTTGGAGTGGTTTTGAGGTGTAAGATATTCCCCGTCTCGCCCATGGCTGTTGCGGCAACCTCTTTAAGCAGATGTTTGCGATGACCTTGACAAACTATTGTGCCAAAGGAGAGCAGATGCCCAACAGTGGCATCGTACGTCTCCACGACTGTCGTTGCAGCAGCAGACACGATTTCCAAGTTGGCCAGGTGGTCAACGGCAGGGGCAAAATTGGCATGACTGCAAATGAGCGCATTCGTGGCCTGGTGGACGCTCGCCGCAGGTCTCACAAGGGATGGTGTGGGAAAGTGACGGGATGGAGGCACACTGGTCCTCCAAGCGCCCAACTCTGTAAAGAATTTCTGCTGAGGATCTCGACTGAAGGCCCATTCGCTGTTATTCAAATCGTAGCTAGCTATTCCCAAATGACCATAGTTGAGATCGAGGACGGAAGATTCAGCCATTTGGGCTCTGGTAGTTGTCGCACGATATACGGTAGCCGGGAGCAAGGACCATTATTTTGAAGGGCCTTATAACTGCATCTACCGAATTGCCTTGAAGTGTCGTTCCGTCTCCAATAAGACGCGGTGTCTTGAGCTGGTTGAGACCGCAAAAGTCCAGCGACTAGCGCGAAAACGCCAGATCACGTGCGTTGTCGGTGAAACGTTGCCCCACCCCGGTGTTTACGCCGCCAGCGCACCCAAACAAAGCAACGGCGCCCGACAACAAACTCCATTCACAACTATTACCAGTCGATAAAAATATAAACTTCGAAAACCTCACGCACCCTACTACAACCGATCGCATAAACAACCTCAACTTGGTGACTACCGATCGTTTTCACTATGACGACCTTTGAACCATCGCTCAGCACCTCACTGCGCGCATCCTCCCACGATGCGCCATCCATGGCCGACCAGCTTCCCTCCATAAACTTCGGATTCGACGATCTGCGCAGTCGCATGAACCAATTCACAACGCGCTTCGACGATTTCATCGAAAAGGGGCGGCGGCGCGTCCTAGAAGAGCGCAACCAATTCCGCATGAACGTCGCCGAAGTCCAAGGTAAACAAACCCCACCGTAGCTCTCGCAAGAACCAACACTAACGAAGAAATGATGAACAGAGGACCAACGCACGAAGAAACGCTCCATTGAAATCCTCTCCCTACAACAGACCGCACACAGCAGCACGCTTGCCAAAGAAGCCGCCGAAACAAACGAAATGCGCACCGCGATCTCAACACTCACAGCGACCCGCGACGAACGACTCGCCCACCGCGACTCACTGCGCACGCAGATCGCATCGCTCCAGAAGTCTATTGCTGCGCGTCGTGATGCGCAGCTCAAGCATAAGCGCTACCTTGATGGCCAAGCCCGCTATAATGAGCCCGAGCTCGATTTCTGGGAGAACTATCTGGGATTGAGGATTGAGGGTGGAAAAGAGGATACATTGAAGTTCGTATATTCGAATGTCTGTGAGCGGGAGTGGGAGAGGGAAGCGTGGTTTGTGTTGGATACCAGCGAGAGGGAGTATAAGGTACCGGAGGCGAGGCCGAAGGTGGAAGGGGAGGAGATTGAGAGGGTTGTAGAGAGATTGAACGAGGATCGCGACCTTGCGGGGTTCTTGCGACGAATGAGGGAGGTGTTTGTGGAGGCGTTGAAGTAAGGATGATGTGAGGGTATGGAGTTTGTGGGGTTTGCTTGGGTTTGGTCACGAATGGTCACGATGGGTGTAATTGGCGTTTTTTGTTTTCCATAGCTCCGTGGCTCCAGTCTCTTCCTCTTGGTCTCTGATTGTGTATATTGGACCATAATTCCCCCCTTCTCAACCGTAGATACACCCCTCGAATGTACTTGTCGCTTTTCTTTGAATACTACCCTTGCCATCCTCCGGGTTTCAACGTATGCTCTGCCCAGATCACCGCTTCGGTTGCTTCACCTTATAGAATTCAGGGGCATACTCGACCAGCCAGTCCATATCCACACTCGTCAAATCGCGGATATACGTCTTACCCTTCGTCTCGAGAATTTCTGTGTAGATGACGTAATTGGCTTTGCGATGCTGTTGCACATGAATCATAAGCATCGGTATGCATCGACTGAGTCAATCCGTCACGATAAAGAAAAGTGTCCCGCAGCGGGTGTGGTGTCCGGCAGTGATGGAGTGGGAAGTGGGTAGGGGTAGGTTGGTTGCAGACATGCAAGGGGAAATGGGAACTTACAAAGAAGAGGGAAGACGGGTGTGGCCATAAAGTAGTTTCACCTCCGCCGATAGGAGTGAACGATCCATCGCTCTTCATGCGCGCGGCGTGTGCGAAGAATCCCGTTGTCAGGCATCTGTATAAACAAGAAAAGACGTGAAGGTTAGTCACATAAGATAACAAGCAACACAAGTATAAGGGGTTAAATAGGGGATTAGGCAAACATACCTCCTCACACGCTCGGCAACATCCATACCCCCCGCACGCTTCACATCCGCCGCCCGCAGCGCACTATCTTCCTGAATCCCCATCCGCTCTAGATAATTTGCAAGCTGTTTCCTCACACTGACAGCTTTGAGCATATTCTTGTAGTTCAGACAGTTATCCCGACACCACTTCTGGTCTTTCTTCCCTGTCGTGACGAAAGCAGTGAAGACATTGAAAAGGGTAAGATGATCACCTTCTGTAACGGCGAACTTCCGACGAGCGCGGTCCACGGACGCGTCACCCGTATGTGAGATAAACGCTGTACCATTCAATGTCATCATCGCAGCGATAGACAGCATTTCAGGGACGCAGGAGAATGTGGGCGCATTGAGTAATGCTTTAGCGAGCATAGGGTCCAGAGGGAGTTCTGCCATGCGCGTGCCGAGCGGTTTTGTGAGACGGCCGTGGGGATCTACGGCTCCAAGAGAGAAGAGGAGATCGAGAGCGCGCACGACGAGCGTGGAGGGTGGATTTGAGAGGTAGTCGAAGCGGATTAGATTCTGGATACCGAGGTTCATGAGTTGTAGTAGGACAGGAGCGAGGTTTGAACGTTGGATCTCGGGGAAAGTAGCTGGCGGGAGGGTGGAAAAGGCTGAAGAGGTGTAGAGACGATAGCATTTTCCTGGCTTGGTGCGACCGGCTCTTCCTGCGCGTTGCGTTGCGGAGGCTTGCGAGATGGGCGTTATGTTGAGGCGTTCGATGCCTACTGTAGCGTCGTAGGCGCGCAGTTTGACATAGCCGCTGTCGACGACGTAGATAATACCATCAATTGTTACGGAGGCTTCGGCGATATTGGTGGAGACAATGACTTTCCGGGTGTTTTCTGGCGCTTTTTGAAAGACGTAGAGCTGTTGATCGGTTGGAAGTCCTGCATAGAGTGGGAGTAGTTGAAGTGTTTTCTCGTTGGGGTTCAGATCGACTATTCGATCCGCGAGCATGTCGATACAGTCATCAATTTCCTCGCGCCCGGTGAGAAATACCAAGATATCGCCGTCACCTTCAGTGGTGTGTATGTCCATGATTGTGTCAACAGTCCGTTCGATGTAGTTGTTTGTCGGTTCGGCAAGATAGAAGATATCGACCGGATGTGTCCGCCCCTCAATACTCACGATACACCCATACTCATCTTTGCTCATCCCGTGAATCTTTTCATCTTCCTCTGGCGAAAAGAAAGACAAGAACCTCTCAGCGTCCAATGTGGCACTGGAGATCACAACCCTCAAATCTTTTCTGGCTCTTAACACCTTTTTCAGCAGACTGATCAGAACATCGGAGCTCAGACTCCGCTCATGAGCTTCATCGACCATGATGACTGAGTAGCGTTTAAGTAAAGGATCAACCAGCATTTCACGGAGAAGCAAGCCATCGGTAAGAAACTTGATCTTCGTCTTCGCCGAGGTGACATCTTCAAAACGAATAGAATAGCCAACTTCCTGGCCTAGTTTGCACTCCATTTCCTCTGCAACGCGTGCGCTAACGCTCGTGGCGGCAATCCTGCGAGGCTGTTCAGAATGCTAGCATGCATTTCTTGAGCTCAAAGTGGGTCAGAGGCTTACCTGCGTCACGGCGATTTGTGAGCCATCATTCGCCCAGCCAGCTTGATGAAGAAACTGAGGAATTTGGGTGGTTTTACCGCTACCGGTTTCTCCGACCTGGAACAATTGAGCTTCATGTCTAGGTTTTGATACGCTTGGATGGGCTGCTGGAACTTACGATGACGGTTACGGGATGCGTTTCAATCGCGTACATCAACTGGTCTCTCAGCTGCGCAATTGGGAGCAGCGCAGGAGGTTTATACAGCTCTGGTATCATCTCCGTAGAGATCTCCTCTTCTTCTGCCATGATGGTGATTGATGATGACGATGAATGCTGCGAGGTATGATCAAGACTATACGGTAGTGTCAAGAGAAAAGAGGCGCTAAGTGATTCAACGCTAGCCTAAAAGGGACTAGACCATCTTCGCCCTATTCGTATATCTCTGTCTCAAAAGCTGTACGTTACATTTCCATGAAGCTTGCAAGAGCTGGAAGAACACGGGAAATTGGTCGAATAATCCATTGAGTGATTCAATCAAGTCAATTTCATGCATCACAAGATACCGTAAACAAGTCCTCTACTGTACACCATTCCAAACAAGTTCATGCGATCTCCATCCCCATACCCGGTGTCAACGTAGTCATAATTTCGGCCACATTCGTCTCAATTACAACTTCATATCGTCTTGGATCACGCGCTCACCGGTTCCAGCCTTACTCCAAACTCTCATCTTCATGGAAAACCAACGCTCTAACTTCAATGCTCTCACGATTCTCCTCACCCTCCGTTCCAGGCACAGCAAACGCAGTGTGAGGCACGCGTCTCGCACGACCATCCAGCTTAGAGTCGAAGCACTTGATGAACAGCACTTCCTCAGGTGTAAGATGGGATTTATAGAACCAGCTGATTATCGCGAACAACAGGGTCAGCGCAAGTTCTCATATCACCCATCCCCCGAAAAATGAAAAGGCGATAATGGTGAAATGGATGGATGATCAGAAGAAGGGGAGGCGGGACAACTCACCGATGACCCTCATCATACTTCACAGCCAACGTTTCACCCCTCCGATTCGGGTAAATCAATTCCGTGACCACCAAGCTGTCATCATTGACGCTATTCGCTTCGGCGACAGCTAGCGGATCGCGAAGCACGGTTTTGATGGGTCGCCACACGTTGATGATCTGCACGCGAGATTTCAACAGTTTTTCGGCGTCCTCCGGGAGGTGATGAGGCACGCGCGAGAGGGCGGCTTTGTAAGATTGGTCGATGTGTACGCGCTGGACGGGCCCTCGCAGTTGTGGAGCAGCGGGGTCAGCGGTCGAGGTGGAAGGTGGTGGTGGGGAAGAAGGTTGACGACGGATTGTGTGGTCGAAGATGAAGATACGGGATGCGCCGGTGCTGGGAAGGACGTGAGAAGAGTTCCACGGAAAAAAGTGCTATATAGGATAGCGTGGAGATGGAGTAGGATAGAAGGCTTACGCTTTCTTCAACAGCTCTTCCGTCTCGGGGTAGTATACCGCTTTGATATGTTCGTCGTCTGCAAAGTCTTTCTCGGCACTTGTATGACCATAGAACTGGAATCCATTCTTATCCAATGTGAACTCGCCATCTTGGCCGCGAACGTCACGGACCGTTATCGAGTGCTCTTCAGAAGGACGATGGTATGTTTCAGGGCGGTCGGTGTATGTTGGATGTGGAGGCGAACCATCGGCATTGGGCTTGTAGTAGTGAAGTGTAGTTTCTACATCCCGAGGTTTATTTCTGGACGCTGAAGATGAAGTCGATGTGGCAGGGTTTAGAGCTTGTGGAGTGAATGTGGAGGGGATCTGTGGAGTTTGAACAGCTGCTGTTGCCATGTTGCCTTGTCACTGAGTTGTTGTCGAATGTGGTTTATAGAAATTGTATGTGAGCCTCGATGTGATCTTAGGCAACTGAAAGAATTGCAGGACGGTTTATATCTTTGCTGGTTACGTCTGCGACCTAGTCATATGATGTCTTTGATCAGTAAGCTTTCTGACACTTCCCCGCAAGCACGCCATTGTTGCATGTTATCTGGTGATGGATTTCAAAGCTTGAGATGTGTAATATGCATAACGCGTCATATTAGAGGATATTGCAGTTACACGAAATCACGCAGAAACGCGCGACTGTTATCTATGATCCTGAACTATGAGTAGTATAATTGCCGAAATTGCCGCAGTCCGGTGCGTAGAGAGCGGGATCAACACGAACCATTACAATTCCATAATCGAAAAATAGTAGCGGCAATCGACAAAGGCAATATGGACGTGGACCATCAGCTACGCGTTCTCAATAAGAGACTCAAGGAATGTGAAAAATAGGAGTTTGCGAAGCCGAAATGCGCCATCTATATCAACTAAGTGTGTTGCTCAGAGAGATCCTCTACCTCGATCCATGAGGTATTCGCGTTCGGCGCTCTGGCAGATTTTGAGCCAGCTTCACTGCGTGGAATTTTGATCATGTTCTACATCGACGTTTGATCGGATCTCGTGGCTGTTTGAAAAGCCACATTTCGAGTCTATAGGGAGTCATAAATCATCGTACACCTTGATATGAAATTTCTCAGTATCGTGACAGACTTGTGAGAGTACGATTTTCACTATTTATAGCGTTGTTTTTCGTAAACATGAATTGGAAAAAATGCTGGTGTGATATCCAGAAATAGTAGACACGCGATTGTATGAATTTATCCTGTGCGTACCCATCTCGCGTTTCCAGGTTGCGAGGAGTGTTGGGGCAAGCCACGACCATCTGTGGGGATGTCGACGGCTTATTTAGGAACGTGAACAAGTGTCGTGACAGTAGTTCCATCGTCAAGAACACTTGTCTCTTCTTCAAGTTGATAACCCCTCCACTTAGGAATCAACTTGGTCCACACAGCCCAATATAGTAAACCAAAAACAATGCTATCGCCTAGCATTAGCTTCAAAATCATGAAAGTAATCCACGTAACCACTTACATGCTAATGCCCACCACAGCGTACGTGGCGTACCAAATTCCACCTGTGCTCGTCCCGTCCCTGGGCGGGAAAAAAGGAGCTGCCAATAATGCAATACTTAACAAAATTCGCACGAAAACGGCAATTTTCCATGCTTTGAAAGGGCGTTTCAAGTCCGGTCGCTTGTAGCGTAGCCACAGAAGCCCTATAGAGATGGCCAGGCCGAAAATGGTGCCTGGATAGCCTTCCACCTCAAGTATGAAAGAATAAACATCTTCGGAGGGAGGTAGTGCAATGACCAGAAGTGACGGTATGTAATGAATGATGAGTCCGCCCATAGGCGCGTTGAAAGGTTTAGACGATGCTAAGATTTTGGAAAATGGGAGGAATCCTTGTCGTGCAATCTCTTGATTGAGCCGGGCCTATGAGTCCATTAACGACCGCAACCTCAGTCGGGGATCGTGAATTTTCTTACCAAAGCAAACGTCACTACCATGACGTTACCTGCTCCAGAGAGCGCAACAGCCAGCGGAAGTACAGTTTTCCCGAGTCGTGGTCCAAAGCTACGCTCGAAGAAAAGAGCCGCAATGAGCTCTCTACTTTCGCGAATCTCATCTAGCGGCACTACAATGAAGTAGGCAATGTTTACTAACAAGTACAAGATGCAAGCAGTAGCCAGAGCTGTCACGGAGACCGTCTTGAGTGTTCGGATTGGATTCTTGACTTCGTTCAAGACATTGTTGATGTTGCTCAACCCGGCGTACGAGTAGAACACTTTGAACAACGTGGTTGATATGACACCCCAACTCCACTCTGTATCTTTCCATATATCTTCACCTTTGGGGAAATGGCTCCGTTGACCTCCCTCATTCTCGGGTCGAAAGGCCACTATAAACAGGCCAGCAAAGACCATAAATATGACCAACCCGACCTTGATCCACCCCAGAAAGTTTTGAATCCGGATGCCGGTCTTCAAGAAGCATCCGTGAACAATCGTGATGACTGTGAGAAGCCCCACTGCCAGTGTTTTGCGCCGAAAGTCGGTGGCCTCAATATCGAATGCGAAGAGCGTGTACTGAGCGAAAACGATGCAGTTGCTCGCCGTGAATCCCAACAGCACAGCCTGCACTGCAACTAGGGTACTGGCCAGAAATCTGGGTTTTCGGTACGTAAACTCGAGATAGACTTTATCGCCGCCAGATCGAGGGAGCATGGACCCATATTCGAGAGATATGGCAAGCCCACAAGCCGCAATGATTGCGCCCACAACCCACAAGGTAAGACTCAGACCAACGCTGCCGACTGATTTTACGATTACACCGGGCGTTGCGAAGATGCCGCTTCCAATGACACGAGATATGACGAGAATGTAAGCACTGGGCCAGGTGATAGTACGTCCCAGGACTGAAGTCTCGGGTAGTACGTCGTCCTCCACAGAACGACTTACACCTTCCCTAACAGTTCCATAGAACTCTTGATCGCTCCCCAGCAATGGCTTCAAGCTTGATGTTGGAGACGGGGAACGGGCTAGGAGAGGATCTTGATCGTTCGCGTCCAGGGCGGCCTCGGGAATGATGACCGGTGTGGCGTGGTCATAAAAATAGGGGTCTTGATTCATGGTCGGTATATTCTCGAGGGTTGAAGAATTAACACTGAATCACATTTGATTCTGTGGAGTTCAGTATCGTAGTTAGACGCCATGGTGAATTAGCTGGGAAAGCAAAAGCGCACGGTGCGGTTTGAGTTGTCAGCAGGTGGCATCATTCAGCAACTCAATAACGCGGGGATCACGTCCTGATAAGTTTGAGACAGACGCGTCGCACTGGACAGCATTGATTGGTTGTGGAAGTATCCGTGGCACTTGGTGGTAGCACGTCATTCCTAGCTTAGTTGACGCGGAGCCAGCGGTCAAACTATATCATGTCACGTGATTTATCACTGGAGACAACGCCACATCCCACTCTTGTTTCTCCTCTTCTGGTGAAGACCCCAACTCCAATAACTTCAGCTTCGGTGGGGGCACAACCGATAGACCCAACACTGTCAGCTTTTCTTGCAGAATATTCATCACGGCCGGATTCCCGCCTCGGAAAGAAGAAAGCAGAGAGGAGAGCGAGTGGATGAGATCCCGAGGCCCTACACCAAAGCCGGAATGTTGGTTTAATGAAGGAACGAATATCATGACATCCGCTAGCGAGTTTGTAATGTCAAAAAGCTTCGATTCCTATGCTAGACGTCAATGCTGTTCTGATCCAGCCAATGTGTGTTGCTCTGTCTCACCATTCCAGGGCCATGCGCTTCTAAGCTTTCTTTGGGAAGGGAGCTCAGGAAGCTTAGTGTGCTCTGCGCGACTGTATTGGGGAACCCAAAAGAGAACTCGTTGTCGACGTCATTCGATCGTAGATCTGTCACATTCAGAGCATGTTGCCATAAGAAGATACGCATCCACTGCTGAGTCATTGATATATCCGCTCTTTGCAGTTCATTCTCTAGACTGCGAGAGGGTTCATCGTTGCTGAGTTGTTGTTGCGCAAGCATGAGAGCATTGCGCGCTGACGGTGCATCTGCAGTAATGGTGATATCGAGAATATTGAAGAGTTGGCAAAGCTGTATGAACGCAGGCGTCACAGATCCATCGTTCAGATCTTCCAGCGGCGGAAGTTCCGGTGCACGTTTGAGCATGATAGGAATGTCGTGTTGGATAGAATGAGCCCTCTCCGTGATGAAAAGTAACCAGTAGATCCGTAGGTGATGCTGCCGTTGCTCTATCGTCATGTCCTCGTACAATCTCGATTTGTAGAGCCCGATAATATGCGCCTTTGTGATTGCTTCTCCGAGAAGGACAGTAGATGCCGGCATGCGTCCTATATTTGCCGAGTAAACATGCAGAAAAAAGGTGCTTAGTAGTGACCATGTAGTCACGTTCTCCATGTGATCTGATTTTTTACGGGCGGCCTTGGCCTCAGTCTCAAACAAAGCACTCGAAACCCGGAAGTGCCCTTCTATAGGGCTACCAGGCTGTGAATCAATCTGGAACTGGCTTATAGTAGCAGCGCAGATTGCTGTCGCGAGCGCATATGCCTCCATATCGTCTGGGTGCGTAAGAAGACGGGCAAGAAGCGTCTCTGTATCCACAACCGGCCAAATCGAATAACCACGGGCGTGATAGACCTCAAGATAATTGGAAATCGCCGTGGTTGTAATCCTTTGGTGCCCAGACTGAATATCCGGATAGGTTGGACTGGCTACCTCCGGCCAACCTAATCTATTCGAAAACAGATCGTTCGTGTAGGGTAACGGACTGTGAAGGGGGAATTCGCTTGTGGTCGGACTGGCATCATCCAGACTAGTCTCGCTCTCACTGCGTGGTCCTCGTTGTAAGTCGCTTCTACTGCGCTCCTGCAGCCGTCTTATAGCTGTCTCTGTTGTCCGGCGAGGACCCTTCGGTCCAGACTTGCCATGTGTTTTCAAGTACGTGCATTCCCAGCTTGCGGCTTGACATCTCGAGCATGGTTGATTGCCATCACACCGGACTTTGCGTACCGAGCAAGGATCACAGGCTCGACGTGTTCCTTTACGCGAAGCCATGTTTTCCACAGATTCATACGGATATTGGTAGAAGCATTCTAGATGGCTCAAGATGAAAGCATCGCATTAGGTCTGGAGAAGGGCTGTGAAACTGGTAGACGGACTTTGCAAGGCGTGTAAATGGTACGCAATCAGCGGGTCAAGAGCTTCGGCTGGCCATCACTCCGAATGTTGACGAATCAATGAGAACATGATACGCGCAAATGAACCGCGAAAGGTGTTGGAGCGAGTGGAGCGACGTTGAGTAGAAAGCAAAAAGGTGGAGAACCGGACGGCTCTATCTCGGCCGGCTTTGCCTCATTCAGCACAGCTACGCCACTCATTGGGCGTATCGGCGAATTACAGATCAGATCCCTGGGGCTCCGATTGACTGTTCGCTTCTCCGGTCAGCACATGGAAAACATGACCGTTCGCAATGACCAAACATTTGGGTCAAACTCCACAATTCTTGGCAAATCTGCGTACCCAGGTAGCATTAGTAGGATGCCGGCATACACCAGATCGTCAAACTCTTCAGGTGAGATCACGCATTTAGCAATACTCGACCGCAGCATGGCACAGTGATAGCCCACGACATGCTACAAAAGAAGGGTAGAACCTTGAGCAAGATCCATTAACACCATAGTACGTACAATACTGGTACAGGAAGGGGAGGAAACATCAGGCATTTCAGTACAGCGTAGTATCAGACTACCGGTGCATCGGTACTCCGACCATGATGTTCCCCGGATTATTTCACCGGTTAAAACACTCCTCGATCGGACAAGTGGGTTCACACCAAGGGGGTTCCATCTTCGAGTGTGGGATCGGCAACTATGCCCCAGCACCATAAACACATCAAGCACGACGCTGATTTCTGTAGGGACGTCCCGCAGGGTTGGCATCTAATGCCACACCATTTTCGACTCGTGGGAAAAGTCGCTTGTAAATTTCTCTGCTCCGCCTGATAACAAGGCAGACAGAGCCAGCGATCCACAAAAACAGTCCTAAGCGTACAGCAACAGCTGTGGGGCGGACCTGTGATGTTCTGGCGACTACGAGTTTCTTCGTAGCACTCTGCACAAATTCGTCGTTTGCGATTTTCGGTGACATCCCAGAAGGCTTGGATCACAGGCGATGGATGACTGGCCGTGGAAGAGTTTGAGAGCCTCAATGCACCCCTCCCAAGATCGAAGTCAAGTATATCGTCGATGTACTCGACTTTCGCATCTTCAGTGCTTTCAATCGGGATATCCAGGAAGCCTTGATCGTGGCAAGGCATTGTTGATGCGACAGTAGTGAGCCCCATATGGGCCGGCGTCAAGAGTCGCATTTCCTCTGGCGCCTGGGAACAGATCAGTAGAGCTCCATGTCACCGAGTACTTCCGACGCCAAACTCATGAGGTCAGCTCGAGGAGCACGCACCAGTAGAGCAAACCCACTTAGCTCCGGAAGTTCATCCGTTGCCTCTGCAGGTTGCTGTATACTGCCATATACGCAATGTATTCGACATTCGTCACATGTCGTTTGGAGACAAACTTCGCAGGGCTTGCTCTTGGATGTTTCCGTGTGCGATTCAGCTTGGCATTGAGCGTATTCCTCACACTTGTATTGCGTGAAGTAGATGGATTTTTGATGATGTCTAAACGGCAAGGCTCGGAGTTTAGCGGTCTGGATTATTCCATATATACCCACAGCATGGGTCGTACGTACAGGCGCCGCAGAGCAACTCCACGACCAGCGCATGCCATCTTCGCGAAGAGGTTGGTGCGACTCTCTTTGCAAGGGAAGATAGTCTCGTACGTGGACTTCGATGTTGCTGCGAGGGCGAACAAGTCCCTGGGAAGAAGATTTCCCGCTATTGACGCGAGAAGTCCATACTGTCCGAGGATCTTGAGCAGACGACATGGCTTGCCGCCCGTCTTTTTAGTGCGTCTGTTCGCAGTTCTTTTCTGAAGCAGCGGAACTAACGTCTCTTGGGATCTTTTTCGTTTCATTGTAGAGATATAGCTGCCTTGTGGGCAGCAAGAACGATGCTGCAGAGCGAACTGGAGTCGTACAGCTCTGGATGCTGTTATTATTGGTGGTGGGTTTTATGTCGCCGCTGGGAATCGCAACATTTAGCAAAGGTACAATGACGCGGCGTGAAGTTGGATTATACCCATGATCAAGATGAGTGCATATTTCGACTGAGTTGTATAGATTATGGACGACTTGATAGGTGCAGTTGGTCGGAACAAGGCTCACATATGCTCGAAGGAAAGAAGCAGCCAGCAGGTAGAACCTGTCACATAGGATCTCGGTATAGTTGTGCTTGCGGAATAGTGGGACTAGGAATAATGGGCGATGGGGAAATAATGTGGAGAGGTGACTTGGGGTAAAATGGGTCAAACGGTCTGCACATACTTGAGATAATGTCCTTCACGGGTCAAGCGCTCAAAATATTTCCGGGGAATCACTTTGCGCGGCTGCAAGATCGGGGTCCATGGTAAAAGTGAGTGTACAGGATGATCAGAAAATTTTTCGGGCAGACCCGGAGAAGCCCTGGTGACAGGGTGAGACGGCAGAGCGTCGGTACGTCGATGAAGAAATCGCCGACGAAGTGATAACTGTAATATTTGATGCTTCAACAGGATGAACGATTGACCACGAGTTGATGGCTCCTTGAAAATTGTTGATGAGTCGAAAAGCTGTTGGGTTGTCGGAGAAGGTCCGAAGAGACCCGAGCTTCCTGATTACATAATCCTAACTTCCTTTCGTCCTTTCGCTCTTGACAACCCTGTCTTCGTCTATACCATCAGTATCTCTTCACTCTCGCCCAGATTTGTGGTTTCCCCATCCATATAACCATGGAAATAACCTTCACCCACAAGCTCATACGCGAAAGTCCCTGCTCGATCTGTCTTTCTCAAGACATAGGGTGTTTGTGCACCCGACAAGATAACCACAACGTCCCCCTTCCGAGCCAACGGTGGGACCAAGGCCATAGTGCCTTTCTCAGTGATACAGAAGCGGCGCCCATAAGAAGCTTCCAGCAAAGATGTGCCGTAACTTGTCATCAAGTGGGAGTCTTCTGAGAACGGCCCCGCGAGACTGTCGAGTTTCTCTGGGGGTAGAGTCTTGATGTCATCAGCGGACTGTATGGTGCTCAGGGTCGTTAAGTGTTTTAACCAGAGATGAAGCGCGCGTTTGATGGATTGAACAGATTCAGAGTTAAGTTCATTTTCGAGTTGGCCGGCGATTTTGCTGACGCGCTTCTGTTCAAACCGATCGCCAATTAGAGTCATGCAAAGCACGTCATCCCAATCGATGCGGTGGTCTAAGTTCTCTCGGTGCCGATCAAGCAGCTTCATGGAAGCATTGTAGAAATCTCGTCGAAGTCGGATGCTGTGAATGAAGGTGGGTGTATTTTGATCTCCATCATGTTCATCGACGTCTCCAGCATCCTCGGCAGCTATGAAAACTGCTTCATCATCCGTGTCAAGAATGCTGTCTATAATTTTACCCTCTACCACTAGTTGGCCGCGTTTGTCATCCAGTCTCATCGAAGGAGACGACGTTGAAGCTTGATAATGCATGGTTTCGCTCATAGCATTCATCACCGTCAAGGAAAAATTGGGGCGTTGGAAGCTATGATCCGGCACCCACGACGGGAGATCTCTAATGTTTCTCCTATAGCCTATGCCAGCAATTGCCAGCATGCGCGTCGGAGAGACGCTAAACCGGACCACGTATTCGGCCGCATCAATGTATACATCGGTCGTGCTTTTTGTGTAGCTTGGTTGCAGCAGTTCGTGATCACCATCTGAAGCCATGCCTACCACTGCAAAGATTTTGTCCGAAGGATGTGTAGCCTGGAAGTTATGACACAGGAACATGAGGTTTTCAACCTTGAATCGTCCCTCTATTTCGAATTTGGAAGGGTAGTACTGGTCTGTGTCGCCTGGTTTTGGTAAGTATTTCTCCAAACAAAAAACTGGCTTGGCAATGTGGAATGACAGGCGTTTTGATAATCGCTCGTACCTTGACGTAGACTAGCCATGATAGCAGCATTCTCAAAGGATCTGACTGCGGGCTTGAATGGCGTGGTAACTTGAGATGGTCTCGGTTCTAGGAGCGGCCGCATCTGATCTTGGAAACACCACACGAGTACTTCGACGAATATTTCCCATGGAATATAGAGGCCCCCATGCAATAGATGTACAGATTGCCCAACAGATACTTCTTGAACGCACCAAATGCGGTTTAGATATTCGTTGCGGAACAGTTCCATGAGTGCCGTCCATCGAAACGAATATCGATCGTGAAAGAAGAATTGGTAAAAGTCGGCTCCAGTACCTTCGTACTGTGTTTTGGCGGCCAAAATCTCCATGAGAAGCACGGCCGATGGTTCCGCGGTCCAGTTTGCACCCGCCCACACGACTACTCTTTTCGCTTTCTGATAGATATCCTTCATCATGCGCACTTGGTGCGTCTTCTCGTCATCACTTTTCTGGTTGATACAAATCGCATCGCACCACACCTGACGATCGAAGTATCCAGTCAGTAAGTTTGCGTTTGCTCGTAGCAGGCACTCCGGAGTGTTTTCTGTGGGCACAAGAACTCACCAATCTCGATTTATACTTCGACCTTTGAGCCCATAGGAGATCGTACGCTGACTTCGTAATTGTAAAGCGTTTTCCGTCAATCAGCATCTCCTCACTCATTACCGGATTTCCCCAGCGATACGAAAGCGCCTCGTACGCAATCGGATCATCAACAGATGTAAACCTCATACTCGCCTTCAGCATTCCTGAAAGAAAAGTACCCTTTTCGAGTTCCAAAACTCGAATTTCTTGAGAGTTCTCACGCAAAGTGCTGTATTGGTAGTACGGCACATGCTTAACAGTATACCATGTCTTCTGCAATGTCGCAATGTATCCGCCGATAATGTACGTGACATGATTATTGACGTATGCCGCACTCATCTCATACGTATCGAGGATCCATGCAAAGCTTTTACTCCACGCCATGAGTGCCTTACCCAGCGCATATAACACGGCGTTCCTCGTCCGTGAAGTTCCATGTGCTGTTTCCTGCCGTATCAAGACCCAGATCGCGGCACCAGCAAGTAAACCCGGTAGGCACACATAGACAGTAGTCGCATATACAATTGCCTTGAACGCCGTCCAGTAGATGATAATTCCAGTAGTAATCCAGTAAAACACCATCGAATACCACCATTTCGAATAATTAACAACTTCTTGTCCAGGAGGCACATCAGCAGCAAGCAATACCTCCCTAAATTCCAAAAACTTCCGTAGGTAAAGCTCCAGTCCCCAGTAAATTAGGAATGTATGGCCGTCTTTGAAAGAAATGGTGTACGTAGTTATCGCGAAGCTCCACCAAACGACGAAGCAGATGAACGCAATGATCCGTGACCACGTCCTTTGGTACGAGAAGACAATGTATACTAATACGCGTTGGTACCGAAGGAAGTCGAGGAGTTGGAGACAAGTTGTATGCCAATCGTTCGGGATCAGTTTATCGGCGAGAGCAGCTCCGAGTGCGAAGCCGAATCCTGAACCGGTGAGGCCTATTATCATGCCCAGTTGTTCGTGGCCATCCAAGCTGAGTTGGACCATTTTGTGTATGCAATACGCTTTCCACGGTGCAATAATGTAGAATACTAAAACATTACGGTTGAAGATGGGTATGTAGGAATCGAGCTGTGGATATAACTATATGCCGGCTGTGCTTTGGGATGCAAACGATGAATCAAGGCAGCAATATCTACTTATCCCAAGTGCGCTCAGGGAATCGTGGCTATGTCTGTTGCGGCTCTTCCGAGTCGCACACGACACTATTCTTAGTGATTCGTTTGCCGAATACGAAAACCAGTGTCACACAGAGTTTAATTGTTCTGCTGTACCGGTCACCCCACCTGCCGTTATAGGAAATGAGGGATACGAGAGCTGAGGGGTACGGAAACTAGCTTTAGCGACTGGTGGATCTCTGCCTTTCCAACGAATTGACTTTGAAACAGGGAAGAATGGAGTATGTGTAAGGTGTTTGTTCGAAGGGGAGTCAGTCGGCATGCGATATTGGGAGAGCTGGAACAAGTTGGAATGTGTTTATGATTTGCAGATGAGCATACGCGAAAACGCAGGAAACGATACAATGAATTCTTGCTTAGATACTGAATGCGATGAATTCATATACATCTCTGACCTAACGGACTGACATCCTATTCCGTAAAGGAAAGCATGACATGCCTTCCAAGCATCGTCTTCGAGCGCCGACAATCAGTCGATATCATCGGGCGAGACGTATAATGTCAATTGGCCCAAAAAGAAAAAGATGATGCTAACCAAAGCCACAATCGAGAATGTAATGGCGACCTTAAATTTCTCGTCAGCAAGCATAGCAAATAATCAAGGGAGTCGACCACCGTACCTTAAAGTCAGCATTCCACAAATCCCCATGCGACAAATGCCTGGTAGCAGACCAAACATGCAGGAACATGCCCACAATCATACAAATCGTTGCAGTCGTAAGGAACATCACAGGCATCTGCCAGGTATATATTTGCGCTTTGCTGATCTGGATCTTGCCCCGCTTGGCGTGTTTAGACTTCGCGAGAAGCTTGCGGATCTTATGGTAGCCATCTCGATGCGAAGATAATCTGTACAAGCGGACGGACTGGTCGGCTGCTGTTAATATGCTAAACAGAGATAGAATAATGCCGCAGTACCAAGATGTTCGGACTGGCCAAGGAGACTTCTGGCTGCCTGGGAGAATATCTGGCCAGGAACCGGTGGATGTTAGGACTCCAGCTAGGAGGGCTGCCTGTTCACGATCTTAGCAACCACAACTTTTGATTCCTTGTCCATGTTGCTTCAACGCGGCATGAAAACGTACCACCACGCCCACAAAATTCAACTCATTGATCCTAGTGTCTTTCCATCGTTCGGTTAACCTGTCCCTCTCTTCCACGCTTTCTGCATTCAAAAGAATCTCAATTGGCTCGTATGTCGACACGTCCGGTGCATAGATGCCCCCACCAAAGAAATGAAAGGCCTTGCTAAAGGATCCCGTCTCTTGCTTGTCCTTGTTAGGTTGGCTGTTCGAGTGTTCTCCGAGGATTGGGGTTCGCTCGTCGCCGCCCCGGTTTTCGATGTCAGAGTGCGTCATTGGCGCGGGATAATTCTCGGCGAGATTAGGTGGATCTGGGGCAAGGATAGAAGCGCTGTTGCACGGTAAAAAGTAAAAACGTAGTAAGAATCGGTCGATAGATATGTGAGTTTAACGCTCGGCGTTCGGAGATGTTGGCAGTACTTGTATACCAAAATGCTCGAGAGAGCGACATGGAGCGTGACCAATGACGTAGCGTTTGTGCATGATAGAGCAGCCAATGGATATTACCGATTAACAGGAAAGCAGCATAGTCGTGTTTCGCACTTTTTGAAACTGAGGTACGATCTGCAAAAACAGAAATCAGACGCGACATGCCATACTCGGACCGACTTGAGGAAACGTGGGGTTTGAGGGGGTCACGGGAGGGTGCTGCATACCAGCGGCCATCTGCGTCGGTAGTCGCTATTGCCGATTCATCATACATATGGTCTCCACAAAACATCTCATGACGTGTATATAAACATTCTGAGCAACCACATCTGTTGCAGAACTCGTTGCAAAATACGAAAATCGCCAGTTTGTCGAGCATACCATACAAAAAATGTCTGTATCAAAATCTGGAAAATCTGGACTGTACGTCGGCAAAGACAAGCACCGATGGTGGAAAGAAGCTGTCGTCTATCAAGTATGTGAAAGTCGTGTCCGATTGCAACAACCTTATACTGACAGGACAAGATCTATCCAGCATCGTTCCTCGACAGCAATGCCGATGGATGGGGGGATGTTCCCGGCATCACATCCAAGTTGGACTATCTCAAGGAACTTGGTGTAGATGTGATATGGATATCTCCCAGTAAGATTGGCTCAAACATTAAATACCATTTTTCTAACCCATGAACAGTTTACAAGTCCCCGCAAGCGGACATGGGCTACGATATCGCTGATTATGAGGATATTGACCCCAGCTATGGAACCCTCGCAGACGTCGACAACCTCATCAAAGAGATCAAAAAACGTGACATGAAGCTCGTCATGGACCTTGTCGTCAACCACACCTCCAACGAAGTAAAGCTCCTGAAAACTAACAATCTCAATCAAAGAAGCCAGCTAACGCTCACAGCACGCCTGGTTCCTGGACTCGCGCTCCTCCAAAGACTCCCCAAAGCGCGACTGGTACATCTGGAAACCCGCCAAATACGACGCCGATGGAAACCGCCAACCCCCCAACAATTGGGCCCAGATCCTCGGCGAAGCAAACTCAGCCTGGACATGGGACGAAACAACGCAAGAGTACTACCTCTCCCTTTTCACCCCAGAGCAACCTGACCTCAACTGGGAGAACCCAGACGTCCGACAAGCCGTGCACGACGTGCTACGCTTCTGGCTCGATCGCGGATGCGCAGGCTTCCGCATGGACGTCATCAACCTCATCTCCAAAGTCCAAGAGTATCCCGACGCCGAAGTGACAGTGCCAAGTAACAAATACCAACCTGGTGATAAATTTTTCGCAAACGGTCCACGTCTGCACGAGTATCTCAAGGAAATCAACCAGAAAGTGCTATCCAAGTACGATACGTTGACGGTGGGAGAAATGCCGTTTGTCCGCGACGAAGACGAAATCATCCGCGTGGTGGGCGCTGATTCTGGTGAACTTAACATGATCTTCGCCTTCGACCTCGTCGATATTGATAACGTCCCCGGCGACTTCAAGTTCACGCTGCACCCCTGGAACGCGCGGGACCTCAAGCGTATAGTGAATAGGCTGCAAAGGCTTATGCTAGAACGCGATGGCTGGAATAGTTTGTTCGTTGAGAATCATGACCAGCCGCGGAGCGTGTCAAGGTATACGGATGACAGCGATGAGTTTCGTGAGTATGGAGCCAAGCTGCTTTGTTTGATGCAGACTACGCTTGCGGGGACGTTATATGTGTATCAGGGTGAAGAAATCGGCATGAGGAATGTGCCGCCGAGTTGGGAGCCGGAGGAGTATAAGGACATTGAGAGTATCAATTTCTTCAAGAAGTAAGTTTGCCTGTTCACATTATTCCCCATCCATACTCTACCCAATCCGGAAGTCCGGGACTCGCACATACTCACACCACAATCAATCGTAGATACGCAACCCTATACCCCAACGACCCATCCAAACAAGCCTATGCGCGTAAAGTCATGCAACGCAAAGCCCGCGACAACGCCCGCACCCCCATTCAATGGGACTCCACAGCTCCCAACGCAGGCTTCACATCACCCAGCAGCACCCCCTGGATGCGCGTCAACGACGACTACCCCACCGTCAATGTCGCCGCCCAATTTGCAGACCCCAATCCGTCGACCTCTGTTTTCGCATTCTGGAAACGTGGCCTTGACAACCGCAAAAAGCACAAGGATGTGTTTGTGTATGGTGACTTCGGGCTCGTGGATGAAGCCAATGAGAAGGTAGTTGCATATAAACGGTGGAGTGAGGACACAGAGGTGCTCGTGGTGTTGAATTTCTCGGGAGAGGAAGTGCAATGGAGTGGTATTGGGGACTTGAAGGTCAAGAAGTGGTGGGCAGGAAATTACGAGGATGGGAAATTAGGGGAGAAAGAGAGGAGTGGCAGTCTCAAGTTGAGGCCATGGGAGGGCGCGATTGGAGAGTTGGAGGGATGATAGAAATGAGGTAGTGTAGTGACACAGAATTTCGGTATACGAGTTTTGCATGGTGACGTCCACCAACCGTCTAAATTCATAATCGAAATGGGTACAACCCAACATGAGCTTCCGACTCCCAACAGCCTGCCTCGCCGCTAAACGCCGATTTTCAAAATGATGTAAATGCACGCTGCCACAGCCCAAGAAACAGTGCGCAAAGGTGTAAGGTTACACGCTACACGACACGCTCGAAAATGAGGTCCGATCGAGATAGAATTATACGATGCGTTTCACCTGTCCAAGCGGTTAGACCCCAAGCTCGACTACCATTTGCTTCCGGGGCGCACCTCGAAGAATCTCTTCAACCACCACACCTGAAACACGCCTTCGGCACCGACAACGATAATTTGGAAAATGCTCCACCACTTGACCCGCGAGTTGGTGCTTTCGGCCGTGTTCCTGTGGGTGCGTTCGCGAACGACGATGTAGCTCTGCTCATCCTTGACCTGGGCAACAAGTTCTGACAGGGAGCGAACTATTCTACTGTTAGCTTGTGTATCCAATTGCTGTCATGCTCCGACATACCCTCAACTTCGAGCGGATCCTTGGGTGCTTGCTCTTCGGGGACATAGACGATGCCGTGTACATTGAACGACACCTCCTTGGTATTCGCTCCCCAGTGTTCATTGTTGAAGCAATATGTGTATTTGCCATCCTCTTGCGCGGTAAACGAGTGGTCGCCCGAAGACACGCCTCGTTGGTGGATCTGGAAGTGTCGGCTCGGAGTCTCAATCTGTCACAACAGTGAGTAAACACTTTCTCGCTCATCCCCATACCCAATGCCTATCCGAATTGTTTACGTACCCAAAAGTCAATGTCAAGGTTCCCGCTGCCACCGAATTCTCTGTCGCCGACCTGGAATGTAACCGTCATGGTATCGTCCTTGTGCAGTTGTTCGTGGAAGCATTCGCGCATGTGGGCTTTCATTTGGATGTTATGGGCGACCGCGGCGGTGAAGATGCTGCTCGCAGCAGCGAGCAGTCCGAAGGACGGGAACAACATGGCGGGTTGTTTGGTGGTGGATTTGATCGAGCGGAATTGAGGGCGCAACTAGCTACAGGGTCTCGGTGATGCCAGCTGGAAGCCGCAACTACCGGAAAATTGGTTTCGCCGACCTCCGCGCTCAACTTCATCTCATCTCTGTTGGAACACTGCCTTTCCACCTGTCTTCCATCCGTATCTCAAATCAATAAATAACCAGGGCAACTTCCCCTTGCTCGAAATTTTCCAGATTCCGTACAATGTCAGAATACTATCCTTCTTTCCATGCGCCAGTTCATCCTCGCAGCAGGATTGGCTGAACCAGTATGCATATAGCATTAATATTTCAACAGAGCAAGCATGCGATGTGTATACGGGCTGGATCATTTCAATTCAGCTGTAGTTGAATATTTCAACAGTTCAGATCCCGCTATATTGGCACTGGTAGTGCGAGAACTTCACATTATGTATTCTGACAACACAGCATCATCATTTATCTCATTGCGAGGCGGCCGGATAGACAAAACAAGCATTTTCAACTATTTGCTAAAGCTGTCACAGCCTAACCTGGTTTCCATCCGGCCACCCTCCTGCGCCGTCTTCGATGTCCACCATGCCAGTAGGAGGACCCGCCATATCCCATCACCACTGTAGTACATAAATGTCAGACTCTAAAGCTATTCTCTCGACATATGATCCAATTCAATTTGGCAACCTGCACGCAAGCCCAACTGTGCCAGCGAAGAACTAGGAATCTAGCGGTGTGCCTTGCTGCCTATCGTCCGCTTCCTTTGGACGCAGCAGGTGCTTGATATCATTACATGTAAATCAGAATACCAAGGGCTTATCTCACCCAGCTAGCTTAAAGTCAGCAGGAGACATGCAGGCTATATTAATCAAGAGATCGTAGGACGGCAGCACGATTGGTGGCGACTGTAACTCTACTCTCCTGCCAACACGGTGAAAGAGCAGGATGAGAAGCTAGTGGCAATGAGGTTTATCATGCTTGGGCTTCATCAAGAGTTTATTATTATTTTGAGAGATTCAAGAGATATCGTTAGCCATTCATACCACGGCCAATGCGTTTCGTTGTCTGGTCTGCACCCCAATGGATAGCACATATTGCCCCGCCTTCCCTTTCAATTGCCCGTCCTTTGCTGGCACTCGTGTTACCACGCACGTTCTCCCAACACTCATATTCACATTCACCTCAAGCAACTTGATCTTTGTGCCTAACATTCCTCCCACAGTTTTCGCCGGTCCGCAAACCTTTCTCCGCGCCGATATACCTCTTGAGACAGCTTTGCCATTGCTACCCCCGATCCTCATCCCAGCGCATCTCTATACCCTTGGATCAGCAGCCTTGTCTTTACGATGCGCGAGCATGCTTTCGACCCAGTCAAGGAGCGCATATCCGCCTCATACGTCCTCGGACTCTCCAAAGATCCCTACAGGCCATGCTCGCCATCGCCCAAAGCACCCAAGCGAGTGAACTCTTACAAAGCCATGGTAAGCGCGCCGTCTGCCCTGAGATTTAGCGCGCAGCTCTTACTAACCCAGGCGTCTGCAGATGAAGCAACCCGGCGGCTTCCTTGAGTGGGTCGCTAGCGATGGCCGTCGAGGAAAGCTTTCCGGCGCTCGGAAATCCAGCACCGCAGCACCGGGCCTGACCAAGGAGAATGTCGCCAAGGTCGACTCAACGCCTGCGGCAGGCGCTGGGGGTCTCTCCGATCTGGGCGGATTCGGCTTGTTCGGAATGGAAGCTGGTTCTGTAAAGGCATCTGTCAAGGACGGCTCCACAAAAGCTCCTGCTCCCGCCGAAAATGAGGGCAAAAAGGGCAAAGGGAAGAAAGGCGAAAATCCACTCGAATTCACCGAGCAGCAGGATGATGCGCTCAAAGAAGCGAAGATGGACCCAGCGGGTATCTCGTGGAAGGAAGTTGCGGAGAAAGTTGGAAGAATGGAAGGCCATTGCAAGGGCCGATGGAACCAGATCAAGCCCCCTGGCTGGACCCCACCGAAAGGCGGTGGTAACGACAAAGGTCAAAAAGGGAAGAAAGGCGAAAAGCAACAGAAGAATGAGAAGAAGGATGAAGAGGCAGGCCTTACTTGGAATACTGACTGGGCTGGTAATGCCCCCCAGGAATCGACTGAAAACGCAGGCGGTGTAACTTGGGGAGAAGGCAGCGGTAACACTAACGGCTGGGATAACAACAATGACGACACCGACAAGAAGTCTTCTGGCGCTGGAAACACTGGCGGTAACAACAACTGGGGAACCGGTGCCGATTGGAACCCAGATGCAGATAATAGCAGTGCTACCAAAGATCATAAACCTCCCAAGAAGGGATCAGACAACGGATCTAAAGGGGGATCAAAAACCTGGGGAGGGGACGATTGGAACAAGGGTGCAAGTAACGGTGGCGCTTCTCCGGAGTGGAACGGTTCCAACAAGGGATCGAATAATGGTTCAAAAGCAGGGTCAAAGACATGGAAAGACAATGATTGGAATCCTGCTGGCGACAATAGCAGCCCAGCTGCAGCATGGGGTAATCCAGATAACGAATCAAATAAGGGATCAAAAGAATCGGGGAATGACGATTGGGTAACCCCCGGGGATTCCAAGGAAGATAACTCCAAAAGCGACAATAACGACAATAACAACGGAACTTCCTGGGAGCACAATGCTACTACTTGGGGTGCAGATATTGCCAAATCCACTAGAAGTAGCAACTCCAAAGGTTCCGCGAAAGGAGACGACCCTCCTTCATGGAACCAGGGCTTCGAAGTTCCTAGTAGTGTAAAAGCCGCCAGCGAGAAGGGCAGCGACAAGAACAAAAAGCGGAAATCCAAACACCGCTCTCGAGAACACCATTCCCACCGCGAGCGCGACCACAAACATCACTCAGACAAAAGAAAAGACAAGGAGACGGAGGAAGAACGTCAACACCGCAAAGAAAAGGAGAAGAAGAAGCGCGACAAGCACTCGGAGAGGAAAAACTCCAGAAAGCACAGGGACAGCGAATCTTCTACTTCCAGCTGGCACTCATCATCGTATTCTTCTTCCTCCTCGTCTCCCAGACATAAGTCCTCTTCCTCCTCATCCACTTCACCAAAACCATATACCGCTCACCCCTCCGAAAAACCCTCCACCTCACTCCTCACGAAACCCACGATCCTCTACCCAGACGAAAACTTCACGCATGATGACCTCAGATCCATCGCAGTGGCCATGCGTAACGACTGCAACGATACCTTCACTCGGGTAGCAAATTCCTTCTGGCAGTCAACATCTCGCCGTATCGATCCGGAAGTCATTGAGCGCAAGATGACCGGAAAAGTGGAGCGCGAGGAGCGCGAAAAAGAGCGCGAAAAAGAGCGCGAAAAAGAGCGTGAGGAAGCCAGGCGTAGACAGAAGATTTCGGATCGTGAGAGGATTGAGCAGCTTGAGGATGAATTGGGCAGGGTCAGGAAGTGGGAGAAGAAGTGGACGAAGGAGAAGGCGCGGGAGAGAGTTAGGCGAGCGCACTTTGGAAAGGAGGGCGAAGTTTGAGTGCGGAATGAGCCGATGGGTTCTTTGGATGGCACACCCTGCTGTCATGAAAGAATGAATCGGGGCTCTGCGGTGCACCCGAATTATGAATTTTCAGATAGGAGGTTCAAAACCTACGATGGAACGAAGCTTGTGTTTCTCAGGTTAGCACACCTCCTATGACGATTTAGTGTGTATCTGCCAGAAGTAACATCTTAGGTAGTCACCTGCATAATTTGATACTCCTGGTGTATGTACCTATCTTCTGATTGAGATGGCTATCGTCAACTTCTCAAAGATGGCTCATGTGTGTTCTATTCGTCATTATATGTATTCATTTGTAGCATTTTGATATGATAAATCGCGTGAATTCGATACGTATTGGCTCACCGATTCCTATATCGCGTAGGTAGTTCATCTGATATAAGATGATTCGTTGAGCAAACCCCAGACGAATTTGCCAGCTTCTCAGCTATCACGGTGTTTGATTTATGCCTGCTGGTAGTACATCTTCGCCCTATATGAACGATTATTACTGCTTTTTTCTTCAGTTCGTTTTTGTTCTTCAGATCAACAGAGAGACTTTGGTTTCTTATAATTCATATACGCTTCTTTTTACGCATAGCACATTCTAAGCTATGCCTATAACTATGGGGGAGTCAATACCGTTTTCGTGCACTCCTCCAGCTGAACTGGTGTGGCGACTGGCGCTCGACGCGGCATTTCATCACTTGTTTGACAATGGCCCTTAAGCCACACCCAGATCAAAGTTGCATGATGAGACCCATATATACGCCCTGTGTGGAACATGTTCATCATTTGCTGGGATCAACAAGCAGTAGGAGAAGTCTTGATAGCCCAAAACGCGTGCTTCCGCTGCCAAATATCAGTCACATTATGAACTCCGTTGCGGCATAGGGAATCGCTCCCCGTCTTTTCTGCAACCTGAGCACGAAATCTCCGTATAATGCACTGGATGTATGAAGCTTCTAGATTCAACACGTACTATATATAGGGATACCACACCTACCCTATCGCTGCTTCTCCAGACAAGGCCGTGTGTGCACTGCTCTCTAATGTGGCATGGGGTCTTTCCCTTTGTTGCCATAGTGTGACTGCACCTGCCAAAGTAGCTGGCTAACGCTTCAAAAGTAAACAAATATAAAGGCCCCCTCCCACATGCCTTCCCCCTAATCAACCACCACCCTTGACCAATAAGTGCACTCGACCACAAGCCTTGGACAGCTCTTTACTCAACCAAACCGCCTCTTGCCTCCTATTTTCAAGTGACGCAAGGAACGTCGCTTCCATTTGCAATGGCCAACCCCTCGGGCAACAACCTGGCAGTTCCGGATAACGCCGTAGGCATCTCGCCATCTCCTGACGCGGTTGACGGCCCAGACGAAATTACGATTCTCAAACAAGATCTATACAAAGCAAAGGCCAACCACCGCAGAGCGAAAAACCACCTCAATAAGATCGAGGACAGTTCCGACTCGTCTGAGAAGCAGGATCTGGTGCGGCAGATGTTTGATGAGCTCAAGAAGCAAGCCGAATTACGAAAACGCATCAATATGTGTAAGAAGCAAGAGAAGCTGGGCGTAAATAATCTCCCGGTACGTTTTTCTTGCTTCGCGATTTCGTGTTTGGTGACCGCATGTTTGTGTGGCCTTTTCGCGAACTTAGCAAGTATGTATGTGTTGGACGAAGTTTGGCTAATGCTTCGGTGTCCTGATAGAGTTCCGGGTCCTTGGATGGGTCAAATGGTGGTGATGATGATGATGATCATGATGTTGATGACAGGGATGATGAATCGGGTCTCACGGGAGAAGAAATACTGAAAGCTACCGGAGAAGAAATTGAAGCAGAGTTACTCAAGTATTCAGGTATGTTGCCCAGAGACACTGATCTGCCACCCTTTGCCTATCCCAAGACCCCCAATTGCCTCAATCTTCCGAATTACATGGAGCGATCTTAGAGTTACTTCTCAATATTCTTAGGCCCGCATCGATTCGGCGAATATGAAAACTGTAAGGAATTCTTAGATACCCAACCATATTGACACATACTAACACCTTCGTAGACAATAAACTCGTCCTTCTCTACGAAATTACAGACAAAACCAAATGCGCCCACGCGGACTCCTTCGTCCACGAAACCCTCGCTCCTTCCTATAACAATAACGGCTCCAATCCCACTCAATTTACATGCCACCGCAGCACATTCACACACATCAGCGGCGACCCCTCCATCATCAAATCCTCAGACGAGAGATTCAAGGCCCTGCATAACGCGAAACGCTTCGTGGTCTTGCCAAACGCGACGGATCCGTTCAAGGACAGCCAGATCGAGCATAGCAGTACGACGACTGTTGCCACTTTCGGCGTGGACTGGAAGGATAGAGAGGCGAAGGTGCTGTGGATCACGTATGCCCCTGGTATAGCTTCGTGGTTGCATAAGTGGGTGGATGAGGGTCTGATCAAATATGTTGGGGCTTGGTGCAAAGAGATGGTAAATCATAACCCTACATTTTCTTCTGAGCTTCTTCCTAGTCCACGATGTGCAGCTTGGACTTTGGAGCTGATGTTTTGGCCCAGTTACCATTGGAAGAACGCAACTACCACAAAGCATACTGGCTTGCTGCAAACCGCCGTCCGATGAAATCGCTGCTTTCGGATCATCCGACTTTACATATGAACCCTCCTGCACCTAAATCCACGCTTGCGAAATCCGTTGGATCTGCATCGCAACAAGTCGAAATCACAGATGGCAATCGACGGACTTTACCCATCACGTCGGCTTTATCGAAAAGGGCGTGGAAGAATGCCCTCACTGACCTTGAGAGGAGGGACGAAGAGGAGTTTTATTACTTCATTGGGAGAGTGGGACACGGGTGCTGAGCTGGAACTGCTTTCCTGAATGATGGAGAGGTGTATGGATTGACTACGTCGTCTTTCCCTTCTCTGCGAATGGATCTGAATGATGGGGCGGGCGTACATTATGGAAGTCATGTAAATTACGAAATCGTTCTTCATGTGGAATTACTTTCACATTGAAGTATACAAATACACTACCACTGCTTCACTTCAGTTCGTTCCGTTTGACATTGAATACGCTGACCCTCCAATGGTATGTAATACACTTGCGAGCTTTTTACCGTCAGCAAGTATTTATAATTGGGCCAACGCAATACCCACAGCCAGAGTAAGTATCATGGACGAACCGCTCATCTGACATCTATCCTCCATACTCTGCAGTATACTGACTATGAGCTACTCTTACTACTAGCTAAATAGATTTATCTACAGCTAAACTTCGTAGTTGCCGCCATAATGATATATCTAGATCATAAGAATGCTTGGTGAAAGTATTCAGAAGCGTATATAAATATACATAGTATACACGTAAAAACGTACAGTACAGTTTTTCCTGCTCTAGCAAAGCATAGGATTCAAGTGATATGTAGTGTACCAATTCATTACCATCTTTCTAGCTTACTTAGTACAGGGATTACTTTCATTTCGTGCGAGAGGAGTTTCCAGGAGATGTTGAAGTGGTTATTTTTCTGGTTCAGTAGCGCGGACGTTTGTTTTCGAGGTGAACTTGCTTGCGTCTGTGATGGTTGTCTGCGGAAGAAGTAAAAGTATTGAAGGAAACAAAATAAAAGAAAGAGAGATGATGGATGCCGTCGGGTAAGAGGAAGTCAAGATATATTATTTTATGTGAGAGGGAGATGGTGGTTTTGATTGTCATGGCTTTTTAATTATTCAGTTTTATGTAAGTTCGATTCGGAATACATACTTAAGTAGGTATTCAACGATCGCGCTCGTTCAAGTTAACTGAACATGGAAGTTTTCAAGATATGAGGATTCAGATTCAACAGCTTGCTTATATTTTTCGCATCTCCGACACACTATACAACGCAGAAAGGCAAGCAGACAACAGTTATATAAGAAGTTCGAAGACATGAAACAGATTTGATCCAAAGATCGATAGGCAAATGTTAGAATGTCTTCGCGGCCTTCACCGGGCGCACAGTTCCTCAGAGTTCGTTTGCCACACTACTCGAGTTCCTCGCCCTCGCCGACCGTCAACCCTTCAACGCTCTTTCCCAACCCAGAAACTGCTTCTGCAGTCCCGTTTACCGCAGCCTTACCGCCAGCTGTGGACGAAGAAGCGTGAGAGCTGGATTTCTTCACACCGCCCTTGCCATGTCTAGGTCTACGCTTCTTCCCGCGTCCACCGGCACTACCTTCATTGACAGGCGGCGCGTCACGGACCCAGCGTGAGATGGCTTCGGCGCGCTCCGTCGAGATGGGGTACTCGCGGCCATCGTCCTGGGCCCATCGTTTCGGAGCCGCGGGGATAGGGGACGAGGTGGGGGAAGACGGATGCGTAGTTCCGTTCGTAGCTGTCGCTGATGTGTTCGAGGTCGATGTTGAACTGGTAGTCGCGGTGGACGAGGAAGATGAAGCGGCGGCGGCGGCAGCACGAGACTCTGCCTCTTCGTCCTCACGGAATCGGCGCTCGCGCGCGCGGACAGCACGTTGGAAGCTTTCCTCATCTACGACGCGCTCGTCTGCGAGCGCTTCGAGAATCGCTTCGTGTTTCTGGCGTTCGCGCTTTTGGGTTTCTGTTTCTTGACGGGTGGCTTCATTTTTGGGACCACCGGGTCCGCCATTGCTGCCGTCGAATCCCCCGTTTTTGCCTTGACCAGGAAGAGGAGCGGGGCGACACAAGTTTTCCCAGGATGTTGTGAGTCCGACCCAATTGCCCGCTCGACGGATCACTTCGATCCAGTCGGCGCGCGCGGGGCTGCGTGCTGCTAGGAAAATGGGGTAGCCATCGCAGACGCGGGCGATGCGTGCGGCGTTGTGAGCGTGGCGCTGGAGTTCCTTGGGGGTTGTTTGCACGAGAGCGTGACAGAGAAGCAACGAGTGCAGAGCATCGGTGAGAAGCGGGTGGTACGTGATACTCTCGTGGGAGTCGGCGAAGGCGGCAGCTGCTGCGGAGGCTGCAGATTCGGCCGCAGTTGTCGTAGTCGGCGGTGGGTAAGGGGGTAGGGAAGCTGGAGGCACCGAGTCGAAGAGCTGCGATACCTTGAAGATGTCTGGTGGCGGGAGTTTCGGCCACGCTGATCGGTCTGCGTGACTTCCACGTTGGCCGCGATGGGGCACAAGAGCTTCCGAAATTGGAGAAGAGTTGGCGGAGGAAGAAGTAGATGCCGAAGAGTCGAGAAGACGGTTTAAGGGTTGCTTGAGGCTGTCTTTGGTGCTGTTGTAGGCGCCGTTGGATGTGCCGCCCATACGACGGAGAAACTCCTCAGCCACCTCGGCGGAGATACCCGGAGTGTAATCGAAATGGCTGAGGAAGGCAGTGTAATCGCGCAAAGCGCGTTTTGCATTTTGACGGACTTGCTTGCGGGCTTCAGCGCGACGTCGGTTCCCCTCCAGCTCTTCCTGGCTTTCCGACGCTTGTTCTTCGCCAGCTGCGGCTTGAGCGTCTCTCTTTGCTTTTGCTTCTTCTTCTTCTCGCAACCCGTCTAGAGCCGCGTGGACATGCTGGCAGGCTATGGTAAAATAGACTCCGGCGCGATGGAAGAGCAATTGGGTTTCGAGGGAATTCGGTTGGTCTTCTTCCGGGATCTTGACCTCCTGTCTCCAATCCCGGCCATGCTGCTCCTGCATGGATCTCGCCAAAACCAATTGATCGTTCCCCGCGCGATGTTGTGCATTGTTGTATCGTGCGTTGCGTAACGCATCAGTCAGGTCCTGGGCCGAATTGACATAGTCCTCCTTGAATATACGGGTCAGGGCGCGGGTCCGCCTTGGGGAGCCATCGTTGGGGTTTTCTGATATTATCTGATTCAATGTATCCAATGGGGTGCACTGGGCCATCATGCGCGAAGGTATCTTCTCGTGAAAAAAGTGCACATACTTGGCATCGATGTGATTGGGGTTCCTCTGCAAGACAAAATGGGCGACATCCTCCAAGGTCGATGCTGACTGCATGGTAGCCACGCTGGCGGCGATCTCGTCCAGATGGTATGCCTGACTCAATTTGGCCGTGGCCAGTTCGCGCATGCGATGCTTTCGCTCCCTGCTCAGCTTTGTGTTCCCTCCGCCTCCCCCGTAGCCTATACCCAGGGCGGCGGCGTTGCCCAGCATGCCATTGCCAGCATTGAGCGAGTTGCTCAGGGCCTGGGAGGTGAGGCCGCTGGTGGCGCGCACGGCGAGGTTGGTAGCCTCATCGACGGCTTTGCGGATCTTGACGAGATCGTAGAAAACGGCGGGGTCGATGGGGTGGGGGCGCGGGGAGAGGTAGTTGCTGTGGGCGAGCGACTCGAGGACTTCGGGGGGTAGCTGCAGCCAGGGGCCGTGGAAGGAGGAAATGTAGCGCCAGTGCCTGCAATTGACAGACGGTCAGCCAGCCGGAAGGGTTCAATTCATTCTCTCGAATATCGTCTAGATATATACATGAACATATATATACTCGAGGGATGGACAAGGTTGTGTGGTAGTAGGTAGGTAGGTAGGTAGGTTGGTGGAAGTGGCTGTGACGTGCCTCCCGCGTGCGCGACGAACTAAACTCACTTGTTGCGACAGATGATGAGGGCCGACGTCGAAGGCTCGCCGGACACACCCGCGGCGTGCGAGCTGGACGAGGGCGTGGGCGTGGGCGTGGATGTCGAGGGGTCGCTGGCCGGCGCGATGATTTCTGTCTGGGCGGCGTTTTTCTTCTTGCGCGCCATGATTCGCCTCACGATTCACCTGCCAAAGAGTGGAGAGAGGTCTGTACGGTTGCTTGGTTGGATGAGAATGGCTGGATCTGTTGATGTTGTTACAGTGCTTGTCTGGGCGCGGCCATGCTGTGATCCGGCAGAGAGGTATGCACTGTCGGGATGGGTGGACATGACACAAAAAATATCGACTACCAAGCAACCGTCAAGCAACCTTGTGTTGTCGGGCGGCGGAGCGGGAGACGGAGCTTACGCGCGCTACCACCACATTCACCATGTTAGCTGCGAATCTTGCTTGATCGACCTTCCCATCCTTCTCCACCGCACAAGGTATCAGAATAACGGGAATAGCAGCATTTGATTCTGAATCATGGATCGCTCCATCTGCAGGTCCGCGCTCGATGGAACGTCCGGTAGTGGCTTGTCGCTGGAAATGCTCCGATCCGATACCATGCTCCTTCATCCATTGCAAAAAAGTATTTCGAAACACCCCACTCCTCATGTATTTCTGGCATCAGTTCATTGCCGTCATCGTGATCCCTTTCGCATCATTTTTTTGTCGCGCTATTTTCGTTGTCGACTGTCGTCGTCGTATCGAGGTGCTGTACTGTTCATTGGAGTGATGCTACTCCGTCCATTACTAATCGTCCTCACGTGATCCTCAATGGTGCCTGGCAGGTTTCATCTCGAGCGCTGTCAGTCTTCAACACTGCGACACAATCCCACAATCCCATTAAACCAAACCCGATATCTCCCGGGAAACTTACGGTGCTTCGTGAGCCGTCGTTGGCTCCCAGTCTGACACCTTGATCGGAAAATTCAGACGTCATATTCTATTGCTCTTCCCGCTGACGCTTCCTCCATGCATATCTATGTACAGTCACGTCAAACAATCGTGCGTGCCACACCTCCATGCCATGCACAATCATCAGTCATCGACCATCACGCTCGGATTATTTCCCTTGTCTCCGTTGATATCTCGGGGCTACCTTGGTCGCATCCAATGTCCGACATTTGTCCTATAGTTCAGCACCCAAGTACATGCCTAGGTAGGTACTGCATGTACGCCATCACGTCGCTCGTATTCGCATAGACATCGATACGGATTATCGGCCACTCATAGCCAAATGACTTGTTTCCCGATGACCAGCATGCCTACATGCCTGCCTATCTTGCTTCTGCATCACCTGCTTACTTGATGCATGCATCGTCGACCTAGCATTATACGGTGGGTACCTGAGTCTGTCTATACATGTTCCTATCGGACAGCCGGGCAACCTCTCGGCGGAATTGCCCATTCAAATCACCAAGTTTCATCTGCGCCAACATGATGGACCTCATCGAAACAAATCGACCTTCACTCCATCGGGCAAATCTGTAGCCGGACCACTTGCTCCAACGGGTGGGCCTACATGCAGCGCGGGTACGGCCCGCTAGTCAGCGAATCCTACAAACACAATCTATTCAATTGTCACGTTAGTCCTCTCCTGGCACAAGCCGTCTCATAGCTACGCCTTGAACGCGCTCAAGGCTTTGATTCCGACATCAGTCTTGCCCCCATCCCATGCTGCGTTTCTGCATTAGGACATGTACCCCCATGATTTGACTGGGGGCTGCATGCCATGTACGCCAATCGCTTGTCCAAAGCTTGTCCTTAGGCTTAGTCTGGCTACCACCCGTCCTCCCCCCTACACTGCGCTATCTCACAATCCTTCAGACATGGGCGGGGAAGCCTGTCGTCGCCCGTCATCATCGGTTTTCGCGGGGTAGCAAGTTGCTCTCTATCAACTACTGTCGTCCTTTGTTTCGTGTGCGAGGCATTCACGCTCTTTTTCATCTTCATGACTAACTCCCACGTTTCTATATCCTTTCTTTGTATCAACCTGACAACTTGGCGCCGTGCCATGCTGTGTGACTTCACAAGCTTTTGGCCCAAGAAACACCACACGCAACATAATATGGCAATGTCTCATCTATGCGGTCCGTTTGGTTCCCTGTCCACCGGTTCCCTGTCCCACCCACCCACCACCGCGAACATGGCTTGCCCTGTCGCCAGCATCCGTCCAGTCAAACAAGACCTCGAAACGGCGCACATGAGCTTCTTTGCGTACCCATGTGGCTGAGCCTCTTTTGGAAGCAGCCGTTGGCTTCATATCCATGTGTCGGGCCAGTCACGGCACGGTACATGGGAAGCAAGTCAGTTACTCTAAACAGTAAGTGGAGATTCTCCACCAACGACGAGAAGGGTGCTCACTGCATCCCAGCCCACCCATCGATTTGCGAACATTCATTGACGTGCCCTCCCTCATCACCTCCCCGGAGCGGCAGTATTGTGTGACCCATGTCATGCATCTCCCCTCTCTCATTCGGCCATCTGGCCTGGGATACCTTCGTGGCCAGGAAACTCACGGACAGCGGCGGAACCTGCAAGAGCTGACTCGAACAACTACACGACGACAGATATTGAGGAATCTTGAAGCCGTAGTATTGATCAAGTAGTTCAACTGAAACAATCACATACTATTTAAATATCAATGTTGTCCGCATTCAGTTTCCATTAAGGCTGGACATCTATTCTTGAGGCCCTCCCCTCTTCACTCATAACAATTGTTGTTCCATGATGGAGCATCTCAATCGCTTCGCCAGCGCCCTTTCTCAAGACGTTACCCTCCAACGCGCAAGACGTGACGGTGTACGTGTTGTTCGTGCTCTCCCCCGCGCCACATCTGATTACATCATCGAGAAAGCGCCTGTCGTGCAATGGGCCCCTCAATATCAACCTAGATGGATTCTCTATGATGTCCTGGCTGGCATCACTATTGGAGTCTTGCTCATCCCCCAGGCCTTGGCGTATGCCAAGATTGCCACGATCCCAGGACAGTATGGGTTGATGAGCTCGTGGTTGCCGAACTTTCTGTATTTCATCATGGGAACTAGTAAAGGTAAGTCTTTCCGACCTAACTTCTCAATGTGTTGGTTGTATGGAGACTGATTATGGTCGGTCAGATATGTCAACGGGCCCAACGTCTCTCATGGGCCTCCTCACAGCCGAGATCATCCGCGACTTCACACAAGACGGCTTCTCTCCTCAAACTATCGCCTCTACAACGGCCATGTGCGTCGGTATATGGTGTCTAGTCGTCGGTCTTTTCAAGCTCGGCTTCCTGCTCGAATTCGTATCCATTCCCGTGCTCAATGGCTTCATCTCTGCTGCAGGTATCGTTATCATGCTTGGCCAGATCCCTTCGCTGTTCGGCGTCAAGGTAGGCTCAGGGACCGGCACAATCATCCACGATCTGTTCAAGCAGATTCCAGACTTCGATGGGCCTACTACTGGGGTTGGACTTGGCGGGATCGTGCTGCTTCTCATTCTGCAGAAGGTTGGGGAGAAGTGGGGAAAGAAGAGTAAAGCGCTGTGGCTGGTGGGACTGGCGAGGAGCGCCATTGTGCTTGTGTTATTTACGGGAATGTCGTATGGGATTAACAAGAACAGAGTGGACGATCCTGTCTTTGATTTGAGTAAGGTCAAGGTATGCCAACTTCTTTCATCCTGTCCAGAGTTCCTCCTCTTCGTCTTTCATCACCCTTCGGCTCAAAGCTTCATTCCCTCGACCCCTAAAGTTTCCCAACACCATAGCGATGAGTCGTCACCACTCATCTCATCTCCCTTCACTATTTCCTGAATTATTCTTACTCAAACCATTCTCTTTCCTTCAAAAATGAAAATCCATCGCTGACAACTAATCCTCTCGTCTACCAGTCTGATGGCATCAACGCCCCCAAAATGGTACCAACTACCTTAATCCCAAGAGTCTTCCCCCGCGCCGTAGCCCCCTTTCTCGCCGCTACCATCGAGCACCTCGCCATCGCTAAAGGCTTCGCCCGCCGTAACGGCTACGTCATCGATCCCGCACAAGAACTCGTCTACCTAGGTGTTACAAACTTCTTCAACAGTTTCTTCTCATCCATGCCTGTTGGTGGCGCCATGTCACGTACAGCCGTCAACTCGGCAACAGGCGTCAAGAGTCCGGCATACGGACTTGTAGCAGGTGGTTTCGTGGTCCTCTCTATCTTCGAGCTCACCCCGGCATTATTTTGGATACCGAAAGCGACGCTCGCTGCTATTATCGTGCTCGCTGTGTGGTACGTCTTCTATCCATCACTGTTCCTTCTATTGCTGCGTGACCATCTCCTTCAAACAAACAAACACACACACACACACGCCTAAACGTATCATCTAACCAACCACGGCAGGTCCATTCTAACCTCCCCCAAAGTCTTCTACCACTACTGGCGCACTTCCCTCACAGACTTCACCGCCTCCCAGCTCGCCTTCTGGATAACCCTCTTCGTATCCACCGAGATCGGCATCGGCGTCGCCGTAGGCTTCCAACTCGTCGTCCACATCCTCTCCACAACCTTCTCGCGAATCAACCGCGAAACCGTCTTCCCGCTCTCCCCTCCCTCTTCTTCTCAGCCACAAGAAAGCGCAGCAACGCCAGCGGGCTCCATCAACACCACGACCTCCATCGACAACGACAACAACGGGAGCAGAGGAGCAGGAGGAAGCGGACGAAGAGTCATCCCGAGCGGGATCCACGTCTTCACCCCGCACGTCCCAATCATCTTCTTCAACGCATTCGCTTTGAAAGCACAGTGCTGGGATCTCATTCAGACGTATACTTCTTCTCCCTCGCCTGCTGCGCTCGCCTCTCCTTCCTCGCGCAACTGGAGTACGGCGGGCCAGCGACGTGCTCGTCTCCTGCGCGCCCGTGCAGGCGTTTCTACGGACCCTCCTACTATTGAGGGAGTGGTGCTGGATCTGAGGAATGTCGCCGCGATTGATACAACGGGGATTGTATCACTGAGGGACCTAAGGGATGATTTGAAGGCGTATGTTGGAGATAATGATGGGGGGAGGAAGGTGGAGGTGAAACTTGTCGGGGTGACTGAGGGGGTTCGAAGGAGGTTTGAGAGGTTTGGATGGGGGCTTGTTGAGGTTAGTAGGCGTGGGTTTGAAAGCCAGGGTAGTGTTGCTGGTGAAAGTGTTGTGGGGGACAGTAAAGATGAGGGGTTGAAAGAGTACATGTTTTTGGAAGATGCGGTTTGGGACTGTGGGAGTGGTGGGAGGAGAGACAGGGAAGTTGTTGTGCTGAGGGAGAGTGGTGGCTTTAAGGGGAATGGGGATGAGAAGGTTTGATGGGCTCTTTTACTTGCCTCATTTCTGGTTTGACGCTTTTGATATTGGACTTGGACTTTCTTTATTTTTCTAGGCTATGGATTTCTTGAGGGAGGTGGGAATGGAAGAGGTTGGACTATACTTTAAGATGATTATAAGCAAAGAAGGCCACGATAACGAATTTATGATACCTATCAGGAATCATGTCTCTTACTATTCATCCGGCAAGTGTTTTGATCTCTATCAGTAACTGCAGTCGGTTCTCACCATCAATTGAGGGGTTTTGAACGTCTTGTGTCTTTTTTTTTTTTTCCTTTTCTCATTCTATCAATTTCCTGATTAAAAATGTGCCTCATAACAATTTCGGAGGAAGACACAGATGCAACTATCTTGATCTATAGAAACGCCGTTTCATGCCGCTCGCTATGGAACAGAGATGAAGGTGATAAAGGGGCAAGGTAAAAGAAGGGCCCAAGTAAAAGTAAACCCCAAGACATCCCGTCACCCCCCTCAAAACGGCCACCACCGACACGCCTGCACAAGCGACACACCATGCTCGTTAACAGGCACCCTGTCCCCAATATACCGAACCTTGACCCAGTCCTTCGCGAACTCATCCAACTCAACACCCTCCTCAATCCCCTTCTGCCTGATCTTCTCCAACCGATCCCCCAAAATCTTGTCAACCCGGTCAAGCAGCTCCACATCAGCAACCTCAACTTTCTCAAGCACGCGCTTGACCTTGTCACCAAGCTCAGTCGCCCGCTTACGCTCTTTCTCCTTGCACCGCTCGTCCTTCTCTTTCTTGACGACTTCCCTCCGCGCCGCAAGACCCCTGTGGTACGCTTTGTACTTGTGTTTCTCGAACGGCGCCATCAGTTCGATGTACCAGCTGGTTCGGTTTACGCGCTGCTGGCGCTCCTAGGCTTCGCGGACTTGAATGTGCTTTGGCATCCAGGGGTACTCGTCGGAATTGACGTCGAGGCGGAATTTCTTCATCGGAGGCGGGTAGAGGTGGTTTGTGTTGAAGTGGAGGTGCGGCTTGCTCATGGAGGCTTTGGAGAGGATCGCGCCTTTGTCGTGGGGGGTTGAAGGGGGAGAGAGGTGCACGTGGGGAATGGCTTGGGTTGTGGATTGGTGGATGTAGAAGGGTGGGGAAAAGGTGCAGGCTCGGAGGTGCGAGGACAGTTCTTCGGTTTTGTCGTCGCCGATTAGGGCTTGCAGGTCGGCGGTGTTGCAGCTTGGGCAGATGGTGGTGTGCTTTTTGATGATGCAGCGTTTGGCGTGGGAATTGAGGTCTTTGTCGTGTGCCTCTGTGAGGTCTTTTGAGCAGAAGGGGCAGAATAGTGAGCCGTCTTCATTGTCGGGTGGTGTTAATGGCTGCATTGTTGCGGATTCGTGGGGAGTCTGGGTTTCTGGTGGTGTCGTGTGGTGAGGTGTTTGAGATGGAGGTTTGTCGGGCTCAGTGCAGTGAAGGTAGCCAGTTACCAGCTTCCTTAGATACAATAGTACACTCTTAATCATTTTGGTTTAAGTGAGTGAAGTCGGGGTCAAGGTAGTTGTGGACAATAGGCGTCGTGTGAGGAGCACAAGAGCAGGAATGGGATGAGGGCTATTATATAAGCCCACGCTTGTGAATATCCTCTGAATGAACAAACGTGCTGTGCTTGGCGCGGTTACAGGTGCATTACAGATGAGGGGAAATGTGAGAGAGCAAGGGTATATGAGGCTTAGCATAAGAGTCGTAACGAAGCCAACGGAAAACACTATAGTTTTGATCTTCGCCTGGGTCTAAAGACGAATCATGGTGTCGCCCTACTTGCCTTGTGTCGGAGCTATTGATCACCATGATCTTACGTCATGCGGTGATTTGGACACTTACGAACAGATCATTTTACCCAGAAGAACTGACGATGCCGTTTGCTGAAAACCAGGTGCCAGGCCTGACGAAGGCTTCGTGCACGTGTTGAACAGGTGGACGGATAGTCATTCAGGCTAGCAGTTTCCCAGAGGCCAAATCAATGGTTTGCTGGCCCACTGCTTTTGAAGGCTGACCGATTTCTATTCAGGATCGTGAGCGATGCAGATATCAAGTATGGATATGATGCTAGAGCAGTTGAGGTGGGTCGTCGAGATCCTGCACATCTAGGTCCTTCACTCGCATCTAATGCTGTCCAGACCACGAAGATAGCTTGTTTGCTACATTAAAGTTCCTACTAAATCACACCATAAGACATGTGCTTCATAGCTATATATATAGAGCTCTGTAATAGGCCTCCGTGGTTTTCCGAATTGCTAAAGTGAAGTAATTCTGAATATCTAAGCCATAGTTCACTTTCTAATCGAAAACAAAGATCGGTCAGAACAACAGCAGTTTAGATCGCCATATTGAAAAAGACACTTTGTCATTGAATGGCTTGAAGGGCCAGCTCTGGAGCAATTATGGCAACAATAGGAAGTATTATAACGCGTAATTTTTGTTGCTTTGAAAAGGAAGTCATGTCATTGGATAACCAGAATATTCTATCTGGATAGAACCGGGAACCCTCTGCAGAGTATATTAGAAGCTTCGAATGCCAGTACCTCAGGGTCTGATTGAACCCATACACAAATTTCTCAACTATATCCAGCTCCCATTGTGCGTGAACAACGCAGTCGGGCCCCCGCATGATCAATCTCTGGAGTGAATGCCTGGGCAGGCAGTGAAAAGCACCGCCACACACGTACCCTTTCCTACGCATTGTATAGAGACAAACCGACGTTCACTCTTCGACCATTGCTACAGCGACCATACCCTGTGCACGGACACTGCGACACCATAAATGCGCACACCGTGACCGAGCCCACTTCCTCGCTCTTCACATATGCACCAACAATACACAGTCGACCACCTCAACTTCAACATTCAAAACATTCGTTTCAATCTCATCCATTCCATCCACACTGCACTTGTTGCTATTCACACATTCAAACACCACCACATCTCCAAACAAACACCACCACAACAACACACCCAACATGTGCGATACTTCCCCCATACCCCGCCTCACCAGCTGGGCCGACGACGACGATGATTTTGACCTGGAGACATGGCGAGCAGGCTACAACGAGAAAGCCCCGACACCAGCTGCCGTCGAAGAGTCAGCCCCTTCTCAGCCTGCCCGCACTTTTGATTGGTCCGAAGACGACGAGGACGATTTCGACGTCGAGCAATGGCGGGCGAACTTTGAGAAGAAACAAAAGAACGAGTCGATGGAAACCGAGCAGTCCGAACCCTATTCACTAGGCGAACATGACGTTGCCGACGGACCTGCGGCCATGCCCGAGGACATATATCGTCCGACACAACCGACTGACGATTCCGCTCCCGCGGACACCGCTGAAACAGCGACTCGTCTTGCCCAAGAGGCTTTGAATGATCTCACCTGCTATGCCAATATGGCAGAAGAGGAAGAGGTTTGCGGCAGCTATACCAAGGGCTACCTATCAGCATCCGAATACAACGACAACGGCCTGTCTGAGTCGATCTCAGCCGCAATGTTTCGCGCCGTCGCAGGCACCGGGAACGGCTACCATCTCCGTCCCACAGGCACGTGCGAGCCAGAACCGGAACCAGAGCAGGACGACTCGCCCATGGCCCGATGGTGCCGACGAAACGGCGTAGCCGTGCCAAACCAGACCTCAGAGGTCGATCCTTTCGCAGGCATCAGTCCACTCGAAGACGAAACTGATGACCAGTCAGAAACTGATGACCAGTCAGAAACTGATGACCAGTCAGTCTGCAGTACGGAATCCAATTATTCCATCAACTCGCTCCCTGGAGATAGATCGCTATATCTTTCTCCGGAACCGTCAGATTGGCCATGGCCAGAGAGGTACTACAAGTTGACTGTTCCCTACATGAACACGGCCATGAGGGAGTACTCGTCAGGAAAGCCTTCGTATCCCGAGCTAAGTGTATCTGATAATCCTTGGGAGCGAAGGAGTTACACACAGACTTTCCGGCAAATCAAGTACTCTTACAATGTGCGTTGGGGACCGAAGGATACCTTCCTTTTCCAACGTTCCTTGCTCTCTAACATGGAGACTTGCGACAACACAGATGCTCCATCATCTGAGGATTCTCCGGCTACGGCATTGGCAGAAGAGACCATAGCAGACGCAGTCGCTCCCGAGCCCGCTGCCCTAAGTGGAATTTCTGATGAGGCCTCTGAGGACGTTGTCAACAACGAGGATATTGATGGCGGTTGCTCAGTCGCCGCGCTGACTCTCGAAGATGGAAATCAAGATGGCAATCCTGTGATCCACGCATTCGAATCAGACACCACTGTCGATACTGATGGTGTAGAAGAGACCTCAGGATACGATTCGGATGATTTCGTCGACGACGAGGACTTCTACGACGATCCAGCAATGGGTTCTTCACGATCTGACAGCGGGATGGACGAAATCGAGATCCGAACCCGGAACAGCGACGTCATCGCATCTTTTCCGGAGAGCAAACTCGCTGATGCTTTGGACCTGGCGATTTGCAAGCCGGTAGAAGTATCTTCAGAGCTTCCACCTGGTCTGTTCCTTATTTCATCTCTGCAGGAACAGGATATTGAAGAGTCTACTGCTATCTCAGATGCTTCGTCTTCGGGTTTCACCATGCAAGATGAGGAGACTTCATCAGAAGAAGGTGAAGTCGTGACCCCACCCACCGAGCAGAGCAGCGACGAGAACGATATGGCAGTCGTTCTTCATGATGCCGAAGATTATGCCAAATATCTTCTTACACCGGAGATCATGGAGCTCTTGAAAGAGATGAAGCAGAGGCCGGTCACTTCGCAAGTCGAGCACAGCTTTTCGGAATCGCCTGTCGTTGAAGAAATTGTCAACATGGACATTGCCGAATTCGAGCAGGAGAGCAATGAAGGCAGCATGGCTATGGTTCTCTATAGCCCATGGGACTTTGACAAGATGTTCCTCTCATCAGCTCTGATCAAGGTTTTGCAGAAGATGAAGCAGAGCGCAACCACCCCTCAGCTCAAGACAGAGGATTCACTTCTTCTCGAGGACACAAAAGGTGATATCAGCCCTATCACCATCGGACACGATCTTCACAGCGAGACAGGAAAATCGCTCGTCCTTTACCAACCACAGGACACCCAAAAGCTCCTCCACACACCCAATCTCACTACCCTCCTCGAAGAAATGAAGCAATCTTCCATCTCCCCTTACCAACCGCCTCCACCTTACTCTCTCGCCATAGCGACCGCGCCGCTCAGGATCTATCACCCCATGGCCATCATCCGGGAAGCAAAGAACAGCCCCGTCACAGCTGTTCCATCCCCCGAAACACAAAAGACCCGCATGAAAGAAAATGCAGAGTCTAACATCCCTTCGAGCACGAAAGAAGTCGCCGAAGATGAAGAGAAAGGCTGGTTACAAACTTTATTCTCTATGCCATCGGCGGAGACAGCGGCAACGGCTATCAAAGTCGGAATGGCGGTCGCTGGGCTGGCTATAGGCGCTGCTGCGATTTTTGGACGGCGACGGTAGTCGCTTGTTGCGTTACAAAATGGGGAGGATAGATGGGAGTTTTTGGGAGCGAAGATTGAGTTTGAGAGGGATTATGCGCGATGGTTTATGCATTAGCGAGGCGTTGTTGCATTGTATGGTTATTGCATTTTTGGATCATGGTTTTTTTGGGTGGTTTTCTTGTTCAAGAGCTGAACAAGGGATTGGCGTGCATTGTTTATAGAGTTTTGGTACCCTGGTGGGTCGCTGATGAGGTTATGTTTCTAGCGAATATCACGAATTACATGGTTCACAATTTGGTGTGTTCTTATGACGATGAAAAATTGATGTTACTCGTACAAAAAAAAAGAAGAAAAAAACCTCACATCACAATTCGATTCAATACATTCAGCAGAAACTCAGTACTTCGCGATGTGCTAAACGTGTATACACTGTCTAACTGTCATGATGATTCCCACACAGCGCTACCAAAACTCCAGATGTCACTACTTCTTCTCATCTCTAAAAACCTCCTTGTCAAACTCCGCACACAAATCTTCCCACGGCAACCACTCCCCGGCATCAGACATAGCCCCACCCTTCTCTTTGAACGGCGGCCACCAGGCCTGCTCCCTACCCTTTTCATCATCGACCACAGCAATCGGGCCATTCGGCGACGCATTCGCGGAATCGTAAAGAGATCGCAGATCTTTGAAATACCACATGCGGTCCCAAACGGTGACTCTCAGCTTCTTAAGGCCGTCGCGATGAGCGTTGTGGTGGATCAGACCCGGGACCACGCTTGTCCACACATTGGTGTACAACGGGACATCTGACCACGAAGTATTAAACGCGAGTTTTGTGGTAGGAGCCACGAATCTAAACGGCGGTCTCGACTCTGCGATATCTTCCGCGAGGGCGCCAACACGCGGAGGCTCAACCCCGAGGTCCTTTGAAACGTGCGCGACATGTTTCCCATCGCTGTGCGAGAGCCACTCTGCGTCCTCTTCCGCAAACACAGTCGGGTGGCCGATCAAACTCGCATAGTCGAGCCCGATGCCGAATTCTGCGGTCCGGCCGGGGAGGTGCTCGCGCGTGGGCTGCGTGTCGAGGAAGCTGGTGCGCCCGTTCGACCAGTCTGTGAGGCGCTGCCACGACGTGCGGTGCCGCGAGCGGATGACTTCGCGCTGGTACTCCTGCTCACCGAAGATCTGGCTCAGGATCTTCTGGTCGCTGCCGAAATTCGGGTCCCGCTGCGCGAGCTCGAGGGCGCGTTCGAAGAGCGCGCGCATAGCGCCCACACGGCCGATGGCGTCGCCGGAGTTGAGGTAGCGCTGGCGGAACTTGACGTAGGGGTTTTTCTCGAAGCCAATGTCGGTGTCTGTTTTGTCTCCGTATGCATCGGAGGGGAGGGAGGATTCAGGGACGGCGTAGCAAGGGGGGTCGTCTGGTTTCCAGGGCCAGCATCTTTTCTGGGCGGAGAAGAGGATGGTTTGTTCGATGTTTTCGGCGTTGACGGCGGCTGTGCCCATGGTTTTGCGAATGCGAGTGTTTGCTGCGGCGTTGATGGCATGGTAGCGCGCGATCAAGGCGCTGGGACGGAGCTGGAACCATATATCGTAGCCATCGACTATCAGGACCAGGTCGTTGTCTCGCTCGGGGTCGAGCTGTTTGAGGTAGGTGAGGACACCGCTGATTTTGGCCAGGTGAGAGCCGCCTGCTACCAGTTTCTTGTCGTCGAACTTCTTGCCCCAGTTGATGAGGGTTGGGGTGGAGAAGCCCGCTACGGCGGCGGTGATGAGGGTTTTGCAGAGGTTGGCATCTTTGTGGTCGGCGGGGACGAGGACGTGGAGATTGGCAGGGGCCACGGGGGTATGAGGCTTGAGGTTGGCAATCAGGCGTGCACTGCTAGGAGAGTCTGTTCTGTGCACAAAGACGAAGAAAAGGATGGTTGGGAGTAGTGCTAGCATGAGCCATCTCCGCCAACCTGGGCTGGAGCACCACGTGAAAGGGTTTCCCATGGTCGATGGCGAGTGCTACATGCACGCAAAGAATGACTAACGACAGAAGGCACACGGACGGACAGTTGTTTTGCGCAAAAAAATAAAATTTCAATGAAAATAAACAAAAAGGATGACGATTGAAATGACTTGTGGAGATTGCTTGAACCGGCAATAAACGACGCAGTTGGCAATTCAGTCTGTACGAACAGCTGGTGTCGCTGATTGGTCTGGCACGGAAATCCGATATTTGAATCAATATAGAGAGCTTACATTTGCTACCTAAGTAAGTAGTAGATTACTGCTTGCTAGACGTACGCAGTAGAGAATACTATTTCTAGCACCAGGTCGCCAGTGGCTGTCGTCCGAGCCGTTCTACCCGAGTCCCTGGAATACGAGCCGCCACGCTGTGGCACCTGTGGCACCCCTGTCGTAGCCCCGTTCGCTTACTTAACCCCGCGGGGGGGATTTGCCACTAAACAGACCATCTTGGTGATTCTTGCAGAGACCCACCCACGACAGCCGTTCGCCTCCGTCTCCCCTGGCGCCGCCGCTGCTGCTTGCCTCCTGGTCTTGGTCTGAGCTGCCCGGAATCCCATGCTTGACAAAGCGAATCCCATGCACCGACCCAATCTCAGGCTCTTCGTCAGCAAACATGGATGAGCCGACCAGCAGCTTCTTCGCCTGCGGGAAGAACCACATGCGAGGCCACCAGAGATCGCGGAAGCTCTTGTCGCCCGTGAAATGGATCAGGGGGAACACGGAGCCTGTGACGGTGTTGACTCCCAACGGCACGTCGCGCCATGTCGTGTCTTCGTCCCCGATGGCAGCGAATGGCTTGGGCGACTGCTCGATATCCTTGGGGAGGTCCAGTTTCCAAGGCTCGGTTGCCTTGGACTCGGGTCCGATCGTCGATTGATTGAAGGTAATCCACGAAAGGTACTGCCGGTACCCTGCGCTTGTCTGGAAGAGATTGGACCCATAGTCGAGCGCCACATGGTAATCCGGTTGCTCTCCCTTCAGATCTGGATGCTGCCTTTCCACGCCGGGACGTTCCTGGGGCATGGGATCAATCGCCTTCCCGTCGCGGTGCAGAAGACGGGCGTATTCTTGTTCGGCCCAGAGGTCGGAGAAATACATCTGGTCCGAGTTGCGCAGCTCGTTGTTCTCGTCGTACGTCTGCTCGATTCGCGTCTTGGTCGCTTGGAACAGTGCTCGCATGTCGGCCGCGGGACCCATAATTGTGCCCGAGTTGAGCCACCGGGGCCGTGACCGCTCCATGTCACTATCTGTCGACGGCCCAAAAGCAAATTGCGAAAGGGGTGATTCGGGAACTGCCCAACATGCAGGCCGGCTGAAATCCACAGGAAAACAGGTTTTGTCTGGCCCGAACAGTATGCTGTTGTATCCCAACCGCTTCTTGAACTTGGAAGCAAGTCGCGCGTTGGAAGTATCGATTTCGGCAAAGTATCGCTGGAGTAGCACTTCTGGGCCAAGCTGGAACACGATGTCGTAGCCGTCCAGCATCAGAACCATATCATTGTCTTGGTCTTTTGGAAGTGCGTCCAAATATCGTAAAGTGCCATGGATTTTGGCAAGATGTGATCCCGCGGCATTGAATTCCCCCTCCCCCTTCCAGTCGATTAAGGTGGGTGGTGGGTACTGGAGTATCGATGCTGAGAGGAGGAGCCGGCAGAGGTTGAGATCACTGCCGGTAGCAACAATGAGAAGATGGAAATTAGATGTCTTTTCATTGGAAACAGAATTGCGGCGGAAAGAAAGAAGGAGAAAACATATCGCTATCAGACTGACAGCCGTGATCGCATGCAGCACTCGAGGTCTTCTCATGATTAAGGTAGAGTACTATCTGAAGCAGAGTCCCCGACATCCCTTTTCAACCACACTTTCAATCAAGGTCCTACCAGTTGGCTCAAAGCACAGCCCACATTATTATCCTATCCCATTCTTCATGCACAACCAGGTTCGACCGGGATCCTGATCCCTACCCGCCCAGCCCAGCCCAGCCACCTTAGCCGCCACGCACTACTTTTCTCTTGTTCTGCAGCTCCACTACGCTATAGCCCGCCGCGCCTACCAAGGCCATGGCGATGCCTGCTCCGTTCGTCACACTCATGCGTAAATCCCTATTCTCGTTGTCAGTCGAGCAACAACAAAAAAAAAGACATCAGTCGAAGATGGTCGAGCTCACCACAGAATTGCACCGAGTACAATCGTCAGACACTGCTTCAGATTTGCGCACACCGTCATGGAGAGTGCACCCGCCAGCTTGTTCGCTTGGAATGACGTCACGTTCAAAGCAAACGCCAGAATACCATTGCCAGCTAGAGCCAGAACCGCACGCTTATCGAAGGCGCCGGTGTTCACAAAATCCATGAAGTCTGAGAACTCGCCGATGAGAGCCGAGTAGAGTAAAGACTGTATGGCTGCCAACGGACACATTCTCAAGAGCACTTCCAGAGGCCCCAACTGCAAGCGGCCCGTCAAGAGTCGGTTCGTGGCTACTGTTTTGATGGCGGCGAGCAAGACTCCAAGGAACGTGAGGACGAAACCAATGAGTGTGAAGTAGTAGTCGCCGTAGGTGGCCAATCCAACTCCCCCGATTATGGGTACTAGGGATAGATACGTCGCGACCGCGTATTTGCGGCCAAAAAGCACGCTGTAAATGGCTATCGTGAAGACGGGACAAGTTGCGCGCATGATCTGGTGGAAGGGAACTGATACCATGGCACTGTTTTGAAGCGATTAGCAAGATGGCGTGGCGTCCGTGAAGAAAAACCGCGGCGGAAGACAGCACTTACAGCGACACATTGGACATCGCAATGTTCAAGGTGAACAACAGTGAAAAGATAAAAAGCGTCAAATTATCATGTGCCGTCAGTCTCGTCAACTGGAATTGACCGAAAAGTAGCAATATGCTGCATCCTGCGAAGGCGGAGAAAGTGTGGACTGCCGTCAATATCCACGGGAATTGAAACTAGAGATTTCAATTTTCTCAGTATTCATCATTGCGAAGAAACGTACGAACACTATACTGACCGATCCAAGCACAGCTTTGTTGTAGAAAGTCAAGCAAATGTTCATCAGGAAGTAGCAAGCCAGAAAGATGGCAGTTGTCCACGTTCCCACCGCCGGCGTCGCTGGAACCTGGCTCTCTACATCTGCCTGCTTCTCACTTTCTCTCGTTTCCTTGGTGGCCATGTCTCCAAGTATCGGGTCGTCTTTTTGGTTCTGCATATTCTCGGTGTGGATAGGAATTGAGATCGCAAGCAAGAGAAACGTGAACAACAAGCACAACACGTCCTACCTCAACACCCACCAGCCACACAACAAATAACAACCCAATAGCCTCGTCCGCCTACACATGCACCATCCCAACCGAAGCAACACTAAAATTAACAGCGCACGTACCCAAAGCAATCCGGCAGCCAACCATCTACAGCTCGGCGTTCACCGTTGTGGCGACGGCGCCAGCAAGACCCCTGCAAGTGGCGGCTCACCACCCTATTGCTCCTGCTCATGCCAATCTGCCAAAGCAGACATCAGCATCCCCATGGAGAGATACCCATGTCCCGACTTATCCGGATCCACTTGCCTGATCTCCACATACAAGATAGAGAAATGCCATGTATCCACATTCGTATAACTTACCTTGCTTGTTGCTTTTCGCGGCCTGCGCTATCCTGTTACCTGATCGTGAACGGCGCATAGACCTATTGTTTTTTTCTCCACATTTATGACTTGATTGGGAGAAAGGGGCAGTACAGAGTATTAGGGCGCATACATTGTTTATGCGAATTTTTTTATGGGGAAGATTAGATGCGGAAGTGGCTTGGATGTGTTTGTTGAAGCATTATGCAGCCTTTACACACTTTACTCCCAATCACTGAGGCATCACTGGAAAAACGATGTGTTGCCTCAGATTGAACGGAACAAGATTCAGTATGAAGAAGCAAAGTTCGAGTGAAATGTATAAAATAAGAATGCGAGATGCTTGGCTGCAGCGTACCATGTATTGCCAAAGATAACTCTTAAGTGAGACACATATGTCATGTATTTTACATATCCAGACACTTCACGGATATACGGCTTGATGACACACTTCCGTCCTTAGCTTCTTGTCACGATATCACTAGTACATCTCCATTTTATCGCAAGACTGCGCCTTGGACTTCCCAGCGCTTGGAAAATTAGTAGTCACCATCCGCAATTGTACTGTCACTCCGGACCAACACTCAAGAGTCGCCCCCGAGATACTCAGCCTTTCAAACTTACGACTTCATTGTAACTTGCATTGCACTATTCGCCTCTCTAATTCGAGTTTCACGACTTCACAGAGGATTAGATTTGGGATATAAACTCCTCCGGGGAGGCACAGAATCGAGAATGCACACTCAAGCAGGACAAGGCATTCCAGTGCCCGTCACGATCACAAACAGCACCAACTTCGACCCCCAAAAAACAAGAACTCCGCAAAGAATGAAGAAAGTCTGCTGCATAGGAGCCGGCTACGTCGGCGGGCCCACCAGCGCAGTCATGGCGACCAAAAACCCTGACGTCTCAGTGACAGTGGTCGATTACAACAAAGACCGCATCGAAGCATGGAAAACCAACGAGCTACCCATCTACGAGCCCGACCTCCTGGACGTGGTGCAACATGCGCGAGATCCCGTGGCCAAACGCATCCCCAACCTCTTCTTCTCCACGGACGTCGAAGGGGCCATCGCCGAGGCAGACATCATCCTCCTCAGCGTCAACACGCCCACCAAATCCATGGGCCACGGCGCCGGTCAAGCCTCTGAGCTTTGCCATCTCGAATCCGCCGTCCGCCGCATCGGCGAAGTAGCCACCTCAGACAAGATCATTGTGGAAAAAAGCACCGTCCCCTGCAAAGCCGCCGAAACCGTCCGCGACATCCTCAACGCAACCGCAAAGCCAGGCCTCAACTTCGAAATCCTAAGCAACCCGGAATTTCTCGCCGAAGGCACCGCAGTCCGCAACCTCCTCCACCCAGACCGCATCCTCATCGGCTCCCTCAACACCCCGCGCGGCCTCGCCGCCGCCCGGTCTCTCGCAGACTTGTACGCCTCGTGGGTCGACCGCTCCCGCATCATCACAATCAACCTGTACAGCTCGGAGCTCGCCAAGCTGGCCGCAAACGCGCTCCTCGCGCAGCGCATCAGTAGCGTCAACGCGCTCAGCGCAATGTGCGAGTCGCTCGGGGCCGACATCGACGAGGTCTCGCACTGCGTCGGGCTCGACCAGCGCATCGGCCCCAAGATGCTAAAGGCCTCGGTCGGCTTCGGCGGGTCCTGTTTCCGCAAGGACATCCTGTCGCTCGCGTACATTGCCGAATCGCTGCATCTCCCGCAGGTCGCAGACTACTGGCGCAGCATCGTCGGCATCAACGAGTACCAGAAAGAGCGCTTCACGCGCCGCATCGTAAAGTGCCTCTATAGCTCGCTTTCCAGCAAGCGCTTGGCCGTGCTGGGGTTCGCGTATAAGAAAGACACGGGGGATACGCGGGAAACGAGCGCCATCACTGTGGTTAACAACTTGATCAATGAAGGCGCGAATGTGCGTGTCTACGATCCCCTCGTTGAAGAAGACCGTGTTTGGGAAGAGGTCCTGGCGAGTAGCGATCGTCGCGAGACGGTCAAACAGCGTCTTTCGGTCTGGCCGTCGGCGTACGAGGCGTGCGCTGATGCCGACGCCGTCATCATCTTGACCGAATGGGACGAGTTCAGCAATAAGATTAGTGGACCTGGAGATGCTCGTGGGCGTGGCGGCGATAGGACGAAGCGGGTGTTGGATTGGAGTCGGGTTGCGGGCTTGATGCAGAAGCCCATGTATGTGTTTGATGGGAGGAACGTGTTGGACGCGGCTCCGCTGGAGAAGATGGGGTTTAGGGTTGAGAGTATTGGAAAAGGGGTTGTGTGAGGATCTGGAAAATAGGTGATGGGGCTGCAAAGTGGAGGACTTATTTTGGGTCGAAGGGATTAACGTACATGATTTGTTTTTGAGACTCGTTATCGAATAATACCACCAGATAGGAGTAATGAAAGGGGAATCACAATATAGCAACAGATGCAGTTTCCAAGGTCACATGTTCACTGTTATATGGTTGGCGATTCGGAGGTCAAATCAATTCGATTTGATCCTGTTTTGTCCGTTTATGTGCAAAATTTCTAGTCGGAGGTACGCCAAATACGACACATACTACACAATTGGATTGCAATACTCATAAAATGTATTTTATAGTGGAAGTTTGGGTGCCCCTACACACAGCGATAGGTTTATAACATGAAAAGTACCAAAAAAGGCGATCACCAAAAAAAGATCCATACCATACCCATAATAGTAATGATGGAAGACAACGATTGATATTACCCTGCTAATTATAGATGAAATTTCTACTCGTCCAAACTACACTGTATTCTATGCTTCAACTGATCCCGGAATGTTGCTGCGGATAGTCACAATTGAGTTTAGCGCAAACAGGTGTGGCTTTGCGCATCATTTGATCTATGAGTGTCCTTGATACAAATTCGATTGCAGACCGTCCTACCTCATCCGGATTCCCCGCAAAAATATCGGAGCTTTCTTTACAAGCCATCCTTTTTTCACGATCCACACAGGTCCAGTTCATGCTAATATGCTCCTGCGACCTATCCCAAAGACCCATGAACTACAAAAAGATTTTCTTTTTTTGCATCGCTCATCGATACTGCAAGATAGTCTCAATGTCAGTGACACATTACATGATTGGAGAGTCTAAGCCCTGTTCCCACTTACCTTCTTCCACCCCATCTCCTCCGCCCTCTCTTTAAACGCCTGCCGCGAGATATTCAACCCGTATTTACGAATCAGTCCGTTTCCTTTCTCCCCCGTCACACGACTACGCCAGCACCATTAGCCAATTGTTCAAATTCCCTGGATAGTAAAACGATTCGAAATACCATCTGCGTTGGCCTTTTCCGTAGTCGACTGTGCCTTTGCGAGCGTACCAGACGTTTTCGTGTGCCATCGTGAGTTGATTGAGTTGGATTTAGGAGAGTAGAATGATCGGGGCGACAGTGCGCAGAAGGATGGGGGTATTTATTGGGATGGGGGAAGGAGTTGGTTAGAGTTGGACATCAGGGTGTGCGGAGGTGCCATCAAGGTGCTTATCCAGCGCTCGACGTGTTTAAGCTTGGTGATAAACGATGGTTTGACTGTTCCTCTTCCCGGATAGCTATTATAGATGAGTGGTGCGCTATACTATTATACTTTTACATACACATGAACTGCCTGCTGTTAGACCCGCACGGTGAAATAATTCTTCTCGTCGGAGTCAGGATGGATATGCACAGCAACGAGATTCAGAAAACGCGCAGGATATAAACAAGAGACTCGCAAAGTAGGGACGAGCTCTGAAGGTACTATCTATTACCTCCGATCTCTTCATCGCTGCATGCAGTACTTTCAATAGAATGTAGATCGTAAGTGCAAACGCAAACAGATATTTGAATGCACATGTGTACACTTGCGGATTGAAGCATCTTAGAGATTGGATGCGAAGAACCCACTCCGTGCATGATATGAGCATAAAATACTAGTATATTACTGCTTGCAGACTTCCGGATACCTCCAATGATTGAAAGCATGCTCAATTGAAATGTTCAGATGTTGGTTGAGTGTGAATATCACGTGATCTCACGTGATATTTGCTCCATATATTTCAGATTCAAGAAACCAAGCTGGATTGAACCCCACGAGGACCTAGATACCTAAATATTAGCTCCCGCGATCGCCATACGTTCGATCGTAGCAAGGAAAGACCTGGGGAAGGGGGCGGTGGCTATAGCACCAGGCCACTGAAAATGTCGCCTTGTTCCAATCAATTACATGATCCCAATCTTAGGGAAAACTTTAGATATTGCGTTACAACGCTTTTGTAGTCTCACATACTGATCAGATTAGCATGAGGATGGGAATGGGTAGTGCAGGTACCATTTGTCGATGTAAGAGCATCGCGATCCATCAATCCGGCACAGCACATGTGTGATGCAGCTACCACTATTAAGCAGATGCAACAAGAAGCTAAGATACCTACCTAATTAGGTAGATAGGTAGCGGAGATTGAAAGAACATCGTGATAGGAATATGGATATGATTCAGTAATCCATCAGACGCTACGTTTAGTCGTCGCTTTACTTCAGAGATAAATACATGCAAGTTTATAATACATTCAGTGTATACACACTGCCCAACATGAGGCCATTATTCGTGCAGGAATCTGCTACGTTCCGCAACCCATAAACCAATAACAATTACACCGATAAATAACACCATCCAGATAAACCATTTCCACCAACTAACTCGATCGGCAAGTGAACGGGCTATGCGCTGTTCCAGTGCTCGTGAGATGGATGATGTCGGCAATAGTAGCGTAACTTCCAGCTCCCAGCGTGATTATACCAATCACAAAGGCCAGAATACATCCTGCACTCATGGCTAAATTCTTTTTGGAGTACCAGCTGCCCTCTTTCAGGAGCATGAACCACATGACAGCGGGGATCCAGAATGAGAAGCCAGAGACGAAGAGCGCGGACGCGAGGGATAGGAGATCGGAGAAGATGGGAATTGCTTCAGCGATAATCCATGCAATGACGGTGAAAATGACCACAAGTACGATCCAAGAGGTCCATCCTGCAATAGTGTTGATGTAGCGGAGGACTGAGTTTTTAAACATACGGCCGTGGATGTAGCGGAGTGCCACTGTGGTGTTGATGGAGCCGGAAATGAAAATGACCGGGAGGGCAACGCCGAAGGCGATTTTGGAAATGGTTGGGCTGGCGGAAAGAAGAGCTGGAGAATCTACGTTTTGGCCAATGAATGCATAGCTAAAAGTGAACAGTCAGTACAACAGTCACGTATGATGAGTGGATAGATTCGAAAATTACATACCAGAGAGCACCAGTCAGAGTGTAGATGGTGATTTGGATCGCGCCGGATGCCCAAATACTCTTCATGTATTCCTCGGGAGTGTGCATTTCGTCCATGAAGGAAAATTGACCAATCGCGAAACTGAATGCGAAAATGATGTTGCTGACGGCAACAAATGCTTCTGAAAATTTCAAGTCTTCCTTGGGCCATGCTGACCAATCGACAGCAGCCATTCCTCCAGGAGCGTCCGTTGCTTGGACACCGGTTGCGATAATAGTAATGCCAATAGCAAGAACAATGGATGCAAAGTCGACGTATCCCAGAATTGCGACTTCCGAGAAGGAAGGTGGAATGGCGAGGATCAGGAGAATAATAGCCGAGACCGCAGAAAAGACGATGGAACAAACATGGCCGCCGTTGAGGTCGATTAATGCAATGCTTCCGGTCAGGGCGTGCGAACCGACCACCATGAGCAGCTCCAGAACAAGGGCGGCACCAAAAATCTCGTACCCGATGCGACCAAAGAGGAGGCGGCCAGCATCTGCGTAAGATGCAACCTCCCTATGTCTTAATTTGACCTGGCCGACAAGATAGCTGGTAAAGATCGCAACACAGCCGAGAGTGATTGTGAGGAAGACGCCCGGGAACATGCCTATCGTTGCGTAGGCTTTGGGCAAGCTAAGCGCACCAAGAGCGATAGCTTCAACGATGGTGACGACCGCGAGGCGTTTCCATCCCAAGCGGTGGAAGTGGTTATCTCCGTTCGCAGCGAGCTGCTTAATCTTTTGCGAATCCGTTACTTCTCCAAAGATGTTGTTGTCGTTGTCACTCATCTCATATGAGTCCGCATCGTTGTTTTGTGGGTCCTTCTTGGACTGTTGGGCACTCATGTTGGTGATGTTGTCGGCCATGGTGAAAGAGAGTGGGTGTCAAAGGGAGAGACTGTGTATTAAGGAGTTCCGGGGTGTCGCGAGCCAGTAGCCTTCCAAGATGCACACCGGTCAGGTGAAAGACGAGATTGTATGAGAAGATAATGGTGCTCTCTCCACTCGATCTCTGGGTTACCCACCCATGGTACATATATGACTGCAGATGTCTCCGCAATCTGGCCGGTACCCCGGAGTAGTAATCGCAATGACAAAATCCATCATGCTATCTATCACACGTGGAGAACGATCGTCCAGACCGAGATCCGCTTGGGTCTGAGCAACTTTGCAGTCGGCCTCACTTTGCGCACACGATGTATCGACTGATGCCAGAGGAAAGCTTTGAGTAATTCAAGCATGAAAATCCTGGTAACGTCTGCGGCAGCCTTTCCTCAAGAGGCTATGCGCTAACCGGAGAGACTTAGCTCCGGGCAGTCAACGGCTGCGCTATACTACTAAGATTTTTTTCTATCAGACTTTTTCTTCCCATGTGGATTTTATGTGTCTACGAATCCTTTATTTAGTTATAGTCTTACTCGGGTGCTCCTTTATGCGGATACACGCGGCAGACTGAAGCGGTAAAAAACATCACATTACGTTTTGTGGCATGCCTGGTTGTCCAATATTGTCGGCAGAAGCTTGACGAACAACAGAATTGGCTGGATATGATGGGGCATAGGAATAGATACCCCCAGTCTTGTTGGAGTCTGAACTCCTTTTAATTCAGGTACATATAGGGCTGAGCATAGCCCTGACCGCGATTCGCCGCTAAGTGGCCCCGAGATGCACTAAGGTACTTTAGTACTACATCAAGCAAACTATGTTGTAAAAGTTTCTTCGTCTCCCTATGAACAGGAATTGTTCTGAGCTATTATGTTGCAGCGGTACACGATCTTGTTTGCTGGCAGCACGGTGCACTGGATTACCAAGATACCTGTCTAGTATGCGCGCAATCTATCGGTCACTTGGCGACGGTCGGCCGAGGGCCGTCATAGCCGCAGTGCGGTACATGTTGGAGTAGTATCTATGAAATGGAATTGATTGGTTCCAGACACCTGTAATTCGCGGGGTTCCTCTCGTGAACGTTGACGGGGTGAGAGGGCTCCGACGAGAAACAGTTCCTTTCCGAATGCCAAGTAATCGAGCAGAGCTAAGTAGATACATTATGCTATTGCGTTGAAAGTGATCCGAGATACTATCGTGTACAAATCCAATTAACGGTTATAGCCGAGTTTGCGCCTTTATTTTCCAAGCGTACTGAATGAAGAAGGCCAAGCAATTGTTCAAGCGCAGCCAAGTGAAATTGGCCAGCAAATTTGCGCCAGCCACCCAATGAAGCTTCATTGGCAATTTTTTCCTAGAATTCATCACCAAACAGAGCGTCAGTGTCTCTGCTGGTCAAAGACTTGGTCATCACACTGATTGTTCGCCTGTGATCTCACCAAATACTAGCTAACTATCTCAGCCTATCAGCGGATCGTCCGCTATCTTTTCCATTGTCCCAAAACCGAGGAACTCATGCCATGCTATATAATCTGGCCAAATGTAACGCTCCTCGAAGCGTTTGATGCGCATGACAGATAATAGTAGTCTACCAAAGACCAAGTTCTTCTGTGGCTCCCATAAGAGTCAGGGGTCTGATGGTACACTTTTACAGAAGAAGCTACAATAAGCAAAGCAAAGGGAGTACATGCATTGTCACACGTAGAAGCTGCGGCACACGCCTTCATTCTTTTCTTGGATCAGAACCCCGCATTCGATACGTGGTCGTGATCTTATCGCTGTACCCGACTTACTCTACAATCTCGTACCAGCTCCACTTTTGGTTCATGTGAACGAAGATATCAACAACTCTGCTTTTGCAGCCCAGATATCTCTATCCTCGCTTTGGACTCAACTGATCGCTGTTCTCAGCAGGTACTTGATAGACGTGCGAGCATTCCGATTAATGGATCTAGCCCGAGATCAAGTACGACAACACTGTAATTTGCCCATGAACCCCAACTTATGCTAGTCCTTGAGACGTAAGAAAAGTAGTTCTCGCACTAAATTCTGCCTAGTGCATGTCGTGCGAATAATTCACAGCCATCTAATGTTGGAAGCGAAAATTAGAGCACGTGACCATTCCGTGAGCGTGAGCGCGCGCTCACACGAGTCCCGAAAAGTTTCTAGAGGCCGTGATCGACGTTTTCTCGGTTACTTCCAAAACAAAATCCTGCAATGATACTTTCGAATGTTTTGGTCACGATTACCTCAATCGCATAGGCTATTTTGTTTTGAAAATGCACCTATGACCCGCCCTCAAACCCAGTGATCGATTAAAGAAAATGAGGCCCTGGACATCTAGGTAGTCATTTTATCTTGTTCTGGCTTTTTCGAAAATATGAAAATCCAATCAAGCAGTCGATGCTCTGCATACACCAATTTCTTGCCATGTGAGTCGAATCGTGGCTAGAGCAGGCAAGAAGAGGTTGAAAAAAGTACTTCGCAAGGTGATCTTCCTCCAAGAAGACAATCTCCACATGTTCAACAAATTGTTTGTGTAGTTCTGCCTATGTTAGATATTCTGTAATACCACGTTTTCGATCATATATGATTCAAGCGTGTCGTTGCTCAGGAAAAGTTAATCGGAATTCTGGCTGTGGGTAGCTAAGCGCCAGGGAATGATGCAACCAGTCAAAAGCTTCTCTTTTCAATTATCCAGCCATCACATTTCTGTGTGGCACAGTTACTGGGTGCAAAGATTCAATAGTTGCCTTTACGCTTTTGGCGTACACATATTCTGTAGTATTATCGACTTTTGCTTTGAACACCACCAACAATCGACAATCGTACTAAATCAATCAGGTGGAGTCATAGTAAACCTAGTAAGTTATTATTCAACTAGTTGATAGTGGATTTGGCCCTGACGAGGACCTTAACAACATAATTCAACCACCTAAGTCGACTCATCGAAAGCGTCTCGCTACATTCCACTCAATATCACATCTTGCATAGATAGGTGCTCGTTTCAACTCGCCCGTTGATAGATATAGAATTCGTACGTACTATCAGCAATGAATGTCATATCTCATCCATAAGAGAGCGAAGTGAGGATAACTATCAAAAGAAATTTGTACAGAGAGAGAAAAAGAGGAAGGGAACTTTTTTGAAGAAGATTCTATAGTCTAAATATGTATGTACAGTGCAGGCAAGCCAGCAAATGAATGAAAACTCCAAACCATGCTTAGTGAACGACCCAACCCCCGAGGCGAACAACCCACTCAATCAAACTTGGTAGCACCCTTGCAGAAATCTCCAACGCAGTGGCAAGAATTCTGCGCAGCGAAAGCCTGTTTGGCGAACTTCATACAGCTCTTGTGAGCTGTCAACCCGCCAGGGCCCTTGGCATAGTTGCCGTCGGCGATAGCATCGCCGTTTTCGTCGACCCAGCACTGTCGCCAACTCATTCCATGGCACTTGTCTGATGAATCGTTAGCTAGGTAGAATAGAGTGACGTGAGAGGAGATCTTACAGTAGTCGCAGGCCTTTTTGGCGTCGACGCCCTTGGTTCTGAACTTGACGCGGTAACGCTGGAGACCGCCTTTGCTCCAGTTTGAATCTCTCCAGGCGTCGATTTCGCAGCGGTCGTCGCGGGCTTCTTTGGGGGTATTAGATAGACTCTGACCAGATGAATTGATGAAGCTTACCAATGGCAACATCGTTGGCTACAGCAGTGTTGGCGGGTGCTGCGAAAGCGAGAAGGGGGCTGGCGAGGATGATGAGGGCGGAGAGCTTCATGTTTGCTGTGAAGAAAGATAAAAAAGGTTGTAATTGATTGGTATCTGAGAATTTTTTAAGGAATCAATGGTGAACGAGTGAATGGAGTTGGATAGACCTGCTGATGATTCTACCTAGAGTGCAAATGCTCGAAACTAATATACAATTCGGCCACCATGTGCCAAATTACTAGATACAGAAGAGTGGAGAACTCGCATCTCTGTTTTTGTTTCAGAAAGTGAATGCGATGTCATTCAGATCAAGTTAGCGGTTGCCGGTTGCCGGTTAGGGTACTGTACAGCCTCGTCTGCCTTACGGGCCACTGGTCAAGACCTTGTAGATGTAGAGCTAGTAGCTGGTGATTGACAACACACTGCCGATGCTTTTGTGCCATGATGAACCTCTAATCAAAAAGTCCCAAATTTCTCACCCCATGAAAAAAGTATCGCATTGCCTGTTTTCTTACTTGAAGCAAACATTGACCACGTACTTCCTTTGAGGACCTGATTGTGTGTATCCATGAGCAGCTTGGTGATGCGTTCTATTCGTACTTATCCGGGTACTATTGATCATGGCTGTAGATCATTGTGCCATATAGGGGTCTCGGGCTATGTTTGTTTCCATGAAACTTGGGGGCCTACTTTTAGACCGACCCACATTAAGCACAATTCCCGTCGACTCCCCCAGCAGTGACATACCTCATTTGGGCCTTACCGACAGCTAACAGGCTCTTATAGGTAGCTATAGCACACACCGCCTCCATTTGCTCTCCCTGAACTAGCAGCATCTGCGCGAAATACTCCGGTTTCACATGCCAGCGCATGTTGAATCGGATCATTTGTACAGCCACTCGACCGGGGATCACTTTGCACTGGAGAGGCTCAGAAGTATCGGCCGATATAGTCGGAAGGACCGATCAGTTTGGCGATCTTGCGCACGTCTGTGCGCCATTCTGAACATGAAGCGAAGAACCTATCGAACATTGCAGAAATTATCTCCTCCTCCTCTTACAGAGGCGACTCGGTGGCGTGAAAGTATCGCGATCAAATAAATCCGGTACGAAAAAAGTACAATGACACTGTGATTGGTTCATGAACCCAATCACTGAAACCTCAAAGTAGCGATTTCCGCCTTCTTTTTGTCATGATGAGGAAGGCAAGGCCCTGCCGTCATCTTCAATGACTGAGCTTGCGAATGTATGCAACAGCCAACGAAAGATGAGTCCCGGAAATCGTATCCACAATTCAGATATGTAAACTTGATGATTGAATACATACTCCGCGTGTTATAAGTTGACGTGGGCATGTTTACGGTTCCATAGGACTATGTAGATAAGGGGACATTGACGGAGACGAGATGGTAAGGTAAGGTGTAGGATTACGATGCAGATGCCTGTTTCTATATACTCGAGCTGAATATCATCTATATACGTAAGATGCAATGCTAACATATAAACAACCACTATCTACCAACCCATCACCTCTTCGTTCCCTATCTCATATTCCACGTCAAACTCAGACCCCTTTCCGGTGCATGACCGTAGCAGCAGCCTGATGATTCGGGAAAATCAACGTATCGGCAATAACCACATTCTCCCTCCTCCCCACCGCAAACACCACCACCTCAGCAATATCCTCGGGTGTCAACGGCTCAACTCCCTCATAAACCTTCTTCGCCTTCTCTTTATCCCCATAGAACCTCACCACGCTGAACTCGGTTTCGACTTGTCCGGGGTCGATCTCGATGACGCGGATACGGGAGGAAATGAGCTCGCGACGAAGGGCGTCGGTGAAGGAGCGAACGGCGGCTTTCGTAGCGCAGTAGATGGAGCCGCCGGGGTAGGGTTCGCGGCCGGCGATGGAGCCGATGTTTACGATTGTTCCCGAGCCGTTGTCGGGGCGGGATTGGAAGATGGGGAGGATGGCTTGGGTGAGGTTTATGAGACCTGTTACGTTTGTGGAGAACATGGTTTGCATGTCGGCGGGGGAGATGTTGGGGGCTTGGGCTACGCCTTTTACGAGACCACTGTATTTTGAGTCTTAGTATCTATGGGGGGCTGAGATGTAGAGGGGAGGACGAACGCGTTGTTGACCAAGACGTCAATATCCTTGAAGTCTGAGGGAAGGTTCCCGACCAATGCTTCTATTTCTTCTGGCACGCTGACGTCTAGCTTGACTATGTGTACTTTAACGCCCTTTGCAGAGCCTTCGATCTCAGAAGCAACCTCTTTCAAGCTGTCGACCCTCCGCGCTGTCAAAATCAGCTTTAGATCATCAGGCTGAGTGCGGGCGAATTCCAGCGCGGTGGACTTCCCAATGCCAGCGCTCGCGCCGGTAATGAGGATCGTTTTGCCCTTGAGGCGCTGGGCCATGGCAAAGGACATGTTTGCGTATTGTTGGTGGGGGAACGGGGAAATGGTCGATAGGAAGATGTGCGGGGGTGGGGTAGTTGTCGCGATGGGTAAGCGTGCGAGGGCTCGAGAAGTGCGTAAGAGTCGAGTTGTAGTGCGAAGGAGGTAGAGAGACATGTACACAGAGATAACAAAGGTTCGAATTGATACCGGTGAGGATCAATGTCTATCGGAGCGTGAGTAATCAAGGGACTGCAGATTGCGACATGGCAACCTCGGCGGGGTGGTGAGACACGAGTCATAGAGCTTGGGAGACGACAGGGATGGTGGTGAGCTGCGGTTGATCATCTAGTGGGGCAGAGGCGCAAAAATACCGTTGATGTCGTCACTGCATTCACTACTCCACCTTGGACGAAAGATCCTGATCGTGATTTAGAAAATTCGTCTCATTGTATTGGAACCGAAGTTATCTAATTCCCTCGTATTTTTCCGTCATACTCAATGCTCATATCATATCATGCAATCGTATCCATTGTACTCATACATCCAAGCACCGATAAGTCGGTTGGGTATCTGGTGAGAATTTTGTTTCCCCATGGAAAGAAGAAATGTATCGTCAACAGGGCAGATTTATTTCTTGCCCTTCTTCTTGAGCTCCTCCTCCTCCTCTTCCCTCAGCTCCTGGTCGATCTTGGCTCCCTTGGAAGGCTTGTTGCCGTGCGCCAGCGCAGGCAGCGTAGAGTCCTTCTGCGACATCTCCGTCTCGGGGTCTTTGCGTTCCTTCTCATGCTCGCGCTGGGACTCACGTTCGAGCTTGTTGGCAATGGAGCGCTCGTCCTCTGTTTTCTAGTCAGACACGTGATCATAGTTGAGGATTGGAAGTGGGGGAAAGTGCGAGTGATGATATCAATGCACACAGGAAGCAACTTACTGGAATCTTGAGCCTTGTGAGAGTTCTCCTTGCCCTCGTGGAAGCGGTCAGGGATGCTGGGGTCCTCGCCGGCTTTGTAGTTGCGCTGATCGCCAGCCTCGTAGACGGCAGAGGTTCCGACGCTGGAGTTTCCGGACATGATTGTATAGAGATGAGAGTGGTGGAGAAGAGGGGAAGTAGTAAAGGTTGTGAAGTGAAAAATCGATTCGAACGTGTCAATTGTGATGTGGAAAGAGGCTTCGCGCGGCACGCAGCTCTTATGTATGGAGATGGTGGTTATCGATAATGCTACTGTGGTGCGTGCGCATGTGTGGGTAGGGTTCTCATTGATGACGTCGCTATGAACGCACTGTGGATCGCAATTCTCGCAGTCTTCCGACCCAATTCCAACAAACCTTCCACCCGTGCCTTATTATGACAGCCTGCATACATGACTCACAGGTTGGGTACTGTCGCAGAAACGAAAGGCTTGATCCAACATGTAGGACGAACATGACCATACCTCCCTGTCAACTCACAACCATTCTTCAATTTTCTGCGCGCTCGAGCGTTTCTGCACCTAGGGAGTCCCGAATTTAGTATAAGGCACACTGCCGAATTAACTATCGTGTGTTTCATCCTATCCAAAACCCTCAATTGTTCGTTCGGCATCCCATGGATCGCGATGAAAGGCAGATACCGCAATCTCTACCTGCCATATACAGATTACCGCTTTGACCAGCGGTAGTAGAACAGCGAAATATAATATTATCCTCAACGAAGTAGCCCGACCATTGCACAGCCTACATACTCAGACACGGAATAAATCTGGTTGGGACACCACAAGTAATAGTACTGCAGATTGAAGCTCTTCGAAGTATCAAATCCAACTATCTCAAATTTCTTACCAATGCGCAAAACGTTCTTTTCACTAGCTTTGTCACTTTGCGATCTAATACAATAATTATCGAGATAGACACCCAAGTCGACATTATTAATAAAAAGATCAACAGTCTGACACGAAACTCGATTTACCCTTGTTTGACGCATCCTTCAGCCACAGGGCAGCTTTTAGCGATGAAATACAGCCACACGACGGAAGCACGCGGGTCTACGAGGACAGGCGTCAATTGATTGGAGATATTGGTTTGCACCTTGGCCCGAACTGATGTTACACTAATATGCTTGTTCGACTTCATCATCAGTCTGCAATGATAAGGTCGAAAAGTATTTCAGTGCAACATCAGACCGTCTATTCAACGCCAACCTTCGAAGCTACATGTTCTTGATAAGGGAAACACCTTATTAGGAAGCCGGATTACCCTATATCTGGTATTGCTTGAGTTGTCGCTACACGTCAGCTTGATCCATCGGTGAGCTATCAATCTAAAGAGACTAACTAATATATGCGAAATACACTTTCAAAATTAGATTCGAGTGTCACACTCTGCATTGCAGTCAGTTGACCGTTCGATATCGACTTCTATCTACCACACCATTCCGAGCTAGCAAAATCAGCAGTGATGATCTTGATATAGAAAAGGGCGTTGCTGGCGTAAGTCCAAGAAACACTGCTAGCATGATTATAGATCATACGCAGAGCTAATCGTTACTTGGTATCACTATAGACAGATTGTTAACCTCTTACGGATTCGCAAGCTGCACATCATCTGATCAGACGACAGTAAAGGGAGAATGAATACATCCCAGCAGCGTCCAAAAAACAATGGCAAGCAAACTTATATTTTGCTACATTGTAGTTAGACAGCATCTATCTAGTTGTCATTTCCCACGCCCTCAATCTTGTGACTGAGAAAGTATCGATCACCCGATAGCATACACAAGAGCTGCTGTGGACATGCATTCGCCATCTCTCCCGCCTTCGTAGAAGTGTTCACACATTTTGGCTTTCTCTCAACACTTTTGAAATTTTTCTCCAGCCAGTCAAGAGACCCGTGTATCGTTTTTCGTTCCTCGTACAACACCTCCCCACACCGTTTATGCACTTTCAGCTGAGAGCTCAGAATATTTTTGGTATAGCTAATGGAAAGGCTACAAGCGTACGCGTCAGCACTAGTGACGCTTATGGTTGCTTAGATATGTAATAGGCAAAATGGCAGTAGGAACGGCGACACAGTAAGCATCTCGTGCGACCATTCGAAAGGTAGTGCTTGGCGGATCCAAATTGAGTTAAAAAAGCACGAGAAGCACCAGTCCAACAATCCACGAACTATTTATTTCAGTTCAATTCTTTTCGAGTGGGAATACGGGTCTCAGCTTTTTTGAGATGGATTTCGTATCCTCCAACCTCACATCGGCCTTTGTGCTAGGCACACTACTCCACCTCAACGTCTTCAAGAACATCGAGCTCGAGTCCTACATACCGAAATTCTTCTTTGCAGGAATCATATCCGTCACTGGATTGGTATACTTTTACGTCGCTCAGACTGGTCTCACCGTCCTTGCTTCAGCCACCAGAGTCGCAAGCGAGACATCATGTCTCATCTTCGGCATCTTCACCAGCATGACTATCTATCGTCTCTTCTTCCATCGGATCCGCAGATTTCCAGGTCCGTTGGCGGCGCGCGTTACCCGCTTCTACTCATTGTATCTCGCTTCAAAAAATGTGCAGTATCATGTTGAGCTAGAGAAATTGCATAAGCAGTATGGCGACTTCGTACGCACGGGACCCAGAGAGATTATGATTCTTCGCAAATCAGCGGTCTCAATTATTCTCGGCGTGCAGCCTGCGCTACTGAAGACTACGTGGTATAGTAGTATATCTCATAAGGCCGACCAAGTGCAGTTGTTTGCTTCGAGGGATCCGTTGGATCATAAGCGGAGGAGGAAAGCGTGGGATCAGGCTTTCAGTGTGAAAGGTATGTATCTTGATTCATCTCGATTTAGTCTTGTTACACTGCGATAGTTTAGGCTGATTCGCCAGCACAGCACTGTCAACATACCAACCGCGCATCAAATCGAAAGTCGACCTCCTGATGGACAACTTACTCCAGACTGCCGGAACACCCAGAGACGTCACATCCTGGATGATGATGCTTGCGTTCGACGTGATGGGTGAAATCGGCTTCGGGAATGATTTTGGCGGACTCGCTACAGGAAAAGAACACGAAGCCGCCCAAGCGATCCACAAGCACATGTCGATAATAGGCACCGTAGGTACCGTGCCCTGGCTGCTATACTTGCTCCAATTTATCCCCGGTGCGGGGTCGGGTTGGGCCCCGTTCATTAATTGGTGCGGTAATATGATCAGTCAGAAGAAGGCGGCGTGGGATCCAGAGAAGTATCCGCAGGATATTTCCAGCTGGCTGGTTAAGGCCGTTATGGAGAAAGATATCAGTGCGTCGCCGACGGAGGAGTCTTTGCGGGATGACGGAAGGCTCATTATTGTTGCTGGAAGGTAAGTTGGGGCCTCGAATTTTGTTTATCTTGATTTTCCCGCCTTTGGAAATGCTAATTCCACCCTCCCATAGCGACACCAGTGCCTCCGCAAACGCATGCACGCTCTTCTATCTCGCAAAAAACCCGCACACCCTACAGAAACTCCAAAGCCAGCTCGACGCCGCGATGCCAGAGGGCCTGAGCTCCTGGTCTTACGATAAAGCTCTAACAGTCAGCTATCTCGACGACATCATCAAAGAGTCGCTGCGACTCAAGCCCCCAGTAATCACTGGCGGATACCGCCTTACGCCACCGGAGGGCTTACAGGTTGATGAGGCCTGGATTCCCGGCGGCGTAAATGTGTTTGTACCCTATCAGATCTTGCACACGGATGTGCGGTATTTCGCTGCGCCGCACGATTTTGTGCCGGAGAGGTGGAGTGAGCGGAAGAAGGAGATGGGTACGGATGAGAGCCTTGCAATTCCTTTCTCGGCTGGTGAGTCGTCTTCCTACTTCTGACCTGCTTCCTTGTGTTGCCGGTCTGCTATTCGATTGTGTGCTGATTTTTGATAGGAATTTACAAATGTCCGGGGGATAGAGTAGCGATGATGAGTATGCGCACCACAATCTCGTGTATTGCGCAGACTTTTGATATCAGCTTTGCATCTGGCGAGACAGGGGACGCGTTCGATACGGATCGGAAAGATGCTTTCACGACTGTCTTGAAACCGCTGAACTTGGTGTTTACGAAGAGGGAAAAATGGGCAAACTTGTAATCCTGTTCTAGCTATCAACATGAAGTCAAGAGCGAGACGATGCGAAAGCACCGAGATCATGTTCCTCAACTATCAGCAATTACGCGGATCAGCTGACAAATGTGAAATAACGATCATAAAAGTTGTCGAGTAAGTTGCCTATCGCGAGTTTTAAATTGTCACTCCGACGCTCCTAGATCTCTTCAACTGTAAAGCCTGGTGGTCTTACATAATGCCTTTCCCGGACATTGTTGTTGAGCGGGTACATTTCTTGTGACATCGTTCTTTATATGGAAAATACTAAAGTTGTTCTTTGGAATTATTAATCCAAAATCGTTCTCCTGATCCTTCTCCTCATATAAGGTCCAATTCTTCATCGCGTACTGTTCCGCGTGATCTTCTGGGACATCTCTTACAATTTTATGCTACCAACTCTTGAGGACGATATGGGTACCCCATGATCGCATTCAAGGACAATGCTGAAGTCTGTGACCGTAGTCCGCGAGAATGTGTTTCGTAGCCACGATAGATAATATACTAGCAGTCCACTTTTATCGCCGAATGCCCGCTTAATGTGAATGCAGAACCTATCTTTGCTCTGCTCGGACTTAATTTCAGGAAACGATACATTTGTAGGGATTCCAGGTTCTTAGATGGGTTTGAATTTCGGTTGGTATGTGTGTCAATCCATCTGCTCATCGATCCTGTAGATGACCGGGTAACCCTTTCTTGTGTTCCTTCTCGTACTCGCTTTTTTCCATAGTGTTCCCTGTCTTGTTCATGTAAGCTTCTCAGATATATCACAGACCAAGACTTCTGCAAATCTTAATAGCATCGCGGATAGTGTCTTGGAATGTTCAAGCCATAAATGGTGAACAAATGCAATTTCTACTGGGAAGGAACACCCAAACGTACTGTAGTAGTTCATAACAGAATAATCGTCTGGGTACAACTCGTCTTCCCCTAATTTTCTGTACTACACAGTCAGCTGCAGACATTATGATTGAAACAGGAAAGATACGCTCATGCGTCACTCTCTTTCGGGTGAATCTTCAAATGTGCTATCTAATTAGCAATTCATAAGTCAGGAAACGCTGTTATCACGAAGCAATCCCACGAAGAGACTATTTGTGTCTAGATGTGAATTGTGGGATCAAACAGATTGCTGTGCCATGAAGTTGGTATTTCTTGAAACAATCTCATAGCAATCCGTTTCTAGGTAACAAATAGCCAGAAGAAGAGCAGTATATCAAGAACACTCCTTCCGTATTCACTCCTACAATAATTCTGTGTTACCCTTCGACCCCCAACACAAGGTTCCATTCCACCAGTAAAGCCGGTCTTCTGCAATCTTGCCTTCCTGTGATCTAACAACGCATCAATCGCATACAAGTCCAAATACGAGCCAGCAATCATCTCAAAATGGGCTGGGGCTGCGGTTTCGACATTTACCCCCTACTCGACCCTACCCCCACAAACAAAGAAGCTTACCAAAAGTTCCTAGAAGAAATTATCCGCACATTCGAAAAAGATTACAACGAAAACGGACGCAGAGAAGACGGCAAAGTTCTAATAGCTGATGGGGAAGGCGCGCGAGGGGCATACATCCAGTTCATGGTCGGCGAGTGTCCCGCTATCCCTAAGAACCCCGACCACTGCAATTACTTTCTTAGGTTCAGCTCGAAGGTTAGCGGACGCTTGTCGGCGGCCGCGGAGGGATATATTGATGAAGTGACTGGAATAGCGAAAAAGTATTTTGGGAACAGGGTACATTATTGGACTGAGCTGAATGAAGGATATGGAAATCCGAGTGAGACGTATGGCCTTCATGACTGGCGCGAGGTGAATGAGGCGAACAGAAAAGTTGAAGAGTTGTTCATGGCGAGTAAGGAGGACGCAGATGGAGCACGGAATGAATCAGAAAGCAAGAACAAGGAAGATACAGTCAAGAAAGAACTGAACGAACCAGAAAAAAAGCGCGACGAAGATTTCGTTAAAGAGGAACCGGGTGAATCAAAAGATGTAGTCAAGAAGGAAACGACCGAATTACAAAGCAAGAACGAGGGAGTTGTGGTTAAGAAGGAACCCGGTGAATCGGGAGATGGAGACAGCGAGTAGGATACGAATGGAAAAAACATCGAAGTTGGAAGGCGGGAAGTAAGCATGATGCCGCTTTGACCTAATCCAAGACACAGACCTTTCATTTCATCGGTTGTAACTAGATTCGAGAAAGAAAAATCGCTTTCATGTATTGCTCATCACCAGCATATTGCACCATCTCCGCTCCTTCCCTAAGTACAAATACGTATAGACTTTGCCATACTCACTTCCATACACTACTCACAAACTCCTCTACATCCTGCACCAGCAACCCAGGCGTCTCCAAAGCCGGATAATGCCCTCCCTCATCATGCGCTTTGAACCACACCATATTTCCCGTTTTCTGCGCCCACGCCTTAGGAATAGCTGCAAGTTCCTCAGGGAAATACGAGTATCCGAAGGGCTTAGAGATGTGTAGCCAAGGGGCATTGTGTAGATAGCCTTTTTGGTGGACACCCCATTTGTCTGCAGACAGAAATTGGTCAGTGATATGCCGTCAGAGTAGTGCGTAGGAAAGAAAGAACTCACAGTCTTCTCGATATGTGTACAGCGACGTCCCCGCTGCCTCGGTGAACCAATACAGCGATACTTCGGTGAGTATTTCGTCCAGATCAATCGCATGTTTAGGATCCGCCCATTCTAGATATTTCTCTCCGATCCATGCCAACAGTGCAAGAGGTGAACTAGATAAAACGTGTCCGATTGTTGATGTCCTTGTGCCATGCATCCTCCCATACGCGTCTCCCGTCCACTTGAATTCCTCCGCACGTTGCACACCTTTCTTTTCTGTCTCGCTCAGAGAAGCTTCCAGCGCATCCGCGTCGTCAGGCGGGGGCATGTGGCAGAAACTCAAATGCACAGCTTTGCACTCATCGTATGTGACGGCGAGGGTTCGGGCAACAGCTGCGCCGATGTCCCCGCCGTGCGAAATGTACCCACCATCTCCGAACCCGAGATTTAGCATCAATTTATGGATGATACGTGCGGTATCTGCGTATTTCCAGTCTCGATCCAATGGTGGTGCTGAAGAGAGCGGCCAGCCTGGCAGCGAGGGCAGGATGAAGTGATACGGTAGATCGGACTCCGCGTACTTTTCTTTCAGAAGCGAGAGCACGGGGAGGTACTCTGCAAAAGTGCAGGGCCAGCCGTGGAGACGTACGATTGGTACTGCGTCCTTTTTCTTTGAGAAAAGCGCAGCGAAGTGGACCGTCATGGGTGTACCGTCATCGTCCTTGATGGAAGCGGTGAATTGCGGGAAAGAGTTCAGATGGGCTTCTTGGGTGCGCCAGGAGAATTTGTTGAGCCATGTTTCTTTGGCATTGGTAAGCCAGGCGTGAGTTACTCCTAGGCCTTGGGATGCTTGTGCTTCTTGATTTTCGTAGCAGGGAGGCGCGAGTGGTGAGAGACGGAGGAGCGTTTTGAAGTCTTCGAGTTTTTGGTCTGGGATATGGATTTCGAAAGGTTTGATTGAATCTTGGGAGGCTTCCGAGGGGAGAGATGCGTAAGATCTTGTTGTAGAACCCATGATGATGTCGCTTTGTGTGTCTTGTATCGTTGCGCCAATACTGTAGTAATCGGACAAACGAATAGTCTTTGGATGTCGAATTGCCGTAACAATTTCGAAAAGTCAAAAAAGATGTTGTATTCTGTGCTTTGAGTTAGAGACAGGAGTCCTACTTATAGCTTTTCACCCTCTCTCAAAAACGTTTGAGATATGATCTGGTCCACTGATCTGCGCTTGCTAATGTTATTGTAGAAGAGGTGCTGACAAAAAACCTCCTATCCCGAAAGGGAAGTTTTTACGCGTGTATCGTTAAGTCTCCGCCTCGCATATTCCCGATTCAAGCATTACGTCGCACAAGGAATTGTAGCAGCAAACTTGGTTTGTTGCGTCACGATAATAACGACATACATGCTTATGAGGTCACAAAAGACGCATTACACAAAACTGGCAGCAGTTTGGAGAGACAGCGGTTCGGTATGTATGTAGGATGTTTCATTTCCCTCCTAAGGGGTGCCGGATCGGCATATGCAGGGTATCATGGTCTTCTAATCTATCGTCGTTTATGATTTTTTGGTATGCTCTCCATCCATACATCGTAATTCTTAGTATCTATCATAATTTTCCATTTACATCGTGTTGGCATGTATCAGCCCGGAAATACCTTATTCCATCTCAATGGTACCGGGAGGCTTGCTCGTAACTGGGAAGAATGTTAGTTGTTGCGCCAAACCACAGACTTTTCAAAGAACACTTACTGTCGTAAACCACTCGGCAAACTCCATCCACCTCGTTTACAATCCTCCTCGACACCTTCTTCAAAAATGCGCCATCAAATGGGAACCAGTCAGCGGTCATGAAGTCGGTGGTTTCGACCGCCCTCAACGCAATCATCTGCTCGTGCACTCTCTTGTCACCCATAACACCGACAGCCTTGACTGGCAGCAATGCTGCGAAAGCCTGGCTGATTTGCCTGTACAGACCCGCAGCCTTGATCTCCTCGATGAAGATGACATCGGCCTCTCGCGCGATGCGGACCTGCTCGGGGGTGACTTCTCCCAAGATGCGAATAGCAATACCTGGGCCTGGGAAAGGATGACGCCAGACGAGATCCTCCGGAATACCGAGGTTCTTCCCGAGCTCACGGACCTCATCCTTGAACAGTTCTCGCAGAGGCTCGATGAGCTTAAGATTCATGTCCTTGGGAAGTCCGCCGACATTGTGATGGGTTTTGATGGTGGCGGAGGGACCCTTGAAAGAGATGCTTTCGATGACATCGGGGTACAGTGTGCCTTGGAGTAACCACTCGATCTCGCCAGCCGCAGATGAGCCATGGGCCTCGGCCGCAATCTGTTTGGCGGTCTCTTGGAAGACCTCGATAAAGGTGTTGCCAATGAATTTACGCTTCTTCTCAGGTTCAGTAACACCCTTAAGGCCGTCCAGGAAACGCTTCGAGGCATCGATGACGGTAAGGTTGATGCCCAGACCTGCAGTCAATGTCTCCTTGACCTGCTTTGCCTCGTCCTGCCTGAGCACGCCGTTATCTACCAGCACAGCATGGAAGCGGTCCCCAATGGCCTCCTTCATGAGCTTGGCTGCGACAGTGGAGTCGACACCACCGCTCACAGCACCAATAACTTGGCCCTTGTCTCCTACCAACTTCCTGATCCTCTCGATTTCCTGGTCCACAAACTTGCCCATGGTCCAGTCGGTTCTGGCCTGGCAGATGTCTACCGCGAAATTCTTAAGCACAATTTTGCCCTTGGGCGTGTGTGTGACTTCGGGGTGGAATTGGATGCCGTAGTATTTCTTCGACTTGTGAGCCATACCAGCGAACGGCGCGTTCTTGGTAGTAGCGATGGTGATGAAGTCTTCCGGGAGGTGGCTGAGTTTGTCGCCGTGGCTCATCCAAACCTCAGTGTCGTCCTCAATTTCGGCGAACAGCTTATCCACATGGCCTCCCGTCTCGCCGTCGCCATGACGCTCGATCTTGAGCGCGGCGTGGCCGTATTCCCTTTTCTCGCCAGCAAGGACGTTCTTGCCGAAGTTCCAGGCAATCTCTTGAAGACCGTAGCAGATACCCAAAATTGGGACACCGATTTCGAAAACGGCTTGGTCGACGTGCGGGGCATCGTCCCAGTAAACCGAGTAGGGACCGCCGGAGAGAATGATACCCTTGGGGGTCCAATCGAGATCGGCGAGCTTCTGGGTGCACGGGAGCATCTCAGAGTAGATGTTGAGTTCGCGCAAGCGGCGAGTGATGAGGTGTGAGTATTGGGACCCAAAGTCGAGCACCAAGATGGTGTCGAAGGTCTTGTGAGGAGGAATTGGGTCGCTGCCGTCGGTCGCCATGGTGATTGAGTGAAAAGTCCAAAGTATTAGAGGAGAAATAAAGAAATTGGACTGTAGAAGAAGCAAAGAAAAATGGAGGGGACGAAGGAAGATAAGGAAAAAGTCGGGCGCGTGTGAGTCTAGAGGACAAAAATTTTGGCGGGGCATGCAAGTAGGTAACGCGGGCGGTTGGCCCGTGCGCTCTTCCCCGAAAATTATCGAGTCCGCTCCATCTCTCACCATTTCCAAAACAACATATTCAATCTTCACGTTGCTGCACAATGGGGAAACGAAAGACACCAAAGGATCCCGAAGCGCTTCCGGATGCGCCAGAAGTCAACAACAAGCGCAAAAATGACGATTCAGACAGCGACGAGGTAGGAGCTCTTTTCCACTACCCCCGCACGCGGAACCATGCTCAGCGAATAAATGTATGAAACTAATCCAGATGACTACAGGATATGGATGTGGTAAACGTCGATTTCGAATGGTTTGATCCACACCCTGAAGTCGACTTCCACGGCTTCAAGAATCTTCTCCGGCAATTGCTCGACATCGATGCTCCGCTATTTAATTTATCTGAGCTCGCAGACCTCATTCTGTCGCAACCGCACCTAGGAAGTACCGTCAAGGTAGATGGCATCGATACGGACCCTTATGCTCTCTTGACCGTTCTCAATCTTACTACACACAAAGTACGCCGACTTGCCAATGATTCTTATACACATATCTGATAGAATGCCAGGACAAGCAAGTCATTAAAGACTTGACCGCATATCTTGCTCGACATTCCACCTCACCATCGCTCGCCGCACTTCCCGCGCTGCTCGACCCTTCATCGTCTGCTCAGGTCGGTTTAATACTAACGGAGCGATTTGTGAATATGCCCCACGAGATCGTCCCTCCGCTCTATACCATGCTCCAGGACGAGATCAAATCGGCGCTTGAGCAAAAAGAGCCATATGAATTTACACATTACCTCATTCTGTCCAAGACATACCACGAAGTCGCCTCGAATCTGCCAACCGCCGACGAGCCGCCCAGCAAGAAGAAGAAGGGTACAAAGAGCTCTGAAGACGCCGAGACCTTCTATTTCCACCCTGAAGATGAGGTTCTGCATAAGCATGCATTGGCTTGGGGAAGTTTTGATTACGAGACACCGGCCGATGAAGGCGCAAGTGATAGCAAACGAGCTTTTCAGGAGCTTGGAATCAAGCCGACCGGTCACCTTATATTGATTGAGGCGGGCAAGTTTGCTGGAGCAGTTGACGCAGTGAAGACGTATTTGAATGGCGGGCAGTAAAGGCTATGCATGGTAGGATCAAGGCTTGCACATGAACGAGTAACTATACCCAAATTCAATGAATTATACGATATTGCATCAAGTTCCCCGTCGACCTCATTTCTCTAACAATCTATGTGCTCGATCTTTCGTGCTCTTCGTACCCGATGCGGATTTTGAAAATCCATGGTTGACATCACGATAGGTTACCAGAGGTTTGTTTTGGCCGCTTGATTCTGCCACGTATAACACACTCCAGTGACCACGCGTGTTACTTGTTTGTTTCTCTCACCACCCAATCAAGCTTGCGGCCATTGCTCATATACTACGTATTTAGGTAGGTACCTAAGGTACCTATCCTTCCTAACGCGCACGTGACCAATCTGTGAGGTTACACACAACACAAAGCTGTATGTGAATAAGAGCTAGGCAACCTCAACTTTACCTCGGGACGAATCCGACACTGGTCATTAACCCAAGCTACCAGCAAAACCTACTAACCTTGCTTGCATTCCAAATCTGCTATCCAAATCGTCACAGCTCCGCATCACTGACCATTCATGCTGACCAGGAACCCCGAGATGGACCAACGGCACGCACTCGATACCGACGAGTTTTTGGACACCGCTGCGGCGAAGCCATGTCGTCTGCCCGAACGCCATGCGTCATGGACGGAACTACCAGAGAAGACCTACAAGTTCATGAAAAGTACCAAGGCATCGCGGAACTGCAGCAAGCAAGCACCTAATACGAGTGCCGATGTAAACAACACCCGCACCATGACCAGGCGCAGCACCCACTCTGATGACGATTCCAAACTTTCAACAGCTCCCCATAGCGACCGCCTTTCACGAGGATCCGTTCCAGATCTGAAAGTCCTCGTATCTTTCCAGACCAGCTCCGTGGGCACGAATGATATACCCAAGGACGATGATAAAACCTCCGCTCGAGTTCATGATAAGATCATTTCTAATCCTCAGTCTCAGAAGCATTCTCCTCGAAAGAAGCGCCGGGCCTCACGTAAACACCGTGTTGATTCCCCCGTGCAAGGTACCTGCCAAGTAACTCAGAACGAAAACCTCGCGCCAGTGAAACAAGCTGAACATACACTGCGGCGCCGCTTCAAAGCAAAGCACTACCCAAAGAAGGCGAAGAAAGGTCATCGTTCAACTCGCAAAGTTTCTCGCTTGTCTCGGAGCCTTGCCCATTTGAAGTTCCTACCCTCCAAGAGTCCGCTGCGCAATGAAGTCGTGTTTGATGAGGACGAAGTGGGAGGGGACAGCGATGGCACATCGGACTGTGATCGGAGTTTGGTGAGTCGACAGCATCCATCTCAATACATCTAGACGTGATTGAATAAGCCGCTAACTTTGACGTATAGGTCTGGGACCCAGATCTCACCAACGACGAGGATATCACCGACTCAGCAATGACTCCAACACCGCTATCACCCACATCCCACGGTAAAGCTTCAAGTTTTGAGTCTCACAACCGGACACCCAAACTCACCGCACCCACCCCACGGGGAATTCTTCTATCTCGCTCCCACGACATTAATCCCATATCGACCCGTCGTCCCGAATTCGCCTTCCCCAGATCTCCTGCCACGCCGCATATCCCTACTCAGCCGATTCACTCCCACAACATTAACACCGTATCGAACAGTCGTCCCAAATTCGCCTGCTCCAATCCTCCTACCACGCAACCTATCCCTACTCAACCCATCACTCCACCAAAATCAACGAAGCCCGAGAAATCCCAAAAACTCAGTCTCTGGACAAAGACAAAAGCCGTGGTCAAGAAGGTGGTGAAGAAAAAGAGCATGCTGTCACAGTGGTGATTCAGAAACAAGGGGTTGACAGCCGCATACGAAGAAAATATCCCCGATCAAATCCAGCAAGTCCTGCTCCTTGTCTTTCACGGAACAGGAACAGTCAAGGCAGTATGTTGATGTGAAGAGCCAAAGTGGTGGGATGGCTACTGCCGAACGCTTTCAAAGGGAAGAGCATCATGCTTTTGGTTATTTTTTGAGTATTCATCTGTACAACCAGACAGATTTTTTTTTTTTTTGGAAGAACACTATTTCTGGTTACAAGGGCAGAGAAGTAGAGAGTAAGTCGGCATACGACACGCTCGCACTTGCTTTAATCGACTCAGAAGAAGAGTTCGGATATGTCAATTATCCCCATCGTCCTTCCTGTATATTCTTGTTGTATCCACTCGTTTAGACGAAGTCCATAACCCCCCTTTTAATCCACGCCTAATGTGTAAATGCATGTATACGACTGTAAGGTAATTTCTAATACAAAACTCTATACGCATTGTTGATCCCGTCTGATGGTGTTTACTAAATTTATAAAGTGGGAAAATTTGGCCTTGGATGTTCGTTTTGGACTAGAATGAATCATTAGCTTGGGATGATGGTGATGCAGAGCAAGTCTCGGTGGAACTATCACGACTTTAATGGGCTGTTCTACGAATCCAACACATTCCGCGAAAGAAGAAGGGAAAAGAAAAAAAACCAAATAAAGGTATTACATAACCTCCGCTCACTCTGAGGAATAAACACATCACCAAGCACAGAAACATTGGAAAGAATAATCATTCAAGAGCTAGCTAGCGTTATACAAAGACTCCTAGCAAGCAATTAAATTCCATGTTTAACCCACACCACCCATACACCTACAAAAAAAAACCTTGTCCTATCATTCTCCCTTCTAAAAAACAAATCAAAAAATCAGAAACTTAATCTTTTTCTAGCTAAACATTGACAGTTTATTTATTTTCGGCGCAAAAGCCTTGTACTTTTACCTATTCCTTACTAAAGCTATAACATTGCTACAAAACTAGGTTCCTGTAGAGAGTTGAGAGTTGTAAAAAAAAAAAAAAAAAAAAAAAAAAAAGGGAATAAGTTTTTGCGAATTATTAACTATAGTGATTCTCAGCTTTTTCTTCTTTCACCAGCGAGACATTTCTCAGCAGAGGAGGAGAAGAAGCAAATATAAGAAAGCAACCCCCACCCCCCCCCCCCCCCCCCCCCCCCCTAACTACCGCCATCATCTCTCATATATCAAGGGGAAAAAAGGTGTAGTTAGATATACTCCCCCTCTCTCTCTCTTTCTCTCTCTCACACAAACACGAACACTTCAGAGAATCGTACAACACAATACGACTGAAAGAAAAAGAAAAAAAATCCCTCTTTATCTACATACTCCCCTTCCCGTTTCCCTAGGATCCAACAACAACGACTTGAAATCGAGTGTCTTACCACCTATACGTGGGTGATGAACGCATCGAACGTTTTGGGAACTTGTTTTCATATATTTAGGAGGAGAGAGGGAAAGGCATCGACATGTGCTGCTTCGGATGGTTGCTCATTGTTTGGAAGGGGAACTGGGAGCAAGGCGAAACTGTGTACTGACAGATACTACGCAGAAAGTATAAAGGAAATGTGCGAGAGGGTGCAGAACCAACACATAATCCAGACGCAGTCACATCATCAAGACCGAGTTGGAAATAAGGAATCCATATATATCATGCTATCTATGTATATATGTACGAGGGAGAGGGAGCAGGCGCAGGCGACAAGACGGCCCTGAGTGGAACCAATCCTAATCGCCGCGTCGCCAGAATAATGGAGAGGGTGTGTTTCTTTTCCAAATCGTGATCAACCAGAATATAATATAGACCCATATTACTCCATCCCATCCTATGCGTTGAAGCCATCTGGGGGGAATTAGTATATACAACCCCAGATTCTGTCGGCTTCTGGTTCCCGTCTGCGGCACTTTCCAAAATCTGCTGGCGCCTTTGCCCCATTCCAGCGTCAGCTTCAACAAATGAACAATGTGTAGGAAAACATCTAGCCGCACAAGAGAAAAGCAAAAAAGCGCACCAAAAGCGCGGAAACGCAGGCTGTGATCCGAGGCGCCAAAAGTCAAAAAACGCCGGTCATGCAATGGTCTGCTTGTGAACAGAAGGAAAGATGTGTGGCTCAAGAAACGCGAGAACAAAAGAAAACGACATTCAGGACAAAGAGATGCGAACAGGAAGGCAAGCGCAGTTACAGCGCCTTATGCAAAACATATGAAAATCATGGATACAGCTCCGATCAACATGGCCATGGTGGAGGTGCTAGTCGTCGAGGCGCTGCTGTTCTTTCTACGGCTGCCGGCAGTGGCGGAGCCGTCCTGCTTAATGACCTCGTTGCTACCGAGCTGCCAATCGAGATTGGCTACCAGGGCCTGGGAATCGCGCACCTGTATGCCGACCTGCCCGGAGCCGTCGAGCGTTTGAACACTGAGAGAATCGTCCACGATGGATGCTTTGCCTGTTTTGTCATCGAATGATATGCCGTTCCACGTAGTACCAGAGAGAGCTGTGTGGGAGTCGGCGGTAAGGTAGGAGAGGTAGATCTTCTTGTTGGCGTTCTCGGCACCAAAGTTGAGGTTGAACGTATAAGAGCCGGAGGTACCGGGCTTGCTGTTGATGAGCACGGCGGATTGGATGTTTCCGTTGGCATAGGCGGAGTAGGCACGGATGCGGCCCGTGTAGTCACTGCTGACCTTGCCGATGTCGAGAGCACCAATCTGCGTGGTTCCGTTGCCGTTGCCGATGATCTGGTGAACAGCAGCATGGGCGTAGTACTGGGGTCGGACATGAGCGGGCTCGCCGTAGTGGTCAGTGGGCTGCCAGGCGCTGGCGTTGGAGTTGTCAGTCATGTGCATCTGCACCGACGTAACGTTGAGAGTGGCCGTGTAGAGGAAGAAGTTGAGAGTCCAGAGAGCAGCGCCGAAGGTGTCGGAGACCATGTGCATGCCGATGGGGCCGACGGAACTCATCTCTCGCAGAACATAGGGAACACCGGTACTGAGGGCAATCTTGATCTGCTTCTCCCAGTATTGGAACTGAACATTGGTGGAGTCGAGGTTCATCAAGTTGTCGAGTGTGATTGGCTCCGTGGTTACACCGATAACTGCAGGAGACGTGAGCGGACGGGTGTGCAACAAGAGGAGATTACAACTTACATTGGAAGTAGTCGTGCTGGTTCCACCAACCGACGTAGTAATTACCATCCCTTTCGCCCAACAAGCCGTTGTTGGTCAGCTGGGTAATCTCGAACGTGTTGCCGATAGTGGAGGCGGTGGCAGGCGGCTCGAAAAACATGGCGGGAAGGCCGGCAGGCTTCAAGACCTGCTTGTAGATGTCATCGGCGGCGTCGAGGAAAGCAGCCGTGTAGGCTTTGCCGTCCCAAGCTCCGGTGCGGAAACCATTCTGCAGCCACAGATCGGGCTCATTGCCGATCTCGAATGAGTACAACTGGGTGTTTTTGAGGTTGTCAACGGCGGCCTGGGCCATCTTGACACGGAGGTCGCCAGCGTCGGAGCCATCGTAGGCGAGGTTCAGGCCGTAGGTGACCCAGGTGCCCTCAGGAAAGCGATCGATGGCCTTGAAGAATCCGGGGCCGATGATCATGCTGTCGGAGGCGATGGCGCCTTTGCCGATGGACGACGGGTTCTTCTCCCAGCCGAATTTAGTGTACGACTCATTGTAGAGCATGTAATCCTGGGTGTTTCCTCCTAGGCGGATATGGGGCGGGGCGCCGGAGTAGTCGGCCAAGTTCTGCAGCAGCTGGATGGTGAAGTTGTTTGGGTTATCGTTTCCGGTGAAGCTGAAGAGGTTCGAGGGCTCAATACCGAAGCCAGCGAAAGAGGGACTCAGATTGTCGGAGACGGCGGCACCAGCCCGTTTAGGTTGTATGGAGAGGGAGATTGATTGTGCGGCAGTGAGCGGAGCCAGCAAGGCCAGCGAATGCATTATTGTCGCCCATGATGGCGATGAGGGAAGCATGATTTGCAGGTGTCGGGCACCGGCGGGTGCGTGGTGAGCAGCTGGTCGGGCGTTGGGGCATGCAAGTGCGGGAAGGATGCGACGCAGCGAGCGGAGAGGGAGGAAGTGGGAAGCAGCAGAATGGAAAAGAATGCAGCGGCAGCGACAGTGGATGTATCTTTGGTTGAGATACAGAGACCGGGGGTGGAGAAGGATGGGTGGATGGATGGACGGGGGGGTTTAAAGGAAAAGGTTGGGAGGAGGCGATGCAATGGCTGGGGGGTGTGGATAGAGAGACAGACGGAGTGGTAGGATGATGATGACGAATTGGGGAGAAAAGAGGGAAGGAAACAGGCAGGGCGGAGGAAGTGGGCAGGGCCAAGCAGCGATGGGGAGTCGGAGGCGGGTGGATGACGAGGCCCTGTGTTTTAGGGTGGAGTGGGTAAGAGTAGTGTGTGTGCGCGCGCGCGTGTGGATGAGTAGGAGGGAGGGAGTTTTGAGCGAATGGAGGACAAGAGAGGGAGTGGAGAGAAAGAATTAGAGAAAGAAAGAAAAGAAAAAAAGCACAGAGCAAGGGCACGTAGCAGTCAGCCAGTCAGTCAGTCAGTCAGTCAGTGCAAAAGAAAGGCGGGCGCGCGCAAAGTTGGCAGACAAGAAAGACAAGCAAACAAGCAGCAGCAGAGCACTGTTGATTAGATGCATGGGCACACACACAGTTAGTACAGTAAATGGGTACAGTAGAGACAGTAGAGAGAGATAGATTACAGAGCCAGCCAGCCAGCCAGCCAGCCAGCCAGCCAGCCCGTTCCGCGCCGGGTAAGCTAGGCAGCGCAGCGCAGCGCCTTGCCCAAACAGGCGGGTCGCACTGGCCATGCCGCCCGCCTGCTTGTGCCCGCTGCCTGCCTGGCCGGCCTAACCCCCCCTACTCTCTCTCTCATATCATCATTCTTCCTCATCACTACTTCCATCCGCTCACCACCGGCGCCAAAACAACAGTCATCAAAGCGACGAAGAAAGAAAATAAAAAAATCTCCTGCTACCCGTTGACAGTAATCCGCTCGTAGTCTCTTGGGTGCCGCCATGGGCCGAGACCCAGGCGCTTGAGCGAGCCACACGCATCATGTTGTTCCATGGAAGCCCACTCTCTTTCGTCATGGCTGCGTCGGAGCCCCGGCGCCTAGTCCCTCACCAGCCGCCCAGGCCACTGACCGCACAATCCCCCCTAAACACAGGCACACTACCGGCACACACGATGACAGCGACAAGAATCAATAGTCACGAATAAAAAAAAAGATGCAAAAAGAAAGAAGACGGGCCACGAGCTTTGGCAAACGCATCGCCCAGCAGGCAAAACCCCCGGGCGCACTTGGCCGCAGTGGATGAGGAATGCAAACATTGGTCACTGGCTATCAATGAATGGATCGCCATGCACCTCGGCGGCTGGCTGCAGCGCCCCGATAACGCGTCAGCTTGCTCTGTTGCTGTTGTTGTTGTGGTGGTCGTTGTTGACACCAGAAAAAAAAAACAGTAGTAATCCCCAATAGACACCTTCTGCCCCGTGTCTGGTCATGACCTTGATTGCCATCGGCCGAGTGGCTTGCGGACTCTCCAAAACGAGCAGAAGCAATTATCGACTGTGGCGGTCTCGCACTTTATTTCCTGCACGCACGGCCGGGCCTATCATCCAAATAAATAAAGAGACATGCCCCAAACAGACATAATACATGACCGTCAGGAACATGCACGCATGCAGAGAGACTGCAGCAGTCTTTCCCTTCGGACCTGGCTTACGTGTTGCACCGCACCGCACCGCACTGTCCCTCAACCCACACCCCTACCGCCGATCGAGATAATGCATGCAAAAGGGGGTTCCCTCTTGACCTCCTCTCTCAACCTCTTTTCCAACACCATATCCCTCCCCTCCCGAAACACCACAGATGCCGCCCACGATGCACGATCCACCATGCCTTTTGAATCATCGTCATCTTCATGCCCTGCCCTCTGTAGTACCCAGGTAGCACCCTTAGTCACATGCACCAAACCCTGATTTTAGCGCGCAAACCCTTTTCTTCTCTCTCGTCCAACCCTCTGGCGCAGTACTCTACACATTTAAGCGCGACGGATCCATCACGGAGGGAAAAATCCTGCATCACGTTGATATGGCCCCATATCGCCTAACTCTATCGCCTAGCTGTCTGGGCCATCTTCACATCATTCCTTCCCGCGGCCCCATTCTGTCTTCCTCCCGCTACCCTGATTCACTCCTTAGCTGTCGTCCACCCTCATTGTTTTATCGCTAGTCGTAGATCTAGATGCATCCCTCACCCTCTTCCACCAGCCTTTGCAATACCGAAACCCAACCACTTGGTCAGACAACAAGAACGAACCCTTTTTTTCTTTCCATTCTCCTTTATTCTAATGACTCTCTCCCGACGTCACTCCTTCTTTTTCCCTCCGTTGCTTGTATTGTCAGCCTCGCGCTCCGAGGGACTAAAACAAGCGGGTAGCACTAGCTAGCCACGCACATCGCCTTCTGGGAACATGATCGCACACCCATCGCACACATCGACATGCGTCGCATGCATCGCACACTTTTCGCAATAGTCTTGGCTGACATAACGTTTATCGTCCATCTGTTTATTCAAATACCTTTAGTCTAGCTCCTTTCCTTTCCCTCTGCTACCCCACCCGGCCTGTGTTGTTGTGCGCGGAGCAGAGCCAAAAACCCTGCTTTGCTTCACCAACAGCTTCTCAACACTCAACACGCCTTCGCCTTGGTCCACGCCCATTGCGTCATTCCTGTTCATGCCGACTGGGCGACGAGGTCTTGTCATGCGGAACAAAACAAGAGGCTTGGTGAATGATGATGGTGATGATGATGTCGTGGCTTTCTTTTTTTCTAATTCTAGTGTTTCGTGTATGGTATAACAGGGCCTGGTATTTCCAACCACCTGCCACCGCTACTGCTTGCTGCAGCCTCGCGTGGTGCGTGGTGGCTTTTGAAGGGGGGAAGGGGCGGGGAGGCGGACGGTGCGACCAATCCACCGCCCCAATGAACCAAGAGATACACAGGTGAATTTCATGTAGTGCGTGCATGTGGCTACTACTCAAGCCTTCTCTTTTCTCTCTGCATCTATTCCTGCCCTCCTGCTACATCATATCTGAAGTCAATTGAGTGATGGACCTCCCATCCGACTCGCATCGCGTTCTCGCACGCTACCTATGCAGCCAGTCCACTTACATAACCCCCACGCCAACAACGGATACGAGAGACATCACCACCCCGTCCGTCCGTATACGAGCAACACCACGAAGCGAAACCACATCTCTCGCGCGCTCGTGGAAAAGAAATAGGAGGGAAGCACGGATCTAACATTCTTGTTGTTTAGCCACCCAACTCCCCCCCGTATTCCGCCCCTGGTTCTCTTCCTCTCTTCCATCCTTGCTTGCTTGATCAAGACTTTCTTCTGTGTCTCAGCTCGCGCAACCTGCATCAAAACAAAAACAGTAAATGAGAAACAGCGGTAGCAGTAGTAACAGCGACGGGGTGGGGATGATACGTGAGTTACAACCATTCACAGTAGAAGAATGATAATTACTATACACACACATATATATATCCGCATGTACATGTGCAATTAGATGGACTGTGAAACCTCCATACTCCATACTCCATTCTCCTTTCTTCTTCTTCTTCCCTTCCTTCCTGCTAATTATCCTGTACTCGCATATTCCCAGCAAGACAATCAAAACTCCAACTGCGCTACCCCATCCTATCCTACCCCATCCTCCTCATCAGAAACAGACACTCAAGTCCGACATCGATTTCATACACACCTATCTATCTATCCCCTAGTCCCCGTGCGAACAACCGGGGAATCCCCAATCCTCAAACACGCAAATCTGCTGCGTGCGTGCGTGCGTGCGTGCGTGCGGTGCCAGTTCGAGAAGGGGGGCACACAGTAATCTCCGGTTTCTGGCGTTTCTGGCGTTTTTGGTTGGAGAGCGGACTAGGTCCGTACGACATCAACGACATTAATGAAATGTACAAACGAACGAACGAATGCAGCGGGGATGGGGGGGTAAGTTGCTAGATACATTCCACCTTCCTCTCATTATTCTCTCCTGATCTTTTTTTGAAAGTACGGTGGTGTATTGGGTGTGGTGGTGGTGATGGGGGGAAAACTGTGTTTGGAATTATGCATGTCTTTGTGACCCCTCGACACTGCGAGAGTATCGAGTCGAGTTGTCGTTAGTGTATGATGTGATTTCTTGCTGAATGACATGCTTTTAATCAAAAAGCTGACGAGTTTTTTTGGTTGTGACGGAGTTGGATACTAAAGGTATATTTCCGTAAACAGACCTGGACGTTTTTTTTTTTTTTCGTTATAAGTGCCATCTTTCAAACCACCAACGAGTACTGCTTGTTTTCACGTATCAAGACTGCGCGATCCATCTAGCTCTCTATATCCGTTCCTAAGCTCTTTCTGTCCAGAACATCATCGCCTTCTCTACGCATTGGTACTCAACATATGGTTTGCAGTACCCCGAGCTAGTCATCTACCTTGGAGTACAGAGAAAGCACCGAGAATTGCCCATAGCCGCTGTCTTTTTATAAAGTCCTTGTAGATCCTATATCCTCTCAACTATACATGTAAACAAGAAAAAAAAAGTTGGGGGGTCGATATTCACGCAGGATCCATTGTTTCTGTTAGCACAGGTAGCCACTGTGTAGGCAGTGTGGAAGAATCTGGGGAAAAAAAACTGGGGGACTGGAAAAAGTAAGGGTTGATACATAGTTTCTACAGAGGATCGAGGTTCCTATTGTAGGGATTTGATAGGAGAGTATGAGAAACAATACAATAGACGATGTACGTGCTCGTGGTTTCGATGGATCTAGAAGAAATGGACTGAAGGGAAAAGAAAAGGAGAAATCTCGTTAACTATCAGTGTACTTATCTCATAACCATGCTCTGGGTAGCTATTAGATTCTTTGTGCTTACACCAATGTATACCTGCATTCCTCTCATATTGAATATCATTATGCCTGTGTCAGTGGAAGCAAGTAGTTATTCTGATCTAAAATCACTTCATCGTCCTCTACTATTTGATATTATACTCGACATCCTATTCAAACTGACCTATTCTCTTGTCATCTCTCGGCTTGTTTGCTAACAATTTATAACTACCCTTTTTTTTTGTGGGGTGAAGGAATAACGTTGAACAACTACTAATGGGATCATTTGATGCCATCCCTTTCTCTTACATCATATTCGCAATTCTCTCTAACATTGGTTCAGCGCGTTTAGGATATATGTACATGGGTTACGTTCATTTATGTCAAACACTTGGGATGTCAATTCAGTGGGTAGTAGAAACCATGATAATCTGAATCGCAGAAAATCATCAGACTCATGTACAGCTCCTTGTACTAGTTGAATAGGAAATGATAGAGAGAATGCCAATCTATGGAAACAAATGTAGGATCGCAGAATGGAATCGAATTCCAACCTTCCCAACAGCAATCGTGGGTATATGGCATAATGACACAGCATCGGGGGTGAGTAAGTACTGAGATCACTCGCGGAACAGGTCGTGTTGAGACGACATGGGGAAGCAGGAAATTTCCGCTTTGTCTTGATATTTAAATTGTCTAGGTAGTCCGAGGGAGAGCCTCAGCTACGAAGACGCAACACGATACGAATATTGAAAGAGGGTGACATAGGTAGGCATCACTTTCGATGAGTCTCTACACAATTCATCGTATTTATACACTCTAGAAAGTTTGTACTGCATTCGAATATCTGCGATGAAGCACGTGCAATACGATATCACAGTCGGCCAACCGTAGATATATTAGACCACAGCGACTAGGTAAAACACAAATCAGATGGAATGCATACTCATATGGCAGGTAGATTTGACTTGAAGAAAGCAAGTAGAGTTTAAGCACGAGGTCTTCATCACACGAACTTGACGATGGGAGAGTGAAGAAAGCTGAAGTGTATTAACTCAGTATAAGATAGGCACACACATAGAGCGGATATATTGACGAGGAAACATAGACTATGATCGTCTGCCGGGCACCGCTTCATAATACGGAGATCCTGAATGTGCATGAGGATGGACGAGTAAACAGGCATACCAAGTAAGTAAGTTTTGTTGGGCTAGAAGAAGCGTCATTCTTATGTTGATATTGACGTGTTATCTGCGAGAGCGAGGGCGTCGGGACCACTACACCTGGCTTATCGATTCACTCTTTGATCACAGGCAAAACAAATGTCATCTCTGCCTCATAGTGCGGATGTATATGAGAAGAGGTGCTGTGGCTTGTGGGCCGAAAAAACAACAGGATGTTGCTATACTGGTTGGCAAGTCACCATCGAAAGAAGGAGACACAGGTCTGGGAAACGGACAGCTTCTTGCATAGAGGTTCGACGGTGTTTCCATATAATGAAAAGATTTGCGTGTTATGAAAGCCCGGATTGTTTGCTCTACAAAGTTGCTACATGTTTTTTCAGTGTAACGTGATCCATGTGACATGCGGATCTGCCTGAGTCCTTGGGCAAGTCACTGGTGTTCCTTCCGTACATGTTGTGCCAGAATATATCGATCGCCATGGCCTCAGATCATAGCAAGTGTAACGTGGAACAATGCAGTTCAGAATACTGCTCTTGATAAAGCTCATCAACTGTTGAACAGCATATATGTAAGTATCGAAGAGATGGGGTCGGGGTAGAGGTAGTGGGTAACAAGACACCATCAAAAGCACTACAGCAAGAAATTGCATGCTGACATCGAAAAGCTCCCACGTATGGAGCATTATCGTTATGACGAGATTTCTTGTTCACAATACTCTCCATGAAGAATATGGTATCTGGGTATGCACAGGTGGACAGGCTTGCTAGACAGCACATCACTGTCGTGTGCTGACCGTGCCGCAGATTCTCTTGGTTTCGCAGATTGGTTGCTACTTGTACTGTTCCAGCCCGACCTTTCCGCGATGTAAATATGCAAGCTGTAGGGATTGGAAGGACAAGCAAACATGCAGAGAGATGGTGTTGAACGAGCAGCGCGAATGCAGCCTGCTTGAGCCTTGGCTGGCAACACATCAAACTCGCTGTGTGACGCAATTCTGGTGTTTTCGGGGATCTAGACAGATAGGGTACGTGTATCATGCAGATTCATCGCTCCTTCCGCGAATGAAAAGTTCCGAATGCTCAACATGTGTCAGCATATTTGCGACAGCTGAATCCTGACTCAAGTTGGCCTGCTTGTACGTTAGGGACTTGTGAGGGCGGGTCCTTTGGGCTGTCCGATTTGTATTGTGAGTGGGTCGGGCGAAGATAGAAAGATGAGACCTTGGAACTATTCCGAGCGAATGAACGGTATCTGATAACATCGTCTCCCGACAATGCTGGTTCCTGTAGTTGAGTTGTGTATGCGTCTCGGCCAGCTCGTGTCCATGAATCTCAGCTAGACTCGTCCAGACTTTTTGAGTTCCGGGTAGTTGATCGTGAACATGGCCACGTCGATCATGCTTATCTGCCTCCCCAGCTTTTGGCGTACACGTGCGGAATGAACCTCAATTCAGGGCAGCCGCAACAACGGCCGAGGAGCTAGCATCGGGCATCAACTTAGGCTGAACATTACGTGAAGCGTGTGCTAGTCGTTGCATGCCGCCCTTGGCACCATCGCGGGGTGGGCTTGGGGTGTCCCTCGGTGTGGAGCGCAAAGAGCCAAGTAATCACCCAATAACACCAAGGTGCTCGGCTAAGCTTCGTGCAAGTCAGTGACTGTAGAGGTCCGCGATGGTATCGCAGGGACAAGAGTTCCCGCTCTTTCTGCCTTTTTCTTTCTTCTTTTTCCTTTATCTAAAGAATTGAAGACACGTCAGCGGGATTGGACAATGCACCTGCGATTGCCTGCATGGTTTGCATTGGGGAAATGGCGCTTGCAAATGCATTCTCTAGCTGCAGCCGTGGAAGCACGAAATACCACAAACCCAAAGCCTCACTACGGCAACTGTGTTGAACGCGCTGAGAGGATGGCGGGAATCTAATAATTGCTAATTGACTGTTGGTGTCGTTACGAATGTCTGAGTCGTGTCGATGGTTTGACGTTCACTATTTCCGGAGAAATGCTCGGTAAATCGGGGGTTGGATGAGCACATGACCTGATTAGTCTCGGCCCCAACGACTCAAGTGTGTCTTGGATTGCATCATGCAGTATTGGACCACTGATTGGCACCAAATCCTTCCGCTCTTGTGATGAGTAAGTTTCTCCTCCGCGATCTCCATCGCGATGCCCAGCGGAAGGCCTTGTGCTAACTATGCAGCAGCAGGTGTTAACCACGGAGAAGGCGGAGGACTCGGGGGAGCTGGAACGATGCGGAGGAGTGCTCGGAGAAGGATTCCATCTCCAATGAAAACGCGTCCGGCCGGACGAGAAGAGGAAATAGCATCAGCATCATCATCATCATCATCGACAGTCTTCTCCTGCGAGTGCTATTGCTTCAATGCTCGCTGACGGGAGGCGTTGGATGTATTCTTATCTCCCTCGACCGATTACTGTTGAGTCGCTGGCTCCGCTAAGACCGACATGCCGCCGTCGCCTCATTGCGGCGTGTATTGAGTCACCAAGCGAGACGCCCACTTTGGGAGATTCTAGACCCACGGACGACCACACCTTACCCGTCTCATGCTTAGGCCCAGCATCCCCAGCCAAGGTGCTGTTGACCATACTGCATCGACGAACAGTCTCGATCCTCCGCAGTAGCTGGTCAAGACCAATCCTCCTCAGTGTTCAGTGCTGGGCGCTGCGGGGTGGTGTATGGGTTCTTCATATCGCCGAGCCCGCCCCTCCAGCATCTCGAAGCCTCCTTGGCCCAATAACAGGCGGCGGACGGCTAAACGGAAGGTTGGAGAGCTGCCAATACTGGTGCCACGGCCAGCGTAGGCGATTGTGTAACCAGGAGCGGAGCCTGATTCGTAACAGACGTTATCGCCAGCGCAGGGATGGTCGTCCGCCTGCTGCTTGCCATTGGGCGGGAGCGCCAACCTGCATGGTTGGTGCTGGAGTCTGGTGCAGGCCCGGCGGAGGTAGGGTGGAGTTTAGCGGGTGGGGATTGGCTGTATGCGCATGGGGTGCGGACGGTGCGGACGATATGGTATTCTTGGATTGAGGTGAAAGCTGATCTCGTGGGGTATATAGGGACACGCTTTCCCCGGTTTTCCAGATGGTGGTTATACAACATCATCATCACATCACACAATCACTTCCAACATCTTCACGAGAACAATCACTCTTACTCACTAGCCTACTCACTTATCCACCTGCATACCCATCTACCATCATGTCTGCCGAGTCCACCTACGTTTACATTCCCAACCTCGTCGGCCGCCAGATGCTGCGCATCCCAGCTCTTGCCATGGACGACGAGGCTGAACTCGAGCAAGTTCAAGTTCCTGATGCTACTTCAAACCTGACTATCGACACCACTACCATCAAGTCGGCCAACAGGGCCATCCGTCGAGACGACTCCCCCTCCGTCTCCGTTGAGAGTGTTTCCGAGTCGGAGTGAGCACCTTGCCTCAATATATGATCCGATTAGGGGGAGAGACCGATAGAGATGGATCAAAACTAAATTCATGCTCACGCTCACGACGATGATAACGAAGACGATACGAAATTGAGTTGAGACGACACCGAAGAAAGACCCACCTGCCCACAGCAAACAAAAGAAGTGTAGTGCGGACACTCTTCAGGCTCATAAAAAAGCCTGTGTATAAACACTGTCACCATGGGGCATTTATTATTCCTTGGGGAATAGATCGTTGGTGGAATCGTCATGGTTCTCCATCAGAATCCTATTCCGGCTAAAAAAGCGACTTGGCCAACATCATCACGGAGAAGGATCATCATCAATTTTTTTTCTTCCTTGCGCTTCCTACCTACCAACAACCGTGCGCGGGGCGTCGATTGTACTTTAATAATCGAGATCGATGATAATGCGGAGGACGAGAATGGGGGACGTTGGAGGGGACTACTTTGCATCCTGCATAAGAGGGGAATTGGAGGGGAGGACATCCTCTCCTAAAAAAGAAAGGCGATCCTGCATGTCTGCACAAAAAGCCGGATTACCACAAAAGTTCGGTTGATCATTTCTCAACGGATGGCGGAGGACTACCTCCTCTTGTCAGCATTCTGCAGATATTTTTGGATTTTTTTTGCATTTGTAATTAGATACCCCGATAATTATCGAATTTGTTACTACCATTCACAAAATCAATCACCTTCATAAACATGCATATCTACCACCATAACAATATGTGCATGTATTTCACTGTTATTCTGTCCTTGAACATCAGAAACAAAAAAAAATTGGTTCTCACATCCTCACATGTTCCCCCCACCTGTCTGCCCCTCGCCGAAACCCCCCCTGCCCCCTTAACGCGTAATCAAAAAAGAGCCGCCCCACTTCTCTTCTCACACCATACTCGCATGATCAAATGTAAGCTAAGCAAGCATACACCTTTTTACCCAGTAGCAGCACGCCTTGGGAACTCAAAACTCGCTCATCCTTTTTCCTTCTTCCTTCCTAGTTAGTCATTGGTCATCAGCCAGCTTTTATGGAGTGAGGTGAGACGTTAGGCTCGGACTTAGTTTCTTGTGAATCTGAGTCTTCCTTCACGATGAGATTATTTCCGGGTTGGACGGGGGTAGTAGGTCAATGGAGTGATAAGAACGTGCTTTCAGAGATGGGTTTGTAATGGATGTATATTTGATATAGGGCCGGGAGGGTTCATGCCTGTCTTGGGATTTCGATATCGGAGGGGAAAGTTCTTTTTTTTTTTCACTCGTGAGGGGGAGGAGGTAGATGAGAAGTGAGGCTCGACAGTTTCTCCCTTGGTGTTGCATAGTTGTGACTTGTTTGCTTGCGTAATTCGTTGCATGGCTACATATGTATGTCTCGAGCCGACCGCTGAGCTTCAAATAGAAGTTTTGAGGATGAAGCAGCTTTGGAACCTGTCTACCTCCTATTTAGAAATCAATCATCTGATCTTCTCACGCTTTGTTCCATCTATGCTTTTCAACGAGGTGAAAACGTCTTATCTAACGTTTCCTTTTTCTTATCTTTCTCGTTGTCTCATCTTCTCCTTGCTCAATTCGCATGGTTATCTAGAGGCATGATGCCTCTTTTCTCCGTAGACTCTAACCTGAAGTAACAAGGAAATAAAGTGGGCAGTCACATGCCATACCTGCTTCTCATATGACAATAGACGCTGTAGCTATTACTGTGTATATATCCCCTGCGCATTGCATTCACCTAATCAAGCCAATCAATGTCGTTGAATAGATCATGTAGAAGTCACGAAAATAGCAACTGGGTATTAAGACACGTGTTCCGTGAAGGGGTACCTTCCAGTGTTTATATGTGTGGCGCAGTTTGTGGATTTATTGCGTGGTTATGGTGGATTGTGTAGTCGGATTCGGAGTTTCATAGTGGTCTAGCGGACAGTCCGCGTATTGGGGGCAATAGTTTAGTGTTTTAGCGGAAATCACCAACCATTAAGTTGTGTATATGGCCAGAGTCTAGTATATGCGGATACTGCGTACGGGATGATCCAAAGGCGCAGTGAGATGTATTCTTGCAAATACGCCTGTAAATACGAGTACGAAGGAACGAGGAGGAGCCGGAGAGCATCGGGCTTAGCGTGGGGGTCGATGGAGAATAACAGGTTAGGACACCACCAACCGTTTCTCTCTACAGCATCGCCAGCGCATGATACCTGTATCTACAGTCCACCCTCAAACGATGATACGCACAGAGGTGCAGAGATGAGATTCAGGCGTGTAAACCTCGCCCACTCCACTAACGCACGAGGTCGCACATGAACACAATCCAGAGTTAGACGACCAGAGCCAAGGCCGAAGATTATCAATCGTACAGGTGTGTGCCCTGTGATAGAGCTGCAGTCCGTTAGCACATTCATGCATGTCAAGATCATAGAGTGCGTGACATGCAGCCTTGCGCTATCTCTCTTGATATCAGTTGTACACCTCGCAAGGCGGCATGGCGCTGCTTCCCAGTATCAGCTAAACCACCAGCTGTAGCAATATTAATGCTTGACATGCATGCCGGCGAGTCAAAAGATATTCCACCACTACTGTGAACATGTAGCGAGCGGGCTTGAGAGACATTAAGACTCGATTGTCCGATAAAAATTGCTGGTTTCATCTTCCGAGCTTCTGTGAGGTTTGGCCCCAGGTTCCTGCATTAGGTGTCTGCCCCTCTATGAGGATGCGTGACAATTGGGAAGTGGTCCAAAAACACCTTAGTCTGAAATCTCGAGGTATCTGTACAGGTCCTTGAATGACTATAGGATTTCAAAGATATGGGTAGTTGAGGAACATGAGTGATCTATATACCTTGATGAACTTAACGAAACACGAGTCTTTGGGCGAAGAAGGCAAAGGGTGGGTAGAAAGCAATTACTTGGGTAATACTCGAGCCTTTCAAGAGTAGTATAATAAACAGTACGTTACGAAATTCTGGTTTTGAGATTTATTCATGTACTTTTACGTTCCACGTTCTCGGTTTCACAACATTATCACGACGAGGGGGTGGGTAGGTAAGGAATGCCTAACTCCAGGCTGCGCGAAATACCACAGCGAGTTCTCAATATTGGTATCCTTATGTACAATCCTCGGCATCAAGTCAAAATTCCGACCTCTGAGTTTCCAATCTGGGATGTGTTTCATTCATTCTACAACGCGTATACGCATATCCTGACACTCCTAGTCCGTCAATGTCAATGATCAATAGGACAGTGCGTTGAAGTCATTGCTTCCCAGAGGCCGTTCTCTGCTGATCGTTGCAGTCACTATTCGGAGGAGAAAAAAAAACTCCCTCGCTCACTCGCACCGCCAGCACCTGGAAAATCCTGTCCGTGGGCAATGAATGGCAGAACCTATCCAGTATGCAACATGAAGTTTCCGCCCCCATGTCTACCCCACGCGTGAGCTCAGACATCCGCATAGATGCCATGCCATGTTTGCCTTCTATTCTCTAAACTTTACCGAATCAATGCGATGTACGTGAGGCATAATTTTGACACATACGGCCTTCGTCCCCTCACTTTACCCGATCTATCTCTTGCGGGGCAAGTGTCTTTGTAGTTGTTTAGTTTATAATACAATGGGACATGGCCGTCATCTCTTTGGACACTATCCTGAACTTTAGGATATCAATTTGTCCTTTACTTTTCTTTTTTTTTTGAATACACAGCATGTCTGAAGTGGATGATAGCTTCGTCAAGCTCGGGTTTTGGATAGACAGAAGCCGGGGCGACGTGATGGGGCAAACAATCACAACGACTGGATCAACTGCCAACACCATCATAGCTTTACTCACCGTCTTGATCACTATTGCAATGTCTCAGCTATGGAGTCTGTTCGCTTTCCTGTACCACCAAGCACGGACGCCACCGAAGGGCGAATCTCGCGATGGACTATTCTGGCAGCAACAAGCCCTTTTGAGAACGTTACCTACGCCAACATCTTTGTTTTTCGACTCGCTCAAAGTGTGGTGGGCATGGCGCCGCATATCAAAGAGGGCATTTATACGTTCTATGATGCCTATATTCATGGCCTTACTCTTTGCTGTGGGAGCAGTTACCAGCAGCATCTTCTCAACCTATGTCATCTCAACCTCGGATTTACGTGTTGCGATCAATAGTCCGCACTGTGGACTACTCAATTACTCAAGTGTCGTCGAACGCGGTGGGGTTAATACACCTGAGTCGTCTTTCATGCCCCTACTGAAATCGTATGTGAAAGACTGCTACCAAGCCCATGGGCACCTGCCTGCACGGTGTCGAGACGCTTTCGTGGAACCAAACATCACGTTCTCGATAAGCCCGGCAGATTGTCCGTGGGAACAAAATACCACGTGTCTAGCCCGTAAGAATGAATCGCCTGCAATACTCATGGACTCGGGGCACATACAAGGAAGTCAATTTGGGTTCAATACAGTTGCACATAGTAGGATTAATTTCCGAAAGAAGACTGTCTGTAGCATAATGCCAATGGGGGAACGTTTGAAGCTCAAAAAGTTATCCCCAGAGTACATGACTGGTCTTCGAAGGGAGCCACTTCCAAATGAGCGGTTCTGGCAGTTAGTTCTGTACATGCAGGATGATGGCTCTGGATCACCCCTGTGGCAAGGATTCATGAGAAGCGAGCTAGAGGCCAATATATCCTCTTCATATGACACAAGGTGAGACACCGGAATTCGGTCAGCTTCAAGGCTCGATTAGTTTTTCCAAAAGCCTGACGACTGACTGGATAGTGGGGTAATGCTCTGGGAATCCGAACTATATTCCCATCGCGGAAAATACGCCACAATTCCAATCAAGGAATTAAACCGAACAGATGCTGATGTATCTATCGATGTCATCTGGCTCGATAGCGTTCAGCATCTGAAACCCAATGACGACCCATTGTTCGCTGCGCATCAAAAGCGGAAAAGGTTTGATATGACTTGGAATGAAGTACCAGTCTACAATTCGGATTATGTTGCAGGAACTGTTGCTTGTGCAAATCAGGTAAATACTGAATACTGAAGGAACCAATTTTTAATTAGTAGCTGACTTTGTATCAATAGTATCAGTTCTGCCACGCGCGTGGTGGTGGCCAAGATGACTTTTGCTCGCGTCTCCACGGACTTCCAGGAGAAACCACGAACTACTTGTGGCCTGAGGCCAACGAACTTCAACGGCAATTTCTCGAGCTGATTTTAAGATCAATTTTAAGATACGACATATCATGGGGCCCTTTGCGAGACCAATTACTTGCTGGCGAGCAGATTGTAAAGGGCTACACGGAAGGACTTCCTAACGACCAGTGGATAAAGGAGGTTGCAGTATGGGAATCTTACGTGTGGGCAGCTCTTCAGATTACCCTCGCAGATTATGCTGTTGGCACGACTTTGCGTGATCCTGCTGCAGTAAATTACACAAATGCGCCGGTGACAGCGGCTGAGAAAGAGCTATGCGGTTCTATATTAATGAAGAAGTCAGGTGGTTTTGCGTAAGTATTATCAAAGTTTATCCCTGTGTTCTTTTTTATTTGACTCTACTTATCTTTATTCATCTCCAGTGATATTTTCTATTGTTTTTGTGTCTTTACATTTATGCATTTTGTTCCCCCATTTACCAAAACGCCGAGCAAACATACAAACTGACCCTCCCCGAACACCAATTAGGAACGTGAACGTCTTTGGTCTGACGTTCATCGTAACCTCCACGATCATTTTCTCCTGCCTCAACATATACATCCTTCGCTTTTTTATCTTCCTCAGCAAGTCCCGCCGGGCGCTTGCCCCGCGCCTTGACCAGTGGGTCAACGACGGCGTTTTTCAATTGCAACGCCGTGCTTTTGAAGCCAAGAATCAGGGGAAATGGACGAAGATTGACAGCGAGATCCCAGTAACAGAAAAGGAAGAAGTCCTGCAGCTACATGTCTAGGGGTTTCCAGGGTATTGGGTCAATGTGGAGAGCGGTATTGAATGAGCAAGGACTCGTGTTAGGACGTGGATCTGGATGGAGATAGAATGTATGGGGTTTGATGGATATATGGCACAGTTGAAGGTGGTCTCTTCGCCCGTGACTTGAATCGCAAGCGATGACTCGAGGAGTCAGGCTATGTCAGCTCGAATGGTGTCGGCGGTCATCAGTCCAATTTGACAATATATGCGTACAAGCATGTCTATTTAGAAGTTTGACTCAGCCAAATCTTCTTAGTAGGCAGCAAGTCAAGGCCAAGTAGCATTGTTTCAATAGGCCGTCAATGCTTTAACAGGCCGTACGTCTTGCTCCCCCTCCACCTGAAGACTCCGTATCTGGGCTGTCGCAATTGTGTCCTTCTTTTGACAACTGACCACTTTTCTTCTTGACGATCCTGGTCAGTCGTTGTGGTTTGTCGTGAGATCCCGCGGTCTGTGCTACTGTAGCTCGTCGAAAAGACCAGAAAGTTTCGTGTACGTGATCTCCTGCCCATAATTCCCTGAAAGCCAACCCCAGGAATCGTTGATTAAATGTGTCTCGTGCACTCCCGAGTACGAATCAAATAGGTGACAAGTTGGCCACAATATAGATGCCGTTCTTTCCACCTGACTCGAATATCTCAACTACGGCTGCAAATTCCATGTCCTCCCATCTACCCCGCAAACGCTCCTCGTTCGATGGATGCCCAGGTACACAGGCATGCCACTGGAGCCGCCCGAACTGGGAAATAAGAATTGGATTTGGTCTGAATACCTAGAGTTGCTAGAGTCGCTAGAGTTGCTCGAATCGCCATCACTACCTGCAATGATTGTTGATCCATTTCAAGTTTGTTTGATTGGAAGTTACAGTGTTTCCTACACTCAGAAAGGCAGATAAAAAAAGGTGGTTTGATCCATTAGAGTCTGAAGTGGCAAGAGGTGAGCCTAGAGTATCAGAACACAAAGACCTGGTAGTCGAGCGCTTCGCAGCAAGGTTCACGAGTCTAAAGCTGCTAGAGAGTCACCGACTGCTATCGTTGAAATGATTTGGCGGGGTTCTATCACTGAGCAGCTCGTTTACAATCACTACTTCCCCTACTGCAGTCAGACCAGTTCAGAATTTGACTACCATCACCACCACATCTCACTCATACATGTAAAGCATCAGCGTACGCAAGACGCGACCCTTCCGTTTCCTTATCAAATCTACATATCATGAACTGTACAGGATATCGAAAAGAGTTCACGACTATCAGATCCGAAGCTGGCACTGCAAGTATCTGCATCGTATCTAATGCGCCGAATCAGCCAATCACATCAAATCAAAGTCACACGCACACAGAACCCAACATTGAGCAATCATCAAAGCCAGGAAGCTCGAGGACCAAGGTTTCTATAACTTCGTAACCTTTTGATTTCCATTCCAGTTCATTAGCCATAAAAAAAGGGGGGTTTTGTACCGGTGCAATAATGATCGACCAGTACTGTACACAATAACCCCGAAGACCTTGATAACCACAACCCAACTATATAATATCGCCAAGAAGAAATATTTCCCCTTTTCCCATGTGTTAGTCTTCATCCATATCCTGCAGTTCCCGTTCCCTTCTTGCAAGCTCTTCACGCATAGCTTCAGCTTCGCGACGCAACCGATCCTTCTTTCTCATGCGATCTTCATGGGACATCGGTAAGGGAGAAGAAGGGGGCGGCGCGGCTGCAGGACTTGCTGACCACGGCAGCGCGTTTGATAAAGCCGGGTCGATGTTACTACTGCGACCTTCGTGTGTGTTGGTCGTGGGGTTAAGGAGCGATGAGATGGCGTGTGAGCGGTGGGGGACGGGGTTTGAGGCAGCCACCTCTTCTGGGTCGAGCGTGGCACTTAGACTGCGTTTTCGAGGCGAGGGGACGCCGATGTACGTGGTTGCTGATGGCTTCTCGTTGTCGTTGCTGCGGCCGTTGTAGTTGGTGAAGTCAACAGGAACCGGAATCTTCGCAGATATCGGATATATCTCGCTAGACTCAATGGTAGGTGTAGGATCTGGGGATGCAGAGTGCTCATATGGAGTGGAAGCGGCATGAGGTTGAGGGGAATAGCTAGGGTTGGAGAGAGCTGCAGTACTACTGCCGCTGGCAGTATCCGCTGGTACTATGCGCTTTCGGCGCTTGATTTCCTGTTTTTTCATCTCAACAGGGCGATGGGATCCATGCAGCTTGTAATATAGACCTAGACGCCGCAATTAGTTCAATCCTTATCGCGGTTGTGAAGAGTAATCAGTCAATAAACATACCACATGCATTGCAAATTGTGTGACCCGCTTCATCTCTCCTCCAAAGCGGTGTCACGGTAGTTCCGCAATTCTGGCACGCCTGGATGACACTTGTCACCGCAGGTTGGGAACTTTGTTCAGTCGACGGAGCGTCAGATGAACCCGACACGCTGTTAGCCTGGGCCAAAGCAAACTGGGCTGTCTTGGAGACGCGGTTGTTGAAAGCTGGGCAGCCACTGCAGCCTTGCTGGCCACCCATGCCGTTACATCTTCCACCCCCAGGACAGGTACCGGCAGCGCCATGGTCGGCAGCGACATATGTTGGAACACGGGACGCAGAAGCGGGAGCAGCAGGTGACGCAATGTCTTCTTGATTTTGGGATGGGGCTGAGGATTTCTGGATAGGGACGATCGGTTGGGAAGGTGTATTGCGTTTAAGGTTTGTAGGGCGAGGTTGAGCCCGCGCCTTCAGGTACAAGCCACAGGCATTGCATATCGTCTCGCCGGCCGGCGAGCGGCGCCACAAAGGCGTTCGATTCGTCCCACAATTACTTTAAAACAGTCAGCATTTGAAAGCATGATGTTGAGTTGACAGCAAACATCTAAAATAGCAGAATCAATTTTGAGAACGCACCTGCAAACTTGGCCACTTATGGTAGCATACGCACCGGTGTTGCTACCACTCACACTGGCGGGAGGAAGTGAAGATGGAGTGGTATCGCGCAGAGTATGGTCTGTTTGCTCACTGGCACGCAGGCGTAACGTGTCCTCGAGGGAATGATATATCTCGGGAGTTTTCCCAGGGGAAGCCATGGCCGCAGCAGAAGCATCAGCTGGAGATTGGGTAGTTGGAGGTGAAGCGTGCCTAGGAGCATGGGGCTCTTGCGCGCGGTTTAGTTGGCTCAATTGCTCCGCCATTTCCACGTCTTCTCGGCTGGGTTCCCGGGAAAGGTGATGAGGATGTGTTGGAGTGGGAGCTAGAGAGGTCCCTCCGCGTCCGGATGGAGTGGCCATTGATACGTCTGTCCTCTCTTTCCTGAGCAGCGACGGCGCCGCCGGCGTACAGCTACAAATTGATATCGACAGCCTACCCGTATGAAGTGATGCTGCTGGTATTGATCGCGGTCGCCAATTTTAGTGTAGCCCTCTGAAACAGCAGCGCTTGGACGAAGAGGTTGATGGCTAGTATACCGGGGGCTTCCAGAATGCAGATGGGATAGAACGTAGAGAAGTAGTACCGGATTACCAATACGTAGGTGGCGTGAAACGTGATGTCCAACGTGGAATGGTCAGCGGGTGCGAGGGGGCAATCTGGGTTTTGAACAGTCTACTGGGCCCGGGGAAAGGAGTGCATGATCCGAGAATACGAGGCGGCGGGGCACTGCAGGAGCTGATATGAGGAGATGGTTGTACGGTGTGGGTATATCCCCTTGCTACTAACGGCAGTGTCAGTCCTGTTCGCCTTGACCTGGTACTTTGTCCGTACTTTTGTGTGGTGGTGATGCGTAACGCAACCAGGCGGTCGCGAAACCCAGACGCTTCGACCAATCACTGCTGACGTAAAAATAAGCAGCCCGATCCATCTTAGCCAGCGCCACCTTCCCTGCTTAGCTTCGATTTTGCCTCGGTTTCTATCAACCGCATCCCATCCGACCCAAGTCTCTCGTGTTGAGCTCCTGCTTTTTGAAAAGATTCAACAGATCATCCCCTGTTTGAACATTCAGTCACAAGTTCTTTTCGATGGCCGACAAGTCAAAATGACGAAGACTTTTCGTGCGGTCTGAGGTCCGCCTGTTGAAGATTGGTCTGGGCAGATCGGAATGGCCATTGAGACCGTCTGAAGAAATTAAGATGCCAGGTGGGTAACTGCAGCACGGGACACATGCACTATGCAGTGCAGTAGTGCACATCGCGGAACGATGGAAATGGGAGACTAGGTATAAGCGAGTCTTCTACACAGATACCTAGGTACAGACTGAGTCGAGCATCGCGTCATCACTCACGCCATGTACTTTGATGAGTGAGCAACCACGGGCATTTCGAAACCATCACAAGGGCGTTTGGCACCAGTAAGCGGTCGCTAATCTCTTTGCAACTAAGGCTTAGACATATTGACCGTACACGATAACAACACTGCGCTATGAGGATATGATCCTTCCACTGCCGACTTGAACCCCCACAACAGGATTTACACAATCGGCGCAAGCCCAACTACTTTCCCCGTCTATTGATAATTCCCCAGTGAACCATCCTAGCCAAGGAGACACAAGCATACAATATACTAACAATTGTAATCATAACAGCCAGCGTACCACCCAAAAAGATACAGCTCAACACAATATCTGTGTACATGAAAAGCACTACAATCGCAGCTTTTCCGTTTCCCGCAACGCTGAACACTGGGTCCAAACAGAAGCATTTGTGCGATCCGGGGAATCATGGCGCGGCATCCCCAGGACGAGTGATCTGTTGTTTAGACCTGCTCGGCGCCCCACCCGGCATCGGCATCGCGCATGTTCGCCGGGGGTTCGATGGAAGGAATCCATTCCAGAACAACGTAGCCGATACCGACTATGCCGACAATCGCACCGGGAACGTATTGGTACCAGTGGGAGCCGACCGCGACGGATCCAATGAAGACGTAGACTGGGCGCAATATGAGTCTCCGAGTGTGGGGTATATAGTGGAGAGCAACTCACAGATACCACGGCCGAGGAAAGAGAACATAAATGAGGCATATCGGGCAACTTGTTGAGGGATTTGGATCTCTGGTAAATTGGTCAGCACAAGAGGCCACGCCGAAGCCATTGGTATGGCAGAGCGGGCTGTACGAACCGAGCAGAGCGGTAGCTGAGCGCATGTTAGCCTTGTCCATGAAATAATGTGGAATTACGTGGATTCCTTACCAGCACCGAAAAGAATCAGATATACACCGAGAATGATTGTTGAACTATAGCTGGGTCAGTGATTTGGCTCAACTCGCGCGACACCAGCCCTTGCGCCAGCAGTATTTGACCAAGTGTCCGTTCTACATTGCCCACATAGAATATCCAGCCTTCGGTGTCCTAGCAGTCGCCGAAAGAAGCCATCATGAACGGAACGAATTCAGCCGCCGCTGAGCGGTATTGACAACCCATTCGACGAGTCGCTGTAGGGTGGTGGGAGGACGGGTGGATGCGCTGGGGGAAACTCACAAGCCTTCGAAGCCAATGAATTTAGTGATTCCACCGAGGACCATAAAGACCGCAACGGCGAAGTTGACAATGCGACTGTACACAGTGTTAGCCTTTGCAGATGACCCAATGCTTCGCTCCTTCTTCTCCTCCTTCTGCCTCGACAAAACGAATCTGGGCCGGGCTTACAAGACGTCTGAGAAGTCCATTCCGGCGGACTGATCTGAGAGATGTGGGAACCGCAGTTTGTCTGATTTATAGATAGAGGGCTGAAAGGGGAGCAGAAGAGATATGGATGAGTTGTCAGATGTAAAGAAGATGGTTTTCACGCGACGTTTGGAATTGGACCTTGGAACAACACCTTGGCTTGTTGGAGCTGCTCGCAACACCGTCAAAGCGTTCTCGCTTACACCTGACAACGGCGTCATAGGGGCAGCCGTCTCTGATTGGTTGATTTTGCAGATGAATCGTCTAAACCCAGCACAGATTAGTTTCATTTCTTGTATTCACATCAATTCATCATTCATCATTCAGCTCCTGCTTGTAACATCGGAAATTCTCGACCCATTGTCCCTGCCAGGTCGGATGTGATGCGCATCACAATGAAGGAGCCAACTTCCATCACTCAATCCAGTTTCAAGACCAACTTCCAACCATTTCAAACCATCAAATACCTCCCATAACCACCCAGGGTCCAGGGCCAGGACTCAGCGGATTCGATGACATCTTATCGGTGATAGAACTCTTCAAAGACCTCTCATATGTTTCGAAACTGGTTTGGCGTGACGGCTCTGCATCAGAAGGCTCCGCAATAGGATACACAATGTCTTTGATATCGGCATCCGGTTCATCGACCCCATTTTCACTCCACATGTCAAACGTGCGCGTAACCAGTATTCCCTCATGGTCACCAAACTCTTGTGTCTTCTTGTCTCGATTGCGTCCGCGCCCAGGCATAGCATGTCGGATCCGTGTCATAACGCCCATTGGAACTTCTTCTTCCTCTTCATTTTCCTTCACTCTCTTTTTCCCTTTCTTCAATTTCGCCTTTCCTTTTCCCTTGTCGGCTCTCTTTGTCTTCGGGTCGATGTTTTCCTCATCTTCCTCTTTCCCCGCATATTCGTCCTCTTCTGTAGCTGTGCCAGCAATAGCAGGATTGGCTTCATGTTCCCTGTCTCGGATCTGTAATAAACTCGGCATTCGCTGCGGCACCACCCGCCGACCCCGTCGACCGTGTCCTCGGTCCGTTCCTAGATCATGCTGGCGCATAACCTCCTGCCACTCAATATCTTCCTCGGAGTACTGGTCCACGCGCCAGCCCCACGAGCGGATGTCGCCGACGACACTATCGTCAACTTGACCTGCGTGTGGTATCGTGTAGCTATGTCGGTAGAAATTGTGTGTGGGATGGTCGTCTGTGTCGCTTGGGATTGGGTAGGATGGTAGGTGTAGGAGGTAGGGCATATGGGATCGATCGGGAAGGGAGAATACGGCTTGGCAAGGCCGTATTGCTTTGTAGAACGTGGGGAAATTGCTCACTGACGTTGAAACTGAGGACTCCGATTTTGACAAGTTGGACTGCCCTCGTCTGTCAGAACCCAGCGTTGTGTTAGAAGGTGGGGCACAGAAGGACTGCGGCGTCGAGAAGCTGGCCTGTTCCCGTCTTTTGTGTCGCGGGGTGGTGATTGTGAAAGATGGTTAGCAAACGCTCTCGAGCTTGGTTGAGTAGTGTGGTGTCAATAATGCGACTTGTCGGGCTGTGGCGTGCGGGCGTGAGTGAGCGGGCGAGTGTTGTACAAGTCTTAGTGCGCCTGCCGCATTTAACGGTCTCTAAGTTGTTCAATTATGTTTGTCTGTCTACTACCTAGATACATCAATTAATTGTACGTTGACGTCACATGCAACTTTCCAAATTCCACACTCATACGTGTATGTACAGACACATGACAGCAAAACCGACGCTGAATAATATGCGCAATCTATCAGAGAGACGATGTCTTGTCACATTTCATAAGACATTATCTTTCGTCAGTGAATTCAGTTGTAGAGATTGCTATTAGTTTGATATCACACAGATAACTGCTTGCCAGCACAAACACATCCCCCGAGGAGCTTCCTATGCACGTGTGCAACGCAACAACATCAAACAAATGCAGATAATCATTCTTACAATTTCCTTGCGCATCGCCAATCCTAATACTTCTAACCAATTCGTGACGACATTAGATGCAGCCATTCACCATACGAACTCTGACAGCGCAATGTAATTCGAATTCACCTCCGAAATGTTCCCTGGAACATGCATATACCCGGCGAAAGACTGCATGATTCTTCATGAACAGCGTCTACCACAACATTTCCATACTCACAGGTAGCTCTACATGGGTATTGAGTATACTATGGTCCTAAAACCCGCTTAAATATGTCCCTTGCCTCTCACGAAATGGAGTTAGACATGGGAGTCGTTGTTTCTCTTCCATGAAATGCCACGCAGTCGTGCAGACTTCACATGTCCTAGAAGTGAAGAAGAAGAATCAAGTGTTATTAGTAGGAAGGACGGACGAGTCAGAGTAATGAAGATACGGAAGCCAATACCTGGAATGATACAGTGATGACTCTTTTGGTGACCGAATCTACGAAACACGCATGAGCAGCTTAAAGTCACACATGAGGCCAACGGTTGCTTTGAACGCAGTAGATGAGAGTAAAATACATCGGACATCATGCCCTTCATTTACTGTGTGTCAAATATGTTAAGTGAAAGGGATCCTAACTGATAAGAACTGAGTTTGAGTCTTGTTGAATCGACCGCCCAAATGCAATAACGTACAACCCCATTTGATGCCAAACGAAAAATAAACGAAACAAATGCAAAATCCCCGTCATGCAAGAAAATTCAGTACCCGTGACGCTATCCTGTCTTCAATGTTGAATGCAACCCTGCTAATGTATGGCCGGTAATCATGTTCTCCCTATTTCCCAAGAACATAACAACTAGACTTTTTGCCCGCTTAAAAACGCCAGTTCCCCGTTTTCTAATTCTACTACTTTAGAAAAGCCCGTCAATCTCACCAGTCTCCGTGTCGACATCGACATTGAGATAACCGGGGGCGGTGGGCAATCCCGGAATGGTCTGGATATCAGCCGCAAGTGCGTAGAGGTAACCTGCACCGGCGGCCATCCTGACATCACGGATTGGCACCGTGAAGCCCGATGGTGCGCCCTTGAGTGCCGGATCGTGAGAGAGAGAGTATTGTGTCTTAGCTATACAGATAGGAAGGTTGCCGAGACCCTGCTTTACGTAGGTGTCGACCTTCTTCTGGGCGAGTTCCGAGAACTCAACTTTATCGGCGCCATACATTTGCTTGGCAATGCTCTCCATGCGCTCCTGCACGCCACCTTCAAGGTTGTAGAGCAGCTTGAAGTCCGGCTTGGGTTTGGAGCTGGCGGCAATGATGCCTCTGGCAAGGTCGACAGCACCTTTGCCTCCTTCAGCCCAGTGGTTGGCGGGGATGGCGTCCTCTGCGCCGGCTGCAAGTGCCTCCTCCTTGATCACATCAATCTCTGCCTGCGTATCGGTTTCGAAGCGGTTGATGGCCACGACAACAGGCACGCCATATGATTTCGCGTTTGCGATTTGCTTCTTGAGATTGACACATCCTGCCCGAAGAAGCTCGACGTTTTCAGTTCGGTAGACTTCTTGTAGCTGTGCACCTGGCGCAATATCTGGACCGCCACCGTGGACTTTGAGTGCTCGCACAGTAGCAACAATGACCACTGTGTCGGGTACTAAGCCTGAAGCTCTGCATTTGATGTTGAAGAATCGCTCGCCTCCCATGGTGAAATCGAATCCAGCTTCCGTAACCACATATCCAGCCTTTTCTTCGGCATCTTCGTCCGGCTCTGTGCCTGCGAGTTTAAGAGCTAATTTATCAGCGAGAACCGAGGAGGCTCCGATACTGATGTTGGCGAATGGGCCGGCGTGCACAAAAACAGGTGTTCCCTCCAACGTCTGCATCAAGTTGGGCTTGATAGCATCCTTGAGCAGAGCGGTCAAAGCGCCTCCAGCTCCGATATCATCGCAGGTCACAGGGTCGCCACTGCGAGAGCTGGCCACAACCATACGGCCGAGGCGCTCGCGCATGTCGTCGAGGTTGTTACTGAGCGCAAGAATGGCCATACATTCGCTGGCAACTGAGATGTCGAACCCAGTCTCACGGGTCTGTCCTTTTTCGGTCGGCGCTTGTCCAACCGTAATGGCACGCAGATGCCTGTCGTTCACATCAAGAACTCTGCGCCAGGTGATGGTCTCAGGGTCAATATCCAGTCTGGCGAAACGTCGGATTTCCTCCTCAGTAAGCTCGTCAGGGTTCGTCTTGTCAATGCCCAGCTTCTTCAGACGACGGAACATGATGGGTGCAAATTGACGTTTTCCTTTCTTGGTAGGAACTAGTCGTTTGTACAATGGTCCGTCTTTTTGCGTGTTTTCGTGGAAAATGCGTGTCTCAATGGCTGCAGCAAGCAGATTGTTCGCTGCGGTGATGGCATGAATGTCGCCAGTGAGATGAAGGTTGAATTCATCCATGGGAATGACCTGGCTGTATCCACCTCCAGCAGCACCTCCCTTGATACCAAAGGTAGGTCCCATGCTAGGCTGTCGAACGTTGGCGAAACTAATCTTGTTCAAGTGCGCACCCAGCGCCTGCGCTACACCGATGGTAGTGGTAGATTTACCCTCTCCGAGCGGGGTAGGAGTAATACCCGCTACGAGAACGTATTTACCATTCTTGCGGTGTTCGAGGCGCTTCAAGAGGGCCAAATCAACCTTTGCTTTTGTGGAACCGTAAGGCTCCACTTCATGAGGCAGGATACCAACCTCGTCGGCCACGTGGGTGATTTGCTTTGGGTATTGTTTGCGAGAGATGGCAATGTCAGACGGCACAGGAGTTTGAAGCTTGATGCTGAGGGGGCTGATGTGGCGTTTCTTTTGCCTATCAAAGGTGGCGTCTGCCGAATCGACGACGTTCTGCAATAGCATGGCCACGGTCATGGGACCCACACCTCCGGGAACGGGAGTGATGTGCGAAGCAACCTCGACTGCCGAGTCATAATCGACATCGCCCACCAGTCTCTGGCCTGACTTCTTGGTGGAATCGGGAATGTAGTTGGTGCCAACGTCAATGACAACAGCGCCCGGCTTCAGCCAATCACCCTTGACAAAGTGCGGTTGACCGATAGCAGCGACGACAATATCGGCCTGTTTTATCAATTCGGGAATGTTGGCAGTCCTGGAGTGGCAAACAGTGACGGTAGCATCGGCGTTTTTCAGAAGGTAGCTGACGGGGCTACCCACGATATCGCTCCTGCCTAGGACCACAGCATTCTTGCCCTTGATGTCCACACCAGCCTCTCGTAGGAGAACCATAACTCCCTTGGGAGTGCAGGGGGTGAACAAGGGCTGGCCTCCACGCTTAGCTAGTTCTCCTATGCTCGAGATTCCGAAACCATCGACATCTTTAGTGTCAGCGACGGAGGACGTGATGGTGTGCTCGGAGATGTGTTTGGGGAGCGGCAGCTGGACCAGGATGCCATGGATGTCGGTAGAGTTGTTGTAATTCCAGATGGTTTGGAGCAGCTCGGCCTCGGAGACGTCTTCGTCGAACTTGACCAACTCGCAGTCAATGCTAGCCTCTTCGGCGGCCTTGAGCTTCATGCGCACATAGGTGCTCGAGTCAGAGCGGTCGCCAACCTGGATGATCTTCAGCGACGGCCTGTACCGAGGGTTGGTCTCTTGTCGCTGCTTGATCTGGGCACCCAGACGCTCGCGAATGCTGCGCGCAATGGCGGTGCCATCGATCTTGGAGGCCGTCATGGCGGGCGCCGTGTGGGAAAAGAGCCTTCGCTGCTGTCGGTGGGCTGGCGCACAGGCGGATTGTAAGGGCAGATGGGAGCGCAGGCGGCGTGGATGCAGCTGTAGACAGAGGCGTGACGATGGGCGAGGAAGGTGTGGTAGCGGCGGGGTAGCTGCAGATGTTGTAGCTGGCGGAAGCGGAAAACCGCGGCGTCGCGTCAAGGTGCAGATCGATATCGGAGGTCGTCCCCTCATCATCGCGTCTTATCTCTTCTTTTCCTTTTGCGGCCTCTCTTTTCTTCTAACAGTCTAGTTTCAATCGCAATTTCTCCGTTGGATCCTGCTTTGCCTGTGTGGGGGAGTTAAAATATATCTAAGCTGGTAGTAGGTAGATAACAAAGATTTTCGAGCTAAAGCCACGCCGACGCGTCCGATCTCGCCCCCGGCCATCCACCATGAACATGTTCTCGCACCGACAACGACCCCCGATAGTCTACTCGGTGATAGTATATCCAAAAATCTTATGAGCATCTAACAGCTCATGGGATGGTGGCTAATCAACACAAGGTGTTGTTCGTGGGTTCACCATCACAATCCGAAAATACTGACTAACGATGCGCCAAAAAGTATCACGTGGGGGTATCATAAACTACATTTTATTACTACATATTCATAGTCATGGTGGAAGCTAGGTTTCACTAGAGCTAGTTTTGAATTCCGAGTACGGCATTGATTGTGTTCTTCATATTCGAAGACACGTGCACGCGAATCTCCTCAATCATCTTCCATGTGTCCATCAGGACACCGAAAAGCACGAACAGCGCCTGGGACTTGGCCTTGAGTTCCTCGCGATGGTCCGGGTGACAGTATCGACCGAAACTGTCCGGGTGCCACTTGAGGCGCTCTGTCTTGAGGAATTCGAATGAGAACGCATCCGAACCACTCAGAAGCTTCTTCAAGTCGTGAGCACAGATGCCCAGCTCTCCACCCTTGGCCAATTCGCACCGCTCGTTCCTGCATGTATCCATGTACTTTTTGGGATCAGGGAATGCACGAATTGCACCGGCACCGGCTCCCATGAGAAGAGTAGTCGTTGTCTTCCAACGAGTATAGGCCTCTCGGGCGTCGACCTTCTTCTCTTCCAACGTGATAGAGTTTTCTAGAAAGAAGGATCAAGTCAGTAAATCGTGAGCAAGGGTACTTGCACCTATTTGAAATCTCAACATGTCACACTTACCATGTGCCCAGCCCCTAACACCTTCGCTGTTCTGCACCAGAAGCCATCCATTGCCGACGTTTTGCAGAACCTGAACGCGTTCTCCGCCTGCCATCGCTAGTTCCCACCTGTCCTTTGCGTGAGTCCTTTTATTGGACTTGGCACGAGCCCATTGAGGGTCGCCTTCTTTGGTATCGGTACGATCCGCAACGTTCATGGCCTGCCTGGTTGACGCTTCACCAGTAGAGTTCGCACCGGGCTGCTTTTCCTTTGCAACGTGACGGTGCGCGTTAGTGAGACCTGGGATCTCTTGACCTTCGAGCCGCGAGAACATTTCATCAGGCTCAAGGCGTAGAACGAGATCGGGCTCCTCGTCTGCTTGTTTGGTTTTGACGATCAGGAAACTACCGCCAGTAGGCGAATGGGGGCCGATGGAAACGTGCTGGATGTGGTGGTTAGCATTTTGGTCAAGATAAGGAGATGGGTCTGCTCATACCGCGATTGACTCGAGCAATTCTTTGCTGTTACCCCACAACATCTTCCATCCTTTCTCCAAGGCTCCAGCCTGGAAAAACCACTGTGACTTGCTAGGCTCCACTCCCTCGATAAAGAAGCTGCCGGACTTGTGCCAAGTAACATTCTTCACGTCTCCTGGTCCAAAGATACCGGCTGCGCCAGTGACTCTATAGTGTGTATACCATGTTAGCATAATCCAACTGAAGATTTGATTTTGGAACATAAGTAGCTGCTTAATCCCTCAGAACACCACGCCATGGGTCGTCTGATAGTTGATAGCTCCATACTTGGGGAATAACATACGTCTCATCGAGCTCGTTCAAGGAGCTGAGGGTTTTCAGAGTCCGAAACATTTCCTTGGGAAGCCCGTCGCAGATCCAGAAGCTGCCACTCCAAGCGACGTAAGAGCCGTTGTCGCCAAGCTGAACACGAAGCTGGGCTGCCAGCTTGTGGAATGTCGTCGAGACGTGGCGGAAGAACTGGTCAAGGTTAAAGGGCAATTTCTTGCCACCGCGGAATTCGCAGCTGCCATCCTTCTTCTCGTATAAGAAGAAGTAAGATTTATCTACGTGTCCAAAGGAAGCCCAAAGGACCTTTCGGACTCTTCCGCTGAGCAAGTCCTCAAGAACACATGCCGGAACCGATGTACTATCTTTCTGTCAGTGTCCCGTTCCTTCGCAGTACCCACAGAGAAGTACTTACGCGTAGTAGCCATTGGGCGTGCCGAGAAATTGCTGTCCCGCTGGGCCAAAAGCCGTGAAATATTGGTCGGGGCTGAGGGGCTCCAGCTGCGCAAGAGCCTCTGGCAAGTCGATAGTCTTGGGTGTCATCGTGGAGACTCGATTGGGCAGTATTTGGTAACTATATTGGTTCTTAGCTTGGTGTCCAATACGTCAGAAAGGCAGTATTGGATTGTTAGTATGACCAAGCAGGTGGTGGTGGACAAGTTTGAGTTCGCTGGGGGAGGTGCGTGTTAACTGTCTGGCTGCCAAGACCTTATTTGCGGTGACTGCAGCTATTGAGCCACCACCGCCACCGCTCAATTTACCTTCACCTTGAAAGCAATCATAGTACGCAAGTTGAAAGCTGCCTATGCTTGCTGACATCTGCACCCGTTCCCCCACTAGAGCAGCGCTTTCTCCGGGTATATGTAGGCAGGGCAGTGTCTTGGGCGAGGCGCTGCGTGAAGACAATAGACTTACAGGCTCATGAAATTTTCCTGGATACTGCGTCGAATCTTTGAATTTGTTAGGATCATTGCCTGCGAGAATAGGCTCCGCTAACCCTAGGATAAATCGTGTTTGTGGTCATTGATAGCAAACTATATGTTGGTGGTAGATTGCCATGTCTTGGTAGATCAGGCTTGCTACTCTTTCGATCCAGTCCGATTGACCCCAAATTTGAATATGCAGGCCATCCAGCGGTATATCAGGTCGTGAAGTTCTTTTATCCGGGTGTCGTGAGAAGCGGCGATATGTTTTGTTGTTGCTCCGATTCGACCATGTAGATCATGTTGACAAGGAGAACATATTGCTGAGCATCAAGGAGTCAAAACAGCAGACGAAGCACAAGCGTCACGGTCAAACTCTCAACAAGCCAAATACTAAGTCTCCTTTTGAGATGTTTCCGAAATGAAGAGCTTGTTTATTTTCCTATTCTATCTCTTGCTTGCGGTGGACGATGTGCTCCGTGTGCTCTGCTCGGCCCCAGGGCGAACCGTCATGGCTTGTTCAAAGCAAACAGGTACTCAATCCCTTTCATGCTGTTTTTCAAGTCCATATTCCACGGCGGTGCCAATATGAAAGTAGGATTGATCTGACAAGGAGCAGGATCGACGTGATAACAATTCCTACGAAGTCCGTTTCTTCTGACTCATATCAGTCACTCATCATCTGTTCTGAGGTCCTTCCTATATGGTTCACTGGGTGAGTCAAAGGAACAAGTGACTCATACACCGTATTGTTCGACTTCCGAAGCAATCTGAGTGGCAGAAAGAGATGGATAGAGACGGGAAACATGATCAGCGACGATGTTGCAGGCGAACGAAGCGTTCAGATGTTCCGTTAGACCCCCGCGATACCGGATGTGGCTAGCGCCATGACAGCCCACTTCAACACCAAGACTTCGATATCAGAAGTCGGGTCTGTCAAAATCCATAAAAGCTGCCCCACGCCACACACTCCTTCCGATACCTCCCCGCACATTCGATACATCATAATGAGGCCAATTTTGCTTTCCGGACACGAGCGTGCGCTCACCCAAGTCAAATACAACCCCGATGGCGATATCATCTTCTCAGTCTCCAAAGACCATGTAGTGTGCGCATGGTGTTAGTCTCCGCCTACACCCTGGAAAGATTGCTTTTTGGCTCACACGGATACAGACTCTCACAATGGCGAGCGCTTTGGAACCTATCACGGCCACCAGGGAGCGCTCTGGACCGTTGACGTCGACCCCACCTCCACACTCCTCGCAACGGGCGGCGCAGACAACACAATGCGACTGTGGGAGGTCAAGACCGGCAGGCTGTTGAAGACTTGGGAGTTCCCTACCTCCATCAAACGCGTCGAATTTTCCGCCGACGGAAGACAACTGCTCGGTGTAACGGAGAGGCGCTCTGGGCACACCGGTTCCATTGTCGTGTACGAAATCAACCCGGACGTTGAAGCAGAGCAAGCGGACGAGCACGTTTTGAGGATAATCTGCGAAGACAGCAAGGCCACCGTGGCGGGCTTCAGCTACCTGGCGCAGTACATTATTGCTGGCCATGAAGACGGTACTGTTTCTCAGTACGACGGAAAGAGCGGCGAGCTTTTGTATAACACACAGGTCCATGAGCCGGACGTGCAGAACCAAAGTAAGGATGGTTGCAATCTTTGTATTGGCGTTGTGCTAACTCTGCCAAGTCACCGATCTCCAATGGGCACCAGACCGAACATACTTCATCACTGCGTCCAAGGATAAGTCGGCAAAGGTATGGCTACATGTATTAACAACTCCAGACTTTCGCTTACAAGTTATAGATCCTCGCCGCAGACAGCCTCGAAGTCTTCAAGACATATCAAACAGATACCCCTCTCAACAGTGCCGCCATCACTCCCGTAAAGGACTTCGTCATTCTCGGTGGTGGACAGGCAGCCATGGACGTCACCACCACCAGCGCACGACAAGGAAAGTTCGAAGCCCGTTTCTGGCACAAGATCTTTGCGGAAGAGATCGGACGTGTGAGGGGTCACTTCGGCCCGCTCAACTACGTGGCTGTGCACCCCCAGGGCACTGGATACTGCAGCGGTGGTGAGGATGGTTACGTACGTGTGCATCATTTCGACAAGCCATACTTCGACTTCTTGTACGAGGTTGAGAGGGAGCAGTTGCAGGCGCAGTCAAACTTGTAGGCTGTTGCTGCCCATGATATGATGCATATAACGGCGTTACGGGGGGCTGGTATCATTTGTTGGATCTTCAAAATGGTCTATGATTCTGAAGAGCGTTTCATAAGATGGAAATGAAAAGTGTAGATCTTCAAGGATCAGGGGCAGATTACTAATGCCTTTCCTCATAATGCGGCAGTGAGTGAGGCGATTGCATCGTTTGCGTGTACACAGTAGAGGAACATGAGGCTGCTTAGACGGCTGCTATTGGTCGAGAGATTTGGTAGCGGGGCGACCTGACGCCACCCTTGTCACTTTGGCTCCAATGTCTTCTGTCTCCATCCCACACTCATCACATCAGTCTTCACACACAGATTCTTCGTATCCCAGAAATGCCTATGATGATCTTCTCAAGATGCTCGTGAGACCTGACCGTCGTCAAACTCAAGCGCGTCATCATCGTCAGCGGCAGCCCCTCATCCGTCGCCGACACGCTGATAACCCCCAGCAGCAGCCCCAGCATCTAAGCGTGAACAAATACCTGTACATTGATCACTCCTCTGATAACCGAGGGAATGCCCACATACTCACGAATCTGCAGAGCTAGCTTCTTCATTTTCGTGGTAGTTTCACTCTACACTTTCATGCACGTCGGTATGTCGTCGAATGCGGCGGGCAACCAAGACGCTCAGAGCTTCCACTATCAGTTTGAGACTCTAGCGGGTTATTTCAAGCAGAGCGATGCGGATACAGATGATGCAAGCTTTGATTTTGTAAGTCGTCGCTCGTCTAGTTCGGCAAGGTTGGGGAGAGGGGCGCGAGTTGACAACGAGCCAGATCAAAGAGAAGTTTGGTCTCATAAGTCGCTCCTACTCTACCGAGACGGGTACTGCAGGCTCCCTCACCCAATGGGAAAGATTCGAGAAGCATATCCGACAACTGGATGAGCAGAGTGCTGCCGATGAGAGTGTCAAGGTACTCTTCCTAGGCCGTCACGGTCAGGGGTGGCACAACGTGGCAGAAACTGTAAGAAAAAGATTGTTCACAATATTAGGGGGAGTAGATGTATTGAAACAGAGTCTAGAAATACGGGACCCCCGCGTGGGATTGTTACTGGTCTCTCCTTGATGGAGCTGATGGGATAACATGGAGTAACGCCAACTTGACGGAGCTGGGTCAGGGACAAGCCAAGGACGTGAATGCGCTTTGGAAAGAGCTGTTGGGCGAGGGGATCCCAAGCCCCGAGACATTTTATGTCAGCCCATTGACAAGAACGATCGAGACGGCGGATCTCAGTTTCAAAGGTGTACCGTTCGCAGAGGTAAAGGAGTACAAGCCGTTCATCAAGGAGGTATGTGTGCGATGACAAGAAGGAGGAGTGCTGTGCTCATGACAAGCAGCTTGTTCGAGAAGCTCTCGGCGTACATACTTGCGATCGCCGCAGCAAGGCATCTGAAATCGTCGCAGAGTTTCCACACGTGACCTTGGAACCTTCTTTCTCGGAAGAGGATGTGCTATGGAAAGCCGACTATCGGGAACCACGCCTAGCACGCAGATACCGGCTCAAACTGCTCCTGGACGATATCTTTGACAGCGACAAGGGAGTTTTCTTGTCACTGACCAGTCACTCGGGTGCGATCAGGAGTATTCTGGAAGGAGTTGGTCACCGAGATTTCGGCTTACAGACGGGAGGGGTGATTCCGGTGGTAGTCAAGGCGAAGAGAATCAAGGCAGAGAGGGAGAAGCCGCCGGAGGAACCGAGCGAGGGACCTCCGGCCTGCAAGGAGCCTCCTTCCGGGGATTTGCAGAGTTAGTCTACAAGCAACCACTTTATGGTGCTGAACTTGAATGCATGGATGCGGTCAAAATAGAATCAAAAAGTCAGCAATCGTTCCATCGCAGTACTTGAGTGCATGAGCCAATGGCGCATCGGAGCGGCGGGCAGGGTAAAGTTTATGGCTGAGTGAGCAGCGAGCCGAGAGGTGGGAGTGCGGTTCCGACGCGCCGGGGCACGCAATTGTCGTATGCGCATGTCGCGCAGAGTAGAGATGACGGGAATATAAAAACGGACGAGGGTCCAGCGTACCATGGTGTCGAGCCATGTCAGCCTGTTCTTGTTCTTGCCCTCGTCCTCGTGCTTTCCCAAACACCCCGCAACACATGTCGGCCGCATGCATGTACAGTATGTACCGTACCTAGGTACTGATGACACCACCATGAGCCATGCAATCTTCCTCCCTATATACAGCTCGGATGCCGATCGATTGAACGCGCCTTGTTCCTGCCCAAGACGGAGGTTGGAGGAGGAGGGGTTGCATCCTGACTGTGGGGTAATATCCCCCATTAGCCGACTCATCGCACGCAATGGACACCTGCTGCTCCCCACCCCTGCTGTCTGTCGCCTTGACGGCACGACGCAATGCACGAGGAGGATGGAGGATGGAGGATGAAAGGAAGGGAAGGCTGAGGGCCGCCAACAAGAGCAGATGTTCTTAAACAAGGCCATGTCTCTCGCCGTACCTCGGAAACCGATACCCCGCCGTCGCTTTAACAAGTCAATACCTACTCAAGTGCTGTACATGCTTGGATACCTAGGTAGCACCAACTGCGACGACACACACTAACTAACTGCAAACCGTTCATCGGTCCTTGAGCTTGCCGTCACCGCGGCCGAGAATCGCTCTCCACGCCCACCTCTCTTCCTCGACACCGTTTCTTGTTGTCGCATTATCGCCTACCCGCCCTCACCCTACACTACCCATCTCTTCCGAGGTAAACCGTTTGCTCGCATTCCGCCTCGCCGACAGCCAAGATGCGGGCAGCTATACCCTCTCCCTCCTCTGCTGCTGGTCTGCGCGCAGCTTCTCTTCGTAGCCGTGGCTTTGCAACTAGATCGCTAGCTCTCCAAACAAACAAGACCATCACCAACACCACCACTTCCTCTGCTGTCACAAGCTCCAGATCCCAGGTCGCCGCTTCCCTGCTCTCCCGATCCTCCCCACGCTTCGTCCCTGCCATTGCCGACCAATTCGCACTCCGACACCAGCGGCGCACCATGGCTTCCTCTACAGGCTTCAACAAGATCAAGGTCAAGAACCCCGTCGTGGAGCTGGACGGCGATGAAATGACCAGGATCATCTGGCAGGAAATCAAGAACAAGTTCATCCACCCGTACCTGGACATCGACCTCAAGTACTACGACCTTGGTCTTGAATACCGCGACCAGACTGAGGACAAGGTGACGCTGGACGCTGCCGAGGCCATCAAGAAGTACTCGGTCGGTGTCAAATGCGCCACCATCACCCCCGATGAGCAGCGTGTCGAAGAATTCAAGCTCAAAAAGATGTGGCTTTCACCCAATGGCACCATTCGCAACCACCTGTAAGTTTTGGAAATTACTTAATTCCGATATACCATGGCATTCGCTGACGGCTTGCTAGAGGAGGAACCGTTTTCCGCGCCCCCATCGTTATCCCTCGTGTCCCTCGTCTCGTGCCTGGCTGGAAGCAAGCCATCATCATCGGACGTCATGCTTTTGGCGACCAATACCGTGCGAAGGACCGCGTCATTGATACCGAGGGCACACTTGAGATGGTCTTCACCCCCAAGGGTGGAAAGCCCGAAACCGTCAAGGTCTACGACTTCCCTGCTGGCGGTGGTGTCGCTCAGACCCAATACAACACGTCCGAATCCATCCAGGGCTTCGCACACGCCTCGTTCAAGCTTGCGCTTGACAAGAAGCTCCCGCTCTACATGAGCACAAAGAACACTATTCTTAAGGCATATGATGGCCGGTTCAAGGACATCTTCCAAGAAATCTACGATACCCAATACAAGAAGGACTTCGAGGCCAAGGGCATCTGGTACGAGCACCGATTGATCGATGACATGGTCGCCCAAATGATCAAGAGCGAGGGAGGCTTCATCATTGCTATGAAGAGTACGTGTTTTTTTACTCTACGTTCATCATAATATGAGCACCTGCTAACTGTATCAGACTACGATGGAGACGTACAATCCGATATTGTCGCCCAAGGATTCGGTTCTCTCGGTCTCATGACCTCTGTCCTCATCACCCCCGATGGCAAGACCTTCGAATCCGAAGCCGCTCACGGAACCGTGACCCGCCATTACCGTGAGCACCAGAAAGGCCGCGAAACCTCCACTAACCCCATTGCCTCCATCTTCGCCTGGACCCAGGGTTTGGCCAAGCGTGGAGAGCTCGACGGCACGCCCGATCTCGTCGTCTTTGCTGAGCAGCTGGAAAAGGCTTGCGTCGACACTGTGGACATTGACGGCGTCATGACCAAGGATCTCGCCCTCGCATGCGGTAAGAAGGATAGGAGTGCTTGGGTCACCACGAATGAGTACCTGGAGGCAGTCGAGCGGAGGCTGAAGGCCAGCTTGAAGCAGAAGCTGTAAAATGTTTTGCGCCAAAGCCATCTATGTAGACCCCTTGTAGATATGTCTGGTCTCTCTAGGATAGCTGGATCTTGCTTTTTTGCATATACGAATATTTGCGATTCCCATCAAAAAAATCTCCCTGTTTCCCAGATATCAATCAACTTGATTTGTGATGCGTGGACAAGATCTGCCCCTCTTTTGATTTATGTACATTCGTTAAGGATTACCCTGAGTACACATGCCTATATATTGTCGTGTGTTTTTCATCCAAGGAGCAGTACTTGACGTCTGCTTGTCTGTTTTGAATGTGCAAAAACGGCAGCAGTGCTTTGCCTGCGTCAATGTCTCACAATACCAGTTTGCCGTATCAATTTGTGTGCAGCCGCATGTGCTTGCTGATTTGTTTTTTCGTCTTTTGCGCACTTGCATGTCTCTCATATTCCGCCCCTCTAATTCTATTTGGTCGTGTGCCTGCTCGCCTCCGTGGAATTGGATGAATGCTAAGACAGCTCGTGTCGAAGCGTCGCAATCACTGAGCCACTACCCCAATTGACACTGAGACATGGTGATACGGCCAGTGGTCTTAACGTCTCCAAAACAAGGTCTTCGATTAAAATATCATATCATCTACAAGATGCAGGGCATTGGGAGGCGTTCCCACTGACGGTTCTCCGAACACCCGTCACGTGCTTACCATTCACTCTCCAGCATTGCAAGTACACCCCGCCACAACCCCTCCTTTAGCGTCCGACTCTCCATAAAAGGAAAGTTTGCTCTTTTCAAGGCTGCTCAATCGATTGGGAAACCAGATAAGACGGGTACTAAATGAGTTTCCCCGGCGACGCCTGCCTGAAGCAAACGCAACGACGAACGCATTCACACACCCAAGATATGTAAACAAGTCTCCGACCCTTCTGCTCGCACCTCAGCTCTCTCTGCCACCGTCATACAGACCGTCCAAGCATTCAGAAAGAAAGGAACATCTGCATCACTCTGTTCATCAGCTACATGCCTTCTCTGCCTCACAGCAGCAACTTCACTTCAAACACTGTCCCCAACTACAACAACAAGCTTCACTCAGACGACAATAATCGGCCGCACACAATGCCAGCTCCCCAAGCCGCTGTGTCTGCCACGCCAAAGTCTCCGCGTCTCGCCTCCAAGACAGACGCTCGATCTCCGCCATCGATGAAGAGATCGGATCAACCGCTTACTATGCCAACTACACCGCGCTCCATCATCTCTACGACTCCACCTCACAGCCCATTGCCTCGACAGAGAGATGTCAAGTCTGTGTCGCCATCGACTCCTGTGAGGCTGAGGCTGGTTGAGGTGCGTGGGACGATGGATAGGAATGGGAGGTTCATTCCGGGTGCGAGAAGTCCTTCGAAGACGCCTGTCAAGACGCCTGTCAAGACACCGATCAAGACGCCTACGAAGACACCTGCCAAAACTTCCACCCTTTCAACTTCTCAGAAGTTGGCAAGTGGTCTGAGTGGCGGGTCGCAGACTAGTAAAATATCGAAGTCTGATGGCGCTATGCCTCCTTCTAAGATTCCAACTATCACGCGCGCCGGTAGAACTATGAAGACCCCCTTGACATCTTCTTGTTCGAACGGCAAGGCTTCGAAGGCGATTGATGCTACAAAAGCTTCTTCAAGAATTCCTCGTCCCTCCAGATCGGCAATTCGTTCCAAAGCTTCCTCGAAATCAGATGCGTCTTCGAAACCATCTCGATCGTCAAGACCTCCACGGCCCAAAGCTTTGGACACGGGAATGAAACGCCAACCCAGCAACTTGAACGGTCGCGCAAGAATGTCTACAGTACGTAGTCAGACAAGACCTCAATCCGCGACCCTCAAGTCCATGCTGCAGAGATCACGTCCCAAGGCTCCTCCTCCTCCTAAGGTTCGCAACAAAGAAGCGTGCAAACCACAACCCAACATCACCACGACCCGCGTTAAATCTATCATCGTCGGACACTCCAACATCACCACCCGAAAGGCGCGGTCCAAGTCACCCCCGAGCATTCCTCCTGCGAAGGAAACTCCTCCCTCTAATCCTAAGACTACGGATTCAACTGACAAGCAGGAGCCAAAGGGTCCAACTAACAAACAACAGAAAGACGACGGTAAGACTACTAACTCCCCCCCACTAACCAGCACAGCAAAAACGCAGAAAATCCACGCCTTAATCTCTAAGCTCCACACCAAAATCGACAACATGAAACTAGATCCTCTCCAATGCACCAACCCCGTGGCAGCACCTCAGACTTCCAAAATCCCCATCCGATCCACCAAACCCATCAAAACCGCAAAAAAGCACAACATCTCCCGCGCCCCCCCGAACCCTCTCAACCTCACCACTACAGCCAAACCCTCCAAAATCCCCACTAGACCCCCGAAAAAGAAACCCTTCAGACTCCGCATCGACCGCATCTCCTTCGAGCCCATAGGGAAAGAACCAACGTATCCCACAAACCCGCTAAGTCCCTCCTCTTCTTCTTCCTCGAGTGCTAGTTCTGCTCACCGTGACTGCAGCAACTCGTTCCCGCCTGAACGTATCGGACCAGAGTTGGCTGAAAAGCTCGATCGAGCTCTCGATGAGCATGAGCGTGTGTTGAGCGAGTATCGGCAGAAGCTTTGGGAGGATTGGAAGCCTTGGAATCAGATGGTTGCGTGTGCGATGCCGCGTAGGAGAGGTGGTGCTAGGAGGCGCATTGCGTGGAGGGTTAAATGGTGATGGGGTGGTTGGAGGGATGAGTAGGGAAGCGTTTTCTTTTGTCTCTAAGGAATTGGATCTTGTTAGGGGTTTTGTAGCGGGTTATGACACTTTGACGCGGGGGGGGGGGGGTTTCCTCTAATTTTAGTAATGGGAGGGTGGTGTTTTGTGGCATTTGGTGAGCTTGTTAGTTAGACCATTATGTATACTAGTTCCGAATGAATATTTTTTTCTTTTTATATGCGTTGACAAAGCAGCGTCTTGTTGCCATGCGTAGTTGTTCAGTAGTTGACGGACCGATTGTGTGTTTGAAGGTCTGGTAGGTAGCATTCAAGGCGTGTTGACGCGACCAGGAGAGGTTGATGCGGGGATGATTATGCACTACTTGTCTATCAGTAAATCCAATGCAACATCAATAATCCTTGATACCAAATATTTTATCAAACATCAGGATCGGTGGAAGCAATGAAGCATCGATGACTACAGGGCCTAGAAGGTTGCCTATCGATAAGCTGTTAGTAGTTTCCTATACGGGCTAGCTTACTGTAGGCTGGAGAATTGGCTTCACAACATACCTACTTCAGTACTTACATATGTACGTCTCTCTACCGTTGTCTCACCTCTACTTCGTAAGTGACCCAGACTCTACGGCGGCGGTGGAAGGCACCGTAAACATATCGTACTCTTCATGCCAGACAGAGAAACGTCTAGAGCCAAGAAACGGAAAACACGCCACTTTCGACCGGTATTCAGGATGTCTCGCGCCACGGAACCACCACAACAACCCCCGTCATCAATTCTATCTGCTCTTGTTGATGAAGTGCTTCTTTCCATCATCGATCAGATCGATTCGCGCGAGAACCTGATTAATCTCGCGTGTACTTGTGCACGATTCCAGAGCCTGGTGGAGCCTTACCTATGGCGTAGTCTGTTTGTGACGAGGGGCGACCATGCTCGCGAAGTCGCTTGTGCTCTCGACAGCAGGGAGCAGCGTCCTTCTCATGTCCGCGAGCTCTCGATTAGATATCGTGACGAAGATAGGGAAGGAATCGAAGAGCTCAATCATTTCATTGGTTTGATGGATAAGCTTCGTCACTTGACCATCGAGTCGCCCTGCCCCAACAATTCCGAATGGCATAATAAACACTTTGATGGTAGCACGAGGATCGACTATACTACACTCCTCGAGGCTGCTGTTTATCCCCGCGCCGGACTCCCTGCTATTCTCCCCGCACTGCAATCCTGTAAGTTGTACCCTTGCAGTAGCGTATGGCTATGACTAATTTACCTGTGCAGTGACGCTACACGGACATGGACCTGACGACAAAAAGTTCACATTCGGTCGTTGCGCAGTTGTGTTCCTTCACCCTACTTTACAGCGGATCAAAATCTCGTGTACCAACTTCGATGCAGAAATTACGCATGCGAGTATTTCGTCGAAGAAGCACTCCACACCACTGCAGTCACTTACCCTGATCGAATGCAACGTCAACGTCAAATTCCTCGATGTTGTGCTCAGCCTTCCTAAGGCGTTGAAAGAACTCAATATTGGTGAGCGGGAGCATGTTTTCGAAGACTGTCGCCCGTCATCTGATCCGACCACACAAACCTCATCTCCCCTTTTCGTCGAGTCTCTCGAGCGTCAGGCACACTCCCTCGAACGGCTGAGCCACAACAGCGGCCAAAATGCCTACACTGCACACGCCCAATCACTGGAAACCGGCCATCGCACGCTATGCAATCTCACCAGCCTGGATATCTTGGAGCTAGATTACAACAACATCCTCTTGAGATATCTGAAACAGAACAACTATCCACCATTACTCAAAACGATCAAAATAATCGATGGTGCTCGGGCTTACGGTGCATTGGATGCATTACAGATCGTTTTCCTCGCAAGGGACGTGTACGTATGACCCTGGATACAAGATGGCATGCTGAGAGATAATGTGTCATGCTGTTTTGAAACTTTCAATAAATACACTATTAAGCATACCCTTACGATGCTGATGTTGACTCACAATTCTAGGCTCGAACGCGGCAAAGCGATTGTCCACGATTTACCGGCAACCACCAATTTGGATGTACGTTTCTCAATGGCGAATTACGAAAGACTCGTTGGCGACGAAGTGTTGAGACGTGAGCGTGAATTCATATACCCGCTGTCATCCAGTCTAAAATCACGCAACGCTCGTCTCCGCATCTTCGTACACAAGTTTCCCGGCGTAAAGACCTTCATCCCTCCTTACATGGTGGGTGAAAAGGAACCATACGAGGCGGAGATGTATGATTCTAGCGACTTTTGGTGCATCAGTGGTACCAACTGGCGGTGGAAGGACGATGACGATTACGATATCGAGGGCAAGTGCGAAGCTTGCATTGCGGACGGGTTAGACTGTCGATATGAGGATGGCTCTGATATTTGCATAGACTGTTCGCTTGGATGGCCGGATTGTAAGCCTTGTTTTCGGACATGAGGGGTGTGGAGATGGGCGGTATAGTGTACGTTTGTCACGGTGGAAGGTCTCGCGTGTCTGCTTCCGCGATTGTAACGGTTTGGCAGGCAAGGCTACTCTTGCAAGGGGCCGGGCACGCATATCTCCTTGATGCGCGCCTAGCTGTATGTATGATTTTGTCTGATACAGGCTTGAGTAACAGGCATGCTGTTTATCAGCAACGGACGTGTGCCATGTAGGCCGAGGAAATGAGAAGGAGCAGGACGTGGCGTAGTGGATGGAATGAATACTTGGTCTCAAGAAGACAACCATCGACGCCCCCATTCTTTGCATTGATTGCTTTGCAGCTTGTGGAGTAGACGGTATTGTGTGACGTACATGTATGCTGATTTGGGGGCTGATAGGCGATAGCGAACCCTGGGTGCCCGTAAGATTGAGCAGCCACGATGCGAATTGTTTGACAAGGCCAGAGCTACAGACGTAGTGTCAATTGCTCTCGGTGAATCCTAGATGAAAGCAACTGTAAGTCGGTAAATCATGTTCACGGCTCTAGTAAAACATGGCAGCATCGTGCTGGAACGAACGCCAACCGTTATTCCACGGCCTCATTGTGGGTCGCAATTGGCCCGACCCCACACCATTCAACACCCATCGCACGCATCTGCACGTCTCAAAGCAGAAGGTAGCAGCAACGTTGGGACACACTTGTTGGCGGCATGATTTGATCATTTTTGGTATAAGAAGTCCATGGTCGTCACTCCATCATGTACTTCAGTCTGCGCCTTGACCATCTCCTTGACGCCATGGGTTTCTTGAGGGACTCTTGGTTAGCTTGTGCTGTCCTTGCGACTTCAACCAGTCTTTCTCAGACGGCTGCTACCCGCCAAGTCACGCTTGAAGGATACGGCGCTTTCGTCGGTACGACGATTGACCAGACTCTCACCAAGAAGCCCCTGCCTGCCCCTGTTGACGCATGGCTTGGAATAGATTACGCTTCGCAGCCCACGGGCGACAATCGGTTCGCGCCCATCGGGCCTCCGACGCAGTTTTCGGGAGTCAAGAATGCCACTCAGTATGGATACACGTGTATCCAGGATCCCGCTACCAACACTTACGCCATGGATGAAGCGTGTTTGAATATGAATGTTTTCCGCCCCCAGAATGCATCTTCGGATTCTAGATTGCCCGTGCTCATCTGGATACATGGCGTAGGTCGAAACTGATGCAAAGAATAGACCGCAACAGCTGACTGAATTTACAAAGGGCTCTTTCGTGGGTGGTAGTGCGCGCAGCTTTGATGGTCCTTCATTTGTTGCCAACGCAAAAGAACCATTGATCGTCGTGAACTTCAACTACCGGGTCAGTCTTGTTCCAAGAACCAAAGAGCCTACATGTTCTAATACGCCAGTAATGCAGATCAACTCTTTGGGCTTTCTACCACATCCCATTTTCGAACGCCTTGGGCTGCTGAACCTTGGTCTTCGCGACCAGAAAATGCTGTTCGAGTTCGTACAGCAACACATCCATGCTTTTGGTGGTGACCCTTCACACGTAACCATCGGAGGCCGCTCTGCCGGAGCGCACTCTGTCGGCATCCATCTGTTCCACAATTACAAAAAAACTGAAGGCGCCTCCCCGCTCTTCTCCCAAGCCATTCTGCAGTCCGGCAGCGTCACAGCGCGAACCCTCCCAAATGCCTCGTACCCACTCTACCTCGACCAATTCGCACAGTTCACCGACCTGGTCGGCTGCAGCAACGTTGCCAACAGCACAGATGCCGCTGTCATCGGCTGCCTACGAGCCGCGCCCATCGACCTAATCCAAAACGCCAGCAGCCTCATGTACCGCGAATCCGAATACTCCATCACCTGGCCCTTCCAACCCACAAAAGGCGGACCCCTAATGGAACAAGCCGGCTCCATATCCGGCGCGAACGGCCAATTCTACCACATCCCCACCATGACGACCAACGTGCGAGACGAGGCCAAATACTACACCCCCGGCGACATCACCACAAACGCCGAGTTCCTCTCCTACATGAAGACGCTCATCCCTGGTCTAACGACGCAAGATCTTTCCGACCTCGAATCCCTTTATCCAGACCCCGCACTCGACATCAACGGCCCATACGCATACAGCCCAAACTCGACACAGTACGAGCGACTCTCCGCCGCCGTCAGCGACTTCATGTATATCTGCCCCAGCCAGGAAACCGCCGTCCGCATGTCCGCCGCCAACGTGTCCGTCTACAAAATGCGATTCGCTACTAACAACACGTTCCCCTCGTGGCGCGGGATCCCGCATACCGCCGACACAAAGTACACCTGGGCTGAGCCGGGTGGTGAGGGCGGCGTGCAATATCCGGATGTAGCGAAGCTGCATCATGGGTACTTGTCGAATTTCGTGGTCCATGGAGATCCGAATGGCAGCGGGATGAACGGTATGTTGAAGTGGCCTAGATATGTCGATGCGAATGAAGTAGGGGAGCCTGGGCTACAGATCCGGATCGAGCCGTTTGGGAATAGTGTGCTGGAGAGTGATGGGCATCGCAGAGAGCAGTGTGAGTGGTGGAGGGATCTTGAGAGGGCGGAGAGAATTGGGAAGTGATTGTTTTTTGCAGCGATTTCTACAATCGAAGAGTATTGTTCTCGTGTGATTTTTAATCTCGGGATCGAGCTCCATGGGATCGAGATTTGTTGTTATGATGTCTTTGACATGATACGAGAACGAAGAGATATATGATTCGAATATGATCAAGATATAATAACTCAACGAATCCATCAAAACATAAACCCTCAGAAATGTAGTATACATCCAAATGCATATACATAGGAAAGCCATCGTAGCGAGACGTCCAAAGCCATAGCAGCCAATCTCCCGATAATCCTATACTTACCCCTTGCACAACAAGCGCCACATTCCCCTTCGCATCAATACAAGACCCTCATATATCCATCAAACTAATTCATTCCATCAAGCCAATGAATGAAAAAGAATTCCAACCAGCCTTCCCATATTCCTCTCACGAAGCAATAAGGAACACGTATCACGCAATACATCATCTAGAATGCCGAAGAGTCTAGAGAGCTTGATACTGATACTGTTGCATATCTCCAAGCGAATTGATTTGTATCGTTCTGAATGAACGGCGGATATTTCTGGAAAGCGTCGGAGGTTTCTTCTTGTTGTGTAGATGGGATTGGGGATCTGTATGCGATGTTGGGGGCGGAGCTGAAATAAGATAGGTTAGGACATTTATTCCGGCGTTGAAGAGGAATCAAGCGGAAAAGGCTAAGCGAATGTTGAAGCAGGAGGAAAAGCGCGCGCATCAGTGACAGCGTGACAACGTTGGTGATTCAGAAAAGGGAAATGGTGTCGAGGTCATAGCTTTGGTAGTAATTCGGACAATGAGAATCGAAAACTACACTATCTTGAGCCTCACATGATGAAACATGCATAAACCTAGTCAGGCAGCAGCTACTCTCACCTCAGCAATTAAACGATTGGCTTATGATGCATCTCCAGTAGCGCATCTTTAAGCCCCCAAGCCCCTGTCGAGTCAACAAAGTCCACAATCTCTCAGTTCCTAAATATCTATCCCTTACATCAATATCTCGTTTCTGTAAATCGAACTTCATACATCTTTACCACTCCGCGCAATTCCAGATGGCCCGCTGCAATGCTTGTCTTCACGCCGGCGCAGGCGACGTCGCGCCCACTGCTAGCTGTGTACGTCGGGCATTGGAATACACCAATCTAATCAAGAATTTGACAGTCAAGACGCTGGATCTATACCTGGACAACATTCGACATCTAGCGATCTACGATGAGGCACCCCAAGAAACCAAGGACCCCGATAGCGTCAAGCTTCACATAGCAAAAGTGCTGCGAATACGCCACAGAAGGTTGAAAGAAATTGAGCGGCTTTTTCAGAAGAGTATACTGAGCTACCTGCTTTTAGTTGGGGTCCCCCTTGCGACTGGCAAATCTCTCATGTGTCAGGACTTGATGCGATACATACAGCCAATAGTCGACACTCCGAGCTTGATCAAAGAACTGTTGGATATCATGGACAGGAAGTTGCACAAAAGTGAATCGGGGGTGAACACTGATAGATCAAGATCTGCGTTTGTATCAATCGCACTCGGTGTTGACAGAAACGATAAGCCTGATCACGCATCCGACTTATCCCTGGATATATACGCGTATGGTCTATTCCAACTCTTCTAACCGCATACTCTGACGTGTTGTACAAACTCTAGGAATAATTTGAAGGCAATTAAGGGGCAGAGAGCTGTTTTGGAGAAGAAAATAGAAGCCATTGAGAAGTATGTCTACCAAACGACTTCTTGCCATGTTTCTTCGCGGCTTCTGACACTGCTCAGTTGCAGGACGGATATAATAGAGACGCGAGTAAACGCAGAATGCTTCCATGACTTCAGCTTCGCGAGAGCGCTCGTGAAGTCCAATCTACCTCGTGAGATCAGAGATATCAGTACGTCCTTACCAACCAAATTACAGCGATCACCACATTGATATGTTTTCCTCGTGCCAACAGTATACAATCACCTTGTAGTCAACGAAAATGACTATATATTGACCAACGAGTATCTTTCAATTGAAGAGGTAAGTGGTCGCCTCGTCATATTCGGGTCGAACTCCATCACCTGACCTTCTCAGCACTGCCAGCTCCCTAGTTGCCGCCAGCGGATGGCTCATCCCTTCCACTGCTTCATGAACCCCGAAACTATGGGCGAGAAAATCGCGACAGAAGTAGCTCAGATCTACTACACCAAGAACAAATTCGCCCTCCCAGATACAGAATTCCTTCCAATATTCCTCACCCACTCCGCCTTCGACCTCCCAATACAGCCATTCCGTTTTATCCGCAATCTACACGTCGTCATGAACATCGCTTATACCAACCCCGTCGACCTGAAGAAGTACCACGATGATCTATCACAGCTTAACCGAATCCCGAGGAAAGATCTGCTGTGTTTCCAATTTTCATTCTATTGTTATCTGCGCGAGGAAGATGATGACCCATCTCTGTTGAACGTGCTGGAAATGCTGCGAAAACCAATCTACGACCTCAAACACGCTGGGAGCAGCATTCTGATCAAGCAAGCCAACCGGCTCTTCTATCCCGACGAGAGACAGCTACTTGCTTGTGGCAAGTTTGCTGATAATGCTGAAGCGAGGGTGGAGGATGCAGAGGAAGTTGGCAAATGTCCGTCTTTCTTCAACCTCTCGAAGGATGAGTGGGATGATGTGAGTATATCTCTTCTTCTTCTTCTTCTTCTTCTTCTTCTTCTTCTTCTTCTTCTTCTTCTTCTTCTTCTTCTTCTTCTTCTTCTTCTTCTTCTTCTTCTTCTTCTTCTTCTTCTTCTTCTTCTTCTTCTTCTTCTTCTTGTACTCCCTATCAGTCGTATCACGCTGAATAGCTTGACTGATGACTTCATTGTAGGAACAATCCGCAACCGGGGAACATGACCCTACAGTGAATTTTCTCGACGATACAAAGACGTATGATCCCGCATACTTGAAATCGCTTTTTGAGAAGCGTTGGGGCGGCTCGGAGAATCTATCGAGAGGGTATTATCAGGTATCCCCCAATGCGTTTTCCATGTGGTCGCTGATCGACCCGGGGGATGATTCTTCGGAGTGTAATTACCCAGGTGTGATATTTGACTAGTCTCAATTCGATAGCATCTACTGCATAGAAGGGGATGTGTTAAGGGGATCCGAGTTCAATGAGTTGCATGTTGCTAGCTAGCTACGATTTTACAATCTGAATCAGCAATCGACTGCGCATTAGACGTAGTGACGTATACGACGTCCTAACGATCTAGTAGACATGTACGGACTTGTGGTGTTGAAGAACCATAGTACGCTCGCCGCCCTCTGCTATAAGACAAAAGCTACAACTAAGTCTATTATTTGATCATCGCATTTCCATGCGGCACAAACACTGGGTATTGAAAAATCACACAATCAATGTGCCTTTGAGTTCCAGGCAGGACAGATGTTCACAAAACTGATAAGGATCACCTTTTGTGAAACTTTTTGTCCCTGCCTACTTTTTGTCACCTTTTTATATACTTTTTAGGTGTAGGAACCATTGTAACTTCCAATCAAAAAAACTTGAAACTGATAAGGGTTCATTCACGCTCGAATGAGTAGAGACAGTTTCCTCTATCGCGAAATTCAGCACTTTTACTTATTGGAAAGGGCATCCTTATGATTGGCAGGCACTGGGTTGCTCAATCGGGCAATAGCGTAGAGTAGGTAATAATGGCCGCGAGCCACCTCAACAGTCTATATGCTTTACACCAACTTCAATATTGTTTAACTTACCTCTCTATCACCATTGTCACTCTAGCCTTGAGTACCCACTATTTAAGTTTCTCCTCTCAACTCTCAATCTCTCGACTGTTCAACCCACTATAGTTTGCGCCACATTCATCGTCGCCTACCGCTAACAGCAACGATCGCTGTGTCTAGGATCTATTCTGGACCTTGAGTCTGTGACCCAACAAAGAAATGGCCCAAAGGCTGGGATGTGGGAAAGACACGACTCCCCTGCTCCCCGAGTGGCATAATCCGAGTCTTCAAGATTCCATCATCGGCGATAACGATCTGAGCTTGAGCGACCCTCTACCGAAAGTAGTGAAAATACAAGAGTTGACATCTGATACAACGAGTAAATTGCGTTAACTCATGAGTATGGGATGCCGTAAACTAACAGTGGTGCAGAAATGGAGGTGGAAGAGAACAAGCGGGCACTGTCCCCCAATGAAATGTCAGACTGGACTACCAAGGAGCCTGCTCTCAACGAACGGGTGCAGCAGATGAACGGGGATCGAGGTCGAGAACAGAGCACTTCCCTGGAGACACGGATGTTACTAGCCAGCTCCCAACCGCCTGGTAAGAGTCTTACTATCTACACACTAGATAGAGTATGTTAACAAAAGTAAAGATGCAGAGGCGTGCGCGCCATTATCAGCCCTGGGATTGATGCCAAATTTACAGTCACTGGAGAAAGCGAAAGGTGCCGACATTGAAGCATGGGCTCGTGTGGAGCTCAAAGAGGATTATCAGATTCTCCCCTCGTTCCGAAAGCTGAGTTTCGTGGACTTCGACAAGACTCAACAATTCACATTCACTGGCGGAGACCAGATCGCGAAACTGCTCCTGGTAGGTGTGCTCGAATGAGAAGGTAGCAACCCCGACAACCAAGGGAAGGTATACGCAACCATCGTCAACGAAAAAGTCGTTATCTACATCCATGAGCGGATGGAAGGCGGCGTATACGAACAACTCGAGCGAAGACAGCGAAAAGAAATCGCATTTCAGGACCCCTTCAGTGAAGTCGCGTCTGGACCTGGAGCGACAAGCAGTATTGAGCCTCTGCTTGATGCACTTGTACAATACTACTTCATGGCTGCCGGCTTTTTAGAGTCGACAGAAAACGGTTCACTCAAAGGAAACCTTAGGAAGGCTTGTAAGAACATAAGCAAGAATACCACCAGGTATAACAAGGCCAGGCAGCGTGGCATGCCCAATCAGCAAGATATAACTGGAGACCGGAACACATACGCCACACGAAGAAGTACCGGCTCAATACCATCGGCAACGCAAGCGAAGCCGAAGACAACAGAGGGCAATGTAAACCGAACAAGGCGGGCGCGCGCTAGTATTTAGCTATTCCCCTACATCCAGCTCTATGTTTCGCATGACGAAGAAGCAGAACTGACATGATTTATAGGAAAGAACCCGTCATATCGAGAAGTTTCTATAAGTGACAGCGGTGTCGACTCCTCTGAAGAAGGCGAAAATAATTCTACAGAGGATGATGCCGAGCCATCGGAAGGCGGCTCAGAACGGGAAGAAGGTGGTAGCGTTCGCCATTCCAAACGCAAATCCAGCGGCCGCAAGCGCAAAACCCCAGCCAAGCGAGTCAAATCGAGCCGTTCATTCCATTTCAGTGGTGACCTTCGTACTGTTCATGACGAGTACCACAGTTATATCTCCGAATATATGGCACAGGAGATTGCAAGCGCAGTGGGTAAAGAGAAGAAAGAAAAGGAAGAGAAGGAAGAGGAAGTAAAAGGTCTTACATCCGAGGTAACTGCCGTGAGGAGTCAGAAACACGAGGTAGACGTATATCAACATTGCTCTGTGGAACTAAGCATTAACATAACCCAGATGGACGCCCAGACCGCCAGAATCCAGGAGCTCGAAGCACAAGCCGACAGAGATAAGGTACGTACTTTGAAGATGTTCAAATGACTTCATGTCCCTCCTAGACATGTTTGAGGTTGCGCAAATAACAGGCACACCTCGATCCTTGGTGATTCACGACTTATAGTGCCATTGTTGAATTTCGAACGGAATGGGCATTCTGAGGGCAAGATTCACGGTTTGCCTGTTACTTGCACAAGTCTACCCTACATTGTACTGACTGTTTTTTTTTGTTTTTTTTGCGACTCTAGGCGACTATTGAGCGGGCAATGCTAGAAAAGAGCCACGAGACCTCACGAGCCAATAGAGCTGAGGCACAGGTGGCAAGGTACAAGGAAAAATGGGCAAGCATCCAGGCGATGAACATGGACGATGAGGGTTGATTCATGCTCAAATGAGTGGAGACTAAGCGTAGTGGAGACTCATTGCATTTCCATGCGGCACGAACACTTAGTATTGAGAAACACAATGAATTAGCCTTTGAGCTCCAGGCAGGACACATTTTCTGTGGTTATTGCGAAAGTGAACGAAAGTGAATGAAACTGATGAGTTATTATTATGAATAGCTGAATGCGGATTGGGTCTCAACGAGGACCTCAAGAATGAGTGGAGACAGTTTCCTCCATCGCGGAACATCATTCTGTTCATACTACCAATGTATTGCCGATTCACGAGGAGAATATCAGCGTTGATTTTGAATGGCTCATCGCGCGGCGTTGGTGTGAGGGTGGGTGCCAAAGTGAGGTGGGTAGGGGCTAATGCAAGTGGAAAGCCTTGTGAGAACTCTGTTGTAGTTTTCTTTCTTTCTTTCTTTCTCTTAACCAGGTCGTGTGTCGTATGAAGTAGAAGACCAGGTCGTTGTATTGCGGGCTGATCGTTCGAGGTGGGATGGATGAGAAGGCCGGGGCCCGGGGGAAAGCTCTTTGCTTTATACCTCATCATCGGCCAGCAACTTCAGACCCAATCCGCACTCAGCCATTTCATAATGATGACTCATTAGTTTTGTGATAACCACAGAACATGTGTGTTCTACCTAGAGCTCGAAGGCGGATTTATTGTTAATCTTTTAATACTAAGTGTTTGTGCCGCATGGAAATGCGATGAATCATTATTACTTTTAGTGCCGCATGGAACATGCGATGATTAAATAATAGACTTGGAATTAACCCTCATCATCCGAGTTCGTTGCCTGGATGCTTGCCAATTTTTTCTTGTACCTTGCAACCCGTGCCTCAGCCTTTTCAGCTCTTTTAGTTTGGTCCTTAGCCTTCTGGCTTTCCCTGTTTGCCCTACTGTTTTCCATTTCCCTCATGCGCTCTGTATGATCTCGATAGATCTTATCACTCGAAGCATCCATTTTGACTTTTTTGATGCTCTCTTCGGCTCGCTCTGCTCTTGATTCCGCTTCCTTCAACTTTTCCGTCAAGTTTTCAATTTCTTTCTAGATTTGCAGGCACGGAGTCAGTAAACTGTATTTGTGCAGTTTACAGAATCCAGTTCTGTAAATAGTGTGACAAGGAAGTATACTAACCTGAATCCCCATCTCTCTCTTCCTTTTCAATTCCACCACCTCGGAGGAAAGCAGCTGTATCTTCTCCTTTAGCTGCTTCTTCTCCTGATCCAATGTAGTTGCTACTTTGTTTTTGATGTGTTCGGCAATGAAATGGTGATACTCTTGAGTAGCAGCTTCCAAGTCATAACTCGGACGACGAGGGGGTTTATTTCTAGACCGTGTCCAAGGCGGTTGGTACTCGCGGTCGCCGACCCCTGCCGGTGGGGAAGGAAATGTGTCGGTATCGTCTCCAGATAGCGATGACAAATCGATAATACGATTCCGTTTCCCAGATTCTCTATCGTCATCTTCGTCCTCTTCGTCTTCTTCGTCATTTTCGTCATCTTCGGCAAGGTCCACGACCTCCGAAATTTGGTTGCGGCGTGTGCGTTCCTTGCCTATAAATAAGGTCAGTTCTATTGGAACCAATTTGAACAGAGATAAAGGCCTTGCAATAAGCTTACCTCGTAAATCCCGTTTGTTTTTATATCTGGTGGCATTCGGCGTCGTTGATGCCACTTGCGGTGTCTTTGGTCGTAACGAGATGATGGGGGCTGGCTTAGTGTTGACGGTAATCGAGGATTGATGGGCTTGCACAGTCTGCGCCCCAGGCCTAATTGCAATAACAATTCTCATGTCATGGCATGCCCTGTTGACTCGGTTTCGGAAAGATTCATCGTTGACCACATGCTCGAACCCCGCTGCAACGAAGTACAACTTTACCAATGCATCCAGCTCCTGGTGCGGGAAGCTTGGAAAGTATCTTACAACGTCGAAGGGGGCTCGGAATGCGATACTTTTCTTCCTCTCCGATCCTATTGGTTCATATACATGCCAGTCCATCCGTTCAAGGACATATGCTGTGAGCCCTTGGTGGTTAATGTAGGCGTACACATTCCACCGCTGATCAGAGTCAATTCCACTGTGGAGATCACCCACCAAAAGAAGTTTTTCCTTCCGTTCCGTGAATCCATCGCTGCGAGCTCGGTCAAAATCCACGAATTTTATCTCTCGGTGGGAGGGCAAGATATTCTCGTAGTCCTGCAGCAGTTGACGGGCAAATGACTCAATATCAGAACCCCCAGCCATCACGTGTGCTAACCAAAGACCACAATAGTAGAAGTAATAGTTGATGATGATGAGAGAGTTCTTGACTGTCACGAAGGATCTGGATCAGGCGGTCGTGTGGCGGAAAGGTGAGTGAGGTAGCAAACAATTGTGCTTTTAGGGTTAGTGTGAGGGCGTCGACGGTGTGGTGAGATAAACAAAAGAAGCCCCCCACCCGCCCAGGAAAAGAAAGCCTTGCGCCGACCAATGAAATATTAGGGCAGCTTCTAGAATATCTGTTCTTCACGTCGAATGTAAACAATGAATTCATTTGTGTAGTTCGACGAAATATCAAGAACTTCCAGCGGCCCCATTACTCAAAACCAAATCGTTGATCACATCTTATCTAGGCTTTGTCATTTATGCGCTTCTCATCATCAGCAATATAATTTTTTACCGTCATTCTCACGCGCGATCGTCTCACAGCAGTATCATGGAGAAATTACATACTTGGACTGTTGATCCTTTATAGTTTTCCCGCGTCCTTTAAGCAGCATTCTACACATATACTGCTTCAAAAAGTGCTACGGAGCTCATGAGAGCTTCGAATGTACTTTTTCTCTGGTTTTACTTGATATGGGGATCGTTTTGAATTCTTGTAGTGCCAGTGGATGGCCCACGTGTTCAAACGTTGAACGGAACGAACTGGATTGAAGAAGTAGTTTGATTTGAGTTCTTGAATTCGATCGATCTAGGTGTTCTCCAGTAGAGCATATAGGACCGTTGCAATACCAGACAACCCGAACCCTTTTCTGATATGTTTCACACCCAATTATCCCACACCATACAAAATTTTACCCGTGTAGGATTGCTTGCCCTGTTCTTAGAGCCTCTTCAATGCCTCAGCGCCCTCTCGGATTGTTTTGATTCTTCCCTGCAACGTTGAGACCGTTCCATTGGCTTGTTTGAGAGCTTTCTCTGCCTTTTCTGCTCTTTTTTCGCACGACTTGCTGTGGAGACTGGCATGATCGCACCGACGCTGCATCGCAGCAAGTTTGCCCTCGGCATCCTTTGCTTTGCGAGTCCATACGTGCTTATCGTTAGCGGCCTAACGAGATACATGGTCAGTATTGCATAACCAGACATATTTGAAGCAACCCAAAGACCACGAAAGCAATATCGACCAGAGAACTTATGCTCCTGTATCTTAGATCACGTACCTGATTGTATTGAATCTTCACGGCAGCATTCTCTTTCTCGATGTTCTTAAGCCGATTCTCCAAACCCTTTTTCTCAGAAGACAGCTGTTTGACCTCATCTTTTAGCTTCGACAGCTCTGCAGATATTTGTCTTGTAATCTGAACCATGGACTGAAGAGCTGCAACCTCCATGTCGGTGTTGTAGGAGTCATGCTGAGTTTTGGCGCGTTTTGATGGCCTTCCATGCATGTCGCTGTCTGCGTCTGTCGATGGTGCTGGAAGAACGTCTAACGTATAGCCTTCATGTTCTTCAACCTTGACCTTGATTTGATGCTTCTGGGAAATCAGAGCACATGCCTCTCCGAAGTCTTCCTCGAAGTTTGGTCTAAAATGATTGGAACTCAAGTGTCCACCTGCAACCAGATAATAGAATATGAGAGCATAGAGTGGCTTTCTACTCTCGCTGTTCGACTTTTTATCAGCAATAGCAAGTTTAAAGGGACTTGCTAAGTCTATGCTATCCAAGTCATTTTTTTGAATGAGTTTTTCGGATTCTTGAACAACCAGAATGGCAGTTACCCGAACCTTCTTTTTGCGGCAGCAGGCGTAAGTGTCCTTCCCACGACGTTTTCCTATAAGAACAAGCGCCGAAATATTTTCGTTTTCTTGGCCAGATATAAAGTTGTTGCGGTCGTATGCCTTAAATTTGAGGTCTTTGGGGGGTGGCAAAGCGGAGAATGCAGCCGGAAATTTAGTAGAGGCCCATTGCTGGATATCATTTGTTGATGAAGGCATCGAGCTATGAGAGCCTAGGCAGTAAAAATTAGCGATTAACATTCAACATTCAAAATGCAACATTTCAGCCTACCAGCTGGCGCCCCGGAAGCTGATATCCAGATACAAAAGACAGGTGCCGTCGAACGCGTGGTTTTTGTGCAGCTTTCTCAACACCGTAGCTGGGGAACCGTTGTCGGACGAGGAATTGGGTAGGAAGATTGGAGTGGAGGTGGGAAGTTGAAGACGAGAGCCACGCGGCAGTGCGGCAAGGTATATGGATGAGTGGGAAAATCGAGGTAGAGGGCGAGGTGAAGCGGTGTAAACAACGGCTGCAGAGGGGACGTTAAGCCCGCGCTGTGTTTGTCCCACCGCCACAACAAAGTGTGGAAAGTCACGTATGCAGGAGCGCGAGTCCGACCTCGGTCAATGCGTCGTAGAAAGTGCTGGAAGCCATTGGCGGGGTCGACAGATTTTATAATACTTCCTAGAGTGGTTGTTAGTGTGACGCGCGAGTGTAAAAATGATAGGTACATACCTTACTGGTTCTTGCTGAGTTTGGAACAGGGAAGCAGCCGCTCTTTCTTATTTGACACACTGTGAAACAATCTTTCAACGTGGCTTCCTGGAGCTGTAAGCATGAATTAGAATACATGTACTGATAGAGCTTTCGGGCTAAGCCACATGATATATCTACTTAGGTAGGTATTCATGTCGTATATGAACATATTATATGCTGGATTTCCAGAAGACGGGACAGTTGACATGAAAGGGAATTCGAATGTGGAGATACCCGACTCAGGCATATTATCTGCGGTCAAGTCCACAAACATGCAGCACCAATGACCAACGCGAGAAACTCCACAGGCTACTAGATCCATACATTCTCATTGTCTCATCGAGAGATCTGTTCTCACCACTAATTATTTGGAGATGCCATCTTTCGGATGTTGTCCAGCAACAAACGGAGTGCAGCAACCTCTGCTTCTGCCTTCTTCTGTTTGGACTCCGCTTCTTCCCTCTTTTTCTTCTCCTCCTTCGCTGCTGCTTCGGCTTTCTCCTTGTCCTTGTTTGCCTGCAACACCATCGCTTGAGACTCCAACCGCAACAGATACTCCATCTCGTTCCTCGTCTTCTGTTCTACCAGCTCATTTTCTAGGAACTTGTTCCTGCAAGCAAGATTTTCCATCTCTTGCTCTTGTTCGGATACCCGTTGAGTGAACACGCGTAACTCCTCCGAAATCGAAGTCATTTTGGCTCGCTTGGTGGATGGACCACCCTCGACATTGTCTGCGGATCCGTTGTTGGAATTGGAGTCATGGCGCGTTTCTCCTTGCTCTGATGTATACTCAGTTATGGAAGACTTGCATTAAAACAGTAGATGATGACATACCTTGACGCTTGCGCTTGGTGGTCACGCGCCTCTCCCACAATGTAGGTCGGGAGTGTTGATCGTTCCTGCGAGCGCGGATCGAAAGTCAGTATATCTCATGCAGAGTTTATATACTGATGTTCGAAGGCAGAGAATCACCACACTTTGTGGGATCTCGGGACCTGATTATACATCCAATGTTACGTACAAGAGAGTGGAATCTTCATTGGTGGGCCCTTCCGCGGTCGGCGGATAAGTTGGCAGAGCAGGCGACAGAATTGGGGATACAGGTGAATATCGGGGCGAAGCCGGCCACTGGATTGGCGATGCGGAAGTGGATGTCATTCCAACAATTGGGGTACCGATATTGTAGTGTGGAGACATGGGGATATACGCTGGAGAATTGGTTGTGTATTCGGCCAGCATGGGAGTGCGTGGATGTTGCGAGAGTGTTGGCGAGAATCTTGGTGAACATTCTTTCTCTGGATGTGTCGAAGAGAGCTTTGGAGATGGTGGTATATATCTGGGGGAACTTGGCGGCGTTTCCGTGGCTCGCAGGGTGGTGCTTCCATTACCAGGAGATGTGGGTACAAAGATGTATCCTGGCGAAGGAGAGATCGAATACATCTTGGGATTTGTAATGTAGTAGATGGTGAAAATTTGTGGAAGTGTCAATTGTTGTGACGGTGATATAGTGGGAGGAAGAAGGTAGGAAAAATAGATGCAGAGAGAAAGGCTTTATATTGCGCACGGGTCCACCAGCCTCTGTGTATCGACAATGGCAAAGGCGAAGGTGACTCTCAGCACGCCTATTCAAACCACAATAGCAATGCGAACAAGTACCTGCAGATCCCTATTGGGTTACTATTGTTCAGAAGGCTTAGTATTGATGGGTTCTTAGAATTGTCATGTTTCAATAGAACTTGGTATTGTCGCCCATACTTTGATTTGATTGGTTGATCCCTGGATTATCTTAGAGAACTACGTCGTCATTCCAGCCCGCTCCACTCAACATTAGAACACGCAGACCATCCCGAACCGTATGCTTCAATGATTCCCATTCAATAATAAACTGAATCAGTTATTCACCCTTCCTAAATGACCCGCTTTCCGTTCGTCATGTGAACCAAACTGAAGTGAATTCATTCCAGGCACATGGCTGAATGTATCATCCCGTCACTCTCACATGTAGCCACCAATGTTTTCGGTCTGCTACGTGTCGGGCGCAGACATCTTGTTGATTGTCTGAAGTAGCGAGCGGTAATCAGTAACCTGCTTTTCTGCATCCTCCCTCTTCTTCCTATCTTCTTTCGCAGCAACCTCGACTCCCTTCCTCTTATTTTGTTCTTCCTTCGCTGTTGCTTGCGCTTCTTTAGCTTCTGCCTCCACTTGTGCTAATTGTTTCAAATTGTCCTCCTCTTTCCTCCCGTGCGCGAGGATTAGCTCATCCTTGGAGGCTTCGACGGCCCTTAGACGTTCTTCCAACTCTTTGATCCTCCCCTGAAGCTTCTTCATCCCCTCTTCCTGCTCTTCGGCTCTTGTAGCCATATTTCGAATGTCGCTCGAGAGGGGATTCTCATCAGATCTTCGCTGAGAGTCTTGCTGAGCCTTGAGCCGTTTGGATGGTCTTGTGGTTATAGCTTGATGCTGGATGTCGCCGTCTGCCACCTCGTCATCGTTCGAGACGGATCGCCTTTTTTCGCCGGTTGTCGTAGAGTGATCTGATCAATTGTTATATGAACTAGGTGTATATAGTCACATGGCATGAAGCTAACATACCTGGGCCCGCGCCACCGCTCTGACTGACAGTGTTTACTCCATTCGTCGAGGTTGCGACCTTCGATGTTGAAACCCCGGTGTCTGGAATTCTCGAGATCGCATTCGAGAATTGGGTTCGTTGTGCTGCTCTTGAATATAAAAGTCAGTGGAAATCTTGAGGATGGGTTGGAGATCATACCTTTTCCGTTTAGCATCACGAGAGATGATGGACATTGCGTCATCGAAGAAATGTGTGAAGCAAAAATGGGGCCAATCCCAGAGGCCAGGCTTAACAAGGTTTCCCGAAGCTTGAAAAAAGTACCGAATCGTCGAACGCAGTACCAAATCCAGGGGGGTGATGTCGTCGTGATGAGCCGTAATGCTGGAGAATGGATGGACGAACTTTATAGAGGAGTATTTTTCGTAATCAATAACCTCGTATTTGTTCGCAACATCCCGCTTTGTAACTAGGGAGACACCTCCAAAGAAAGGGCCATCTCCAAAATTCTTCAAAGCATAAACCTCCCGTTTGTCTTCGGTTTTGATTGTTCCCACGTAGAGTAGTTTAGAAATTTTCGGGACCTTTCCAGCAGATGACCAAGGGGGGTGCGCGAAGTGTTTGGGGTCGACATCTCTGAATACCATGCTCTCGTGAGATGGTAACAGCGGAAATATGTCAGGATACTCTCGCTGAGCCCATTCCTGGATTGTGAGACCATTCTCATCAGTTATAGGAGATGACTCGGGTCGACTGCTCGCCCCGTGGCCTGAACTGCTATCAGCATCTCGTCTGCAACCGATATGACATATATGACTTACCAGGCGGGTTTTCGTTCGTCTGAGACATACTCATCGAGATCTGGCACAGCTGTGTAATTGGAGTGGAGGATGAGCTGTGTGGTGGAAGAGAGAAGGAAAGACGAGTAGTCGAGATACTTTATATACCCGTCATATGGCTCCCTCACTTATCTCGAGGGGAGAGCTGCGGTCAAACATGGTAAGAGAAGCATTGTAGCAAGAGAACCGCTAGCATCGTGGCAGATGTTATCACTGACTTCAACTCGACTGTGGGATGTCGTTGGTCACTTCTGTACTTCGTGTTGGATCTCTTAAGGTTACGTAGGTCAAGATCTATGTAGACTCCATGGAACAGTATAACTTGATATTCAACAACGTGTTTCGAAGTGAGTATGCTCATCCTTTATGGTACCCCGACATGTGACCTGCCATTCATTTTGAGTTGCCAACAGCATTTTCTCATCTTCGTTTGTATTCGATGATTCTTAACGCCCATTCCAGAATGAATCTTTTGTCATGTCCCTCATCAACCCGTATTAAATCTCATCCAATCGATTCGAAATTCCCGAATGAGCGTCCCACGACAACGTGAAACTCCACCGTTGCTTGGAGCATGTTAAAACACCAACATTGAAAATCACCACCAACCAACCAACCAAACGTCCACCCCAAACTCAAACCCCCAAATGCCTTCCCATGCCCAATTCCATCGTCTCATCTCACCCCCACCCCCTCCCAAAAAAAGAGAGATCACCATCACACCCTTCCCAATCGAGCCTAGCGCGACCCAAGCGCAACAGCCTGATGATGACAAGCAGCATAACTAGCGCAGCATCTGGAAGCTTCCAAAACCGCGACCCTGCATTGCGAGGAAGAAAACATGCGGGAGGGGAGCGGTGTAGGAACGGGGAGGTGGGACTTGGGAATGGTCTTGTATAGGTGCGATCGTGAGGGACGATGGGGTGGGTTTGTGGATCGGGAGAGCAGAGGAGAGGGGGGGTTTACGGTTTTTCTGCGTGATGTGATGGGGGGAGGGAGGAGGAGGAAGGTTGGTCGGTGTCAGTTACTTCCCTCTATACCAATATTTGAATATTTGTGCGTTTTGATGAGATTGAGATGTGATGATGGCCTGAGATGGGATGAAGAATACTGTTGGTTCGTGAAGTGTGAATAGGACGAGGAGGAGAACTGGTACTGTTATTGTGGTTGTTGTTGTTGTTCTTTTGCATTTTTTGCGTTTTCCATTATTATCTTCATTCCTACATTGCTACGCTTCCCCTTCTTTTCCGTCGCACGCCGAAGAACGCCATTTTTATCATGCCATGCCAGCCAGCCACGCCTGAATGCCGTACTATGCAAAGGAATTTCCCCCCTGAACAAGAAGATTTGGGTATTAAATGGCCAAAACATCGATTATTCCGTGTACGCCTCGCTATTCCATCCATTCTACCATCGAACCAGGATCCGGGTCTCGTCACTCGTATCGTGTCATGCTAACTCGTGAAGAAGGAGGGGACTTTTATCCAAAGAGCGACTTCGAGTGGAATCGTCCTCCAACCCATTAATCTACCACGCTCGATCCGGCGGTCTTCTTGATGACGAAGACGCCGACTTCGATCCCCCGTGGCCGAATTTCGCTATCGATTTTGCGGTGGGCGACGCCGTCTAGCACCTCCTCGATTAGATGGGTCCCCGTCATGCCCGACCCGGGTAATTTTTTGGTTTGACGGAAGTACCGCGTTATGGTGTCGCGGATCCTTGGCTTTTCTTGCTTGATCCACCAGCCGTTTGCCCACGCCTCTCGCTCTGGATACACTTCTTCCTTGGACGCGTGGATCACTTCGTATACAGGCTTTTGTTCGCCCAGTGCGTTGTTGCCCACCAGAAGACAGAAATTTTCCAGTTGTGCTTTTAACGAATGGTACTCGTCGAGATAAGCCACCGAGCTCATTTGACCCACGCTTCTGCCTAGGTCCGACGCCAGGTCGTGAACCACGGTCAGGGTTCGGAGCAGAGGGTCCAGTACCGGTCCGAGGTAATCTTGCATAAAAGTGCGAGCGCCCGTCTTTGTTGGATATATGAAAAGAAGCAATCCGTTGTCTTTGGTGAGCTCGGTCAGTCGGTCGTGAAGCAGGGAATTGCCCCGCAGCAGAAACATTTCGGCATACTCATTTGTGTTGGTTGGTGGGATATAACGTTCGACAATAGATATATGAACGGTGCCGGGAGCTACCACTGGCTTCGGGGAAGGGTGCAAGAGCTTGGATTCTAATTGATAATCTGGGACGGCCACGGCACTGTCGAAGATTTTTGTGGTGAAGTATTCATCGCCCCCCACGGCGGGCCCGGGGGTTGATGGCGGAGACTTGGGCAGGTCAGAAACGGTGAAGCGGCCGGGAACAGCATGGAAGACATTGGTCCAGTTAGTTTTGGAGTTTGTCCTCTCGTGCATAAAGGCAACAATCTGACCAAAGAGATGGCCGGACATGGAGGGACAAGGAAGAGCATGGGAGAGTATGGTGACCAAGTCGAGTCTATCGGCCTGCGACTCGGTAGCTGCAAAAGGTTATCAAATGTCGCGAAGGCTGGCCAGGGGGCACGGTGGGCTTACCTAGAAGCTCCTTTATTTGCTGGATGCAGGAAGCCATCCCCAGGGCACCATCGACTTCCTGCATGATGGGAACGATGACGTTGGAAGAAGGACCCAAGGAGCTGGCGCTAGCTGTGTTTGTGAGATCGGGAGATACGCCAGGCTCTGAGCTAGGAGGTGAGCCCAAGCCGGCGGGTCTGACATTCACGAATGAACCCCAATTCAACGTTCCGGATTCCGTGGGAGGGGTAACGACCGGAACGGGGTGATGGAGGTCGCCCCTGGCAGGTTTGGCGGTGGCTACTGGAGGAGAGGGAAAGTCGTGGGGCGCGTCCAGGTGGGGGATGCGAGCGAGCGGCGGGCTGAGGGCATGTAGGGGATCCTCTGGCTTGGATAGCGGGCCGGCACCGAGCGAGGCAAACGAGAGACTGGCGTCGAAAGACTTGCGATCGGGATGGGGTGCGGCAATGCCCAGCAGGTCGAACGAGGGGAGACGCAGGTTGGGAGAAGTTTTGACTGCCGGAGGGGTAGGGAGTGGGACATGATTCGACGGAAGGATGGTGCCAGCAAAGCTCAGACTGAGATCGGGGCCTGACTCCAGCAGAGGGGTTGGAAGATCCCTCGGATCCGTGGCGGGCAAGGGTGAGGGAAATGGTTGGGGAAGAGGAGGGTCACGGTTGGGCGGCGGGGGCGAAGCAAAGGCATCGAGATCGTGCGGGCTGTGGTCTTGCGTGGCCGTGGGAAGGCCACGGGGGCGCAAGTGCAAAGGGCTGCTGCTGCTGCTACTGCTGGTGGTGGCCTCCAAAGAAGACAAGAGACGGTCGTCCATGGGCTGAGAGGTGAATGGAGGGATGCAGCAGATGACTCAAAAGAGTACAAGATCTTCTGGCGGCGAGGGGAGGGGTGGGAGTATCCAGGCCAAGACCCAGGCCGTTAGTGGTGGTGGGGGGAGCGGGCGCGGGTGTGTGGACGGGGATAAGGGCAAATATAGAATGGGATGTTTCAGTGTATTGCGGGTGGGTAACGGAGGAGAATTAAGAGAGAGAGAGAAAAAAAAAAGACGGGACTGGACGGGGTGGTGGAATGGAGCAAAACAAGCGAATTGGATAAGGCCGACGACGGGTCGGAGTGGAAGACGCTTGTCTTTGGGGCGATTCTCCGATCACGATGGACGACGAAGACGGGCAAGTGGTTTTGGGCGCGGTCAAAAGAGATGGGTATGGAGAGAGACGGGGAGACAGAGAGGGTGTGGTAGAGGACAGAGAATGCAGCCCGAGAGAGCGGGTAGGTGTACTCAGTCTCAGGGTATGTACATATGTAGGTATGCACTGAGTATGTAGTTATATGGACGGCAAGATATTAGGTGGTGGTTAACGTTGGCCTTGGGGTTCATCTGCCATGCAAACACCCACGCACGTCGGCAGGCCAGTAGCGAGGGGGGAGGGGGAGAGTTGGGTAAAATGATGCGAATTACGACTGGCGAGCCCTAGTCATGGTTTGATATTATGGTGGTTCGGAATAGAATGGGATACACAACCATGTGTTGTTCTCTCTCTTTCTCTTCCCTCTCTTTTCTCCGGCTGAGCTTGGGCGACAGACTGGGCGTGTGAGACAGAGAGAGGGAAGGGCGGGCCGGCCAATCAGCGGGCAGCGGCATGGTGCGCCTTCCGTTGCGCCTCAGCTCCAGCCTTCCAAGGCGGTCTAGACCGCGCGCCGACTTGCTGTCTGTTTCCAACGTCGCCCGTCTGTCCCTGCACCCTTCACGCGTTATCAACTGCCTGTCCGTGGCTGTTCACATACCTACATATGTATGTAGCATATATTCGGCCTCATGGCGAGCCCGTCACGGCGTCCATCTTCACCTACAGGGCCCCGATCCAACGCCGGGGGGAGGTGGGGGGAGGGGGGAGCTGACCCAGTCGTGTGGCCTGACAATGCTGCGCTGGCCCCATTCAATCCAATACTCGACTCTATCGATTCGATGAATGGCTTACTCACTGCTCCGTCTACTGTCTCCTCCGCCCCAGGCACTATTCGCGTTTGCTTCCGCTTCTTCGATAACCCTCTGGCATCCTTCACCAGAATCAGCGTCACCTCACACGAGACGATCTATGGCTGTCACTGTCTGCAGGCGTACCTATGCACATAGTTCCACACAGTGACCATACGCACACTCTCTTTGGTGTCCAAGATACAAGTCCCTGCGTTGCGCCGGAACCGCGGCTTCTCCAACGTCGTCCCTGTCCAAGACCCATGAACCATGGTTCGCAGGGATGGAATTTTCTCTACGCCAGCCAGCAATATCATTCCCAACCACCACTGACCAACAGCCCCAAATCCACCCAAGACACTTGCTGAGCATACATCCAGCGCTGCTGGGTACACTTGCCACGGACTTTTACATGCGCAAACCAACTTGCATCTCAAGCACACATACCCATGCATGCAATATGCGAACATTCATCTCGGCCTGTCCTCCACCGAGCTCTTCTTCGCTTAGAAAACCGTCACGCCCTACCACAGTGAGTACTACACGGAGGACTGTCGCTGTGCGCCTCCATCGTGTCCTTCCTGATACACTGTCTTGAGCCCTGCCGTGCGCCCAGAAAGAGTCTGGACTCTCATCGCCGTGTCTGTGAGTCCTCCCAAATCGACCACCTGCAGGACACAAATGAGCGCGGCCGCGGTCCAGATGCGGCCTTTTGCCAACAAGACTCGGTTTTCTCCTCTCTTCATCCTGAAATCATCGGCCCACGATGCCCGTTGCGTGATGCTGTGCTTCTTCTTCTCCATCACCATCAATTTCCCCTCCGGTGTCACAGCCATTTCTTGCGCGTGAGGTTAGAAGCTTATGCCAAGACTGCATCCTTCCGTAAATGCCTCGATAGGCAGCACACACCGAGTAGTCGGTTATGCAGCAGCTGTCTGCCGGAGCAAGATTCAATGCAGCATCTCTCCTATGCATGCATCGCCTTTGGACGTCATTCCACATGAGCTGCCCGTAGGTACAATAGGATTATGTAAACCATAGTTGTGGTGAAGGCGGCAGTCCTTGCAGTCTGCTATTGTGAACAATAACTGTAGCCCGAATGCCAAGACCTTCACTAGCGGCAAAAACTGCCTTTCACCGGCATACCATTTTTGACTGCTACACCAGGATCAAGACATACTCACACCGATCCAGGATCATCGCAGCGCCCGATTGCGCTTTTGGAAAAATCTAGGTAAGCACAGTGCATTGTGTTTTCCCGCCTAACTCTACTGTACTGTACCAAGCTCTCTTCTTGCGTTGAGCCTTGGCCATGCGTTGCCGCTTTCCAGTCCTGCTCGACCATGTCTAGATTATACCGACCTGGGAATGCCTGCACCATGTTCTTCATGCCGTCGAATCACAAGAACATGGCTGATTATAAAATGATTCATAGACTAATTCACTGCATAGGGCCTATGACGATCCGATAATTTCTAACCACTGTCAATACGAGCAAACATTCAAAATCATCCTTCTAACTCACGTGCCTACAGCGGCGCACTTAGAAGGTTGATTCCAAGGTTGAACCTTTCGACCTTCCACACCTGAGAACTCGCGATATCTTCTTGCAGTCAAAAGACGTACAAACCCCCTCGACATCAACCAGGACGGCCAGCAAAGCCGAATACACCACACACCATGCACGTTCGTCTTCCCTGGACCATCAACTTTAGCCAATCCCTCCCAACCAGCCCAAAACGTACATGTAACTGATGCCCAATGGAAACCTTGCAGATCAAAACCGCACAATCAGCTCTCCTCTCAAATCATGAAGTCCTACTACATCTGCAAACCGAAAGTGCAGAGTACGACGGAACAGACGACACAAACCGCAAGCGCAGACCGCCACCAGGCCTCAAGGAAATCCTCCAAGATGTGAATACTCCCTTCTCTGCCATTCCCCCTCACCCCCCTCCCCCCCCCCCCCCCCCCCAAAAAAAAACCCCAGCCGACCTCCTCCCCTCATCACCATCGAAAAGGGAAAAAACACCCACGAGTGTCGACCTACTAACTCATGTCCCTCTCCAGGCCCAGCATTACCTCACATCCGCAGACCTCCCGCTCAGCACTCTAGCCACCAAAACCCGCCCAAAACGCCCCCTGACACTCTACCGCGGCCCATCCTCGCTTCTCCGCGCCCTGGCCCCAAAATACCGCCTCAACAAGACAGAGTACCTGCAAATCTACAACACCCGCCCCCGCACCCAGGTCACGCTGCAACTCGTCATCGAGGAAGCCGGGATCCGCTTCACCGAGGAAGAACTGGACGATATGCTGGGCATCATCGAAGGCGTGTTCGAGGAAGAAGAAGGGCAGATTGAGAAGGGCGCTGAAGGGGTGAGGTTGAAGGGGGTAGGGGAGGGCATGGTGGGTGGTGGGGTGGGGAAGAGGAGGAAGAAAAGGGGTGGAGAGTGACGGCTGTTTCTAAATCCATTCTTCTTTTGCTGTTGTATTGTCTTTTGTTGGAAGAGGGGGGAGAGAAGAGGGTAGGGGAGCTGGGGTGGTTTAAGATCTTCATCGGATTTCTTGGGTCAATGGAGTGGGTTGTGTGTTTGGAACTCCTTTGCCTTCTTTTGGGCTCTTGCCTCAAGGATGGATCAAGAAATAAGGGGTAGAATCATGATATTTTCTTTTGTGGCGCTGGCGATGCATGCATGCATATGTCGAAACCATGGCGTCGGAGTATATACACTCACCAACGGACATGGCAACCAAAGAACGTGTACAAATATCTGAAAGATGTCCAGTCTCAATCATGCAGGCCTCCATTCCAATCAATGTAGCAAAACACGTAGAGACAGGGTAGACATTTTGAACACAATATGAAAAGATTTCCATTCAGAAAACGCCATCCGCCGTTTTAAAGACTCGAAGAGACAGAGATGAAAGTAGAAGAACGAGATGACACAGGAGTCGTACATGAGGGAATTACCGACGAAATCGACATCGACGAGATAGAGGAGAAGGTATCGCAGAGAACACCTAGTCCTTGTTCTTCTTCTTCTTCTTCTTGGCGTCCTTGACCTCGTCGTCGTCCCGTTTCCTCTTCTTCTCCTCCTTGTCGTCGCCGCCGCTCTTCTTCGCTTCCTTGGCTGCCTTCTTTGCCGCTTTGGCTTCGCGCTTGGCCGCCCGCTCCGCTTTGCGTGCTTTCCTGGCTTCCTTCTCGGCTTTCTTCGCCGCCTTGCTCGCGTCACCAGCATCATCGTCGGAATCCGACTCTTGCGCACCGGCATCCGCGTCCATCATCGTCGTATCGTCTTCCACCTCGCTGCTCTCAGGCTCCTCCTGTACAGTCTTCTTGGGAGTGCCGTTGACCTGCGCCTTCTTGGACTTCTTCGCCGCCGGCTCATCGCCGGCAAGACCATCCACGTCGGGGTTGTACTTGCGAGCCTCCTTGAGTTCCCACTTGGGCGCTCCAAGGGAGGTCGCGTTGGCGTTCGGCAAGCTCTTGAGAGGCTTGCCCTCGAGCGCGCGTAACCGCCTCTCAATTCCGATGCGTGCGTCACGACCAAGCTGTGACTTCTCCTCTTCGGTAGGCTCATCGGCGGGGTTCTCTGAGGTAATACCCCATGTGCTAAGCGCATCGACGCGAAGACCAAGGGCGGATTTGGCGGCAAGCATACGTGCAATCTTACCCTTGTTCTTGCCGGTGGCTTGTCCGATCAAGGACGCGTGGTAGATCAGGCCGTATTTAGGTGTGTCGTGCTTGGTCTTGAGAGCGCGGAAGAGGGCCTTTTCGGCACCAAGGATCTGAATAGTAGAACCGGGAGACTTGGCGAGGTTCATCAGCGAACCAGAGTGGGCAATAAGACGGGCACCGACGAGATCTCCGACAAGAGCAGTAAGGTTGGGCGCAAGCGCCTGCATACGGGTAGAGAGGTAGTTGGAGAGGCTTTGACGGTGCTCAGTCAAATCCACGACCTGCTCGGCAAGGGCAGTAGTAGCCTCGAGATCCTCATCGCTGATTTCCGTACCCATGGAAATCTCAGCAGCGGCCTTCACAGCGGTTTCGATTTCTTCTGGGAGAATAGTCTATTCACAGTGAGTGGCTTGTATTAGACGGATCAGACTCGGAAACTTACGGAGAGATCAGCCTCGCGAGCATTTGACCTGAATCCCATCTTGATAACCACCCTCGAGTATGCGAGATTGTCGTTCAAGATCTTGGCCAGTTCCGGGAAATGCCATCCGTACCACTCCTTGACACGCATAGCATATGTGTTGAGCTGCTTGTCTAGCACATCGAGACTGCCGATACTCTGGATGATCATTGTATCCACTTTATCAGGCGAGAACTTCAGCTTGTGTCGTGACAGAGAATGCGAAAGACCCAGGCGGGTAGAGTCGACCTCGGCGGGGACCAGATCGGTGACGAGAGAGGGCAGGTGCTCGCGAATGGCGCGGTAAACATCCTGGGTGGAAGAGTCGCTGAGGACCTTGAGGGAAAGACCGGGGAGCTGAGCGATGGCGTTGCCGAGTTTTGGGTCGGCGACTGCAAGAGAGGATTTGGTCTCGTCCTTGAGTTCGTCCAGAAGCGTAGACAGCATAGGGCTGACTTTGCTATCTGAGAGGGCTGCCGCTTCGTTGAGTGCGGTAACAGCGTTCTCGAATTTCTACGGCCTATATCAGCGCCATTACATAGGAGAGCTGCACATCGCGGCAGGCTGAGGCAACCTTACAGTGAACTTTTTCAATTTAAGCGCATTCACGGCGCCCTCAACCGAGTTGAGGTTCTTGTCGCCATCTTTGAGAAGCTTCTTGTCCTTGGCCTTGAAGAGCGCATAACCAGCGCTTGAGTGTCATGTCAGCTAAAACCCACAAAGAATACCGCGGAGTTTCCGTCTCACATACCTGGTCTCACTCAAAATGAAGAGTCCCATTTTGATTCTGTTATTGCCCTTACAAGAGCTATGCAAAGCGTTTACTGTGCAGAATTTCGAGGGTGATAGCTCCTGCTGTGGCTCCAAGCTGACCCCTACTATTTCGTTGTCTTTCCGTTGGTACCCGTCCGACTCGATTGGCAAGATTCAAAACTTGCGATCACCGTTGTGAGTGGTTGGCCGTTGTGGTCAATGGAATGGTCGCAATGTGCTTGCAAAATTCGAGTGGAGCAGAAAAGTTCGAGCCGCCAAGCCCACTAGTTTCCAGATGAGTGGCCCAAGCTTCAGACCTGGTCGTCGGCACGTGAGCCTCTTCGCTCCATCAACCACTTTCAATCACTCATCAATTGATTGGGCACGCCTTTTCGACATGCATTCGATTCAACGTCACATTTACTGAGGACGACATATGATGGCATCACGGCAGCAAAACTTGTGGAAATAAAGATACTTCGCAATCACGAGTGACATGTCCACCTCCGATCGCAGTCAGGGCCGCACCAGAGGTACCACTCCCCGAATTGCAGACCTCGCGTCCACCCCCGAAACGCCCCGAACACCCCCAGGCCGCTCCAATTCCTCGATATATGGCTCACCCGGCGGATTCCGGGTGGAGGATGAATATGTAGTGCTCGAAGTTGGCGCCCGCTTCGTACGTGGCGGTCTGCCCGGCGAAACCACCCCGCGGTGCACCCTTACTTTCGGCCCAGACGAGCAGCGGAGGGCAGCCGACTACCGCCAGTGGGACCCAGAACACCACCACTCGCGACGAAAGCGCAAAAGAGACCAGGCGTGGGGGCAGGATCATGAACTGTACCGGCTTGATATTAACCAGGTGGATCTGGGCCTGGTCGAGGACAAATTCGAGCGAGCCATGCGCGAGGCCTTTAACAAGTATTTTGTTCTCGACACCAAACCGCGACGCATTATGCTTTCGTTACCGCCAAAATTGCCGCATGCTCTCATGTCCACCATACTGGACGTTCTTTTTGGCAATTTCCAGGCACCCTCCATCACCCTCCTTTCGGCCCCAGTTCTTGCTACCGTTGCGGCCGGACTTCGATCAGCGCTGGTGGTAGATATAGGATGGGCAGAGACGCTCATCACGGCCGTCTGCGAGTACCGCGAGGTGAACGAGCAAAGGACCACTCGCGCCACCAAGCTTCTAAGTGAGCATATGGCAAACATCCTGAATGCTGCACTTGATGATGAGCCGGGCGCCGGTGATCCAAAGGCGGAAATCTCTTTCGAGGAAGCTGACGAGGTGCTCACTCGGGTTGGCTGGTGCAAATCGAAACCGAGATCCAATCGCAGAACCATGTATTTCGCGGCTCGCACTTCACCCATCCTCGAAGAATTTGAGGATGCTGTGGAATCACCAGAACCCACCATCAATATTCCATTTCCAAAGCATACACCTCCAACTGAACTCACAATACCATTCACATCTTTGGCCAAGCCTGCCGAGAGCGCCTTGTTTGCGCCTGATATGGCACTCAATGAGTTTGACGATCAAGAGCTCCCTTTGCATCACCTAATCTACCGGGCACTATTGTCCTTACCTATGGACGTCCGTCGACTCTGTATGTCACGCATCATAATCACCGGCGGCGGATCGCAGCTCCCTGGTCTCAAAACCCGCTTGCTGGCAGAACTTGAAGCGCTCGTCTCGCAGAAAGGATGGGACCCAGTCCGCAACTATGGCTCGGCCAGTGCGCGGCACGAACAGCTCATGAATCAGAAGCGGGAGAATCTAGAGCTAAGAAATCAAGAAGGCGAAGACAAGGTGTCAGAATCTCTTGACCCCGAGACACCGTTGCCACCAGGCCTGCAGAACCCCGAGGAGGACTTCATTGACGCGAAACTCTCCCATCTCGCCTTGAAAAATGTACCATCCGCTTCCCTAGTAGGCGGAGTCATCAGGGGTGTAGACACATTAGGCGCTTGGGCTGGTGCTAGTCTCGTAGCCCATCACCGTATTAAAGGCATCGTGGAGATAGAGAGGGAAAGGTATCTTCAGCACGGCTTGCAGGGCGCTACCAGGGAGAAAGAAGTATCTGTTGTACAACAACGGCAGAGCATGGGGCCGGGCATAGGGATGGGACGGGGAGGAGGCGATAGAGCGAGCTGGACGCTTGGAGTATGGGCTTGAGTGATGTCTTTTCAGCATATAAGCGTTCTTCTAATTCAGTGATACCCTTTCTTAAGTACTGATACCGTTCTTTAAGTACCATTTTACACGTAGTGTGAATTTCAATTGTGCATGGGTACTGACGTTGGCTGCATGCAATGTGAGTTGGTCCGGTATCTATACATGTGGAATCTATGATGAACAGCTTTCGGTTTGTTTTCTTGTTCAAATGCAGATGGCCAACTCGGGATTATAAGTTCTTCCACTGCTCCCCATTGTATATGATATTCTTATTGTTCATCGCCTACTTATTCCAATGGACTACTTTTACCTCCCTACAAGTACGCGACACCCACCGTGCATTTGCGTATTACTATCACAACAATTCGACTCAATCGACTGAAAATGCAGGCATTTCATCAATGTTAAACGTATTCTGTTCATCTCGGGGACGAATTGATCGTATTGGTTACCCTAATGCTGTTATCAAGCTCCAGAATTACATTTCAAGAACATCCACTCCGTTCTACTGTTTCCAATATAATGTACGGCGTTCCTTTCGTCTATGCCGCGCAATCAAATACGAGGTTCCAGGCAATACGAGCCTATTTGGAACTACACGCCAATTTGATAATAGATTGAAAGGCCGTTTTAGCCGTTCACGGCGGCACCCGAACAGGCAAGCGCCTATGCAATACGACATTTGAATGCTGCATGGCATACAGACCAGGGTGCAAATCGCAGATCGATAACTGAATCGGTGGAACTCTCGTTGTTGTTCTCCCTTGTATGGGCTAGCGGTTACGATTTTGTAGTAGTTTTCTCCAATCGCATGTCAACCCTCCGTTGACCTGAGTAAATGCCAACTTGGCGACCCCTACCATCGTATGTACCCTGTATACCTACATCAACGTGCGTTAAACCTGTCGTGATACGATATTCTTAGGTCCCTTAGAGCAAAGAGGTGGCCTATATATGTCCACAGGTTTCGCCAGAGTTCGGGGCGGCCACACGAATCGAGCAAGTTGCCACTTCAATCAATCGCAAAAATAGCAACAACATCCCAGCGAGGCATATCGCCTTCAAACTCCAAGAACATGTTAACTTCACACATCATCACTTTCGTCGTTCCCTTCCTCATTCAAGCGTCGCCAGCTCTACCACAAGCCACTCCTGTGCTAACGTCCATACCAGCGGATAACTGGGCCTCCAAAGTCTCCGCGCTTCGCACTTACATCCTCTCCCAACCACCATCCCTCACAAATGCTGGCTTTTCGAAAGGTCCAACTTACCAGCTTACCTTCTCCGATGGAGACTGCCACCAGATACGGCTTTACAATTGGGACTGCAGCAAGTCCATCCCTTACTCGATGCGCGGCATCGCGAACTGGATAGATGACTCCGATTTCGCGTCCTACAATCTCACACGCTTCGAGGATTGGCGATTCTTCGTTTACGGGTGGTATAGAGATCCAGATGATGGTTTTGCATTCTACGATGTCGCGAGGATGACCTGGGGCCCATGTGGGAATAGGGGTCCGCAAAGTGCATGCGGGCATGTCTATTGTACGGACAAGAATGGAGTGGCTGTCGGCGGGCCAGGAACTGTGCCGGAGGGGGAAAATCCGTGGTTAGATCCAAACGAGCGGGATAGAACCTGTGAATGGCTGAAAGAATAGGGGGGATAGTGATGGAAGGGTTGTGAGAGGTAATAAAGAACGTTGTCAATGTGATTCGTGGATCAGAGAGTAAGAGATAGTGTTGATCCGATTCGTGGATCAGAGTAATTCGCCGCCCGACACAAGAAGCGGCGGTCGCCGCGCCGCGGCGCGATTTTCTGATCTGATCTTCTGTACGCCGCTTGCTCTGTGATCTGTAAACTTCTGATCTGATGTGGCCCGAATTGGAAAGAGCGGGCGGTCGCTGCGCCGGCGCTGATCCTGTGCTCGCTGGCCGCTTCGGGTCTGTGCGGCCTTTCTGATATCGTTACATATGCGGGTACATCCATTGGCTAATGTTCCATAAATATGATTTTGAGAGACCCTGAATCCTTTGGAAGACCTTGGCTGGATCTTTCCATACACTCTTATCCAGTGAGATGGACTCAAATTAGGTGTAAAAATGGTCAGCAAACGTGGGCACAGACCCTGAAGGTCAAGATGTGGGCCGTAAAATCAATTATTTCTATTGTCCATGTTGATCGGATCATGATCTTTTTTTGTGATCCAGATGCAGCAGAGATTTCAAGAAAAGGTATAAAGCAGTCGTCTCCTCCCTCCTGAATCTTCTTTCTTTCTTTCTTCAGCAACCCCACTTCCAAAGTACTGACAGTCTACTTTCACCACTACTACAACCACTACTACGACTATCACCACTAATACAACCACTACTACAACCACTACTACAACCACTACTACAACTATCACCACTACTACTGTCACCACTACTACAACTATCACCACTACTACTGTCACCACTACTACTATCACCACTACTACTATCACCACTACTACTATCACCACTACTACAACTATCACCACTACTACTGTCACCACTACTACTATCACCACTACTACTATCACCACTACTACTATCACCACTACTACTATCACCACTACTACTATCACCACTACTACTATCACCACCACTCTCTCGACAACCATCATTACTCAAGATGTGTACCTCCAACATCCCAGCTCACACCAACTCCAACAACAAGTCGACCACCAGAAAGACAGAATTCCAGGAGTGGTACACTCAGTCCAACATTACCCGGGCCGAGTACCAGGCAATCCTGGGCCGACTGGCCAACAGGTCACCTACCCGTATTCCCCGCCCAAACTTCGACTACTACTACAAGCCAATGACAATCAGGCGCCAAGTCAGGCACACTATGTACCAGTTCCCATACGCCAGCCTTGCCCAGATCGAAGAGTGTGGTGACTGTCCAGTCTGCATGGAACCGTTCGAGGTGCGGAATCACTGGGCCCTCTCATTGCAGCCGAGCTGCAAGCACGTCATTGGAGCATCATGTCTCCAGAAGTGGCTCGAGAGTGACTCCAACTTGATGGAGAATACCGACAAGTGCCCAATCTGCCGACAGAAGCTTACTACGGAGGAAAAATACAAGGAAGCCGTTCCGTTCTGATTTGGCTCGCGACCATGGATACGTTCTTGCTTTTTTTCTTGATTTTTCCTTGCTTTTTCCTTCAGATTGTTTTTCCTTATTTGTGATTGGTACTTTGTTGTTTCGATTGTATGATGGGATTGGTCTTTTCTCTGTTGTATGGTACTAGATGTGTTTGTTTCGGCATCGCCCAGTTTGTTTATTGCAGTTGTTATTCGTCGGAAAATCGCTTATCGAATTGTATGTTAGTTAATTAAATCATTCACCTTGCACACATATGATTGATCCCATAAAGTAGTGATGATGTGTATGTTGATCAGTGCACTATAGTTTCTTCTATCGTAGGACTCTTAACGCACATATGCATATTTGTTACTCGCACCGATAGACCTATCATGACTCCCGCGATTACGTGAATGTGACCTATTTTGCATCTAGTTTGCCCCATTTCGGATCTCACGATAACTTGAGAACATTATATTTTCGCTTATATACTTCTCCGGAAGCACGCTACTGTATGCTTTCAACCATTCATATCAGTTACACACCATTGTAGTGCTTCTACACAAAATTCCCGCCTCTGCATTCTAGGGTACTATGTCATCAGATACACTGAACCTTTTTTCTTTTCTTTTCGTGTAGATGTACGCTCATAATTTGTTGTGCTGACTTAATGGTCGCCGATAGTGCATTTGCTATGCCCTAGTTAGTATATCTCGATAGATTTATCGCAAACTGCAAACACCGTAAGCATTGATTTATTAGTTTCACTTTCAACCGAATCTCCGATTTGACATACAACAGTACCGTTTCTTCTTCTTACGTTCTTTTCAGTGAGAGATCAATGGGATCGTACGTGACACTGAAACTATGTGGAAGGGTATCAGAATGTCGAATATCACATGATATTACGAAAGCGTTTTCTGGAAAATGATAGAGTAGCACTATAGCAGACGCAATTTGAATGAATCCTAGAGTGGAGAATGTCCACATATGAATGCCTTTGGACAGAGAATTATGTCTAAGCAAGCAACAGCCTCTATTCAACACAAGACAAGTAGAACATAACAGAAAGTCTGAAAAAGATTTCAATCAAGGACATACATGGTAGTCAATCGTAATAGAGTCTTCATCACGTTAACCATGCTCTTGGGATTTTGGGCTGGGGCGTATGATAGCACATTCGAGACTAGGAAGATTAATATGAGACCTGTGTCTCTAAATGTTTCCGGGATATATTGAAATGTCTGTATGGACTATACGTACCATCTGGATGTAGTCTCATATATCGCTTCAGCATGAAAACTCAGGTACATCGCGATACACACAAACCACGGCATGGCTTCATTACAGCTGCTTGAGCTTTAAAAACAAGACTTTTCTCCCTATGCTATAGCATATCATTCTAAGCGTAGTAGTGAATCATCGCATTTTCATGTGGCACAAACACTTAGTAATGGCATGCCATGCATGTTACTGTCGTGCGCCTATCCCCCCTCCCTCGTGAATCGTGATGAACGCTCTCGACAATAAATAGACCAATCACCCGATCGCAGATAGCAACGGTCGAAAGCAAATTCTCGGTAATTAGATTTTCTGCACTGTAACATTGAGTTTGATTATAAGGGTATCTGGGAGCATATTCTAACATAAGGACATCTAAGATGCGTTCAGGCAGCTCAGCTGAACCCTACTCTTGACTAATGCCATCTTGATTTGACACTACTCCTCTTCGCTCTCTTCGCTTTCCTCTTCGATCTGGTCCTCGCAATAGTTCTGTCCACTACTCTCCTGAGCATCTGTCTGCTGCTGCTCTTGATCGTCATCATCCTCCAACGCACACCTCTTTCCAATAATCTGGGCGGCCCTCGGTTTATACCCAGCCTTTATGATGTTGTATCCAGCCTTATTGAAAAGTCTATACTTCTCGATGGTCGTCTCCAGCTCTTTATTTTCCCTCGGCGTTAACAAGGTGGATGTATCAGTGTTGAGGACCTTTGGAATGGCTTCTCCCAGCAGATTGAACCACATCCGATGATTCTTGTAGCCAGCGACGAAGCCCCGCCTATTTTTTCCCGAATTCTTTGGGATGTATGCGACCACGTCAAATAGCACCTCCCAGTCTGAAGGGGAAGCGTCGGGCTCGCGAAGTGCTGCGTTGCTGTTAGTCTAGCGTATCACGGATTATTGGATGGGATGGCACTTACTAGCCGCGAGCGTTTTGTTTCGAGTGACGTCGCCTTCCCCATTAACTACGAGCGACTCCAGAATCTCATCTACCGGCTGCTCGAACGTGAACCAGTCGACATTGTCAGCATTGCCGAAGGCCAATGCCGAGCCGCGGGCGGCCTTCATTTTACCCAGCACGTATACCGTGAACGCGTTGGGTATATATACTGCTTCCAAACAGTCGTACGGTAGCTTATCTCCTTTGGCAACTTGCTGGATCAGCATGGGTGGGGATTCTAGTCTCGCGCTGAATCCTATACCTGCAGTCGTGAAATACTCCGCCAGGGCCCGCAGGTTGAATGGGATTGCGGTATAGTGGTAGACCTTGAGATCGTGTACGTGCGATCGGTACTGGAGTTGGTGGAGGATAGGCTGGGGTTTTGCGTAAGTGGGTATTCTCGCTGTTAATTTCGCAATGAGACGAAGATATGCTTACCCTGTAGGGATCGTCTAAGTCCTCAGGCTCTATGGCCTTGCTTTTGCCCTTGCCGGTGTTGCGAAAACCGCCGGCGCCGTATCCGGGCATTTTTTGTGTATCGGTAAAGACAGGAGATATATGCCAAAAGATGGAAGGCTTGGTTGAAGGAGATACTGCAGTAATGTGGTGGTTGATTATGAAAAGTGGTAAGGTGGTGGGCAAATGGGTTTATATAATCAAGTGTTTCGAAGCAAACAGATCGGTTGGTATAGAGTCACCAATGAATTGTGCTATTCAGACCAACACGCAGGGGTGAAAGAGGGTTTCCGCACGCACGACGGCTTCACCCCCGCTCCTGAGGGGTCATAGGCGTTTGCATTGCTAGCAACGTAATAAGCATTTTGCCAGGCTTTATTTTCGTACCCTTTCCGCTGATCCTAGTTGCCATTACTTTGTAGCTGTTAACTTGCTATTGTTGTGGGGCGCTGTGGTGACTGCAGGTCAACGAGAGTCGCTAGTGACATTCCACGTATTATAGCATGCCCAGTGATGCAGCATTGGATCTTCTTTAATAACTCCGAGAAGAAGACTGAATGCAATGTGCTTGATGTGTAGTGGTCTGGACAATGTTGTAGCTATTGCTCCTATCGTGCAAGAATGTAGTTGCCTAATCGGGGAATGTTTGCAACCACTGGAGCCGGAACGGCAACCGCTGCTCCATTGCGCGCCGGTAGATGACTCGCGAAAACTTCAGCACTGTAAATTTATACTTCTTTCTATCTGATATGATGGAGTGGCTTTCACCGCTGTCTTTGTCGTTGTTCTAGCATTCTGTATCTCAAATGCACTTGATGCCACCTGGCCAGCACATTGAGTGGGACATGTTCGCACATATAGGCTTTTGGTGATGAATGATCATAATTTTCACAAACTCATCTTTTGCATTTGGACATCAGGTACCATATCAATTCATCTGGGTTCGACTTTCCTCTACGACCGTGTCTGGCATGCCCTTAAACGCTCAACAGTTCAAATGTTATTCGATAGATGAAGCTAGTAAACATATTCCGGGCAGTCTGACTGTCTCTATCAGACAAAACAGACTCACAAAAGACGCTGTATTCAGGTGGTAGCAGCCCGAAGAGATGAGCTCACTATACTGTGGGCATTGCCTCTTTCTCCCCAGGTCCCCCTTTCTCGGCCACCTCCTTCTCTCGCTGCTCATCAGAATCGTCATCCTGTGAGACTGGCAGCACTTTCTTCGTCCCGCGCGGTCCAAATTGAAAAATATCCGGCATGCCTATTCCATCGGCGAAAGCTGCACGGTACCCGTCCTTGTAGATGTCATACCCAGCTTTGTGGAGATCCATCCATTTCTCATATTGTTGGATAAGCGGGGATTTGTACTTGAAGCCACCTTCCTGAAATTCATCGGGTCTATTCATATCACGTACACCGGCAGCAGCTTCAGTCAAGCTATCATACCAGCGTCGATGAAGAGGGTTGGGACCCTGGATGCCCCGCTTGCCGTCGAGTTTCCTGTACATGACACCCACATACCGGAAGAGATCGCCCAAGAGGAACATGGGCTCAGCCTCATCTACCACAACGTTTAGTGATATCTTTACGAAATGCTAAGCTTGGTTGGGAATAAGACTTACTGATCCATACGCGTTTATTAGATGATTTCGACTGATCAAGGACCGACCCGACATGATCTCGATCAAAGAGAAGCCAGTCAGCACCATGCGGCCCCAAGAATCCTAACGCAGAGCCTTTCTGCTGTGAGGCAGCCTTGCCGTTGGGTCCAATGAGATGGAAGGCGTGAGGAATTACGACTGCCTCATAACAGCCGGCTGGAATCGGCAATCCATACGTATCAAATGCCGACTTAAAGCCTCTCGAAGTCTTGTGCTCGACAAAACCAACGTCCATTTCCGAAAGTTGCGCCGATAGGCCACCAACAGTCAGGCGGGCCGCATGATAGTAGTAAAAATGGATTGGGTAGTTGAACGAACGATATTGCAGTGGTCGCAAGGTTGGCTGTGCAATACTGTGAGTCAAAATATTTTGGTATCGCTGGTTGTACTTACTCGGGGCTCCTCAGCGGTCGCATTTTTCATGCTCGTGTCTTCACCCTCTGGTGCAACAGGAGGTTCAACGATGTGCTGGGCCGACATCGCTGAGCGAAGATTGATAGATATTGGTGATAGTCAAATCGAGGGTGATTGGGTCTTTGCAGAAGGTTCTGGGGTTTGGCAGAGTGAAGCCCGCGGTGGTTGACCGGGTGTCTGCAAATGCTTTGCGCGTTTATATAGAGGATCGAGACAAACGCGGCCCGCTCGGCCACCAAACGCATCAAACACCCATCACCAATAGAAGCATACTAGGGCAGAAACACCAACGAAAGGCTCACCCGGAACTGGCCGTGTTCGGACTTTGAGGACCCCCGCCTTTTAGTATAAGTCATGTGAAAGAAATGAATATCTTATGTCAGCACTCCAACTGTTTGTGTTTCGATAGATTACAACAGTGAACAGGTGTGTCAGGTCTCATTGATAGCCATTGCCTCGATGATCCAACCGAGTAATAATGAGTTTAGAAGCTCAAGAGCAGGCGCGCTTAGTCTAAACACCGAGAGCATTCACAGTCTCGTCGTATTTATGTCGTGCCGGATTTCATTAATCACAAAGGGCTCTACCACACCAGAGAGCATCCAAGGTTCCGACAAGCAGTATATTGGTGTTCTTTAGATGCATAGTATTAAATCTTCAGGAAGTCATTGTGAGTCGGGTACATGATTGGGTGATACGTGGATGCCCCAGTCTGCAGATACATGGCTGATAAAGGATACCTACAACGCTGCGTGTGTGGAAACACCCTAGGACTGGTTCGAGCGATCTTTTTGGTTGGACGGGCGAGTTAGCCATCAATTATCACTGGCAGTCGTGAAGATTGTATCGCTAAATCTATAAACTTTGTGCCATGATCATGTCGGCGGGCGCAAATGCAACGCCACAAAAAGCTTCATATTCGTATTGAAGGTTGGATAACAGGAGGGTTGCGTATGAACATCGATCTAAAATGTTGGAAAGAGAAGCATGTCCAAAATTTGCAACCATAAATCCTACAACGAACCAACAGTGTCCTTCACAATAGGCCCTGGCTCGCTCTCAGAGCGCCGACGACTGTCAATGACAGGATTGGGGAAACAACATAGCTGACGGTCAAAATCTTGGCAATCTTCTGCTCGTCCTCCACGCCAGCATCGCTAACCTGGATCATAGTAATCAACTTCATGGCCGGAGGCCCCGTAGGCATAAGCATCATTGTGAACCAAAGAACTGGGTCATCACCTAGCCAACCATCCTTCCCCCCTTTGGCAATTGTGTATATGACGGCAATTGATAATACAGGCCATATAACGAATCGCATGACGAGGATAAAGGCGGTGGTAATCAAGGGAACGCGTGCCTGTTGTCCTAAGGGAGGAGACGGTTTGCGTGATTCCATGTATGAAGTGTAAAGCGATATCCCAGCAACTATCAGTGGAAGAGGTACGAATAGTTGGCCCACATTCTTCCAGCTTTCCGTTAACCATGCCGTAAAGATACCGCCTCGGTATGTGCTTGCAAAGAATGCCTTGTGCAGAGGCGGCGCCAGGCCGATAATGGCGCCGAGGGCAGCTCCGATCAATGGTGCGTTTAGAAAGTCGTAAAAGAACAGTGCCCACCATTGTGCGCGTGCACTGAGTGAACTCCATTTCAGACGTGGTATGTATCGAGGACGCCTTTTTACTGTGGCAAACTTTGGCTTGGAAGGGAAGAAAGTTATGGCGGCGACACTGCGATGTCTTTCATGACCAACAAGTTGGGAGCCGTGACTACTTTCTGGCTGCGACAAAAGACGAGTTCGCTCATTTGGCTCTCCGTGGACATCTTCGTCCGCGCCATATTCTAGGTCAGATCGTGTTTCCAGCTGGTCGTCTAATGATCTACTTCCCGCCAGAGTGTCGTCGTCGTCGCTGTCGGGAGAATGCTCCGTGTCTATCAACCTGGGGCCCACCGCAAATGTCAAGCAGCTGCTGATCGTCGAGAACACCAAGAAGTAGCTCTTTGCTCTCTCAATGAGATCACGCGTGCTCTCACCATCCACCATCAGCACCTTCAAGATGCCAGTCTCGTCTAAGCTTTGAATAAGCAACAACGGGTATGAGGTCGTATTGTTGAACATGATAGCACAGGTAATCCAATCAGGCATGCCCATGAAATAATGTGCCGAGATTCCCACAAGAAATGACACAATATGTGCAACGAAAGCCCATATGACGACGATCAGATAGCGGTGCGCGGAGCCAGGATGCATTTCTGATCCCAATTTCACCAGCAAAAGGGCAGGTAGGAACATCTTAACGCAAATCTTGGAGATTGCCTTGCCGTTCTTGCTATCAAGCAACCCGAGGTGAGCTGCCACTCCGCCATAGGAGATCACTAGAAGAACAGAAAGGGAGGCTTGTATGGCGGCCACAAAAGATGAAACGAGTCCGGACGAAGCCATTGGGACGCTTGGGGTGTGTCTATGACCAGGCTACACCGTTATTCTGGTTGTAATACACGATCAGAAAGAAGAGGGGCCCGGAATCTGAACGACGAGAAGGCAGCAAGCGTCACATGGTCTTTATTGTGTATGCACACATGTGCATGCACATGCAGGGATTAAAAGTTACTTCGTGCATTTACTGCGTACATTTCGTCACGGCGTGACCGCAGCACGCAATGAGAAGGTGCGCCCCGAAACGAACATAACCATACTGCAATCGAGATTCGACCGAGGAATTAACAGAGACTGCTTGGTCCAAAAATTCTGGTAATGATGGCACAGTGAGTAACAAGTACATAGCCCCAACGATCTCGGGAGAGCCCGAAGCGAGAGCAACGAGGTGTTGATACGAAAGAGCCTTCGCTCGGCCCATTGTGTACTAGTACCGAAGTGTGATGGGGGTGTTTGAACTGAGGGACAGCAGCAAGTACTGCGGTGCAAGGCTCACATGATCGTACATGGTGGCCCATCGCTTTTACCGCCTTTGTCTGTTGTCGTCTTCGCTGCTGTTCGTGCTATGTCTTCCAACACCTCCCGACAAAGTTCGCCAGTCAGTGCACTGCACTCTGCGTATCGATCGCATAGCATCTCAGTCGCGAGGCCCATCCCTTCTTGCGGCATGACGCTTTCTCCCCGTCCTTTCCCTTCCGGTTTTCCGTTCAATTCTTCATCCCTTTTCTTCTCATCTTCCGTCCACTCGCGGCGCGCGTCTCGCTTCAACCCGAGTACCATGACTGGCAATGCCTCATCATAGTTGAAATGGCTGTTGACTACAGGAAGCCAACGCGTGCGCAATGCATCTAGAGTGCTTCGACGCGAGACGTCGAAACAAAGTATTATGAAAGAGGGCCGTAAGAGTGTGTATGATGTTGGAGAGGCGGTATCGTAGAAGGAGAACGTGTACGGGCGTGCGTAAAGAGAGATATTGAAAGTGAACGGCTGGTCGGAATCACGGAGGACGGGGAGAGCATAGGGAGGTAGATCGTCGGTTTCAGGGCGAATACCCAAAGAGAGGCGACTATTAATATCGTTAGACTTGAGAAAAATGATACAACGAGATAGATTGATGGGTGCCAGGTTAGAGACCTTGCCGTCTAGTGGGCCTTGGGGATGACTTACGATAAGAATGTCGACTTTCCCACCTCTTCATCGCCGAGAAGGAGAACTGGGACTTCGGGAGGCGGCAGTGTGGGGTCATACATTTTGGTGGTGTGAGGTTAACATGCGCCTCAGGGGCACTGGCCTAGGCTTCACGGCGGCTTCATGTTTGCTTTTGGCAGTGTCATCGAACTGCGTAGAGTGACTGTCGGAGATAACCGGCGTTGGTTGATCTTCTTGGCGGAGCTAGCCGTATTCAGTTTCCTTCGTCATTCCCTCCTTCCCCTCTTCAACGCATTTGATCGTCACTTTACAATATTCTATATGTATACCACCTGATATTCGCAGCGGGCTTTGGTAAATTTCTGATCGTGGGAAGGGTAGAATTCAATTCCTTCGTTCATTCAACTTCCAACCTGAATCAATATCACATCGTGTGAAGGCACCCGCAAGCATCAATTCCAAGGTTGATATGCCAAGAAATGCCTCATGCGACGTGTACATCGTCGTTCCCTCCTTATTCAACTTCAATGAGACGGTATTTGGACTCACCGAAGATAATTCACGTCAATAAAGCATGCATCCAATATGACAAGCTATCCATAATAACTCCAGAAGAATCAAACCACGGGTTGCGGTCGTTTATTTGCCTACTGTGCACCCTGAGCAATCCCGAGGAAGTCTTAGTATTAATCAGTCGTCAAATCAAAGTTCCCGAGGTGGTACAGGCCGTCACTCCCGTTACTATTGATCTACTTAAGATTGACGTCGTCGAGGTTCTTCACCCATGATGTCTTGCATCCCGGTAATGGAATCAGTTGATTAACGCACATGCGCATAGTTTACAGACTCATTAGGATTTTCTAGTCGTATTTAGGATGGAATGCTACCGTTCCAACATTTACCTGTGTAACATATTAGAACACTGGTATATGTTTTGACTCGAAATGCTGCTTATAATCAAAACCTATAACTATGTTGAATTCAAATGTATACCCTTTTCTTGTTTGAAATTCTTCTTCTTCTCCTTTCTTGGTGACATCTATTAGTTACACATCATTGAAGTCTGGCAGAGTACCATATACGCGGTGTCAAATCATCGTGTCCCCATTCACATGCATCCCATTCACTCCGAGTGCAAATGTATGGAGCCGGTCGTTAATATCTCCCACCTGTCATTGCACATTCAATGATTCATATATCTCGTATGTCTTCACATTAATTAATTATGCAGTGTGTCGACCGCCATGCCGCAATATATCTGCCCTGCAGTAGTTACGCAAGAAACAACTGAGCATATCAAGTAAAAGCCGGACAGAAAGGTGCCCAATTTATACAAAAACATTGTTTCACACTTTCGAGTGCGGTGTCCATCACCTAGACTGAGAGAAACAGTTAAAATGCAACGCTACCCAGTCACAATCCACACCGCTTCTGTTTGCTCACCCACCTGATCTTGACTAGGCTACAGCTTCTTTGTATTGGTCATACACCTTTCACTACATAAGGTCCTTTGAAATGATTGAATTCCACAACTAGCAGCACGTCAACGGTCAACATTCAACCAGATACGTACTCCCAGCATTCTTGTTATCTTCAACCCTTAGTATCAACCCCAATCGACCATCACCCAATGTGCTATATCAGAATTCTTTGGAGGCGACCTCGGACCCCACAGGAAGATGAGTCCGCCGTTGAACCGCAGACATTACATACCGTCAGCCATGTTCGAAACGATACAAACTCTACAACGACTGCTAGAAGTTCGACTGTTGTAACGAAGCGACTGTCCTCTATCATTAGCTATCCAAGCCAGAGGGAGAAGAAGGTATATTCAGGAGTGGTCTTTCATCGACCCCTTCCCATACCACCCTTTCCCTACACCACACACCCACACATAACCAAATACTCCAAAGACCTGGTCGCTTCAGGGCCGCACACTATATGCCGCTGCATTTTGCCCTCTGCTCACGGCGATGCGTTTACTCGCCGCCACCACTCCGAAGTTGTGAACAAGATCACCTTCTTGTCGGCGCCAACGCCTGACTGCCCATCGCATCCTTTGACTTGGGAAGAAGCGGTAAGTATCCTGGCATACCAAGTGACTCGATACATCCCTGATTACGGTTTCAGAAACGTAGGGAAGCTATTGGATCACATCTGCTGGATTTTGCTGACGTTGTATCCGTGTTTTAGGCACATGCTCTACTCGATGCAGTAGGTGTCGATTCACGAGTATCTCCTGGATGGCACCAAGAGAATGAGAATCTTCTCCGGAAAATTTATGCAGAGAGTACCGTCAAGGATATCAAGAAATACGCCGAGGTTTGGCGGGGAGTAGAGAGAGTGCAGGGGAGTGTGCAATGCTCACTCGAAAACGATGTGTTTTGGTGGGGCGAAGAGAATCCAAAACACGTACAGCTCGTGGATTTATCGCGTCGGATTCGTGGCCAGTCGCTTAGTATCAACGGTCCTTTCTATGGGAAGCAGACACACAAAGCAGAGCGGTCGGCACTGGGTAGCACCGGGGGCAGTGACGCTATTCAGGACTTGTATTCGCTGTGAGACAATTCGAATCATGCACCTTCCTGAGATACGATGATGCAAAATCGAGGTCGACTTGTCAAAGAAAATGGGGAAGCAATGCTTGTGATGTAGTATCTATCGCGAACATCAAATGATAAGCTCGAGAAGATAGGACGTTTCAGTTTGTCTTGCGTTTTCCTGCCAGCCTGTCTTAGTAGGTACACAGGTACAGACCTAGGTACTTAGGCATATTGTTTCACCTAGAAATCGGGGCGCTCGTAACGAAGTTCTGTCCAAGTGGGGCTCGGAACTCATCGGAAAGGCAATCCGAGATGCCAAGTGCGCTGACTAACAAAGAGCTCAAATGTATCGTCGTCATACGCCATCATTCATTTTCACTTCACCACACGTCCTTTCACTTTCTTCGCGCCTTCCAACGGCTTCGATGCTTCTATCTGGAGACAGAGATATCCGCAATGGTGGTTATAGTTGATCTGGAGGACGATACACCGCCACCGGAACATATCCATAGAGCGGCTCAGAAACCACTCCATCATTCGCTTGGCGCGGGGATCAGCTTAGCTGAAAACAAACAGCACGACAGCGAGACAACAGCGGGAGGTCGGTCAAATCCAAACGTCAATGGATTCTCTGCCGCCCTGAGCTGTTATCCGTGAGCCTGAACCTTTAGCAAGGACAAAGCTCCGCGCTCGATGCATGCTAACCACAGTTCCATATAGCGTAGTAAGGCAGCTTGCCAGCCAGCTGGACCTCAATTCGTTGCACGATCTATCGCGGACATGCAGACAGTTCCGTGCCAATCTTCTTGAGTATAGAGACCAACTGATCAAGCATACTTTGCTTTGCGAAAATGAAAAGGCCGACGCTGGGGCACTGCTCGGGACTCGCATTATGGAGGCTCATACCGGCTTTCGATCGGCGCGTCAATTGACCAGCGGTCGGTTTGGTAAATGTGCGCGTGACATGGTCGGTGAGTGCCAGCGGTGCGCCCATGTCGTCTGTCGCGTAAGTTATTCAAAGACGTCATTGCACCAGACACTGACTAGACAAAAGAACTGCACCATCAAACCGCCGGCAACACCTGTCTTACGGGCTCGCCATCGCCGACTTTGCCGCACTTGTACAAAAGCTCCATTACATCTACTGACCTCCTTCAAACGGCATCGTGCATCTTCTACCGATACATGGTCACCACCTGGATCACCCGGTCTCCGTTTCGAAGTTCTGGATATTGAAGAGCATCGTGCATTTACGACTCCCGCTTTTGAACGAACTCCTTGTGTATGCGACTCCATGGTGTGGCTGTGTCAATCGTGTGGCTCCCAGTTTCGAAACGCTGACACTTCATATGTTCGGGCATGGACCTGGAGAACGCGATATAGTCATTACCTTGGCGGCGTTGGAACGGGCGCAGGAGAAGGGAATGAAGGGGTAGAATGTGGAAGAGGTTCTGATTGCTTAGCAGGGAGGGTCGTTGAGCACGAGGTGGATTGTCATCAGAGCCTAGAGGCACCGCCACCATCATCGCCCGACCGATGGACTGGCACCAGTTATCATGCGCAAGAGATTGAGGGGATCGGGAATGTGATCAAGATGAAGGTAAAGAAACAGGTCCATGTAGGACAGTGTGTCAAGATCTATGAAGATGAGAGGGACAGATCGATCCAATACCTTGAGCGAGAGGTCAGTGGGAAATTGCGCAGCTGGTGCTCCTGGTGTGAGAGAGTGGTGCTTAGCGAAAAGGATCGCGCAGAAGCTACAGGCAGAAGGCCTAGTTCGAGTGGACCCAGTTCCCCATCCTCGATCAGATGAGGAAGTTTTGCATCAAGCAGTCTTACCTTTGCGCAGTTCTAGCTTAAGCGTAAATGTATATCAGTCTCATCGGTAACTGTTACATCTCATGTTCTATCACAAGTTTCAAATAAAGCACAGCGTTGGCATATATTGCAACTATGGAATGACTGGTAGCACAGCGTCACCGCACGGATTTAATTATGGCAATGTTTTGACCCCAGATCTTGCCTCGGAGACCACAGTCGTATTACGAAACTGAATTTGATTACCAGTTCTATTTGCAAGAGGGAATTTGGCACTAAAGGTGTAAGGTTGGGGTCGGAACACCCTTTGTGATAGGAAAACCGCACGAAGCATTTTCAATTCGTGGGCACCCTTCGCGACAACGTGAACAATTGATTGTCAGATGATGTATCAATTGGCCAAATCTACCATTCCGATACAAGAAGCTTATCACAAGTTCACAATGCGATGGGTTCCTCTGTTTTACACCCGTGTATTATCAGGCGCTGGGCTTTTACTCAGCTATCCAATGCACTTACCAATCTCTATACGTGGGTTTTGACAGCCAATGGGCAAGACATGCACGGTGATGACGGTTTGCTACCTGGTAGACATCTGCTGAATACAGTCATCGCTATAGCTACGCCGTATACTAGGATCTACATGTCTACTTCTCCCGGTTTATTTAGTGTAAATCTACTTAGGAACCCGAATTCTAGGTCATTTCGAAAGAAACATACGACCTCAGCTCTTTCATGTCACTCTTTCCTGTACTTTTCGATTGGTCGCCGCCCATCAAAATGTCTTTGGTGTAAATGAACCATTACGAACGACAATCAGATCTTGGGTCCATTCCAAAATGCGATTGTCTACATTCGTTCTTTCAATTTTCTTCCCTTCTTTCACTTACACAGCTGTACCACTATGTTATTATCCAAATGGAGTAATTGTGTAAGATACGCCCTGCAATCAATATCAGAGGTCCTCTAGCCATTCCATGTGCTTAGGTCCAGCATACCCCTCGTCAAGAGACTCTGCTCTCTCAGATATGAACGCAGTGCCTGCTGTTCATGGGGTGGAATCTGTGGTTTTCCTCTCGCGGGCTACTTGACTGCGCACCTGCCCTTCCAACTCGTGCCAAGACTCGCGACTTCCTCCCTGATAGGTAGCATGACACGTCTGCCTTGCATGCACATGTGTTCAAATAATCTGGGCTTTGGCTCGCAGAATCTACATCCAAAGCTTCCTATATACACTCGATAGACCGGTTCACCGCATCTTTTCCCGATGCATTCCTGCTCGCACTACTTGAGCTGGCCAGCTATGGCCACGGCTTCGTCCACGGCGGCTGCAGACGCTGAGCGGAAGCCTCCAGATGACCCGAAGTACCGACTCGAGCATTCTGTCTCTAGCACGGCAGGATGTAACCGAGCTGCTTGCCACCGGTCCGGGACCAAGATTGCAAAAGGCGAGCTGCGCATCGGCACATTGGGCTTGTTGGTGAATGAAGACAAGTACTTTTATCAGTGGCGTCACTGGTAAGAACGTCCCCCCCCCCCCCCCAGATTTTTGCAGCTGAGATACTGTGGATACCTTACTGATCAAAACCAGGGGATGTGCAACGAAGGCACAAGTCAAGAAAATGATAGTGCTGGCCGAAGAAAACCCTGCCAAAGTTCCTGGCTGTATGTAAACCCACTTCGGCCTCATGAGGGATTTCCGTTTTTCTTCAATACTACTAACCGGAAGTCGCTGACTCTATACCACCCTCAGATGAGTTCATCAGCGCCGAAAGCCAAGAGCAAGTACGACTTGCATTTGAGCAGGGAGATGTTGTTGATCGAGGGTTCGAGGACGTTCGGACCGACCTTTGCAGGAGCTTTGGTATGGCTAGCGACGAGACCATTAATGCCATAGGCTTCAAGGTGGAGGTGACCACTCGGGCTTCAGCTTTCTGTCGAAGCATTGCTTGCAAGGCCCTGAAGAACGAGAAGATGGCTAAGGGAGAGCTAAGGCTGGGACTCTTGACGGTTTTCCAAGGAGATCACACATCTTGGTGTTACAAGCATTGGTGAGTAGCGGTGTAAACTTTTTAGAAGAGTTCTAATCTCTCACAGGAGGTGCGCCACTAAGATCGAGCTGAACGGTGCCCGCAATTCTCACCGAGAAGGCGAGCTCGAAGGCCTTTCGAGCCTTCCAGAGGAATACCGGAATGCCATCTTGGAATCTTTCGAGAAAGATGAAGTCATTGATCCACCACTACTGGAGTTCAAACCCCCCAAGAAGGTTAAGAAGTCTCGTAAACAGAAAGATCTGGACACTGACCTGGTACGTGATCTTCCTGGCATACACTACATCGAGACACCCGATTGTGGCGTTTCAGCGCCCTACAGCGTAGAGCGTTCTGTACTTCAGGTTATGCGCTCCAACAGCTACGCTCGAGTTATACTGACTTTATGTCGCTTCCATTAGGATACCGAGGAAGATCACCCCGTATCTTCAAAGAAGGCCAAGCAGTCTCGCCCCAAGAGCGTTAGCACCGAGGAAGACGAGTATGAGCCGTCCAAGAAGATCACAAAATCCCGCGTCCAAAGCGTCGACACCGAGGAAGACCAGTGGGAGCCTCAGAAGAGAACCAGGTCCTCCCGCAAGAAGACCGCCGGTGTTGGCGAGGATGGAGCCATCGCTTCCAAGAAGAGCAAGGGCAAGAAGCGTAGTGCCGATGAAACACAGGCTGAGGGCATCGGAGAGCTTGGAGAGAAATCCGATGACCTCAATCCAAAACGCAAGAGGGGCAGACGTTAACGTTAATGCATCTGAGTTCTAGCTGTTGTTGCTGGAGCAATCCATGTATACCAACCGCATGCCTATGAATGGGCATGGTGGAATTACGATATGCAGATTGACCGGCCATCATATGGGACCGGCGTACTCGCGTTTCGCAATTTGTGATTATCTCATAATGCGCCTGGCACCTACGATCGATTGATATCCAGGTGGTGCGCGAATCGAAGGTGCATCGTCGTCACGGAGGTGCGGCTCAAACATATCCAAAATCTCCAGTTAGAGAATTAGTTCGGATATATTTATGCAGTATATGCCACGTATAGAATCTCTCAAGTGTTGTTGGTTTCCTGACTCTTTCTCTTGTACTCGGAACGCCATCCAACGTGAATATTGAAGCCTTCTTGGGCGCCCATGGCCAATCGGCATAACACCGGCTCTACTCTTATCTCCGCTTCATCGCCGTCGCAAGCTGTCCACTAAGTACCTAGGTAAGCAGGCTCGCTGTCCCCACCATTTACACACATCCCTCACGCGGCTCCCTCATTCACATTATACGTACCAAAACAGTCGAGATATTGTATTGCCTGAAGATAGGCGTCTCCGAAACGCGTAGAATCATCTAGAAGAAAAGGCGAATTTTCGCAAGCCCGCGATGCCGGACAAGATCGTCACCGTCTCATCCTCCTCCCACTTCGACAAGCTCATCTCGTCGTCGACCTACACAATCGTCGACTTCTACGCGGATTGGTGCGGGCCATGTAAGCAAATCGCGCCCGTCTTCGCCAGCCTCGCGGAGAAAGAGAGTAAACCCGGGCGCATACAGTTCGTGAAGGTCGATGTGGATAGTCAGCAGGAAGTGGCACGGAAGTATGGGGTCAGCGCGTATGTGCCCTATACTGTTAGCTTCTCGATGTACAAACTAACGTGATTTCATACAGGATGCCGACCTTCCTTGTAATCAAAGGAACATCCGTCGTCGAAACCCTCCGTGGCGCCAATCCCTCTGCCCTCACAGCTGCCGTGCGTAAAGCCGTGGCCGATAGTGCGAATGGGCCTGCCGCTCGCGGTACACATTTCCAGTCTAAAGGATATACCCTTGGCTCGGCCACACAGCCAAGCCGTCCGGTGGGCCAGGGCGCCTTCGCAGGCTTACAGAGCATGCTGAGTGGGAATGGAGGATTTGGAGATAAGGTGGTACGGTTCTTTGCGCTGTATTTCATCAGCCTGTTATCGTTTGACTCGTATCGCTCGGCGGAGCAGAGTCCCTTTGCAGTGAGGGGACGGAGGTAGGATGTATATAGAGGAGGGTTTGGCATCTGTATCAAAGCGCGGGAGTTTATGGACTGACAGTGGTCAAGGACACGGGCGTTTTGTGGGCAACGGAATATGATCTATAGGTACCAAATGTTCCTTCTTCCTTCTTTTCGACGATATCAGGATCTCTTTGAGCGCTTGAAATGCAGTCACGAGAACAAATCACCCTGCAGATCGGCAATAGATCCTCATGATGATTGCAGATGGCCTGTGTAAAGGAACAAACGAACCTCAGACATGTGCCTTTCCCAGCTGCCACTCCCAAAACCTATATTTGTTGGCATGATCCGCCGATCCCATCACTGTGTTCGCAAGTCGCATGAAGATCTATGTACCTTGAAGATATCAACCCAAAACCAGAAGATTGACTACAGATATGTCTCAACCACCACCACGAGTCGAATTCGGTACAATCTGCACCAAAAACGCACACTACCACCCATTACCCCTGCCGGGATCATCAACCCAGTGCAGCCGCACAACGCTCACCTCATCCAAGCCTTGTGAAGCCAATGCTGACTGGAAACGCGTCTACATCGAGGAAAAGGCCTTTCGGTTCAAACCCCGCAAGTTGTTGGTTTGCAACCTGGTAAACGACCCGAACGGGGATGGGTAAGTAACTCACTCTTTGAGTATGCTTGCGTGCAAAGCTCTTAGCTTACATGCCCTTTTTGATTCAGATATGCACCCGAAAAGTTGGCTTAGGAGTAAAGAGAGTGTGTTACCGATATCATGCACAGAGGATCATGGAGACTGCTTGTAATTCGTGCGGACAGAAACCGGACAACGAGTATGTGAGGTTCACGGTGATGATTGGATGAAAGAACAGCAGATGATGACGTTGAGGAAATACGGAAAACACGGTACATGTAAAGATAGTCTTGAAGAGAGAATGCGGTGTAGCCCAAATCGTTCAACCCCCAAGAGGCGATTCAATGTTTCTCTCTGGTGATAACCTGGCGTCTGATGTTGTAGCATGTGGCGTTAACCGTATATGGAAAGATCGGCTTCGGTTACGGGAGATCGACGCAGGGTTTTGCTGACATGCTGCCCGAGGTGAGAGGTGAGGCTGGCGCGACGGCACGGTTAAGACGCGCTCTATGACTGTCATGCAGCGCTTCTTGTGACTATAGCTTGAAAAGACAGAATCAAGCTTATGACTGCAAAGTCCCCCAAGCTTTGTTTTCTTACGGATTGATATTCTCCAGCATGGAAGACTGGGGAGGCGTCGCCGGGCGATCGGACCAAGACTCCGTCCACTGAGAATGAAGCAAAGTCCGGCTCTTACACTAACAGCTCGTTCCAGACTCGAGTGATTCTCCATTCCATCTTAACGTCAAATTGCTCCCTCGCCACCTTGTCTCGCCCCTTCCACGTCTCGCTGCTAGCCTGGATACTGGAATACCCGGATGCTCGAATGCTCCATTCCTACCGTACCTGGAGTTCTCGAAAGCTTCCATGTCTGTCGCAGGGGAGGCGGCAGAATTGAGAAAAAAAAAACGACATTGCATAGCTGGTGATACAGAGCAACCGACAAATACTCTGCGCCCCCACTAAATGGGTACTTCGACTCCCCCCGACGATCACGACTCGCCCTCACCCGCCGAGCAGCGCTATCACGAAGCGGTGGGCGACACGCAATTGAAGCTGTCATTGCGCACCATTCCCGAGTTGAAGAAGAGCGCCTCATGTGCTCAACTGCAAAAAGTGAGCGTGTTGGAGGCCGTCGACCTCGATGCGCGCCCTACCTTTGCTATTAGCGTTTCATCCGACGTGCCTACTGGCCCTCTCGAATTTATTCACATCAATCCGGCCCTCGCAGCTGTTCCCTGGTTGTTGTCCAAAGTCCATGGGAATGACAGTCCTAATGCCATCTTCACCGACGCGTATGAATCCCATGTTGCCTACAAGAACTGGCTTTTTGGGCAAGCCGAAGCCTCCGATGAAGCAAGCCCAGGGAGTGCCTTCGTTTTTGCTGATTACCTGTGGTGGTCCACGTCTGTAGGCCTCTATTCCATCGTGAGCGGCACTCCTGTCGGCTTGTTGCACCTAGACCGCAAATCTCGGGTACGTAGGAGTCGCACTATTGACTCGCAAGAGCATAGCCGGCCTCAGAACCACCCTCAGTTTGTCCCTGGCCGTCTACCAGCAGTGCGCTCGATAGAAACATCCATGGTTGCCGAGTCCTTGAAATCATTTGAACAACATCCGCCCGGAGCTCCTATTTTTGAGTCCCAGTTTACGCCCACAGCTTCATCGAAGGCTACTTTGACTCATGGCCCGTTCGACTACACGCTCGACCCACCTCCATCTACCATCTCGGACCACATAAAGTACTTCCGGAGTGTCGCATGGGAAAAGACGCCCTTGGGCCCAATGCAGGATTGGTGTCCTCAACTGAGATGTATGGTCAACATGATCATGAATGACAGCTATCCCGCTGTACTGTTTTGGGGTCAGGAAGTTACGATGATTTACAACGAATCATACATTGAGATTATTGGCCTTCTCCATCCATGTATGGGTCAAAGCGCACGCGTAGCAGCCAAAGACTATTGGCCACATTTCGAGCCCATCGTTCAGCATATAAATGCCACTGGCCAGACAATCAGCAATGATGATTTGCCCCTGTTCCTAGATCGCCACGGATTTTTGGAAGAAACGTTCTTCTCTTTTCAGTTTACTCCTATTCTGAACGATCTTGGGAACGTTGCTGGTTACTACCAACCCTTGGTTGAGACTACTAAGTACTCGCCCTACACCCCTCTTTGCTTCTTCGAATAATTCTCTGACCGTCTACCAGGAATGGCCTTCTTGAGCGCAGGGTATCTAGTTTGGTTGAGGTTGGAAGTCAAACTGCTAAAGCTCGTGACTTACCTACCTATTGGGACCTGGTGATTAATACGCTGGCGATCAATGATAAAGATGCCCCATTCGCTTTACTATATGCGGCAGAAAGTCAACATGGGCATGCTTCATCTTCCATATCTTCTCCCAGTAGTATGAGTAGCGAAGTACAGCAGTTTGAACTCAAAGGCTCAATCGGAGCAGATTCCGGTCACGCTATCGCTCCTTCCATTATTGACCTGCGGATGGACAAAAGCACTGTATTCCACCCGTATCTGGTCAAGACAATCAAATCCAGAAAACCTGTTGTTGTCCACTTCAGCGAGCTGGATCTGCCCAAAGGAACACTGGATGGAATCAAGTGGAAAGGCTACGGCGATCCATGCCGATCCGTGATTGTCTGCCCCATTTTGCCTACTACCAGCGAGCAGATACAAGGCTTTTTGATTCTTGGCATCAATCCTCGCCGCCCGTTTGATGAGGACTACCAGCAATATGTACATGTCACGCTTCGTTTGTTGGCAACGTCCCTCGCTTCTGTGGTACTATTTGACGAGGAAATTCGTCAGAAAGAGAACGCCATAGGTCAAGCAGCCCGTATACAAGAACAGCTACTTGACGAGTTGCAGCTGAAGGAAAAAAAGTTCCAGCGTTTCGCCGAGCGATCAGACGTCGCCATTTTCATCGTCGATGGCGTTGGCAAATATAGCTATCGCAATCAAAGCTGGTATGATCTTTTTGAGTCTGCAGTTGAGGCAGATGATGTAATGGGGGCATGGACCAACATTGTGTTTCCCGAAGATATTGCCAGGTGCGAAGGCCTGTTCTCGAAGTTAGCAGTAGAGAAGTCTGCCATTTGCTTCGAGCTCAAAACAACAATGCCTTGGACGCCACCTGCCTCACTACGTCAGCCCGAGGGCAAGGCGCAGGAGCATTTTAAATGGATTCTGTGCTCTGCATATCCAGAGCTGGATGCCAAAGGCGAGATCATCGAGATTGTTGGAAACGTCACTGATATTTCCAAGCTGAAGTGGGCCGAAGGCGTGCAAAAAATTCGGATGAACGATGCGTTGGATAGTAAGAAACATTTAGAGGTATGTTGGGCATTCATCTGCGATCTCTGGAATTCAATTGCTGATTCGGCCCACCCAAACCAAAGCACTTTATCGATACGACCTCGCACGAAATGCGAAATCCTCTATCTGCTATTATGCAGTGCGCCGATGGTATTTTGGCTGCGCAGCCTCCGGCTGATAACGCCTTGCCTATGCCATCCCCCAACAGCTACGCGAGTATACTGGACCAGACACTCGATGCAGCGCAAACCATCGCTCAATGCGCACAGCATATGGTACGTAGCCCTTGGTGTAAAAGGACGGGACACTGCGTTTAGTTGTAAATATCGGTTGTTTGCACGCACATTGGTGGTTTGTCCTTTCACTAACTTTGTACTGTCAATGTATAGAAGAGGATAGTTGATGACATTCTGACCGTTTCGAAACTTGATTCGGGTCTTCTGGCCATCACTCCAATTGATGCGCAACCCGAAAGCGTAGCCAGCCACGCCGTAAAGATGTTTGAGAGCGAAGCAAAGGCCGCAGACGTCGATATGACTTTGCATATCGACTCCTCATTCAGAGACTTGCAGGTTGATTGGATGTCATTAGATCCAACCAGGCTGCTTCAAGTGAGTCGGCGCCTCATCGTGGGAATTTGAGACTGGCTGACGGGATAGGTACTCATCAACCTCATCACAAACGCGCTCAAATTCACACGCCTTGAAGCAACACGTCGCATCAAAGTTACCGTTGCAGCAAGTAAAGAGGAGCCAACATCAGTTACCGACGACGTTCTGTTTGAGACAAAGCTTGCTAAAGAAGATCCCAGGCTAGTAGAAGATTGGAAGATGGGGTCGACACTGTACTTGAGATTCTTCATCGCCGACACGGGTCGAGGACTGTCTGAACATGAGAGAAGCACTTTATTTGGCCGCTTTGCCCAAGCATCACCAAGGACTCACATCAACTACGGCGGCTCCGGACTGGGTTTGTTCATTTCGCGCCGGCTCACAGAGCTACAGGGTGGGGCTATTGGATTATCAAGCGAACCCAAGAAAGGAAGCACATTTTCCTTCTACATCAAAACGAGAAGGTCAATCACAGTGCGCAGCCGGAGGTCGAGCAGTCTACCGGATGTCTTTCCCGAAGACATGAGGCACCGAGCCACCACGCGTCAAGAGATAGATCAACTGCGTCGGCCAGTGGAATCGCCAGCTCGAGAGCATCGTAATCCAACATCGTCATTCAAAACACAATCGTCTGCAGAATCATCCCAGAGATCTGTGTCACACGAGAGCAAATCTCCCTCAAAACGTAAAGCGGTCAGGCCATCTATCGTGCGTCAGCAATCAGCGCTCAACTCCGACGTGCCCGCAGAGGCAATAGGCCTACCTCCCAGGCTAAACTTGCGCGAGCTGAAACGAGCGAACAGCATACCCCGCACCCTTCATGTCTTAGTCGTAGAAGACAACCTCGTGAACCAGAAAGTCCTTGCGAAGCAGCTACGAAATCTGGGGTGCATCGTTAGCGTGGCCAACCACGGAGTCGAAGCTCTGGATTTTCTCAAGACCACCAGACACTGGAGCAGCGACGACCGGCCCTCTACAGGCGCGCGTTCAGTCGAATACTTGTCACCTGAAGAACCCATCGAGCACTTTGTGGACTTGAATGTCATTCTCATGGATTGGGAAATGCCGATCATGAACGGCTTAGAAGCCACGTCCCAAATTCGACAATTAGAATCATCGGGGGCGTTGTCATGCAGGATCCCGGTGATTGGTGTCACGGCAAACGTGCGGCAACAGCAGATTCAAATGGCAATGGATGCGGGCATGGATGACGTTGTTAGTAAGCCATTTCGTGTAGCGGAGTTGATGGGAAGAATGAGAGGGATTGTGCAGGGCATCTGGGGAAAGGATGGCGAGAATTTTGAAGGGAATGGTGGCGAGTGATTGGACACGGAATTTCTTGGATGATCCTTGTATGTAGCAGTTGAATCCAAAATGCAGGGTTTGGAAAGTGGATGAGAAAATGTTATCGACTTCGTGTATAAGCGGTCAGAAATTATGTGCTCGGACATCTATCATCGTATACGTCACTACGTCCAATGCGCAGTCAATATCTATCATACCCTAGAGTTGGGCAAATAACAGGCACACCGCGCCCTAGTTACTAACGCTATACAGTTTATACTATAAGTTCTTAATTCTTAACATTGAGAATCGCCTTAAGGATGCCTACTGCGTCAGGAAATTAATGATGTCACTACAAGTCCTGACTTACTACGGATTGCGGTGTGCCTGTTATTTGCGCGACTCTACGGTATGTTGGAAGTCGAGATGTTGAGATCCCCACAAGATGGTATAGCGTTACACACTTCCGCGGGTGGGAACATCGGACTAGTCGCGGTTGGCTTGGTGCGGATTGGGCGTCTGGCATTTAGCTCCTCTCAACTTATGTAAGACATCCATCGTTGTGCCTCCACGGAAGACGCTGGGTGCAGATAGCGTTCAACAACACATTGGTGTATATGATGTTATTTGACAGAAGATTTGCACAATCATCCCATCTTAGCCCGGCTGGCACAATTGGTTAGCGCGTGAGACTTTTAATCTCAAGGCTGTGAGTTCGAGTCTCACGTCGGGCGTCTGAGTGTGAATGATTCTTTTTGCATGTGGAGTTGTCGATACTGAGCATCTGGTTCGTATGATTTTTTTGCTCCAAAGCTGTGGTTGTTTTTAGTAACATTACAGGAAAGGCTACCAAGGATAGAGTGTTGACTGCTCTTTTGATTTTAATACTCTATCAAATAGCATCTTAACATAGTATTTATGAGATTTTAATATTATCTAGGCATGACGTAAAGCCTTAAATAAGTTTTGATAGCTGATCCTCCAGTGCGCCCGCCCCCGTAATGAAAGGTCACCTGCCTGTTGACAGCACGACAACCTCTAGCATAGAGCGCGAACACAATCAATAGGAATGCAACTGGCATTGCGTAGCGCGCTTCTCACACGGACTACTCCACCAGTTTTTAGTTTTTTCCTTATCAAATGATTCTTACATCACCCCTCAATCTCTCTGGCCGTCCGCTCAAAAACCTCCCTAGCCCTTTCCTCCACTTCCGCTAACATAGCCTCCCTTTGTAGACCATCCAACTTCCCCCACTCGAGCCCCTCACAAACCTCGGCGATCGCATCTTTCCACCTGCCCATGATCTTCCCCTCGTAAATTTCATCCTCTTCCGCATCATCCTCTTCAGAAATAAACCACTCCCCATCCCGCGCAACCTCTCTTAAATAACCCTCCTTCTCACTGAACCAAAATTCATCACTATCGTATCCAAACTGCTCGATCGTGAGATCTACAATAAACTGCTCTCTCAAAGGTGGCGGACTCGTCAATGTTAGCACAGAATGTGCACCCGTATACACATCGTCTTGCTTTAAAGATGTATGCTCGCTGTCTTCCGCGTAACGCAGTTGCAGTAGAGGGATGGGGAGTATTTGGATAGAGTCTATGCGTACATCTATACCATGGCGCTGGAAACATGTGCGAAAGTGCGGGAGGAGAGCGTATATGGCGAAGTCGCAATTGTCGAGTGCGAGGTAAGCGCGGGTAATGTAGGGTGGTGTGTTTGGTGGGAGAGCGTTGACGCCGCGCCTGGTTGGCGCTGAAAGATCAGTTCTGTGGAGGATGTGAATTGTGGAGTTAGTGGGAGAGGTTTGTATGTGGGATATCTGATCAATATGGATGTACTGGGTGCAGAGGGTGAATATCAGGTGATAGGGTTCTAGGAGGAATTTTAGGGTTGAGTGAATGGAGGCAGATGTGTTACTTGTGTTGGAGAGCATTTGGTATCAATACAATGGCGACAGAGGGTCGGGGCACAATTTAACGGGTGATGGACGGAAATCATATCGACCGTTATACTTGCGTTTAGTCATTTTCTTTGATCATGGGGTGGTGGCGTGGTGTACAAGACAAAGAAAACATTAGCAAACAATAATATCTGGTGAAGTCAGGGAAACTCGTTCTTAAGTCTGTAGTTTCAGCGAGTGACATCACAAGCATGTATTTTTGGAGTCTGTAGGTAGTAGATCGTGCTTAGACAAGATGTTTGATGCTTGCAATGTCTGTCGTGACAACGTTTTGTCTACGGCATGCACCTCGGTACTGATGAACCTTGGGCGCTCATGATGAGCGGCCTGAGCTTCTCACACTCTGCATCAAGCACCTGCCCCACCCATAGCAGATTCGATATGTACGCAAATATGTCGTCCCACTCTCTGATCTCAAGCTGCGCTGTTCTCTCTCTTATCAAATCGCAAAACCAGACTTTCGCTGCCTCATCGACCTCAATGGCCCCCAGAAATAAAACCCATAGAAGCATCGGCTGGAAAGCCGTCCACTGTTTTGCATACATGACTAGCAAGAGCTTCAGTTTCGCAGTCTCGAGCCCAGTGAAGACGAGTCTTGTAGTATGGACGTTGAACTGCCGTCTTATTCTAGCGAGAAGTATAAGCGCCCCCAATCGGCAGCACTCGGTCATGAAATTATCTTTATGCACACATTCAATCTCGATAGTTGACTCGAGTAACCTATAAGTTAGTGGATCAATCCAAGTCTTCGCGAAATCCCCGTCCTGCCACAGTAGTCTCCGATCACTTTCTAATATTATAGTCATGACAGCAATGCTGAAATTGTGGAAGATGTCGGCAAGATTAACATCATGGGGAAACATGATCGTCCAAACATTCGATGAGTGGGCAGACGAGGATTCCTGGAGAGGAAACCACCATGGGAGTTCTTGGGAATGAGATCGGACTACGCTAAGTAGAGGAGTGGGGGAGGGGAATCGCGGACGTGTGCCAGTGAAACAGGACGCAGAGACATCGATACTGCGCAGTATTAGATATAGTGACGCACGGCATCTGGCGAGGTCTTCATTACTAGAAGATGGGTCACAACATACCCCGACAGTATCAGCCTTAAGATGCGGTTGTGATCGATCTTATGAATGCCTCCTTTTGCCTTGATAATCGCAAGTAATCCGTCCATATGCATCGCGTAACTTTTCCAATCCTTCAATGAATACTACCTCTTCCATGTATGATGTTAGCTTGGGTATTCTCTTCTAACCGGTAGTGTTGAGCCCTGGAAAATACTTACGCTGAAACATGCAAACGCCATAATGGTCCCGATAACGCCCTCGCTGAGCCCCATCATCGGGTCTGTAAGCCTTTGGTTTATGGAGCGGAGGGCAAGCGAATGTAGAGCAAGAGATTTTGTGCTAGCTTGATAACCGCATCCGACAACAGATGAGATTGAGGATTGTTGAGCGGTGGTGATGTTCAGTGCTACATGCGAAAGTATTTCATAGAAAAAGGCGGGATCCGATAGTGCGAGAGGCAGCCATGTGTCTCTAAGGGGTCGCAAATGTACTTTGGGGGTTGTATATACTGTTTGTTGAGCACTACGTTTAATATCTCGGGATTTTCTTCATGTAATATTTGTTTTGCACTTACTATAGTCGATTAGGAACAGAGTATCAGAATTCATAGGTACCGGATACTGCGTAAATGGGTCCGTTCTCGATCCTCCGGACACTAACGCTGGAACCGTTTTCAATGACGAACTGCAGACAATTGCCGTCTTTTCAGAATTTAGATTCCCGATGCCTCGCAGAGCACCATTTTGCTTAGCTCCTGGTTGTGACTGAGGTCTAGGTCGTGGTTTTCCCTGCCGAGCAGCACCAATATCTCGCATGACATGCTTTTGAATGGCACTTCTCACATACTTCGTCGGGGACACTTTTCCGTTACTATTAACATTCAAGAATAAAAATGAAGATTCAGGCATTGTTACTACGTTGCTTTAGCTGTTGGTTAACCAATGGACGGGTTCGATTGTGGTTATATCGGTTGCGTGGATTATAAATCAATACTCCGATTCAAATATTTCCTAGCTTAATGGGTTGCAGGATTAGCGCGCCAAAAGATGCGCCTACCGCCGCTTCAGCGTCTACATCCGACTTCTACACCTTCAATCCTAAAACACTACCATGACTCGTTGATTCAGTATACCACCCTACCCCAGTAATATGTAATGAAGAAACATTGGAATTTGTGCAATGTACTCTGGCTCAATGATCTTTGCGACATCTGAACATCGCGATAACAAATGGCGGATCAAGCAAACTAGTTTGTATATCACGTTGTAGATCCATAGATATTTACAGAAACATTTTTTTTCTTCTTCATGAAATAGATAATAAAAGTGAGAGATACCCCAGACATCGTACGTTAATCGGTCTCCTTCGATCTCGTCCGTTTGCGCTCAATGTTTCGCAAAAAACTCTTTCAGTGTGACTTCTAAAGTCTGCGGCTGAAATGAAAATTGTTCGTTGTCCCATGGTTTTGGCACACCCTCAGCATTTGGGTCTCCCATAATTGCTCTCAAACTATAGGCCAGCTCGTCATCTACATCACCGTTCTTTTCGCACTCTTTCGCCTTGTCAATCGCTTCTTGCCTCGGCCGAAAGTCTCGGGTGTATGTCGCTCCCTGAACCTTCTCCAACGTATCAATGATATCACCCCACTTCCACAGCCCTCCTGGTACTCGAAACTGCCGCTCCTGAGTTGGCGATTTTGGAAGCAAAATCGACTCCAGTGTGTAGCGAGCGACATCGGCAACGGCAGTGAGCGATTCCGCTTTCTCCGGTGTACCGTAGAAGGTGAAATTCTTGTTCACAATATCAGTGCCAAAGAGAGGCTCGAGTGCGAGCTCAATGAAACCGCCGACTATGATGAAGGTATAGTTGAACGTAGGGTTGAGTGCCGCGGTAGTGCGTAGATGCTGACGGGTGATATGCTTATCGCGCCAGTAACGGTTGGTCAAATAGTCACCTTGCGATATGTCAGACCCAAATTCAGAAGGGTAAAATTCCGTGATTCCGCCCTGGACTGCTGCATCGATGATTTCGGGTTGGAGTTTCATGGCGTGGTTGCCGAGAAGAGAGAGCACCGTATCAAAGCCTACATATAATCAGTACGCATTATGGCCTTGCGTCTCAGTGAGCTCTGCTGGTAGATCTATACCTAGAAAAGACGTCGGGTCTGTGAAAGAACCAACAACAACTTCAATTCCACTGAGCTTATCCTCTGAAAATTTGTGAGCCCTGGACTCGTCCGCGAGGATTGCAATGCGCTTGAAGAGAGACCGTTGGCGCAAGAGCTCTTTCAAGATAGGACGGCCGAGGTAGCCACTCGCGCCAATGAGCAGAACAGAAGGTGAGGTCATGTTTGCGTGTTGTTGATAGACAGTGTTGAAATCGTGATTGCTGAAATGAACGCACTTGGTAGGCACTTGGTTTCAGTGCAATTTGCTCAGTATTTATGTTTTTCTAGAGCTTCTCCTACCTGATGACGGTACTCATCTTGAGACCCTCGGTGGCAGCGATTTATTTCCAGAAAATATTAAAGCTTCCTCTTTCCCGGTGATTACCTCATAAACTAAGCTTACTTTCTTGAAGCTATTGCGAATCGGGAAGTGGATGTCAGAGGATTGATTGATAACGCAGGTTCATTACCAATACACCTACTTCCTATTTGGTACCTTCCGATCGAGTAGTCAGAATGTGCCAAGACTGCACTAAATCTAACCACACAATCCTCCTAAGCTATCCTATACAGAAAGCAAATATTGTGTTTCGAATGCACTTCCAGGATTCTTAAACAGCACTCGTCAGTGAAAAGTTGGAGCTTGGAAATGAAACCCGCACATGCCACTGGCGAAAGGCGACGACGCGAGAAAGAAGGTACACTGGAGATCGTTCCACCAACACCCCGTCACTCATGACATAACGCCCTGCGTCTGATATGTTCATTTGCTCGTTTGAATTGCTGATGTATTACTAGCTTATGAGCGACGGAATCATGTGTAGTAATTGTAAATGGTTTAATTATTTGCTCTAGTCATACAGCCTCTGGCAACTGTTCTTGCCCTTGCTGCAGCCTCAGTCAAGTGCCATCAGAGACCTGAGTTCTCACATCAGCCTTCTACCGTCGACTCCGGTTCAGGTTCCGAGTTCAAGTCGACCTCAGTCTCTGAATTCTAAGGGATCTCAGCATTGGCATGCGCGCCCTGTCCCTCAGGCTCCGCCCCGTCGGTGGAAGGCCGAGGTGGGTTTGCGATTTGTCTCAATTTAATGACCCTTGATGGCTTTAACTGTTTTTCGCCGCAAGAGGCTGGACCTCGCCTCTTCTCCCAACGCCTCCATCTTATCCCAATCGACATTTGCGCAGAGGTTCCTGATGAGCTCGACATAAGCACGCTCATAGGGATTTTCAGGACCTTCCAGCGCCTTCGAATCAGTCACCTTCCACTTGCGCGACTCGGCAAACCGATCGAAAAAGGTCTCCATAGGCAAAAAGAAGTCATCGCTGCTCCACCCGAATTGTTCCAAGGTGAAGTCCGAGATGGTCACATGCCCGGCAGCATCTTTGATACGAAGAACCGAGTGCGCTACCTCGGTTCCGTATTCTTCTTCGTCTTCCTCACACCCAAGCGTCATGATGAAATCGCGATTGGGGACGCAGTAAATCCAGTCTACCTTTGCGTGAAAGTCAGCAAGCTTAGCACGCGCAGGTTCAAGACTCACCAGCATGCTCCAGTCGCACATGTCGAGCATTTTGTATGCTTTGTACAGCCTGCTACCCAGTTCTTGGCCGTATTTCTTGACAAGATGCGCCGGAGCGGTGGATGTGGTCTTTTCGCTGCCCGGTCCCGCTGTGGCAACGTAGACAGGCACACCTGGACGCTTCTTCTTGTGAACAGTCCCAGACTCTTCAATCTTAACTAGCTTTCTTTTGCTATAGTGATGGACTGCAGTTGAGATAATTATCCTGTACACCTTCATGATGTCCTCTATAGTCATTGGCGACTTCGTAAACTGTTTGATATTTTTCTTGGGTACCCTAGGTTGCTTTTGGCGTTTCAAGATACCTCCGGATATCGATGGGCCCTTTTTGGGCGCCCCAGATTTTGGTCGTATAGGTGACATTTTGCGACTAGCCATTCTTCTTGTTACTTTGCGTTTTAGGGTGAGTTTGGGTCTCTACAGACTTCTTCATCAGAATATTGGGTATTGTATACATATTGTAATGGCTAAATTTAGACACATTATACTCTTTGTTCGTATACATTGTGAATAGTATATTTGCTAATAATGGACATTCCATGAGAGGATTGCAGGCCCGGCAGGACAGTTCATGGCACAGAGCATCAAGTTCTGAGCAATGCTGACCAGTAGTAATTTATTGGTTACTTCCGGCGCAGCTCATAGATCGTTTTTGTTGCAAGTCTTTTGTCTTGCGTGGGTGATGTTAGGAAACTAAGGTGTTCCGCCAAATCGCAAGACAATGTTCATTCAGGCCATGTTTGGTTTGTGCACGATTGTTAACAAACCCCAAAATATATCATGTTTCATAATTGATGGTACTACTCGGAAACACAGTTTCCCATGTACCAATATAGAGTCGCCACATAGGAAGGTCCAAGATCACACAGCAATGTTGGACCTGTCTCTGAACCTGCCCCGTCCTTTCCAACTGTCTTCTAATAACAATCGGCGGAATGTCTGATCCTGGTAACGCCTTGTATTTCCCATCACTTCCGTGTCCACAATCAACCTTTTGGTTTCAGTCCACCTGGTTACCGCCTCATTGGGGTATCTCTCATGAAGCATGTACGCACTATCATCAATCTGAGAACACATAATGGTAAGTATCAATTAACTTGATGTATTCACACAGGAACTAGAGCCCAGTTCCACACAATGTAAAATTACTCTATGGGTTGGTTTCACGCAAACGTACCATCATTTGCCTATGTTTATCCCGTTCTGCACGATATTTACGCTCTGGCTCATGGTAGATGCCGAAACTTGCTTTTCGTCCAGAATAGGAACTCCGCTCCAAAGGTTTCTCCCAATCTTCATAGAATGCCGCTCGCGTCGATTCGCTGGAGTATGAAACAATTCCGCTCGCTGTTGGGGATCTGGGTGGCTTATATGCTGTTGGGGAATGATGATAGTCGTAGGATTGAATCATGGATGCAGTGCGATCAGGCGAGTGCGACACTTGTCTGTGTTGGTAAACGAGCGTGAAGTGTGTAGAGGGCTGCCAAGCATCTCGTTCGGAATCAAACCGACGGTGATGTGAATAATGCGAAGGCATGGCTAAGGGTTGTGGGTTGCTGTTGTTCAGTTCAACCTCAGCAAGTCGGTGTCGCTGGAATTAAAGGATACAGGTGGTGACTAAATTATCCTTTTTATGTGCGCTTGTGCAGCGAGAGTGAAAGACCTGCGTAGATTCGGCAAATAGCTAGACAATTACACAACAATCGTAGACCAGTTTTACGGGGGCAGTTTCTTTGTTGACAAGAAACATGATCGTATCATGAGACTTGCAGAATTAAGGACAAGCAGTCTCTTGAATCTGATTGTTGAGATCTCATGATAAGGACGGAGGTTTCTCTGTGTCATTGCCAATCGCGAGCATGGATGATGAGGAGATAGCGACAGAAAGTGGTAAAACATCCATTCTTGAATGTCCGGGGCTCAACTATCATTGGGAGTGGTTGAATGAAGGGAAAATACAGCTGGGAGCCCTCTGTAGTATTTCGAGTGTTTGTGTCGCATCCAAGTATGCGATGGAAAGCAACCATAACAAAACGAACACAGCTAAGATTATGCCCAGAGTGCAATGGAGCGATGCGGAGGACCTTCTTTGAATTCTGGACACGGTTTACTTGCGATGATACTTAGTAGCCTGAATATCGCAACGATAGAGTCCCCAACCCCACAACTACCTGTTATCATTACTGCCATTACTGTATCAGGCATCTCTCAGCCTCTGCCTCCGGTAGTTAGCGTAGTCAGTGTAGTGATAATCTTAAGTGAGTGAAGTGTCGCTCCTTCTTCATCACAGTAAGTTGGTCCTGCAATGCTTTGGACAAACTGCAACTTGTCTGCCTAGTACACAGACTTATCCATCTTGCATCTGAACAGCCTGTCCAGTAGTAGCATTTATGCAACTTTCTGACCGATCGATGCAAGGGTATAAAGATCTGTTGTGTCCAAATCACCCGCGGCCATTGGGCGGCCTGGAGCTCCGTATTGTGCGATACATCTTGCCTCGTATAACAAGAACTTTGCCTGACTACGACTGTAGGACACGCCGTAAATTACTCCAAGTATATGTAAATACGAAGTTAAGTACGTCATCCAGTTATTCGTGGGTCATTATTCCAATGAGAGGTAACGCCCGGGTAGAACTGATCCTACATGTATATATTTCGTAGGGCGAGCCAGGTTAGCTCTGGCGAGTCATAGACCAGCTAACCACACAAGCATACGTCCAGTAGCGGGGAGAAACGAGGTACGCAAAGGTACGAAACGGCGGTCGAAAGCGTGTGGAAACGTCGACAGGGAGAAGACCTAGAAGGTGGATGAGGTGTGCGAATCGAGTCTTGTTAACATATAGCTCCTTATCGACCAAAAGGGCTACTCAACAACCCGACTGTCACATTTCAACATCTTTCCCCAACATAGACGATACCGATGTTATCCAGGTACGGCTTTGTTCAAGAGCCAGAAACCATTTTCCTCTTCTCCATCGTCGTGAAGCCTGGACAGGGCTCTCTCTCTCCAGGAATCCGTCCTCTTGTAGCTTGGTTCTTGATAGTATTCGAAAGATATCCGGTATCAAGTCTCATGATAAGAGCAGATTGCGTCTTTTTAAAGTCGAGTCGAATGACGGCGTATTTTCCTGTCCGTGCCCGACCACAGCGCTGTGAAGGATCCCGCCAGTAGCCACCAACATGTCGCCCAAGCCCACCAACCTCCCTCACAACTTCCTAAAACAGCAACACACAGATCCACAGCATACCACCCGCGAAGAGAAAAGGATGAGATTGAGAATCGAAGGTTGCGCAGGAGAGCGACACGCAGCCCCTAAATACACCAACGTTCCTGCCTCCCGAAAATACGGCCACCAACCCCCAAGCAATATAACACTAACAACTCCGACATCACTAAACGGTCATAGCAAAACCACAGTCAACAAGTCCGAAAGCACGACGTAAGAACAGCAAAGTCCGCAGAAAGTGTAAAAGACCCCCAACTTTCTCAAACAAACACCAAAAACTCACTAATTTCCCCCCACAAGCAGAGCCCAGTCTACTGTAACCCGCACGAAAGGCTACCGAATCGAGAAAAAGAAGCGCAATGGTTCCTTTTTCTGGGAGTTGCGCTGCAAGGGCGAACGGAACACACAGACAGATTACAGCGCATGTGCAGATCCATTATATTCCGGTCCGAGTCATCGCTGCATGTACGTACGTACGTACCCGTCTTTTTCAATCACCGATGGCCGTCGGGGTACACAGTAATCGGTGTATCCTCATTCGCAATTGCATTCCATTCGAATCAGGATAGAAACAAGTAACATCTTTGGCTCCTACAAGGAAGGAAACAACTCTCCCATTTGCACATGTTAAATAGTAGGTATATTTACGCAGAAACAATTGTTTGTGAGCATATACTATGTCCTTGATCTCCTGGTATACTTTCTTGGTCGTTCTATGATGAGAGATCAATCAGAAAGTTACTTCTCGTATGCCCTCTGCCTACACATCTCCTGCCAGCACACCACTTTTTCCAACCCCCGACCCCCAATCTTTTTTTTCCGATTCGGTGTGTCGCGGGCTACAATAACTGGAGAGATAATGCGGAGGCAGGTAGCAAATACGAAAACGGGGGAGCGGAGTATTTGTTGGGTTCTGAAATGAATTCCCCCTACCCAGTAGTATAGTAGATTGCTGCAAGCCTATGCTAGTGGCTGTTGGTCTTTAGGTTGGTGTAGGGGGTTTACGGTATCGGTATATTCTATTAGTCTGTGATTTGCGCCGTTACGGAGTAAAAGACGAAGAGGAGATATTGGACGTTGAATGAAGGAGGGGAGACATCACCGTGATTGGGTTGGATGAAGGAGGGACGGTGGTGATGGTGGAACTATGCTATCGCTTCTACTCCAGTCAGATCTGATTGACAATATGAGCACGCCGACTATCTACTGTGAATGCGCTCACAGTGCACGGGAGTTGCAAAAAAAAAAGTGGACTGATTGAGGTATTACAATGGCATATCATTTGAGAGCTCATTTGTTCATATAGTCAGCGTTTGCTGAAAGATTTTTGCAAAGTAATGATTGGGTTCAATAGACCGATATTGACTACTTGGTTATGCAGCATGGTAGCAAACATCATTTACATGTATCAACCACTTGGTCTCTATTGACAACAGATTCCTGACCCAGCTGTGTGACTCTCCACGGGACACGCAAAGTAGGGCATCGGGTGTTTTGAATGGATCACCATGCTGACTCCTCCGACTGGCACCGCGTCGCGACGGATTCCTCGTTTCCTCAAGGTCGGGTACTTGGCGACGTCAGTGTCTAAACACAAATCCTCGTAGTTCCCCAAGTTAGCAGTGTTTGAAAGTATGGATCTCGAGTATCCAAGTTTGCAAGCAAAGGGTCTAAAAGCATGCCACTCATGTAAGTCGAGAACCTGCGTATCCGTGAAGATCGACCCGCGCGAGAGGTGATACCAAAGTGAATATGCTACACGCTGTATGTGGCGATATTGTGGAACAGCGAGAGTTGGTAATTGATGATGGTAGGCTGATAGGCAATCGCCATTCCTCAAGCAGGCATCTGGAGTAAGCGCTCTACGACACAAGGCGTTCCAAGAGGCGCATGAGGCGAACGGGCCTCTTCCATGTTAGCCATGTGGCAAGTTGTTGGCTTCCTCGCTGATCCCCCACTGGGTTAAGAGTGGGGTGATCCTGCCTACACTGCATGCATATATTGAGAATTTGTCAAGGCTTTCTTCCTCTCTTCACCCTTCATTTGAGTCCAGCAGTACAGTGATTGACATTGAGCCACAATGGGGAGACACACTGCAGCAGAGAACGAGGCTGTGAATTGTACGGATCATCTTAGACAAGTGGCAAAATGATGCACTGGACGCGAGTCAGGGAGAGCGTTTCTGGATCGGGAAACAAGATGGGATGCAGGAGGTGCAGATACAAGTCACGTGGGTGAAAGCGTTTTCCCGAGCGCTTATGACATATGTACGTCTACCTGCAACTCTTTACATGAAACTTGCTCTGCGAGACTCTTTCGGTAGTGCTTACCACTCGTTAGTGTAGTTGCCATGTCTCAGCCTGAGACTGGGCTGAGTTGGGAGCACGGGCGAACGAGCTCCATGCAGGTCGGTCACGTGCATCGGGCATGTTCTTCAAATGTCAACATCTGAATGGTTCGACGTCAAGCGCGCCGTCCGTGCACCGACTTTTTGCATGTCCGAACGCACCTGTCTTCTTCTGTGCAAATGCAGATGCAGGGACATGGGGGTAAGAAGTGCGATACTGCTTGCTCTCGGGGTTATTGCTCCAGAACAACGTTCGGCTGGGTTCGAGAAGAAACGTAGAAGATTCGGGGACTTTGGCGGGATTGCAAAAGGTAGTGCCCGGCGCGTACAAACGGGGCTCTTGGGTCAGACTGAGTCGATCTCGCGGATTCAAGGCGCCGCAAGCTTATGGCGGCACTTGTGCGCTATGCGAAAAGGACTGCAGATTACTGGCATGGGGAGATTATGATGGCAGAATCGGGTCGGGGAACCCGCTCATGCTATCGCGGTGATAATAATTATGAGGGTTGCTATCGCCAGTCACTGGACCAGATGGTGGACGTCGCTTAAGTTGGAGGCTGAGCAAGGGCCTTCCTATACATAGCACCACATCGACTGTGACGGTGAGCATCTCGGGGTACACGATCAGAGTGCTTGCTCAACCATTTCGGTGGTTCTTTAATTTTAACTCTGGATGAAGGCCATGGCGACGCCTGTACGTGCTCAAGCAGAGTCAGAGGCATGTGATTGCGCTGTCAATCTCGATGCGATGCGATGCCATGCTATGCGACAACCCACGGGTGGTGGGAGGATTCGGAAAGAGATTGCCTCGTTGCCTTCTTTTTACCATTGCGGTATGTGCTGGCTGGGTGGCTGTCCGCATCCAGAATCGGACCATGGCCGTCCGCCACCGTCGAATCGCGACAGTTTGACAGGGTCGCTTGAACAGTGGGAGAAGACAATGTTAGCAAGGCGGACTTTGCTTTGCGTAGAGTGGATAGAGATGCGGCTTGAGTGCTGGCTCTCCAACTTCTCAGCCTCGCCAGTATCCAGGATGGGTGGTGAGTTGTGTGATGGTGACGGGTGACGCTATGAATAGAACGCGACATTGGACAGACTAACCATCTTCAGCGTAGTGCCTGGTGGGCCAAGGGCGGGGGTTGAGGCTGGAAGACGGCGCGTAGAGCGAGCCGGCCATAGTACGGATGGATGCCTTGGGTGTCGATAATCGCCACGCGCACAGCCGTCGTCACTTCTTTGCTTTGTCCCTTACCACCTTCATCGTCATTGTCAAGAGCATCTAGGTCGCGCAGTGTGTACAGCGCCGAGCAGGGTAGGGGGAGATGGTGCGACACATTTTGCATACATTGTTTCCCGCGCAACCTGTAATGCGCACGGCGGAAACATCCACCCTCACAGCCGTTTGACACATGCATCAATGTGAATCAGCATTCAAGTCCAGATGGATGGTGGCGAGAGTAGGATGAACAAAGTTGGTTGTCCATAGTGATCCTCATCTTCCTCCCGCGCAGGTCGGAGCCGTAGGATCATCTCCCCAGCAACTGCCGCCCAAACAGCATGGCGATGGGTGTTGATTCTTTTTGCGCATGCATGGCCGTTTTGCGGAGAGATCAACCCACCACGATTTCGCAGCTGGACGGAACAGTCGAGAAAAAGCGAGAGGCGCAAGGCTCCACCGACTGCCAAGCAGTGCGAAATCGCTGTACACACAGGCAAGCGTATACCACGGTACACAGTTCTGTATAGAGTATATCACGCGATACAACCGCGAAGCGAACATGGAGAGCCAGAGTGGAACATGAAGTCGCAATGGGGAGGGACAAGTGGAGACGACTGGGTTCTTTGTAGCGTAGGGAGGGTATTCACACCCTCAACCCGAGTTCAACCCAAAGGTTAACCGACTCAACCCGCCAAGAGCTGCACCGACTTGCGGCCAATGAGCGAGCAGTGTAAAATGGCAGACAGGGCCCTCGATACATGGACCATGTGTCAGAGCCCTACAGTCGACAGTGGGGAGTACCACAGCTCCATCTCGACAAACAGCCCGCTTGCCCATCCACGTCGAGGCGTGACTGGGAATACCACCAAGGCCATAGTCTAGAAGTGCGTGATGGAGAGGAGACACAATACGGTGTCGGTAGCGTGATTCAAGATGATTCCAGTTTCCATCTCAGCCATCTCAGCTGCCGGCAGACAAGCATGCCAGACAGCCACGCATACAACTCTCATGTAAAACTCGAAACCCGAAAGACTCTGAGATCAATTGGACAGCGTCGAAAGTTGAATGCCTGCATTTCTGATGTGAGGTGAAGCAACTGGGCCTGGGGGATGCCCGTCCAACCCAAGCGCCTGAAGCTCGCGTCAGCAGGCTGCCCGCGCTGTGGTTTGGGTTCTCACACGGTCGGCTTTGGGTGATTCCTGGCGTAGAAGCCAGGGCCAGGAGCAAGTGCAACCCCGATCGGCGGCCGTTGGTTCACGGGATACAGAGTAGCTTGCAAGGGCAGGCAGAGAGTAAGGGTAGGCGGGTCTTGACAGGCAAAAAGAAGCGTCGAGGAGAAAGTCCGGAAACCGATTGCTGTCTCGACAAGCTTTGGAACGCCGCTGCATCGACGGTGGATACGGGTTTTCAGGGTGAAGCAGCGAAGAAACCTCACGGCCGCTGCACCGTCGGATGATGGTTGCGACGGGACGGGGAATGGCACAATGGCACAATGGATGGCCAGTCGCCGCCAACCCGCAAAAGGGGACTTGCACCAGCCCATGATGCTCTCACCCTCCTGCTGGATCTCGCGCGAGCCGCCATTGGTGTGCTGCCCATTCAGCACGGCGATCCCCTGGCGACCACGATGGTGCAAGCATTGAGCAATCAAAAGCCCGCCATGTCGGTTGCGGAAAGGAAAAACATTGCGCTGGACTGGCAGGAACCCAACCGTGTGGATGGATTAGCTAAGAACACAGTAATGAATGGTATGGATGGCTGGGGCGTTAACCGCATGGGGCAACCAGATCGCACACACGGTGGGTCTGGTCACGGGTGGGTGATGCTGTTTCTTAAGCTCTCCTCCAGTACCTAACGTATCTATCTTGGATATCTCTACCTACTCGTGTCCTTGCTGCGCGAAATCCGTGTCGGCTCGATTCGATCTTGCGGGGCACTGCCACGCATCTACCTGATTGACCTATTTACTTGCTTGAGTGGTTACTACAGACAGACGTGCATGATGCTTGAAGCTCGAGCCACCAAAACCGGTGAAGAAGACCGTGACGTACCATTGTTGTATGTCTTATGTACGTCGATGCAGTGAGCGGTGTCATGTCAGCGACACCCTCTGACGAAGCGAATCCTGATATCTCCGGCAGATGCACGTTTGGCAATGATTGCCCATGCTGCCGTTGGTCGGGAGGCCGCCCACTGCAACGCAACAAACTACCTACAACCACGGCAGCGATTCTTGGTTGCGCTTGCAGCGTGCTAGACCAGAAACTGGCCAAATCGCCTCTATTAATACACTCATCCACAGGCGGTATGGTGTTTTGTTTGTTTTTTTCTCCCATCATCTCCCCTTCTCTTGCGTGCCTGTGCCCGCCCAAGGACGGGTTCGCGCCACCAGCTTAGCGGGCGGGAGCTTGACGTGTTTTCCCACCTTTGCTGTCTAAGCTTTGCGCGTCGAGGGCTGGCACGGATTCAGGCCCCCCGATGGTCGAGCAGCCTTGCGGCCTTTGCGGACAGGCTGGGCGCGTAGGGTGTTGTCCGTGTGTGGAGATTTGTGCCATGGCTCTAGCCTGGGTGCCACAGGCCATTAATAGCCGCGTTCAACGTGCGTGCGCCGCTGCTGTACGGCGCGGCATGACTGCTCCCCGATGCTGACAGCAGCAGCGACAGTCGCGAAACTCGTTTGGACATGCCGTCATGTCGAGCTAATCTACCTATCCACGAAAGAGAGTCGGGCTTCATCTTCATCGTCATACTCGTTATACTCATAATCACCATCAGCACGCATAGCTATGTATGTATGTATGTATGTATGCATGCATGCACTCATGCATGACGGCAGCAAATATGTATGTATGTAGGTATGTATATATCTACCCATGTACGTACATGGTTGGATACCAAACATGGATACATTTCAAATGGACAGACAGATGGACGCAGTACGGCAGATTTGATGCTCAGCAACCAAGTTGATTCAACAGTGTGGGCTCTGGCGGTGGAACTAATGCTGGCTGGGCGGTAGCACGTGAGGCTACTGCTGCAAGACGTGTGGTTGCGCAGAGTCCGCCAGACTGTCCGTCGGCGGGTGCATGCTAAGTTATAGCAAGCATGCATGCAATACCGTCGCATCCCATGTACCGTCAGGTGTTGGATGGAGCGATTCGACAAAGAGGCAGCCATTCACCCAAGACATGCAGGGGGCAAGGAGAGGGTACTAGGATGGTCCTGGTGGTCGTAGAGAAGTAGCGGGCTCTCGAGCACGTTGCTGGCACCGCCAAAGCACCCGATCCCGGACAAACCGCTGCTTGGTCAAGCCATGATTGTTCCCTTTGATTAAGGTTGTTGATGTTCGACTCAGGTGTGCAGCGAGGATGGATGATGGTAGCTAGCGCCGCGGTGTGGTTTCTATTTTTCATCTCAACTGGGCGACGGACCTAAAAGGCGAAAAAGCAAAAGGGGACGCGGGCATGCATGCATGGGCTTGTTGACTTGCGGTAATGAGGCTCAGAATAAACCCGATGCGGATGTGTATGTATGTAGGTGGACAAGTGGTGGGCGGTCTTCTAATTGTGTGCATCCAAAGTTGCCACGCCTACTTGGGACACGGTCGAGTACTAAGCCAAGGTAAGGTAAGCAGTGCAGGGAGAAGGGAGAGAGAGGGCTGAGCCTGGTGCCGTCCCAATTGGAATTAACCCCTACTATTTTCAGACCAGGCAGGCGCTCTGATTGGCGCGCCAATTGGCAATTCCTGCCTTGCCCTGTACATGCGCGCACGCACACAGACAGACAGACACAAGCCACCACGGCTGCTGCAGCATCCCTCCCCTACTCCCTACCTATCTGTGTATGTAGGTAGGTAGGTAGGCAGACTGACTGCAGATTTATAAAAAAAAAACTAAAACAAAGATGAACCAACGCTGCTATAGTGGACCAAAGAAACAATGCGGCAGTACAGCCCTCTAACAATCAACATCAACATGCGCTCTTGGCCCTTGTTCTCAAGAAAGTAAAGCAACTGGCGCAGTTCGTTGAGCAGACTGTGCAGAGCACGCTCGTCGAAGGCCGCCCGGGTGCCTCGTTGCCCTCAGCGCGGCTGCTGGAACCGTTCGGTTGCACGCGTCCACGCACGACCGCCAGCGCTGTCCAAAGTGCCCGCGAAGTAGGGCTCAAGCTTTCCCACCCGGCCTGCACTTGCATCCACCGCCCGCACCGCCGGCCGGGGGTGCCAGTGATTGGCGAGCCCTGCCGACCCCCCCTGGCCCGAGACCCTGCCCTTCATCTCGCGGCGTCGAGCATTAGGGCGCATTGGGACCTGCAGACTGGGTGCATTCTCTCACTCACTCCCTCACTCACTCTCTCCCCCTCATACACACACACTCTCTCTCTCCCCCCCCAGCCTTCGAGCTTAGCTCAGGCACAGCCCGTAGATATTTACAGACGCCCGTCCCTTCGCTCCACGAGCTACCTAGCTAACCAACCCCATCCACCTACCTACCTACCTACATCCATACATCCCCATCCATACATAATTGCCTACATCCATACATACATACACCTCCTAGTCATTCACCTCTCCCACCCGTCAGTCAGAACCCAAATTGGCACGAACCCACCCCGACCCTTGTCCACTTCCGTCTATACTATTTCTTCATCTCCCGCTTCGTCCCCCGAATCCGCCTCCCCAAAACCGTCTTTCCGCTGCTTGCTGCCCCGTGCGAAACATGATCACCTAGCTAGCCAATTCTCCATTTGTTGTACTACCGCATCTGGCTCCATCGCCGCCTTCCCATCTTCGCCAGCCCTACTGCTTCCGTCTCTCCTCCACTTCTCCCCTCCAACATCCCTACCCCTCCTAGATAGATATATACTTGCCCCCCCATCCGCCTCAGTCAGCTATGTCGGATCCCAGTGACTTGAGCGGCCCCCCATTGGCCTCGACCATCCACCAGCAACACCACCAGCAGCAGCAACACCAACACCAACCCTCTCAAGCCAACCAAGCTTCACCACCCTCCGCCTCTCGCCGCCGCCGCCGCCGTCAAGACTCACAGTCCTCGGATGAACGCGTCGACTCTGCCAAACCAATCTCTTCCCGTCGCCGACTTGGATCCAGGAAGGAACCCCGCCGCGACTCTTCCATTGTTGACAGTCCCACCATGCAACGTTCCGCAAGCCCTTCGCACCCATCGCCAGATTCGGTCCACTACACCAGGACTGGTCGCATCAGCAAAGCGAAGAAGGGTCTGAAAGTACACAATTGCGAATGTGGTCGGGTAAGCCATATCTTCTTTGCTTCTGCCTCCCGCTTCGCTACGGCCCGTTGCCCTAGCCTGCTGCTGCTCTACGCCGCTTCCTCCTACCTGTGCCGCACCCCACCGTATATATGCCCTCCAAGTGAATTCTCTACTGACACGCCACCCGCAGTCGTACACCCGGGCAGAGCATCTAAGGTACCATCCCTCTGCCATCATGCCCGTGTTTTCCCCTCTGCTGCAAGACTGACCCACCCCCCAGGCGTCATCAGAAGAACCATGCCCAAGACACTTTGCTTTGCGAGTACCCAGGATGTGGGAAGCCATTCTTCCGCATAGATCTTCTGCAACGACACCAGGAACGACAGTAAGCAATTCCCACCCCCAGACCCATCGTGGGAAGAGCAACATGTTGACCCCATGGTAGCAATGAAACGGAAAACGGTTCTCCCCAGCCCTCCGCCTTCAGCCCAGGAAGCACTGGAGAAGCAGAAGTCACGGTTTCTGCACCACCGCCCGTGGCCACGCCTACCGTGGCTTCGACTCCCCATCCACCCTACTACCCGCAATCAGCTTCCCCCATGCCAGAACCGGCACCAGATGCAAGGTATACCCCCAACCCGTTTCGTACTCCACGTTTACCTTCTTCCGCTCTTGGTCTTCCTCGTTCTTCTCCAGTCTCAGCATCTTCTCCTGTTTTGAAGTGAGTTCAGCATCACAGCAAATGGCATACTTTACAATCTTTTTCCTTTCCTTCTTCCTTTACGTTTGCACAGCTAGTCGCGTTTCCACTGCTTACCCATCGTTTAGCGGCAACACCAAACACAGATCCCCATTTTCGACACGCCAGGCCCCTGCTGTTCCAGTGCCTATGGATGGTCTTCAGACAGCCGGCATCCCCTGGAGTGACTCCTTCAGCCAATCGCCAAGCTATTCGCCCTCGAGCGGATACGCTTCTCCCATCCCCCACTCGGGCGATTACGCAAACATGTTTGCGAACCCTCCATATGGCCCCGGGGCGATTCGTACACGAGCATCCTCCAATGCGTCTTACAACGAACCCAACTGGTCCTATCCATCGCGCTCGCCCACATCCGCCACTTCCACCATGGCCTACGCCTGGAACTCGAACGACAAGAGTCCTGCGCCCCCACACATGGCGTACATGACCACTTCGTACCCGATGACAAGCGTGCCAATGACATCTGGCGTGGAATCGATGCCGTATGGGCATTATGGCGGTCCCAAAACACTGGCGCAGAGGGATCAGGATGAGCAGGCAATCCTCTTTCCAGAACAATCCTATGGTATGGGTCAAATCGCACACACTTATCCCTATGAACAATATCTGAACAATTACTGGAGACACTTTCACCCCACCTTTCCCGTCATACACCGAGCTACATTTGACAGCATAGCGTCCGCGCCGACGCCTATGCTCCAGGCTGCCGCCATCGCGATCGGTGGCCAGTACTCGAGCGACCCGAGCGTCAAACGAAAATCACGAATACTGCACGACCGGTGCATGAAGTTGCTCAACCTGGTATGCTCCATTCTCCAACCCCACTTTTGGTGAAATCGGTTAACGTTTTCGGTAGAGAGACTTCAGCGTCATGACCGAAGGAGACCGCACATGCGATTGGCAAGCATTGTTTCTCGTTGAAGTTCTTTCTCAGTACCGCGCGCGGCGAGCAGCCAAATCACTCTCGTTGCGATTTGAAATGGTTTACCGTCAAGTAAGAAGGAGCTCTGTTCCCAAGTATTCGAGGACAAAGACCTAACCCTTCATTAGCTCTGCCAAAACTTCCGCACGGTGACATCGAGCCTCGTCGATATCTCCAGCGCTCTGGTGCAACCCGAAAATGCAACAGCGGATCTCTGGGCGCAGTGGGTCGAACTTTCAACCCAACAACGTCTGCTGCTCGGTTGCTACATCTTAGAGTGCCACCAAGTCACATTGCTCGCTCGCGACACGCCACAGCCGCTCACCCAACTGTCCGGTTTGGACCTTCCGTTCCCGTCACATTCTTCCCTTTGGGATGCCACCAGCATTACGTCATGGGCTATGGAGGCCCAACAGTATTCCCACCTGCCACCATACGTTTACCAGGTCACTTCGGATCTAGTCACAAACGCTTTCGATGTTTTCCAATCATCTCTTCTCATTACGGCTCATCACAACCATTTCCCTCCTTCCCAGTGCGTAGTTGAGCATCTACTAAGTGACTCGGCTGCCACCAAGCATCAACTCCTTACGTCCAAACTGGTTCATGTCACACCTATTCGAGCACTCCTCGGCGTCTCGGGCGAATCGTGGATCCTATCCGAGAAAGTGTCATCGCCGCAAGTATTCAATGACCTCAAGGCAGCATTGCGATCCTGGGTCAACGGCTTGTGGGCCGATCCGTCGGGATCACAGGAGGAGCCGCTCGTCAAAGATGCTTTGAAGTTGGCCATTGAGATTCTTCAACATGCTTTGGCAGCACCCAATGACACTCTTCGACTCGAGCTTGGGGCGGACATGGGCCTTTACTATGCTGTTCTCGTTATCTGGGTCGTCACGGTCGCTACTACTACCCACCCCGACGCACCCCAACCTCCTCTGCAGTATCCTTTGCATCCTGCATTATCAGCACCACATGGCTTTTCTACCCAGGATCACTTGGTAGTCGACTCTCCCGAAATCACACCCAACCCGGCTCATCCTGGTACATTGTTCTCCCTCCCCGAGCAACTCACATCTCAAGTACAATCCTCGCCACCTTCAGACATGCAGCATGCGGAGACAACCGCCATGATGTCACTGAGCTTCCTGGATAATGCCCTTGTTGACCTCAATTATCTGGGGATGGTACCCCAGTGGCCGCGCGATCCCGCTCAATGGCAACAGGGCTGCAGCGTACTCACGCGGTGGGCAAAGATGAGATTGAGAAATGCCTCAACCGAGGCGCAGGATAGCGTCGTCTCATCATGCTCCAACCCTGGCCCCGCAAGTGCTGCAATGGGATGTGGTGGCGATGGGTACGGCGAAGTCCTCGATGGGGTTATCGGTGTTCTGGACAAGCTCGTAGAGAAGGGGTGGACCATCTGGGAGATCTAAGCCTCGTCACACGCGCTCCCTCCTACTCTTAGCACCCCGCTTCTTGTGCTTCTTTCGAACGTACAAACTTTTTCGCTGGGATTCGGATCGGCGACCATGTAGCATGGCCATTCACCTGTTACGCTTTTACTTCCCCGGCTCCTATTCGTATGTCTGCCCTTTACGATCTACGAAGACACTGTTGTTTATTGTCTCGTCGGAGCATCCAATACCGCATCTTGGCGGGTTGATCTCCTTTTACGTTTTATTCTCCGTTTCTCGTATTTCTTTTCACTTTATTTTTATTTTTTCTTGATATCCAAATCGTCTTCGTTCGTATGGTTTTGCTTCTTCTTTTCAGTTTTACTCGCTACTGTTGGATAGTGCATCGGCAGGCAGTCATAGCATCGGCTTCTCTTGGGATTTTATCATGATTAGGAAAGGCAGCGTAGGAGCCATCATTCGACACATCGGGAACCGGAAAAAAGACATCTTTCCAGACGCCACGTTTTAACGTACATGAGGAGAATTGGGACACAAATGGAATCATGGGTATATCCAAATGGGACTGCTTTTTAGGGTTTACTGTTCATTTCTCTTGGTCTACTTTTGCTCGCTGGTTATTCTTATCGTTTCAAGAGACATACCCCTTTCTCATTCGTCGCGATCTTACCTTTTTTTTTATAGAATATCCTTCCATTCTTGATTGTTCACATTCGCATGTTTCCCACTTCTGTATTTTTTTCATGTTTGCCTTGACGATTCGTTGCTTGTTTGTACTAGTACGCATTTACCTCTTCTTTCATTCTCACACTACGAAAAGGCATCTCATATTATGACAAGGTATTTCGCACAGTTCAAGCATATTGTTCTCTTCCCTGTCTTTTCTCCTTTGAAAATTCATGACCTCGTCTACGAACTCCTTTCCTGTCCAATTAACAAGAGAAGAAGAAGTTTGTCATTCGTCATCATCAATGCCTTCTTTGAGGGTCTTCCAAGGTCGTATTGCCATTTTTTCAGTCTTGGTAACATCAAGCATGATTTTCATACGCATCACAAAGAAACACACTGAACAGTTCAAATGTTAATATCAGCGTACATAAATACATAATCATTCAACCGGCACCTCACACAATAACTGCATACCTCCAAAGTGATCATATGTGACTTAAGTCATCCTATGCAGATCGCTAGTGGACAATGGAAGATAATGATAGATGGAGAGAAGCAACGTGGTAGTCAGTTGCTGCACGTGACGGCTGACCGCGTCACACCTGGGCGCCTGCATACTTCTATCCCTCTAACCCAACATCTCGATGAATTTACTTTTCAGCGCGTCTGCGCCCATGGGATTCGCAGCGCTGATAACTTCCCTATCGACAGTAATATATCCCAGACTCTTCGCAACGCCCTCAACCATCTCAGCCCCTTCGTCTCTCAGCGCACTCTCCACTTTCGTGACCTCCCCTCTCAACACGGCCGTCTCCATGAACTTTTCTTCCGCATCCGACCAACTCGTCAGCTTATACCCTTTGTACGCAAACTCTTTATCCCCGCCGTACTTTGTCGACAGAAAAGCATAGGGACCATGGCAGATTGTAGCAGTAGGTTTTTGCTTCTTATGAAAGTAACTCAAAATACGACCCAGGTCCTCATTATCCCCCAAGTCTGCCAAGGGCGCATGCCCTCCGGGAATAAAAACACCATCGAACATGCTCAACTCGTCGTCGCTGATCTCAGAGAACTTGCGAGGTCGGGAGAAGCCATTCTCTCGCTTCATGCGCTCGACGAGCTCGGTTTCACGTTGGCGCTCGTAGAAGTTTCCCGCGAAGGCGGCAAGGGAGGTGCTGAGGGGATCTGGGGTGGGCTCTTTGCCCAAGGGGGAGGCAAAGGTTACTTCATGGCCAGCATCCAGGAGGCCTTGCAGGGGCTTGGCGAGCTCCATGAGGAAGTAGCCGGAGGGCTGTTGGATGGTGTTACCCTCGGAGCCGACGTTGTGGAGTGGGAAGGACGAAGCGTCGGACATTATGATCAGGACTTTTTTGGGCGACATGGCGGGGATTCGTAATGATCTGGTATTTATCACTCAGGCGGGCAGTTGTTAGGCGTCCAAGATGTTATCTGTTCGTATGAAGTGTGCAGTAACTGTTGTGACTAGATCCCAATCATTGCGACCTTGATAGTAGTTATACTGACTGGACTGCACTACGTGAGGACAAGACGTTGGACCATCGTCAATATGACGTTCAGTGAGAAATCCTTGAACTGGCCTAGCATAACAAGCAGTACCCATTGTTTCTACTGTATGAGTTTTTTTTTCTCTTTCTCCTGGCTGCCTCGGTCGATTCTCTGGTTTCGATGACATACTACGGGCATTCGCATTAATATACGGGAATCCGATTGATAAAGGGTCTTCCCAAGATGTAGGTACGAGCTAGGCTCAGATGGGGATGTGTAGAGAAAAGCGGGGCGATTCCTGGACCGTGCGCAAACTTCGATGCCTCGGTTGCACGAGGAATCGATGCGGTCGCGCCGACTCGCTACAACAGTTCACCCGTCCCCCGACGCTTGCAACAGCTCAATTCAATTCCTGCAGCGTCTGTCCAGCTTCCTCAGCCATCTTTTCTTGTATTTAGTTGCAAGAAATTCCCTCCGCTCAGCGAGATAGACAACAGCCCGGTTGTCCGACTTCCTCGCATACCCAACCATCTCTGATCGAATCAGTCAACCAACGAATTGATCAGACCATAGACTGAATATGGCCCTGCCCACCTTCCAAAACACGCCCATGGAGAGCCTCGCCGCGAGCTGCCAGACTGTACGCGCCTCGTTCCTCTCGCACAAAACCCGCCCGCTAGAGTTCCGTCTGAAGCAGCTGCGCAAGCTGTACTGGGGTCTCAAGGACAATGCCGACCTCATCCACGAAGCGTGTTCCAAGGACTTGAGCAAGCCTTTTTTCGAGACTTATTCGGGCGAGCTGAACTGGTGTATGAACGACTGCATCTTCATGCAGAACAACCTCACCAAATGGGCCGCCGACGAATCCGCTCAAGACATTCCAATGGCAAACAAGTTGCTGGGACCCAAGATCAGGAAGGACCCCATGGGTGCTGTCTTGATCATTGGTGCCTTCAATTTCCCCATCCAGCTTTCTGTTGGTCCCCTCATCGGTGCTATCGCTGCCGGGTGTACCGCTATCCTCAAGCCTTCCGAAAGCGCTCCCTATACCGCCGCCGTTATCCAAAAGATCGTTTCCGAATCGCTCGATCCCTCATGCTACATTGTCGCCCAGGGCGCCATTCCCGAGACCACGGCTCTTTTGGACGAGAAATGGGACAAAATCTTTTACACGGGTTCTGCAAACGTGGGCACCATTATCGCGAAGAAGGCTGCTGAGACCCTCACCCCTGTCACACTGGAATTGGGAGGGAGAAACCCAGCCATCATCACAAAACACGCCGACCCGCGCTTGGCAGCTCGTCGCCTTCTATGGGCCAAGTCGTACAATGCTGGACAGGTCTGTGTGAGCCAAAACTACGTCCTAATCGAAGAGGACATGGTGGAATCCTTCCTCCGTGAAATCAAGACCGCCTACGCCGAGTTCTACCCCAACGGCATCCGTAAAACCCCCGACTTTGGCCGCATCGTCAACCTACGCCAATTCCAGCGTCTCAAGAAGATGCTTGATGAGACAAAAGGCAAAATCGTCCTTGGTGGTACCATGGACGAAGCGGACCTCTTTATCGAACCCACCTTTGTGCTCGTCTCGAGCCCAGACGACAGCCTCGTCAAAGACGAAAGCTTTGGTCCCTTCGTTCCCATTCTCCCCGTTAAAAACCTCGACGAAGCCATCAAAATCGCGAATGAAGTCCACGCCACCCCGCTTGGCCTTTACCCCTTTGGAAACAAGGCCGAATGCGAAAAGATCCTCTCCCAGACACGCTCTGGTGGTGCATCGCTCAACGACGGCTTCTTTCACGCTTCCATTCCCACCATGCCGTTTGGCGGCGTCGGCGACTCTGGAACTGGTGCGTACCGCGGAAAGGCTTCGTTCGATGTTTTTACGCACCGCAGGTCGATTACGAAGACCCCTGCGTGGATGGAGGGTCTGCTCAGTGTCAGGTATCCGCCTTTTACGGACAAAAAATTCAAGCAGTATCGCAATATGAGCGCCTTGACGCCCAATTTCGATCGCGAGGGCAATGCCCAGGGGTGGGGAGGGTGGTTTTTGAGCTTGCTTGGGTTCAAGAGTGTGGCTGCTTTGGCGAGTAAGTGATATAAGCAATTGTCATTGCGCTTTCTTCTTTGTAAATGTTCTTCTCCAACAATCCACTGTCGGTGGGTTCTCTTCCTTGTAATCCTCGATCTTTCCTCCTTTCCCCCTTTCCCCCTTCTTTTCCTTTGTCTGTTCGTTCCGTCATCTCGTCATCTTTTTCAATCTTGTCCGTGTTTCTATATACCACGATATCATCCTCCATCCGCGTGACCAGAGAATCCGCAAGCCGTTGCCTTTCTCATGTATCAAATCATGTAATAGTACCCCGAGTAGAAAGGGGGCGAAGTGAAGCAATGATACCCTGTAACAAAATCTCGGTATTCTCAAAAAAAAAAACCCCCCTCATTATCTCCTTTTACTCGATCATACGCCCTTGGCATCGTCCATTCCATCACTCTTTTTTACTCTCGCCATCTCTAGTCGATGTACCAGAACGACGCTAATTGCGTGTCCGCAAGCAGTTGCCATAGGAATCCGACTCTACCTACAACGCCGTAATGGCGGCGCCAAGTTGTGAAGAAAAGAAGGGAAAAAAAAAGGTGGGTAGGGAGGAGCAAATAAGAAGCAAGAAGATAATGTACGGGTGTTACATGGGAGCCACGGGAGCCACGTGTACATAGTTATATATCAGTCTACGAATCGGAACCAGGCAGGAGAGACCGACGGCGGGGGATAACCGGGGAAGAGGTGCACGAGGTTTCGGTGCTTTCATTATTTGTTTTTATCATGGTTTGCATTGTGTGTATATTCGTCGCGCTTGATTCCAGCTCGTTGTATGGTTGGGACTGAATATCTTTCTTCTTCCCCAAGGCCCAAAGATTGTATTCGATCTCTACTTGTTTTTGTTCTTCTTTTCCTGCGCTTGTACGCATAGGCAATGTCGATACCCTAGTATTGTCGATGCCTTTGTCAGTTCTATCCGTATATTCGCGTCGGTATCGCTTATCAAATAATAGTGGTGGGAAGGGAAGGAGGGAAGAAGTGGAGTGAGCGTGGATGATTTGACTGATGAGTGCTTCAAGAATCTTCAGCAGCCAATCTTCGATCATGCTGGAGTCAAGAGAGCTGCATGAAGGGAACGCAAGAGAAGAAGCAAAATTGCAACAGCCGCAGATTGGGCGCAACAACGACCGAGAACCCACGTTCTTCTGCACATACACGATGGAAAAAATGATGACGATGATGGCCCACTATAGATTTGTGGTGGGGGAGGACACTGCGAGGATGAAGCTAAATAATTTCTGAAATCATGATGTCATAGTAGATCCTAAGCCTAGGCGCTCGAGTTGACAGAAAAAAAGAACCCCTTGTCGTCTGTGCATGCCAGCTATAGAAACATGACCGTGATAACCCTGCACATAATGGAAAACAAAAAAAGGAGTCAAAAAGCCAGATCCAGAGATAGCGAACAGCTGACTGTGCCCCAAAGGCGACATCTGATCGATTCTGTGCTTTGCCTCAGACCCATGTCTCGTCATTTTCATACAAGGAATGGTTCTTTTCGTGAGATCCTGCCATAAAAACGCCCGCTAATACCGAAACATCCACCCACAGAAGTGAGCTGCGGGGGGACCGAGTCATGTGGTGAAGCATGCGTCTCTATGCCTCGCCAATGCTGAGCGCTTTGCCGTACTTTTGTATGTGCGCGGTCGTTTATTTCTTCTTGCCAAACTTGGGTTGACCAATCTTGTCACCCCTCAAGATAACATTCAGTACCCTCTCCATGTTGCCCAGAAGCTTCTGGTCAGGAGCCGCAGTACCACGCTCGAAGTCGGCGATGATGTTGGGTGTTGAGTTGCACTTGGTGGCGAGATCTTTCTGGGTCATGGTGGTGCCTTTGTCGTTCTTTGCCTCGGAACGGGCTTTCGATATGGCTTGGCCAACGACAGTGCCGACGGTCTTGGGCTTGATGATGTCGTCGGAGCGGTCTACTTTGGTGAGGCGTTGGCCTTCGGTGGAACCGCCCTAGGTGAGGTCAGAGAGGTTCAAAACAGAGAATGACAGATGGTGTACTCACAGCATTAGTAGTGCCGTACTTCTTCTCAGTGGCAACGATACCGCCGCTCCGCTGGGCAGCATTGAGTGCGGATTTGCCCTTGACAACCGTCTCACGGGGACCAGCAGGGCCGCCACGGGTGCGGGAGCCAATCTTGGTCACAGAGTTCCAGTCGTCACTCATTTTGATCGTTGTTTGGTGTTGAGTGATGGGTTTTAAAAAGATTTGAAGGTTGAGGTTGGAATAGAGGTAAGGTGGGTGGGTGTGTAGTGGGGGTGTCGACGTCAGGCAGCCGAGGGATTCGTCCTTGAATAAGTTGCGAGGGTGTCCTTTTCGGGGAGGTTTGATAGACAGGCGGCACGTTTGTATCTCGGGTGAGTGAATAAGAAGAGAAGTCGAATGATAATGGATCAGCGTCCCGTTTATGTATCCTAGGCAGAGCGAACCCAGAGACGGCGGCAGGGTGAGAGGCAATGAGTCGAAGGCGGCGGTAGCCGCTAGTCCGCATGGCGTTAGCCGGTTGCTCCCACATCTCGAACCTTCCATCATCCCTCACGAACCATGTTTTGAAGTCAGCCCTTTCGCCGCCCTTTGCCCGACTGCACACGCATCGTCCAGCTGTTACACCTGTACTATTGCGAATAGGTATTTCACCCATGCCGGATCTTGCCTCGAAACAGCTCAACACGTCGAGACATGGATTTGCGTACAAACTGCTTGCGTCCCAGCCATCATCCACTGTTCATTCTGGCGTGGGAATTTGTTGCAATCTTCACCCGTAAGCACTGCGCTTGCATTGGCATGCTGTTCAATCGTCACTTATCACATTCACCAGCTTCACACATGATACAAATCCCCCAACAAAGCACACCTCTGACGGGGAAAAGTTGACTATGGCGCTACCAATCACTATTTTCTTATTAATCCGCCCTTGGTGCTTCGGTGGAGTCAAACAGTAAGACCAGCCCCAGAGCTGCCTTCAATCCCAGTCATTGCATGTCGTAATTCATATCCGTCGTCGTTTGGAGACTCCCATCACAAGCCCAAGTCTGACAAAGCATGCTCGAACTGGTCCCATGTTGTGAGCGCTCCAAGAGCTCGCACTTGATGAGCACTCAAGAGTGTCAGTCCGTAGATGTAGCTTGCATTCACCCAGCCAAACCTGTGACAAACGTTAATGGAAATCATGCAAGGCAAACTATCGGGATTCAAGGAATGCAACTTACCCTTCACGTGCAACACCCTTGAAGTCACTGCCTTGGTTACCATATTCTGCTTCAACCTTGTGTGGATCAATGGGGCGCGTCACGTCGTACTTCTCCACCACCACCCCGTTGAAATCTACAAAGGCCTTGGTGACCATCGAGAGCCAGCGATATGCTATGCGCTGGGCCTCGCCATCGAATCCGTATCTCTGGAACCCGATCCAGGCAAGAATTTGCTGTGGTGCCCATCCAAACGGGTAGTCCCATTGTCGATTGGGACGGTCCAAACCGACTCTCCCGCGCGATTTCTCGGTACCCGACACCAACCCACCGAAAGCTTCAAATTTAGGCAGTGCTTTCTCGATGAGCAGACTGGCTTGCCGAGGGGTGGCGAGACCTGACCACATGGGCCAGAAAGTAGTTGCACTCTCGTAGCCGGTTCGCTCCTTTTTGACTGTGTTATAGTCAAAGTACATGCCAGCTTCCTCGTCCCACAGGTACTTATCCACGGCGGCACGGCGTTTTCTTGCTCGGCGTTCCCAGTTGGCTGAAGTCTCCACCTGGTCGGGTGTCATGTCGCCTGCGCAGAACTCTTTGGGGATGACTAGCTTGTTGCCAAAGTGGGTGCGAATGCAACGGCCGATATCGACCTCGTATTTGTAGAGCAAGGCATTGATGTCCACTACAGCAAGATTGGCAGCAACGTTCTCCAAACGGTATGAGGTATCATGACCCGATTCTCGGACAGCGCGATCGTGAAGGAAGTACTCGTCCAACTCTGGCTCCAATATCTCTCGGTGATTATATGCACGTACAAATTGCTCGAACGTCATGTTGTGCTTCTTGGCGTAAGGTTCCAGGACGTGAATGAAATGCGTGGCTTCCGTCTCTGGTGGCACCCCGAACCCACCCGGGCGGTAGCGGGATAATCCGGTTTCCTCATCTAAACGCGGTGCTGCCATCCATACACTGTGGTATTCTTTGATAGCGGCCAGCATGGCTTCTCGCAAGAATTCATCGGCTCCCGGCTCGTGCTTGATCCGTTCATATACTCGCAGGGCCATGTCCGTCAAGAAGGGAGGCTGCGAGCGGCAAAGATAGTACGTTCGATTGGCGTTGAGAATCTTGCCGTAGTGTTTGATACAGAAACAGAAATGCGTGACCATGGACTTGACAAGATCAACACGATCGTTAACCAACAGACCGAGGGACTCCATGTAGCTGTCCCACCCATACAGTTCGTTGAAACGACCACCGGGCACGACAAAAGGCAAACCGCGCAGATCCTTGTCACCTTTATCGTTGGTGTACTCTTCCATTGCGATTGCTAGGAGGCCCGGCTTCTCGTTGAGATCCCGAACATAGTTCTCGTCATCGGGGAATTCAGCCAGCCACTGTACGTCGAGGCGTATCTCAGGATGATCCTGGGCTATGCGTGTGTAGTATGCGTGCTGCTCGGGGGCCCCCTTTGGCACATATATGCGAGGCCGAGGGTCGTCGGTCCAATCTTTGGGATCGCGACCGACCTTGGCAATGTTTGAACCATCTATACGGCGGGTCAATCCATCCCAGAACGAATGCGTGATCAGGCGCGAGAGGCGGTTCACAGGATTCTCGTTCAAGCGGGCTTCATCAAGCACAATGGTTTTGCGGCCATAGTCTTGGGCTATAGTAAGTTCCTGGAGAAGGTTCGAAAGCATGTAGGTGCCCCTCACGTCGAATTTGTTGTGGGCATTGGAGGCAAGAGTTCCGAGTTGAAGAACCTGTAGCTGGTCAGCGGCGTTGAATCGCAAATAGTTATTGTTGTTCTTGTTGTGTGGAAATAGTAACCTTTGGGCCCTTGTCGTCTATGGTGATCTGGTAGTTTTGGTCCGTATCCTCACGGGACAGCAGCGTCTTCAGCGTAGGTTCGACCTGGACGAGGAAGCGACGCGGCTGAAGAGATTGCTCATCTGTACAGAGGGTAAGCTACTACAGCAACAAGTAGATCAGGGCAAGGTAAGACAGATCTACACACCATGACTGATGCGTCGGCCGGGGAAGCCTTCGGTTTTGGTGGTAGTAGTAGATTGTGCTTCCTGCAGCTCGTCAGTTTATTGTACTCAGGCATATGCAGCAACGAGCAACTCACGGCCGAGAAGGTTCTGGCCCTGAAGTGATTGCGATTATTGTTATCGCCGTAATAGATGTGGGGTGCGGCGTACGGGTCGAGGACGGTGGATGTCTGACGGGTCTTTGAAGATTGCGAGGTCATGCTCTGGGGAAGGCGAGCAGGGGGTATTTGGTGGCTTGTAGGTGTCGCGTGCAAGAAAGGTCTTGAGGATATGGTGCAGGATAGGAAATGGCAAAGAAGGCTGAGTACCGAGCGAGGTGTGGAATGGAGTTATACGGAGGAATGAGGCGATGAGCAAGTAGGTGGACGGGCGGAGAGAGGTGGGAGGCGAGTGGAGGAGGAGGTAAGATAGATAGAGGGATGTAGGGAGAAGGAATGGAAAGGAAAAGAAGAGAGAGAGAGAGAGAGAGAAAGAGAAGCAGGAACAGCGGGAGAGGGGATCCGCAGCTACTCGATTAATGGGCCCAGCGTCTGCGCGTAGGTGGAATACAAGCTCAGGCGAGGAAGTCACTATGCCGATTGTCGCATAAAGAAGTGGTAAGCCGGGAACATGTATGGATATGTATAGCAACTAGTATATGATGTATGTATGGTGCGATACCCGAGCGCGGGTCGATTGCGGAGGCGGTCAGCAGCAGCAGCAGCAGCAGCTCGTGTGACGGCGATGCAAAGCTTCCATGAAGATGCTGAGTTGCTGCTGTCTTCACGAAGGCTCGACGCAGAGATTTTCTTTCGCGGGGGAATGGCGTGCGTTGATGGCATGTATCGTCGTCGTCATTGTGGGTTACAGCATCAGCTAGAGAAACAGCGGTGGGCCCGGCGTTGAGTCGGTCCGAGCTCTCTCGAATAGGCGGCTACGTCACCAACAACCCCCACCATGTCTCCTGCCTCAGGGTCCACACTAACATTGGAGCTTTCGCTGCCCAGGTGAGGTTCATTGCGTTCAAGTCTCGTGTGTAGCAATACCAAATATACGTGTTCGTATCTATGGAATCCACCACATGTACACAGCATACTCAAGCGCTCATCATACATATCAAATGTATATGCATACGTGTACCTATGTATGCAATGTAGCTTCCATTTGAAGTGCCTCGAGCCATTCGTCCCCGTGACCGTACATGTGACCAGTTGACTTCTTCTCAAGTTCCTTTCTCCGGGCCCTCCCTCCACATCCATCGTCTCCTCCGCTCTCAACGATACAATACATTAATTTACTGTGATGATGAACAGCCATGTGTAAACAAAGGAAAAAGACTAATGTCTGGCGATGGTGCCAATTTCATGCAAAATCCAAATCGCTTCCTGCCATGATGCCCGCTGAATGGTAACATAAGAAAAAACAAGAGCACAACGACAATAACAATGAAAATACTCAAACGCTTTTCCGAAAAAAAAGGAACAATCCAATCCAAAGTTCGCTCGAATGCTTGCGATAATCGATCAACGGGTTCCAAAGGATCCTCGGATCCTGTGTGCCAGGCTACGCCGACTCTTTTGCAGCCTTCTGCGAGTTCGACTCCGTCCCACCACGTGCTCTCTTCTCTCCTTTCTGGGCTCCTGGTATCTCGACACCGATAGTGTGTCCGATGATGGCCTTGGGCTTCCAGGGCAGGTGTCTGCTTCGCACCCGGTGCCCGTGATCATCCTCATCTCCGAGGCCACGTAGCTCGCATCCAGGGATTCCACGTCTCCGAACGGTGCCGACGGACTGGATGCACAGAATCGCTCCATGGGCGTAGGGTGAAAATCAAAACATCCCGAGTAGAGTTTCAGCGCCTCTAGCGATGCCTTGCGAGAAGCTGCTAACATTCGGATATTCTCCTGGGGCGAGTAGTCCTCATCTCCGGGATTGGAGAGACCATCGACATCGGCCATCAAAGAATGATAGGTTGGTGGAATCGCTTCATGTCGGGCCATGCGAACTGGGGCAGGCGACTGGTTCTGCGTCATACAGTCAGCATCGTTTCTCAGATGATGTGTGTGTGTTGCTTCACTCACTCGGTGGTATGTGTTTGTGTGTATCCGCAGATTCATCTCCGACAAGATCATCTTTGCCCTTGAGACCGTGGCCATTGTGTTCTAGTTGCCTTTTTATGTCGTCTTATTAGTCTTGTTCGACATGAAGCTGCCTGCAGGCCGTCTCACCTTTCGTTCTAGGAGGATTGCTGGACCCGTTCAATAGTCTTTTGGGCGTCACAGTGTGCGTCTTGTGGAGTCGAAGTGTTTGGCGTGTGGATGCAGAACACAAGCAGATGACGGACGAGAAGGCGCCTCATATATGCGCGCAACTCACCCGGGCGCGGGACCCTATCACGAAGCTTGCCATCAACAATACGTACCCCGCAAGCATTCCATTCCTTGATGCATGCCATATCCCAGGATGATGGCCATATCGAGATATTCAGCAGTGTTCTTGGGGTAAAGCGCAACCATGAGACGGCGACTTGGGACCTCCTTTGGCAGGGGCCGCACGGGCACCACCTTCCCGCCCTGTGATCAGCTTCCAACCTCACATCCCGACCAGCGCCACAGCCTGAGCCCAACGCCTGTGCGGCCCTCAAATGTCTCAAGGAGGTTGTTTGGAGTCAGATGGAAGACGATATTCTTCATTGAAGTGGCGTGCCACTGCGGGTCACCCAATCACCTCTGTAACGGCCTCTCCTCCAACCAGCATGCGCAGCATCATTTGCCATACCGATCTCTTGCTCCTTTCGCAATTTAGCCGTGTTTCTTCTTCATGTTTGCTTCTCTTGTTTGCAGTGCCCGAGGAGCAACAGGACAACAACATGGTGATCCACCGTGTGTTTGCAAATTCTACACAATGATTCGTTTTTATTTTCCTTCTTGCAAACTCTATTGCCCCCCGCTTGGTCCACCACCAGAGCGGATGATCCGGATTCCGAAGCACTGTCATTACTTTTTGTTCCCCACAGAACTACCTACCTGGACATGCCCAGGCTGAACTGCGTGGTCCATCACTTGGTCGTGACCCAGATCTGGGGCTGCCGATCTAGAAGGGGCTTCCACGTGTGCGATGTGCCTAGCTAAGGTGGCTTGCGGTTTCATTGTGCGAAAAGAACATGGTGTTGTGCAGGAGAAAGAGACAATGCTTGTCTTCCAGATCCTGAGGAAGCAGGGGAGAATTGGAATCAATCCGATACACCAGCACTCCTGGGACTTCAGGCCTCACCGTACAGGTTGGATTGACTACGTACCCTGACACGAATTCGTCCTTTACACTCCAGTCACGACCCACTGGTTGCTATCTATCGGCTGCGTGGTGGGCCGATTGCAATTCAACCATTCTCTACTGAGCCCAATGAGAGCCAACCAGATGGTGATTGCGAGAAGAAGAAAAAGGGGGGTTTGAGGGCAAGGGCTGTACCTGATAGAGTGATTTTGGAGTTTGCTTATTCGGCCGTGCAGGCACAAAGCAAAACAGCCTTCAGATCGAGGTGAAATCGGGACCGACAGCTTGGTCACTGGGGCGCGGATCGCGCAACTAACCAATGCACCGGGATGCGCGTCTACCATGTATGTGTGCAATGTCCGCTGATCGTGGGCGGGAACATTTATTGAACACCCCCTCCCCCTTCGTATTCGCACAACGCACCCATCAGTGCAGGCAATCAAAGATCCCGTCCAAAAGGGACATGCTACAGGACCGTCATATATTGCCTGGCATGCTTTTTTGGTTTCTCAGGCACGCACACGTGTGTACCTGGTGGCGGACGGTGGCGTGTGCGTGCGCTGCACCACCCCCTTTCCCTCCGTCGTCATCATGGATTCCGGAGGCTGCAGGTACCAACAACATTCAACCCAATTGACACTTGATTGCCAGTCATGGGACTTGGTGCCCAAGTACATACATACGTGTGTATGCAGCCGGTTTCAATCCCACTGGCGTGCAGATAGATAGTACCATACACTCACTGTAAAAGAGCTTCTGGGACAGCAGCCATCAGCATCTAGCATGAACAATGCATGCATGCACGCACCGACCGGTCATCACTCATTGAGGCTGATTGAATGATTGAACGCTGGGTGATGATAAAATTAGTACACGTTGCCCTCCCTTTCATCGCTCTCTCTTGTTCTCTGACACGAGTTTGTTTCGAGAAAGCTACGAGGCGAGTAGTTCGCCCATGGTTCTGTCGACTCGTATCGCGAACGATGATGGAGGCAGAAACCGGGGCGGTTGGGCGCGCTGAACGGACTCTATGATGCCCGTGTCAAAAGTGACAGCGGGTAGCTAGCTGGTTTCCCTTGTTCGTATTCTGGTTTGGGCTAGAATGTCGCTCGACCGCGGGGTTGAGGTGAGAGCAGAGGTGAGGTGAGGAGAGGCTCGTGAGGGCCCTGGCTAGGCCTTGGGCTCTATATTTGGACTGGGGCGCCGGGGTATCGCATGTTGCGCGCGAAACAACAGATGCGCGTTCGGGTTCGTATCCGGCGAAATGTGCATGCTTTTTTGTTTTCTTTGCGTCTCCCCATCTTCATTTTTGTTGTTGTATGCCCTCAAAACGCAGTGTTTGAAGGGGCGTTGAAGCGTGATGTTGCTGGAACGCATTAATGCTATTGTTGTACGCACATCATCGTCCATCTTCCAATTTCCAATGCGTTTGTAGCTTGATGAAGTGGCGTTTCATAGTCTCGCACCCTTTGTTGCCATGGAGACTGCTTGATACATGCAAAACTGAATGCGCCTCCCACTGTTCTAGTACGCCGCTATTACACACTGCCTGGCCTTCAAATACCAGCTAGGTCCGGGGTAGCAGATACGTGAGGGAATCAACAGTAAGATTCCTCATGGACTGTTTTCTGTCAGGCGCCTCGTCTGTTCCTGGCTTTCTAGCTAGTCGCCGATATCGATGTTAATTGTTGGTACCGTTTCGATACCTGGATTGGCTCTTGCGTGCATTTGTCTATGGTTGGTGCTATTATTCAACGGACTCTGGGTCGGGAAACGTGTCAGCGTGGGGGTGGTAGGTCTGGCCCTGCGCCATCATATTGCTATGCGAGACAGCCTCTTTTTTCCTATTCGTTTGGTGCATGTACCCTGATACGTTGCATATCAAACTGTCGGCGCGATTGGTATGAGCCAGCTCATCAAACAAAATGTTGGTACTTAGCTGCTATCAGTACTTGAGTAGGCATCACTTCCCCCATGCAAGAATAATCAAATGCTGCCTCTAATCCTCGATAATCTTGCAAGTGAGTCAACACACCCTCAAGGTTCAGTTCACATTTCTCCAAAAGATGTGCTGTGACTCACACCGAAGAATCGCCCCGTTGCGACAATGTGGTGTTTCGAGAGGTGCTAGTTAGTGCCTTAGGTGCTTCTGTTTATTATTGGTCCGGTTATCCACATTCTATTACGAGTTCAGGAAGGTGGAAATCATATTAGTCATTCAACGTGTACGCTTACATACCTAGCTATCGCCATTCTTTGTCACTACATACCTACCTAGGTACTTAAGTAGGTATATAAAGCAGATTGCTTGGCTTCTTATTCCACTGTACGAATCAAAGTTTCCCGATTACACGCTTGGCATACTGATCCGTACCAGTGACCAGTACTGATTTCAAGAGAACTTGTCTTCTATAACGGCACAGCGTGAAGAGTTGGCATCAATTAAACACCCAATCATAAACAGGCTTTCGGGGATAAACTCGATGATGTCTTCCCCAATCCTCACCTCAGACCCCACGCTCGTCAACATTGGGACTCACTCCTTGGCCCTCTACTCACACGGCCCAGAGCCCAAAACCACAAACGGACCAGTTATTCTTTTCATCTCGGGAATAGCAAGTTCCAGTCTCAACTGGGCTGCCGCAGTACGACTTCTCCCCCTCTCTCTGCGCAGTTACACCTACGATCGCTCGGGCTATCGCAATTCCGAGACCTCGCCACTTACCCCAACAGCCGAGAATATAGCACTCGAACTCTCCCAACTCATCGAAAAAGCGCCCATTGCGAATCCAATCATCCTCGTCGGACACTCCTGGGCCGGCGTGATAATTTGCGAGTTCCTCGCTACCACCGGCAATAGCCACCGCATCGCCGGTATCGTTCTCGTCGACGCCAATCATGAAACCGCGTTGCAGGTCCTGCAAGTAAACGATCCAGTCATGTGGAGTGTCTTCGAGGGCGTGGATTTCTTCACTGGCACGGGAATCCAGGCAGAGCACAAATTAACACAAGATGAGTGGGACGCCTTCACACGCGACCAAGCCACGGAAAAATCCCAATTGACTGGGGAGAAAGAGGAAGAGCAGTACGAGACGAGTTTCACGACCTTGCAGGAGAAGCAGCTGTCTAAGCGTCAACCATTGGCTGGTAATAAGCCCGTGTTTGTTATTGGAAGCTTGCGGAGTAGGGACTGGGGTGGTTTGTACAAGGCTGGTGTCGAGAGAGGGAACGGGACGAAAGAGCAAAGGGCGCATGCCAGAGAGATGATAGAGACGGCAGACGGAAAGAGCGAGAGGCTTATGAAGAAGCACCTGAAACTCTCAACGAGGAGCAAGCTGGTATGGGCAAGGGAGAGTGGTCATTTTATACAATTAACGCAGCCAGATGTTGTGGTTGAAGGAGTGGAATGGATTTTGAAGGAGCTTGGAACGTCTGCGTTATGATCTATGAAGACTTCGTTTCCAGGCGACGACGAAGATGGTCAGAATCCAGAGCATCTTGCATGGCAGGGCGCGCTTCGAGGTCAAACAAGGTCCAATAAAAGGCTAACATGCTGAGCTTCGGGAAGCCCATGCCGACATCGTAGAAGTAATTCGATGCGAAAGAAATCTAAGAGATTGTTGGTGAGCCATGGAATTCGACTGGCCTTTGAGCAATCGAGTCACTGTAAAGAGGCTGTTTGCCTAGAATTTCACCTTTAGTCGACCTGCATTCAAAAATGAGCCATTGAGACAATTTTGCTACACTTGTCATACCATCAGGCCGAATGAACACGCGAAACGAACAACCCCTGCAGGTACTGATTACCGTTATGGTGGACACGAATATCGTTGAGCATACGCTAGTATATGTTGTATCATTTCTCCGGGCCAATCTCAGTCTACATGTTGCGGCCGCGCATCATCCAATATGAACGATCCACCCTCGTGATGTAGCATTCCTCCCAGATGGCCCAGCCTTGGGACAGTCTGTCTTTTAGTACATCTCTGCGGCTAAGTGCAACCGTTTTAGCCAGCCCATACGCAAAAAGCAATGTAGCTTAAGCCTAGCATTGGCATTTCCTGCCGCGCAATACGGCAAAGTGTGCGCCATTGTTGACATGAGTCTTTTTCCTGATAGGCCAGTACATGCGAATGGCACGAAACGAGATGGGACGGTATATTCGCGAGCCGTGCAGTCTATCCGAGAATGATTGCCCTCCCTATATGGCACAATCTTTGGAACAAGATTACAACATCTACAGTGGATTATTAAGATTGCGCAACAAACATCCATAATCTCCCGAGAGTGAACCGAGATGCAATCGCCAGGATTGAGCTGCTGTATACAACTAGATGATACAGGCGGCGGTCATGCATTTACCACGAATAGATGGAGGAATGATAGCAATAGTTCTTGTCATTTCGAGGTCCTGAATGGTTGATAGTCGCACTGTATTATTGATTCGTACGGTTTGCGAGGTTGAAATTGTGCTCAATCGGGGGAGGGGTTGGTGCAGACTTTTGCAAGCCATAACATTAGATGATATTATGAAACAAGAACGCAAAACACACAACACCGAACAGGTATGACATAGAAATCATTCAAAAACCTCGAATTATCGAAATCACACTTATCCCCCTGAAATCACGCAACCGCATTCCTCTCCTCAGCCGCGGCAACCGCATCCTCCCAACTAGTATTGTAGATATAGAGACATTCGATACCCGCAACAACCCCCAACGCAATGGCGGGACCACTCCAGAGCCCCCAGAGCCCCCACCCGGCGCCGAAACCTGTCCCGAACGAAATCGGAATTCCAACGACGTAATACGCAAACAGCCCTACATAACCGCCGATTTCCTGCTTACCGAGACCGCGCAGAATACCGTTGCAATTTGCAGCTAGGGCGTCAAAGAGCTGAAATGCGGCGCATAAAGGCAAGAGACGGGAGACAAGTTCAATGACTTCCTCGTCGGGGGTGAACAGGCGGGGAATGTATTCCCTGAGTAGGGATAGAAGGAGTAGGTTGAAGATGCCGACGACGATGGAGGCAGCGAGGGCGACTTTGGCAGCGGTTTTAGCGGGCAGCGCGAGGGTTGCGCCGATGAGGTTCGCAATACGCGTGGATGCTGCGACGGACATGGGAAACGGGATCTGGAATGTAATGCCTGTGATGGAGCCCAGCACGCTTTGCGCGGCAAGCTGCGTGGGGCCTAACCAGCTGGATGATAGGGTAAGGATTTCGAAAGCGAGAAATTCGGCGAGGACCATGACGAGGCCCGGCAGCGACAATTTGATCATGGGCATCCAGTTCTGAAGGGCTCGCCGAGAGAAGCCGCCCCAGCATTGGTAGCCGTCGATGAAGCGAACGTAGAGAAAGAGAAGAAGCGGCATCAGATTCTCGGTAATGGAGACGGCGATGGGTGCGCCGATGAAGCCCCAGCGCAGGCGCCATACAAAAAGATAGTTCATGAAGGCATTCAGAGGTGCGCAAATGAGGAGGATGTACATGTTTGCTTTGAAGAGACCTTGGGCTTGGAGATAGCGTTTTCCACTCTCGAAGGCGGCGTAACCGGGGGCACCCGCGATGAGAACTTTCAAGTAGAGGCCGGCAAGGCGGGCGGTTTCTTCCTCCGGGACAATGAGGGAGAGGATCTGGGTGCCAAAAGCCCATATAATGGCTATAGGAATGGTGATGAGCCAGAGGAAGTAGAGCATGCGTTGCAGCTGGAGGCCGACCAAGTGGGGACGACCGGAGCCATAAGCTTGGGCACAAAGTGTGTCGAGGGAAGTTGCAAGCCCTTGATATACAGCATAGCCCGTGATGGAAGCAGTCATACTGGCTAGACTCACAGCACCAAGCTCAATCTTTCCGATATGTCCGACGGTGAAAATGCTCGCCACCGGGAGCGAGTATTGTAGTAAGAAGGTGAGGATGAGGGGGCCAGAAGATCTGACCAACACTTTAGTCTCGCGCTGCCATGTGGTTGTAATCTTCCCAGCGGCGACGGCTTCTCCCCATTTCTGACTGATGGTTTTCGGTGTATCTAGCCCTCCATAGGGCAACTCTGGGTTTCCAAGTAAAGCAGATCGTTCAGATGGCTGACTACTTTGGGCTTCTTCGCCGGCGTTTGCACTCTTCGCTCTTCGCAACGAAGGAAATGATATTCTACCCCGTAGATTTCCAGAAGGCGATCCGTCACTACCTCTTCGTGGGTGCTTTGGGGGTAGAAGATGATTATCCCTCAGGAGGCTTCGCTGTTCCTCACGGACGGCCTCTCGCTCCTGCTTGGAAAGATAGCCGTGTCTTTTTGCGTCCGGAAAATGACTCTGCGACGGCAGACTCGATGCAAATATGGCAGTTGGTCGAGCTCCAGGATTGACAAACGAAGGACGGCGGTAGCTGTTGATCATGGAATATTGGCGTATAGTTGATGAGCCATCCGACTCGGACTCAGACTCGGATGCTTCTTCCACGGGAGATTCTTCTTCTTCGAAATCACGTGCAATGGCCTGTTCAGCAATGGGAAGCGAGGAGGACAGGTTTTCCATCTGCGAAGTGATGTCGGCCATGGCGCCTGCTTGCGCATCTGACGATGAAGGGTGCGAGGCCATGCTGGTTTTATGGTGGGGGTGGCAGTGGGGGCAGCCGGCGGTGAAGCACCACCTGGGCAGTCAGGCAATGAAGGTTGATATTGCAGCAAGCACAGGTTGATTATTCGAGAGAACTTAGCAGATATATGTGTGAGTGCGGCAAACACATACTGTGCAGACTTGAAACTCGTGGTAAAGATGGATGTGTAGCGACCGGGGCCAAAGAAATGCTTCTACGCAAATTTAGTCGACGGCTAACGCGTCTTTGTCAAGCTAGCTGCGGCTTGGCCCCGCCCTATTGCTTTGACATCGCCCTTTTGCATCTGCAGAATCATCGCGGAAACCTGCAGCCGTGTGGGTGACTCAGGCAATGTAGATGAGATTTCCAACTATTGTAGGCTATCTCCAAACGCACCACCATCGGCTTTACAGACAGTCACCCGCTGCATATACGAGTGAGTCATTTGCTGTGGAGAATCACTCACCCACCCACCACTTCTGGTGCTCCACAGTAGCTTCTGAGATGATAATGCCAAATTGAGAAGCAAGGCAATAGCTACCTCTGGTTCCCCAGCAGAGGAGTCTGTTCGCTCCCCTCCTGATCAGGTTGGATAACGTCATTGCCGCCGGCATCTCGGGCATTGCCAACCTTTGCATTCTTCCTATCTCTCCACATAAACCACAGACTCATGGCAAGCAAGCAGCCTTGCAGCAGCCCGGTAAGGATGAACAGACCCCAAGCACTCCAACCAGCGGCTCCCAGTCTCACCGCCAAACTGGCGGCGAACACAGCACTTCCTGGTGTTTGTATGCACATCATGGGAACCGACAAACTACCAATCTCCTGCAGCCTCCAGGTCGTGATGATTTGGGGTATGTACTGCACGGCGGCGAGCGTGGTGGCAAGCAGACCGAGAAAGGTGGCCCAACCTCGGATGTGCTGGTGGGCAGCATAGACAAAGACGATGGAACCTAAGAGGGCCACGGCGAAGAAAGTCATGGAGAGTGCCAGGACCAGTATTGCTTCTTTCCACGTCGGCTCAGAGGAGTCGAACTGATCGGGTTCGGGGTCGTCGGAGGGACGGGGGAAGAAAACGAGGAAGAGAAGCATGCTGCCCACGGGTCAACGAATGTTCCGTGATTGGGAATCCAGGGGATAACTTACATGAAGAAGAAGCAGGTCCACTGCACTCCGATTTGCGCAATCCCAAGCAGCGCAGCAGCGCAAGGGAAAGAGCCGATCTCAGCACAGCAGGCCATGTCGCGTGTGCTCTCGGGCAGCGTCAGGATGTTTGCAATACTCGCAGTGCCGGATATGGTGCCCAAGAGCACAAACATGGGACTGAGACCGCGTGATGAGCGCTTCGATATGATCTTGTAATGCTGCGGGAGATATGACACAAGGATGCCTACGAGAATGAAGCTGTACAGAGCGAAAGATCAGAGACATGTATCGATGAGTCGTATATGTGTGCAAGTATGGCTTGGGAACACAGCTTACACTGATACAGAAAAGTTGATCATGTTGGGATGCGCCAGCTCCTGGCACCTTCCGGACGCGTACATGATGGATGGATGTTGGGAGGTGAAGTGGCTCGGTGCGGGAGAGTCTAGATGGATGCTCAGAGCTAGCTGGTCGGGCAGCTGCCTCGAAGCTATATAGATACTGAATGGTTCATAAGGGCATGTAAGTATGTAAGTATATATATATGTGATGCATCGTTCGTCATTCATGGGATGGCATGTGAGGGCGACGCGACTGACTCAGGAACTCGTGACGTCGGAGCTCGGAGCCGGCGTGCCTCGGTACAACTACGCATGTAGACATTGATATTAAACCTATGTATTGATTGATGCTCGGCCACCACCACTCCATCTCCATCACTCTGGCGAGTGCACAGTGCTACTTCCTTACCTACCTAATCGCCAATGACCCTAGACGAGAAAAGGAACAGCAATTAGTTCCGCCGCAATGGAATACCTCCCCGCTTTGCAACACGGCATAGATGACCTAAAACCCTCCCTTTTCGAGCTGCTCTCCGAACAGCAGTTGGCTGCCCTTCTTCCACCGTCGCTCCGCTACCTCCTCGCCGTCTCCACACATCGATACCCACGCTACCTGCTGCCTATACTGAACTCATTCGATGAGGCCTACGCGCTGCTCATGCTCTTAGTCGAGCGCCACTTCCTCACCACATACGGCGGCTCCTTTACAGAGAACTTCTATGGCCTGAAGCGCGCTCGAGTGCTGCGCGTCAAGGGGGGTGAAGTACCTCGTGCCCAACTAGGTGCGAGTGAGAGCGTTAGGCAGGCTGTCAAGTTGGGAAGGGGAGATGTCTGGCGCAATCTGGCTGTGCTTGTCGGTCTACCGTGGCTGAAGAGGAAACTGGACGAGAGCTACGATATTCATGCCGCACATTCCAATATATTGGGCTCGACATACAATCGAAATGCAGACACATTGCGCCCCGGTGCTACGATCAAGGAAAAGCTCATGTTTTACTACAAATGGTTTCTACGGCATGTCTACCCCAGTGTGAATGCTGCGTACTACTTCTCTTTACTCGTTTTCAACATGGCCTATCTGTTCGACGGCTCCAAATACAGCTCGCCTTTCCTTTGGCTCATAGGCACTCGGATACGGAGATTGGGGGATGCGGACTACAAGGCCATTGAAATCGCAACACAGCCAGCAAAGACAGCCCCTGCGAGACCTGGAGAGGCGGGATCCATTTTCACCCCGAGGAACATGGCTCGCATAGTCAGGCCCAGACTCATGAGCTCACTGCGGATACTTTTGCCGACGAGCATATTTGCCCTCAAGTTCTTGGAGTGGTGGTATGCTTCCGACTTTGCCCGCCAGCTGTCACGGAAAGCCGCCGAAAATATTGACCTGCCACCACCAGTGCTTCCCAGTTTGCCCAGCTCCAACAAGAAGAGTGTGGCCGAGCAGAGCACAGCTGGGGAGAAGGATCAAACACGCCCGTCGCCTTCGAAGGAACAATCAAAAACACCAGACCCTCCCATAGCATCGTCTACATTGCTACCCATCCTCACGGTGCCCATCCCATCCGAGTCCCAGCTGTGCCCCATCTGCGTCACACGCATCATGACGCCCACTGCTTCGCCGACAGGTTTTGTATACTGTTATAAGTGCATACATCAGTGGGTAGAAGGTGCACACGAGCGGCAGGTGGCTTTTATGGAAGGCGCGGCGGGGTTCAAGGACCAAGGTGGCGAGGAGGAAGAAGAAGAAGAAGGATGGAGCAACGAAGAAAGCAGCCGAGAGGGTCGATGGGAAAGTGGGAAAGGCAGAGACGCTGTCACGGGAAGGCGCATGCTAGGCGGTACAGAGGCTCTAAGGCGTGTGGTTGTATGATGCAAACATCGCCTTGCCAATAACGCCGAAAGATGATGGCACATGACGAAACGATGTAGCACGCAACAGATTAGCCGCCGAGCCCTGACGGCTACGTTTGAGTGTCGATTGCCTCTGTGCGATGGTACGTACCAATGGGCTGACGCCACTACTGTGTTGGATGAGTTGGGAGAGAGCAAGATGGAGAACTCGGGCGACGATGGCTATTACCACAACTGCAAATGCAGCCCCGAACGCAGCGTCTACACAGTACAGGGCACGCACGTATGGAGGAGCGATGGTAGCAGCCGAGCAGGTCAAGATGGAATCCGCCAACAGGACGGCAGCTCGCCGAAGGGCGTATATCGATTGAGTAACACATTGGGGACGCGACGAGATAGAGACTGATATGATAGTGGCCGTGTGCCTGACATGATTCAATCGCAACAGCCTTTGCCCTGCAGCTGCCACGCTGCATGCATCCTCCACTCGTCCTATCCGTCTCGGCCCCCTTCTAACCGTTTTTGTAATCCCTTATCAACCCCCCAAGAGCATCAGCGAACGTCAACTCCATGGGCATTCCCGCGCACTTGGTACCTGGTACACACTGACAGGTGCATGCAAGTTCCCTTCGTATGTACCTACCTGGCTATGTATGCACGCCCTCTCAGAGTGGTGGCACCTCGCACGCCTTTCTTCCTTTCTTCCCTCACCGGTAGCCCAGCGTTGAGCGCCGCCAACGTCGTATACAGTCCACCTGGGATAACAGGTGCTCGGTCGACACATCAAATCCGGGAATGCGACCCGACATAACATACATCCTTATCGGAGTGCCAAGGCGGCGTACTAAGTCTATCCCACTCGCTCCATATACTTCGCGCCATGCCTGGGCAACCTCACTCAACTATCAGCGTTGAATGCTATAGGCGCCCCGTGGTCGCCGATTCACTTCGGATCCTCGGATCAAACCATGTCGCAATGGGTCATGACAAGCGCGACGAGGAGCTAATCTGGGGAAGGTATATAGCCCATGCTGGCACCCCGGCGTATATGATGCTGGGACAAGGTCGTTACTCTGCCTACCAATCGACAAAAGAAAAACTTGCCAGGCATCATGTCCAACTCTGAAATCACTCCCGTACGTATCATCTGCCGGTGCTCCAAACTGCTCACCACCATCTGCTCAAGTGTACATGCAGGCTGACCTGTTCCCGCAGCCTGAATTCGATCCTGCAAAGCCAAATGGCGGCAATTCCTTGGAGGAGGATGTCAACGCCCAGTACGCTGGCCTCGAGTTTCACTACGTCTACCTCATGGTCTGCGCCTTTCTCGTCTGGATGATCATCCCTGGTATCGGCTTTCTCTACAGTGGTCTGGCACGCCGCAAGTCTTCGCTCTCGTTGTTGTTCCAATCCTTCGCCGTTGCTGGCGTGTGAGTACATCTACTGGATACCAACAGCTAGCACATGCTGACCGCAATAGCGTTTGTCTGCAATGGTGCTTTTGGGGCTACTCCCTTGCCTATTCAAGATCCGCAAGTCCTTTCATCGGTGACTTGGCCAACTTTGGATTGAAGAACGTGGTTGCTGCTCCCTCGCCCGGGTCCGCTCTTCTTCCCGAGATCATCTTTTGCTTCTATCAGATGTTGTTTTGCATCTGCACGGTAGTGCTCGTCATCGGTGGGAGCTTTGAGCGTGGTCGCATTCTACCCTCGATGATTTTTGCCTTCTGTTGGGCAACCATTGTCTACTGCCCCATTGCCTGCTGGACCTGGAACGGAAATGGCTGGCTGTATAACCTTCCGTCGTTGGACTTTGCTGGTGGAGGCCCTGTCCACGTTGCTTCCGGGTGGTAAGTCGCTGATCCATCTGCTACCCTCAGTCTCTCCAATTTTTCCCGTATGATCTAGATTCTAACTGCGATATTCCGCAGGTCTGCTCTCGCATACGCTTTCGTTCTAGGAAAGCGTGTTCACAAGGGCGACAAAATCCATGGCAAACCGCACAACACAACGCTCGTCTTCATTGGAACCTGCTTCATTTGGTTCGGTTGGTTCGGTTTCAACGGCGGCTCCGCTCTCAACGCCTCGATTCGTTCTGCCATGGCTGTCTTCAACACCAACTCGGCCGCCTGCTTCGGCGTTCTGGGGTGGGTCATGGTCGACTACATCCGCAGTCGGGGCCGCTTCTCTCTCGTCGGCGCTTGCTCTGGCGCCATCGCAGGACTGGTCGGCATCACGCCCGCCGCTGGCTACGTTTCTGTTTGGCTTGCAGCGCTCATCGGGTTCCTCACGGGCGCCATTTGCTCAGCTTGCAAGAATATTGATCAGTGGATCCGCATCGACGAGGGAATGGACGTGTTTAAATTACACGGAATCGGCGGCATGACAGGATCCTTCCTGACCGGCATCTTCGCACAGAAGTGGGTCTCAGCCCTCGACGGCTCGTCCGCCTACGAAGGCGCTCTCGATGGTGTAGGCGTGCAGGTTGGTCGCCAGCTGGCAGAAATTTGCGCCATATCATCCTACAGCTTCGTCGTCACATGCATCTTATTATACGCGCTCAAATTTATCCCCTTTATGCATTTGAGGGTCACCGAAGAGGCCGAGATGATTGGGTTGGACGTCGATCAGTTCTTTGACGAGCAGATTGGAGATTGGAGCATGTTCGATCAGAACGCAGCACTTGATGGCGTTACAGCACCAAATAGCTCGCAGAGTGTTAATCGCGTGGAGGAACCATCTGCCAAGGCATGATCCAGCTGTCGCTGTTCGCGGTTGCTGCCAGGTGCTCCTGTCACGATGGACGCCGAGCCGATGCGTCTACTTCTCTCTCCTTTGTTTTGAGAATTGCTGCATGGTATCTCTATTCGTAACATATACGCTATTTAATACGGGAAGTTGGTTGGTATGATTGTAGCTAAAGATAGAAGGGACGGGCGATGGTTCTTGGCTGGCGTCCGTCTCTCTTCGTACTGTAGAATGAATATGGCAAATAACGGCTGCAACATTGCTTCTAGCCACGACAGAGTAGGGTGTAAGTCCTTGAAATAATAATCACTACCCGACATCTAGAGAGCTTTTCCTGCTTATGAAAAATCCTCGATACAGCTGCTTTTAATCTGACTTTTCGATTGTGCCACCGGCGTCCCCGCCCGCCACCGGTGTAACGAGCAGACTGATCTAGATTCCGTTCAGCCGCATCCCAGAATAACTAAACTACATATGTACATACATGTCCAGATGTCACCGTCGAGCAACAGAAAGCATCAACATTCTATCATTCTAAATTTCGCCGCTTTTACCTCACCCCTATAATTGTGAAAACGATTCGAAAGATCGTGACAGAACAGAAAAGGTCCGGGGGAGCGATCCGAATGCTACATCCAAGCAAGAAACCGACCCTTGGGTGCTGAAAGATCAGAGCGAAAGAGCTTGTGACTCATCCACGTCCACCCCTGAACTGTCAATTCTGTACTGGCACCAGAAATATGCCATTCTACCCCTTCGGCCCCTTCTCTCTCCAATGGCGCGCCCCGACCCCAAATCCACCAATCCCAAACACACCCCTTCCCCCAAACGTCAAGAGAATCTACATTCAAACCCCCTCAGGCCCATTGGAGCTGCTCCAAGCACTACCTCCATCACCGACAGGCTCCCAGTCAGATAAGGATGATGTAAACCCACTCCCACCGCTCTTCTTTGCCCACGGCGGTTTTGGCAGCGCCGCAATTTGGCTACCCTACTTGCAAGCTTTCGCAGCCCGCGGATACCGCTGCTACGCTGCGAGTTATCGCGGTCATGGTGCGAGCTGGTACCCCGGGTTCTGGCGCATGTATTGCACAGGTAGGGCAAGTATTGCGGGGGATTTGAGGGATGCGGTGAAGTTCGTTGAAGGGTTGGAGGCGGAGCAACGGGGCAAGCAAGGGGGGGTGGAAGTCGTGTTGATATCGCATTCGGCTGGGGCGGCATTGAGCCAGTATCTGCTGAGCAAAGGCGAGATCAAAGTGAGGGCATTCTGTGTTTTTGCAGGTGTTCCAGGGTTCGGATCGTATGTCCCTCTCTCCTTCTCTTTTGCTGTCCTTCCTTATCGACGGTGTCCTGATATATGCACACTCACTCCCAGTTGGCGTTCATTCTTTCCTTCGGTAACAAGCCTACATGCACTAACTCTCCCCTCAGATTCAAAGTCTATCAACACTGGGCTCCCACATTTCTATTCCACTTCATTTATCGCTTCTTTCACCCCCGCTACATCCTCGCCACTCCTGCCCAAATCCGTTCCGCATTCTTCACCCCCTCAACCACATCAGCAACAGTCTCCAACTTTTCTCCCCTTCTCAGCCCGTACGAGTCTATGCTGTGGCCGATGCAGAGCCTATTCAAATTTGTGACGGGGGAAGATGTGTTGAGCTCAATCACTGGATTCTGGAGTGGTGGGAAGACGAGGGAGAAAGTGAAACCATGTCTGTTAATTCTAGCTGCTGAGTATGATGTCTTGTGCAGACCGGATATCTTGAGAAATGCGGCTGCATTATATCGCGCTGCGTTTGCGAGAATGATAGAGAGTGAGAGGGTCGAGGGGAGGGGAGAGATGGCGGGGTCTGCGGTGGAGTTTGAAGTTGTGCAGGGTGTGGCACATCATTTGCAAAACCATGATGACGGCGAGTGGCAAAAAGGAGTCGAGGTTTTGGAGAAGTGGTTAGGGAGGCTCGGGGCGGATTGAGCGTCACGACTGGGGATTTGCCCATGTACACAGAAACTGAAGCGCGCCTTGTATTATCTATAATTGAATCTACTCTCGGCATAACGAGCTACTCACCCACCCACGTCTTCGTCCACCAGAAAGGGAACAACAGAGTGTCTCCGATCCGCAGCACTTGTAAATCCTTTGAGTGTGCCTTCCTTCCATCGATCCACCCACCCTACCCTGGCTGGATATCTTCACAACATGAATGCGCATGTCACCACACGATCTTTCTGTATACAACATAACATCAATAATACACGGACTATGGCAAGAAGCAACAAGAGATTTCAAGTGTCATGAAAGCCACTAGATTACCAAGTATTGATGTAAAAAAACAGGACTTGTAGATTCTATGTACTCGAGCAAATAAACGAGGAAAGCAAGAAGAAAGAATATGAAAGGCTATTATCAACAATACCATCTGTTGCTACTAAAGGCAAGCAAAAAAGAGAATGGAGGAATAATGAAGTAACCTCAGACACTAGCTCCAGGAGCGACTGTTTACGACAACGCAACCAGTCCACTCCAACCACACCTCGTCAAATCATCCTTCCTTTTCCTTTACCACCCGGCTTAGGACTCAGGGGTGGAAAATCCCCATCCTGCGTTGTTTCCATTCTACTCTGCTCCTCAGCAAGACTTAGCTGCAATGCGTATTCCAGATCATCCATCTCGCTTTGTTTCCTCGCTCCACTTGCTGCCTGTCCCTCCAAAGGCGTTCCTCTGGAGCGCGAGGGTGGCAAAGAGGATTTTTTGCCTTTTGCAAATTTGACAGGAACATCCCAGCCAGAACTAGTACCTGGGGTCTCGAAGCCGGGTGCAGGACTCGCTTGTAGCGAGAGCCGAATCGCCTCGGCGATGTCAGCGTCAACCTCCTCCTCGTTTGTTACCACAGAGGCCAGTGATGATTCTGGGACAACTGCCTTAGAAGCGACACCAACGCTGTCACGTTCTTGACGCCGTGCCTCGTCGGCTTGCTGAGCCTCCTGCGAGAGCATGGTAGCATACGCCAAGGCTTCCTCTTCGTTGCCCAAAAGATCAATCCCAAAGCGACCAGCCATGCGGTCGGCTTGGCGCTGTCGTTCTTGCTTATCACGCTCGAGCTCCTCTTTTTCGTTCGCGATGTAATCCTTGAGGTTAACACGGGCGGTGCCAGCAAATCTGTCATTGGCGTTGTTACTTCCTCGCTCTGCACGCCGAAGACGACGCTTGGTGCTTTTATACTGGTCAGCAGCAGACGAACTGTAAGCCCAATAACGAATCTGATTTCCAAGAGAAACCGCACCACGGAGCACAGTTGGATCAGGGTCGAGAATAATGGCACCTGCTGCGAACATGTTGATGCCGACTCCGACTACCGATTGTGAAGCTTGCGCAAGTCGCCTACGGGCTCGGCTTGAGAAACGTGAGTTGAGCGTCTTAATGGGTTTCCACTCTGAGGCCAGAGGATCCCAAGCCTGCACTAGGCCATCGTTTCCACCTACCACCAAATGCAGAGCGGTGACGGCTATGCATGATATTTCAGGAGACTCCGTTCGGATGATCCGTACAGGTCCAATGTCGTTCATGAAATCGGAGCTACGCGCCACCGGAGCGCGCATATCCCACAATAGCACCATGCCATCACTGGTTCCAGCGGCTACGAATCGGCCACGGCGACCAGGAATGTCCGAAGGGGATGACGGCTGGCTAGCTATAGACATTGGCGATGAATAGGGCGAAGTCGTAGTGGAAGAAACGGAGAAGCCAAGGGCAGGGTCTTCAGACATAGTCAAGGTGGCAAAGGTGGATTGATCGATAGCTGTCGTTGTGATCTGAACGAACTTGAGCCCTCCAAAGGTCAGATTTGAGCACCGCCACTCTTCTACCCAGGTTTCTCGTTCAGGTGAGCCAGTTGAAGATAGGTAGGACGAGCTTCGCTCACGCTGCGTGAGCTTATAGTAGGGAATATCGGGGGTAGCTACCCCGGAACCACCGAATAGAGAGGATGTTTGCGTAGATGCCGGGGCAGCCTCCGCGGCCATGACATTGCTCTTGCCACTCTCGCGCATCTTCCATCGTGTGTACCGGGAAATCTTAGCTTGGTCGTCTTCCTCAAGTCCACACTGAAAGACAAGCATCGCCTCGCCAGCATAGTTGCCATCGTCTCCGGCGAAGTCTACTTCGAGACGTCTTCGCATATCCCAGCCAAGACAGACTCTTCGAATGTCTTTCGGGCTCTTTTTCAAAAACCGTTGAATTTCCTTTGTCTCCGCTTGCACCTGTTCCTTGCTTAAGCACATCCCATCCCATGATGTTCTTGGCGAATAACTTCCGTCGGCCTCGGCGTCGTTGTACGGATCGGGCCGGGCAGTGCGCCTACTAGGCTCCACGAGGTTCCAGTACACGCTTCGTCCAGTAAGCCAAGCTAAATACTCGCTGTACTGCTCAATGTCGTCTTTGGGCGACTGGTTTCGGATAGGAAACTTCGTCAGATAGAACAGTTCGCCCAGAGCGTTTAGCGCGACAGCCCAGATACGATTCTGAGCCTGCCTTTTGAGAGAGTAATTGTCATCTACCACGATTGCGATGATAGGAACACCAGGACTCAAGACCCAGCGAGCGGTCAGTTCGCCGCGTTGTAAACGAATGCCACGTAAGCCATCAGTACCGAGACTGCACGCAGTCACCACACCAGCAGCGGATCCAGTAAGAAGGCCGATCACGCCTTCGGAAAGTGAAGGGATGGTGCTTGATTTTGCGACCCAAGTGCAACAAATAGCGCCACCATCAATTCCAAGCTGAGGAATGCCAGCGTCGTGCATCGCGAAGTCAGTGGTCTCACCAACGAATCTACCCCGTTGTTCATCGGTAGCTCGATAATAAGATGACCCCTCAGGGCTACCCTGGCCGTACAGCATGCCGTATGGCGAAGAGACATCCATGACGTTGGGGCATCCAATTATCTCGCCAGAACCTAACCCCCATTCCGCTTCACCAGGAAAACGCTCAGTAAATTGGGCATAGAAATTCGGATCACTCAAGCCCCATGAATCCACTTTACCAGCAGCGCCATCACTGGTAGTTGCAAGGCCGACATCAACAGCACCATGTATCAAACGAGGAACCCGTTTGTTTAGAGTCGAGCCAAAAGTTGCATGTATGTGCTTGATGAGGGAAAAGGTCTGAGCATTGTACTCAACAATCGGCGCATTGGGTTGACTTTGGCCGGAGCGTGCCGCGTGTGCTGAAGGTAGCTGCATAGGCTTTCCTCTGACCAAAGACCGAAGTAATCTGGTGCGAAGAATGTACTCGCTTCTCCAAGTGGCCAATGCCGTGAGTCTAGTGAAGTATCGTTTATCCGTATGGATGTATTCACCCTTCTCCTGCATAGCCTCGCGAGCCGATTCGTCCATCAACGATGCCGGGCCAGGGAAGTAACGGATGAAGGCTTCTCGCCAGGCATGCGGTGTTGTGACAAGTTCATGAAAGCGTTTGGACACCAGGGACACGGCGGCAAGATCGTTGGGAGATAGGTTAGAAAGCGCATGGGTCAAAATCTCTGTTCCGCATTAGTATCGTTCTATTCTTCTCGTCATAGGCGCATCTAGTTGGCTTCCACTTACCGTTTGGAAGTTTCGCGATGGCGCAGCTCTTATCATCAGACTTTCTAACGGTTTTGATCACCTCAAACACCGGCGTGTCCGCCCTTTTTCTATTAGATTGGAGCAACGCATTTTCATATTCGGTGATCTTGTTCCTGGGGCTAGGGGTCCTGGAATTCAATCGCGCGACTGCTGCATCTGCGTCACTAGATCGGCCGTCAGGGGCGTCAGCACCGGTAGTGTCGCGATCGCCCGCGCAGCCCTCGCAGCCCGCGCATGATGAGTCTCGTTGCTCTTCATGTGGGTGTGAGAGCAGAGAGGCCTGCTGGTCATGATGACGGAGTCCATGCTGGGAAGTGGCTGTGGGGTGTTCGGGGGCGACTTTGGTACTATCGGTGTTCAATAACTGCAAGGACTCTGGTTGCATAAAACTGGGGTGACGTGGAAGAAGTGTTCGCGGTAAGACCGAGCTGGAACTTTGCTCAGTCGTGTTCGGTGGATGTGAGCGTTGGTGGTGGATCGATACGTGTTGTTGTTGATGTGAGGACATTCGGTCTCGGAAGTTTTGCTATCACTAGACAACTTGCCAAGACAATTGCCGAATTGGGGATTGACGATACGGGGGCGTGATTGAAGAGGACGATACGACATTATTGATGGGAAGGAGTTCGAGAGTCGATGTGCATCAATGAGCGATGAGCTTTGAGAACTCGAACGTCCAGGTCATGACGTGGGGCCTCCGGGCCTCCGATTTTTACAGGAAAGAACGAGCTGAAGTACAGCTAGCTCTCTACACAATCGCTCCCAGCAAATGTGAAGAGAAATCATTCCACCACTGCCTTCTGGGTTCCTAATGATCCAAGATACCGGCAGAAATAGATTAACATAAGTACATCAACCAGTCCAAGTAACTGGATCAAGTTTAGTAGATATCACTTCACAAATGTCTTGAGTTGAGCTCCATGCCACGGTGCACTCCAGCGAACTGGTGGGGGCATCCAGAGGCATCACGTCACCATCGAAACTAGCAACAAAAACAGCCAAGAAGAGATACGGGTTGGCACAGAGTCCACATAGAATCATAAATTTCAATCATCGAGGTGGATGGAGTGACAAGACGCCGTAGCCATGCTGAATTGGAAAGGTTTTCGGGCGGAACATAATTATGGTACATAAAGCCGTGAATATGCTGCTACATTCGTCCTGCAGCATACACAGGTCGTGTAGTTCTTTGATGCAAGCCCAACGCGACAATCATCGCACAGGGAGAGGCATCCGCAAGGCCAAACAAGAACTGTACGTGGCTCCATCTGGCAGACCACACATTGCGGACCGTCTGAACCCATGCCTTCAGCGCCTGTATCCCAACTGTTTCGGTTACGCAAGTTTTGCGAGGCTGCAACTTTGCGTTTGTTGAGGATGAGATCTTCCAAAAGCAGCTCCTCTTCTTCCGGTGTCATGCTGAGACCTCCCGAAAGTCCGTCCATGGGCAGGCGTGAGGTCGTCAAAATTCGGGCTTCTTCCTGCTCAAGTGCCTGGCGATATTGAGATCGAGTAAGCACACCAGAACTCTGCAAATGGCGCGACAGCAACTTCGCTTCTTCTCTATCTTCACTAGACTTTGGGTCCAAAAGCTGTGAAAGCCGAGACATATCAAATGTGTTCTCTGGTAGCAGCGACGATTCACGTGAGTATCTGTAAGAATCTTGCGTCGGAGTTCGTTGTCCGTCTCCAACATCTGACCACGCATCTTCGTCGTCCGTCGTATTGGCCCAAGAGACCACGCTGGTTGTGTCGTCGTCGTCATCTCGAGGTGGAACGAAGTCTCCACTAGTGTCTGCATCACCCCACTGCCCGCCACGTTTGAACCACCCGTAAAGGTAATCGTTCAGTTGCTCTTCGGATTCTTGAGGTCCACGTTGTTCATAGGAGCCACTCACGTGAAGACGCTCCCTAGCGACAACTTCCAAGTCAAGCGAGTTGTTGAGGTGTGTGCGGGTCTGATCATCAGCGAAAAGCCACGTTTCATTGGCCATGTCGGATTTTGATGCTTCTCGAAAGCGGGACACGGGAGCTGTAGCCTTTCCGTTCTCACGAGGCCCGGCAAGCCGAGTCAACCAACGCGGACGATAGGTGATTCGCAGCTTTTGAAGAGTGGACATGAGTAGTCTGGCCTGGATAGCAAATACCAGAAAGGAAATACTCTTCAAAAACTGATACGTCAGGGTCCACCGGCCTCGACGCTGTTGCAGTCCGACACCATTGTCGCGCCCTATAGCTCTCGCAGCGTCCGACGTCGCATTGATACCCTTGGTCTTCCTTTCACGTGCATATCCAGAAGTCGAGAGAGGGGTTGATCCGTCCATTGTTAACTGATCAACATTCTGTAAGCCCTCAGCTAATGCGTCCCCACGCAATTCCACGGGAGTGATCCTCTGTATCATCTGTCTGCGACGCGCAAGTATTTCGCGGAGTCTTTTCTTCTCAAGCCAGGTCATTGCATGGACATTGACCCGTGTGCCTTCATTCAGATAGACGGCCTCGCTTGCCGCCGTCAGCACGGTGAACCCGGTCTTCAATATAGCAGTGTAAAAGTCTTCGTTCCAGTTGATGGACAGTGGCGTGATGGCGGATAGATGGATGTTTGCATGAAGATTTCCGTACGCGACAGCACACCTTTGTCTCCACGAAATATGTTCGGGCTGTCCAGGAGGGGGTGAAAGAACGGTAAAAACGAAGGCGATGAGGTATATGACCCCGCAAGCCAGTATGCCAGTCAAGATGAGAAGATGCGGAATGAAGCCAACAATACAGACGGTTGGGAATCGAATGATGCCAGCATACTGGCCAGAATCTACCACGGAGTTTGCAAACCGGAAAAAACTCCATGTGAAGGTAGACATGTACGCTAGACCCCAAACTGCTGTGGTGACGAGACGGAATCTCGCGCGGAAACCGAGTATGGCGAGAAAATTGCTGGTGAAATGACTGAAGCTCGAGATGAGAGCAATCACCAAGACTTCTGGTGGCACGTTTGCGAAAGAGTTGAGGGCGGAACGGGCGACAATAAGTGAATCGCCATTGGGTGTGAAGACAGTTTTGGGCCGGTGGAAGCGGGACGAATCGGATGCGAAAGGGCGTGTCACAACCGCCTCAGCCTCAGCGAAAGCCAAACTATGCTCAAACAGTGTCATGCCAACCTCATGAACGGGGTGGCGGCCCTGGAGCGCGCAAGACAGCGTCTCGACGACCTGGCTGAAGCCGAGCGAAACAAATAGCGGCCATAGGAGAGCGAGAGATCCCTGTGGACGCACCGAGCCGGGATCCAGGGGGAGCATGTTGGCGGCTCTACATGAGTCCTGGACATTCTCGTAGAAGAGTAGGGAGGAGCTGACCTCGTACAGGAAGCCGCCTTCTCCGCCGAAATCAGTATCGAGCTGTTTGCTATGCTGACCATATTGCATCTCGGACCAAGCGGGAGCCGTCTGGCAGCGTATGGCTTGGAGGACCGTCTGTATCCTATATAGAAACAATAGCATGGGGGCCAGGTAGAGACCGAGGCGCATGTGAAGGCGGTCGATGGAAAGGGGTACGCGACTGGAGGCGTAGAAATGTGTGCGGTTCAGCAGAATAGCCTGTCTGGCAGTGAGCGTGGCAGCGAGTATAGGTAAAGGCAGAGTATGTTAAAAACTCACCACTATGAAAGTAGCGATGGCCCACTTGGAAGTAATGTAGCCAAAGAAGGAGCCGACATTTTTCATCGTCTGCCACATGGTGAGATCGTCTTGGACACCAGCGGCAGCTCCAGCGGCAGCGGCAACAGACTCTTGGATGAATCCGGTGGTGCTCGCGATAGTGGCATTGGTGGCATTCGCGGCTGTAGGTTCAGCAATGATGCTGCCGGCGCGCATTTTATCCAGCACATGGCTCAAGGCGCCGGCTCCGGACAGCAAACGCGGAAGAAAGGGCAGAAAGGAGGACGTCAAGTTGGCGAGCCCGGCCTGCGAATGTGCTGGCTCCGCATTCATGTTGGTCATACGACACCAGAGCAGAATAAAGCAGAGTAGAGCAGAGTTGCAGCCGCGGCTGTAGGCGGACTTGGTCGGATCGGGTCACACGTTGGACCGGCCAGCCAGTTATAGGTATAGGCAAGTATGTGGGTGAGATACCCAAGATTGGATAGATAGGACCGATGGTGATGGAAGACGGTTTGATTTCGCTCTCTCTCTCTCTTGCTATCTATCGAGGTTGACACATGGTCGCACTTGACTGCCTGCGTATTTCAGCAGAGCAAGCGCATGCATATAATGGGATATAGGTATGCGGATGCTTGTGTCGGATGGGAGGGTGGATGGATGGATGGATGGATGAGCGCCGTTGGGGGTTTGTTGTTCAAGCGGCGTAACTAGTCGGGAGAGGCGGCTTCGTCATCCAACGGACCCTGGCTCTACACGTGCCCGGCAGTCACCCAACATCGACTACAACAGACCGTCCGTACGTCGGGACGTCGCATACTGGGACGTTAGCTGTTTTACTAAATATTAACTAATTAGTATTAAACAGAGTGGACAGACTGTACTTGTGATAAGTTGAAAGATGGAGTTAAGACGGACCTTCTGATATGCGACGTCCCGACGTACGGAGGGTCTGTAGGTAGTTACAATATCTTACCAACAGGAACAGCACCATACACATACATACCTATGGATACACATACACTTACATGCACATGTATTATGTGCACTAGCTGTTGCATGTACCTCTTAACCCAGCCCGCAAGACGCGGCACAACTATGGATTTAATGCCTCTCTCTCCATCATCCCTTTACTCAATCGTGGCCGTCATTCCTCGCCAAAGTAACAACAACAACAGCCATGTCCATTCCACACGTACTCGTGCCACCCGCCTTCCTGATCTTCTTGGAATGTAATCCGAGTCGATATATAAACACTCTGCACCCTCAATCTCCGTCTTCACCCTCGGAGTGTCTCTCTTTTTTGCTTCTTACGCACCAACAATCGCTCACACAGCTCAAACTCGTCCAGTCGTTTTCCCCAGAACCAATTGCTATTTAAAAAAACCCTTTGCAGAAAAAAAAAACTTGTTCTCTTTTTCGTTCCGTTTTTCATTTGCACCTTGTCTACTATTCCACGCTCGGATCCATCGGTAGCACCAATCCGGGTCTTACCATGAAGTTCGGCAGCCTCATCATCGCCGGGGCAGCACTTCTGCTTTCGGATCTCGTCGCCGGTCAAACGGCTGATAGGAGGACACTCGACAACAATTATCCTCAGACGGCCAATCTCCCCACTGGGTGGAGATACCTGGGATGTTACTCGTACTCACCCCCGTTCGACCCGTAGCATGCGTCTCGACGCTGACATGGCACAGTGATCGAAAGTTCAGCGACGTTGGAGATCGTGCTTTGGGTGGCTACTTCAGACTGGCCAACCCTCAGGGTGGCAGCGCGTGTATCAACGTCTGCAAGGGCATCAACCCCAACTACAAGTATGCGGGTACCGAGGACAACCAGTGCTGTACGTGGAGAAGCCCTCATGAAGCAATGATTTGATCTTGGTCCATGACGACTGGCTGACCAGGTTGTAGGGTGTGATACCGGCCTCAACAACAACGGCACCACCACTTACGGACAGAAGCTTCCTGAAGCCTACTGCAACTATGCTTGCCGTGGGAGTCAGGCTACCAGCCCCCAGACGTGCGGTAACGTCAACACTGGAACGACCAAGGAAACCGGTCCTGCTCTTTCCATCTACACCAGCGAGCAGGTAAGTGGGTTTTCATTTGCCTGTGTGCTTGTGCTTGTGCTTGTGCTCTGTGTTGCTTCGTTTTGTTCGATTTGCCCAAGGACGACCGGGATGGGGAGAGGAGGATGCGAGTTGAGACGGCGGGGAGAGGTGGTGGTGAGGCGATGGGTGGGAGGGGCATGCGGTAGTGGGATGGACCAGGCTAGAGCAAGCAGTGGGTTGATGGGAAAACAATGTGAATTTCTGCTCGCAATCGATGCACTGGGACTTGGTGATGTAGCTGCTCAGTATATGTGCAGTGCGAGTGGTGGAGAGTTGCACGGCCCCGGGATGGCTTGCAGGACCCCCCGTCCATCTTCTTCCCCGCCTCTGCCGCTCGGGGCGCGCCGCGGCTTTGGCCCCCCATTTCCCCCATCACACTGCACCTGGGCTGGGCCGATCCCGGCCATGCTTTCATCATCGCAAAGACCTGCTAAGGCCCAGGCGAAAGAATTTTGTGCCTTGACTCACCCGCTCCCTCACAACCTACCTTATATTTGATGCTCCATTCCTCTTGATTGTTCCGGCCCGTCTCCTCTTCTTGCTTGCTTGCTTGCTCAACCACCTGCATCCATCCATCCTTCTTCTCTTCTCCACCCACAGTCGCAGATCCAACCAACGGAAATAAAATACAAAATGTGCCCTCCCGTTGAAGAAACACCTGCATCCAACGGCGCGCCTGCCAATGGCACCAACGGTGAAAACGGCCACCCAGGCTACTCCGCCGTCAGAAGCACACCCGTCAAGCACGTCTCGCCCTACCAGCCTGTGGGCGATTTCCTGTCCAACGTTGGCCGCTTCAAGATCATCGAGTCCACGCTGCGAGAAGGCGAACAGTTTGCCAAGTACGTTCTGTTCTGCCTCCACGCCGCCTGTGCCCATCCCGCTGACCCATTGCCTCTTCCCCAGTGCCTACTTTGACCTGGACGCCAAGATCAAGATAGCTAAGGCTCTCGACGAGTTTGGTGTCGACTGTATGTAGCCCCGCGTTCCTGCTCGTCTTTGCACTTCTGACCGCTCCTTCTCCCACCACCGCAGACATTGAATTGACAAGTCCTGCCGCCTCGGAGCAATCCCGCTCCGATTGCGAAGCTATTTGCAAGCTTGGTCTCAAGGCCAAGATCCTCACCCACGTACGATGCAGCATGGCGGACGCCAAAATCGCCGTCGAGACGGGTGTTGACGGTCTCGATGTTGTCATTGGCACTTCCAGCTACCTCCGCGAACACAGCCACGGCAAGGATATGACGTACATCAAGAACACGGCCCTCGAAGTCATTGAGTTTGTCAAGAGCAAGGGCAAGGAGATCCGCTTCAGTTCAGAGGATTCCTTCCGCTCTGACCTGGTCGACCTGCTGTCCATCTACAGTGCTGTGGACAAGGTCGGCGTGAACCGCGTCGGTATTGCCGATACCGTTGGTTGCGCAACACCTCGACAGGTCTACGACTTGGTCAAGACTCTGAGGGGTGTTGTGTCATGCGATATTGTAACATCTACCCACGCCCTTGGCATGTAAACCAACATCTGAAGCATTTGACTGATTTTTTTGCTAGGAAACGCATTTCCACAACGACTCGGGTTGCGCCATTGCCAACGCTTACTGTGCTCTGGAAGCCGGAGCCACACACATTGATACCTCCGTGTTGGGTATCGGTGAGAGGAACGGCATCACCCCTCTCGGTGGCTTGATGGCCCGCGTACGTCATTGCTAAATTGTCCCACCTCGGTTTCTATTCTCAAACTGACCATGGCCCAGATGATTGTGGCGGACCGCGACTACGTGCTCAGCAAGTACAACATTAAGAAGCTCAAGGACATTGAAGAGCTCGTCGCCGACCTTGTCGAAGTCAACATCCCCTTTAACAACTACATTACCGGTTTCTGTGCCTTCACCCACAAGGCCGGCATTCACGCCAAAGCCATCCTCAACAACCCCTCTACATACGAAATCATCTCCCCCGCGGATTTCGGCATGTCGCGATATGTGCACTTCGCAAGCAGACTTACTGGGTGGAACGCCATCAAGAGCCGTGCCGATCAGCTTGGATTGACAATGACGGATGCCGAGTACAAGGAGTGCACGGTTGAGATCAAGAAGATGGCCGACGTCAAGAAGATCACCCTCGACGACACGGATGCGATTATTCGCAATTTCCACCACAACCAGGTTCACAACACGAACAAGCCGCTTCTTCCGGACCTCACCAAGGAGGACGAGCAGAAGCTCGCTCAAGTGGACAAGAAGATTGAGGGCATGCCGGAAAAGCGCCAGCTCGATGCTGCTGTTGAGGCCGATGCCGAGGACCGCGCCGCTAAGAAGACCAGGTCGACTGCTGCGTAGAAAGCCTCGAGCCGAAAAGTCCGTCTTCTCCATTATTTTTTTGCATTCGGAGTCTGGAGTGTTGCGGTTGTTTATCTTCCTCCTCATCTTGGTATTGTATTTTTCCCATGTCCTGGGTCATGATCCTATCTTCAAGCCATCTGTATATTCTTACGGCACCTCAGAAAACAAAAAGAAGAACAAAAGTCTGTCCTTTTCCCTGCATTTCAATACCTTCACACGGAGATAACATCATGTCGTATCGGCATACGGCCTGGCTGCACTGGCGTAGAGCTGCATTTTATCTGGTGATCTGGTGGTGATGTATGATTGCAATGTTGGGGGATGAAAACAAGAAAATCGAGATACTTTGTATATATGTTTACATGAAATGGAATGATGATGATTCAGCAACAGACGGCCCATTCTTACCCGGTCACACTGTACATGTCACCAGCCTTTTAGCAAGGCATTCCTAAAAAAAAAAGAAACCACCCTCCTAAGAGAATTCGAAACAGGTAGATTAGTGGGTGACTGATAGCGAGAGGTTGTTCCAGAAAAGAGTCGAGGATCCGTCACGTATCAAGTTTGTTCCCTTATTTGTTTGTTTGTTCATTTGATTAACTGATTGATTCATTCATTTGCGCTGGATTAATTTGGAACACGAATCTTCGTTCCCACCCCTTTTTTTCTTCCTTCTTCCCCAAAAAAAAAAAGTACAACGAGCCAGAAAAAAACAAAGAAAAGAAAACATCGCTTCCTCATTACCGGCTACCGGGCTTATGTGGGCACGAAATCGCTTCCCAGATCGCCCAAACTTCCCAAACTGCGCCGTTCCTGCAATGAGAAGAAAAATTCGCAAGATTACATTAAGGAAGAAAGAACAAATAGCTCCCCAAGAATTCGCGGAGAGAGAGAGGAACAATTGATGGGTCGTGGCTGCGTGCACGTTTAAAACCAACCTACAAACGCCAGGAAATCGTCCACCATGTTGATCCAATCCTGACCGTTAAGCGTGCCCATGCTTCTTTTTTCCCAAAGCCTAGCCACCATCTTGGCTAAATAGACGCGGGCTTCTTCTCCCGCCTCTTTGGTACCGTCGCACCGGACCAGTTCAACGCGGCCGCCGGGGAATTTTTCGCTCAAGTCGATGCGGAAGCTGGCGTCGCCATCTGGCGGGCTGTACTCTTCGACCTGCAGAATCGGGGTAGCGTTGGACATGACAACCTGGCCTTGGAATGGCTGTGGCAAAGGATGGCCGCCGTTGAGGAACTGACCATTCATTCCGATGGCGCTCGGTACATGGGAGGTGCTAGGCTTGAAGAGTCGGCCACGGAGAGCGACTGTCACGAGGCGTAGAGATGCAGCGCCATCGCCAACGCGGATGATCCAGTCCTGGAAAGCTTCGTACATCATCTTGTACTCAAGCTTGATAATCCAAGTATTGTAGCTGTAGAACACAGCAAGGACTTCGGAGCGTAGAAGACGATTGACGGCAGCGAGAGGGTGTTGGAGGTTGTTCGCGTACGTAGAAAGACAGTAGATGAGGGGGTGAGAAACGACGAGGCCGGGCAAGCGGAGGTAGACATCATGGCGTATTTCGGCAGGTAGAGTGAGCAGAGTCACATGAACATGGTGATCCAATATTGCGGGCGGTTCTGGTTTGAACGATTGCGCTACTGGGGGTGATAGAGCAAAGTCCTCCGAAGCAACATCGCTAGGGATTGTGAGACGCAGCGGCTCCATGGCCAGCTCATCAGACACGCTTGATGGCGGCGAAATTGGTGACACGGCCAGAGAAGGTGATGCCGAACAGAAGCGATCGACAGACGAAAGAGCCCAGTCGCTCTCCTCTGGAAAAGGATCGGTCATGCAGTCTTCGTCGACATCTATATTCATATCCGTGTAATTGAGACCCAAGCGAGCGATCTTTGTGGGAAGTGCTTGATTGAAAGGCGTGTTGGGAGACGGCAACTGTGTCGCGGAGCGCTTGGACGAAGTGCGGCCTGTACACTGGTGAGACGTTTTTGGGCAGTTATGTCCCTCGAAATATGACTCTTCGGCGGCTGCTCCTTCAATCGGGGGTGTCGTTCTCCATTTGTGTGCTTGTTCGCCATACACCAGTACGGAGTCCAAAGCTGATGCAGCGGCTTGCGGCTTACCATCGTCTTCAACCTTACTCCCCGATCCACAGAGTCCGCAGGTACCTGTCTGCACGTTCGTATCCAAAGCCTGAAGTTTGGGAGAAGGCTGTGACTTGATGGGTCCGACGTCGTTGGGAGGGGTCTGTCCAGTGACGGAGTATCGACGCTGGAGGAGCATGGCGATGCAGAGGGGCGCGGTGGACTTGGATGCTATTTGGTGTGTACGTATGCCGTGCGCGATACAGATAGAGTAAGCAGATGTCGAAGCGGCACTATCGGAATAAGACGAGAGCGCGGGTTGGAGGCTGTGGATATGTCGTGTGTCGTGTTGTGATGGTGGTTGTGGTTGTTGGATGTGTTGGCAAGCTGACCGGGGCAGACTGTACCGTAGGTATGGCTGCAAATGCCGCAGGTGCAGGCCTGGATAACAGGCTGGAGATGGAGCACCGGCTGCAGGCAATGCAGGGCAAGATTAAGTACACTCAGCCCAAGAGGGGGTCTTGAGGGGAGACTGAGGGCGAGATTGGTGGGGGTGCGGAAGTAGTCAAAGGCGGAGGCGGCGGGCGGTCGTTATCGATTAGAAAGTAGAGACCAGCCGTAGGCAATGTGCTTGTAATGTGGCCGTGATAGAACGGCGCACTCTACCGACAGATGGGTAGATGGTGAATTAGGAGACGTTTAGAACGAGTGGATGGACTGACGAATGAAAGAATGTGTATGTATGTATGACAGAGCGAGCGAGGTGGTAGGAGTATACTCCAAGGAAAAAGAAGAAGAAAGAGAGGGGGAAAAGGAGGGGAGGAGAGAAGGAAAGGAAAAAAGACGGAAAGAGAGGAAGCGATTGATTAATCGATCAATCAATCAGTCCAAGGGAAGAAAAGGCGAAAGAAAGGGAACGGAAGATGTGAGGAAGTGGGAGTGAAGAAGGAGGAGTGAAAGGAAGGACGAGGATAGCGGCACCCTGCCTGGCTTGCGAGATGGCAGTGCTGCGTTTCATGCCATCGAATCCAAGTCAGAGCGTCGTTTGGGCGAGGCAGAGGGGGGCCACCACACCGCCGCACCTGGTTGTCGATGATTTACACAAGCAAACTCGTTGCATCAATCCTGCCATTCTGCACGGGATAGATAGTTACATTGGCGAAGTAGGTCAGTAGGTATGTATGTAGTCAGTTGGCCATGTATCAATCTTGTAGTACGTACGACGACGTTGCCAATCCGCGCCATTCCAGAAGGGAAGAAGAAGAAAAAGGCCCCGCCCTCACCCCAATCGCCGACCCACCTCCACACAACGGCCATCAACATTTCAATCAAGTCACCCGTGTCACCTGTCTTGACTGACTTGCATCCAGCGACAGCGCAATGTCACGGGTGAAGCATTCGACGCTCCAGTGCCGAGTATCCCCAAACCTACGGCGCCTCCAATCTACCTGCGGATGACGAATGACACACCCCCATCCCCCCCCTTGTCCGCCCCAAACTCGTCGTCATACCATCTTCACCATCCCGGTCGCACATCCTTTTGGGTCATCGCCACCGGTGCGACGTCTACGGGAAATGCGTCCGACTTTAATCACATCGTCCCCTTTGCTTACATACCTATGTATCCTTCTCCAATGGAGGCAAGAACGGGGCCAAGGAAGAAAAGTCATATTGTAGAAATAATATTGCTAATCAAGGCAAACTATATCAAACGAATGTGCGTGATGCCATTGGATAAGCATGGCGAAAATGATGAGCTGCGTAAAGTCCAAAAGAAGACACCAAGCGCAAAAATAAAAAGATGTTCGCCCTCGAATCCAGTCGTTTCTGTTGAAGAACCCGACCACCAAAAGATCCTTCACGTTGGCGAACCGTCCTTCTTGAGCATCCTGGTTGAACTGATGCTCGTCCTTCTTAACATTATCATCCAGGTACCCAGCATCATTTACTTCTCCTCCAACCCCTTCTCTGGTTCCCTTACCATGATATCCAGCGAAACATTCTTTTCCCCGCGCTGCAAATGGACCGTCCTTACCGTCTCGAACCCGAATCTGCGGTAGATGGCTGGGTTCCTGTCGTTGCTGCTCTCTAGATACGTCATCCTACCTTCGACGTCTGCATGGTTGGTCACATGCTCAATCAATTTGCGGCAGTGCCCTTTGCCCTGCGCCGCCGGTCTAGTACCAATATACACGAGATACCAGGAATGGTCATCTTGGGCACCCAGTGTCCCTGCCTTGGTGTCATGAAGGAGTGGTAGAAACTCATTAAAGAAGCGCCGCTTGCCTTCACCGGACAGCCGATAATTGAGACGCCACATTCCTGATCGGAGCATCGTCCAATAGTCGTCCATGTTCTGGCCAGGTGGCATCCTAGCAACCCTGTGTCAGTATCCACTTTGCCGACTTCGCATCTAAAGTGAGGGCAAAAACGAACCACAGAGCAACCGCGTCGAAATCGCCAATCGTTGTGACAAGCCCCTTCATGATGTGAGCATACGTCACATATTCAAGAATCTCCACGTGAAGATCCCACTTCTGCCGGTCGGTCCACTGCGCGCGGTCAGGCACATCGATGAAGTAGCGAGCGACATCATCTTCGGCGAAAGCTTCCGCCAGACACGCGGCTGCTTCCTTGTACTCAGCAGCCGTAACTACGCGAATCCCGTCAGTGAGCGGGATCATGGGTGAGTCTTGAGGCTTTTGCTGCATCATCTTAGAGTAGTCAATGGGACCGCTTTCAACGCGGGCATTGGTACTCATGTACTTGTTATGCTCGTGAAGGCTAACAGCGAGGGACGAGGCGCTAGAAGCCATGGTTGTCGCCATGATTGCGGATTCGTGGAATGGTTTCTACTAGTATTGAGGTGGGATCTGCCGCTTCTTTTGATACTGGGGACAGTGGTATACGCCAGCGTGAAGGTTGCTATCGTCAAACGCGGCGGAGTCGCCGGCGAGAAGATACTATATCACTTAAACCTAAGTATTCTTTTCCCAAGGAGGAAACGACCTAGAGATTCAAGCACAGAGCTACTACGTGGTGGTTAGTCTGGTTGTGGAGTCAGATTGAAGGAGCAGCTGGTTCGAGCAGAGTAAGCGGCTGTCGATAACCTGCCGTTATATACCTTTTCGGACGTTGACGATGGGTGACGGTGGGCGGTTTACGTATCTGCTGGACGATTGCTATCACCGGTATGGACTTTGGAGAGCTGAGATCTCGAGACAGATTCGACCCGAGAGGGAAAACGTAGCGAGGTAAGTGCTTGACGGTAATCAACCGACATCAATGTGGGATGGGGTTTTGAACAGCCCGTGGGAATGATGCGGATGATGATGATGATGATGAAGCAGGCTTTTCTGTGAACGGTGTAGGTGGACTGATGTTCATGCACCTCACTGTGCGGGGAGAAGGTGTGTAAGTAGGTGTATGGCTGCGGAAAGGGTCGGTCCTTGCTTCTGTACTGGCCGGATCCCGTCACAAGACCTATGACGGCAACGTTTGTATACAGCCTTGGCCGATTGCTATACAGTGAGGCGGAACGAGCAGCGAGATGTTGTTGGCCGAGGCGGCTGCAGTGGGGATACGGCGTTCGTGGGGGTAGGCCAGAGTGACTAGGACGTGGTTGGTGCAGTGCTGTACGGAGGTCAATAAGGGCCGAAAGTCTGAGTGTGATTCCGAAGGATAAGTTTTGGATCCGAAATGGCGGGAACTGTAACCCTGATATATGTACGTCGACGTGCTGCACCCTTGCTCGGGCCATCCCGCCTTGATAGTGTGGACGTGGAAGTTTTGGAGCGAGCTCGGGTTGCCATGCCACGATAAGTCAGGGCCTTCACCTGGCATTGTTTCGGCAGGCTACCGAGCGATGGCTCCTCCAGATGGCCTAGCCGTGATGCCAAAGCCGCCGTGGTATGCCAGTGTGCATCCATGCACACGTTGTACACGGGCACACGTAAGTACGGATCATACGGATGGACTTTGAGTTGGTGCATGGAAGGATGCAAGCGGGTTGCAGAAGAGAAAGCCCGAGAGTGGCGTTGGAGGATAACGTGTGGGGTATCGTATGTACAGGTCGTATCTCCGCCTTTGCTGTGATTGATTGATGTGGGAGTGTGTGATGAGGGAGACGCATGTACCTGCTCGATTGAGACTGGCGATGCTCTGATTGGCGGCCGCCGTCACCCGGTTTGGCTTGTTGTAGAAACCCGTCTGCCCTCAAGTGCTACTTGTATATGTAGGTACATATATCTATCCAAGTATGTACTGTTCATTCACCGGTCCCCCCACGTGCTCGCGCTGGAATGCTCGTCTCCCGCATGTCAATACGCTCATGTCCGATACATCACACACACACACATGTATATGTAACGTTGAAAGACCGACACTAGGGTTGGCACCGTGAGTGATGTGCACCCGCATACATGTACACTGCGCACACTAGTCTCCCCCGCGCTTGCGTTGGCTTACTGCTACGTGCATACATGTCTATGATTGAGTTGGCCGCGTGGCAACTAATCTTCGCAAAACAAGAACCTTGGTATCTACGCCCAACCAAACCCCCGGAGCCATGTGAGGCCGCCGTCGCCATCGAGTCTACTGACTCTCCATACAGGCGTGAAGCATGCCTCCCTACGCACCAGATGCCCAACATTCAAAAGCCTCTCTTCCTGGGTAATTCTGGACAAGAGATATAACAAGAAAGACCGGGGTGACAGCAAAACGTGCTCTATTGCCAACAGACCACTATGCTGCTCAGACATGTAAACTTGTTACATTCGTCGAATCTCCTTCTCGCCCATGTACTTTTCGAGCCCTGAGTCAAGATGGTCCCACCACTCGTACAGCATGCTCTCACAAATCAGCTTGAACCACGGGGTGAACTTCAGGGACGGATCCTTGAACATGGCCTTGAGATCGTCCTGGGAGACATAGCGGGAGTCGCGAGCCTCGTTTGGGTTGACGTTGAGATCCACATCCGCCTTGATGAAAAGAATGTAGTCGACTAGCAAATAATACGTCAGCCTCGTCATCTCCTCGCAATCACATGCATGGACTCACTCTCGTGCTCGCCCCATTTGCCGTCGCTGGGTGACTTGTAGTGTATCCTGGTGAGGAATTTGAAGTCGTCAATGGGCACCTGTGCTGTCTTGATACCCAATTCCTGGTCGAGCTTCCGCTGCGCCGCGCGGCGCACGCCCTGCACAGAGGCATCCAGGCCTACGCCAGTCTCCCCAGGTATTCCCAATGGATGCGAGCAGCAAGTGTTTGTCCACATATCCGGGAACGTGATTTTCTCGGTCGCGCGCTGCTGGAGGAGAAGGCGGTTCTGGGAATCAAAAAGGAAGACGGAAAAGGCGCGGTGCAACAGCCCCTTGTCAATGTTCTCCATCAGGTGGCCTGGGGGGTTTGTTGGTGTCAGTGGGGGTCGAAGAGGGGTGGTGTCTGGCAAGACTCACAGACTTTCTTGCTCGCACTACCAATGGGCATGTCGTCGTCGTCCAGCACTATGCAAACCTCGTCCATAAGGCGGATCTGCTCCTCGTCGTAGCCCTCGAGCGCATTGTCGTCGGTGGCCGAGTTGTGTTCCCCGCCAATGAGGGTGGTGTTGACTTCGGGGAAGAGACGCAGGACATTCTCAGCTGTGATCCGAGGCTGGTCGGTGACTGTGACGGTGGTGCTCATGTTGGCCAAGGGCAATGTGAAGCCAACGTGTCGAGCTGGAGTGTGGTCGCAAAACGTGGGAATGTAGAAAGATGGAGGGGAACGCCAATGGGGGGGTTTTGGACAAAGCGGGAGACTTGGGGGGGTAGACCCTGCCGCGACCCTGCTTATCGTGCGCGGCTGTTAGTTTCGGGCTGCTCGCCTATTAGGAAAAAGCCGATTGTGAATTCATGGGTTGTGTGCTAGATGCCCACACAATCTGTGTTCAGGAGCATGCCGATGCAGCATGTTGCCATGGAATCACGAACACTGAAGCTCGACAGATGGTCCGGTATGGCTTGAGAATGATCAAGGTTAACGTGAAGTTCTACATGTGTAGGTGGCAAGCGAGGCCTCGCGGACCCGGAGCCAATAACATGCTCTCGATATCCGCGGGCTATTCCTAGTCAGATAGGACTAGATACTTGAGTATTCACTCAAATGCATCCCGCTTCTCCCCTGGTACAATGACATTCGGTGTCGACTGCCCGTCGCCTTCACTGTTGCTCACATCGCTAATCCTGCCATCTCTATCCTTTCGCCAGCCTCCGCCCCGTATAGCCCTCCAAACCTCGGCTAATTGGGTTCGCCCGTCAACCATGGGATACAAACCAACAACGAAAAGGGTACCCCAGAGCCAGATGATGGCGATCACAAGCCAAGCCGCAAAGAACCTTTTGCCAAACACATATTTACTCGCATACATGGGTAGTGGCCAAAGAACCCAGTGCCCAAGGAACGTGGCCAATGCCCAAATTGCGGCGATACGCCCCCATCGTTTGAGCGCCAGCTGCGAATGAGCCGATTCCGCATCCTCTCGCGATTCCGCATCGGCAGACCGTCCAACCACGGTCGTCTCGCCAGACGCAGACATGACCCCAAACGCCAGGCGCTCTTTGCGAAACTCAGCCCAGTCAAAATCTTCTGGTTTAATTAGAGTAATGCATATGGTATACGGTAACGGACTAATAGCGCTAGCAACAGTGCCCCAAACGCAAGGCACAATTGCCCCCGTGGTTGCAATCGAAACATTGCCGTAAAGTGCGTAAGCGGTGCCGAGCCATACTGCTATACCTGTTGCCATGCCCAGCAGTGGGGATATGGTGGCCGCGGCTTTGGACTGTCTGCGCCAGAGGATGGTGAACGATGTTGGGAAGATGCCTGGACAGGTGATAACACCCAACATGTACAGTGTCCATCCGAGATCCACGCCGACATAGTGCAACATCGTGGAGAAGGCGGAAGCGAAGAGAGCGAAGAAAATGACCCCGTAGTGCGACCAGCGGATCACGTCGGAATCGCTTGCTGTAGGCTTCCAGTAAGTGCGGTACTGGCATATTGATTAATTGTTGTCATGTGTCGGCACAGAGTGGAACGAGACTTGCCATATCGAAAGAGATGATTGAAGATACGGCTATCACTTGCGCGGAGAGAGTCGAGGTCACCGCCATGAATGTTATCAAAAGGATGCCAGCCGCACCGCCTTCCCCTGCTATGGTCATGGCAAAGTACGGGAGAACTAGACCTCCCGATACTTCTGCGTCCGTCATGCGCTTACAGGAAGTCAGTACTTTTCTGATTGAATTTGCTGTCATACAAAAAACCTTACCCTCGGATATGTAGGGAATATCGGGTTGTTTTCGAGCCCCAACACCACGCTGCTTGCGAGCGTGCCCATGCACCATGGGATAGCAAAATAAGCGATGCCACCGACCACATATCCCGGAACGACTGCCTCTGGGCTGGCTGAAAAAGCCTTGATGAAGAAGCTCGTGTCCATGATAACGAGGCCGAAATTCGCCGCAATATGCAGAATCCCAAAGAGAATGCCACCTTTCGAAGTCATAGTCAAAAAGCTACCTTCCTCGTTGCCGGAGACTGGATGCCGCTCGCTGGCTGCTCTCAACAAGTCGTACAATTTCGAGAGCGAACCGACTTCGTCAACTGTGAAAGCCTTGACGCTAAAGTAGCACAGAATGATGACAATGGTGAACGTGTGTACGTAGTCAGTCAAGAACGTAGCCTTGATCCCGCCCACAAACGTATAGAGTGCGACTCCTACCGGCAACAGAAAAGTCGCCGCGATAACGTGCATTCCGGTCATAGCCGAGATGGCAGCGCTCGCTCCTAGAAGCATGTTGGCAACGGCGAAGAGATTGTTGATCAAGCACAGAAACATATAGACAAAGTGCGCAGTCGTGCCGTACCGGATCCGTACAATTTCCAACAGCGTGTGGGCTTCCGGAATCTTTCTCTTACATGAAATGCCCAGTACGGCAAAGAACACAATCATTGGGGAGCATCCCGCTGCGAACCAAAACGGACCGGATACGCCGTAGTTGTAACCCACGAGACTGGAGCCTAGCATCGCAGTTGACCAGAGCCTGCATTCGCGAGTACGAAGTCAGCGAAATCGGATATAAGGTAGAGGGCCACTCCTGCTTTTAAATACTTTTTTTTCAAAATCGTCTCCATGAAGTTTCTGGTCATTATACTTACCAGGACGACACAACAGCAGACGAGGTTAATCCAGTGCTTACGCTTCGATTGGCGGTCATGAACCTGTTCTCAGAATGTCAGCGGTCCTGCGCCGAGGCCTATCCACTACGTGTTTGGTGGACTTGCATCTCGGTCTTCTTGTTGTCTTCCCCAACAGTGCGTTTCAGCACTTTTGTGATGAAGACCATGGCAAAGGCAATCACGAGCCCAATGACAACGACGACAACGTATCCCACAGCTTGGGAAAGGGGTGGTTGAACGATGACGTCGGTCGCGTCAGCGCGATCCAGCAATTTGGACGGCATGTCTTTATCAATAAATCGGACGTCGTGTTTGGGTAACATTCGCACCCCAAGACAGGTAGATGAGGTACTGACGGGAGTTTTATGAAAACCCTTAGCACCACTGATCAAGGTCCGAGGAGCTAGAGCACATCATTGAGCGTAAAATGTCGTATTCGATGAGCATTCGTCACTGGCAGATCTAGTCTTGACTGACTGGGAACATGTACATGCGGTTCGGCTATCTACTGGCTGACAGTTTTTGAGAGAGTAGGGGAGCAGATCTAGCAGAGATCGGCCACGTAGGGGGATAACTCTAGAGATGTGCTTTCATCCCGGTTGCAATATGCTGGAAAAAAAAGGGGAAAAAAAAACACTAGGTGCCATTAGTAGCATACAATGCGAAACTGTTAAACTTGATTGGGGAAAGGTCTTGCGTGGATTGGGACGTTGTTGTGTGTAGTTGTTGCGATTGCGGCATATCTGGGCGTTTTGTCGTCAGCCCACCACACCAATAACCTTGGGCGTAGCGTCCATGATGTGCTGCATGCAGCACTTTTCCATGAGCCTACCATGATCCGACTCCAGGAATGACGATATCTCTGAGGGGATGTGCTTCGCATGCTCGAGTCCATAACCATCGTCCAGTCTGCCCCGTTTCCATTGATTACCACTTTTGACGCTTGATCTCGTACTCCAATCTGAGCTCGTTCGCAGATTCACGACTATCAACTGTTGCTTTGACTGAGCCATATCCGCGCTACAATGGCAACAAGCACGAACGGCGCACCAGCTAAGAAAAAGCTGATTCTCAATGCGTTCGTGGAGATGTGTTCCGGGCACCAGTCGCCTGGGCTTTGGAAACATCCCGACGATTTGTCCAGTGACTTCAATTCAGTTGAGCATTGGGTAGAGCTTGCGAAACTCCTAGAAGCCGCTAAATTTCATGGTATATTCATTGCCGACGTTCTCGGGGGATACGACGTCTACAAAGGACCCCAGAATCTCGATCCCGCTATCCAGTCGGGTGCTCAATGGCCTGTCAATGAACCTCTAGCTGTCGTCCCAGCCATGGCCGCTGTGACCAAGAACCTCGGCTTCGGGGTCACAGTTGCGACTACATATGAGCAGCCGTACCATCTAGCCCGCCGATTGAGTACCATCGACCACCTCACCAAGGGAAGGTTGGGTTGGAACATAGTCACTGGCTATTTAGACTCAGCTGCGAGAAACCACGGACAGACCTCACAGATCGGCCACGACGAGCGATACACCATCGCCGAGGAATATATACGCGTCATGTATAAGTTGTTTGAATCATCGTGGCGCGACGACGCCGTCATCCTCGATAAAAAACGAGGTATTTACACCGACCCTGCTCTCGTCCGTACCATCAACCACAACGGGAAATACTACACCGTCCCTGGCCCGCACATCTGCCAGCCCTCCCCACAGAGAACTCCGCTACTACTTCAAGCCGGAACCTCAAAGGCTGGTAAGGCTTTCGCAGCACAGCACGCCGAAGCCATCTTTGTAGCGGGCCACAGCCCGGGCGTGGTCGCTAAGAACGTCGCAGAGATTCGCCAGCTTGCAACCGAGTTCGGGCGTAAACCGCAAGACGTCAAATTCCTAGCCCTCATTTGCCCTATCATAGCGCGCACGGAGGAGGAGGCAAATGCCAAGTACGAGGACTATGTGCAGTACGGTGATACAGAGGGAGCGCTTGCACTGTTTGGCGGATGGACTGGTATCAACCTCGACGTCTATGGCGACGACGATGAATTGAGACATGTCGAGTCGAATGCGATCAGGTGAGTCTCACCTTTCAACGTCCCTCCCACACTTATCTCAAGATTACCATTTTTTGCACGCCCGTGGCTACTCTGGTATTTTGCAATTGCCTAACATCCGTCCCAGGTCAGCGGTAGAAGCTTGGTCGCAAGCATCCCCTTCTATACCAAAATGGACCAAAAAGACAGTAGCACGCCATATCTCCGTCGGCGGCCTCGGTGCTACAGTGGTGGGCACGCCTTCCTCCGTCGCTGACGAGTTCGAGCGTTGGGTCCGTGAGGCTGACGTTGATGGTTTCAACATCGCGTACGCCATCAAACCCGGCACTTTCGTTGATGTTATCGAACTCTTGATTCCAGAGCTGAGAAGTAGGGGACTTTTCTGGGATGACTATGTTGTGGAAAGGGGGACGTATCGGGAAAACTTTTATGGGAAGGAGGGACAGAAGGGAACTATTGAAGGGCATGTTGCAGGGAGTTTCAGATGGAAGGCGGGTGTTGCAAAGGAGGATGCTGTGATTCCCGAGTGAGTGAAAGGGGCGAGTCGTGAGTAAACTGGAAGGAGTTCGTATATATAGTGAGCCCCACTCTGTCCAGCAAACTCTCGCTCGATTGGTCATCTTCTAAAGCAAGAGGGCCTTTGACCACGATTCTGGTTTAAGGGCAAAATTTCAATATCTATTCGCTCCTTGGCGTGTTCTATAATCGAGATTGGTTACAGCAGAACATCATGCACTGTGAAGTACGTACTCTAATGAAGGCTTGCAAGTGGTAAACATTTTGAAGTCTGGTCTACGGCTACTGAATGTCTTATTGTGTATTAGCTGGCCAAGGTGCTCCGTCTTACTCGGGTGTATAAGCAAATATACAAATTCCCGATAGAATGGAAGAAAAATTCATTGTACACGAAGTCCCGAGAGTCCCGATTGTCTAATAGGTAACTTGAGCTTTCTATCTTACACCATCCATAGTTTAGATGTCCAATTTGCTACGATCTCTGCAACAAACTATATATCTGCCATACAATATAATTCTATCTTACCTTTTCTGCTTCTCTGATATTGAATTTGCTGCGGTCCAGGATAAAACAAAGTACCTAGAAAGGAAAAACGCAAGAACGAAGCCTGTCTTTTTTTTTAACAACACCAACTGCTCTCTTCATCGTTATCATCTCCACAACAATTGCAGCAGCCTCCATCACCTCCACAATCATCATCACAGCAGGTGAAGCAACCATCACCGCAGCAATCCCCACAACAATCTCCACAGCAGTCATCGCTCTCATTGCCATTATCCCCGCCGCCTCCACCACCACTCTCTCCAGCAGCATTGTTATCTGCGCTGGGATATTCCTGCAAGCTTATGCCATCCTCCTCATCAGGACCACTCCAGTCGCTTTCATCATCACCGTCATCCGGATCAGAGGAATCAAAATCAACATCCTCGTCTTCATCAATATCAGCATCCTCGTCTTCATCAAAATCATCGTCATCATCGTCGCTGGAACTGTCGTCGTCGTCCTCCTCCTCTGCTGGATTGTAGGTGTTGTTCTCTTGGTAGTTGGTATTCTCCTGGTTGTAAGTGGGGTTATTGTTGTTGTAGTAGTTATTGGCAACGGCACCCCCTCCAAGGATGGCAGCGCCACCCGTCACAGCGGCCGCTGCTTTGAGCTTCTTATTCGACTTTTTGGCCTTCTTCTTCTCCAAATCCGCAGACTTTTGTTTCGATTTCTGGTTGTACTGGTCGAACTTCATTCGGGAGCGATTCTCCTTGGCAGTCTGCTTCTTCTCCCACTGCGCCTGCTGGGCGCGCTGTTTCGCAACGAAGCTAGCTTTCCAGCGCTCCATCTGACTACGGTCGCGATTCTGACCTTTCTGGAATTGCTGCTGCTGGCGCGCAAACTGCTGGGCCTGCTTCTGCTGAAATCGCGCGCGGCTCTGAGCCCACGCGGCTTGCTTCTGGTTGAAACGTTGCTGCTGCTTCTGCATATTGCGCATGTGGGCTTCCATTCTTCGCTCGGCCATCCGCTGCCTTTGCTCAGCAAGCTGGAGTCGCTCTTGAGGATTTGTTGGGCGTGGAGCTGGAGCACGAGATCGCGGCTGAGATGCTGCTGGTGGAGGAGCGCCATAGGGAGGGGCACCATAGGCAGGTGCACCATGTGGACGAGCACCATATGAAGGATTATGGTGTGGAGGGGCGCCGTGGTGAACTGCTTGGCCACTTTGTGGAGGTACCGGGCGTCGCTGCTGGTAAACCATCTGGGGTTGCGCACGTGGCTGTTGCATTTGAGGGCCTCGTGCTGGAGCTGGCTGGCTTGGTCGACCTTGGCCTTTTGGTGCCATCTTGTGTGAATCTGAGATGGGGTGGTAGGAGAACAGTAATAGAGTAGTGGTTTTGGAACTTTTTCCGTAGAAGAAGTCGGCAGTGTAATTGCAAAAGTATTACAGCAGTGATCAAATAGCAGTAATGTGGCAACGGCGGTTTTGTAGTAACCGATGATGCTATCACTCAACTTGCATGATCAATAGAAGATGTTAATTGAGGACCGGCGAAGACACTTATACTTGCCAGTAGTCTTGTAGTCGCCAAGTTTTTTCTTATTGCAGCCGCCAATTTACATAGACGGCAAAGATATGTGGACGAGTAAAAATAGCCAGACCCCCTGAGGCTGGGAGCAGAATCTGTAGCCTTGCCGTCTTCTCATCGGCGACATACTATGTACAAAGAGACAGACTATAGCACAGAACAACAATTTGGCACACAAACCCTAGTTCATCACTCCCGGCATTACTCTTTTGGGCCACTTATACGAGAGAGGTTGCATTCCATGGGGGCCGAATAGTGACACGGCCCTGCTGCGTTCCCGCCCGCCCCACTGTGGACGAAGTTGAAAACCGGTGAACTTCATCCATATCGAAGGATCGTGAGACAAGGCTGAGGATTCAATTGAAGGCCTTTGTCAGTCTTCTTTCCCTCTCCTATTCATTTAGTTTACCCGGCAGTATGCGAGACGCGCCATGCGAACGCTGTCATGACATTAAGCACGTCGTCTTATCAAGCCTCAAAAGTGAAGGATCGAGGCGAGGAAAAGGAGGGAGAGGCAAAAAAAAAAAAGCAAGCAGCGAAAAGACGAAGATGACGGAAGAAGGAGGTCAGAACGCATTCTGCATCCAAGGGTCCAAGGGTCCGGGCTTTGTTTGCTTGCACATGTGTATTAATGTAACCCCGAGTAGAGGTAGTAAGCTTGAGAGCTTCTGGAAATTTGCTCGTTGGGCGTTGCTCGGCATCACATGACGACTAGGGCAAGCCGTAGTACGACTCATGAATGCTTCTTTTCCCTATAGAACTTGTAAGATCAGGAAGCTTGTTACACAGATGCTCGGACGGATGACAGATAACAGCTTCTCACGTAACGTAAGTTGGAAGCAAGGCTGGGGCCTGAGCTTGGCGCCAGGATCGGTGGCAACAGGAGCAATACTTGGGTCGGAGACATTGTCGTCGGCGTCGTTGCTGTTGTCCCAAAACGAAAAAGCTGTCCTTGTAGGAGGGTTTGGGAGCATGGTGGAGTGGTGGTTCCCAAATGCCGAGACTGGCTTGGCATGTTAGCGCCCAGCTTTACATTCTTCCCCCGGATTGTCATTGTCATTGTTGTCATGCTTCTCCCTCCGCGACCCAAGCATCGTATACACAATGTGTACTTAATTCCCCCCTCATCTTCATCATGTTCTTTGCGTCTCGTTGCATTCTTTACCCCCAGCACGATCTTTGGGTTCGACACGAAGCATGCACTCTGCCCAACAAAGCTCACAAACCCCTGGCCATGGGGTTGCAAAATGTCTCAGCCTTGTCCCATGATCGCTTCGCCAGTGGTGGTCAGCGACGAGGCTCGATGCAGGGGGCGGAATTCCATTCACGCTACAAGATTCGACATGGCGACACCGATCAGCATAATTGCCCTGCTGACTAACCCAAAGGCTTTGACCATCGAATATGTCTAATTTCGCCGAAGCAAAAGCAGAACCTCAAATCCCGTTCTTGGGGGCCGTCTATTCATCTCCAAGTGACAAGTGACGCGACATCGCCGCATCATGGCCCTTGCGAATTCTTGCCACCCGGGATGTCCTGTTTTAGGCGATTGCTGAACTTGTCGACCTCTCTGCTGCATGCAAACGACCTAAATATAACAACATATATTTCCATACATTCGAATCAGCCGCGAAGACATACATATGTAGCAAAGTCCCAATATGGCCCACCATCGCCAAAAGGGACCTCTGCTCCAGTTTCTTGCCAACTCTCTCCGAAGAACCCTTTCTTTTTGAATTTCTTTGTCACCACCTGTCAAATTCACGTATAGCCAAAAAAACAGTAGTATCCGGTATGTTCCACCTCATTCTTCAATCCAGCGTTACGTTGTGTGGTGTGCAGTTGAAGAACATCACGCATTTTACTGCCCCCAATCATAGCAGCTTTTCTGTGAGGTTTCCACATACACGATTGGAGCATATGCTTCAAAACTGGCCAATCAGAGATGACTGTCAGTGCTATATGACGTAGTGTGCTGTAGTATTGTCCAATCAGATTTACTTCGCTCTACGCAAGCGATGAATTGGGGAAGAGTACTTTGTGCTTGGAGATACATAAAAGGACTGCGTCTGCTTCTCTAGGAACAACCGTCTGAGCATCAATACTACTATATAACGTCTTCATCCATTGTTGTATACAAGCACATTGACCCATCATCATTACCATAGCTGATACCATATCACCGTTATATTCCAAACTCAACCAGCCATCGAATCGCATAACCCATCAACAATGTCTTCCTCGACAGCAACCAAAGACTTGACCGGCCTCACTGAAACATTCACTCACAAAACCTCTGCACACGCTTACACCATAAAATGGACCTCACTAGGCTCACCAGCCTCCCCACCGCTGATCTTCATTCACGGCACACCCTGGACATCGCGTGTCTGGGCGCCCTACGCTCTAGCCCTCTCACGTCAATTCCACGTTTACCTCTCTGACAACACCGGCTTTGGCCTATCCCCACTCGAGCAACGCCTTCCCAACACATCCTGGACACCCTCAAGCAAAGTCGAAGAGCTCGACGCCGATTTGGCGCGGCAGACCGAGGCCTTCGCCGCACTATTCAAATCATGGGAAGCGAGCGGTGACTGGGGCGACAGGAAACCACACGTCGTAGCCCACGACCACGGTGGCCTGATGAGTCTGCGTGCCCACTTGCTGCATGGATGCGCATATGCCAGTTTGTGCTTGGTGGACGTCGTTGCGATTGGGCCGTTTGGACAGGACTTGTTCAAGGCTATGGCGGAGAATCCAAAGAGTTTCGAGGAACTTCCCGATATGGCGTTTGAGGGGATTCTGGAGAGTTATGTGAGAAATGCAGCCTATTTTGAGTTGGAAAAGGGTGATATGGAGGCCTTGAAGAGGCCTTGGTTGCTGGAACCCAGAGAGGGGAAGAGAGGATTTGTGAGGCAGATGTGCCAGGCGGGCTCGAGAAGCACCGAAGAGGTCGAGGGAAGGTATGCTGAGGTGGGGATCAAGATGCCTGTGAAGGTCATTTGGGGTGCACAAGATCGATGGATTGCGGCGAAGGATGCCTGGAGGTTGGGCAAGGCGTTGGGTGCTCACGAAGTTGTGATTGTCCCAGAGGCCGGCCATCTTATCATGTATGATCAGCCAGCACAACTTGGCATCGAACTGACGAGATGGCTCTGTCTGCATTGATGTGATTATGTTTGTATTGTATTTCGTGTATTATATTCCGTATATAAAACTGAGTTTTCTATCTTATGCTGAGTGCAAGAAAGAGAGAGAGAGTCGTTCATCTTGTTTTGGTATACATTAAATGAAGCATCGCAGATACATCTTTTACTTCAAAATGTCTCCGAGTTCCAGCCCCGGAAACCATTGCTTGATCTTATTGTCGAGCGTCTTGGGTCCGACAGGTTTGGTAAGAAACCCTTGTGCCCCTGCTTCCACTGCACTCAGACGATCAGATGGTGAATCTTGCCCGGTCACAATGGAAATCACACTTGGTGGCCAGCCGTGTTCCTTTTCGAGAGCACGGATTTGTTGAGTCGCCTCGAGACCATTACAGACTGGCATTTGAAGGTCCATTAGTATCAATTCGATTGGCTCTAGCCCAGCAGATTGATGTTCCAGAAAGGCACTGACAGCCTTTTGACCATCTATGGCAGTGCAGTGGGGTAACCTGCGGCGCTTACAATACATCTGAAGCAAGCGAAGGTTGACGGCATTGTCATCCACAATTAGGGTCATAGGGTTAACAATTCTGGTAGGAGGAGATGGTGGTGGTGGTGCAGAAATGCTGGTCTCGATAAGCAGGTTGTGAAAGTTCGACATTGTAGTTTCTGTTTTCGTGTCGACGAGTGAAGGTTCCAATACGGAAGTGGCGATAGAAGGTTGCCTAAGCGTTGTGTCACCGAGATGGGCGCTCACAACCTCTACTTGTTTTGCCATTTGATCTTTCCTCTGTTTTTCGAGATGTGCGAATAGGATATGAGCTTGTCTCAAGCCTTCTTCCACAACACGAGGTAAGAAAGGGCCCTTGATATACACAATGTTGCTCTCTATCTGCACTCTCTCTTCGTTGATAACAAAAGCCTCGGCAAAGTCCGGCATAAGACAAAGCGCAACTTTGCTTGGGTCGATAGAAGGAAGCCCCTCGCGAAATTTCTGGAGGTCGGATGCGTAATTTAACAGTACAAGGGGTGTGTTTGGATCATTCGACTGCGAAATCCCAGCGACATTCAGGAAGGCGCAAATGTCTCGGTCGAGTGGAGAAGTTGATGCGGCCGTTGAGAATTTATAGAAAGCTGAGGGTAGGTGGTGAAACCGCTGCTTGATGGACCGCGTCGGTGGCGTAGAGCAGGCTACTGTGACCTGGAAAGAGGCCCGGAAATGCGAGCCTTTTCCCTCAATCGACGAGATCAACCCAACCGAGCCATCCATCAGGGTAGCGAGTCGGCTCGCGAGTGTAAGTCCAAGTCCAGCTCTCGTAGAATGTTCGTCCAATTTCTCGTACGCGTCGAATATACGTTTTTGGTGGTGCACAGCAATGCCATAGCCCGTGTCCTCTACGTCAAAAATGAGCGATTGACAGTCTTCGCTAAGTGACGTTGTTACTGCTACTACACCTCCAACCGTGCTCTGAATTGCGTTGATTACAAGATGCGATAGGCAATCGACCATTAGCTTGAGATCAATGATGAGATTATCGCAGTTCATTGGCAAGCGGCGGCTGAATACAATGGAAGGCCTTCGGTTGTAGTCGTCTGGTACAACCGAAATTATTTCATTCAAAAGGTTTGTTTCCAACTCTTCAATGTGATGCAGTTGCACAACTCGATCAGATTGGGCAGTACCTGCCCATTGGTTGATTTTGATCATACTGTTTACAGTACCCATAAGCTCGCGGGCCGAATTCCTGATCGAGCGGATGTAGCTGGACGGGTTAGGCACGCCAACATCCGATGTGCCTGACGAGGAATCGGGGCCGGGCAAATATTCCAGTAGATCTCGTGCTTTCAGTTCCTCGGCGAGTAGCTCGGTCGAACCTAATATACCATGAATAGGAGTCCTGAGCTGATGGGCTATACCACGGAGAAAATTATCCTTGATGGTCAAGGCCTCTCGCAGAGCACGACCCTGCCAGCAACGACTGAGCAAAGTGGCACAAGAATCAACAATCCAAAAGTCTACGTCGTCAAAAACAAATCCAAAGTCCTTGGACCCAACGACAAGAAATGTTGGTTCAAGAGCACGGTTGCATTCAGCAGCGATTGCTCGTACATGGCTGGACATAATCATGCTTTGATGATTAAAGTCTTGTATGAGCTTGTCGAAACAGTCCACGTCTTCCCAAAGGCCACTTTCGAAATCAGAATAAGCAACAGCATCGCGGCCCTCAAGGTATACGAGCTGCTTGCCATCTGACTTCTGGATGCTTGCGGTCGCCTCGGGGTAGATTGTCTTTAAAAGATCCAGAATCACTTCTTCGACGTTTTCGGTGCGTTCGCAGGACTTGGTAGCATCGCTTAGAAGCTTTTGCATCCGTCTTCGCTCCCGTTGGCGCCGAGCTCTCGCGCTGTGAACAATATCGGCGACGACCCAATCAGCTAGGCGAACCATTGCCGCCTGTTGCGGTCTCGAAAGCGGTTCTCGCTTTTCGTTAGATGCGACGCAGAGTGACCCAAAATAAACGTGCTCGCCAAACTCGGTTTCGAATCGAAGCGGCACGCCAGCATAGGCGCGAAGACCGCCTTGCTCGACATGAGGCGAACCTTTGAACCTCCAATCTTCCGACATATCTGGAAGTATAAATACCGTCTGGTTGGATCAGTGGAAGAGGACATTTTGCGGGAGAGATTGGAGACGTACGCTTGGCGGTTGATTGACTGTATGTGCGCACGTACTTTCGCGTCTAGGCAAAACGGTGAGGGGAAGTCCAACAGTGACCATGCGCGTATAAGAATTATGATCGAGCAGACCGGCAATGGCAAATTCCCATCCCACCGTTTCCGCGGCCATATGAACCTTTTCCTGGAGGCGAGACACCAGCTCAGAATCTTGGAACAAGTCGCGTGTATAATACGACAGCATAGTCAACCGGAGCCTTTCATTGCGCGTCAAAGTGGGGAACAGGTAACTGTTGGCATCATGCTCAGGTCTTTCGGGGATGGTCGCTGGGGCGCCAGTAGCGGTGGTTTCCGGATATACACATTCTGCCACAGCTTGACTCCATACATCGAGAGGGTAATTAGCATGCGCTGGGTCGAGAATGGGCGAGATAGTGGTCGGCCGGGATTTTGGTGATGGAGGAGTGTATTTGGATTGAAGTACTGCCGCGTCGGCTCGTGGAAAGAAGCCTACACGACGCTGACTGCCATTGCATGTGGGTGGCATCGGACTGCACGTGGTGAATGTATCCCAGGCGTACAGCCGACAAGTCTGTGAGGGCTACACCGTGGGACAGTAGACGATGAGCATTCCGAAGAGTTTTGTTTGCTCGGGTGGAATAAGAGTATGGATATGGTGGAATGGGTATAATACCCAGTGACTGATTTGCTCGGGTGGGGAATGGTGTGTACCTAGTAGGATTAGACATGTACTTAGTCAAGTCGTTGTGGCAAAGCGTCCGAATTTCGCGGGTTCTAGGCGCGCCCACAAAGAGCCTCGATGAGCGCGGCCCAGATGGCTGACCCGTATGTAGTTCATCTAGCACGAATCTCTATACATGTACATAGTTCTATGCGGGACTTTCTGTGCGGGGGAAAAATACCTCGATACAATTAGTCAATAAGTCGGTACATATGTAAACTTGCAGCGTAGTTAGACTACGCAAACCACATATAATTCGTCTTCATTCTCCAACTTCGTCATGCATTGTTGCAGCGGGACCTACATAGGTACATGTACTTTCATCATCAACAAATCATACAGAAAGGTCTCTCGTAGATGTGTATTATGGAGCAAAAAATCAAAAAGACAATAGAGTCTACCAAGCCCACCAACGACGATGAAAACAGTGGATGCAAGCAACGAACAAAAGAGATCTTGACTGAAAGCCGCCAAATGGATATTGGGGGCTCAATGCTATACATATGTTACACGCTTGATACAGATATAATTCCATCGTGCCATTTTGGCCTTCATGAGCGTGGCTCCTGGCGTGCTGTTCTGACCTGTGTCGTCACCGATGGCCGCTCGTCTTCCCCGTCTTGTTGATGGCTCTTCAGGCCAAGGACCTGCCCGATCAGACCTCCTGGCTTTGGTACGGGGCACTCCCGCTTTTTCGACATGGTCCATTCCTCCTCCGCCTCCTGCATCTTTCTTCGCTCTTCGCTCATGACATCGTTGCAGGTTTCCTCCCTTGGCACTCTACGTCGGCGTCTTTTTCGCGGCTCTCCTGACAGGGCGTCGGGAGAGGCGGAGTCGGTGAGGGTACGCGGGTCCACAGGGCAAGGCAGGAAGTGAGGAGTTGCGACGACCAGAAAGGAGACCATAAGAGTGGAAGTAAAGAGCGACATGGTCATGCGCGACCGAGGGTGGAGGTGCGGAGGCATAGTAAAAGGTCGGCGGGAGCTACGACGAGTTTGACCAAGGCATCACTGGGGCCTGGGGGCGGTCAATGGGGGCGTCTGAAGCTGGGGTGTAGGGGAACCAACGCAATTGACATGTGCCGAAAGAGCGCAGGTCGCCAGGACGCGGTGGGGGAGGCGGGGGGATCGTGAGAGTCGGTGTGGTGGTGGTGGTGAGATGGAGATGCGATTTAACTTGAAGCTAGCGCGTCCGAGCTAAGGCGCCGATCGGTATGATAAGATTGATGGATGGATGGACATGGATGCATCAAGCAGCAACCAACACCATCAATTACGCACCTGCTATCCTTACCGTCCATCCACCAGCTTGCCTCTCCCCACCTCTCTTCGCACCCGCAGCGCGTACACTCACACATCTGCCTGCTATATCGATTTAAATCCTCCCCTCTTCCGCAACCGCTCGACGGCAGAGGGACTCCGCCGCCGCTATCTGCGCCCCGCCACATCTTTTTCGCATACCTCCTCAGCAAGCCAACGAGAGCATCGATTGAGTGCCCATTCAAGCCCAAGCCGCGTCTGCCCCGTCTACCAGCCCCCCCGTGGGCCTACAGCATAGCTGCAATCATGAGCATCGGCGGCAGTGACCTCGATAGGTAATGCGCCGCCCCCGTAATCTCAACTGGCGGGTACTGATACTATCGATCCCTCCAGAGCCATCACCCAACTCCGTGCCTGTCGCCCTATACCCGAAAACCAAGTGCGGGAGCTATGCTACAAAGCTCGCGAGCTGCTCATAGAGGAGGGCAATGTCGTGGGTGTGGATGCGCCCGTGACGGTATGTCGCGTGTCCGAGCAACCGCCATATGCGAAATGGAACTGACATGCCATGGTTACAGATATGTGGTGACATACACGGTCAGTTCCATGACCTCATGGAGCTGTTCCGCGTCGGCGGTGACGTTCCCGATACAAACTACCTTTTCATGGGTGACTTTGTGGACCGCGGATTCTATTCGTTGGAATCATTTCTATTACTCCTTTGCCTCAAAGTGCGCTATCCCGACCGAATAACGCTGATCCGAGGGAACCACGAGTCGCGGCAAATCACAACCGTATACGGCTTCTACGATGAATGCTTGCGCAAATATGGCAGCGCCAACGTTTGGCGATATTGCTGCGAGGTGTTTGATTATCTCGCTCTCGGCGCCCTAGTCACCGGTGCAGCAACTTCACTCACCCCAACAGATGGGCCCATTGCCGAAAACACCCAAAGCATGGACATACCAGACGCCGACTGCGACATCGAGATAGAAACTCTGAACGCGAATGGCGAGATAATGTATCGCTACGCACGCAATTCGGACGCCCACTCCAACGCCGCATCTGCCACTAATTCCAATCCCGCCTCTTCATCCCCCATAGGCCCCACTCCTTCCAACACAGGTCCTGCCGGTACAGGCGCCACCTCATCGGCCAACGGTTCATCCAAGAATGAAACTGGCGCCGTTCTCTGCGTGCACGGCGGTCTCTCTCCGCTCATCGACTCGATTGATAAAATCAGATTACTAGACCGGAAGCAGGAAGTCCCCCACGAAGGCGCCATGTGCGACCTCCTGTGGTCCGATCCAGACGAGATCGATGGCTGGGGTCTTTCCCCCCGTGGAGCCGGATTCCTTTTTGGTGCTGATATTGTAAAGCACTTCAACCATCGGAATGACCTCAGCCTCATCGCACGTGCGCACCAACTTGTCATGGAAGGCTTCAAAGAAATGTTCGAATCCACCATCGTTACTGTCTGGTCGGCGCCCAATTACTGCTACAGATGTGGCAACGTCGCTGCCATCCTCGAGCTGGGCGAGGACGGGTCTAATGCGGGCTACGTGCGTCGCAGCAATGGTGAGAGAGGTGGCGGAGGCGGAGGTCTGTATGGCCCTGGGCCTACTGGCCGCGGATGGGTGCTCGGATCCAACGTTGGTCCCAACGGAAACGCGATCGGCGAGAATAGGAGACTGAGCTCGGTTCTGGGGGATAGCATTGGAAGACCTAGAGATGGGCCCGGCAGGCGATACAGAGTCTTCGAGGCTGCCCCGCAGGACTCGAGGGGTATGCCCGCGAAGAAACCCGTCGCAGAATATTTCCTATAGAGTAGGAGAATAAATCTTGAGGAACGCAAGGAGCGGCTTCAGCGATTATGGGCGAGACCTAGTCTCGTACTCGGAAATTATTTCTTGTGAAGGCTGAGGGTGTGCCGGCAGAACAGAACAGCCACCGTACGACGAGGGTTCGACTACGGCGTTGCGGCCACGGCGGTGGCATGAAGAAGAAGACTATGAACGTTGGATTGGTTGGCTTTGGGAGCGACGAGAAACGATCACGAATTGAAAACGCGTTGTTCAAATCGTTATCCAATTTTTCACTTTTTTTTTTGAAAACGAAGGGGTTTGGCTTTTTGGGGATACCCGGTTGTTTACATGTCCGGTTGTTTGTTACGAGTGCCTTTTCTTTCTTTTCGTGTATATCATATCATAAGCACAAATCCACGACAAAACCAATAATGAAACTTCATGGAACCATCATTAAACTTTGCCCTGTACCCATTGTTTGAACTGGTGTAGTAAGTTGAGAGGGTGGACAAGATGGATCTCGTTTTTGTGATGAAGAATCTGCATCACCTCAGGTTGACCAGGATCAAAGTAAGAAGGCAGAATGGAGTGGACTGGAATGATTTATGGAAGGAAAAATTGGGTATATACTACATGTGCAGATTGGCGCAAGGTCAACGTACCACCTTACTGTACAAATAGGGTTGACTGGCAGACAGGTAAGAAAGGACGTTAAGAGACTAAGCAGAAAATAACATTGAGGGGACGATTCCCTACGCCTCTTTCGAAACCAAACTATGTCTTGAGAACAAAAAGACGCCCTGCACAACCAAACCAAACCAAGGAATGCGCCCAGAGGAAGGAAAGTTACCGAAAAGCAGATTGAAGGAAAGCAAAGCAAAGCAAACTACCAGTTCCACGTCCGACTCGCGGCCGAAAAAACAGGTGGTTTCCATATTAGCCTGTCGGGCTCGATACTCCTTTTTCCTTTGATCTTCTCCTTGGCCTTTTGTCGCTCACGCTGCTCGACCACAGCATCAGTCAAGACGATGATATGTTGATTCTTACTTGTATATCGCAGCATGTTCAGATTTTGCAGGGTATGTAGAACGTCGTTGGTCGTCATAGCGGTCGCAGCGCCTACATCCTCGATATTGGCCTCGACGCGGCCGTCCATGAGCAGCTCAACGATGATTTCCTGCCAGTACGCGCGATAGCCCAGTAAACCGAGATCGGAGAGGGGTTTCTCGGGAGAGCCGAGCTTGCCCTCACGTTTGGAGAGAAGGTAGGAAAAGTCGATGAGAAGTTTGCCGAAACCTTTGCGTTGGTATTGTGGGAGGGTGAGAATGCAGGCTACGTTGTAGCCCTCGGCGGATTCTTTTTCCTTAGAAAAATACCCGACGAGGTGACAGCCGTGCTCGTCGCGCGTGGCCATGCAGTAGAAGAGGAAAGGGTCGACATCGTAGTAGAGGGTTTTATGATCGAGGAAGAGTTTGGAGAGGAGACAGAGGTTGCGGCACCAGGTGCGTTGTCGTCGGCCGTCAATTTCGAAGAAGGATACGTAGTCGTCGCGATAGATTTCATTGCCCGGCGGGTGCAGAAGTGTGCATTTGGAGCGATGGCGCTCGAACTGCGTCACGTCGCCATAGTAGTTGAGGCAGAATTCGCAGATGTAGACCATATCGACATCGATGAAGTCAATGGGATAAGGGGAGAAGTACCAGGGTTCGATTTCATATTTTCCCATCTGGACTTTTTCTATGTTACGAACACGGGCGATCTCGGTTTGATTCTGCGTCATGGAACCCGAGGTCCGGAGTTTCTCAATCTCGTCCTCTCGCGAGTATTGGTCGTTGGCCGCGTTACCGTTGACGGCTTTGGCGGCGGCGGCGGCATCTTGCACGTCAACAATATCCATCTCTTCATCATCGGGCTTGGGGGTCGCGCCATCGGTTACTTCGGTCGTGACGAGCAGCTCACTGTCCTTGCGCTGGATGCTTCCAGGAATATTGTTGTTGGCGGTGCTGGTGGCTTCCGAGGGAGTTCCTGATACTTCGCGGTCCAGTTGAGCCCGCGATCGTTTGAGGTTCTTGGTGTCGGCTTTGGGGGTCGCTTTGTCGGCTTTGTTGGCGGGCGCCTTCTTCTTCTCGGGCTTCTCTGGAGCAGGCCATTCGACTTCTCGAGTGAGGTCGATGCGAGCTGCGTCGATCCATTCGTCGAGACGCTTGTTGAAGTCCTCGTAGTGGACGTAAAACTTGGGCTTGCCGGCCCTAGTCTGAATCATGAGGATTTCAGCTTTGCGTATCTCGCCATCCTGATGATGCCTATTGTCAGTATATTTGGATGCGTGGATGCGCAGCATGGGCAGCATGTGCACGTGGAAATCTGGGCTTGGAGACGATGATGTTCCATCCCGACAGCATGCACACAGATGGGGTTGCTCGCGTTACTCACTTTCTCCACGAAAGCCTTCACACCGGCCCTGCAGCACGCATTCCATCAGCTTTCATCTCCACGTTTGAATAATCGGAGTCGCACATACCTTAGCTGGGCCAGTGTCGCAAAGCCCGTTTCCACCGGCACAGGCGTGCCAGAAGGCTCGAGAGAATTATCACGAGGCGCCATGGGTGTCCTCGAGCTGGCGCTAGATATCAGCGAATGTCAAGTCGCGGTGTGGGATTTTGTCGTCGCGCCGACGACGTTGACGCTGTGCTTTGTAGCGCCCAGGCGGCGGCGAAGAGCTATGTACCGTAGGCATTCAATTGTCGCAGCTACACTATCCAGGCATCTACCACGCGCGCCAATCACACGCAGCCCTGCCCGGCCCCACCCCGGCAACTTTTTATTCATTCATTCCCTTCCATTCTTCTCCCTCCCAGCGCGGGGGATATCTCTCGTACCGCAATCCTCACCGCTGCTCACCAACAGGCCACACACCTACGCCATGCCGCACCCCTGAACAACGCCATGGCTCCAATTGCAATGAGCAACCTATCCAGCAACTGGAAGAAGCTGCAGCAGACTCTGAAAGCTTCCTCCGCGCCTCCAGTAAAGAAACCAGCCGACGGGCAGGACGACAAGCACTCGCTCAAGCGCAAAAGACCAGACCACCCCAATGGACAGTCCAAAAAGAACCGCTTGAACGCCCCATCCAAGCCATCTCCTCACCAACAGCCTTCATCCCGCAAAAGACAAAAGATGGAGGAACCACCCTCGGTGGGCGCATCTGCCAAACTCCACGACTCCAAAGCCCTCTCACGGAGCACATCCATGCCCTCTTTAAAACATTCCACCCTTTTGGCCTCGTCCAAGAAAGCAGCGGATTCAATCTCCGTTCTCATCCCTTCATCGGATTACCCAGATGTTGAGAATGAAGGCGTATCCGTGCTCGCACTCCCGGGGAAATACATCGCCATCGACTGCGAAATGGTAGGCACCGGGCCGGAGCCGGACAAGGACTCTGCTCTTGCCCGCGTCTCCGCCGTCAACTTCCATGGCCATCAAATTTACGATTCATACGTACAAGTCAAAGTCCCTGTGACCGACTACCGCACTGCCATCTCCGGCATCGAACCCAAGCATCTCCGCAAGGATGTCGCCCGCCCTTTCAAGGAGGTTCACCACGATCTAGGCGTATTGCTTCAAGGAAGGATACTTGTCGGGCACGCTGTTAAAAACGATCTAGACGCTTTGATCCTCAAGCACGACAAGCGGTATATCCGTGACACGTCCAAATACTCAAAGTTCCGCGAGCTCGCCATGATCCCTGGCCGGACCCCTTCGCTTAAGATACTGGCGGAGAAACTGTTGGGTGTCGAGATACAGGCAGGCGCGCATAGCTCGGTTGAGGACGCGCGCGTCACAATGGCACTGTTCAAGCTTGAAAAAGAAGGGTTTGATACCGAGGTCATTGCGAGATACGGCCATATCAGGACGGATGCTGTAGGTGCCGACGTTAGTGTCAGGGTCAGTGAGCCTGCGAAGCGGAAATCGAAGAACAAGAAAAAGAAAAAGAAGAAGCACTGAGTATGTGCTATAGCCCGGCAACACCCAGGAAGTGTCGTTGATTCATTCATGTACTATATTGAAGATACCCTTGGCCAGGTGTGTGGTCATGTTCCACATACCTCACAATTGAAAATTTTATACAAGTTGTGCTCCGAGCACCTGGTTATCAACAGTCTCTGGACGATGAACTGATTGATTGCTTGTAAATGCATATATGCATCACTATCCTTCAACGCCGTCATTCTTCCTCCCACACCAACTACCTCCTAAGGTATAGTGAGCGTCTACTTCATCTTATGAATCTCTGGCCTGGCAAACACTTGGTTCTGCGGAGTCGTGAGCGCACCCGCGAACGACAACAGCCCCATATCCTTACTTGTCATGCTGCTCTTATACCCAGGTCCAAACGTAAAATTCAAAGGGAATCCAATGTCAAACTTGATGGCCGAATCAATCTCATCAATCTCCTCCTCAGTGAGCGCTACCTCCAATGCTTCAATGTTTCCCTTCAAATGCTCGACCTTCCTCCCGCCCACAATCGGAAACACAAATGGTGCTTTGTGCCTCACGTACGCCAGCGCTACGGACGTGATCTTCGTCCCCTTCCTCTCGGCGAGTGTGGCTAGGTGCTCGGAAATGATGCGCTGCTCTTCAGTCTGCGGGCGGAAATTCCGGCCTTGCTCGTTGTTGGCGGCTTTTTCGGCCACAGTGAAGTTGCCACCACCCAGGGCCCCGAAAGGGGCCAGCGCCATGTTCTCGCTGCGTGCCATGGGGATGATATCTCGCTCAAAGTCGCGGTCGGCTGCTGACCAGCGGCCTTGGTAGACGGAGAAGGGGCGGAGGGCGTGATCACGGGCATCTGTGCTATGTATTCAGTATACCTCAGTGCCTTGTAATCCAACGATATTCTTGGATCGATCCCCGATGTCTAATTGCCCCCCCCCCCACCCCAAAAAAAAAGAGAGGGAGACTATGGAAAGAAGTGGAAATGTCATTTGCCAGGAGAATAGGATGTAGAAGAGTTACTCACACTGATTCGCTTTGCTTACAATCCAAGCTGGGGTATCGGAAACTCCCAAGTACAGAACTTTCCCCTGCTGCACCACCTGATTCAAACTTTGCATTAACTCTTCAACCCCCGTAGTAAAGTCCCACCAGTGCACGTATAGCACGTCGACATAGTCTGTCTGCAGTTTTCTTAGCGATGCCTCAAGGGATAGTCGCAGCGATTTGGTGCTGTTGCCTGCGTAGTTCTTCTTCTGGAGAGGCGGGTTGTGCAACGGATCCGGAAAGGTGGTGGTGAATTTGGTTGCGATGACCATCTGGTCACGGTTACCGCGAGCGGCCATCCACTCGCCGATCCACATCTCGGACTGTTCGTTCTGGTAGTTGCTTGAACTGTGGCATGGTGTCTTGTTAGTCAAATGATTCTCATTCATGGGAGCTAAAGAACGAATTTTCCAGACCGGATCCAAATCAGACGCAGAGAAAGGTGATGGATTGTTTAAAAACGGCAAGAAAATGGCCAACACAACTAGATGCAATTCCGTTCGCCATCCCTCCGCGGGGGAAAACACTCCCCAAAGACACAGCCGGGGTGCATAGCGGGCGAAACGTAATCACTTACGTATCGATAAAGTTCCCTCCTTTTTCCCAGAAGAAGTCCATCATTTCAAACGCAGTCTCCTTATCGCACTTTCCCATTCCTTCCTCCCACGCGTTGCCGAAGTTCATGGCGCCCAGGCATAGAGGGGAAACACGGATACCCGCCGAGGGAGAAAGGATGCTGTGGAAGTCGAGCAGTGACTTGGCCTCCTGGGGCGGACCAAAGATGGTGGAGAAGCGTGATGCCATTGTTGCCTTTTCCAAAGAGTGTAAGGGGAATCGCTGTGGCTGTTATGGTGTATGGTGATGGTTATCGATGCTGGTGAGGAGAAGAAGCAAATCCGAGTGATAGAAGAGAGGAGGGGAATGAGGAGGAGGGAGGGACCTGGCTTTATATATATCTTCCCGTGGCCCCGATGACTTGGTTGACTGTCTACTTACTTACCCTATCGAACTGTAGTGAGGAAGTAGTACTTACCCATACCCTTACGTGTTTGATCCTCCACCCCACATCTCGTACACCAGGAAATCCCGGAAATAAGAACACAATGGTAACTAAGTGCATACTTAAATATGTCTACACACCCTAGTTACAACATAGTCAATGATATTGGTGCAGATAGCAAACTGCATATCCAGCATAACCCCTCCATGTTCTCTTACTTGGCATGTTATTTTTGCGCAGCGAGGATCGCGTGCTCTACAATTTGCACATGAAAAGATAACACTCGCATCAGCCGTGCAATTGTACGCAGGGGAAGTTGGATGCGTGATCCGGAACGTCATCCTGGACACTGCCGGCCTGTTACTCCGACATCTCGTATGCATGCAGAATTCGCTAGACTTAGATTAACTGTCATCTAATTGGCTCCAGCATATGTGTACATCACTTCTGTACACAGTCCCCCCATTCCTCAATCGACATCTTGGCCGAGTACCTCCGTATGATGCCGAATCCGATCAGCTTCACAAGGGTTTAACTCCGCTTAACTCCGCGTTTGTCCATTGCCACCAGGGCGGCCAGCGTCTTGAAATATGTATGCCACATTAGGTGGCATGTGTGGAGCATGTTTGTTCTCCAGTGACATAGGTACATACGAGGGTAAGCTATCTCGTGGGGAGGGGCTATCGCTGGTGGGGTGAGAAAGGGCCCCAGGCATTTCTTTTCTTCAAATGTATTCATACGTACGTGTGACTCCCTTGTCCACCGTAGCTTTACGCCCACTTGCACATGGCGAGCAATTTTTCTAATGGCATACTGACAAGTATCGAGAAGCTTTGAAAACCGCTTACCCCTCTCCTAGTAGCTTTTACTCTGTTCTCTTCCGCACACGAGGCAACCCAACCCAGCAAGCCATCATGACAACATACATACCAATACATACGGGATGCAAGACCCAGGTCCCTGATGCCTGAGCAAGCAGCCCTGTTGTAAACGGCGCCACTGCGCCTCCAGACGACCCTGCTCCGCCCATGAAAGCGACCGCTGTCGTCTGCAGGTGGCGCGGCATGAGGCGTGCAAAGATGCTTTGCGCACATGGATATACCGGTCCAAGAAGCAGACCTAGAACGCAGACGGCGATGGCGTTCCCAATTACGTTTGGGACGAGCCATGCGAGGAGCTGGAAAAGTGCTGAGCCTATAGTCAGGGCTACAACGAAGGTCTTCTCACCAACTCGTGGCGCGAGGTGTGTTAAGACGAAACGGCCCAGTGTGATGCCGCCCTGCAAATACATGTCAGTTCTGTTTGTACTATCTCCCACCAAGTGAAAGACAGCGAGGTGAAGAATTCCACTTACCCAGAACCCGGCCGTAACATAACCTACATGTGCAGGATCTCCTCCACGGTAAGCGATCAGGAATGAAATGAACCAGCCCGAAATGGACACCTCAGCGCCCTGGTAGGCGAAGATAAACAGTGCACCGAAGATTGTGACGCGGTTTTTCAAGGCTTGGCCTAGATTTCTGGATTTGGATTTGGATTTTTCCTCTTCAGCTGCTTGCCGGCTTGCTGTCCGTTCCAGAGAATTGAGAAGTGGCTCAGGTTGATCTTCTTGGTAGGACCAGAAAGTCGACACGACAAATCCAATGCAGAGTATGCGAAGGCCTAACGTGATGAAGTAGAAGCGCGACCACAATATCCCGTTAGATACCATTGCCGTCGCGATGATGGGCCCTGCAAATATGTCAGCCGGCCTGCTCCTCACATCTGAGCTAAGACTCTGAACTCACCTATAATTCCACCCAGACCATAACTACCGTGCGAGAACCCCAGAATGACGCTGGAAGGGTTGAGATTCGCGCAGAAAACGTTGTTAAGCGCCAAAACCGTCCCAAAACCGTAGCCCAGGAAGAAGAAGCTGGCCAGAAAGTCAGTCACATGAGACTCGTGAATGCAAGAAGCTGAGCGAGACGCACCCAATCACTACAACAGGGTAAGGGGGCGACGTCAAGAGCATGACATTCGCTGCAATGATGATGCTTTCAGACAGTAGAAGGGTCTTGGCTCGCCCGAGCTTGTCAAGTAGAATGTTGACGAAAAAGGCAGACAAAATGAAGCCTGCAGCGTTGCCCACGAACACCATCGACATTACCGCGTATCCGATGTGGTAGTAGGTCTCCATATATGGAATCAGCGCTCCAACCGCGGCGTCGTTGATGCCATTGGCAAAATGTAGTAGACAGCAGCAGAGGATCCTCCATTTGTTGATGGGAGGATCATTCCAACTGTGCAATGCCTGTGCTGCCTCATGTTGGACACGGACAGACGGCTGACTCTGCTCAGTTTCGTTTGGAGTCTTGGGCGTCTGTGTCTGCACACTAGACGGGGTTGCTTTGGATGATTGGGTTTCGTTAGAATTCAAGTCATTGAGTTCTATACTCGTATGAGCCTCTCGTGCCTGTGTAGCATTCTTCTGGTGGGAATTCGGAGGACTGGTGATCTGGCTGCCGGATTGGATCTCGAATAGACCGTGTATACTGGCGGACGCCATTTTTTGAGGGGTTTGGATGTTGCTCTTCTATGAACAGGGGGCCAGTCACGAAGCTCGGCTGTGGAGAAGAAAAGGTTATGGTGACAGTCTTGAATGGATTGTATGTCGAGATACGGGCACAACTCTGCCAATGAATCTGTCTTGACGCGAGGCAGTCCCTGGTATTAATATTTTCCAATTCCAACAGGATTGCTTCCAAAGGATCAGTCCTGGATCTTTATACGTCACAAAGCGGTGGCTGATTAATCAGTTGTTGGCTGGCAGCTGCGGGATAGATACCAAGACTTCAACCACAGGATTGTTGTCCGACTTCTGGCCATTCAAAGTGGAGCATGGCCCGGGACGTCGGGTATATTACTCTGTTGCAAAGACCAGGTAGGAGTAGGCAAAGCGGAGAGAATTCCCTATCCAAGGCAGTTGGACCAAAAAAGGAAATTCTGTCCGTAGTGAACAAAGGAAGTCTTAAGCGTTCCACCGGCTATACCTTCCCGCCTTCGATCCCTCCACGCAAAAAATAGCCAGCAATTATCCCCCACCCTCCAACAACTTGTCCCTCAAAGCATTGTTTCCCCAACACCAACTGTCAAGAGAAATATGCCCCGACCAAAGCGCCATCTTCATGCCACGGTGGAAGACACCCTCACTCCGCCCGATTCCCTCCCGGAAACTCACGTCATAGCGCGCATTGACAAAGCCGCCGGCAGCAACTTATACAACGCTGAGCAGGCTGACGGCAAAACCCTACTCGTCGAACTCGAGCCAAAGTTCCGCTCCACAATATGGATCAAACGCGGAAGCTATGTCGTTGTGAATACTGCAGCGCTGGCAGATCGCGAGAATAAATTGGACGGGGAGATTGTTAATGTGGTGAGAGATGAGAAAGCCTGGAGAAAGACGGCGTATTGGTAAGTGGTCCCTATTTCCTGTGTGATGGGTTCACTCGGGGTTGTCATGTATTCTTGTTGTATGCTATATGATATGCTACAGTTGTGGGTATCAAAAAAGAATATGAGGTACAGAAGCGTTGATACAAATTAGGCCCAAGCAATTCACCAAAACATCATCGTACGGAGAGGACAGTGATGACGAGGAATCTACCGTGGGGAAAATGCCTCCTTCCGACTCGGAGGATGAATGATCGCCGCTCTCCTTTTCACTCGACGTGCTGATGCGGCTCCACGGGCTTCCCATTCAGATCGGTGTCCTCGAAATCGTTTTGCGTGCCCCACCACACACCGCCCACAGTGATTGCGAGAACGCCCACGCATGTAGCCGAGCTCAGTGGCGTACTCGGGTAAACGTTCCATGCCCATTCCTGAGCGGCCCACAGCGCATACTGCACGACAGGGTGAAACCCGGCTTTCCACAGCAGGAAAGGAGTGGCCCACGCAAGGTATGCGTAAAATTGATAGTGGAGGGATCTGGCACATAGCATACCGATGACCGTTGCAGTAAGCATGGTCGTCATGATGAATTCTGGTGTGATTCTTCGCGACATTTGGTCTTGCTCACGATCCGGGGCGCCGCGAAGCAGACGGAGAAATTGCCGCGGCGAACGTCCAGAGGGTTTTGTCCATCGGGATTTGGCAAACCATCCAAGGAGGACAATGTGAACGGCGAGAAGGCTGAGCGAAAATGGACGAGACAGGAAGATGGATTCGGGAACGAAACGCCAATTCACCGTCCATTTATAGAGAAATTGCCGGGTTAGTTCAAAAGCTCGTGCAAAATAAGATGGCGCTCTCTTGCGGAATGGATATCCATATGCAGTCTGTGAAAGACGGTCAGAACGTGCTCAAGCAATTGGTGATAAAAACGTACCGAGACCTGCAAGATGATCAAAGCTTGCGTGATAGCCTCGCCGGAACCCAGTGCCTGAAGCATCACTATGCCCATCGCGGGCAACGGCAGCAAGAGACTCATTTTCACATTCAACCCCGTGGTGTAGAAGAAGCTGCCCAGGTGCCAATTGCCGGTTTGATAGCTATAGATGGCGGAAAACAAGCCAAGGACCGCAAAGCAGTCATTGAAGCATCTGAGTAGGAAGATACTGTGCAAGCGCTTGGACAGTATGAGCAGCGGAAATACATAAGGCGGGACCTGTCCAGTAGTTAGATCCAGTGCGCATCTTCATCCAACCTCAATGAGTGCATGATAGATGGATGCACTCATCAAGCACACGGTCGAAACGTACCCTCGCTCTTCGATAACATTGAATGACGACAGTCAAAGTTAATAGATAAAGCAGTGCAAACAGATATTGCGCCAGTTGAATGTTCTTTCCTTGATCAGTGATCCAGTACAAGATGCGGTAGATGATAACATGGGCGCCAGGATAGACCAAAGGACCGGTAGACCCTGTGATATTCTTGTAGTCGCGTTCGCCCTTGTTGTAGATGGCGATGTGCTCCATATATGTTGTCCAGTCAATCTCAGTATCTGCACGATCCAGGACGTTAGAGCTGGGTCAACATGACCAAGGGGAAGTAAGCCAGATGGGGTAGCATGTACATGGTATTTTTTCCACGACGAGACCGCAAATGGCCGCGTCGGCGAAGACCAGAAGCGGGTACATCCATGATGTATGCTCTGGATTTGTGGCGAGGTCCTTGATGGTGTTCATTTCTTGCTGTGGTAGAGTTGCGTGGGAGGCGGCATGTGAGTGCTCAGGTCTGCGATCAACTGGCTGGTTGAAGTTGGACGGTTCACTGAATGTTTGCGGTAGGGGTGATGCGCGTGCGCACAGGGTAGCTGGTCGGTAATATAGCTGTCTACGGGTGATCACGTAACGCGTTTCAGGATCGGCTGCTGGGAGAAGCCTCAAACTTGCATGTGTTTCAAGAGCACGGTTTTCGTACGATTTGAGGGGTCGTTGGGGTTTCGATATGTGGCTTCTCGGGAACGGTCAAAGGAGCGAATCGGTGGCTTGCCCGCGCCGATTCCGATGGTTCCGAGATGGCTACAGCCCGAGGACAAGCTTCGCGTCTACAACGCCAGCATGCTGTTAGTGCTCTACACTCTACTGCGCCCTATAGTGGATTGGATTTATTTTCTCTGATGCTTCATAATACTATGTTGTATGCCATCCACCACGTCACCAACCAATTTCTGCATGTATGAACTACTCCTCTGCGACCTTCGAAACCCCTCTTTACTCCCATTTCGTTCCTTTCAAGCGCTGCATCAAATACTTCACCTCGACTTCTTTGGTGAGAGGTATAACCCAATCCTGAGTTGATTAGTGAAGCGCTCTTGTCGCGTCTTTCCAGGATTCTCTCACCTTGTACATGGCTACCACAGCATCGGCATTGACCTTTGCCTCGTTATTGGAGCCGATGTCAGGATCGCAGCCGTATGTTTTAGCTTTGAGCCTCAACCGTTCGAGCACCTTCTGCTCCACCTTGGAATTCGTAATGGCCTCATCTATGCCGTTCCGGTCCTCGGCCTTGATCAGCTTAACGAAGCGGTCCGTCTCAGCCAAAAACTTGGATTCTGCGACGAACTTGCCAAAATGTATGCGGCGCGACAAGGCCTGGAGACAGACGATATCGCACAGCGCCGATGACCCATAGTTCTCCTGTGTTTCACCTCGATCGCCGTGTCCAGTCTGCAAGCAGGCCTCTGGCAAGATGTGCTTGATGTAACTCTCCTTTAGCTTCGAGTTCACGTTGACGTCGTTGGGATGCAGGATCCTCGGGTAGTTGAGTGGCTTCAGAATGGGGGTTTCGAGAGCATCGGGGAAAAATGGGTATTCGTCGGGTGACTGGTAGCGGCGGATGAGAGACTGCATGCGCTCTTCCTGTCGGAATATCCAGTCAAGCAAGCTGAGATCGCAATCGGGGATGGCGACACCGCGGGGCTCGTAGATTGTTTTGTTCAAAGGAAACTGGACGCGCTCAATCAGGTGGAAGGTAATTGTATCCTCCATGCGTCTGAGCTGACATTAATATTCGTATGCTGTGGTTTTTTCTTCTTCTCTTTTTGGAAAGCGAAAGCTGGGGTAGGTATCATACATGAGTTGGAAGCGAATGTTTGTGAGATCCAGCGCTTTCGAGGCATCTGACAGATCAATGGCGGCATCCATGGTAGGGGAGGGTGTTGACTCCAGAGGGTGGTTTGGGTGGGAGGTAAAGTGAAATCGAGGGTACAGTCATGGCTTGAAATGCTCACTGGCCAGTGTTGTGTGGTCAGGACCCAAGGTGCCTGCCTGCCACGCCTGCCCATTCACCGACCGACGCGGCCAAAAAAGCTCCTGTTGCCCCGATGTTCGGATGACGTTTCGAATCCTTGTTCCTCCTCCCAGCCTGCCAGCCAAGTAAATAATCAACCCCCATCTACTTACATACTCATGCACTCCGCTCCACTGCAGCGTCCATCTGTCTGTCCCATCTCCGACTCCTGCCGCCCGTGGCCTCTGCGCATTTCAGGGCAAGGGAGACTAGCCAGCTGTGTGTGCTGTGATAACCATGCGATAAGACTTAGAGCACCATCAACCCCAGCACCTTTCCTACGACCTACCACACACACACGTCACGCCTCCCTCGCCCGCTCCTCATCTACACGGTTGAACACCCTTCCGTGCGCATGGCCTCGTCTTCCGCCCGCAACGGCTCGCCCTCCCGAGGCCGGTCCACGAGCCCGAGGCCCCTGAGACGATACGATCAAGATGATGACAGCGATGCCGAAGGCAGCCTCATCGATGGCCTCCCCGATGTAAACAGCACACGCCCTTCCCGAGGCCCTGTGTCGCAATGCTGATTTGGTGACAGGGCCGCCAGCTGCAAGCTTTTGGACGAAAGGTTACGGCTACCGCAGGGAGCTTGATAGGTGCCGAGGGTGTTAGCCAACACTACCAACACGCTTTGGGAGAACTGCATCGCGAGCTTCGCCGCCCCATGCTTCAGCGTTCCGTTTTCTCCTTCGCCCAGACCACCCCTCGCGAGATTGTCCGCTCGCGGATATCAGTGCCCGAAATCCAGCAACGAGCCCTGTCGTACCTGCCTGATGATCTCCTCACAAACATCCCCGAGGACAATAACGCCTATTCGCTGTTCCAAGGCTTTCAAGCTTCGCTGCCAGAAGAGGAGGGTGCCAGCCAACAGCATGGACGCCACAACGCGAGAGGACAGAGACTGATAGGCGAAGACGTCAATGAGGATAGCACCAATCTTCCACCCTCGATGGTCAAGTTGAAAAACCAGAAACATAGCATGGGCCATAGGCTGGAAATGATGGGAGTTCGCAAGCGCATGTGTGCTGCAGAGATACACGAAATCGACAACAAGATTGCGAACCTGAATACCATGCGTAAAATTGTGCTGGATCGTTTGGCTGGATTGGAGATGGAAGAAATGGATTTGGAACAAGAACTGCTCGACGTTGACAACCGGATTGAGGACCTCGAGGAAGAACTAGAAGATGCTGCAGCCCTGGCGCCCAAGTCTCCCGATACACCAAGCAACAACACGAATACCCCGGAAGCAGGCTCGCCCGAATTCATGTCAGAGTCCATTTACCAAAAGATCCAATCGCCAAAATCAAAACGGAAGAGGCTTATGCACCGCAAATCTATGCCCATCTTGCACGAACATTTGGAGCCAGGCTCAAAGATCAAGGAATTGCCGGCTCACGTAGACACAATCACAGCGCTGGATTTTGATGCACCATGGGGAACCATGGTCACAGCTGCGCTGGATGACACCGTAAGAGTATGGGACTTGAATGCTGGAAGATGCATTGGGATGCTTGAGGGTCACCTTTCCTCTGTGCGTTGTCTACAAGTGGAGGACAATATTGTGGCAACGGGTTCCATGGATGCTTCGATCAGATTGTGGGACTTGAGTAAAGCCGAGTATGCTCCCATGGACAGCAACATTCATAAGAAGCATACAGATGAACAGGAGGAGGACGATGGCCTGACTTTCGAAAACTCCAACGACGCGCCTCCACCACCACCACCGACCATCATGCAAGATTGCCCTCTGTTCTCGCTTGAATCACATGTAGACGAGGTCACTGCCTTGCACTTCCGGGGCGATACACTGGTTTCTGGGTCGTCCGACAAAACGTTACGACAATGGGATCTGGTCAAGGGTCGATGCGTGCAAACGCTAGACGTGCTATGGGCTGCTGCACAAGCTAACGCAACAACCAGCACGACCAGCGGACAATGGCGCCAGACGGGACGGGCAACAGATGCGACTGCAGATTTTGTCGGCGCACTTCAGGTTTTTGAAGCTGCGTTGGCATGTGGTACGGCGGATGGCATGGTGCGCCTATGGGACTTGCGAAGCGGGCAAGTCCACCGTAGTTTGGTCGGTCATACAGGTCCCGTGACTGCTCTGCAATTCGACGATGTCCACTTGGTAACGGGCAGCGTGGACAGAAGCATAAGGGTGAGTGAAGGATAGACACCTCGATTCCTCTGGGAAGTCGTATACTGACATGTGTAGATCTGGGATCTTCGAACAGGCTCAATATTCGACGCCTACGCTTACGATCACCCAGTAACGAGTCTCATGTTCGATGCACGGCGCATCGTTGCCGCAGCCGGCGAAGACGTGGTAAAGATTTACGACAAGACGGATGGTAGGCATTGGGCATGCGGACCTGGAGTAGGCGTAGCCGCAGACGAAGACACGTCTACAATGTCGACAATTGAACACGTGCGCATCAAAGACGGATATATGATTGAAGGTCGCAAGAATGGAGTCGTGGGTGTTTGGTCATGCTAAACTGCGTGTGCCATTTATGCAAGGTTGAATATTTCATGGGGAAAAATCATACACGAGTGAAGAGTGCACAGTGGTTGGATCTTGTAAGAGTATAGCAGAGAGCTAGAAAAAAGGACATTATTATACATGCACACTCGAGGACCTGCTGGAACGTGCGTCTATTTGCATCTTCTGATGCTGGACGCGGATCGTGCGGAATCACGTAAGCAGATCTGGCGGGAGCTAAACGAAAGCGTGGCGCGCTATCCAGGACCAGTCGGATGGGTACAACCAAGATACGTCACGCTGCACGCACTCGACTGCATTTTCTGGCATCAGTGCCCTGCACGCCCCTGTGTCTTGTCGTCTTGTTTTCCACATTCGCTACATTTGGCCCTGCATGATTTCTTACTCTTGATATCTCCTGGTTCAGCATCAATTGACTCGTTCCATCTCATCCGTCACCTCCTTTCACCACACACATCCATAGTTTGCGAACCTAGCACGCGATATGCTTCCTCGACACGCCGGAGCGCTGGCGCGAGTGTCGCAATATCCCACCAGAGCTCCAACAATCCTCCGAACCTTTCCCCGGGCGTTGAATTACCAAGTCCGGGCATCTTCATCGGTCAATGGCAGGCCTGCCGCCGTGACCAGGCGGTCCACATTACCAGTTGGCTTCTTCCGAGCTTCCCACGTGAACAGGTCCTCCTTCCTACGATCCATCTCCTCGAAACCACTGCCGGTTCCCAAATCTTCGCTTGCCCGGCTCGCCTATCGAACAGCCGCTGTACTGGGAACCTTTGTGGCCGTCAGCACCGGTCTGGTGGTCGCCTTTTTCATCTACGACGCTTCAACGTACAAAGAAGATGGCCATACCGAGGATGTTCCTGTATCTGAGTTGGCACTCAATCCGCGAAGAGGAGGCCCCAAGAATCTGCCCATTGCCGATTACTTTGTTGACGACGATGATAGTGAGGAAACAAAGGCCATCAAGCACAAGCCTAAGCTTGTTATACTGGGTACAGGATGGGGTAGCGTGGCTCTCCTGAAGCAACTCAACCCTGGCGATTACCATGTCACTGTGATTTCGCCCTCGAACCACTTTTTGTTCACTCCTATGCTGCCCTCGGCGACGGTTGGGACCTTGGAACTGCGGTCGCTCGTGGAGCCTGTTCGGCGCATTGTCCGACGAGTCCACGGTCACTTCCTAAAAGCCATGGCCGAGGATGTCGAGTTTTCAGAGAAGTTAATCGAAGTTTCTACGGTCAATACAAAAGGCGAGAAGCAACATTTCTACGTTCCCTATGACAAATTGGTCGTGGGTGTTGGTTCCGTGACCAACCCTCACGGCGTCAAGGGCTTGGAAAACTGCCATTTCCTGAAAGACATTAGTGATGCACGCTTAATCCGCAACGCAGTTGTTCGGAACCTCGAAGATGCCTGTCTCCCAACCACATCAGATGAAGAACGCCGAAGACTTCTCTCGTTTGTGATATCTGGGGGTGGTCCAACCGGCGTGGAATTTGCTGCCGAACTCTTTGACATGCTCAACGAGGACATGTGCAAGTTCTTTCCGAAGATCCTGCGCAACGAAATCTCTGTGCATGTCATCCAGTCAAGGAGTCATATCCTAAATACATACGACCAAGCTCTGTCGGAATATGCTGAGAAGCGCTTTGCCCACGACCAGGTCGACGTTCAAACCAATTCTCGCGTCAAAGAGGTCTTTCCCGACAAGATCCAATACACCCAAAAGGATGAGAATGGAAAGTTCGTCATGAGGGAAATCCCACACGGCTTCTGCCTCTGGTCTACGGGCGTCGCACAGACGGACTTCTGTAAGAAACTCGCGTCTAAACTCGATGGCCAGAACAACAAGCATGCCCTCGAGACTGATACACACCTGCGACTTAGTGGCTCACCCCTGGGTGATGTCTACGCCATTGGTGACTGCTCAACGGTCCAAAACAACGTCAGCGACAACATTGTCAATTTTCTCCGCACCACTGCCTGGGAAAAGGGCAAAGACCCAGAAAGCTTGCACATTTCCTACTCTGACTGGCGCGGCGTAGCCAAGCGTGTCAAACAACGCTTCCCGCAAGCCGCAGACCACCTCCGACGCCTCGATAAGCTCTTCGCCGAATATGACAAGGACAAATCGGGAACCCTTGATTTCGGGGAGCTTAGAGAGCTTCTCATGCAAATCGATACTAAACTCACCTCGCTCCCTGCCACTGCGCAGCGGGCTCATCAGCAGGGCCAGTACCTCGGCCGCAAATTCAACAAGATTGCCCAAGCAGCCCCTGGGATGCAGCTCAACGAAGTCGATTACGGGGACATAGATGATGCCGTGTACAAGGCTTTTGAATATCATCATCTGGGCTCCCTAGCGTACATCGGAAACGCGGCCATCTTCGACATCAACGGATATGGCCTGAGCGGTGGTTTGTTGGCGGTCTATCTTTGGAGGAGCATCTATTTTGCCCAAAGTGTGAGTTTCAGGACCAGGTGCTTGCTAGCAATGGACTGGAGCAAACGCGCGCTGTTTGGCAGGGGTACGTGCCTTTCATATCCACTTTTCATCGTCTTCCCTGCCTACCTCCTCGCTCTTCTTTGCTTGACTTGTTTTACTAATGACTTATAGATATCATGAACTTCTGAGCGGATTTCTTTTGTTTTTTTCACCTTTGACATGAGTGATCAATCCAGAGAGGTTGTTTGCCCCTTCCTTGCTTTCCCTATAATTCAGGCTTTGTTAATTTCGATGATCGTTCCCATCGTGTCTTCCATTCTCATTTGTGAGCAACCGGGACGATGATCTGTTCCACGGGTATTTCTTTCCGGAGGTATCTTTTCACAACTGGCGGACATTTGAGCGATTTTTTAGACGCCGGGGTATATTGAAAAGTCTGATTGACAACTAGGAGGTAGGTCGGTGGGGTTGTATATATATATTTATCTAGCTCTCTCTCTCTCTGTTTTCTTACTTACATGGCATCAGCAGTCCATGCCTAAATATATATTTGTTGCTGCCACGAAAGGAAGTAAATGTACAAAGACGGGGATTACTTTCAAAAGTCTGCCTACATGACTACCTGCAAACCATCCACAAAAACCCATGATGCTCTTATCTACGCAGCAAACTCTTCGCCTTGACTCTCTCTGTCAACTTCTTCAAACTGTCACCGTCCGCGTCATCGTCCACGGCAACTCCCGCACTGCCTTTTTTCTTCTTTCTTTTACCAGTCGACATCCCTTCGCCTTCACCCTCGCCCTCATCAATTGCCCCGCCGCCATGTTTCCGCTTCTTCCTTCCTTCCTCAAGTAACGCTTTCATTCCTTTGGTAGCCTTGAACCTAGGATTCGTGGGATCTATGGCAAACTCATGGCTCTCAAACAATTTTGCAAAACGGGGGTCCTGTGTGTTCATCTCAAACGAGTCCTGTACTTGGGTCGCCGCCGCCTTTTCAGCTTTTTTGGCGGCGAACTTGTTGCGTTTCTTCTTCGACGAGTTCTTTTCGGCTTTGACAATCTCGTTCATATCGAAGTGCTGCATTTTGGGGGCATTGAAAGATGAGGGGCCATGGGCGTTGGTGTCGTCGTCGTCGAGCATGAGGAGCTCTAAGTTTGCGCGCTCTTTGTCGGCCCGTTCTTTTTCGGCCGCTATGTCAGTCGGTCTTTTTGATTTCTTGGAAGAGGAGGGCTTGCGGGGGACATCTTCTGGGTCCGAGGCAAAGAAAGGGTCATTCCACGGATCCTCGTCTTCCTTGTCGTTGTTCTCGTCTTCGTTTTCTGTGGTTTTCCTCGACGTGGCAGTGACGGCGTCTGGATCGCGGCCTTCTTGAGTGGCCTTGTAACGTTCCTTGCGCCTCTCCTTACGCTCCTTTTGTCTGCGCACGTACTTCTCCAGTGTGTTCTCCTCTGGCTCGTTCTCGAAAACGGAACCCTTGGTGCCGGAGTTGGAAAGCCCTGATGTGAAAGTGACTTCCATCTCGCCCTCAGGTTTCTTAAAATCGCGATCTCGCTTCGACGACGACTTGGATTTGGAGGAGGATTTGCCAGCCCCTGATGGGCCTAGACCAAGGGCTGCTCGTAAGCTGGCTGCCTTGTCGGCTTTTGCGGTTGCGGCCTCGTCTTCAGAAGATGATGAGTCGGCGCCTAGATACGCTTGGAGCTCGTTTTCGTCGATTTCCTTGCGCGAAAAAGCCCGTTTTTGGGCTTCCTTCCGGGTTGTATCGTCGGCGTCCCACGTTAGCTTCACCTTAGAGTGCGACAGCGCACCGGTAATGAAATCTTTTGGCTTATATCCATTAGGTAAATCATCGCATTGGTCATGGGGCTCGGCGTCGAAATCGACACCTTCTGGTACAAAACGGAGGTCGAAGAAGTTGGCACTCGAGAGGTATTCCCGGCCGTCAAGGTTGTCGTAGATGGCCTTGGCGGCATTTGCAGAGGAGCAGGTGATGACAGCGTAGTAGTATCGTAAACGATCGAGCTGGTAAGTACGCAAAGCTTTCGAGTCAAAATCTTCGCCTTCATCACCATTGGCCAGGTCTTCTTTGCCCGAGTCGGCGTCCTCAGCAAGTTGAGTGGCATCTGTAATGTTCTTCTTCTTTGCGTCTGCCTCTGCGGCGAATATCTCTTTGGGTGGACCCTCTATTTCCTCCCGCTGCATGCGCTCGAGACCGAAATCACTGGGATATATTACCACATTACGTATGCGACCATCAACGGGGAGGAACGAGTTGGCCACAGCCATGATATCAGTAGCGCGTATGTTGTCCCAGTCCATGTTGACGGCAGCCAGTCGAGCTGTGACATCTCCCGTGGGCACCTGGTTGCCCTCCCCAGCCAGATCTGTTTGGTCCTCTATTTCTTCTTCGTGCTCGTCGTCGTCGTCGGAGCTCTCCTCAGAAGAGGACGAAAGGCCACCGTCCCGAATGGGATCCAGACCCCGCTTCTGCGCTTTGGCCAATTCTTTCCGCACAGCCTGGTCTCTCCGCTGTGCCTTTGCTGTATTCAATTGCTCATCTTCATCATGCCCACTCGCGTCACTGGCTTCATCGTCGGAACCGTACAGCCGACCCAGATTTTTCTTCACCTCTTCGGTCGTGACACGGCGACCATAGCGATCCACGGGCGCCTTGTTCTGGAAATCGGGATCAGTGCGCAGGCGCGAGAAACGTGGATCCAGCTTTGTCTTTGCTCGTTTCTTCGAGGGCAGGCGAAATTTAGGATCAGTCTCGAAGTTGGCGAAGCGGTCGTCGCTTGTCGTTTGCGTTTCAGGGTCCTGGACTCGAGGCCTTTGCGAGGCCTTCGCAAACGTTTGGCGTTTTGGCAGCGGCATGGTTGGAGATGCGACCAAAGTCTGTCTGGTCGCGAGCTCGGAATCTAATTTTTGGGCGACATTTCTGAGGCGGTCAGGCATTCTGCCACACGCTTGCCCTGATCAGGGATAGCGCAGCATCGTAGCTCGTCTATCGATAGGCGACGGACACGTATGATCTGATTGGTTGGAAGACCCACCCATGTTTCCTGGGGAAGGTTCACAGAGGGGGCACAGGGTCGTGTGAGCATCATTCAACCATCCCAACATTTGCTCTCCTCTCTCCCTCTCTCTCTCCCTCTCTTCCCCAAGGGTAATGGACTAATCAACCCAATTCAACCCTTCATAAACGCTCTCTCAATCTCCTTCTTCATTGATCCTTCACCAATGGCTTATTCCAGGCTCTTCACGTAAGCAAGCTACCTGCCCTGGCCAGTTACTATTACGCACTATGCTCCATTCCTCAACTTGTCAACTCTGCCCAGCGGGAGGGAGAGGCACAGAGCAATCCATCTCCTCGTCGTTTGCTAATATGGGCATCCCTTAGACCCCGTGGGTTTGCCTTTCTTTCTGCCTTTTCGTTCGCAGGAGGATACATGGCGCTCAAATCACGCGCAATGAGCCAAAGGCAAAGGGATGTTGGAGATTACAGTGTCACGGTGGATCGCTCGGGTATGTCATTACGTCTCCCCCATCTTCCACCCGTCTCATGGTCTGTGTGTCCCTATGCCTCGTACGTACCTACGTACGTCTGTCTGGACAAGATGCACTCAACCATTGACTGATGTGTTGGTTCCGTGTAGGTGGCGGGGTTTAAACAAGATCCGGGAATGGATGAATGGATGAGCAATGTCAACAGCTTCATTGCTCCCTTGCAGATTGGATCCATCAGACTGTTCGATTTGTGGTTATGAATTACGATTATCATTTTTATTATTTTGATGATGACGACGACCATGGTGCTGATGATGTTCTGTTCGCAACAAGCCTGCGGGACCAGGTACCTGGCTTCAGTCAGCCAGCCGCGGTCGCCCAGCCTTACGCCCATGCTCTCCGTAAGTACTAAGAATAACATTTGAACCCTCCCCAGCCTCAAACGTGTCTGCCTCATCCGTCCAATCAGCATCATCAGCATCATCATTATCATCATCGTCATTTTAAGACTCTCGTTGTCTTCCCATCAACGCTTGCTTGCCTGCTTGCTGCCATCGGAAGATCAATTTCTTCGGGAAATGACTGCCTGTCCTCTCTCCTGGGCTGCACCTGATGACTTGGTTATGGAATCCTCTAGATCTGCCCTCCAGGCGCCTCATGAGAATTTGACATCTGCACTGCTAGCTAGGCCTGCAGCTGAGCTGTGGAAAATCCAATCGTTTGGTTTCTACTCCATCGAAGCGTGTCGCGCGATGGTTGTGGCTTAGGCCTAGCTGAAGGATGCTGACATCGTCCACGCGAATAGACATGCTTCGGAGCTCGACTAGTTCGTGAGCAACTTGGGCGCAGCTGCGCGGCAACGTCTGTTCTCTTTGGTGCAATCGTCATCACCTATCGAACCTCTAAAGTTCAGCATTTGGGGGTGCCCGATCCTCTTTCTCTCCTGTCTCGTTTCTCACTTTGTTTATTCCTTTTCCAAGAATATCCACAACTTTCGATTTCTACCCACACCAGCCCAGCGTTCACACACCATGGGCGGCAGTGGTCAATACTACGATACAGCCGATTTCAGCAATTGGAAACGGAAACAGGGCAGCCTGTACAGGATACCGCCTAGGTCAAATTTTCTGGCCGCGATAAACCACATCAGACTCCTCCTCGATGGCAAGAAGATCAATTGGGCCGCCATGGGCGGTCTGGCCATGCTCTGTTTGGGCTCACGGCGCGAAATGCCAGACATCCACATTGTTTACGATGACAGAGAGTATTCACGCTTGAAGGCCAAGCTTGAGGGAGATGCACGAATTCGTTTGCCGACTAGCATGAATCCGTTGTTCCCTTCCAAAATCTTGGTGTCGACCGGGCCAAAATTCAGGGACACTGCTTGTTCAGAGAATATCGATGTCGAGTTGGATCTGATCCCGCCAGGATCTCATGGAACCCCACCGAGCGAACTTTTACGAAACAACCAAGTCATGTTAAGCCTGAATGTGGACGGCGTAACCATAGCTATCAAAAGCTTGAACCTACTCTACCTGACAAAGACTTCGATCAATTACTGCAAAAGCCGAGATCTGGTCTGGGATCCGAGGAAGGACCTTCTGTTCCTGTGTCGCAATTACGGAAAAGAGATTGGGCTGATGAGAGATCAACTGGACGCTCGCGAAGTTCAGGACCGTTTCCTCGGAACGCCATATCTTTCAAGAGTGTCGTCGGAAGAAAGAAGGTTGTGTTATAATGTATTGCTCGGTAGAGATCCCCCACCGGCCATGTCACTCACTCCATCAGCGGGCAACGATCGGCCACAGATAACGCCGCATAAATCATCTCCTGCTCTCAACAGCACTTTTCACCACTCTTCAGACCTTCTCATACCACCACCACCGGGCAAAACGAGGCCGAACCCTCAGAACCAACCACCGAACAGTTCTCCTCATCAAGGACCACATGTATCTTCAAGGACGGATCAAGACACTCGATCGAGGTATCGTACGCACAACAGTGCACCCAATACTCCGATAGGTAGTCCAGAAGCAACACCTCCACAATCTTTACGACCCAAGTCCATGGACCCCAGAGGTTCCCAACAGCAACACCCAAGAGGTGGCTCACCCCAACGCGCGCATGTGGTTGCTTCACAAATAATTTCTCAAGCTTCCAATAATATAATAGCGCAAGCTGCAAACAACAGTGCGTCATCGCCTACAGGAGTAGTCCGTTCACAACAGTCCATGCCTACAATGTCAGGCCGGCCGGCAGGAAGCGTGCCTAATTATGCATACACTCAGTCGGCTTTGCCTCCAATAAGCCAAACGCACCAGAATATGTCTCAGAAACCAGCTCCAAGAGGGCTGTTGCCAGGTTTCTCTCCAACGCAACATCCGAGACCTAGGGAGGGGCCTCCAAACAGTCAAACAAACCTGCCGCCAAGTCAGGGGAGATCTCAAGCCCCTTCAATGAAGAATATCCACTCCATAACACCGCCTCATGGCCAAACAGTCATTTCGGTCCATGGAGTAAACCAGTCCCATATCTATCATCAATCACACCAGAATAAGCCTCATGCCCTGAGCCCCTCAAAGGGTCTGGACAACACAACTTCATCGTTTGTCTTTGAATTAGACGCAAGCTCGGCACAAACTGTACAATCTCCTCAGAATAACCCGTCCAGCGAATTCATCGCAGAACTACCAGCTGAAATGGATTGCTCACCTGTAGGTGTTTTGCATGATCAAAGTATGACCGTAAGCCCACCGTTGCGGTCAAACCAGGCAACTAAAAGATATGAAGACTCGCCAATTAGCCCGCCTAGTGAGAATGCCCATCTTGCTTCCGCCACTAATACACACATGAACAACGAATACCCAATACGACAGGAACAATCGTCTCAGGAAGCTCAACGTCTGCCACAGCCTCCAGCACAAGAAAGCCCCCTTCTTGTTGTACAGGCTCCGCCACCCAACTTGCGTAGTCAATCGGATCCATTAGGAGCGCTTCCAACGAGCCTTACCATAGGCGGCCAGGGAAAGCGTCGCTCTCCAACAAATTCGGTATATAGTTCAGCAGGGCAGCAGCAATCGCCGCACCAACCCAAGGATTATGAGCGACTTGACTCGTCTTCTTTGTCTCCAAATAGCAGTCAAGCTTCTTCGAGGCGCGTGTCAGCGTACAAGGCCTATTCCGCATCCATGGGCCCACCGAATCATGCAGCTCCTATACACCCCCTCTTACAATACTCGCCACCAAACCAGCTTAGTTCATCTATCGCTCCGCCTAATCCGCCACCGAACACGGATGCACCAAATCTCACCCCCAGTCACTCGCAAGAACGATCATCAGTTGGTCAAACGCCTAGTATTCTGATAGCTGGTGCGCCCAAACCATTGCAAATAACACCAAGAAATCTGCTGCCTAACCCATTAGGAGCAAACCCTCCGACGCCTCCAATGACAGAAACAAGGCACAACTCGCGCCAGAGCGACAAAGAGTATGCCGTGGATATAGAATCGCTCTCTAGAGACACACATCTGCTATCGCCCCTTTTGTCCGCTCAACAAATCAATCAATACACCGGCCACCCACAACAGTCTCAATCCGGACCACTATACATCCCTCCAACGTATGACGCTTACACACCCAACCACCAGCGCAGCGTCTCAGCTGATTCTCACGCGTCGTCCGCTTCGCATGATTCACAGAAATTGGCACAGGAGTATCAGATGGACCTGCCTACTTACGGCAACGGGTATGCTAGCGGCGGGAAAGGTGGTGCTCCGAAAGATCCGGCAATGACCATCAGTGACGACTACGCCAACCGATGATACGATGGCAGGGGGCATATTGGAGAGGAGGGGCACGGATAATGGGACAAATTACGACTTTTCCTAGTATTTTTTTCGTCTGGACTTTTGATGATCATGTTTGAAGGACGTCGCGTCTAGTCTATTGACACACTGGGCATTCGGCATCGGGTTACACGCATTACTCGGGGGCAGCGAAGTCTTTGATCAATTTACTCTTCACTTATTGGAATTTGAACCACCACACATGTTTGATATTGTATGCGCCCTATCTTGTGTAATGTCGGATTTGCTTACATATTAATCCACTTGATGACTTGCTTCATGGTATTTGGCACCTAAAGAATTTGCGTCATGTATCATCTGACAGGCCCGAAACAGTAGCACTATCATCCTTCATTTTAATCAAAATATTGGTATCTTGATAGAATGTGTGATAGCTTTTACTCATAACTTGTTTATCAACAGGACATTAAGAATATAACTGATGAATACGTAGGCAAGAACAAAGCTGACGACTTTCCAATGGCAGCCGGAAACGTAAGCAAACTAGAAAGACTGTGAGAAAGTAAAGCATACAACGTTATAAACCATCGCTGTGTGTAGAAACACCTGAACTTCACTTCAAAATCAGTAAAGCATACAAACTACATGTCTGGCCATGTCAAATTGTGGTTTTTGTTCAAACATCTGTGCTCTGCTATATTCTTTTCCGTCATCAGTTACAGTAAATTCCCATGCAAGTCAACCGGTTCGCGAATCGGGCCCGAAAGTGCTTTTATAGACAGCCGTAGACATACAGCCCGATTTTTTTCATTTGATTTCCAAGCAAAGGTTAGAGGATTCGTCGATATCACGGGGAATAGATTATCATCTCCACGCGCTAGTGTGCGCACCACCTTCTTTGTTATCCATCGATTCATTTGTAGTACAGAAGAACGATTCCCGTACAGCAGGGCCCCGAGACTTTTTTTCTTTCTGCACAAAAACCTTTACTTTCATAGCAGCAGCGCCCTTATAGACAGACTGTACTCTGCTTGACTCTTCATTATCAAGAATATCTGTGCGCTGTGCATATGAGGTATAATTGCTTGCTTCTTCCTATGAACCGCACATACACCAAACTGTGCCGAATAAAGATTAGGATGTTTGACACGGCCATCAGTCAACCCTCCGAATAGCACTCGCTCGAATCTTGAACGTGCGTGTGCGTGCTGCCTTGTATAGCCAAGGAAAGTCCTAGAGATTGAGCAAAAACTGGCTCATGTAACCTCAACAACAAATACAGTTGAGCTTGTACATTTCATGGAACCAGAGTCAGGCCATGGTCGAGAAGATACAGAAAGGCGCGAAAGATCACGGGACATGATCACAAGACATATCGAAGCCGACGGGCTCAACCGTCAAGAGATATGGCAGTGCGAATGAAAAACTGCACAAACTACCATTGGACAAGACCGGGTAAAGATGTGCCTGGGACTTTTCTGTTATTGGTAGGCGCATTTTGACCTGCTGAAGACGGGTTCGGTGTTGTGCTGCATGCAGCAGCATCCTCGTCGTGATTCCAGCTTAACCGCTTCTCGTATAAGAGACGTGGGTTTCTGCAAACGTGTCGTTCTGCGATCAACAACACCCTGTTGGTAATGTTTTGGAAGCACGACGAGTGTTCATGTGTTCCTTGTCGTTGGTGAGAGGTTATGCCGCTCTAGGAATATGAACAGAGTGACATTCTGGTCTGCATCATGTGTGAAATTTGCTGTGTTGGAGTGGGGGCTGGGCAGGCGGTTTCTCAATCAGCGTGCGCAAGAGGTGGACAGGGCGCTGCGAAGCCAGTGAGTGATTTGCCCGACGGAGAATACCAAATCCTCCCAATGACATGCTGGATCCCGGACGCTACCCATGGCGCATTCCAAGAGAACTGTAGATGCTGGGGCAATTTGACAGGCAAATACACATCCCCTTACGCAGACATGGTTGCCACTGTAGGCGGTGCGCGATAAGAGACTCGTATAGATGGATTGGAGTGAACTGTCATGGCGACATCGCCACAGCACTAAAAGCCAAGCAAAGTTTCAAGCCATCACTCGAGCACCACGTAGACTAGATAGCAATGCTTATGGCGTTTGCGTGGGTGCCTTTGGAAAAGAGGGTTGCTCGGTGATTGAGTGAAGGCTCTCCTGTTTCATAGGAAAGAAGCCTCAGGTTAGGCTCAGCCCGCCATAGCAGGATACCAGCCATTCATCATCACCTCAGGCTTGTAGACGCGCGGCTACTGTAAAAGAAAAAAATACATGTCTGTATCATACATGGTCGTTGGGCACAAGGACTTTTGACACCCTCTAACGAACCTTACCTCATGGGATGGAGAAGTGGAAACAATTGTGACCGGCTTCTCCGAATGCTGTTAGAGGCCGCACTAGCCAATGTCCCTAATAATGCCCGAGCCTTGTCCAAGCTCAAGCCAAACCAAGGGAGTTATTGCAGGGAGCCGTAAACGGTCGTACAGGCCAATGGACCGGGCAAGTCGTTCCGGCACCCATCGATCTAATATGAGAGGACGCCTATGGTGTTTCTAGGCTCGAGACTATACGTCAGTACTTGGCCGTGCCAAGCGTCTTGATGCCCGTTCCTGCAAGCAAGGTTGTTGCACAACAACAAGAGCAACAACAACAACCGTGTGGGTTTTGTTGAGCGATGGGTGGTGGCATGAGAGGGGTGGGACCAAGGCTGCGCGGAGCGAGGGTAGTTTTGCAAGCAACGGGATGGCATGTGTACTTGGGAATCTCATGGGAAACGATTCAAGCAGAAGGGACAAGACGACTTGTCAGTGTTATTACACATGGCTAGTGAGGGTGATTCCGCCATAGTGGACCAGCACCACACAGCCAGCACGGTACATGGGATGGAGTCGGATGGACCCTAGGCTATTCACTCGCTTACGGGCCTCCAAGTGGAAAATGGAGTGCCTGACTTGTCTGTTAAGTCCGTTTAGCCTCGCTGTTGCGCGCATCGCCCTCGTCCGCACCGGCGGCCATGCCGTCCTGCCCTATGCTGGTGGGAGAAGTATCCTGTGCTAACCGCTAACTTGGCAAGTCCACAAAAAACAACCCACAAGTTGGTGCAGAGATCTACGCCATCCTCTCCACGGCACCATCCAGCTCAGTAGCTTTAGCCCTCGCTCGTACTGGCCTAGCGGTTAGCCATTCCAACTTGTTGGTATAATAACAGTCGAGACGGATGGATCATGGGACGGTGCAGGGCGTGCGGTTGCAAGAACAACAGCCAACACTCTGGCATGCAAACGATTGGACGGCATGGAGCGATTGAGCAAGCCGTGCTTGGGTTGGCTGTACCTGCCTCGAAACAGACGGGTCCGAGACGTGGGCGCTGAAACACGGGAAACAAAAGATGAATTAAGGTTCGAGATTTGGGTCGGATATTATATTGCTTTTTGCTCCTATTTCCTAAAGCACTGGTGAACCCCAGCAACATTGCAATGCGCCACAGCAAAGCCTTGGAGCCAACTAAGCAGCGGGCAACCGTGGGGTCCAAGGCAAGCAGCTCCTTGTCAGTCAGTCAGTCAGTCAGTCAGTCCCGACCCAAGAGCAGGGCCAAGGATTGTGATTGCACGGGGGGGGGCAAAAGGGCAGGATTTGCGGGACAAGGACCCACGCACGTGGGATGATCCGTTTATCGCGGGAAAAGAGAATAATGGGAAAAGAAAGACAGCAGTGCGAGAGTGAGTACATGACTTGTGTAAGCGACCAAGCGAGTAGGTAGGTGAGTATGTACGCAAAGCCACCAACGCGGCGCTAGAGGGCCCTGGGAGGGAAGAAAGCCTTACCGAGTTTCGGACACGGTGAGGCCGCATTGGCAGCAGAGAGGGCGCCATGCCAGGCCCCGTCGGGGGTTTCAACGTCCCGAGCACTCGCGAGCACGGCAATGCGGGAAGGAACCAGGTCCCAGTTGGCACGGCGCATGGTGCGTCGTTGGCCTTCAGTTCAGAGCGAGGGAACCGCTCGTGTTGACTGGCATCGTGGTTTGCGTGTTCTGCTGCAGGGGAGGAAGCAGAAGAAGATGAAGAAGAAGAAGAAGAAGAAGAAGAAGAAGAAGAAGAGGTGGACGAGGAAAGGGGGGGGCCCTCCCATTGGCATTTCCTCCTTGGACGTCGCCGATGTTCTCGCAGCAGTAGTCCCCTACCAGTATCGACTGGTTCCATTGATACCTACTTGCACGCAAACACACAAGATGCCCCACAGCGTCTGGGTAGCATGAATGATAGATACTTGGTACGTACCCCATAGCATTTGAATGAGGTTAAACAGTGCTAGCGTGGGTCTGGCGCGTACGTTAAGCTGCTACCAGCTAGCCGAGAGCTCTGACAGCGGACACTTTGCTCCCTCCCTTCTTCCCTGCCTCCCCCGACCGCCGATGGACTGACGCTCACCATCATCATCATTACCACCACCACCACCACCGCCGCCATCACTCTGCTCGCACCAAGGCAAAGGCAATGGAACTTGCCGCGCCGCCTTGCTTCCTTGGTGGGGGCCGTCGGCACGGCTGTCCAGTCTGCCCAGACGACAATCAGGGGTCGGTCGGTTGATGAATTCCGAGTATCCTGACTAATTCCTTAGTCACGCAGCAATCTGAGCAGGTCGCCGACCACTTGCACGCTAAATGTTGCCATGAGCCCATGTCCATCCACATCAATCTTCCAGTAGCACACACAGCCAGCTACGTGAGTAGGCAGCTGCTATTAATTACGCGCCGGCCTCTGCGCCATTCTTGCGACACCAAATTGCCGTCGACCAAGTCAGTTCGGAAACCGAATCACCTTATGGGTCGGTGGGACAACATTCACCTGACCCTTGGGCTTTTCTTTTCCCACCGAGTCTGCCTGTCGTTGTTTTGCCAATGTGGAGTACCAGCACCGACCCTCTCGCCATGCTAATATACACATGTACATACTTTGTACATACTACATAGTATACTATAGTACATACTGTGTAATAGTAAGCCAGAGGAGCCGGCCAATCACACATTCCATCACACGCAACCGAGAGACCCTATAAGCTTAAATTTAGCGAGCCCTTGGCGCCTCATGACGTCGCCGTCGCGTGTTGGCCATGCGCTGCCTGCCATGTGTGTGGGCCACACTTCATCCCTCAGTATCGAACTTGTGTGCTCGTACCCCAATAGCTACATCATACACCATCGCCATGATCTTTCGATCCGCACTCTCCACAATCCCCTTATCCGCATCAAGACCTGCTGCCACCGCCACCCACGCGCGACGCGCCTTCTTGACCTCGTCATCCGACGTCTCTGCGAGCCAGAACCGCGTCTTCGATAGTATCCGCCAGCCTAGCGACCTGCACACCCTCACCCTCCTATCTGCCACGAGCAATCGCCCCCTCATCACCCTATGGAGTGCGAGCTGGTGCTCCACCTGCAAGGCTGTCAAGCCGCTGGTGAAGGACCTGATTGAGCATGAACGCGTAGGCGAGCCTGAAGGCGGTTTGGCCTTTGCCGAGGTGGAGCTCGACAGTACTCTGATTGGAGATTTAGGCCTCAAGTACATGGTGCGTGTCGACCGTCCCGAGTTCTCTTCAAGCTGAAGGCCAGGCGTACTGAGACTTTCTTTTCTTTTCTTTCTTTCTCCCTAGATCACATCCATGCCCACGTTGCTAGCCTTCAGCAGACAGGAAGCACAAATGGACACGAAGCTCGTGAAGCCAGATTTGATGAAGAACAGAGAATTTTTGAGGAATTGGCTGCTACACGAAGCCAAACGTGGTGGTCGAGCAGGTGGCGGGGGTAGCAGTTTGTTGGGAGGTTGGTTCGGCCGGGCATGATACACCAGCCCAAATACAATCTCACAAATGGTGAGTTGGATTCTGGGTCATCTTACACACTGCTATATTGACAAAGATGAAAGTATTAATAACAGGTGATTACCAAAAAGAGATCAAGTTTGGCTCCCAATACATGCATCCGTTGCTGAGGCAATAGCACCTATTGCTACGGACACTTCCAAATCAGTGTACACTGTATTCTTATAGCTTACTCCATCCTCGTCTGTTCGGCTGCGCATTTTGCGTGATTTGATTTGCACTGATGCCTGTAAGAGCTTTAGCTGCCGTTTCTGGCGAAGCTCCCCGCATGGAACCGCGTTGGCTATAGTGACCGACTTGATTCTCTGTCTTAATTCAGCTGCAGTGCACTCCAGGTGATGACTACACCAGTCCAAAATGGCCTATGAACAGCTGTTGTAACTCAATTCTTCAATATTTAATAATAATACATTGGTAGTATACAGTGTTCTACGAATAAAAAGCAGTGCTGTTGCCGGGGTATGTATATACTGATGCGCTGGCTCTGCATACAAAATTATAATGATGATCAATTCAGCCACTAGCCGCCATTGCATCTTCGAGTTTGTGCAGCAAACATGTGCAGCAAACATGTGCAGCAAACATGTGCCGACATGAGTGCGTAGTTGTTTGGTTTCCTCCTGGCCTCGATGAAGCGCATCTCGGCCCCGAGACCCCCCGGAATCACCTATATTCCTGCTTCAATGGGCTGATCTTTTGTTCAACTTGGAGAATTGACGCTCTTCTCATCGCGTACTCTTTCTAGAAAGTCGAGCAGCGGGGCGTCTTTGCTCACCTCATCGTGAGGACGAGCGTCGGGGCCTGGAGGCAGGCCATTGTTGTGGTGACCGCAAACCGTGTCTTATCCTGGGTGCATCTATCATCCGTATGTTCTTCGAGGGTATGACTGTCCATCCACAGTGGTGTATTCCACTGAGTTGTTCACAAAGTAGTTCTGGTTGTGCATGCGATTGCCAAGTGCGCTGTTGTAGCCAGGGTTTCCGTCCATTCTCATGGTGGAAATGATGTTGGCAGCGTCGATGTTTGAGGTGGCCGAATAGTCGTCAGCAGGGCTGGGTAGATAGGGTGTTTCGACTGAATAAGACCAAGTAGTATTCAAAGGTTGGTTGAAGGGCATGTATTGCGGGATATCGTCGTATTTGACATCAGCGTTAGAGGTCGTAGGCGAGTTGTAAAAGGGCGAACCGTAAACTTTGGGTGGCGTGCCCATGCTTGAAACGATGGAGTGAGGGCTCGGCGAGTCATTGCTAATGGTGGCAGATCGCGGGACAGGTATGGAGAGCGGCGGAGCTGAAGGCAGGTAACTGGATGGACCGGCTATTGACGAGTGCGTGCTTGTTGGTGAACTGGTACGCGATGGGCCACTGTAGACCATTCTTCGTTCGAGCATTGTAGTGAGAGCGGGCACTGCCGCGAGACCGTCGTATGATTGCTCATTCACACCCCCCATTGCGACAGCAATCTCAGCATCGGTGAGACCTTGTTCATGCAACAGCAACCTAAGCTTCCGATTCTCCTCAAGGACTCTGCGCGCAGCATTCTGTATTTCAGCAGATGCTTCAATGCCGGCCTGTTCACAGTTGCGTAATCTTCCTTCAAGTTCGTTGATGTATTCCTTTCTTCTTGCTCGAGACCTTCCTACAAGTTTTGTCAATATCCACCGCGCTTTCTGGAGGGGCAAAAGGATGAAACTCACGTTGATTGTCTCTGATTCGAGCAAGGTTTTGAGCCCTCTATACCAACAATTAGTTAAATCGGACAGAGAAAGTAGAAGCTCTTACGCTTGCCTTTAATTCGCTCATGACGGAAGGTTATTGTAGTGTATTGCAGTGTAGCGAAGAGTAATGTAGTGTGTGAAGGTGGATGTGTATCTCAGTGACGATGACGATGGCGATGATGAGTTCGAATGATTGAAGATGTTGATATACTATGTTCCAGTAGTGCGGTCGACCATGGTTCATATCTATAAACCAGTTGATCTCAACGGCATGTTAACCAGCTAGCCAGCAAGTAGCATAACGCCACCACGCATCTGTTTACCTGGGTGCAAGGAACTTCAGAGACGAGTCCGCCTTACTGACCACCCCTTGCGCGTCTGAGCGTTCCCCGTCCCATCCCCGTCCCAGCATGGTATGCATGAGTGAGGAGGGAGGTGGGCTCGTGCATCTCGAGCATCTAGATTGATCGGTAGACAGTCTCGGGCGCCGGTTCTGCCGGAATGACAAATGTGTTTTGATCGTTTTCTATGCTAGCGTGGCTTTGATAGACGCGGTCACGTGGATCTCCACTTCGGGTCAGGAGCTGAAACGGGGTCATAAAGGCCGGTCGGAAATTTGCTGGCATAACCCATCACCAAGCCGTCAGGCCGTCAGGCCAGCCACGTCGGTTTGTTGGACTGATGGATTGACTCTATCTCAAGTGATGGATCAACCCCACGTCACGCGTTCTATCAATTCACGTGACCCGGATTCTGTACTAGATCTGCCTACCTAGGTAGGTACCTAGGTAGGTACCTACGTAGATACATATGTGCAGTTAGGTACTTATACAAGAAGCAATACTTAGACGACAATCATTATGAACTAAGACAATCTTCCTCTAAACAAAGTTGCTCAGCACAGCCTCCCCAACCCGTACCCAATGTATACTGATACCGTACGAAATGCATCCGTATTGAATTAAAAACATATATCTGGAGCCCTGTCAAATGGAGCTGTTGTGACTAGTATCTGGTCGTATTCACTCACTGACCTTTGCCTGTCTCGTAATCTCTTGCTAGTGTCTAGCGACTCAAGATGCCTTTTGCTCGTATGCGGCATCTATGTAAGTGGCTGTCACTGGATCCTACACCCTAAAAACCTTGCCGTTTATCTCGGTGGTCAGTATGCTATTACTTGAGTCTCGCGGGAAGTTCATGATTATATTTTGAGATGGTTGAGACCAAACCACTGTGCGAGTAATGGTCCTGCCTGTACAGTAGCTTTTGCCCGCAGTCAAGAAGTCCATTTCACAGCTGAAGAAGACAATACTGTAGCTCCTAGAATGGTAAGCAACAGGAAAACTGAAACAAAATGCAGGTTAGCGTGGGTCATATCTACCCCGTGTAAGCAAATGTTGGTATATACTGGTGCACTGAATGAGGGAAGTATTCATGTCGTTCAACTCTCGACATTAGGTTCTATCAGCAATGATTGGTCAGGCCATCTAATTTCCCGTCGTAGGAATCGAATCATAGGATGCGGATCCTGCCGGATCGATTTGGCAATACGGCAGGTGTGTAGAGTACTCTCCTGAAGACGCAGTAGAGCGATCGTGATAGAAGGATGGCAGTAGACGGATAGCCACGTTGGCTGTGAAATCTCCGAGACCAATCGCAGTCGACGAATGTTGCGTGGCTCAGCATCATGATGATCCTCTTCTTGCATGGTAGCTTACACGAGAAGTGACAAAGCCCTAGTCGTGGTGGATTGCTGGCTCTAGGATTCGCAAGTAAGAACAGTAGGCACTTCGCACCCTACAACTGGGGTTTAAACTAAAATGATGGCTATGTCATTAGCGACTTGCATCCAGATGGCGTTTGGTCTTTTGTAGGACAGGCGCTGTCCACCGCGCTACGTGGGTGACAAGTGCGGGGGCCAAAAATGTAGCTGAAAGTCAAGACTAACGGGAAAAACTTGCAGAATTGGGTTGGTGTGCAGTGGGCGTGACCGGTGGCTACTTCAGGATACTCAATCCATTTTATCACGTTTCTTTAGACCTGCAGAACATGTTTGACTTTCTTTCTGGCAGACATTCAGGTTTCAAATCACCAAACTAGTTGGGCTAGTTGAGTCAATATAACCGAGGATGTTTCTTTCTCTCTGGTTAGCTACCTAATCATCATCACGCTGCAGTAATGTATCATCACACTCCCAAGAACTATAGCTTCTGGTGGCCGATACGATGATAGAAACAATCTATGTTATACGACATGCGGTAAGTGCCCCCCCGCTGGTTAGTGGGAGCTTTGACCACCATTTCCAGCTGAATTGCAAAAACTGAGGCAAAGAGCACAGTTCCGTTCCAACTGGGCTGTGAATCCTCGCACGGGGGAATACACAGCAACCATTCCAACGCCTACCGGGCTGGCCCACGATCCTCCATTGACAGCGAAGGGCGCCGAGCAATCCAAGGAGCTCTCACTGTGTCTGCGCAATCTTGATCCACCAATCGACAGGGTCTATTCTAGCCCCTTCTATCGATGTCTTCAGACGTTGAAACCCACCACAGATTATCTGTTCAAGCAAGGCAAGATAACTGCCAGAATCAGGATAGATCGAGGCATAGGGTATGTGAGCATCCTCCCTTTCGCTTTCCTTGCCGAGTTTGGGCCCCTCTGGGTCCGTCCACAAGACGTCTATCTAATCTCGGCGACAGCGAGTTTTTCGGCAGAGCACATTTCCAACACCCGGAACCACCGAACATTGCAGTTCTGACATCGCACTTTGATCATCTGGATCGCGATTATGAGTCTTTCCACGTGCCCCACCCAAAAGGAGAATCGATTGTCGAGTTGCACGAACGAGTGAACAAGGCCATTGATCGTATCGTGTCGGAGCTCGATGACGACCCGGAACAGCCAAGGACGCTCCTTGTCTGCACCCATGCTGCTACCATGATTGCACTGGGAAGAGTGCTGACTGGCAACATGCCGTCAGATCCCGACGAGGATGACTTCCAATGCTATACAGCGTCGCTGTCGCAATTCGTAAGGCAGAATATGGATCCTGGAAGGGGTGTGGTAGGGAACTGGGAGTGTGTGCTCAATTCCGGGACCGACTTCCTATCTGGTGGTGCTGAGAGAGGATGGTAAGTGGTCGAGGAGACGTAATCTTCTCTATTCGAGCTTTGCGCAATCATCCTGTCATCTCACCGAGTACGAGGAGAGTAGTAGTCTGGGCAGAAGACTCATCTCGCCATTGCTGATTAAACATGATGCTCCTACTACTCGAGACATCGCACCGCATTGCAATCATATGCCCCGCCCCGAACCTATACAGACTCTCACTGACATGCTCCCCACTTAGGAAATTCAACGGCGAGGAGAGTTTCGTTGCGTTCCCTGATGCACCATCCCGAAACAAAGAACCATTGAAACTATAGGCTTCTGGGAATCTGGTATAAGTTGAAATAGTAGGTAAGGAGAGCAGTGTTGCGATATCCTTGCAGCATCTCAAAAATTTCAAGAAGTTCATATCCAGAATCAAACTATTTCGTCTGATTATTTAGATGGTAGATCGGCAACCACACCCCGATCCTTATTCCATGAAACTAGAATAGAGCACAGATGGTAGTTACAACTTGCTATAGTCTCAAAATCTTCACAAGTGACTTAGACCTACACCATATAATCTGTACATATAACAGAACGATCCTATCAACACCCCTGCACTCCCATAAAGATCCTCGCAACTTCCACTTCTCTCTCCAGATCCTCATCCCAAATCCAATGCATTCGTGTCTCCATATACCCAGGCATAACGTCCCAATCATAGCCAATTTCCTTATCGTCCCCCGCCCAGAAGTGCCCACTCTCCCTGCCCGTCCGGACCTGTGTCTGAGTTCGCTCCTTTCTCACCTGATTGAACGCTAAAAATGCCTTGCGCAAATCTTTCTTCTGGTGCACGAGGGTCAAAATTTCCCCGAGGACATATGCATCCTCGATAGCCATTCCGGCACCGGAGCCCTGAAAGGGAGTGCCCCCGTGAGCTGCGTCACCGATGACAATGACGTTGTTGTGGGCAAAGGAGGGGAGCGGGTGTTCGAGTAGATCGAAAAGAGCGTAGACGGTTGTGTGGGCGGTGAGGGGGACCAAATTGCGAATCTGTGTGCCCCAGCCAGACAGATCTCTGAGCATGTCTTTGTGATTTGTTTGGACGACCCACTCTTTGTCATCCCATGTGGATTTGTTGCCAAAAATGGTGACTATGTGAGACGAGCGTGTTAGTCTCGAAGTACATACTTGTGGCTACGATTTCGGTCCAGAACAATTCCTTAGAAACGGAGCCTTACCCGAGATGAACTTTCCCTGCTCGATAGGTAAGCTCGATACGTGCCCGTGCCGTCCAAGGTAAATGTTGTTGTTCATAGCAAGCTCTTCCCCCAACACCTCGATCGCCTTCTCCATGGGTATGACTCCACGATGGCAGTATTTCCCCGTGAACGTCGGCTCGCACCCAGGAGCCACAAATGGACGCACTTTGCTCTTGACACCATCGCATCCAATAACCGCATCATGAACAGCTTCGGTCCCATCGCTGAACCGAAGCCGCATATCAATATTGCCGTCCTCTCCAATCAATTCTTCGATTTCTGATACTCGCTTGTTGAATTTGCAAATTCCCTCGGGAACCAACTTCACCATTTCGTCCAGGAACTTCGCTCTATGCACTGCCGCTTGGCCCTCTAAGCATTTGGGCGAATGGATCAGATCGCCAGCTTTCTTCCCTGCGATATTGATCCCCACACGGATATCGAACCAGTTGTCCCGTTTGCTAGGCCACAGGTTCCGAGTGGCGATTTTATCGAAGGAGGTGAGCAGCGCCGGATCGATGAGCCCCAGGGCTCGCCTTGCATTTGGCTGAATAGCGACACCCGCTCCAATTTCGTGAAAAGACTGGCATTTTTCGTAGATGGTGAGGGCGATCTGAGGGCTTTGCTTTAGAATGGATATGGCTGTACACAAGCCGGCTATGCCACCCCCTACAAGACCGATGGAGAGGCGTGGATCATTGACGTCGTTGGTATTACCGTTCGTATGGCAGTTTGAATGGCCATTTGGAAACCCATTTGTAGGGTGGCCGTTCGTGTGTGGTGGGGAGAACATGCTTGGTGAAATGAGATTTTCACTTCATGTTCGAAATCCCGGTTGGGGCCAACTAGTTCATATAAAACTACTTCCCTGTTTGCTTAATTCATCAATGAAACTGTAAGCAGAGATTGGCTAGCAATATAACTGCTTACGGCGATAGATTTAGATCCAATTCGTCCGGTAGGAGTGTAAAGCAACCTACACTCGTACGATAATCCTCATCCCCGCTCCTCAACTTTGATAGAATCCCTCATTTCCCAACAGACAGAGGAAATTCGGCTATATAGTTGGTTCAATCTCCTTCCATCGATGACCAGGGTCCGAATCTGTCGGATGTATTGAATTAGGAAGGTCAGCTATTTCACAACCACGACCAGCGAAGCACAATGACAAGTGATGAACCAGCCAAGAACAACGATTTCTTCGCGTGCCCGACACATCGGCCTCATTTTGCTATCGTGGGAGGTGTGTTGCGGCTATTAGACGAGCACTTTTGTAAAAAGTGACAAGCTTTTCGTACGTCAAAGTAGGTTCTTTGGCTATCAAGGCGAACGCTTGACCATCACTCATACCCTTGTAGAAGACAATTAAATAGGTAGGCGAGGAGTTGGCAGGATCTCGGATACCGATTGTTAGCTGATCGATGCCGGGTTAGGTCATTCTGCTGAAAAAGAACGACCCTATGAATCCTTCCTCGGGGTTCTGCAGGAACTCCAACACTTGGTCCGCTTCATCCAATTATATGCTCGAAAAGATTCGCGGCATACAAGTAAACAGAAAGCAGCGCTTGGGGAAGAACATGCACATATAACAACCATGTGTATATGCTATCTACTTCTCTTACTCATAAAGGCACCTGTTCCATCATCTGTATAGCACCTTCCCTTCCGACAGTGATGATCACATCGCCCAAAGTCTTCGTCATAAACCCAGCCTCGCTGTACCGGAAATAATAATCCCACTTGCGCTTGAACACCTCCGCGCTCTCGCTATCCATTCCTTGGCTCTTCTTCTCTCCAAGCAGTTGCGGTTTTATAGTCGTAGTCCAGTTCTCCAGAAAGTTCTGCCTCCATATGCGCAACGCCTTCGCATAGTGCGGACCGATATTCTCAACGCCGTCAACGATGAGCGATCCGCTGGAGCCATTGGTGATGGAATTGACTAGCTGCGTGACGGTTGGAAGGTGGCCGCCCGGGAAAATGTATCTGCGGATGAAGTCGTCTGATTTTGCATAAGCATCGTAGCGAGCCTCAGGCATGGTGATGCATTGGAAACAGGCAATACCACCGTCCTGCTTCAAGAGTCTATGGATGCACCGAAAATACTCCTCTAGATATTCTTTGCCCACTGCTTCGAGCATTTCGATGGATATGATTTTATCGAACGGCCCATCGGTTGGGGGTTCAAGTTTGCGGTAGTCGCACAAGAGAACAGTGATTCTATCGGAAAGGCCTGCTTCCTTGATTCGTTGCTCTGCCAGCTCTTTCTGCTCTACTGATAGTGTGACAGATGTGACGCGACACCCAGTACGTTGGACAGCTCGCATGGCAAGACTTCCCCAGCCAGTGCCGATTTCTAGAACGTGGTCCGTTGCTTTCACGTGTGTATTATCTATGAAGCGGTCTAGTTTTCGCATTTGGGCTCCCTCGAGGGTCTCCTCTGCACATCTCCGGTCGAAGGTCGGTAGCCAGATGGGGCACGAGTAGGTCATATCTGGCGACAGGAATGATGCAAACATATCATTGGAAATGTCGTAATGCGCCATGATGTTGAGCCGCGCATTTCTAAGATTGTTACTACCGCGGACGAGGCCGGCGAGGCCAGTGGAAATTGCAGAGGTCAATGTCGAGCCGTTGGATAGATGGCTGCGATTTAGAATGAATAGCTGTGGGGTCTTAGCGGCTATAGTCAACACAGCAGCAGCAGCATCTGCACTGACCTCGAAAAACTTTGTTAAATCTGGCGAAGAGACTTCGCCTAACATATAACTTTCTGCGAAACCCTAGGCATAGTAAGCTCCCCAATTCTATTGCCGAAACTAGATTCCAGGAATTGCCTGGGTTCGTGCCGGAGGATGGAAGAACGAACCATATCGGCATACAGAGCGAGCCGCACCCAGAATGTCTCGCTATAAATGTGGAGCGCGGCTTCCGGGGCCTTGGGTAAGTTGACACCGAAGACAGATGAAGCTTTACTCGAGCTACCATCATATAGAAATAGCCTCCCCAACCGGATATTCTGCAGCTGCGCAATTGTACCATTCTTGCACAGCGAGACAAGCGAGTCCCATGTCTGGGAGGTGACTGTATTCCAAACCGAGGCCGCGGGACCAGTCAAGGCACTCAACATAGCCATGGCGAGGAGGAGGAGAAGTGCGAAAGACACAAAAGAGGCGGACGTTGCAGTCGTAGCGCGTGTGATGTTGTTTGGCCGTGGTCCGGCGTCGTGGTGGAATGCATTGAAGGAAAAGAAAAGCAGTGCAACGCCCCACCAAACGGAATGCGGCTGGCCATGTTATTCCAGACGGGGCATGCGAGCCATTGCGACTGACTCGGGACCCATTTTGGACAATGCGGCTGGCATTGTTGATCGAGGGGTGCAGTTAATCACGGTGCTTTTCCATTTCCAGAGTTTGATGACGTTACCAACCGCTACATGGAGTGGCATCGATGTACTAAGTACTTGACTAGTTCGCGAACCTAAGAGGCGGCAGCAGCAGCAGCAGGGGGGAGGGTATTCTGGCGGGCTCCGCAAACAAATGCTGCGAGACGTTTCGATGAGAGGCGAGTTGGGATGCGAAGGACATTTATATGTGTACACAAGCAGCAAAGTCCACGGCGGGTTGTGTGCATCATCACGTTGGCGATGTGCATGCCGGCTTCGTCTTGGCGAACAGCTTATTCGCGATAACCTTCGAGGGGCGGCGCAAATCGACACGTGCTTACGTAATTATGTAAGCATCAATTATCTCAACCATTTGACATGTGCATGCCTATTGCACGTGAACGCGCCGCCCTACGCGTCAGCAGTTGAACGCGTCGTCGATTACCATCCAACAACACCACCACCACAACCCATCTCATCACGACTTCAACCAATTCAACATTGACATCTGGTCAGCATGCTTGCCATCCAGGTCCCGCCAAAGCCCCGTAAATGCACACCACACCTGCTGCCCCTCCGCATAAACCACAACGGACCCATAAACAACACAGAGTGCTACTTCAACCCCACATCGCAAACCACTTCAGTCCGATCCCTAGACGCGAAACAAGAACAGCAGCCAACCCCAGTCGTGAAAGAGGAACAACGTGATGCTGACATCACCCAGCACGCCTATTTTCGCGGCCGCCATCTACTGTCCACACCCATCCTTCTTCCCGAAAACTACACAGGCGCTGTAATGCAAACCACAAACACACCGCATACTTCAACCAAAACGATGCATCACGGCCGCACCATGTCTGCATCACAGAATGACCATGATGAGGATAGCGAGCAAGATGGTGATCATGTGGAAATGGACGTCGAGGTTATGCAGACAAATATCCTTGCTTCCTTCTCCGAGGTGCTGGTCTGGGGTCACGCGGAAGCTGTGGATGACGCCAAAGATGCGTTTGTGCGCGGCGTCAGGGAGTGGATTGGTTTCGCCGAGGGGATGCATCTAGAGGAGGAGTGATTGCCATTCTTTGCGCCGGTTGATGAGTAGTGGGTGGAAATACTTAGTCATGAAGAGGAAGATTGGAGCTGGTGGCCAGGCTTAGCCAAGTACAGAGCAGCAAAGAAAAGGGAACAGAAATACCAAGTGAGAAGGAAAAGAAAACTCATACAAGCGCGCCCCTTCCCAGTCACCCCCAATAAACCAGGAGTCCAATATTTCAACACACACGACGTCTCCGCCTTGCTCCTACTCAGCAATCTGCTGTCTACCCTCTAAATAAGCTTGGCATGCCCCCATCGCGGGAAGCAACAACATGACCACGCTCAGCGTCTGCCCAAACCCCCACTGGTTCTCCGCGTTCCCTTGCAACCCGCACCACTTGTCTTTTTCCTCCGGTACTGAAAACTTTTGGCTAAGCACCAGGATCACCGAGAGAGTTGCCAGTATGATCTGCACAATAAATGCAACAAGTGGGTTCAAAAATAACACCAGCACCAACATTAGCCCCTTGCGTGCGGGACACGTAGTCTTTTCCGAATTGCGACGTCGGAGTGTCGCTGCACTCAACGCAACAAGCTGGTTTCGTGGGGAAGTAGTGCTGTGATGGTGGTGATTACGAGAACCAGCAAAATGGCTTGTTGTTGGGGGATTGTACAGGATGGCCACGAGCGCAGTCGAGAAGCCAACGAGCATGAACGCCATGGGTACAGTGAAGGAGAGGCGGTGCGCGCGCATTTCCCGCTCCAGGACGCCGGTGCTGCTCACGGTAATGGTTTCGGGCATGGCTATAGCGGCGATCATAGACGCAAAGAGGAGCGCTGTGAAGACGATGACGAGTGTGATGCGGATCTTAGCAATGAGCTTATAGCGCCGCAAGTACTTTCTCAGAGTGATCAGGGCGGCGAGGTGCGAGGAGGAGGAGAGGGCGCAGATGTAGAGGATCAAGACAAAGTGAGCGCCCTGGACTTCGAGAGAATTCTGGGCGACCTATACATAGACATTTCAAATCGTTTGATTAGCGTGCCATACATAGACGGAATCAATTAGTCGCATGTGTTCTGCGATGTTCTGAGGTGAGCCCAACCTTGATCCACCCCGAGAGTAACACCGCGTAGCCAGTGATGAGCTGCTGATCCCCCAGTCCGATGATGAGTGGATCCAGAAACGGCCGCCATGCATAGTCCTTCTTCCATTCCGTGTCGATCCAACGCTCCCGCAGATACCGAATAGGATCGCGGAAGGTGAAACGGCCTTTGGCATCGAAGGCTTGATCGAGTAACATGGCTAAAATCGAGGCGGCGGTAGTCATGAAGCTGGCAATGACAAATGAAACAACGACCTGCAGCATTCATCAGTCTCTCGATTCACCTGCTCGCCGAGAATGTGAGAAAGCTGTACACCAACGCTAGCAATGTCTGGCTCGGCTCCGGCATCACAGTTTCCTCCGTACGAATCTACGCTGTCAAACATGACCCATGGCGCAGGCATGATGACAGATGATATCAACAGGGTGTATAAGAAAAAACAGACGGCTCGGCGAATTGAGGCGGGTGTGGAGATGTATAGCGACAGGTGAATTCATCCCAGACGACTTGGGTGGAGGAAAGAGAAAGGTCTTAGGTAGAAAGAGAACCCTATTCTGCGTGTGATAGAGGACGATGAAATACATGGATATGCATATATTTACACATGCAGTCGTCTATCACGATGTGAAGGGCAGCTGGCCTCGAATATGATAGGCAAGTGCGACTGCGCTGGTTATTCTCGCACACCATTCGAAGCACCTGATCGCACACACGTACCGAAGAAGGATAAAAGATACATATCATACATGATTGATTGATAACACTTAGAGGGTGAGTCGTGAATTACGGTTCACGTTCTATGACTAATGCCAGCGGCAGAAAGAATCTCGTTTTCTCTCTTTCCTTTTCCTATCTCCGCCACTTTGCCTTGCCAGCTACATGAATAAGACTGGCAGTCCGTGATCTCCTGAAACATTGCCGAAGCTAGGACTTCGGGACTCTTTCAAGGAACAGTATCTCTGACACAACTCCCAGGCTCTGTTCAGATACCTCGCTAGAGGAAATGCTCGTGAAACGAGGGATTTGATGTCGTGCTGATGCCGTGACTGGTAGGAAAACGCCATGATCGTCATAAAACAGGGGAGGGGTTTTTTTTTACAACAATACCACCAGGTACGTAAGTTCGAGAAAAGGACTTTTAGCGGTGACTTCGCTGGGCAGCATGTTCTCGTTATAGAGCATATCGATGACTCCTAAAACGATGGTCGAACACATCGATCGACCACACCATTACAAGTACGAATCATAATACATTATGAGGCCGAGTGGAGCCCGAAAAATAGGTAGCAGACCACAGCTGCTGGGGTATCGTAAGGGGGATGCTTGAAGTTTGAGAAGACTGGCCAGAGACTGGAAACAGATCTTCAAGTCAGATGTCAGCACAGCTGAAGAAGAATGCTCATCCGAAATTGTAGTCTTGAGCAAACGCAATAGGCCCGTCATCAGTACCCTCCAGGTTCAATAGATCATCAAACTGGAAAGAATCCGAGTTGGCACCGACAATGCTCATATCCATACCTTGCATGCCGGTCAAAGTGGATTTGGCTTGCTCGCTGGGGGGTTCCAGACTCTCGATGAGCTGCATGTTTTTCGGAACGGCCGCACCGAATGCTGACAAACGAGTAGGTCGAGCCGTCCCCAGAATCTTGCCACTACCAGTGGCGTCTCCGCGAGCGTTCATGCGGACGCCGTTGCCACTTTCGTTGTTCTTGATGGATTTCTGGAAGTAGTCGACAAACAGCAGGCTAGTCTCGTACCAACGACCTTTGATTTCTTCAACGTCCATGGATGTGCCCACATGCACAAGTGCCCAGTAGGCCTGAGTGCCCGTGGCTGGAATGAGTTGTTGATTGCGCCAACGGAGATCCTCCCGCATCCGAATGGGGATGCGGCTGTCTGCAGGAACATTGTTGGGTGCCATTGTCCTGTACGAGTAAACGTCTCCGACGAAGCTGATCTTCGAGGTGGCATTGGGTGGGTTGGCTGGAAAGACCTTCTCAACTATATCTGTCACTACCATGATGTCGTGCCCGAAAGCCAGGCGCAGACGCACAGGATCTCCGTTCCAGATCTTCTCGCCGCCCAGGTAGATGCCATTCCAGTATCGGTATTCCACCCCCGCAACTACCTGAGACTTGACACGGTCGAACAGCGTGTAAGTAGTATCCACCTGTTTAGCGGCAAGGATACACGCGTCGACGTCAGGAATGCCCTGGCCATATTGGCCAGACAGCAAGGCGCTCCATTCCACGCGGTCGTAGCTAAGAGTGGGATTCTGCTGCAGGAAAGAGTATGTGCATGAAGGGGCCGACCAAGCAAGCCACGGTTTCACTTTCTCTTCGGTAGTAATTAGTTCTTGAGATGGTGTTTCGTAAGGATGTGATAGAGGTTGGATCAAATATGCACGGTCACTCGATCCATCTTTTGGTATCCAGCGGCGGGCGACGATGCCTAAGCCCCACGCTCCCTTTGACGCCCTGTGAAACCAGACGACCTCGCCAGTGCGCACAACAAACTTCCCATATTGACAGTCGATCTGTTGGTCGTACGAGCGGGGCTGCGGAAGGGGTGTGGGCACATTAACTTTTGGCAGCTTATCCTGGCGAGCATCCGCGGTGGACACGGGCGTAGGAACAGGGTAAGATAGAGCAGAGTTGACGGAATTGGGTAGAGCAGGCTTCACGACGGGGCTTTGCGCAGCGGGCGTACCAGTGGTGCTGCTGGGTCGGCGGAGAGGGACGGGAGCGGGGCGGGCGAAGGCAGCGGATGAGGGTTCGTTCCTAATGGCAAGACTGGCATCCGGTTTTACTGGAGGCGGTGCAGGCTTCTCTGCGTCGACCTGCATGGGCGAGCAAATTCGACAGGTGCAGTTTTGGTAATCACAGGCTTCATCGGTGGACAGCCAGAGCAGGTGCGGGAAGAACTCCATGGGGCTGCGAAAGCGCTTCTTGGGGCCCTTGGGGTAGCCGTATAGATAGGCGTCCTGCCTATCGTGGCCGCCGCCCGAGTGGTTCTTGAGCGACTTGGACTCGTTGGTGGCTTTAGCCTTGATATGTTCGTACAAGCGATAGCCCTCTGGGAATTCATTCAGTATGCTCGTGGGCCACTTGTCCTCGTACTCCTCGCCACCGATTTCGCGCAGTAGCATTCCACCCAGCTTCTTGCGCCAATCCAGATGCTTTGGGTCATCTCTCTCGAGCAGGCGGTAGTAGTCGCTGACGCCTTGATCGTTGGGGGTGCGGTCGAGCTGAGCTTCGGTGGGCCCGTTGCGATGGATCTTGCCCTTGAGATTCACCACTTCCTGCCCATCTGACCTGATGGTGAAGACAGGCCAGAATTGTGTGAAGGGCTGCGCCATGGTGCCGGCGGTTGGCTGGAGTGGATGAATCGGAAGTGCTGTTGTTGTCGTCGCTGCCGTTATTATTGTTGTTGTTTTAATGTGACTTTCAATGTTACTCTAAGCCAGCAGGGCACGTGATGACTCTTGGCGGCGACGCGTCGGAGTTTACTCGCTTGTGTCCGGCGTTAGCGCGTTTTTGATTTTCTGTAACGACAGACTTCATCAAGCCATAATCTTCAGCAGAGATCAGCGATTGATGGCTCTAGAGTTGGAACTGCAAATCTCACCATCATGTGGGACTTTCTAATACTACTACTGTCACAAGTGAATTAACCTCACTCATCATCATCTCATAAGTAACACCGCTAGACGCAGTTACGCTGCAAAACCCACCTTGCTGGTGAAGTGCCTCTAAAGCTTTCTTTTGCTCTCCGGCTGCAATAGTTCACTTTCATCTTCACTTTCATCTTCACTTTCATCTTCACGTTCGTGTACTCACCCATGTATATCCTAATCTTCAAATGGTCCCCCGCCAATTCTCCTCGCAACCGCCGTCTGCCTACTTGACCCTCTACTCCCTCTCCAACAGCGTCCATTACAAGGCAGCATCTGCACCATGGCGAATTCCACCCCATCAACACTTCAACCAGCGAAACGCGGCGGTGCGTTAGAAGATTTACTGCAGCTTTTTGGTTCTCAAAGTTCTGCGACTTCTGTCACAAAGGCTCGTCGCGAATCGCCCACGAGCAAGCCACGTCCTCCGGTTGCAGACGTGAGCAAACCGCATGACAATCACGTGTCACCACCGACCAAGTCAAACGATCCCGCCTTTACTTTGACTCCGAGATCTACGCCATGCCCGGTTCCTCCTGCTTCAGACATCCTTGGAATAGCTACCCAAAGCAGCGACTTCACATCCGACACCGAGAGTGGTATTGTGTTGACCCAGGACCACGGTACCAACGTTGCCGATATTGTAGATAGTCCTAGCGATAACAGACTGCCTTCACTTGTTCGCCCTGCGCGCACGCCATCTCGCATACAAGTCATTGGCGAACTCAGAATGGAACCACGCCGAAGTCGAAGGGAGCCTGATGAGACACCTCGCCGCAGCCTGCGCAGAAAGGATGACATCCTTGAGTCAGATACAGTTAGTCGCTCGCCTCCAACTGCTGGCAATCGCAAACCACGTTTGCCTCGCAAGCTAGATACAGCTCGCGCCCGCCTGCGCGATGACATTGCCCAAAAGACCAAAGTCAAGGCCGACGACTTCCTGACTCTCAACAAAGACTTCTTCTTGCCTCTACTTCCACAGCACAATTACATAACCCGTTTAATTGCCAAAGGGCAAACTGGCTCTGTCGTTCCATACAAGTCAATCGAACGGCAGCCCCATGGCATCAATGCGATCATGAAGCCCTATCAGCTTGAGGGATTGTCGTTTCTGGTCCATCTCTACAACAACGGTTTTTCTGGAATTCTGGGCGACGAGATGGGTTTGGGGAAGACATTGCAGACGCTATCTCTATTCCAGTATCTTGAGGAACTTGATCGCGATACCGGCGTCACATCCGAGGAACTGCGCCCTTATCTCGTCATATGCCCTCTGAGCGTGCTGAACAACTGGGTGAGCGAAATCCAGAAATTCACCCCACACATGCGAGTTCTTCGGTACCATGGCGGCCCGAAAGAGCGCGATCGTCTCAAACGCATTGCTCAAGGCTTGGAAGATAGATATGGCAACGAGACTCTACGGTCTAGAGATCGAAAAGTATCTCAAAAAGCAGGTGTCAAAGTTTCGAAGCTGGCCACAGAAGCGAGCTCTAGCTCCTACAACATTGTGGTAACCACTTACGACAGTTTCCATGCAGACCACACCTGGTTCAAGCATTCATTTATATGGAGATATGTCGTTCTTGATGAAGGCCACAAGATCAAGAACAAGGCCACACAGCTATCAGCTTCGCTAAGAAATGTTTCGTCCGAGTACCGCCTCATTCTCACTGGTACACCACTGCAAAACAATCTACTGGAAATGTGGGCACTGCTAGCCTGGCTTTATCCAGACGTCTTCACGGAGAATACCCATGCTTTGTTCAAAGAATCCTTCGATCTAGGCCGCGGAAAGGTCAACCGAAAAACTCTTGACGATGCTCGACACTTGTTGGAGCTCATAATGATTCGACGCATGAAAGATTCTCCCAACGTCAACCTGGGTCTCCCTCCTAAAGAAGAGGTGCTTCTCTACGTGCCATTGACGCCTATGCAGCGCTTTTGGTATACGAGATTGCTTACAAAGGTCGATGATGGCCTTTTAGACGACCTGTTCGCCGATAATAAGGCTAAAGAGTTGGCTGCGCTGGAGACTGATCGGCAGGATGCACGACTGGTGGCAAAGATGGAGAAGGTAGCTGCCCTTACAGATGCTGGTAAAGCAGACGATCAATGGGAAGAAACAGCACAGATTGCGCGACAGGCAATTAAGAACGAGCAACAGGGTGACGGCAATACATCGATATGGAAAAGGCTCATGAATCTCGTTGTACAACTGCGCAAATGCTGCTCGCACCCATATCTATTACCAGGTGCAGTTCCAGAACCGTATCATATCGGCCAACATCTTGTGCGAGCCTCGGGAAAGTTCATTCTACTTGAGAAACTGCTCAAGAACAGCATTTTTCAGCTGGGAAAGAAAGTTTTGATATTCTCTAGCTTCACACAAACCCTCGACTGTTGCGAGGATCTCCTGTCCATGATAAGCAACTTCGGCCAAGAGTTCAGGTTTTTGCGCTTGGATGGTGGTACGCAGCGGGCCCGTCGAAATCTTGGTATTCGGCTCTTCAATGAGGCAAATTCTGCCTACAGAGTCATGCTTTTGTCGACACGTGCTGGTGGTCTTGGTATTAACCTCACGGCCGCAGAGGATGTCGTTTTTCTCGACGAAGATTGGAATCCTCAAATCACTCTCCAAGCTGAGGCACGTGCGCACCGCATCGGGCAGATGAAGAAAGTTACTATCTACAAGATTTGTACCCAAGGTACGGTCGAAGAGCAGATGATGGGACGCATCCGGAAGAAGCTTTACCTATCAGCAAAAATCACCGAGTCGATGCAAAACATTCACGGCGAAGATTATGCCACCCTCAAGACGGGCACTTCTGTCTCAGACGATGTCCCTAAGATTAGCACCACCCAGCTAAAGACGCTTGTTCGTCGAGGAGCTCAAACCCTATCTCATCCCGAGATTGATGTCAACAGCATGCTCTCCTGGGATTTGAACACTATGATGCAGAATTGTCGCGATAAAGCCACTGAGCCAGTTCCGACGGGCTCTGAAGCCGACGGTGAATTCGACGAAGAGAAGTGGCTTTCCGTAATGGAGCGCGTCGAGTGTGCCGTGCTCGATGGTAAAAGGTACCAGCGCAATAACGCGTATTCCAACAAAACACAAGAGAGCATTCTCCCAGCGAGTGCCACTCGACAGGACCGTCGCAAAGGCAAGAATGTAACAGTCATGGTGGATGGTTTTGCCGTCAACAAGGAGTCGCTGCGTTGTGCCGATGGTGAGGCTGTGCCTACTTTGGCTGGCAAAGACGTGCGTTTGGCTGAGCCGGAGCGTGAGAAGAGGCACGAATATCAGCATGAGGAGCATTGTCTGATGTGTTTCGACGGTGCAGACAGTGGCCATCTGATTGGTTGCAAAAGCTGCCCCCGGGCGTACCATTTCAACTGCTTGGAAGAGGCATACCAGGCCAAGGTCAAGGGTTTCCAGCATTTCTTCTGTCCCCAACATGTTTGTTGCGATTGTGGAAAGCACACGACGGATGCTGGCGGCCTCATCTACCGTTGTCGCTGGTGCCCTCGTGGATTCTGCGAGGATTGTCTGGCCGAAACGCAGACAGAGGAGCTTGTTGGTGACAACCTTCCAGAATTCGAGATGCTAGGCGAGGGCGTCTCCTCGAGCGGCTTTTACATCAAATGTCACGAATGTATCGCGTGCAACGAAGAAGACGAAGCGCGGAAGGAGTGGATGGGGAGCATGGAATTGAGCTATGCGGAGCAGCACGAAACATGGGTCCAGATGAAGAAAGAGGAACAAGTCCGCATTGAAGAAGAGGATGCAGCAAACGAAGCTCGTCGTCACCACTTTAGGGGCGAGGAACAGATGAAGGACTGCGTGTGCCAATCCCCGTCTGTGATTGACGGTGACAAGGAGTTTGAGAATGATGCTCTGTCTCCCCCATCGCTCACGGAAGATGAGACGGCGTCTGCCACACCGGGGCCTGGCTTCAGCACTCCGCGGTCCGAGGGCAATGGCGTACAGAGCAGAAAGAGGATTAAAGAGGATATGGAGGCCAATTTTGGTGGACTTGGGCGCTCATCAAAGAAGGGCAAGTTGGACGGCGACTTTCTTGGCGGCATCTGAGAGTGGAAGATGGACCGATCCACGTACATGGCCTGCAGCGACTCAATGATGGTGGGACAGGTGGTTACGCAATCAATATAGTGAGGTTCTCTACGAACGTGATGCTAGTTTCAATTCTTCCCTTTCTTCGCACTATACCCCCTCCTTTTTTTTGCCTTTCACATGGGGATATAGACACTGAGCTCTAAGTTATTTGCAACAATACACACAAACTGAGGTGCTGCCAATGCATGCCTATTGAATAACGCTGTGCTTGGGCAGAGAAAGAGCCAAAGAGGCTACTGCAAGAGAGTGAACACGAAAGAGAGAGAGAGAGAGAGAGAGAGAGAGAGTACGGGATGAAGGCAACAGAAACGGACTGAAGCAAAGATACGAAACAGAGCGACGGACCGGGAAATCTGCAATGGATGTGCAAGATTTGATTGCCAAAAGGTAACAAGAATTACCGCGAGGAGTAAGTAGGTACTTGGGTACTGAGCAATGTAAGTACCTAGGTACATATGTAGGCATGCGGAGAGGGTGCACGCTTGGCGCTCTCAACCCCCGACAGACCATCCATCTCCCCATCTCACCACCCACCCACCCATCCATCCATCCATCTCATCATCGCACCTCGCACCACCCGTCACCACCACCGCCATTGACCCTGCGCCATGGATCCCAAGGAGCCCAAGGACGACCGCCGCAAAAGTCTAGGCAAATATGTCAAGCGCATGAGCAGCGTCTTCAAGAAGAACAAGCCCCAAGCCTCTTCGTCTGCTCCCGCCGCGTATGTAAAACCTGTCGGTCGTTGCTGTTTCAGCACAAACTGCTCTTCCATTACACACTCTAACCACAAAGTAGCCCCGCTGCCTCGGCTCCTGAGCCCACCCCTCAACCTCAACCTCAGCCTCCCTCGGCCGCCGCTGCTGTCGACGAGCCTGATCCTCGCCCCATCATCACCCAGGAGCTGAACCGCAGCGCCCTCCAGCAGGAGCGTGCTCGCGCTCTCTTCGCCAAGTACGGCCTCACCCTCGAGTCGCACGAATGGATTGCCACCGCCCACCCCATCAGCGTCCAGCGCGTCGAGAAACCCATCCGCATGCGTGTCCACCGTTCCTGCCACCACTGTGGAACCACCTATGGCGCCGACAAGGTCTGCGTCAACTGTGAACACAAGCGCTGCAAGAAGTGCCCCCGCTACCCCAAGAAGAAGACACCCACCGAGAAGCAAAAGGTCCCCGCTGCCGCCGACGACGATGCCGCTGCCGCTGCTGCCAAACCAAAGAAGAAGAAACTCCTCACTCTCAAGTCCAAGACGGGCGGTGAGTTGGTTTACCAGCACACCAAGCAACGCGTCCGACGCACCTGTCACAAGTGCCACAACATGTTCCTCCCCGCTAGTGCCACCATTTGCGACCACTGCCGCCATGTGCGATGCACAAAGTGTCCCCGGGAACCCGCCAAACTTGACAAATGGCCCCACGGCTACCCGGGCGACGTGGATGCTGGCAGTGATACCGAGCTCGAGCAGGAGTTGGAGCAGGCCAAGCGAATGTGGAGGAAACCCAGGACCAGAGTCCGATGGGAGTGCGAGGAGTGTCACCGCCTGTTCATCGAGGGCTCGCCTCAATGTCCAGGTTGCGGTCACGCCCGATGTGAGAAGTGTATTCGCAAGCCGTCAGTTCGCCCTCTCCTCTCTCTCTCTCTCTCTCTCTCTCTCTCTCTCTTGTTTACTTCGTTCCTTCCCCCTGCTGACCCTCCTCACAGCCTCAAAAGAACCAAAGTCGAGCGCAGTTTCGACCCGGAAGTGGTCAAAGCCGTGGAAGCCAAGCTCAAAGCTCTCCAGGTCGACGATGACCCACTCTCATCTGCCTAGTATCCCCAACATTTAATCATGCGTACAGCGACGTCCTTCTTCGCCCGCCCCAGTCATTTCCTCATGTTTTCGCTTCCTCGAAACCCATCTTCTTTTTGAGGTTTCCCTTCTTTATCAGAGCTAGGTACAGGTAGACTGCCGACTATGCCGAACGATAACTCACAAGCTGCTCTACTGCGAGGCCATGGCTTCCCATTGCTCTACCAATACCACACTTTGTTATCCTAACCCCCGCCTTTGGAAAACAAGGACGGGGGGCCCTCTATCTTTACTTATGTGAACCGTTCCACCACCGCTGCATTCATGTCGTGCCCGTTACCGTTACTTACACGCGTCTCTCCCCGTGCGCCCAGCCCCTTGCCCAGCCCATGCGGCCGTACATCACATCACACCGTTGTCCTCTCTCCTGATGTCAGGCTTCCCTGTTAATCGAGCGCTTCCTACCGGTCGGGCCCGTCACACGGTGGCGTTTGGTGTTGGTGCATGCAATGCACTATTGCAAGACACTGCGTGGATACTGCATGTCCGCCCCCGCCCATGCCCCCGCCTATTTTTCCCTTTTGACTACTATTGCTCGGTGACTTGACCTTCTCGCAAAATAATTGCAACCGGAGACAAAGTAGGTAGGAATTCAATAGGTGCAGAAAGAAAAGAAAGAATCAGACCCATGGCAATCAAGACGAATGACATGCTTTCCAAGACGACTCGGTAGTCCTACAAGACAGATCTCTCTCTGCTCCTAGCATGTTCGCCAGAAAGATTGCGTCAAGCCTGACTTTGTACAGCGAACGTTGCTTCACACAACCCGCCATTTACTAACCATTGTCGAAACCTCACCGCATCCTAGTTCACCAAGCATGCATTTTTTCGATATTGATTAGTCTTATTGAGTTGTTGGTACAAGTTTAAAGAGTACATGACAGCTTCCTCTCCTCCCGTCTAATTTCTTTCACGTTACTCTCCCATCCCACCTGCATACACCATGTCTTTCTTTTCGCTTTGATAGCGTTTTCTTCCTCTTCCCCTTTGTACACATACCTGAACATACACCATCCATATATATATACATAAGCGTACAGGCCCAACATAGGTAGTCGTACAAATAACAAAACTCCAAGGCGGGAAACAGTGCGACAACCAAAACAACAAGACAGGAAACGCCCCTACAAGATGCCTCTATCTCACTTCCGTCCTGTGCTATGCGGAAGAAGGGGTGTACATAAACAACCACGGAAGAGAAATTTGGAGAAGATAAAAGGAAATTGAGAAATGCAGTGACCCACCCGTACACGAAGCAGGACGACATGCAATTCAGCATGGAGACGAGCGGTAAAAAGAAAGAGAAACTGGAACGCCACAATGATCGCTTGCTTATAAATCAGAATATGCACTCGAGATTCCTCCAGTCCGGGGCGTAGCCTGGAATGGCTGTATACCTCGAGTGAACATACGCACGCCTCACTCGTCAAACTCCCGTGAAGATAGACCTAAGAGAAGAAGTACTTGGACTTGTGGAGTCGCGAAACGTCCCAGGTCCCCTTTTTGGGTACAGGGGGAAAAGACAAGGGAACCCAGACATTGAGCATAGTGTAGGTGCTCAGCCTCGCCTGCTTCGGGGTGGAACCATTGCCCTTCTGTCCCCCCTCTACTTCAAGCTGCTCTTCTGTCTCCTGTGCATCGTCCTCATCTAGGGCAGTAGTGTCCTCGTCCGTCGGCTCAGGAAGAATAGTGTCCTTGACCGACTGGATCGACGCCTCGGTTGTTCCAGCAAGCGAAGCCTCCTTCTGCGCATCGATCTCGTCAACGTTGAGATTCTCAGCTTCCGCTTCAATGGCAGCGGCGACGATAGAGCCAGGTGTCGAGTCCGCCGACTTCAGATCGGAGTTGTTCAGCTTCGTCTCTACCGCCTCAGCTTCGGTGCTTAGGATCTTGTCCTTGATCTTGTCGTACTCAGTGGTACCCCCTTGCTTTGTCTCACCCAAGAGCGCGAGTCGACTGGAGACAAGAGCTTTTGGATCTTGATGTGCGATCCAGATGCTGGTCGGTGTCACCATCTCTTCACCTTGTTGTCTTAGCGAGGGGTCCTCGCTGTGAAGCAACTCTTGCCTTTGAGCCTCCAGTGCCACTTCTTCAGTCGGTGCATCCTTGATTTGCGTGTATGCCTTGGTACCGATTTCCAGTTTGCGATGCTCCCTTCTCCAGGCTATAATCATTTTGGCAACTTTGGATGATATCCTGATATCAGCTTTGTGCAGATGGCCTGCGTAACGGGCTTTGAATTCTGCCGCAAGGCGTCCCATGACGTCTTCCGAGTGCATTCGCACGAAAGCATCGCGCAAAATTATGTTCAGGTTGGGAATGTCGGCGGCGTGTGTCCAGAAACTGTCGTGCACGGCAGCGAAATCGAGACCCATTTCATTGCATTTAAGAGCAGAGAGCAACATGTGAGTTGCGTCCAACGAGTGGATGAAATTGGGAGGGAAAGCCTGCAGTTGTTTGCGCTTGTTAACGCTGCCGAAACTAGAGTGTTTAGACACCGCCACGGTTTGTAAACGAGTAGCGATGGTCTCCACACCGTCCTTTCTATACGGCTGTACTACCGGCATTTTGAGAGGAGTGGTCCAGATAATGCTAGTTTTGAACGCTTCGTGATCCTTCTCCACCTTCTTCAAGGCCTTGCCTTGCAGTGACGATTTGGATTTTGGGTCCCGGTTACTGGCGAAGCGATCTTTAATCCCCTGGATTTGCTCCGGGGATAGTGAGGTCGTGATGCGTTCACCACACTCATTGAGCCAGTATTGAATTTCCTGTGCACCGTTAAAGATTTTGCCAAGTGCCGCAAATATCTTCTTGGCAATGTACAACGCAGGCTTGTGTAGAGCTGGAAACTCGGGGGTTCCTGCGAAATCCGGAAACGCATCCTTTAATTCTTCCAACACCTGGGCTTTGGCCCCTATAAAGGTGACACCATAGACATTAGTCATGACCGTCCGCTTCACCACTTTGCGAGTGATCTTATCTTTAACAAGTACAGCTTCAGGAATGCCTCGGGCAGCGTCCTCCCTGACCATGTCCTTGACCAGCTCAGCGACGCCCGTGTAGATGTCCTGTGGTCTGTCTGATGGTTCGAGATTGACTTGACTTGCGCCAGCGTGATCACCCCCGAGAGCTGCGTAATGCTGGAGACCATTGCAAGTTCCATCTTGATGCACCGGAAGCTGGGAGACGTAGCGTGTTGGATCAGGCGAATCGAGGGCGTTTTTGAGCTCCATGCAGCAAGCTAAGCATTGCCATGGATCTTCAGCCTTAACCCACCATCGTCGTCCAGTCAGGGGGTTGGTCGCTGAGTCGTAAATCTCACCGATATTGTCCATGGCAAATTGCTCTCGCTCACGTAGACTGGCTTTGTCGAACCCATAAAGATTGGCTAGTTGGACTTTGATCCACTGCAACCCGACAGCGCCCAATTCTTTTCCATTGGCAAACTTGAGAAGGCTTCTAGCAAGGTCGGCACCAATGTGGTTCAGCAATGGAGGGACTGGGTATGCTCGGCCCCGGAAATCGACGCTGTGAGGGAAAAACATCTGTTTCTCTTTCAAATATGCTCGCGCAATCTCCAGCTGGAAATTCTGAAAGCAACGTTGGGAATGTATACCGGACTTCCTATTCTCCCAATCTCTCAACCTTTTCACCCAGCTGTTGTACTCTTCTTTGGGTGCATCAGGTGAGGGTTCAACGGGCCGGTCCCCAATCATATTGGCTGCGACCAGACCGCCGATAGCTTGCTCACTGTTCCAGGCCTGTACCATGACTTCAAATACCTTCTCGTTGATTTGCCAAGGCACCTTCCCGAGAACGTCTAGTCCGGCGAGCACCTTGTCCATATCCCCATTCGCTATTGCTGTATGCGCATACGCACGCTGTGAACTGTCACCGGACTTGGTGCGGATCACGGTGGATTTGGTAGCGTAGAAACCGCCGTCGTCAAAACTTGACCACGGCTTGGGCTCAAACACCATCGGGAGTCCTCTAGTGCTGATGTTATGTAGCGATTCCCTCTGCAATTTTTCGAGGACTTCGGCGTGAGGAGCCAGGAAGCCGATCTTTTTCCCTAGTACGAAGCTCATGTGATGGTGGAAAGCAGGTTGCGTGCTGGTCAGCTGTTTACCAGTCTTGGGGTCTTCGGCAGTGACGGTAATGGTGGCCGTTTTGAGCATCAACTCCAATGCCATGGCCCCAATCTTCGTTTTGGCAATCAGAGGAAACTGGTCCCGGGAGTACTTGGCCAATTCAAGTGGGGCAATCAGATTTGCATTAGAGGTGGGTGCTGTGGCCTTATCGGGTGCGGATTCCGGACTCAATCTCAACTTTTCCAACATTCCAGTTCGAGCTAGTCGTCGTTGCTTTTTCACTTGCGCCTTGTACCTGGACTGACTCTCGAACTGGTACTCCTGCTCGATATCGTCACCGACGGCTTGTGTGAGGGCAGAGAGTTTGAGAGTGTCCGTGTCAGCGTGAGCTCCTCGTGCACACGACTGTATTACGCGCGATACAGTCAAGGCAGCAACCTTCTCCGCCTTGACGTTGTCCAAATATGTCCCGTATATGTGACGATCATCGCGCTGATTTGCGGGACTAGGGTTCGCCAAGAGCTCTTTAGTTTGGGCCATCTCGCGTTTGATAAGCGGCAGGAGCGCGCTGTACCATTGCCATAATAATGCTTGGATGGGCTTTGATTTGAGAACGCCGTGGATGCCAATGCCTTGCAGCTTCTCATCTTCGGCCTTCCAACGCTTGATGGCGGCTTCCAAGGCATCTGTCTCGATGCGCAACTGCCGCGCAAATGCATATGCTCTATCCTTCTCTTCCTGTGAGCCTTCCATTTCGTGTGGATAAGGTACCGCATCTTTGGTGGCATCGAACATGGCAAGAGAGTTTTTGAGCGTCTCGAGACCATAACCCTTCTGCTCCACGGAATTGACCTGGTGTGCCGGGTTGGACACAAACCCGTGTTCGATGAGCTTTTCGTAGCCGAGGGGAGTGCTGATTGGAGCTTGTTGCGACTCGGAGGGGGGCGGTGGCGATTTGTATTTGGAGTACTGGAAACGGATCAGACGGTCCCATTCGTCGTCTGAGAACTCGTCCGAGTTGTTGATGACATCGATCGCATCAGGGCTACATTCCTCAGCTACCATAAAGTATTTGGCCAGAGCGGCTTGAAGAGCATAGCCGTCCAAGAAGTTCAATGCGCCGCGCAGTAAGATGACGAGTGTGTCCGGGGATGGTTCGATTGCGTTGCGAACCATACGCTGGTCGTACCACTCTTCCATCTCACGCATGGCATCCGGAGTGGGATTCTGCTCTGCCTTTTCTAGCAGATGCTGCAGGAACATGTTGTGCGCTTCGACAACCTCGGGGGATGATGGGTTACACATCTTGACCAGGCGGTCGAGAATGGCCGTGGCTCTGTCCAAGAGGCCAACGCGTAGGCAGGCGTGTAAATTTTGGTAGAGCTCTGCTGTATCGCCACCAATTCCAAACTTGATAGGAGTTGTGTGTTGAATCCCAGGATCGCGAAGGATGAGGGTTTGGGAGGGATTCCAGTTATCGAGTTTTGCTACATGGGGAGCCTGTGGTCGCGGTTTCCATGGCGGCATGAAGCCGCCGAAGCTCGAGGCCGGCGAGGCGAACTGAGAGTCTGCGGCGGTGGCGAGGGAGCGTGATTCGGATCGCGAGGTGAAAGATAAGGGCGTGGATCGCTGCTTCCTGGTGTCATGTGAGTTGGTCGTGATGGGGGACGGTGCGGCGACGGTGGCGGCCCGCCTTGTCTGCGCGGGAGTGAGCCATGATATGAATTGTTCGCTCGGTAACGAGCTTCTTGAATTGGGTCGGAATGCATCTCGTCGGAGCTTCCGCTCGGCTGCGCGGGCAAGCATCATATTGTAGGCGCGCTCCGACGGGTATTAGGGCGAGCTGGGTGAAGGAGAAAGGCGGCAGTCAATCACGCTCCAGCAAAGCAAGCAACGCAGTCGAAGGAAGACTGAGAATGGGAGGAAGGTACGGTATTAAAAGGGATGTGAATGGTGGAGATATCGGTGGCGAGCGGAGGCGGTGGCGAGGGGAAGCAAAAAAAAGAAAGAAGGAAAAGAAAAGAAAAAGACAATAAACAGAATTGAATTCTCGATGGCCGTGGTGCTGTCAGTCGTCGAGGGATAGCGAGCACGACGAAGATGAGCAAGTAAGAGCAGAAGAAGACGGGTTTGCTTGACGGGGCGAAAAAAAAACATGTATGCGCGTCGTCTCCATTGATTGGGTCACGCTTCTAGGGGCGCGCTAACCCTGATTTGCTTTGGCATCTGTCACCACCACTCACCTACAAATGTGCATACTTATGTACCTAGGTAGGTACATAGGTAGGTACATGCTGCAGTCTATATAACACTGTGCCACATGTATGTAGCCAATCTTGGCGTAGGTCCCCACGGAAGAATAATTATCGACGTCTTTGGATAGAATGAAAAGAAAGACTGGTCAACATCATCATGCATCAAACCCATTGACCGTCAGACGTACTCCCAAGGTGCTCAAGTAATATACACGCTGTACTGTCACTCGTGCGTCGCCCATCAACTAATAAAACATGATTCAAAAAAGAAGACGCCCCCAACATCTCATCAAGCAATTGCTGTTCGTGACGGTGGCCCAGCTGTGGCGGTGATCCCCATCTTCTCCTTCGCCTCGCCCTTCCCCTCTCTTGCTGCTGCTCCAGGACTCGGCGAAACCCTCGCGTCCATTCCCGCTTTCTCAGCATAGTCGTTGGCTGCCGCAAGAGCATCCGATTCAGAAAATCTTTCAGACATGTCTACCTCCGGCTCCCAATCGCTCTCCGTCTCGTCGCCAAAGCAGAACAAGTCTCGTGCACTACTCGCTACCATCTTCCGTCGCATGCCCTCCGTCACCTTACACCCACCAATTACTTCGCGATATTTCCTTGCATATCCCTCGGCCGCGGTGCTTGCGTTGATGTGCGGAATCTGTTCACCCGTGTGCAGGAGAAAAGGCATTTGAGACACTTCGGGCAGATCGGCTTGCAGGGGAAGCGCCTGGTGCAAAGGGCGGTTGCGCGGAATCACGGGAGGCTCGGGATAGTTCACAGCTGCCGCCGGCGTTTTGGCGCGCACAAAGGATTCATCTGGCACCTGTTTCGTGGCATCCGAGTCGCCACGCGTAGGTTCGGCATCAAGAAATTCTTCGGGAATGTGATAGAGCTCGTTGTGCACCGTGACCAGGGCCTCTGTGCTGCTCGCACCAGGATATAGAAGCGCGTAGCCACGCACTCTCATAAACTCGAGCATATATTCTGTCCATGAAGGAAGCGTTTCGGACACGACTTTAGATTGTGCGACACCCTTTGGTGTCTGTGAATGTTTTGCGACGCGGTTGCTAACAAACGAATGAAACTCTGCCCATTTGTCACCGAAGAAGAGGGTCGCGTGACTGTTGGGTGCTTGCCATAGGAATGGCACACTTAGAGTATCAGGAAAGAGTTCTTCGTAGCGTGGTGTGTGCATGTCCTTGGGTGTCGGGAGTACAAGTTTGGTTTCGCCATCCAGGAGAGTCGAGGGCAACTCCATACTCACACCCATGACATTAGCACTGTCGATGGCACCGAACGCGGAATATTTATATTCCAAGAGCTGATACATTGTGTATTGGTAAAACTGCGGTGATAACTCCACCTGTGGGGACAGCAGCAGCGCGTGCGAATTAGAGGTGCTGGACGGGTAGAAAAGCTCCAGGAATCGGATGGTGGAGGACTCCTGTGTTGCGCGCTCTCTTGTGAGCCTACGTCTAATGGAAAGACGACTCCGTTCGCCAGTAGGGGGCCATTCGAAGTCCCGCAGATATGATGACACAGAGTCGTCCACCTCGGCGGGTAGCTCGATGGTAAGATGCGGATGGCTCAGTCCCGCATAATCGGCGGCTTTAAGGGACTTGAGAAGCTGAATGACGCCAGATGATTGAGGAGGGACCTGCACTATGACCTCGACGAATGGATCGTGCCAACTCTTGAGTGAACCTGCGTCTAGACGAGTCATCCACATGGAGTTGTCCCAATTCTCGGGACCTTCGATCAGGGTCATTCCTATAGCGTCTGTTTTGGCGCGCACGCCGCGAAGAAAGAAGGCGTCCTCAGAAGCGTCGACGATGACCACCTGAGGATGCAGGAAGCTATGGATATGGCCCATGGCTGATATAACGCTCGACTCGGCGCGCTCGTCTGTGCTGTACTCGGCGTAATCTGGACGCGCATCGTGCAAGATGGCTGGGCACTTGACCTGGTCAATTCCATTGATATCCAGGATGTCGTGTATAGCAATTTCTTCCCTCCCCATGAATGCCACGTGTACCCAGCTCCTAGACCATCGCGACATGTCGCATATTACAGGCAGAAGCGTCGCTGCACTCTGGAGGCTGGAGATGGCGAATACGACGTTTCGATTGACATTGCGGAAGCCATTCGTATGGCCAGCGCCATGCAAGGTGGCGGACAGTCGGTAGAACCTAATCTGGCCTGAGTACGTGTGGGGGGCCAGCTGTCCCGGCTTTGGGGGGTTTGTGCCTGGAGGAGGGCCGGAAGGCTCTTCGTTTTCGGCGTCATCGTCTGCTCGGGCATAGTAACTACTGTCGACGGGCGGCGGCGAAGGTGGGATGATGCCCCTCAGGTCGTAGGACTGCTCCCAGGCCCAGTCCGGCAAGTTCCTGGCAAGCCCGTAGACCAGAGCGAGGGCAACAAAGATGAGGATGATGCGCCGGCGCCGCCATCTCAGCGGGACGGTTGACCTGGTCCAGCGGGGTGCGCGCGACGAGGCGCCGAATTTGGGGTGGTGGTAGTCGTCGTCCTTTTTGCGGCCGGATTCCTCATCGCCTGGTAACACCTTGGTCAACATGTTGCCCCGGATCATTCCCTCCTGCAACCACCCGTGGTTTGACGTTGCAGGTCGCATGCGAGCAGAAGACGTATCATCAATTCAGACCATGGCGATCTATATATATGAATGGCAGGCAGTCAGTATCAGAACGACGGAGGCGGGCGAGTGGTCCGGGAAGCGAGCTGGATGCGAATACTTGGGTAAGTAAATACTTGGTTATCAGGCTCCCAGGCGCAAGGAAAACGTGTCCACCTGCAGGGTCGACCCCAAGAGAGGACAGGTGGGAAGACAATCAATCAAAAAGACACAGGAGCAATCAAAATCTCCGGAGAATGAAGGCAGAGATGGCTTTCATTGCTGTAAAGGGCAACCACGAGGCGGTCACTGGCAACAGTTCAAAGATATGCATGCATGTACATACAGATGTACCTAGGCAGGTACATAGATAACATCAATCCATCCGTACTAAGCGAGTGGCACTCCCGAGGATAAGCCGACTTATGCACGTACAGCCGGCTCAGGCACATCTCCAACCACCAGTTGACGGCAATAAAAAGTACTTAGTCGTGTACACTCCTCCTCTCCCCTTCTTTTCTGTCCGCCTCTTCCAACGCCCGCCTCAAAGCTTCCTCGTTTCTCGGCTTGAACACCACCTTGTAGTCCCTGCACATGGTCACCAGGCTCGTTGGGTCGCTGCTCCCTCTGATCGGATCCGTCTCAACCTGTGAGTCCGGAACAATGGCAAAGCTATTCAACATGCGCATGTACGTGAGGTACAATTCCCGGTTGGCCAGCAGCGACCCAGCACACATGCGGTAACCCAGCCCGTACGTAAAGAGTGGCGCGTCAGGTTGCTCGAGCCATCGTTCAGGCCGGAATATCATGGGGTCCTGCCACACTTTTTCATCTGTTGCAAACCTGTCAACCATCTGCCTTGCTCAATCAACGACGAGGACAAGGCATTCCAGGCTGCTGACTTACCCATGTTGCACGCCCATGCGTTCAAGTACACTGTGCTTCCAGTTGGAATCAACTTCCCCTTGTACCACACTTCCCGAACTGTTGCTCTTGGAAGCGCCAGCCTCAGCACGCAGTAATATCTCAGGCACTCTTTGACCAATGCAGCAACGTATTGACACCTCTGGTCGTCGTACGCATCGCAAAGCGGTTCGTCCGCCCCGTAGTACTTCCTAATCTCCTGCACCGCCTTCTCCTGTACGTCCTCCCTTTGCGCCAACAATGCCACGCTCCACTGGACCAATGTTGTAATCGTGTCCAATCCCCCGGAGAGCATGGTCAGCGAGATGGACCTGAGTTCCTCTTTGTTCAATGCCGCTTCCTCATCCACCATCACATTAGCCTGTATACATGGCTTGTGCGTTCCTTTTTCCATTCGCTCGTCTAGGTCCCGATTCAGCCTCGCCAGATACACGTCCCTCCTTGCACGCATCTCCCTTGCACTCCGACTCCCCTTGCTGAACGGATTCAGTCGTAGAAGTGGGATGTAGTCCTGCAAGTTTCCTGTTGTGCTGCGGAACTTTGAAATCGCCTCTTCCACCTCTGTGATCTCGTGGAACAAGGGATCATCGCGGCTAACCATTCTAGTTCCCCAATTCAAAGTCAATGCCAAGGATAAGGACAGCCTCTGGATCATGGGCATTGGATTCACGCCCACCGTTCCCGCTTCGCCATTGATAAACCCTTCCTTGATGAAGTCCTTGGTCTCCACGTCCAAATGTGGAATGTACGTTGCGATGGAAGGTCTGTTGACGGCGGAAGCTACGCCTTTCCTCCTCCGTTTCAACGACTCCCCGAATGGTGATGTTCCGATTGTTGTTCCCGCCGTGTTCGAAAGGACTTTGTGAAAGGTCCAGAAGACCGGCCGCGAACTCAATGCCTGGCTATTCCGCCCGAAGATCTCTTTTGCGCTCTCCGCGCTGTTCACAACGAGCACAGGGACGTTGCCCAGCTGAATCTGGTAGACTTCACCGTACGTCTTGCTCCACTGGCGGTACTTTTCCGCGGCATTGTATTTAATGGAAGGGATGTTGCCGACGAATGGCCAGTTGATGGGACCTGGGAACCCTTTGATGCGGGCTGCCCAGCGAATGTACTCGTTGGTGAGGAGGTAGGCCATAACGGGGCTGAGAATGAGAATGCAAATGGAGCGGAACGTGTGCTCAGATGACTGTTGGGACAGTATCGGGAGGACGGTGGCAATCATCCCGGCTTTCGCTCTTTGGTCGACGTTAGAGGTCTTTTTGGATGACGAGGTCGTCGAGAATTAGCGAGAACAGACGTACTAACGCTCGAGAATACCTTCGATGCGAGAAGATTGAACGAGACAGCATCAATAGCGTAGCAGCTGACAGTATCTTACGATGCTTCGACGACGTGATTTTTGCGCCACGTTCAACAGCGTAACGATTAACACGAAAGCGAATACCCCTACTCTTGCAACGAGGCGATACGAAGCGATGCTCTTCCTAGCTCGTGTAATTACCAGTCCTCGCCTGGTTGATATACTCACCCCGAGAGCAAAGCGGGTTTGTACGTGTGTGAAGGATCGATGCCCCCTTTGGTCAAGGAGTCCTTCCTCGACGGATTCTTCACACGCGTTACGTGCGGTTGATACTCTACATTCACACTCAGTGGTCCATACACGACCGGACTTTGGCGTTGTAAGAAAATGACGGTACTGCGGTATGCAAATGACTTCGTACGTCGGGGGAGTGGACGACTACCGGGGTACCTATGTAGGTTTGAGATTTGCAGGTAGTGTGTGTATGCAAAAGAAGACACTTGAATCGCATCATCAGCAAAAGGTTTCTGTTAAATATAGGCTCCGCGAACTGCACTTCTCCCCCGCTTTCTTCCCCGGCCCTGCGCTGGTTTGTGCATATGCGGGGGAGGGAAACGGGTATAGGATTGCACAAAGTGCGGAAGTCGCGGAATCATTCCGAGGGATACGCGGAATCAGACGACATGACGGTGAAGAACGCCACTTGATATTAGTCTCCATGTAAAAGTTTGCAGGGGATCATCAGGAGAGAGAGTGTGTATGTGGAGATGGATTGTGGAGGACGTGGAACGAGTAATGCTTCGTGGTGAATCGTTAAACGGGAAACAGCTACAGCATGAAAAAGACTGAAAACGCAAGTACAGCCGTATGACTGTATCGTACACTGCATGTTGATAGCACTATGAAATCGGAATCAACATTTGATTGGATTCTACTCCACAAAGCTTCTCTACTCACCACCATCCAATCTCCCATCTTGACTCCAGAATCAACCATTGTCGCGGTCCGAATGTCTTCAATCCCACTCGGATGGTGCGATCGAAGATCGAACGATGAAAAGGCCAGCAGTTTCATCACGCTCAGAGACCTTCCTGTAGGATGACGGCACGGGATATGTGAAGACGCCTCTGGTATCTGTGATGGTATCATACATGTCATTGTGGCTGGTGGACTAAAGTCTATGTATTGACGTGTGCTTACGTATCGTGAAGCTGGACAAATTCACATCCACACCGTGTATGGTTGTGTAGCCTCAGTCACCCAAGCGCACGCACGTGGGTTGCACAATATCGTGTGTTGGAGCCGTAGCCAGGATCGGCCGATTGAATTGGGCTACTGTTGATTCTGAAGGGCATTGCCCTTTCTGCAATACCTGAAAGCGAACGATGCGGAAATTGTTCCAGGAAGTATCAGTGCTCAAGCCTGATGACTTGCTTTTAATGGCCCAGATGCCCACCTCTAGGTCTCACTATGTACGCAAAGACAACTTCGGATCGTGCAGAACACGTGGACGCTATGGTTACACCATGATCGTTTGGTAGACCGCAAAATGATCCTATATTTGGAATGCTCTATGAGCCGAGACATGTACAAGGCGTGAAGGGAAAACTTCGGGGGAGCATGGTGATGTTGCTGTCTCTGCGAACACACGCCTGCCAAAAAGATTCCTCGATGGTTCCTCTTCCTTGCGGTCATACATAGCTGCTGCGGTAAAGAGGTATGACAATGACTGGAAGGCTTTGTAGTACATTGTGGAGTCACTCCTCGAGCGGTATAAAAATCGATACTCCCGTATACACATATCAAATACATGAACTTACTTACTTCCCATACCACCTTTGCATACGTTCAAATTGACTCGACGCTCCCACTATGGCAAGTTCTAAATCAAAGGACATAGATGAGAGGAGCAAGGAAAAGGAGTCGGCGACGCTTCACACCCAACAAGCCGGGAAAAAAGAAAAAATAACGCTGGAAGAAGATGAAAAATATATTTATCAGCGCCTAGAGATCCAGAACAAACATTTCCGAGTCGTGTGTCCAGCAGATGACATCGTGTAGGTTCCCCACATCTCCACATATATTTCCACGTATCATACACAGATACACATGTCGGTCAAGTAATCAAACCATCCAACTGATTTCCTCCAGTCCAAGCAAGGCCGAAGTCTTGAACCTCTGGAAAGTCACTACGAATAATTCGACGACGACCGGGCAGACTGTGGGATGGACCACGAGTATCGAGATCGCCAATACTCTGCGCCATGCGGAATCAAACGGCTCTTGCAAATGGAAACTCTTCCTAGCGAAATTGGGCGTTGATAAAAAGCTACTTCCTATGCAAGTTTTGGGAGAGGCCACGTCTTGGGGCGGATGGCGACATCTCGCAGACCGTACGCAAGCAATTGGGACTACAGCAGGTGGTAAGCGGCTCTCAATTCATCCCCCTCTTCTATTTTGATATGATGAGCTGACATGAATACAGTATACAAGGAGTACATGGATCTGACTTGCACACTCTCGGTGCCCTTGATGTTGAAATCAGGATGGACTGGCAACTCCCAGTAAGACTCCACGTGGGAGCTTTGGCCAAGGATATGCGGGGAAAGACCTATGGATGTGGGGTCTAGGGAACTTCTATTATCTTCTTTCTCTTACATTGTTCCCCCTGAACCCTGGCCTGTCATGGCCAGAGTAGCAGGGATGCCGTTCGCGCTGTGTGAAAGGTCACGGCCAGGACCCATTATCCCGTCTGGTTATGTGCTTGGCTTGTGTACATGATCGAATGCTTGAGTTAGATGTATATTGATTGGCGTGACTGCAGTCCTGATTCCCTTTGATAGACGATGCGTGGATCGATTTTTATGTTGTAGTGTACAGATGCTAGGATGGTGACGACGTCGCACAGAGGAACGCCATGACACGCAGCGCCTCCTTACCACCGACCCCATAGATTCTTTCCATTTCTCTCAAACAAAATGCATCATGCACTTGACCGCTCGGTCTATTCCAATGCCACGGTCATGGCGATATCGGATACTGTTCCTGGCCACGATACCAATTTGGACGTAGAGGTTGGCGAACTGTAGCACGTGAAGGCATGGATTTACCATGAAGCTATGACACGTTTGAAAGGGTGTGATTCGACTGCCTCCAGGCTACAACACCTGTAGAATTGTTCTTTCACTACGTGGTGCGGTCAGGCGCAAGACAGACGCCATCTCTCGAGTGAATACGCGGGTACCTTACGATTGTTTGTAAAGCTACTGGCCACCAGGCCTTGATGAACGCAATCGGGCTTACTTGCATGCCCAGTACGCGTGAGATTATGCAGACTATCTGATAGCGACCGCGTCACGCTTGTCCCTCGGTATCGTGAAGATGGCTCATGATAGCCTCAACTTTGGAGCGTCGTGATACGACATGACGATGCGGCTCGCAAGTAGGAAACCAGGTCGTATGTGCCGGTACAGGCCCCTTGAAATCCGGAATGCTGAGCATCGATGCCCACTGAATGGCCAACCCCGCAAACGCTGCTATCGTGGCGCTGCGATTTCGCAGTGCCTCAATGCCCTGCCTTCACACCCCGCCTTTACCAACCCAACGCATAGCCAGTTCATAGGCTAAGCATTCAATCACCCTGGAATCAGGCATCCATATCACTACCGCGCTGTCACGATACCGGGTTGTTCCAACGGCCATTTAAGCCTCTTCACGACCCTTCGACCGGCGCTGCATCCAGTCAGTCTATCTTGCAGTGCCTCATAGATAAGTACATACTCCCCGAGCATCATTGACCATTCTGCCAAATTCCCCTCCCCTTCATATAGCCCTACCACCTAATTCGGAACCCCTCTGCGATCCTTTCACAATCGCTGTTCACATCTATTGTCCTCGACCGGCCCACCATACATGACACATGATGGTTGACCGTCAGGAACAAGACCAAGGAAAAGAAGAAGACCCACCGTACAACATGCCACACGCCCAAGATCATTCCCAAGTGACATACTTTCCACAAGCGTTCGACCCGTATTACGGCGCGATGAAGTCGCGCGAGGAGTTTGGGTTCGACCAGTTCGACCAGTTCTGCCACGAGAATTACCACGACATCACAGACGCCCCGGACAAAGGGGACTCCATTCATAACAAGACAGCCGGGATAGCGGGCATCGAAAACACCACAAAAGAGGCATGGCAGATCACCGCTGAAGCAACTCGCGAGCCCGTCGACCGTGCATATAAGATCGAGCGCCACACCGAAGCTTCTGGCTCCAGCATGGGCTACCCCGAGCACTCAAGTGACGTGCCTTACTCTTACAGTGCCTCGCACCCTTTCAAATCATGTTCACTGTCTCCTTCCCTGCCACCTGCACTTTACCATGCAGATGAGGCTGCCCAACGGGACCCTCGCGGCTCCTCGGTATACGAGACTTTCAAGCGCCAGTTCCCCGACTCTAGAACCGCGAGCTTGTATCGAAAAGAGCACATGCGCTTTGGCCGGCAGCCATACAAACCGCCTGAGAGCGATCCATCTATCCAAGACATTGAATCACGCCGAACCCATCACGTGGAGCGCATCTACAACGCCATGACTAGTGCTGAAAAGGCAAAGGACAACGATCAATCGCCTGCCATGAAGAGATGGGTACACGCGCCGTATTATAACAGCGAACTTATCGAGTCAATCGCACACAAAGTCATCGATTGCTTAATTCAGCAAGCCTTGTATGGATATCGCGGTTGGAAGCATACCGACTACGTCGCAGATGACCGGAAGGGTGAAGACGAAGATCGGGTCGTGGATTGCGCTGGCCGACTGGAAAATATCATTCGCGCCTTGGAGGAAGAAAAGACCATTTGTGAGGACGTCATGCAATCAGCTTCTCAAATCCGCATGTTCGTCAATGCACCCAAAGCATACGCCAGTAGAAAACATCAGAACCGACTGGGTAACCGCAAGAGAGGACAAGGAGTGGCAAGGGAGGTGACCGACGACAACCCCAGGCCAGGAAAGGCTTCAAAGCTCGCTTCACGACCACGCCGTAGCCATACTAACCCTAGCGCTACGAATGTCTCCCAGCCTACCAACACGCCAGATCCTCTGCAGCAATCGAAGGCACGGCATTTCATGCCCTCTTCCCGAGCTTCTCACAGTCCGGCTCGTCACACGCTGCCGTTTCCCAGGAACACACCCATTGTGAGTGGTGGGATGTACAGCTCTAGCCCGGGCATAACCCAGCAACTTTCTGCGATGGCTTCACGATCTTACAGCGTTGGATCACGCTCTACACCGATATCTCCCGAAAATGCTTTTCCTTTGCAAGAATTTGACACCTATCCGCTACAGACGCCCATGAGCAACATGAACACTTATCCCGACACTCCTGACCAACCCTTCCTATTCGTGGGCCACGGTTGGAACCCCGGCGATGCAGTATACTCAGGATCGAACCCCAATCTCTTTGCTGAACATCCCGATGCTGCTCTGCTAGACAGTCGTTCATCAAGCGTTGGTGATTGTCATGCAAAATCCGATATCCAACTACTATGGGATGCGCAGCCTGGGGTGCCACCTTTTCCACCATATTACCATGGGAACAACGATCCTCAGTGAAACCACCCGGTTTCTTTCTGCTTTTGATGGCCATTCATCTGCTTCTTTTGCGGTCTCTACTTGATTTCGGAGTCTGTTCATGGCATTTGCATTGTCTTCCTTTTTTGTGCTCTTTATTGTGGTATATGCTGGCAAGATACGTGGCTCATTCGCTGGCTCCTGGTTAGAATGCTAGCATAATGGCCATGGCGGATCATGGATATAGGGTTATGTGTTCTTGCCCATTCTTAGTTCTCTCATCATTCGCGTGTATTATGCTTGTTGTTGTTCATGCGACTGCGCTGTGTTCTATTATCAGCATCCACGAATCTGTTTTTTTCTCCATCAATGGTCCCGTGTCACTAATGTAACTGGCTTGATCCTAATTTGATTCATTTCATATTTCCCATGTATCAATAAATTGTCAAAAAATGTGGTACTACTCATCCCACTCGTCCTGACCACAGCCGTAAGCGTGCTTTGATAGCGCGGGAAAATCATCTGATTGCCAGTTTGATACTTCTCCCGCTCATGTTACATGTCTACTTCGAATTTTAAATTTCTCACGCCCGTCTCCAGCCACCAGTATCCTTGAAGATCGGATACGACCCAGTGAACACCTTGTCGGGGTGAGCCGTACTAAGTCCGTCCACAAACATGCTCTCCGTCACATGAGAAAGCGCTTGTTTAGATCGACACTCCATGTGCAAGCCCAGTCACTCAGCAGTTGGCATTCTTCTTTATGTATCGCAGGCTGACATGACTAGAACCCCAAGCCTATAGGTATGGGAATATCGAAGGATTGACTTGATTCATACTCACCATGTAGATCACTGGGTTTGTGAATTCACAGGCTTCTCTTCCTACAGCATAGTGCCATCTTAGCACATATCATACTACGCAGAAATACTTTGCCTGCTAGCGCATGATGCCAAGTAAACCTGCTAAAGGAAGGGGCAAGCAAATATAAACAGACATAGAGGCATCATTTAGAATGTGATATGAAACAGCAGCTTGAAGCGGGATGGTACGCATTCTCCTTTGGCAATGCTTGACCATAACAGTGTGCTCAGCGATTCTTGAATTTGATGGGATCCGAGCCTCTCAGAAGTACATACTGAGGATTTGAAACACAGTTCACATGTAATGATAACATTGGTGACAGAACCTCCCACTCAAGCAAAAAAAAAAAGCATATCGATTTGTTACTGCGTCGCACGCCGAATCCTAAATGAATTTTGGTCCCAGCTGATCATACTATTGGGGGGGAAAAGAACCTGAATGTGAAACTTCGGATGACAAAACAGAAGACCAAAAACGTCAAAAAAATTCAAGCAAGAAGTCAAAATTGCGTCATGAAGGGAACCGATCATCAATCTTCGCTCGCCTCTACTCTCACTTCCTCTTCCATAGCGAGTGCTTTTGCCTCCATCTTCGCAGCAACATCCGATTGATTCCTGTTGCCCATAACGATGCAGTCCGCGCGTCGAGGAATTGGATGGGCGAGCGTTTCTGAGAAATCTGCATACTTGACGTATGACTTCCTGTTCAATCACACCATCCTTGTTTTTGGAAGGAATCTCGCGGAAGGTAGTGCGTCGCTTCAAAGTTCTACGACGTGCGATACCATTTCGCGCGGTATCTTCTTTGCGGCGCTCAAAGGATTCTATTCTCGCTTTTTCGTCGTCTTCTTCCAATCGCTGCTGTTGTTGACAGGGGATTTCAGAAAAGTAGGGTTCGTTACAGGGTCCCGAGGAATCCACGAAAGAAAGCTCTATGAAGGAGGTTACGGGAGAGATTATCGTAGGGGAGCAATGCGCCTCACCCTGCTCTGCGGTCGATTCTTCATCGACTTTGGGTTTCTCTTTAGTCAGCCACGGGCGTAGGTACGTTGCCGTGGGCGCAATGATTCCGGAGTCACATCTAAAATGAGTAGCAAACTGAGAGCTCATCTTTGTTAATTGTCTTTGTAGAGTGTATTCCCTTGGGGTACTGTACTATACCTGGTGTGTGCTTCCACCTACTCTGCAAAAGAATAACGAGTAATGTGATGGGCTGTGGTGTAGCTTGTTCTGCCGAGTATGTTCTCGGATCAAGAGAGCTTGCAAGGGATTGGGGTTATATATCGAAGATTGCTTGTTCGTGCTCGAGACATTGTGTGTGCTCGATGCACATGAGCCGTCTGTTGACGCATATTGTGTTATGGGCGAAGACAGATCCCACCCAAAGGGTGTTGCACATCGTTGAAGCACAATGCCATGCCTGATGTGTTTGATCGAGTACCCTGGCCGTTGGGGACGCCACAGAACATCCGATTTACTTTGATTTGTACTCCAACTATCGTTCGGCGTTATTGCTGTAGGAAACAATCATGAATCGGAGCACAATCGTTGGCGGCATTCGTGATAGCGTCACGGACGATAGCTTGTTTGTTAGCAGCAAGGTCCTCGCACCATCTGTACGTGGAGACGGCAGCATAGAAAAGTGAGGTAGAAAAGGTCTTTTTTTGTCTTCTCTCTTCGGATTCGACCGTTGCTTGGCACCGCTCCACCCTATAAAACCCGCCGTTTGCAGACGCAGGAAATGGAAGTACAATTTACCAGAAGTAAAAGAAAAAACAGAAGATGCCGACGGGAACATTGAAAATGATAAAGAACGAAAGGAGGAGAAGACGTAGAAAAAAAGTCTAGATATTAGACGGATAGGTGGAAACCGTCCAGCTGGCCAGCTGAGGGGGAATGGGAATAAGAGAGCAGAAGTTGAAAATGAAGAAAATAAAATCGGTCGGGCATCGATCCAGGCATGAAGAATGCTCGGCACCGTGGCCCCGAGCAACGTGCCCAGCAGCATGATACCCGTATAATAACACCGTGCCCCCAGAAAGCGAACCCAAGGAGTAAATGGAAGAAGTGAAGAAAAAGGGCCCGAGCTGAGCCGGGTCGAGTTAAACTGACAGTACATGCTAATGGTATCATTGTTTTCCCTCCCAAGTCCGATGATGCGGAAGCGGCATGTATAACGGCGGTCGGGCGGCGAGTCCGAGCAGCTGGTGGAAAATCTCAATCGTTGCCCTCCCACCCCTCTCATTCCAGATGTGTGCGAGCACGTGGCTAGCGCTCTTACATGACGACGCACCCGCAACAGCCACCCTTCTTCTCCCCCTGGTCTGCGTCGCCATGACTGAAACCACCGTTGGTCTGGCCGCCGGCGCCTGGTGCGCCCGTGTATGATGACATCTCCTTGTTGTATCTGCGGATCTCCCGTACGATGTCGTAGAATGCGTTGTCGACATTGATGCGTGACTTGGCAGAAGTTTCGATGAATTTGCAGCCGAATTGCCGAGCGAGGTTCTGACCCTCTGTTCCGAGGGGTCAGCACAGAAAAGGCACGACATGGTATGATGACGACGACGACGAGGGTGGGATGGAAAGGCATGGAACAACGCGTGAATTGTGTAACGCGCGGGGAAGTGGCAGTGAGACATTGAGTGGACGTACCTTGTGTTGAGACCTCGCGCTGGCTCTCGAGATCGCACTTGTTGCCAACGACGATCATGGGAAAATAGTCCTTGTCCTTGACGCGGAGGATCTGCTGCTGAAAGGTCATGATCTCCTCGAAGCTCTGGCGGTTCTCTATCGAGTAGACCAGCAAAAAGCCCTCGCCGGTGCGCATGTATTGCTCCCGCATGGCCGAGTATTCCTCCTGACCGGCGGTATCGAGGACATCGAGCAGGGCGACCTCATCGTCGATGACGCACTGCTTGCGGTAGGAATCTGGGCAGTGTCAGCGGGCGGGCAGCGGGCGCGTCGAGGCACGGGTGGGCAGCGACTCACCTTCGATTGTGGGATCGTACTCGTCGACGAAATGGCTTTGGATGAGCTGAATGGTTAAACACGACTTTCCGACGCCTCCGCCGCCGACCACGACGAGCTTGTACTCTCTCAGGAACTGGGAAGCGGGTCAGCCAGGGAGGGGGATTCGGGGCACGAGGTGGAACGCACCTTGGATGCCATTATTTATGTAGGCAGGTAGGTGTGCGAGGGTGTCTAGTGGATTCCAGCAGGAGAAACGACAGCGACGGTTGGGTATAGCAGTATATTAGATGGCGGAGGGTATTATTTGGGAGGAGGTGGTGGTGGTGGTGATGATGGATGGGGACGGTGCTGGGGCCTAGGTGGTTAATGCCGCTTGTGAGGACGGACGGAGAGGAGAGGAAGGAAGGAGAGAAGGAGAGGCCGGGCTGGGTTCGGTTGGTTTAGGTTAGGTTGGGTTAGTTCGGAGAGGAAGAGGAAGGGGGGCGGCGGTAAGAGAGGAAGGAAGAGTCGAGGCGAGGCGAGGGCAAGGGCAAGGGCAAGGGAGGGGCGTGGTGTGGTGTGGTGTGCACTCCAGGGTGGTGGCGGCAGTACACATGCATACATGGTTACTTACTTAAGCACATCCATGTTCCATACAGCGTGAATACTGCTGCGACTGCCCAGGTACATATACGTACCTATGTGTGTAGGTACCAAGCGATTGTAACATCGCGAATATGCTGCTACATACCTAGGTATTTATACGGGGGAAGAGACGGCGTGATGGTTGAGTGTGCGGGAGAATGAAAAAAAAAAACACGACTCCTTTTTGGTCGATAGGCACACGGATCAATTCAATTGCACCCTTCTCTCTCTCTCTCTCTCTCTCTATCTTTTCGCACATAATCATCTCCACCTCTTCCACTGCCACCACGACGACAGGATGCTAGGAGAAGGAATAGAGAAGGAAAGTAAAGAAAAAAAAAAGAGATTAGCTCCACAGACCATCACTCTCCATGGATGTATCGTATCGACCGTCAATCACAACAAGTGGATGGATAAGTGACGGGCAATTTCCCCCCATGAATCGCATACTCGTCGGGTAGCTCACCTACTCGGTCATCTGCGCAACAACCATGATAATATAACATGCGTACTTTGGTATGCATGCAACGGCCGTTATAACCGCTCGATACCATCCGTCCATGACATGCATGCTTCATCCACACCAACATGTTTAGCTGCATAACTACATACATGTATTATATTATATAAATGCACCCAGGCGCTCAAACGTGATGCACCATGTACCATGTACCAGGCAGGTGGGAGACAGGGAGAGACGGAGTTGAAATGAGAATTGAAAGAAGGAAAGAAAGAAAGAAAGAAAGAGGAGGGAAAAAGAAAAAAAAAGAAGAAGAAGAAGAGTTGATTGATGGCAGAGACTCAGGAGGCGGTTAAAGCGGCATCGTTGATAGGTACAAGTACTTGACCAATAAATACACATCATGTATCCTCCTCGGTCTGTTCTGCGTTCCCGTGCACGCTCGTCCGCACGTCCGCACGCACGCACTTTTCATTACTCGGGTTTCCCACCATGCACGCTGATCTATCCATCCATCCATCCATCCACCGAGCGGGCAAGGGCCCATAACCGCCCCGGGCCAGCCAAAGTCCATCCAGTTCGCTAACCGTTTGCCCAATCCCCGCACAGCCAGCCAACCGCATCCAATAAGCCCGCATCAATCAATGTCTGCCCATCCATCCATCCATCTACCATATTCACACTGCACTGCGCTTTTGCATACTTACTTACCCAACACATACTCAAGACTCCAGTCACCCATGCGTGCATGCGCGCATACATACATACATGGTACGCGCATGCACCGCTTTTCACATGACAGGCCAGTCCTGCGGGCACCAATGCTGCACCACCCCATTCCGCACCTTGGCAGGAACTACATACAGTACCTACCTACGGTGCAGCCCATCTATCCCATCGACCGTACCGCCCCCGTCGTGCTCCTTGATCATCATCATCATCATCCTCTCCTTTTTCTCTCTTCTTCTTCGCTTCTTCCCTCCGGCTTCCAATCTCCGCCCAACTTTTCCTGTATGCAGCCGCAGTCCAAGCCTGCATCGTCGCGTCGCATCCCATCCAGCATCATCATCCTTGGAGTCGCTTACTCATCCTCGTTTACCCATTGAACCCTTCCGCCGCCTTCCTCATGGCTTGGACGAGGACCCGGCGACCGTCATCATTTTACATACATAACCTCCGAGAGCCCCATGTGTACCCCTTCTATTTGAACCACATTTCGCCTACCCAACCCACCGTCATCCTGCATATGTACACAAATATAAACCCTCGCCCACCTCCTCCGTTGGCATACACACACACGCCCCCTTCCGCCGCCACTCGCTGCTGTCGTGAGACTGGTGCACCTCAGCCCGCCGCCGGTTTGCTGTCTTCAGCCTCACCACTGTCCGAGTCGTCTTCCCCTTCCACCGCTACCCGCCGCCCCTGGACTGCCTCTTCCACTTCCGGCACCAATGACTCCATGAATTCCCCGTCCCTTCCTACCAGCGTCACTGTGTTGCGGTTCTTCTGCCACCGGGGATAACTCCCGACCTTGACCCCCTTAGCCTCTGTCTTGGCTGCTAGCTGCGTTAGATATTCTGCGATTGTGCTCTCCGCCATGGGCGTCGATATCAGAATCCGAAGCACGCCTTTACCTTCAGGGTCTGTCAAACGCGGTAACAAGCGGGGCCTCAGCCCGTCCAGCATACTTTCAAACAGCCTGGGGATACCGGGCAGGATGTGAATGTTTCCATTGACGCAGCTGACAGGGACCCAAAGACTCTCGTTTACGAAAATGACTTGATCCTCATCGGGTAGTGAATCGTCGAGTGGGAGTTGGATCATTCGCTTCTTGGCGGTCAAGGCCGCAGACGGCGTGTCCCAGCTGAAGTTTGGCTGTGAGGCGTGGGGTTTCGAAAGTCGCTTCATACGCTCAAATGCAGCCTCGTGCAGCTTAAGAGGGAGGTTAAACGCCCTAGCTATGGATTGGTACGTGATATCATCATGCCTAACAAAGCCCGGTCAGCCTGTGTGTGATGCATGCGCTGTGGCATCTCCTCTACTCTGGCGGCAGGGGGCGTGTCTCACGTAGGGCCAATGCCGCCCGACGTGACCACGAAATCGTAACGTGTCGACATGCGGCGCACCGCTTCCACAATCTCGCCCTCATCGTCGGCGATTACTTCGATGCGTTTCAAATTGATGCCGAGCGAGAAGCAGAATTTAGCAAAGTATGCCTGGGCGGGGTGGGAGTGTTAGACCATATGCTTGTGAACCAAGTCCGAACGCACGCGTGCGCCATGTCCATGGACGATCCGTATGCACATGGCAGCAAGCAGTACATTCGCATGTGGGTTGCGAAAGTCTTACTGAATTGGTGTCCACTGTCTGCGCGCGATGGCCGTTAGCAACCATTGCAACCGGATCAACATTCCTGTTCGCATATATGTATGGATGTGTGGAGGGTCCAGATGTCGTCCAGAGGCGCGCATTCAGTGACATGTGACTTCGCACCTGTGTACATACCTTGCCTCCAAGCACCTCGTCGCCGATAATCAAGCACGCCGCCGTGTGTATAAGTGCTTTCTGCTGCGGTGTTGCGCTTGCCATGATGGATGACGTGACCAAAGTAGACGGTGGCGGAAGGAAGGCGGCAGAGCGGTTGGGACGCGAAAGGTGTTTGGCTACCTGGGTAAGCCGGCTGAACATGAAAAGAAACTGTGTGTGTGTGTGTGTGTGTGTGTGTGTGTGTGTTTATGACCAGTTCGTGTATCACAGTTCTGCAATTCAGCAAGTAGACTCGTAAGTGTACTGAGATGGACGAGGTATGAGCAAGTCGCGCTCGGAAATACTTGGAGCCCGCGGAAGATGCCCCGCGCGAGCTATGCCATCGTCGGACCACCAATTGCCCTTATGGTTACTATTCCTACTGCATCTACATACCTACTCACCTATCCCACTGGCCATTGATACTTTAGTACCTACCTAGGTATATTCAACCCGCGTTGCATTATTGCAGCGGATCATACAAAGCATAGCATACATACTTAGGACACATACTGAAGTACGCGCTGGCAACATGGCATGTCTCAATCTCATCTTCTCTCACATCTCCCCGCTGCCTCTCTGCTAACGTTCCTTGATCGCGCAGTCCTCCGAAAGCCGCCTTTACACTTTTTCCGACGAGACGAAGCAGAGACTCCGCAAATTCCGCCTGGGGACCTCGCGCGCCAAAGACCCCCAGGCCATCATCTGTATGCCCGCTTGATCTCCTTTCTCGCCATGTCTGGCTGCCCCCCTCCCCCGCGCGAAACCCGTCGCATCTAAACGGCGCTGATGCCCCGGCCGCCAGACGAGATTGACAAAAAAACGCTCGAGGTCCGACCTTCCGACGACGATGTCTACACTGATATCGAAAGCCTCGCCGACGAGTTGCCGGAGCATGCCCCGCGCTTCGTGCTATTGAGCTATCCCCTCACCCTGGTATGTCCCCCTTTTTCACATACACAAGTACACATACATGAATACCACATCCATGTACGCAAACAAACGTTTTCACTACTGACCCACCATCCACAGGACTCCGGCCGCCTTTCCGTGCCATACGTCATGTTGTATTACCTCCCCATCACCTGCAACAGCGAGGTCAAGATGCTATACGCTGGCGCAAAGGAGTTGATGAGGAATACCGCCGAGGTCAACAAGATCATCGAGATTGAAAGCGCTGATGATCTGGAGGATATCGAAGAGAAGCTCAAAGGCGAGCCATGATTGCTTAGACGGCACACCATTGGGTAGTGATCGTATCATGGACGGAGGGATAATCGGCCGATCAGATTTGCTGGCCAGCTGTCGCTGCGTTGGGACTCGAGCCCCGCAAGATTACGTTCAGCGACTCTACAATTTGACGAGGCTATGGGCTTTGGTAAGGGTTTGTGTATCCTGCCGAAGGTGTTGTAATGAATTTCCATTGATCTACGTCATGAAATCCCATTGCCATGACTATGCTCTAGGATGCACTATCAACATTGATACTGTTGGTTTGTATTATACCTCTCCGAAGTTATCCTCTTTTGGCCTCCTTTTTTTCTCGACTGTTGTGTTTGCATTAACCCAACAACTACTCGTCGTTCTACCTTACCTTTCTATTCTGTAACAGTGGTATATGTATACGTTTATCCAATAAGGACAAAACTCGCGACAGTCAACTATATAGCTCCCCCTCTTCCAGGACATTGTTCCAATAGTTGCATGGTGCGTCTCTTCCCCCACTCTCATAACCACGCTCCCCTCTCATTCCACGTCTGATTTATCCCACTCTTTTTGTTCTTTGATAAACTGTTCTTTCCTCTCCACATAGCTCGAACTCCCCTTAACCTTCTCCCATGCTTCGCGAAATATCGCTGCTGCTTCCAGCTTATCTTGGCGGTCGGGGTGGCTCGTCGATTTGGGGAGTTCTTCTTTGGGAGTCGAGCCGGCACCTGGAGAGTTGGAGATTGGCTTTGCGTATTTGCGGCCTCCGGCATGATTAGCATAACGGGTGGCGCGGGTCATGCCCTGTGTGAGAGTGTAAGTTATCTGTAAGGAGAAGATGAAGTCATATTCGGACAGGCAGCGAAGAAATTGTGGTTATCATGGGGAGGCCGTGGATCATGATGGCAGTTCAAGTAGGAGAAGAAGAACTCTGGAATTTACGAAGCTGTAACGAGTGCAACATCACATCTTTTGTCTTCCATTATTGAGGTCGATTCAGTCTTTCAAATCTTCGCCCCTCGCTCAGATATTGAGCACCTCATAAAGGATGAACGATGTGAAGTGAAGAAGAAGAGAAAGGAAGCATCGCTCAATACAGTAAACGAGGAACGCTGAACCCACCATCTGCAAGAACTTTCTGCACATATCCATCCCTACGAAATCCCCTCTCCCATCATATTCCAGGAATTTCTCGTAGATTTTCCTCGAGCTTATCGTGGCAACGTCGGGAGTTTTGAAACGCCACAATGGCAGGATCTCGGATTTGTATGGCTCGAAAGTCATGACACCCATTTCACCACGTCCGATGCGGTATTGCATCTTTTGGGCTGTGCTGAGATGGGCGGAAGGAGGAGTTTGAACTTGTGAGGGTGGCATTTCCCGGAAGGTCTGTGTAGAATCAACGACACTTGCTCAGTCTGTGTTCGAGGTTGAGTGTGTGAGAAGGGAGTTGACTGCCTATACACAACTGTTTGCTTTGGAGGGGGAGACAAAGCATGGAAAGTTCATATCTGGCATAAGGGTCTGGCGTCATCGAGGAGTTTCAGGGTCCAAAGTCTATGACGGTATATTTCAAGGAACACGTATGCGCAACATGATTGGTGATTTTGGTGTATTTGGGTTTGTCAAATAGGGATCAAGCAGAGGTCGGAATGCTTTATTTAATTTTTTGTGTTTCGGCTTCAGTGTTCACAGCCACGCATGGACCAAACGTCACGACATCTCGACCTTGACAGCAATTTGTACAGGATGCATTCTGAGTCGAGGAACCAGGGACTCTGTAATTGAATTATCCGTAGGTGGACACTGTAAACGAGATCCTCCCCATAGTAAAGGTCGAGATTGATCAAGTTGCAAGCAACTAACACTGGGGCCATTTGGTTTACACGATGAGGGAATAAGCAAAGTGTAAAAAGCAGATTCTATCTCTACAAAAAATATCCGTTCTGTATACAGGATTTTCTTCATGTGCTCATCCGCATGGCTGCGGATCAGGATCTAGCCCACGGGATGAAAGAAGGCAAAAAAGACAGAACACCCCAAGCCAAGATTCGAACTTGGGTTGCCGGAATTTCTGATGCTATCAAAATCCGGAGTGATAACTGAGATTACGATTAGTGAACTGCGGCGACTGAATGGAATTTTCTGATGACTACTCACCCACTACACTACTTAGGGAGAACAGGTAGTTATTTAGGGTCATTTGCTCGCAAATAATGTCTATATTGCACAACAGCCAAAGCAGTGACGTGCATGAACGTGGGATTGGGACGAAAACGCAGACTAAATTTCTTGGCGAGTCGCATCCCACGCGCTACTGGATGAAACACGCATTTCTGGGACGTGTTTGCCGAATGAAGAAATGCCTACGAGTGGCGCTTGCTGTTTGCATCTTCATGCCAATCAAACATAGGTATGTACAAGCGAGAGCGACAAACACTTGGGCAGCAAATGGGCCATCTGAACTCCTATTCTTGTAATTGATTTGAGGCCAAGGCGATATAACAGATCTGGCGCGACAACAAGTTCGGCGACACTGTGAGTTGTCCCAGGACTTAGGCCACACTGCTACTACTCTACATCTCATTGAAGCAATCATTGCTACCGATAATCCATGGTACAGTGCATCAGCATGAGATAGTGTACGTGATATGCTCTACTAGCAGTCCCGATTCTTATGTTTCGTGGCCTTTCTGTACCTGCCCAATGCTAGTCCACAAGGTAAAGGCAGCCAGCGCACCCATCAGAGCAACCGCAAAGAGCGCAGCTTCAAAAGGCATCACGGGCGGACGGACTGCCTTCTTCACCATAGCCTGAATCTCCTTCTCCAGCGTCTTAGCCATGGTCTCTTTGGAGAATATTGACATGACCCTTTCCCGGCCCGATCTACCCATCTCTACCAATCTCTTTTCACCCCCGCCGGTTTCCAGCGCAAAGCGCATGACTGCTGTCCATTCTGATACCTTACTCACATCACATAACCAGCCTGTTTGACCGCTGACTACAGTCTCCGTGGGTCCGCCTTCGTTTGCGGCGAGAACGGGGGTGCCTGCTAGCATAGCTTCGAGTGGGACGATACCAAAATGTTCGTTACGTGGAGTGTAGACCAGTAAGCGAGACGTAGAAAGCAGTGCGGCCTTGAATGCGTTGGGAACAGAGTGGAGAAAAAGAACGGGAATATCGTCCGGGATGGCTTGTGCCGTGATCACGGTCTTCGCAGTCGCATGCTTCAGTTTGAGCGAGTCGGCCAGTTCGCAGAGTTCGTTGTATGTTGCCAGATTCTCCACGACTCGAGAATCATATCCGCCGGCAATGACCAGCCTGGCACCCTCGCGCTCCTGCGATGACAGTCCTGCGAAGGCTTTGATGGCCAGCGCTACATCCTTCTTCTTTTCAAACCGATTTATACTGAGGAGGACCTTCTGGTTCGCCCACAGAGGCTGCGGGTTATCCATGGGGCTAGCAGCCTGAGTATCAACGCAGGGATAAACGACGCCTGGCTTCCTGTGTTTCAAGTTGGGAAAGGCCTCAGCAAAGACACTCTTGGTGAAGTTACTGTTGACCACGATGGTGTCGCTACATCCTGTGCTCCAACTCTCTAACCAATCGAAAGGTGCCCGATACAGTTTCTTCAATATTCCGCCCTTCTTCGCCAACAGCTTATCCGGAAAGTGACAGTAGAATATGATGCGGACTCTAGTCTGTAGAACGCGGAGGAGGGGTATGCCAGCGCTGAGCTGATCGATGAAGAAGGCCGTGGGTTTCAGGGACGCAAGTTCGTCGGAAAGCAGTGCGATCTGAAGTATCAAATGAACCTGTCGAAGAATGGCGCAGAGGATGGCGAAGCGGCCTAGAATGGTCGGCGGGATGATGGTGTTTCCGCGCACACGCACATCGAGGGTGTCTTTATTTTGGGGCAAGAATCTCAGCTACCTTGTATTCGTGTATGAGCGACAGGAGCTGCCAAGCATCGCAGGAGGCTTACTATCGCGGGCTTCGTCGAAGCAGTGGTGGGGATCGCAATGCGACGTGAAAATGGTTACTCTGTGTCCACGGTTCTGCAGGCCAACGGCCGCATCGATCACCAGGCGCTCAGCGCCACCAATACCCAAATCGGGATGGAAGAAGACAATGCTTTCCCTTTGGTTCGATGCCATGATGCAGTGAAGGTTGGATGACCAGTCACTCGGTCGTCTCTGATGAGTTCAAATGTTACGGGGTGGACAACCAAGTACGTGCGTGTGTGCTTGCGTGGGGTGGTGTCCATCTTGACCTTTCCTATAATGGTCTAGCCTTACATCCACGGAACGTGGCTGGTGCTGGACACCATGCATGACCTCGACGCTTCACATGATTACATGTACTGCATACACAAGAGCACCTGCTTTTCCCGACAACGGTCGACTCTCTTTGATTTCGTCTGCATTCTTTAAGGCGATGATATAGTCAACTATAGTCGACGTACCAACCTCCCGCCCACATACATACCTAGGTACAAATCCTAACATGCGCTCTGGGACGCACCCGTAAGATAGGTCTCAGAGGTCTCCTAGAGTCTTTGCCGTCATGGGCCAAGGATTCTCCCTCACTACCCTTTCGGCCGGATCGGCCAACATCGACGTGCCGGAGCTCTCGGATCTTCAATATGAGAAGTCTCTCGGTGCTGCCCGGTTCATGAAGTCGGTCCGAGCACGACATAAAGATGGCTTGGTTGTCACGAGAGTAGTGATGAAGCCATATGCGCAATTCAATCTCGATGTTTATGCACGAAGGCTCTCTGGTTTGTATTCTTTTACTTTTGTTTCCTTCGAAATCATGAAAGCGCGTACCCTTGTAAAGACTTGATCTGACCATTGCAAGATGAGCGCAAATTGCTGGCCGATATACCGAATGCGCTGGGTTACAATCGCATCATCGAGACCGCGGTTGGGGGCTATCTTGTCCGCCAATATGTCCACAGTTCCTTGTACGATCGGTTGAGGTACGTGAGCTGATCCTGATCAGCAACGATCACTGAGCCATTTGTAGCACCCGCCCTTTCTTGGAGGAGATTGAAAAGAAATGGCTCTCCTTCCAGCTGCTCTGTGCCGTTCGAGATTGCCACGCTCGCAATCTTTATCATGGAGATATCAAGACAGAGAACGTGCTCGTTACGTCGTGGAATTGGCTTTATCTCACAGATTTCTCTGCTTCGTACAAACCAGCATATCTACCTGAGGACAATCCGGCAGACTTTTCATTCTATTTCGACATGTCAGGGCGACGTACCTGCTATCTCGCACCCGAACGTTTTCTTGTTCCCGATGCTCAACCGCAGGGTGAAGGGATCGTGACATGGGCCATGGATATCTTCAGCGTGGGATGTGTTATGGCCGAGCTGTTCATCGAGTCGCCCATATTTTCTCTAAGCCAGATTTTCAGATATCGACAAGGCGAGTATGATCCTGCACATTCTCATCTAAGCAAGATACAGGACAAGGATGTTCGGGATCTCATTGCCCACATGATACAACTAGATCCAAATTCTCGCATGTCTGCTGAGGACTATCTCGAGCATTGGCAAGGCAAAGTTTTCCCTCACTACTTCTACGGTTTCCTCCAACAATACATGCATTCCATCACGGACTCTTCATCTGGACGTAAACCGGTCACCACAGCAACAGAACATCTCGGTGAACCGGATGAACGAATAGAACAAATCTTCGGCGACTTCGATAAAATATCCCACTTGCTCTCAAACAATGAAAGTGATCTCGCTTCACGACCTCAGCATTCACCTCCTGAGCCTAACGCGAAGCTATTTCCGCTCTGTATCGATATTCCAAACTACCAGCACCAGGCCACCCCCACGCCAAGTTTGGCTGTAGACGACGGCAACCTCATCTTTTTGACCATCATCGTCTCTTGTCTACGAGGCACAGCAAGGGCATCGGCGAGACTTCGAGGCTTAGAGTTACTCCTAGCCTTCGCAGAACGTCTCACCGATGAAGCTAAACTGGACCGTGTTGTACCGTACGCGGCATCCTTGTTGACTGACAGGTCCGAACAGGTAAAAATAGCGTCTTTGCGGACTATGACGCAGATTCTTGCCATGGTCAATGTTGTGTCGCCTATCAATGCCTATGTGGTGCCTGAATACGTTTTGCCGCGACTGGAGGCCTATCTCCCCAACTCCGCCGAAACATCTCCACTTGTACGGATGCATTATGCTTGGTGTATTGGCCCACTAGCGACTACTGCAGCACGCTACATTGACATTGTTCAAGCCCTGCGCGCCGGGGGCACGCTACCTGTCGCGGACCCTGGAGCAGAAGAAGACCTAACGTCGTCGGCTCATCGGAACCAATTCGATTCGGATCGGCAAACTCTTGTCAACGCTTTCGAAGACCATACAAAAGCACTCCTCACCGACCCGGACGCAGCTGTGCGCCGCGCCATGCTCAAATCTGTAGCTGAATTGTGTGTTTTCTTTGGCAGCCCAAAGGCGAACGACGTTGTGCTGAGTCACCTGAATACATATCTGAATGATCCAGACTGGATGCTCAAGTGCGCGTTCTTTGAAGCCATAGTTGGAGTTGCGGTATTCGTCGGCGGAGCGAGTCTTGAGGGGTATATTTTACCATTGATGGTGCAGGCATTGACCGATCCCGAGGAGTTTGTGGTCGAAAAGGTGATTCGGGCTCTGTCCTCGATCGCAGAGCTTGGCCTATTTCAAAGATCAAAAACATGGGAACTGGTCGATATAGTAGCTCGTTTGACTATGCATCCCAACAACTGGATCCGAGAAGCAGCAGCCCAGTTCATTTCAGCGGCTTCCAAGTATCTGTCTGTGGCGGATACTCATAGTATCCTGGTCAACTTGATTCGACCTTATCTCAAGGTTGTACCTTCCGATTTCACGGAGCTGCGGATACTTGATGCTCTCAAACGGCCACTACCCAAGATAATCATAGAGATGGCATCGAATTGGGCTGGCTCATCACCCAAAGGCCTATTCTGGGTTCCCGCAAAACAGCAACAAACCTTCAGCTTCGCTTCCTCAGAAGACACGCTACCAAGCATTTTCGGGAGAGAACTCGACCCAAAGGTGCTCCTGCGAATGCAAAAGAATGAAGAAGACGAGGTGTGGATAAAGAAATTACGGAACGCTGGCATGTCATCAGAAGACGATTTCAAGCTTGTTGCCCTGCGAGAGTTTGTTTGGAGAGTAGTTCATCGTCGACGAATGGATGCAGGAGTCACTAGTACATCCAAGTTTAACAGCATTGTCGCACTCAAAGATTTGAGTATTCAACCTTTGACAGTCCTTTTCGAAAATGCACGTCATACAATCGAGCAGACTCGCAAAACCGGGTCACAAGATCATGATTACCAACCAAAGACGATCCGAGATGCGCTACTAGATGCATCCACAACCGACGCCGACGTACAAGCTTCGCGAAGAATAGTTCACGCTGACACCCAAGCCGAACGATTAGCTCGCGAGGAGGGCGGGCGCCGCCTATCTATCCCAGCACGCCCAAAACTCTCATCCTCACCCAGCGGATTTCGTTCTAGCTTGGACTCACCATCATCCGAAACTGCTGATCCTCGACGACATTCTTTGCAAGTACCTCGGGAAGCCGGAACCCACTCCCCAGTCGGATCTTTGACAGGTGAAGACCATACACGTTCCTTGCGTCATCGGAGCAGTGCACTCAGTCTTCTCAACCGGGGAGACAAGGCACTGGCCGAGATCGGGACTACATCCGCAAATGCGACAGGCAAAGTAGATGGAAATCACGCGCGGGAAGGTTCTCGTACTCGGCAACCGCCCTCACCATTAGCTATTGAACATCGGCGAGATAGTCCGTCGAGTGCCCGTTTTAGGGATGCGCACAACTATACTGGAAACGACCCGGCTGTCTTGAAGCTGTTGGACTCGATGCTACTTGAGAGATATCCCTCAGGGGAAATGGAATTTGGACCACAAGTCCAGCTTCCTAGTCGACCCCAGCCCATCAAACACAAAGACGCGCATCCTTCTCCAACCGGGGTGCCATGGCGGCCTGAGGGCACGCTTGTTGCAACACTGAGCGAACACACTGCCTCGGTAAATAGAATCATAGTTGCTCCAGATCAAAGCTTCTTCATCACAGGATCCGATGATGGCACGGTAAAGATCTGGGATACTTCACGCCTAGAACGCAATGTGAGCCGACGTTCCCGGCAGACCTATAGATTGAGCGAGGGCGCCAAAGTCACAAGCCTGGTATTCGTGGAGCAGACTTATTCTTTTGTTGCTACAGGAAGTGATGGAAGCGTGCACGTGGTTCGAATGGACAGCTACGACGGCCACGACGGTAGCCGGAAGTTTGGACGTCCAAGGCTTCTCAGGGAGTATCAGTTACCCGATGAGGACCAAGCCGTGTGGTCAGAACATTATAACGAGGATAACAAGTCAGTGTTGATATTAGCGACAAACACGTCTAGTGTGATAGCACTAGATCTGCGAACAATGGCGGAATTGTTCACACTGAAAAACCCGCTAGATCACGGCACACCGACATGTTTCTGTGTGGATAGGAAGGCACACTGGTTGCTACTTGGAACCTCTCATGGTGTCCTCGATCTATGGGATCTGCGCTTCAAACTTCGCCTCAAAGCATGGGTGTTCCAGAATGCTGCTCCGGTCTACCGCCTCCACCTCCCTCGCGTACGCAATCCTCGTCTCTATATTACCGGTGGAACGGGCCAGGGTGAAGTCACTGTCTGGGAATTTGCAAAATTGATTTGCAAAGAGGTATATCGTGTAGGTGGCAGCAAAGACCAGGGTTCGAAGAGTACGACACTCCTGGATATGGACGACGAGAAATCCGGTGGGATGTTGGGTAGGTTTTCGACTTCGATGCTACCGACCGCGAGCAGTATACCAGAGAAGGGAATCCGTGCGCTCGTGGTAGCTACGCAGGCTGTGGACGACAAGCCTGACTCAAAGATACACACGTTCATCCTGACTGCAGGACCAGACTGGAAGGTGCGGTATTGGGATACCTCGCGCCAGGAAGCTTCAGTGGTCGTGAGCGGTCTCGTCGCTGATGAGTTGAAGCCGCAGTATACCACCTCCCAGCCCACCCACGACACGACTATTATCACGGAGCGATTAATGCAGCCGCCTCCAGCTCAAAGTCCAAGTGTGAGGGATGGGAACGGACGCGAAAGCAGAAGTTCCAGTTCGAGGCAAAGACCACCACAGAAGAGTTCAAAGAGTGGCATGATCAGTCTGCAGCAAAATCATCTGCTTAAAAGTCATTTGGATCAAATTATGGATGTTGCGTTACTCGCTCAGCCATACGGGATGATAGTTAGTGCGGACAGGTCGGGAGTGGTATACATGTTCATGTAATACCCGAATTCTAGAGAAGCAGGTGTAGGTCGCGTATAGTATCAGATCAATAGAAGGGAAAGATCATGCTCATATTCTTGTGTTGGTGCGAGATGTCATTATAAGTTGGCGCATCAAAATCACCAATCTGTTCGTTACAAATGTATGTAGCGTCGAAATCAAAAGATGAGGCCTAACTAAGATCTCTATGATGACTAAGCAATATCTTGGCGGTACGCTACTTCTAATTTATCGCCCGCATCAAGAGCTACACGTCTACCCCACGCCGTGCGTGTCGACGGGCAACAAATATCTCCATCCAATCTGCGCCAGCTCCGAGTCGCCGAAAATGAGGCTCACTACAGATCTGATCAATAATTCTCTCTCCTTCATCAACCCTCTCACGGAGCGTGAGCTCGACTTGCGAGGTGCGTACAAAAAGAGCAGATGCTACACTTGAAGAGCTGAATTAATGTCAATCCGATGCAATTTAGGGCACAAGATCTCCGCTATTGAGAACATGGGAGCTGCGCGGGTATGTCTCCGACTCTGTATGGCACTGTACAGCTGGTAACATCATGTCTTAGGATAACGATGCAATCGACTTCACCGACAACGATATTGCGCAACTGGGCAACTTTCCACTGCAACCTCGTCTCCGTACGCTTTTTCTAGCGCAAAACCGTATCTCGAGTATTCAGGCCAACCTCTCATCCAGCATCCCAAACCTGACGACGCTCGTTCTGACCAAGAACCGACTGGCTGAACTGGCCGACTTGGACCCTCTAGGTGGATTCAGGAAACTTGTCTATTTGACACTAGTTGGCAACCCGGTTACGAGCAAGGAGGTGAGTTGAGATATGCACCCCGTTGACGCCAGCTGCCTGACATTGTTGAGGACGCGCAAAGTAATCCTACTACAACGGAATCAATCTTGATGTCATGACTGTTCCAAACGATAGCTCACACAAAATGCAGAACTATCGACTCTGGGTAATCTTCCGCGTCCCGTCCCTTCGCTTCTTTGATTTTGTCAAAGTCCGTGATCGAGAACGGCGACAAGCTGCCGAACTGTTTGGCACTGCTGATGCACCCACCGAGCTCGCATCGAGAATAATGGGTCAAAAGTCCAAGGGCTTCGTAGTGCCTACTTTCACCAACGGCTCCGACAGCCCAGCCAAGGAGCGACTTTGGACGGATGACGAGAAGAAGCGAATGCGGGCAGCAATCAAGGCGGCGGGGAGTTTGGCGGAGATGGCGAGGCTGGAGAAGGACTTCGCCGAAGGTCGAATACCTGCATATGTGCTAGAGGGGGGAGATGCCATGGAGATGTAATGGGGAAGAAACGAGGGAAGGGAGCACACTTTGGTTGGGAAAAATGGCATTGGCGATGGCTGTAAGCTAGCACTATTTTCCGGCATCGGTTAGGCGTTGTATCAAACACGGAGCAAGTTTGAAGGATACTTGATTCTTAGCATCAAGGCACACTGTCCGAGCAAAGCTGAGAAGGCAGGTAGCAGTTGTCCCGCGCGCATCTTGTTTGCTTGGATGGCACACACGTGTACAGACAAGCGGTAAGGACTCAGTACGTGCGCGCGGCGGTGGTTGATATTGTATGCATTCACGAGACACTGTACTGCACTGTACTGTACTGTAAAATGAAGTGGGGGAGGGTTGTGGGGAAGAGGGGGAGGTTAGCTAAAGAGGTGATTGGATAGTGCTCGAGATGCTTAGACCACCTCGAGTGTATGTTCCTTTGAATCTCGACTGGTCCCGCCGCACACGCTGGACACACACCAGAACATACAACCACCACCACCACCACCCTCACCACTACCACATCTGCCGACTCACGGCCCAATCACCACACGCACATACACATAAACACCCGCAGCAGAATCCGCACACGTCTTCATCTTCTTCTGAATCCTCTGCAGTATTGCCCCCGATGGGCTGGCCACGTCCTGTCGTCGTCCTCCAAGTTCGCGTCCGACAGTCCCATCGTCATCACCGCTACCACTTGTGCGCCCCGTGACAGTCATGCTCGGTCAGTTCTTTAGCACCCGCGGCAAGGCGCCTGGTGGTGCCCCCCTCACCCCCTCTTCTTCTTCTTCATCGTCGATGCCTACGGCACCCTCCACGGCGACACTCGATTCTGCCACCGAAGACTCGCACACCCGACATCTACTCTACCCCGAGTCGAGCACCCTCTACCACCCCGATGGCCAACCCTATCCCCTCCACCAGGCCGCCCTTTCGCTAGGCTCTGCCCATGATGGCCCCCAACCCGAGATCGACCTCGAGTTCCCCCGCGACTGCCGTATCATCATAGCCCAGGACGAGACGGCTTCGATGCCCAAGGCCGTCCTGTTCGACTCCAAACCCGGCCCTCCTCGCACAGAGTCGCCCACTCAACCCAATGCCCGCGCCCGACCCTTCGGCGCCCCCGCCGCCGCTTCCACTGCTGGTCCTTCTTTCGGGGGCTTGCATGCCCGCCGGTCGTCACTCGCCACCGAATCCACGCCGAGATCCCCCACCGTGGCCAACTTTATGCGCACACGTACGCGCGGCAACTCCATATCCTCCATGCCCAACATCGACGAGCACTCACAGATCCAGGCCAAGGCGCAGGCGCAGGCCAAGGCACGAGACTCGTCTGATCTGGTCAACACGTGCCTGGATTGCATGTTTGGGAACACGCCCATGAATTACAGAGGAGATTCGCACAAGATCCACATTGTTCCGCTAGACCCAAAATCCACCGATGCCGCAGCTTTCCCGCCTAATATTCAGGATGCAACCAGCTCGTTAGGAAGGTCGGAAGGACTCCGTAGAAGAAGTCACCTTGTTCAATCCTTCACACCAGCCAACGTTCCCACCGAGCAACCCACCTCGCAGAGCACAGCGGCCACCCCCAAGGAACCGCGACGGCGAACCATGCTCATCACCCGCATGTTCTCCGTTACTGTCCCCGAAGACGACCAAGACACTTCCAATGTACGAACGCCCACCCCGCAAAGTTCGATGGGCAAGGGCAACGGTTTCCCCTTCCCTCGGCAACAAAACACGAAGAGTGGGGGTCCCAAGATGCTTCAGCCGTTACGCAAGAGTCCCATGTATGCCATCACCGTCATTCTGCACTTGCCCATCTCCACACCTTCTTCCATGCTTCGTCCTTCTTCGCGGCCAGGAAAACACAAGACCAGCCATCTGTCGACCTCTGCCCCTGGCCAGGACTCGCTGGGGTCCTCTCTAGACTCCGATCGCCGCGCTGGTTGGCAATTTGTGGATTCGAATCTCGGCGTGGATGCTTACATATCGGCTGCGCTGAATAGTGATGTAGATGATTGTGTGGATGTGGTCGGTCAGCATTGGGATGTCATTATGCGGTCCCTTACTAGCCTTCAGTTTCTTGTCCAGGAACGAATCTTGGCGCAATACAAGATGGTAGAAACGTCGTCACCTTTGACTCCCCAGCATCTACGAGCACAGCCGTCACGCATGAGTTTAAAAGAGGGTGCACCTGCACCTATGCGCCGCGCCCTAAGGTTGCAACACCATGCTCTCATGTTCGACAAAGAAGTCCAGAAAGCGGTGGATCTGGCGGGAAATCGAGTAGTCAGTGGCATGAGAATACCTCGCGTCACGACGGGCCAGGGCAAGTGGGGTGTATGGCGCGAGGAAGCGAGATGGCTTGGGCGGTGGGCAGGGCGACGTGAAGAGAACTTCTTCTTCTTCAATCTGCTCACGGCTTTCCTCGGGAATCATACGGAATGGCTCAATCTCCTTGGTCCCCGATGGCATCGAAAGCGTCATCGGGAACAGCAGCGATCGAACACCGGCGGTAATCTGGTCATTGCTAACCGCACTGTCATCGTCTCACCAGATAAAATGGCAGCGCGCCGACTGATTTTCCTGCTCGCCGCCTTCCTCCCAGCCAACACCTCGTCTCTTGACGGTGCTTCTCCTATGAGACCCAGCACTTCAGCTTCATTGCGCGGACACTCGCAGTCACCACCCACCAATATTCCTCCTTCGAGAAAGCAATCTCTACGCCGTCAAATAAATCGGCGGCCCCGGGGCAAACAGAGCATCACGAACATGCGACTTCAGCCTCCGACTGCAAATGCAATCAATTTACAATCTCTGGAATATCTCAATGGGCGGTCCGACTCTGGAGTCGCTGAATTCCAGGAAGGTCCCACGCATTCTCGTCGCTCGTCTGCACACTCGATTCGCACCAGTCTAGTCATTCCATCCATGTCGGATGTTAAAACTATGACGAAGAACAGCATTGCTGCTACATCAACCACATCGCCCCAGAAAGCCGTTCCAGTTGCGCACTTCACTGTGCCCCGGAACAGATCAATTGGACCGTCCCCCGAGAGTCGGCCAGAAAGCAATGACAGTCTGGCTTCTGCGAACCTGATGAACACTTTGAATCGTAGTGGAACGGCTGGCACCGTTAGCAACTCCAGTACGGATTCCTCAAACACAAGTCGTTGGAGTGGTTTTATGAATTTTTTCAACGGTCGCCGCGGGTCCTCCGCTGATCACAGCGATTACCTCCAGAGTACAGACGATGGATTGGGGGTCGCTTGCCCCCCTTACCGCGGGTCGGAACGGCCCCGTTCGCAGTTGGAGCAAATGGTCCAGGAGCTTTCCATGGATGGTGTGTTTGGTGATGCAGACCTTTTTGAACCAGCTAGCAACACAAACACGATAAGTGAAAACTCACCAGAGACCTACCCTATAGGCTCTAGTGGCGTCACTCCTTCTGCCGCTCGACCGATTCCTGAGCGACCAAAGACTTTCGATTCGGTTTTGAAGTTGTCGGTCAATGAGAAAGATGGTGTCATCGATGTGGACATACCACTCCCTGAATTCGGTTCACCCCTCCAGTCGCCCATGTTGGGAGGATATGCCTCAGCATCTAGCCAGCACGGTTCCAGCTACGGCGAATCGTCCATGCTCTCTATGCCATACTGCGAACCCGAACGACCAGTCAATGCGGCTGGGTGGCTGAGGGAATTTCATGCCGATTTTGTAGTCCAAGCTATCAAACCTTATGCTGAATTGGAACGAGACGTTAAATGGGCTATGCGCGCCGAGCCAACACCCATCACTTCTGCGACTACTCCAAGCCTGGAACAGGGCCCTCTTGAGCGTTGGGTGGATGTTTGCTCCGCTATCATTGCTGACACCAGAACGTTCAGCATCAAACGCTTGAGTCTGCGGCGGCTGGTCAGGCTAACCCCAACCGCGACATATCAAGCTTCTGTGGTGACTCCCGGCATTACTGGAGTTCCTCCAGGCCGTTCACAATATGGCAATCCCTACACCGCTGCATCCACGATTCCCATGATGTCGGAAGTTCATCTCAAGGAGGAATTTTACGAAGAGCAGATTATGGACTTTGACGCCACGCTGATTGATGCTGTTGATCGTTTGCTAATGCAATCTGGACATGGTACCCGCATTCCGTCTGCCAGCTCTTCTCGGTCTAGCTCTCGACGAGGAAGGCGAGATACTAGATCTGGTTCGGATGCTGGCCATCACACTGAAGTTCCTCCCACTGACTGCAAGGCTGTCATATTCGATGCACTTGAGGTTGTGGTTAAAAAAGTCACAGCGGAGCGAAACTCCAGGGATGATGGATCTAACATGAACACTGGTGGGGAGAGGAAGCTGGCACAGGAAGCGGTGGCCAAGACTGCCACTGACTCTTCGCTCAAGGAGGGCATACGGCGCTGGCTCGCAGAAGTTGAATGATGCGGTCCGAGCTTTCTTAGCGTATGAGGAGTTTACGTCTCTACTAGAGTCTTCGAGCGAGCGATCGTTGAGTTTCGTTTCTTTCTTCTCGCGCGGCTCGGTGCAACGATACCCCTAGCATGAGCATGGTTAAGTGTGCTATGCAGTCGGAAACATCATTATACTAGTGGTTATGCGTTCAAGCGGGCGTTCTTGTCTTTTGTTTCAGTTTTTTAGGTAGTGGGTGAGGAGCTGCGGTATGATTTCCATATTACAATAACGTTTCCATAGTCCTCGCCAGTTTTTCGCTACGCACCATTTGTCGCAGCAGACTAGCATGGTCATCCCCGTCGTCGCTTTTGGCGCTCATGCTGCACTTTATGTCTGTAGAGGAACTCATTAGCTTTTGGGGCGCAAACCAGAGACGAAGGCTACCGCGGTCCCATAAGCTCAAGCCGCTTCCCGCGATTTTGCTATTTATCATGAAAGACTGCTTGTTGACTAGTCGACCGTCCTCGCTCGGATGGTGATCAGATTCCTTCCGAGCACAATAACCAATTTGTGAAGGATCCATCTGCCGTTCTTACAAAGCCGATGTTTAGCTGAGGCTTTGTCAAGCTGAGTAAACGGCCCCTCTATTTCGACGAAAGACTAAACCCACATGGGATGACGAAAGCGGGACGTGATTAGCGCGGGGGAGCTTCTCTCATGCTACGAGTACCAGATATATAGGAGCACCGCCGTTTCTGGTCTTTGGATTTGTGATTTGATCTGTTCTTCAGTATACAACCAGTTGGAACACAGTTCATTTGTGCATGTCCTTTACTATACCTCACCTACGCCTAATAGCTACACGTATAATCCCCCCAAAGCCAGTTTCCAACAGCACTTCATTTCTCTCCTTGATACGCCACTTTTCTCTGCTTTCACCTAGAAACACGATGGATAAAGCGCCTTCCATCACCGACTGGGTAAAGCCAGGCGATACGAGCGGCGAATTCAAGCGTCAAACCTCCATATTCCGCAACTGGATTGTAAATGAGCCGTCCGCCGAGTTCCCGGCCGAAAAGGACCGTTATCACCTCTATGTCAGCTACGCCTGTCCATGGGCCCACCGAGCCCTTATTGTGCGGCGCCTTAAGGGTCTTGAGGGCATTATAGGCTTCACGAGTGTCCACTGGCACATGGGCAAAAAGGGTTGGCGATTCGCAACCTCAGACGAAAACGTGCCAGGGGAAAACACCATCCCAGACCCTTTACACAAAGATTTCACGCACCTCCGCGACATCTACTTTGCCCAAAAACCTGACTACGATGGCCGCTTTACAGTACCGACACTGTTCGATAAGAAGAAGGGTGTCATTGTGAGCAATGAGAGTAGCGAAATAATCCGTATGTTCTACTACGCATTTGACGACCTCGTGGCGCCTTCGTATAAGAACGTGGATCTGTTTCCAGAGAAGCTGAGGAAGGACATTGAGGAAATGAACGAATGGGTCTACACCGACATCAACAACGGCGTATACAAAGCAGGCTTCGCCACTACGACAGAAGCTTACACAAAAGCTGTGACAACCCTCTTCTCCTCCCTCGACCGCGTTGAAGCCTCCCTTGCGCAATCGTCGACCCCCTACTTGCTTTCCGCGCCAGAACCTACTGAGGCGGACATCCGCCTCTATACCACAGTCATCCGGTTCGACCCCGTGTACGTCCAGCATTTCAAGTGCAATATCCGTGATATTCGCAGCGGTTATCCGCACCTGCATCGCTGGCTGCGCACCTTGTACTGGGATTCCCCCGCGTTCGGCCAGACGACCGAGTTCGAGCACATCAAGAAGCGTGAGATATTGCCCCATTTCTTCTAATTTTCATCGTTCATACCTTCGTTATCACTGTGAGGGACACACCTTTGGGACTTGTTGCTAACGCCTTCAATTCAGACTACACACAGAGCCATACTCAGATCAACCAGTTCGCCATCACTCCTGTAGGCCCACTGCCCAACATTCTGCCCAAAGATGACGAGGTTCCTTCCGTGCAAGCTGCGCTCAGACAATGAGCGAAACAACGTGAAACCGGAGCAGCATGTGTTGATTCTGGTTCTCTGATATTGCGAAAAATGGGCACAGTCTTCATGCTGTTTGCACTCGTATTAATTGACTTGTTCTCTATGTCATGTCGAAACGACGTGCAGGTTTCCGTAGCATTCACTTTTTTAGAGGTCTTTCTATATACGTATTTACACATACATGTGTGCAGCAGTGGTTTTATCCATTGCAAAACCGTCTCTCTTCTGCATTTTTGTCACCTGCCTTGCGCGCGTAAAGGGCCACCACAAGGCAAAGCCCAAGCTGATTTGTTCATCACATCTAGTCTATAGGGTAGCAATTTTAGTCCATTGAGTTGTTCAAATTGGGTATCATTTATTGTAACACCTGCTTCCGGGAAAGATCCCACTGGGAGTCCCGTCACGACTACCCTTTATGACAGGGCCACAATGCCATTATATTACAAGTGTAGAGATGTTCAGTGCGTTGCCAGAGCTGCAGAATGCTCTACCCAGTGATTAATGTCTTGCAATGCCACATACACATTCTACAATAGTCCCACCCCGGCATCCCCAATGATCTGCTTATTCACCCCATCGCGTACTTTGCCGACCTTACTAGCAGACTGCAAGATGGCGCCCTCAATCGCCTTGAGTGCTTCCACTAACTGCTTCCGTTGGTCATGCGAGCTGCTACGGCTTCCCGTTAGCTGCTGCGCCTTCTCAAGTGTTCCTGCTTCCATAGTCCGCAGGTGAGTCTCAATCTCGCGGATCTGACGTTGGTACAAATCGAGAGTGGATGAAAGGTTTTCTGTGCGACGGTCGAAATAGCGCAGGAGATCGACGGGTTTCGTGGGGTCGTCATCGTCCAGTGAATTACTGGGCGTGATCTTTGATGTAGAAGCTGTCAAATTGGAAGCGTTGCCATAACGGAATTGAGGAGGCAATGCCTGGTTCTCGATGGCGCGGAAGCTGAGAGCTGCATCCTCGGCGTCTTTCTTGACTTGAGTTTTGACGTGATGAATGTTGGCGGAATCATTGTCGAGACCTAGTTCGACGGTAGAGAGCAGTTTTTCAACGTATTGGACGTCAGGCGATATGGTGGTGACCTGGTCAATGTGCTGAGGCAGTGTTCCGCGAGTGGTGTGGGCATTGTTGATTCGTTTCTGGATCATCTCCTCAATCTGTACTATTTGCTGCTGGAATTCGGGGCTGAGGTCATTGAAGCGAGTGGTTCCCTTGATGGAATCAGCTGCCTGAATCTGGACAGCTTGATTCGTGGACATGGATAGGCCGGTTCCACCTAGGCTGCCGAGAGGTTTGTTCTGGGATTGAAGATTGGGAAACATGGAGTTGGTGGGCGGCTGCTGCTGTTGCTGCTGCTGCTGCTGTGGGTTTGAGCCAAAGAGAGATTGGGTGGAGGCCTGGTTCTGTTGGGTATTTGAATTCCCAAAAAGAGGCGCGTTGCTTTGTTGTGCCGTTGATGCGGCACCGCCGCTACACAGACGCGACGAAGGAGGTTAGTGGGTTGTGTGACAGGGAGTGAACATTCCTGGACTTACAACAGCGCAGCTTTTGGGGCCTGACTGCCTCCGAATAGTCCACCAGATTGGGACGGCTGAGTCTGAGCCTGAGTATTCGCTCCTGCCCCCAAAGCTCCTCCGAACAGGCTCCCGGTTTGCTGGGGCTGGGTTTGGGCAGTGGAAGAGCCAAACAGCCCCCCTCCTGCAGCAGGCGCACTCGGGGCTGCGGGCTTATTCAGATTGGAAAAGAGGCCGGTGGATGGGGGTGGCTGTGGTGTCGTCGAGCCAAAAAGGCTTCCAGTCTGCTGGGGCCCACTGGCATTGTTTCCGCTGCAAATGTCTTAGTCAATGGTACACATCCATCCATCCATGCATCTGATGAAATCCGGCCCCAGTAACGGAGAAAGAAGAAGAGAGACAGAGGGGAGACAGGAGTGCAACGTTGGGGTCGGGCTGATGGGGCGTGAAGATGGAACAGATAATTATAAATGCGATTCATGAGACTTACAAAAGACTGGTGCCGCTGGTGTTGATGCTCAGCGAGTTGGACCGTCCCAAGCCCGCCATTGTACTTGTGTGGTTGATTTGTCTCTTTTCTCCCTTTTCCCTTTCCCGCGCGCTTTCCGCCTTTTTCTTCTCGGGTGGCGTGAATAGTTACTAGACTGTATACTCGGATCTGACCACGGCGCTAGGGCAGCGAATATGAGTTTTGGTTACAGGGCTGAAGTGGTTCCCGCCAGTAGCGACAGCAATAATAGTGAGGTGACGGCGCGCCGCGAGTGGGAGGTGACGGTGATCAAGGAGAAGCTGGCAAGGAACGAGCTGGTGGATCTGCCGCTGTGCCGGTTGGAGAGGGTGAATGCGTAAGTCCACTTGTGTGTGCGTGGTGGGCGCGTCCCAATTACCCTTTGTTTCGTTTTTTTGCTGGTGTCGGTCTATCCGGCGGCTGTTCACCCAACACGACTTGAATGCACACATGGAGGTGCCTGGATGCCAAGCCCGCCGATGCGCCTGATCACGTGGTTTCAACCGGGCACGTGCGTGTGTCAATGATCAATCAATTGATCGCAAGGGTGAATGAACCTTCGGCTAACCCTGCCTGCCTTTGTTTGTTGTTTCTGCAGAGCTCTCCCAACCGTGCGCTTTGGCCTCAAGCGCGGCAAGCTAGTCTACGTCTTCAACTTCTCCGCCCACGACGTCCAACGCGACAAGCACCGCAACGTCATTTCGCGCGCCCGCTTCATCAAGGCGCAACTCGAGCTCGCCGGTTACCATCTGATTCCCTGGGACTTCAAAAAGGACCAGCCCCCGCGCTTCTGGCTACACCAGCACCCCGAGCCCCAACAGCCCCATTCTTCCATTCTTGCCGCCGACATGGAAGAGGAAGACGATGATCTCTACGGACCATCTGAGACTACTGTCCCCGGTCCAGCACCAGCGGCAGAGCTGCCATCCCAACCAACCCCTGGCGAGACCAGCGCCCAAGAATTGAATCATGGCGACGCGAGTGAGGGTGATGAGCCCATGGACGAGGGCCTCGAGTCGGGCGAGGATTCTGATGACAGTGACGATTCGGTATACCGCCCAATCAATACAGGTAGAAATACACTGATGAGCGAAGCTTACAATCCTCCTTACAGGATGATTTGGAAATCATCATCGACCGGCCCTCCGACAAACCCAACCTCTCCCAACAGCAGCAACAGCACAGCACCCCCTCCGAATCCAAAGCTATCAAAATCGAAGCCCCACCCGGGTCTCAGCAACAGCAGTTGCACCAACCGGGCACTTCCCCCAGCCTCATCGCAGGAGCATCGGGCATCAAACCCGCGCCACCCTCACATCATGGCCAACCGGGCACTGCTTTCCCCGCTGTACAGTCCTCTACCATCACCATGGACGCGAACCCTAGCTACCCACCTCTCGGCAAGCCCATTCTCACCGTTGATATGGACGCCGATCTCGCCGAACACACCAAGCCGTGGCGTCTCCCTGGCGTAGATCAATCCGACTATTTCAATTATGGCTTCGACGAATTCACCTGGGAAATGTATCGTCAGCGACAGTCTACAATGTCCAATACTCTGACCCAGCAGAAGGCGGAAACAGCGCAGCTGCAGAGTTTCTTCGATCCACGGATGATGAGCGGAGGGGGGAGCGGCTCCAACCCCGGCGGCACAGGGGCAAACCCGCCCACAGGCCCTTCCAGTGCCAGTGGCGGCGGCAACGGCGTTCCCCCCAATGCGCCTACGGGTCCTTCAGGAGGTGGTGCCAGTGCTGCAGGAGCGGGCGGTGGCATGCCCGGGATGCCTAGCGAAGAAATGATGCAACAGATGATGCAGCAGATGATGAGCCAGGGCGTGGACCCTTCCAACATGGATTTCAACACATTTGCTCAGATGATGGGTGGAGGGTTTCCCGGCTCAGAACAACAACAATATCCGCAAGGTCCTGCGGGGCGCGGCGCCAGCGCTGGAGTCGGAAGCGCGCGGAGAGGCGGGAGAGGGAGGGGTTGGTAATGTATACGTGAAGGGCCAACAAAATCACAGGAGTGCTGGAACGGTGTGTGCTTGTGGGTAATCCTCTCCCTCTCTACGCCCCCCTCCCAGGAGGAGGCATGGATAATACCTTATTAAATAAAAAAAAACGAAAGTCACGGGAAGCGAAGGTTATGCATTGGGCGGCGTTTGATCTTCAATGATCTCATTTTCATATTCTGTAGCTGAATCGGTGTCCCAGCTACTCGAATGCCAAGTGTATGATTATCCTGATTTAATACCATAGCAACAATGGGAACACACTCAATAACCGTCATCATGAGACCAAAAAAAAAGCAAAAAAGAAAAAGAAAAAGAAACTTGGTTACGGAAGCCCAGAATGAGACCATGGAGATCTTCTGTCATCGGTGTACTTTAAGCAATTGATGGTAAATGTAGCTACGCAGTGCACCAGAACCTTTTCACGCGAAAGCCACCGAAACAAGATCTGTTTTGTTGATCTCAAGTCCAGGTATTCGTGCACATCACTGACTGCATTCATCCCCTAAGGAAACAGGACAAGTCGTCGACTGCTGTGGAACAAGCGTGGTTGGTTATTATCAGAATAGTACATGCTATGTAGGTATCAAAACAAGTGTTAGACAAAAAATTCAATGTAGTTCCACGCCCTTGAAATGGAGATTGGAAATTTATCAGATCTTTGCTACCCGCAAGTGCAAGGAAGCGGGGGTCCATCGGTTCGATTCGAGCATCTCTTGTCTGATAGATCCCTCGGCCATCTAGATACTCTGTTCCATTTCTGTAATGTATAGCTTGATGTGACTCTCCATCTTGATATACTCGTCGTGCGCAGCGTGAATCTCGTTCTCGATGCTATCTTTGAGCTCCGCCATCTGTAAACACGGTAAGCATTAGCCGAGCTCACAAACACGAAGGCGTGGGAAACAAAGAATCTCATACCTTTTTCTCCGTCTGTTCGATTCGAACTCTCCGTCTTTCCATATCTCTACCCTTTTCGCCTCGTTCCTCGGCTAATTTGGCATGTGTCTCGCGCAGCTCCTCCATCCGTGTACGCGCACGCTCAGCTTCCTCGTCTGCTTTAGTCTTAAGCTTGTCTGTGCGTGCGTTGACGTTCCCGAGTTGCTTCTGCAGTAGACGCTCCTGGCGCTCAACGTCGCGCACATTGTTACTGCGATCGGCGAGAGCGTCACGATGGCGTGACGCCTTGTTGGACTCCTCCTCCTCTTTTGTGAGATCAGTTTGGACATCGCTGAGAAGGCGTGTGCATGAGGTCACATCCGTGGAAACAACAGCGAAGGAGTCGGCTGAAGTTTGAAGAGCGCGGGCACGACGATCTAGGGAATCAATCTGGGTTTTGTCGCTTGTGAGACGATCGTTAAGATCGCGTAAAGAATCCTCCAATGCGGTTGGGCTCTGTTGCGTATACGGTTTCAGTTTGAGCACGTCACGCTGCACATTCTCCTTATTCTCAGCTTTTGCTTGCAGCAGTGCCTTGAGGCGGATCTGCTCGTTTTTGGCGCGCTCAAGCTTTTCTTGCACCGCCTGCTGTCTCCTCTCAAACTCTCGTAATTGGTTCCTAAGCTCCGCATTGCGCTTTTCCTTCTCTTCCATCAGTCTCTGGGTTGCCTTACGGTTGCGCTCTAGATCTGCTAGCTGCATCTCTTTAGCCTGCTTCTCGTCGTAGAGCTCCTCAATGCGGAGTTTGGTACGTTGACTCTTGTTGAAATGCTCGTCGATAATCGCGGTCTGAGATTCACGGAATCGGATGAAGTTGATCATGTACGAGAAGATTTTGACGAGGCGCGGGTAGGTAGGCTTGTACAAGTCTTGAAATGTGAAGTCGTGGATTCCGCACTGTACGGGTGTCAGTGATGTGTCTGAAGGAACCCTCGGTCCAAAACGATGGAATATTTCTAATACCTCGCGTAAAAGCTTTCTCATGACAACGAAGAACCCAACAAGATCTCTTGTGTCACTTGTGAAGACTCTGTCCACGTCTCCGCCACATATATCTTCAGAAGCTGCTCTCATAGCGGGAGAAACCACATCGCGCGTTGTGTTCATCAACAGCTCCGCCAGCCATTCGAAAACCTTTTGGATAATTTGTGGATTCGGCTTCTGCAAGTCGGCGGTGGTGAAGTTGATGCCAATGTTGCCACCAATATCACTGATACATCCCGCGATCTCGGAATCAGGCTAATGCGCAAATCAGCTAAAAAGAAGGAGAGAGAGAGAGAGAGAGATCCGGGGCCAGAGATGCATACCAAGGTCATGAAAGCGTCAGCTTCGTTGACTACCGGGGCACGCTGATGATGAGTGGAGGCACGCGCAGTGCTCATGCGCGGATTGTAGGACATTTTGGAAGCGGTTATGGTCTTGAGGGCGACAATGATCGATGCGACTGTTAGCTTTGCGGTTGATGTTGGTCGAGATGCCCTCGCTGATGGTGGTGGTTTGGGGTGAGTCTGTTTGTTTACATGTTGTTGTTGTTTACGCTGGGGCTTGGCATGGCGGTGGTGTGCAGTCCAAGACAGAAGCCGCACTAGACTGCATCGAGATTGGCGCGCTCTGCACCCCTCCTTCAGCCAAAATCGACCAACGGCTTGACTGTGTACATATCAAATGTATTCAAATGATGTTAGCAGCAGTAGCACGGAATGGTTGTTTCAGCTCCAATGCTGCTCGGTCCTGAAAGCAACACGGAAACAAAGAGGCGACGAGTCCCCAGACCACGCGCGGCTTGAGCATACTTACGCCAAGTGCTGGATGCTTGTGGTGACGTCCCATGCACAAGCAACAGCAGCCCCTCTACTTTCTCTCCCGTGCCTGTCATTCTTCTCTCCTTTGCAGCATCAATACTTACTTACCTCTCTACGCAGACAACCTGTGCCCACATATCTTCTAGTTTGTCTTCTTCCAAAACTACCTTGACTCCAAATGACCGCCCACGTGATCCCGCGTTTCTATCGCTTCTTCTTCACTTGGCTCGACCCCATGATAGCCTTCTCTGGCGGTCTTACCGACTTCGTCTCCCCAGACTTTATCGTCAATTCGCTCGTTTCCAAAGAGCTTAGACCCGAGTTAGCTGTTAATCCGACCTACAAATTCATTTTCCAACAGGCGGGCGGCGCCATGTTCGCTGCTGGCTTCCTCTCTGTCGCCCTCCTTCGTGCAACGAATGATTTGAAGATTTGGAAACATGTACAGGCTGCTATCTTGATCATGGACTTTGCCACGCTTTACTCAGCCTGGGACACTCTTCGTTTGCAGGGCCGTCTGATGGCGGGGTGGCGAGGTGAGGATTGGGGCACAGTGGGCGTCACAGCGTTCGTAACGTTGTTAAGAATCGCCTTCTTGGCTGAGGTGGGATTCCGGCCGAAGCCTGCATCTAGGGTCAATCAACGTACGATGCTATGAATCATGTGATAGTGCAAGAGCTATGGCGCATACCCTAAATGCTGCCATGGAAACACGACATGTTCTCCAACATTTACCAGACTATCCAATTCAATAGCGTGCCTTCTTCTTAGACTACGGAAGTCTTGTCAGATAATCACGGGATGCATTCCATACGCCGTGCTATCTACCCAAGTACTCTCCTACCGAGGTTTTGCACGTTAGTCAAATATGATATGGACTTGTATGCTTGATCCGACACCTGCCCGAGAATTGAGACCAGTAGAGCAATATCCTTGCCCTCGATCAACCTTCAGTCAAGTGAGTTATGCACGCTTGCTCGGTGAGATGCAATACAGCCATTGGTGTAGATTTACTTCGTTCAAAGGGATGGCATGACCGACATCGTGAGGTGCCGGTGGAATGTGTACTCACGAAAGGACAGATGGTAATGCGGAAAACGTTCAGCCTCAAAATTCCAAACAAAACTGCCCAGGTGGCTCAGGATACGCATCCGGAATCACGACCAGTGCAGCAGACGCTCGGAAACAATAGCAACCATGCTATGAGCATAAGATCGACATGAGCTCACTACACCCACTTTCAATATAATCACATACTTACGGTTATACTAGTGTTCAATTCCCCGCCGCATCAGTGTAGTCATCGGTCCACTTTCGTTGCGACTAGCACGGGAATTCACACCGAGCTATACGCATGGGTCAACCGTCATAAGGACACGCGATATCATTCTGGGTTTAATATGAGAACGGTACATTGCAGCGCGGACCAGAGTGTATTCCGTACTATAGAACGGCTGAAGAATAGAAGTGAAGTTCTCCGTTGGTCCCCTACTGGCTATGATCGCACATTCCTGTGCGTGAAGCATAGGTAGATTAGTTGCCCAGCTCCCAAGACTATAGCCCCTCCCCCTACATATGATACTAGCATCTGCTTGGGGCATGCTATATGGCTATTCTGGGTGTAAGCGGCACGGTTTTGGGATCGATATATGTGGTGAGTTCGCGGCAAACATATGCCCGATTGCGCGTGAGAGAATCCACGGTTGGACTCGTGTGTGGCCTGCTCCGCAACAATGATTACATGTATGAAGCTGCGATATATTGCTTCAGGGCTAATATATGTTTAGATGATACATGGCGGCGGTTTTCAATAGAGCCAAGGTCTGTAATACGAGTAAAACTCCAATCGAAACCCAGGTGAGTAGAAACCAGTGATTGAAGTGCTTGGATATCAAGTCTCCGATAGAAGTAGCTATGTTGCAAAGCCAGCAGAAGCTGGAATCAGAGGTTGTTAATACCGTCAGATTTTCTAGATCGAGTCAATGCAAAGTTGACACGGATATGACAGCACGAAGTCAAGACAGACTGAGGTCTCCAAGAACAGGGCATGGAAGGGCGGCATACACCTTTACTGTCAAGATCGTCGTATTGACCATGCGGTATATGCAGGGATTGAACAGTAGCCCAGAAGACATATATCAATAACTCACATTTCATATTGTGACCAATATACAACGAGTGAATATCTTGCCGTTTCCCGGGATGACACACAAGTACAGTCTGAGATAGAGCAAACAAGCCGCAAAGTTCTGGTCCGGGAATGGTCCTCGCTGATAGAAAGAATTGGGAGAATATGATGTGGGCTGACAGTACTCTCGTAAAGACATGATGTATCCAACAGTCGATTTCTCGCGAAAGTGCAGACAAGATGGTTTACTAAAGCTCGCGCTCCGTCTCTCTCTGGGCGTATACACAGAACACATGGACAAAACACCTTCGGTGCCATGACGCCATGCACGATTGGATTGGCAACAAGTTGTACCAGGAGGTTGATGAACAGTACCCGCACACGGGCAACGGCGTGAAGCCGCCAGGGGCTGCTGGCTGCACCGAATGAATATATCAAGCGCATGCCCAGGATATTAAAGATCGATCAGATCTTGGCGGCGGTGCTGGCATTGGCTGATGCGCACTTTACCCGCGAGAACAAAGCCGGGTCGTGATGGGGTAAAAGGTGTTTTCCAATGCATGAGCCTGGTTTCCAGCATGCATGGGGCAATAGATCTGCAACATCTGTATCAAACAAGTCTCCGAGCTCAGCGACCCGGGAATTCGCAGTCGCAGATGGGACTCCATCGCGATGGGAGTCGCGTTGCCTTGCTTCCTGGTTTATTACCGGCCCTCGGCTCCGGTCTCATGTGGCCCTGGGACTTTGACGTACAATCTACCCAAGTGTTGTGGTGTTGAGCTCTGCTGTACACATGCCACGGCCCATGGCAGCGCGTCGCGATCTGCAATGCAGCGGCGAAGATGAGGCAGGTCGCTGGGCAAACTGGGGCATCGCGCAAGCTGCAATTATAAGCACTTTCTGGACAAGTACCCCGCAATGCTTGTCCAGCAGAAATTCGCCGGCGCAAGCCAGCATCCGACTCCAGAACGGACCGCTAGCCGTCTGGTGGAAATGCCCAAGGCCGTGCAATATCAAGCACTTTGCAGCATACATCATCGAGGGCTTGGGCAGCTTGGGATGCCATTTTCCAGAAAGGCCCTAAGCCGGCATCAGACCCGGGCAGGGCACCATATCCAAATGAGCTTCATGATGATCTTTGTGCCAATCTCGAGGCCCATGGCGCCACAACACGGTCCACGAGGCCATTCATCAGCCATGTACGTGTAGGTACGACTGTCAAGAGGCTCAGTCGTCGTGCTCTTGGCTCCAGTATTTAAGACCGCAAGCTGCCTCTTCAAATGCTCATCGAGCCAACACTCCATTCACCACCAGATCCAAACAAGACTGCCTCGCTCTTTTCAACATGAAGACAAACACAGCCTCCCTTTTGGCGTTGGCGACTGCCGTCTCTGCTCTCCCCTCGCCCGTACAGAAGCGCGCTTGCGACGCTCCTGTCAAGCTGAGCGGAAGTGAGAACGCCTTCGCATCATACACCCTTCATCCCAACTCCTTCTATCGTGCCGAGGTTGAGGCCGCCGTCGAGGCTATCAGCGATGCCAGCCTGAAAGAGGCAGCGGCAAAGGTTGCTGATGTCGGCTCTTTCCTATGGCTGTAAGTTTGAACCGTCTTGAAATCAACCACTTGATTCGCTGACTCCTCTTCTCCACAGTGACACCATTGCAAACATTGAACGACTTCCTACTGAACTAGCCACCGAGATCCCGTGTGATAACATCCTGGGCCTTGTCATCTACGATCTTCCCGGTCGTGACTGTGCTGCAAAGGCTTCCAATGGTGAACTTGCTGTGGGAGAGGTCGACCGATACAAGACCGAATATATTGATGGTAGGCTTTTCGAATACTTCGCAAAGAATGAAACTAATGACATCAAGTGATTGCTGGGATCCTCAAGGAAAACCCCAACCAGGCTTTCGCCTTGATCATCGAGCCTGATTCGCTTCCCAACTTGGTCACCAACATCGACGAGCAGGCGTGCCAGGACTCTGCTGAAGGCTACCGGGAGGGTGTAGCGTATGCCCTGGAACAGCTTAATTTGGACAACGTCGTGATGTACATGGACGCTGGCCATGGAGGCTGGTTGGGCTGGGACGCTAACCTCGACCCCGGTGCGGAGGAGCTCGCCAGTGTGTACAAGGCAGCAGGCTCCCCCAGCCAATTCCGTGGCATCTCCACCAACATTGCTGGATGGAACTCTTTGTAAGTTTTTTTTCCCCCACGAGTTCCTTACGTACAGACAAGTTAACGAATCTGCAGCGACCTAACCCCCGGCGAGTTCTCCGATGCTACTGATGCCCCTTACAACAGTGCTCAGAACGAGCAGCAATACGTCAAACTATTCGGTGCTGCCCTCAAGACCGCCGGCATGCCCAACCACGCCATCGTCGATACTGGCCGGTAAGAAGTTCTTGCTCAGTCGTATACAACGAGATTGAAACTAACGCTCCGTTAGTAATGGTGTCACTGGTCTCCGCGAGGAATGGGGCCACTGGTGCAACGTTGATGGCGCTGGCTTTGGTGTCCGTCCTACTTCCGATACTGGTGATGAGCTCGTGGATGCCTTTGTCTGGGGAAAACCAGGCGGTGAATCTGATGGAACTAGCGACACCTCTGCGGACCGATACGATTCTTTCTGCGGTATGCCCGACGCATACACACCGTCTCCCGAAGCTGGCCAATGGAACCAGGCATACTTTGAGATGTTGCTTAAGAATGCCAAACCGGCGTTCTAAATTGCTGTAACTCCCTTACCTATCTGTGAAGGAAGGTACACAACCGGGGAACTGCGGTTGACGTCGCTGGGGATACTTTGGATGTTGACAAATATGCAATGCTATAGATGCTATATTTCTTGTTAGAAAATCTAGAGCTGAATGTATCCATATATTCTATTATTCGAAGCATGCCAGGCATCGTGATCAATGGCAGTGCCCCAAGGGTCTTTGTTGGTTTCGATCTCGGTTGTTGTTTTATATTCCACGAAACATCTCACGCACATACTGTGGCTTATGTTTCTTCGTCAAGGCAAGTCGGCAAGTCCTCGTCGGCAGCTATGCAGTCAACCCTCTATTTTTCTTTTCTTTAATTCGGTATCCATCGGAGGATCTCCGGTGATGCGACCAAGTGGTCTTTACATGGTCAATTGGCGCAGTCTAAACGAACGCACTAGTCAGAGGTATGGTAACTTGCACACCTTTCTTCAAATTTTGCTACCAAATATTGTATTTTCTATAGACTATTAAATACATAAAACTGTAAAGAAAAATTCATTATATGATTTTTGTCCCTGCCTACTTTTTGTTACCTTTTTTATATGCTTTTTAGGTGTAGGAACCACTGTAACTTCCAATCAAAAAACTTAAAACTTAAAACTCATTATGTGATGAGCAGCGTCATGCTGAGATAGCACATGCGCACAAGTAGCGCCTGCCACTACACAGAGGATGCAACGCGGCGTAGCTCAGTTTCGCAGTCAAGGTCTGCGGGGTACAGTCACCCTTTCGGCATTGACATTGATCAGGGGAAGCTTCTGAAACCTCGTGCTTCCCAATATGAAGGTCAAGATTCGGTCGCAATTTGCAGCGACCGCTGACCAGATTGTCAGACTGTAGCGCTGCACAAGAGCAGCTGGTGACACGATGGGTACATAGAGCATACAATTTTTCATAGCACGCAACCGCATGCAAGATCTTTGGGATACAATTTGCCCCCGAGCAATTACACTCATGCGGAGACAATACCTCGTGGGTCTGGGCTTTGGTCTCAATTTGTAGTGTGGGGCCCTGCTCGCAGTCCTTGCGTGCCATGTTGGCGTCATGTGGCTCAACAGTGAGGTGGTTGCTGGTGACGCATTTCGGCTTGTTGCAAAGATGACTGGCTTCCATTCCATTGTATAAAAGGTTTTTGCGGTCTCGAAGGCTACATGTACAGCAGTAGTCAGCATATCAGAGTCTGAGACGCACTGAGAGGGTTCCCTGAACCCGATCAGAGTGTGAATATGGCATACCCTTTGTAGGCAATTATAGCAACCCTCTGTGCAGTAAACTGGGTAACCGTCCCCCGAGGACAAATTTGGCAATAGGAATTCTTCCATGAATTAGTATAAGATAAGCAAAACTCCGGACACTACATACCCCGGTCTTCTTCTTCACGATGGTGCAGCCTTCACGAGTCTTCTTTGCAGGACCAAATGCCTGCCCCGCTGAGTTGCGGAAGCCTTGTTCGAGACGTTTCATAGTTTCTTGTGCCAGTCTCCGTGATATAGACTCCAATGGCGTAGGCGGGATTCTCCTTCTTTGGCGCCGGGGAGCGACGTATGGGCACTCAGGCCTGGCACGTAGAGCGTACCCATGGGGGTTGGGAGGTGACTGACGAGGCTGTCGATGGTTGTAGTATGCTCGGGTCATGATCGGCAGGTTGGAATAGGGCTTTGTGCAGAGAAGAGTGGACGAGCGAAAATTCTATTGGGAAGAAGACTCTGGGGATGATGTACAAGTTGGATGTGAAGCAGACACATAGCTATCAGCATTTAAGTACATCGCGAAGACACAGTTAGGTTGGCGGAATGGCAGCACAGAGCTGTGTCGACCCACTGCAAACAGCGGAAAAGATGACCGGGCGATCAAATACTGATTGTACTACATTGACGGGCAGCACTGCAGTCACGTCTGAGGTGTTGATCGCAGGAAGCAGTGTAAAAGATGACGAAAGCGCAAATATTGGTTGCACTGCGTTGTTAGGCATGCACATGCGGTTTCGATATTGTAGCAATCCGGTTAGACTACATTCAATGCAGTATGCTGCACGTAGGATAGAAATATGCGTACTTCCACGTTGGTGCTACATGTCAAAGTTGGTCCGAGATGGTCTTGGAAGGAGAAAGGAAGGTTTAATGGTATTGCGCGTTGTTGAACCAAGCCACCTGAGCCTATTGTGGGTTCGTAGCGTCCGTCCTATGCACTTCTAGCGGAAGAGAGCGAAGAAAAAAAAGCAAAAGAGTGGAAAATGTGGCTCTCATTTGCGGATGGGTGATCCAGCGAGGGGTGGCGGAAAAGGCGGTGATGAAATGCATTGCAAGTTCAGTGTTGAGGTAACGGCAGCACCTGCATGGTTGCATTTTTTTCGCTTGATCACTTTTTCGATCCCATAATCAGGCACATAGCCGCGATGCTGATTGATGTATGTTCGCGCGGAGAAGAATGGCGCATGGTGGCGTGAGGGCTCTTTGATGTCGCTTCCAAATAACGCTGAGTTGCTGTACCCGTCTTTGAGACCTGAGATGGGTGACGCGATCGATAACTTGATATCCCGAGGGGCTCATTTGCGCCAGCGTCGACTTGCCATGAATGATATTATCTCGGCCACTTTTGGTGGACGAATCAGTTCGTCGACAATGAACGCGGTGCAAAAGAATGTCATCGACGCCCGTTGCAATCCCTGGTACCGAATTGTCTCTTTCAAGGATCATGCATCGGAGTTACGCGAGTACAGGATGTGAAACGGCTTGACCAGATTTCAAGTCTCTCGCTCATATTAATGACCGATGTATGATCGTACGATCCGCTTGTACACGGCAAACCCCTGTCAATCAAAGAAAAACCCCAACGATAATCTCTATGGGGAGACACAAGGCCACCAGTCTACATGCAAGTACCGATGGTGTGCTACTGGTTGAGGCCAATGTCAAGGTGATAGATGAATACGAGGGCTTCGCTTCGGCCAAAAGAAAAATGGTCGCACAGCGTGGAGAAGCCGAGTGCCGATTCATCCGACATTGTTCGCGAAAGAGCCCCCATCGTAGACATTATTTTATTTCTCGAGAGGAGGTAGGTAGTTGTTGAAACGCAAATCATGTCCGATCCTCATGGCTGGCCCCTAGATCGCGGCTGGTGTCGTTGGTTTATTATGTTTTGTCTTACATGCCCTGGTCTGCCTCGGCCTGAGTGACTGACCACCCTGGAAACAGAGGATACGAGGGATCCGTATATGTGTATCAAGGAACAATCACGAACATGGTTCTGCGAAGTGGTGTTTATGCTACGGTAAACACACACACACACACACACACATAGCCATGAAGAAGGCCGTGGAGAGGAAGAAAACATACAAATACTCGAATGTTTCTGTGTCTAGTTTGGGATCTCATCCCAATCACCATCAAACAACTTCCTCCTCTCAGCTCCAAACCACAACTTGGACTGAGGGGACTCGCAAGCTCGATTGTACTTCCAACCTTCTTGCTGCCGACTTCAAGCAGCCAAGATGAAGGATGGGTATCAAAGTTTTGAAACTTTCTGGGGGTTATATTCGCAAACAGCGCGGCTCGTGCTGCGCGAAGTCGACCAGTTGGTTGAGCTTTGGAAGCTTGATTACTGTGGACTGCTATTTTCGCTTGTTTGTACTCGATTTTTTTGAGGTGAGGTTCTTGTACAGACATTGATTTGGGGTCAGAGAGTTTAGCAACGAAATCATGTCGTTCTCCCAAGTTTGCATACTGTTTTGTAAATTTGCCACCTACAACTTAGCAGTAACTTGATATCAAACCAGTGTTGAGTGTATGCCCTACATACCTAGTGTGTAGTATGCGTTTAGCGTGGACGAGCAGGCACGTGGCTGCTGCTTAGTGATCTCGCTTCGCATTCCTACCTGGGTAAGCAGGTGCCTCGGTACATAAGTACCTACATATGTACTTCCATAAGGTACCTAGGGGAATGTATATACATACATTTGCGTGCACCATGGTACTTGTACTTGTACTGTACGTTCGGTACATGGTGAAGTACCTACTTGGCTGACACGACATACATACAGAGCTATGTATGTGGGTACATGTACACGTGGATTGAGCGACACGGTCGGCAAACCTTCAAGTACCTGCTTTGCTCCCAGCAGCAGCCGTGTATGGCGTAGCTGGACTAGGAAATGATGAACGCTCCCTCGCCAGACCCTTGACCCCCGATCATCGTGTGGTGGCAATTTCTCTTTGACGAGGACGGGGGATTGGCAATGGACCGGCGGCGCATCAACCGAGGAAAATGTCTAAAAAGCGTGCAACGGGCAGCTGTAGCGAATGAATGCGTGGCGTCCCAGGAGAGATGGAGGAATGCTTGTTAACGTCCATGTATCTTTGCCTGTACTGTGTGCACAGTGCTGGCCGTCCTTGTTGGTCGAGGCCCGCTTTTCTTTTTCGCCTTGCCTTGCTTTGCCTCGCCTTGTCCATGACCAACCGGCCCATCGACTAATTGCCCTTCCTTCACTACCATCGTCACCGCCGTAACAGCGCCATCATTCTTCTTCTTCTCCATCTTCTTGTTGCAGTTGCTACTCCTTCTCCACCGCTCCCATCCTCTTTTCTCCTTGTTTGCCGCCTCCGCTGCCGCCGCCGCTGCTGCTGACGCATGTTGCCGAGACCGCCCACCATGCACTCCTCCTCGCACTGTAGCGACAGACGATAGCCACCACCCTCTCTCACTCACTCACTCACTCACACACACACACACACACACACACACACAGTCTCACTCCCCAACCAACCAATCAACTCAGACCAGTCACCTGCATTCCGTTCGAGTGCACCCTCGCGCAGTCACGCTCCTCCTTTCCCCTCGTCTCTCTCCGACACTACTGATAGCACAACGTCTTCATACCACCAGACCCCCCTGTCCCCCATCACGGCGCCGCTGTTTCGTGGCAACGCCCGAGCTCAATGTGGCTCTTCGGCCGCCGCAAGGCCGCTAAAGTCAAACGGCCGCCCAGAGCAGATGTCGCGGATACCGCTCGAGTCCACGCTTTTGCCAACAACGACGTCCTCAGGAGCCCGCCCAGTCGACGCAGCAGTCGCCGCAGGCGCACCAGTTCACGCTCTAGCGCGGCTTCCCTGCGCGATGCACCACCGCCCCCGCTACCGCTCTTGCAACCCGACCCTGCCTCCGCCAAAGAACAAGGCTCCCCCCAACCCTCCGCCGACGCCCTCACGGCTCTGCCCAACTCGCGCTCGCTGGCCCAAAGTCCCCACCTTAGGCCCATCTCCCAGCACGCAGCCGTTCCCTACGACTTTCACCACACCTCCCACTCCAGCCTCCCGCCTCGCCACGCTTCGCGCAAGTCGACCAACGAAGCCCCCGTACGCCGCAAGTCCACCAGGAAGCAAAAGCGCGAGCAGGACCACCTGCGGGAGGAGGAAATCAGAGCCATGAGTCTGCCCATGCCTAAGAAGCGTCCGGCTGCCAATAACGCCGGTATGCTGCGTCGAGATAGCAAAAAGGTCAAGGGCACTTCCAACCACCGTTTGGATCGCCCCGTCTCCAACGTCTCCCTTCCCCCCGAAAACTCCATCCACTCGTCCGTGTCCGGCAGTTCCGATTCGTATACTTACCGTGTGAGCACTTTCGACATGTTCTCTCCCCGGCCGACTATCCGATGTTCCGTGGGCTCACAATACTACTACGACAACACAGGTACCTCCCCAATCTCCAACAAAAGCGATAAGAACACTTCTACCGCAAGAAAACGAGGAACGTCAATCATCAGGGAAGAAGTGGGCGATAAGCGCACCAGCAGAATCGACGACCTGGCGGATGCTTTGGATGCTGGCGCATTGAGAGAAATCATGGAGCGAGACAAGCGGCGTAGAGAAAAGAAGAGGAGGGTCGACGATGACCGGTTGCGTCGTAGGTTAGAGCGTCGAGCGGAGAAACAACGGCTCGCCGACGCCCCCGCCGACGGATCTATTGCGCCACAAAGTCAAGGAAATGGACTCGCAGGCCTTGGTATTCAGAATGAAACCACGCCCATGGAAGATGCCCGGCCTTTGACTCCTCTACCAGCCACCGCTCCCGAAAACACCCAGCTACCCACCCCTTCTCATTCCCCCTCGAAAACCGAGCGAACCAACTTGACACATACACCTTTGGAAAGCCCTTGCGAGGAGCCCGTTGTGTCTAGTGCTCAACAAGCCATCCGTTACTCCCGCGGCAGCGTTTCTGGACCCGGTCATGTTCGCGGGCCGTCCAATGTCTCACACCTACCGGAGCTTGTCTCCAAGCGAAAGGCTGAAGACACGCCTCTACCGTCGGTGGAGTACGCTTACGACCCGGTTGCCAGCGGATCCCTACATGTGGTAGAATCGGGTGACACTGCCACCACCCCGAAGCGCACTGGAAGCCGTCGCAGCTCAGATGGTAAGAGGACCAGCTACTTCACATCATTCTTTAGATGGGGCAAACGCCGCCGTTCACACGATCCAAATCGCGCCGCATCGTCGGAGGCTTCTTTCTCAAACACATCCCGCGAGTCCATGTCCCGCCAACCGCTGCCCGCACACCTAGTTGCGTCTCCCACAACAGCTCCCATACAGATCAAGCGTCCGGCCAATGTTCCTCGACGTACCATGTCAAAATTCAGAGAAGATCTCCCAGAATTCCCCATGTCCCCGCCCGACTCACGAGTACAGTCCCCTGAAGTTGCAAAAGGTGCTCTTGCAGGGCGGCGCAGAAGTCGACGCCCGGCCGAGATCAGTATCGAGTCCGACAGCCCTGTTGCAGGTGCGCGAACCGACTCACCAGTCAGCCCAGGCGTGTCCAATCCTGGCTTGATGTCGCAATCTCTTGCCTCGGTCGATTCGGAGGGATCGTGGCTGTCGGGAAGACCCATCAAGCGCGCTTCGAACAAGTCTTACCTTCGTTCCAGCGTTGGATCATCATCGGCTTTAAAACGCACAGAAGGATTCAACCCTTCCTACGAAGAACTAGGCATACCGGACGACGAATATGTCACCAAACAAACCACCCCGCGTGCTGGACACCCCGAGGCGAAACGCGTGACTGAGTCGGACGACGAAGATGAAGCAGCTGTACCCGGGAGAATTTTGCAGGAAGCTGACGAGGAGGAGCACGTGAAAAGCAGTGTAGGTCGTCGACCCACCATCATCTATCGACAAGCGCGTGTCAAGTCGACCGAGGGACTTTTGTCCTTTTATCCCCATGACACTGCTGTTCCTGGAGAGATTGCGAGCTCATCTTCCGCTCCTCACGTGGCCGACGGCGATTCGCCAACATCCGAAGGTGAGCCCATGCCGTCTGTGCAGCGGGCCAAGAGCATCGACTTGGGCAAACACCACGTGCGACATCTTAGCGCCGGCTCGGCGAGGCTTTTGGACATCAAGCGATCAAGCTTGTCTTCACAGAGCAAGTTGCAGCACGAACAATCGTGAGCCAAACTTTGATCCTTTTCATCTTCTTCAACTGTTGCGACTGTACGAGAGAAGAACGAGAGGCTGAGAGCATACCACCATCACTGCACACGCGGTTGCCCACCCTTCACCCTCCTTTAGCTGATTTCCTTTGTATTCATTCAGTCTCTACCTTGGTTCTTACACTAGTCCGTCCGTCGACAAACCTTTTCTTTACAAGCCCCTGTCAGTTTCCTTTGTCCAATGTTTTTTACTCTGAGGTCGGCAACCATTGTGTGCATGTTTGTGCGTGAGTATGTCCGAGGCGGTATCGATGTATCTCGACGGAGCAAGATGGATGAAAGAAGGGTCCAGGGTCGAAGTGCGAAGCGTCTTCTTGTTCTATTATATTTGTACCTATACCCCTTTGTGCGATTTCAGTTTGATTTTCCAGTTTTGTGGACGACTCTGGGGCGATTTAGAACATCAGTCTGCCTTTTTTGTTGCGCATCCTTGTGTTATCGCCTAACTATGTGTTATCTCTCGCTTTGCCCGCATCCTAGTCTTGGTGGGTGATAGGCAGCAGATGGGAGAGAGAGAGCGAGGGAGTTTGGCGCCATGGATGTATGTTTGTTTGTTTGGGGTAACTTTGTTCCATGCTGTTTTAATCGTCGTTGTCGTCGTCATCATCATCATCATCATCATCATCACGGGAAGGATCATGACGGGGTTTGGGAGGTGCAAAATATACCAGTGTGTTAGATAGTGGGCCATTTTGGCTTTTGAAACTTGATTGAAGCACGCCGCCACATGGCGGGTTCGATGTCTGTCTGCAGAAGGATGTTGCCTTTGCGTTCCAATGCTGCCATTGTTGTGGGTGAGGCATCAGGTCGCTGTCGTTGGCGGAAACCATGTGGGAAGCAAGATTGCACGTGGGCGTTGGAGCGAGACAGACGATTATTAATCGGATCATGGCGGGGCTGCGCTCAAGCACGTCATCCTTCTCTCTCTCTCACACACACACACACGCATAACATACAGCGACTTAGTACTTGCTCAGTGGGTATCGACCTTTGAATCCACGCCACCGCTACTGCCCACCTTCTTTCCCTCCATTCTATCCAAACCATCCGTGACCGCACCGGAAAACCTTGTTGTAAGTGGCCTTTTGTGCATTTTCGTCTCCTGTCTTCTTTCCGCTTGACAACCTGCTCGCTCTGTCCGTCTGTGCTTCTCCTCCCTGCCCCCCGTCTCTCCGCCGTCGCGCTTCCGCCGGGAAACCAACAACAAGCGCGTTTCTCTCTTCACCATTCTGCTCGGATTGCGTCCGAAGATTACTCTCAAGCTACGATTACCAGCACAACCGCCATCTTCGCCAGTGTCCAGACCACCCAAGACCTTTCGGGCTTTGAAATCCTAAATACCCCTCGTCCCATCCGCCTCTTTCCACGGTCCATACCTTCCTGGTCTTACCCGCTTGCCTGTTTTCTATTGCCTACTACTTTTTCTTGTGTTTGCTATTCACATTCTTGCATTGTTCGCGCACCTATAAATACGCCATGTTTGCCCGTTCCGCAACGACATCACTCATCAAACGAACTCTGCTCACCTCCACCCGCACAGTAGTTACTACTCAGCACACCGCCGCTACCGTTGCCACCAGAGCAGCCTCTACCTTTGCGCGATACCCATCACCGCTCCGTCCATCCATCCACTTCCACAGCTTCTCCTCCAGCACACGCACAATGAGCAAGGAGGGCGTTCACAATTTGCAGTCGTAAGTCTCGACCTAGGTCACAACCCTGTCATCGGCTTTTACCAGTTGCCGAAGCCCAGCGTCCGCATGAAGCCGAGTAACAGCTCACGACTAACTCACCTTGCAGCAAGGCCGACTTCGACACGGCGCTTGAGGTCAAGGACACGCTCCTCGTTCTTGACTGCTTCGCCACTTGGTGCGGTCCTTGCAAGGTCATCGCACCCCAGGTTGTCAAGTACGTTCATGTCTCTCCGCCACTTGCTCCTCACTTGCTGACAAATCTTCTTCTGTAGATTCTCCAACACCTATCCACAGGCTCGCTTTTACAAGATTGACGTCGACGAGGTGCCAGACGTCGCGCAGGAACTTGGCATTCGCGCCATGCCTACCTTCCTCCTTTTCAAGAACGGCGACAAAATCGCAGAAGTCGTTGGCGCAAACCCCAAGGCTTTGGAGACCGCCATCAAGGCTAATCTCGGCGAGGGCTCGGCATAAGCGGTTTTCGCGGGGTGGGTGGGGTTGTTTTCCATCGAACGACATGTGCGCCACACTGGGCACTCTGTGAGATGAGTGCGAGCTTACGGATTGATGGATCACCGGGCTGGAGTGTGAGCGACTTGGACATGCTGCCTATGCCCATGCCCACGCCAATGCCACTGGATACATATTTACAGCTCAGTAATCAAATCCATGTGCTGTCCAGGACAGCCATGCAAATGATTATTACTTTACTTTTATCATTTAGTGATGCATTGAGTATCCTACCTTTGCGCACGCACGCGCGCAGAAAAGGAACTGTAACCCCAGAGATAAATAGCAAGTACAAGGGATTGGATGGATTCAGTATCCACCTCCCCTTCCGCCCTTCCGCCCTTTCACATAGCTAATCCAATCCATCTCGAACACAAGCCTGTAGAATTCCCTTAGGTTTCCCCTCCGCATCTCTGGCTCTCTCTGCCTCTAAAAATGCCTCGTATTGCTCTTGCATCTGTATCCTCAGGAGCGCCGGCTCCTTGACCGTGTAATGCGTCCCCAGCACCCTTCTATTCGCGACCGTTTCCCCCAACAGCCCCAGATCCGTCAAAGGCAGTCCGGGCATCTTGCCGCTCGGCACATACTCGTTGACGTATGCGCGGTCCTCCTCGCCGGGTGGTACGATCAAGCTGGTCACGTCAATATACCCCATTTCCTGATAATGCGGCGCTGTTACGGGTGGTTCAGCGGCCTGCCACATGGGATCGTCCCAGGCTGCACGAAGTCTGGTGTCGAACGAGATGTGGAATGATATGCGGATGCGCGGGTGGAGTGCCCGTAACTTGTATACAATGGGCCCGAAATCTAGCGTAAAAAGCGAGACCTGATGCATCTTCTGCATGCGAATGGTCAAGGTCTCCAGTCGAGGCAGCGTCAAGAGTTGAACCCAACGCTGTCGATCGTCCGACTGGCTCTTGAATTCCTCGTACGCTTTCCCTGTATATGCCGAGTAGCGCTCCCCACAGTCAACCATCAGATGGCGAATATGCGGGCGTGCATGGGAGAAGCGACCAGAAGGTGGGTGCCATTGGGCCGTGTACCCGCCCGTGGCACTAGCGGGGGTATCGAGATCCAATGTGAAAGTATTGGTGGCATAAAAGGTCTCGAGGGCCTCGGATTGAATTTGCGGTGAGGTGGTGAGCGGAGTGGGAAGATAACTGGCGTGGTGGCCGTAGAGGGAGAATGGGGACGATCGGATAACTGCGTAACGGTAGATTTCGTCGCGGATCTCCCGGGGGAGGGCGAGGAAGAGCGCGGGCTGGATCGAATGGGAGGCCATGGAGAAGGAGAAAAGGAGGATCTGGGGGGATGATCAGACGCAGGATATAGCTTGGGCCGAAAGCTGCTGCCTTGAGAGCCAAACTGTACGTAGACAAGTATGAGGCGCGGTCAGGGAGTGGGCAGGAGTGTTCAATGTTTATGTAAGATGCAAGCGTGCAGACGCCTGCCTAAAGTATACGGCGAAATAATCAGATGAGGCAAAAGACCTACGCGGCTTGCTTTGAGTGCCGCCGGCGATTGATATAATCGGAGCGGGATTACAGATGTATGCACATGTTGTTGATCGAGGTGCTACACATGCACTTACATACTTAGGTGTGTATGCACGGACCACAATGGAATCTGATTTGTACTGTACTTGCACAACCTCACCAACAGCCAACATCAAACTGATCCACACACTTACCAGCAGACCAACCTCTTCCCTCCCGACACCCCCCCTCCCCTTGTATATCGCGCGCAAGCGCGCCTCTCACCATCGACAGCCTCCTCAAATCGTCCACATCCACAATACGACCATGTCCTTACATATGCTACATCGCCTCCTCCGCCCCTCGCTACTTCCGCGCCTCTCTGGCAACGCTCCGGTAGTACGTTGTCAACCCTCGATTGCCCCCCTCCGGCAACCTCCCTCTGCGCCCGCCGCATTTCTACCCGCATCCCGCGCACACAAATGCACTCTCATCCAAGTTTTACGCCAAGGTCGCATCTCGCAAAGCGCGCGTAAGCTGCGCTCCCCGGCGCTGGCAAATCGTCCGGAGATGAAGGGTGTGTGCTTGAAGGTTGGCACGACAAAGCCAAAGAAGCCGAATTCGGGCGAGCGAAAGATTGCGAGGGTGCGGCTCAGCAGCGGCAAAGTTGTCACCGCCTATATTCCCGGCGAAGGTGAGATCATCTACCTCAACCACAGAAAGACGCAGCGGTAACTAACTGCGAAATGCTCACCTACAGGCCACAATGTTCAACAGCATTCGGTTGTCATGGTACGAGGAGGCAGAGCTCAGGATTGTCCCGGTGTGAAGTACCATCTCGTCAGGGGCGCTTTGGATCTGGTAAAGTTACCTCACTACTCTTCGTCCAATGCATTTGCCATCTCGACACCAGCGGCTGACATTTCAACCTACAGGGTGGTGTGGGCAACAGAATCACATCGAGATCCAAGTATGGGACGAAGAAACCCAAAGCCGCGTAGGCCGCCCAAGGCTGGCTGTGTAGTTGTATCTGTACGAGTCGAGTAGTGTAACTACCTGCATGTGTGTAATTATATCCTATCCCGTCATATTTGCTTGTTCTAGACCAAGTTGGAATACACAAAAATGCCAGTCATTATTATACCAGCCAACCTGAGATCTGCGTTCGTCAGTTCTTTCGTTAGTTCGATCCAAAGCATCAATTCGTAGCTGTCATTGTTTTATTCATTCTTTCTCTAAGAAGATCGACTCGCCTAGCAAAGATTGACCGACGACCAGTCCTCATCAATTGCCCCCCAACGTGCGGTGCGATGAATCTCTTAGTGGATCTCCTCGCGGATAGAGATGTGACAAAATGGCGCCTCGAATCCCCGGTTGATTAGTCATTCACGAGCGTTCAGTCGGACCGACCCGCTGTACTACGTCGACTCCCCCACCTTGCCTACTCAGCGATGCGGAACAGCTGCGGGCTTTACCTTGTTTGTTCCAACGAACCGGTATTGTATTGATGACTACATAACGTAGGTTCTCCTCGTGCGTCATTGTCCGTCTACGTCTACATTTTCACGATCACCTGTCGATAAATCGAAGTATATTGTGAACACCTTCACCTTGATACGCGGAGTACTCATAGACAGCTTCTTCCTCATCAAACCTCGGTACCATCGCGCATTATGGCTCCAAACATCCTCCTCGTTGGCGGACACGGGAAAATCTCCCAGATTCTGACTCCTCTGCTCCTGTCCAAGTCTTGGAATGTTACCAGTATGATTCGAGCAACCGAGCAAAAACCTTCCATCGAAAAGTTGAGCGAGGGACACCCGGGGAACCTGACCGTTTTAGTGAGCAGTGTCGAAGATGTGAAGTATGAGAGCGACGCGCACAAGATTCTCGAGCAGGTTAAACCAGACTGGGTTGTTTGGAGCGCTGGTAAGTCCGTTGAGTTTGGCAGTGCTTTCGATTGTCACATGATTGTGCGCGTTGAGAACGATACTTGACACGCCGGTCACGACTTATCGCTGGAAATTCTCGCAGAGAATTCTCGCATCATGATTGAACCTCAGGGATCTGACCCAACATTAGGCGCTGGAGGAAGAGGTGGCGCTTCACGAACCATGGCCGTTGACCACGACGCTGCTATTGCATTCACCAAAGCTAGCGTCCGCACGCCCAGCGTCAAAAAGTTCCTTACAGTTTCTTACATCGCATCGCGTCGAAACCGACCATCATGGTGGAATGACGATGATTGGGCTGCCGCACAAAAGGTCAACAATGAGATTCTGCCTACATACTATGCCGCCAAAGTTGCTGCTGATGAGGTTCTCACTATCCTCGCCAAGCAACGCATTGGTGAGGAAGCCAAAATGGGTATGCCTGAGGGCGAACAGTTTCATTGGATTAGTTTGAGGCCGGGGGGTTTGACTGCCGAGACGGCGGGTGGTGTGCGGCTGGGCCGTGGACCCAGTCGGGGCAACTCGAGTCGTGAGGCCGTTGCCCAAACAATAGCGATGGTACTGGCAAAAGAAGGGGCGAGAGGCTGGATTGATATGTTGGACGGGGAGGAGGAAGTGGAGGCGGCTGTGGAAAGGCTCGTCAAAGAAGGCGTTGATAGCCTGGATGGTGAAGATCTCCAAGCTATGAATGCGCGCGTAGAGAAGCTTTGACAGCTTCTTCGTCGACCGACACATGTGCGTTACGATGGGACACATGTGCGATCTTCCTAGGTCGACATTTCCCCGCAAATTGATCAAGTCATGAAATGAAGAGAGTTAGGACATCTCCAATCAAGTGTGGCAGAGTGCAGGACCACTTAGACACTTTGGCAATGCGTCAATTTTGTTACGTGATGATTGCCATTAGAAGGATTGGACCAGCCTTAGTTATGCGCGATAAGTGTGAGATGAGATGGAAGGGCCGTGGCAGAGCGTACAGCATAGTTCCCGTATTTCCCGTACCTACGGTAGTACGTAGATAGGCTGGTGATATTAAAAACCCTATTTCACTCAATAGTCGGCACGTGCAGTACTCGAATGAGATGACGAGGAAGTTGGGTACGAAATCTAGTACCCCTTGGATAACTACATACCTACTACCATAAACTTTTGAGAGTTAAGTACTGCGCCCTCACGGTTGGTTGCTTAGTAAGGAATGAAGTACATATGTATCAATTGACTCGGTTCCCCTACAATAGATTATACTCACAGCTGAGAACAGCATGTACAGCGTAATACCTGACTGTGAGACTGCGAGGCTGTACGGTAAAGTACTTCATTGTAACCCAGATACCTAAGTATCTACCTAGGTACACAAGTGTACACATATTAGATCGATCAATGATCACGAGGAGCGAAGAATGGATAATGCGCTTTGATTGGCCTAGCTTTAGCGTTGCCGCGGTCGACATCTTGGCAGCGTCGTGTTGCCTCTGCGTACTCGAATAATAGCATTCCATCTCATCCGATCATCGTCTTTACCTGGAACGTAACAACGCGCGCGACCAAACAGCTCCGTAATGATCCAGCAGCACGTTTCGCCATGTCAGACACTGTGGTGACCGCACGGCGTACGCGTGTGCAGAAGGTGTGCACGTTGTGGACCCATGACGACAATTTCTCCAAGGAGGATGTAGTTTTCAACGGCGACAAGTTCCTAGAGCTGCCCGCGACTCCGGGATGCTTGATTCAAGTGATTGCATTGAAACAGGGAACGGCTGTGCGCGACTTCCAGGCTTCGACCAAAGTGCCCGTCAGAGATTCCGGTCAATCAAAGCCAGATGACTCGTCGCAGTACACAATCAAAAGTCCCCATACCCGTCGCAGCCGCAGAGGATCGCTCAGAGTCACGCTGGATGAGAATGGGTCAGTGATTCAGGATGGCCGCGAAGTTGATATGGAAAAGTCGTATACTTTTGTCGCCAAGCCTTTTCCGGCCGACCTGAAATCGAAGCAGTCAAATCTTAATTTGTCGGTAGCTGAGAGGATTGCCAGAGTTTTTGGGCTTCGTAACCGGATGCAAGTCATTGTTACTCTGGTATGTCATCCAGTGTTTTTCCTTTCCTTCCTTCTTTTGCCTTTTTGATCTTTTGCGATGACACTGACAGGGCTAGGCCGATGAAGAAAAACACTCAGCCTCTCACGTGGAGATCACTTTTCGCGACGAGTATCTTGCTAGAGCTGATATGTGGCGCATGTCCATAGCGGAACTGAGTAATCGTACAGTCTATCGTGGCCAGAAACTCCTCTTCATGGGTACCATCAAAGCTGCCATCAAGAATGTGTACATCAACGGCCAGTCCACCCACTCCGGTTATTTTTCCCCCATGACGAAACCTGTCTTTCGCAGCGAGTCTGCTCGATATGTATTGTTTATCCAAATGTCTAGAGAAATGTGGGATTTCGACGCAGAAGGCGCTGGCGAGATCATGTTCAACAAAGTCGTCAACGGCTTCCTTCCCGATCTTTTCAAACGCTGGATGAAGATCAGTGCAAAACATGTTGTGACGATAATTCTATTCACTAGGATGCAATACACTGACGGAGCTGTGCCGAACTATCCTGACGGCACTACAAATACGAATGATTTCGAAAGTCGATCTGGTCGTTTCCGAGACTACTATCGTGTTGTTGTCAGTGACATGGCCAGCGGCGACTGGATCAACATCCTTTATCAATTAAAGAAGGAATTCCGCACATTTCTCCGGGACGTCTCTTTAGTTCCGAGGGAAGCTCGTGCTTCACCTGGTTCGAGTAGCGGCCCGGACAACCCAAGCTCGGGTCTTCTAATAGCTGGTAAACCTTCGACTGCGGCGCAGGGTAATATCCTGGAGGCAATCAACCTTGCCGGGGCGCAATTCGCTAAAGATTACATTGATCGCGATCTTGTGAGAACCGGCATATCTGTCATCGTAGTGACTGCGGGTACTGGTGTTTTTGAGGTGGATTTCAATATGCTTAAGCTGACCACGGATACCTTGGTTGGATCAGGCATAGGCATCGATCTGGTGTGCTTGTCGCCAATGCCACTTCATTCAGTGCCGCTCTTCAAATATCGCAATCCTCGCTCTGTATCTCTTGCGAGTAAGCGCGACGCATCCGAACAACAACGGCAACAAAGTGTGAGCCCAGATCAGCTTGTTGATCTCGACGAGAAAACACCTCGGCAGCATGAAATGAACTTCGGCTCTAAACTGCAGGAGCCACCGGTTTCTCCACCTCCAATCCTGGCCAACGAGCCGGTGAATGAGCCAACCCATGACAGCGAATGGAGGTATGCAATGCCTCACTGGGTCGATATCTCTTTCTGGTCCGGCACGAGCGAAGAGATTATTGAGCTTTCCAAATTACGAAAACCCAACAGAGTCGTGAAAAAAGTATCAAAGAAGGGAGGAACGTTTGCACTTCGGTGTCGAATGTACGAGTTGCAAATGATGGGCGTTATGGAGAATGAATTGGGCGACATCTCACTCCCGTATCTCGAGGAAGACTTTTTCTTCCCACATCAGCTTAGAGATCAATTGAGTGCACACAGTCATAGCGTCACTGAGCCATGGACAAGAATAGCGGGACGTAAAGCCCGAGCAATGAGCGTTATCATGACAGCTAACGGGTCAGTCCCTTCCAAGGACGGGAAAGAAAGTAGCGATGGACCGGATGATGAATCTCGCGCATTGTATAAGCAATGGATGGAGACTTATGACGAGATGGCGTTCAGGCCCGTAACTGACCGCCGATTCCGCAATGATAATCACCCAACAGACCTGGATACAAGACGTAATTCACTCAAGCAGATGTCTAGGGAGCCGATCTTGTCGTCTTCCTACCGTACTATGAATTCATCACAGGGGAAGACTGTCCAACCTTCTGATGTAGAGCTTCATGACCTCATTCACGATCGATCAAGAGGACTTGAAGCACCCCCTTCTGTCAAAAGTAGGGTTTCAGCACCAGATCACAAAGATCTCATCGTTCCAAGGGCGGACATATTGGCTCGCAAGATTACGATGGATAAACTGAGCAGCATGAATCGGCCATACGAACACCGCAGGGGCGGGTCTGGCGATGTATATGATGCCCGGAGTTCTTCACATACGACCCCACGAGATTCACCTACTCCGAGTAGAGGAAGCTCCCCGCCCCGTGATCTGGGTCCTTCGTCATTGGTAACGCCAACTACAAGTGGTGCATCGACAACAGAAAAGCGAAGCCGGCCAGCCGCCTGGTTTCTCAGACAGATTAGTTTCGGCGGGAGAGCAAACCCCGTCGCAGAACCCACGACTGGGGTAGCCACTATTGATATCACCCCAGGTAGAGTGAAGCCAGCCAGAATGACGATAGAGAACAATCAGAAGGGCTTGATCGCGGAGAAACTAGCGAGCACCCGATCTACGGCTGCCGATGGACCCTCTCAGCCCATCAATATCAGAAAGGGTCTAAGGATAGACTCGTCTTCCGGAGAGTCTCCATCTTCTTCTGATCGTGCTGGCCGGTCTGTGGAGACAGTGAGAGGCATGCGCGTAGCGAAAGCGTCTTTACCTTCTTTCCCCAATTCCGTGGCTAAAGACCCAGGATCTACTTTCTTGATAGCAGGTTCCAGAGCGACGGGCGACTCAATCAATCCGAAAATCGAGTTGCTGTCTTCAAGTGGCGGCGCAAAGACCATTCCCCAGACTTTGTCGCCGACAAGCGCAATAGCACCTTGGGCTGTCTTAGTCAACCCTTGTAACCCCACGAAGAACACACTCAACATCGCAAATCAATTTCGGAGGTGGCAACACGTGTTCCCCAAGAGACTCAAAACAGCATCTGTGAAATGGAAGTCACTCTGTTCCCCAGCAGCGGTTCCTCTGACGCACGAGTATTTCCCCTCTGCGGAACAGCTCGCAGCAGAATACAACGAAAGCCCATACAAGGTCATTCAAAATGACGACGAGGAAGTCCTGGAAGCGCCCAAATCCCGAGAGTCTCTCGTGCGTGAATTGATTGCGTTCCGGTTGTCTCATGGATTTCAGATTCTGGTTGGAGCCGCAGTGGCAGAGTATTCGGGGGGCAAAGAGCAGGATATCTCGAGTATATTCCATTCAGAATACATGTCTCGTGACGGCGACACGGTTTTCATGAACGTGGGAAGCACAATCCATCAGCTTGTATGTGTAGCTGGAGGAGAGGTCGAGGTCAAGCGATACAGCCGGAAGCCTACAACAGCGTTGGAGTCATCGGCTGGAATCGATACACCTTTTTCATACAAACCGTATATCCGCACAGCTTTGGAGGAAAAGTACCATGCGCGCGACATCGTATTGCGCCCACCACGGAAAGAATACAATTGGAACTTCATTGACACATTCCTAGCGGGTTATCATGACGAATTCTCAGAGATTTTGCGCTTCTGGAGAGCCCGCTTCGTCCTGATACCTGTAGATATCCCGACAATTAGTCGACGCCCGCTGCCCATGCTTGCAGAAGACTCAGAAGAAGAAATTCGCCTCGAGGGTATTCGCAAGTTGACTCACGTGTGGCAAAAGTATCGTTACATTCCGCCCGAGGAGCGCCATTTCCACCCTGCTACAAGTAGTGGACAGAAGGATCCCAACCCACTTGCCATTGAATATCACACCCGGGACCCGTCTGCGGTTGTATCAGCTGGCAGCGACAGCTCCCTGCTGAATGAGAACGCGAGTGACTTTCAGACGTCATTATTCACGGAGAGTGAACAGTACCACACCTCGAATATTGACATTGAAAAGCTAGCCGAAGATGTACAAGGCGAGAAAGGCATCCCTATATTCGATCGAAGGTGGCACTGGAAGCTTCACACTAATTGTTTTCTTGGGTTTGACCTTACTAGCTGGCTACTGTCGAATTTCAAGAATATCGCGACTCGCGATGAGGCTGTGGACCTGGGAAATCAGCTCATGGTCAAAGGACTCTTCCAGCACGTTCAGGGCAGACACCAATTCCGAGACGGAAATTTCTTCTACCAAATCGCCGCCACATACCGCGCTTCGCGCCCTGAGTCTCGTACAGGGTGGTTTGGCATCAGAAGAATCGACCGCTCTGTCCCCTCAACCCCACTATCTGAAGGACCGCGAGCATCACCTCTCGCGTCACGAAGTGTTAAATCCCGGCCCAGCACAAGCGACTCGTCCAGTATAGATTCCGGAAAAGACGGCGAGAAGACTCCAACTCGCCACATTGCCCCAAAGCGAAAAGTGCTTTTGTCTGGTGCTATGAGGTATGACGTTGATCCGCGCAAGCGTTCTTACCGACCTGAAATAATCTCTCTTCATTACGATCGCCTGCACAATCCCGACAACTGCTATCACATTCGTATCGAATGGATGAATGTTACCGCTAAGCTGATAGAGGACGCGATTGTTTCGTGGGCTACTAGCGTCGAAAAATATGGTCTTAAATTGATTGAAGTGCCCATTGCCGAAGCTTCAAACATCAAAGAGAACCACCCATTCCGTTCTCCTTATATCGTTCGGCTTGCCGTGCAGCCTCCACAGGATTTCAGTCAAACGGAAACACTGTTTGAAGCGTCAAACGTTACGTCTAATCATACGAGAAGTGAAAGATTTCCGTACCAGAAAGCCATTCTGAGAAAACTGAACTTTGTACTGGATATGGAAGCTAGGGATTCTTTCCCTACTGATGTTGACGTCAATTATTCCTGGGGCAATCCAGATTACAAATACACACAGTTCATTCATCGCACAGGAGTCTTGCTGGTCCAGATAACCTCTGATGGCAATTTCCTACTTGGAGCGAATCGACTAGCCCACAACCGCGCCAAGGATACCAGCCGCTTCAAGCCCGTCGATTTATATGATCACAAACGAAGTGCAACTGATACAGACCGAACGCCAGTAACACCTGGTGAGCGAGCAAACCTTCATCGTTCACCGTTCTCTAGCCCGTTAGCTCGGCCAGTCCAAGACAGTAGCCTTTTGCACACTGCTCTAGACAGGTTGGGGCCTTTGTATAATCCCCATACCCACTCGACAGTACAGACACCAGAACAGATCAAAGACGAGATGGAGGCCTTCTGCTTTAACGCGACTCAGCTTCAGGCCTTCTACAAGGATGCATTGAAACCAACAATCATGCCATCGCCATCTCCCCGCATTCATCCAGTAATAGACAACAACATTCCTTCCCTTGGGCTGCCGCCAGCAATTAACATACAAGGGGCAAGTCCAAGCACAGGAGGGTGGACATTAAGTGGAAGCGCAAGTGCAGGTGGAAGTAATGTCACAGGGCGGCGAATAGGAAGTGATACTTCTGATCCACGTTCTAGTATACTAGGTAGAAGACGAAGAAGCGTTCTGCCAGAAGAGATTATTCTACTAAAAAATATAGATAGCTAAATAATAGTAGTCAGCTAAATAAGTAGTAGAAATCTTTAAAAATGCAATAGCAAACGTATAGTAAAGTAGTATTATTATATAATAGTATAATTTAATTATTATTGTAGTTTTTATTTATTTATTTATTTTAAGTTAAAGTTACATTAATTTTATATATAGTAATAAGTTTATAGTAATAAAATAAACTAAAAAAATAAGTAATAATTAAAAAAATAAATAAGTTTTACTTTTACTAAAGCTTATTAAGCTAGTAAAATTAAAAAGTACTTTTTAGTACTAGCTTAATTAAGTACTAGTACTAAAACTAGATTTTTTTACTATAAAAGGTTTTTTTAATACTATAACTATTTTTATTTTTTAAAGTAGAGTTAAAGTAATCCTACATATAGTAATAAGTTATAATAATAAATAAACTAAAAAATAAGCAATAACTAAAAAGATAATAGCTATAACTATTATTTACTAAAATAGTAATAGAAACTATAACTACTATTTATTTTAATAATAAAAAACTTTATTTTAAAACTTATAATAATATTATTTTTTATATATTTAAGTGTAAAACTTATAAAGATTTTTTTTTAAGTAAGTTTACTAAAAGTTTTAGTACTTTACTTATATTTACTTAAAAACTATACCACTAAAAATAGTACTTAATAATTACTAAATAACTATTAAAATAGCTAAGAATATTAATATTTTTTTTATGCTTTTAATATATTACTTTTTATTATAATAAGTAAAAACTACTTTTATTACTAAATACTTTTTCTTTAAACTATATATTATTAAAAATTAAAATAAAAACTATTATATATAATATTATTAGTAAATTAAAATATAATAAAGTAACTTTATTTTTAATAAAAAAATAAGCTAATACTTATCTACACGTAAAAGTAAGTATAAATAGCTAAAATTTATACTTACTTATATAAGTAATATTAGTAAAGTATACATATATATATATACGCGTAAATAATAAGCTTATATTAAAAGCTTTATATTAAAATTCTATTCTATATTACTATATATAAATTTTAAATACTAGCGCTTATTTTTAATAACTAAGCTTTATAAACTTTATAGAATTTAAATATGCACTATGCATGCTAAAAAATAAAAAGCTATAAAATCTTTACTATAGTAGTAGGTAAAAAGTTCTAAGTCTATAAAGGTAGGATATGCGGATACAGTTAGAAAATTTTAAAAAATAAATTTTTTATTTTAAGAGCGCGTTAAATAAAAAAAGAGCATACAAATTAAATGCACTATTTTAATTCTCTATTAAAGCTAGAGTTATAGAGTTATTTGCGTTAGAAGGTAGCGTAGTAGTAAAGTAAAGTTCTAATTTAGTAAGGCGCAACAAAAACGCGCTAAGCTAAAAAGAATGATACTTCTAAATACGCTAAGCTTAAAAGAATTATACTTCTAAATACGCTAAGCAAAGCTAAAGTCTCTACTAAACGCCTAACAGATAAATTACATTTAACAATAATATAAGCTCTCTATATCTTATACTATGCAAAAAGAACAGCTAAAAAAGTATTTTACAGCAGAAGCGCAGGCAGAGGCAAAGTAAAGACATAATTATAAAAAATATCTGCGTAGAAAGAACTTTCTAATTCTAAATGCTTACTCTAGCAGCTTTATTTACTATAAGCCTACGCCTGCAAGCACTTAAACAACAAATAGCTTAACTACTTCTACTACTATTATACTAAGTGTTAGTTAACCTAAAATACATCTAATTAAAAATAAAGAAAAGAAAACTGTAAACTAGCTTTATTAACAGCAGTTTAGGTTTATAACTTATTTATCTACACCTCTAAAGACTGTTACCTGCCTAGACCCTACTCTTCTTATTAGCGCTAATACTCGTGTCTATTATTTTACTTAGCTAAACAAGTTACTAAAGAATAAAAATATCTATAAATTACTGCTAGCAGTAGATAATATAGAGGCTGTAGTAGCTTTAAGCTAACTACAAAGAAGTAAGAGAGAGTAGACTAAAGAGCGTGCTAACTCTTACTAACATATTTTACAAGAAATAAAGGACATAGACGTAAAAACTACAAAAATTCTATATAAGATGTAGGCCTATATTATGCTATTATAGGTAAGCATAAATAAAATTTAAAACTACTTAAGAATTAGCAAGACGCCCGCAGAACAGATATAGAAAATTTAAAAAGTTTATAAGCTAAACACACATGTATTAACGTAGATAATAGTAGTAAGATTAAACTTACTATATACACAGTCTCCTTTTAGCGCAAAGAAAGGTGCTAAGCTAAAAATAAATTTACTCTTAACCCTTTACTATTATAACGTCCTATATTATAACATAATGTTTATAGCATACAGTATACCGCAAGGGAAGCTAAAAAAACATTTTATAGCTAAAGCTAAAATAGAGGCAAAGCAGAGATAGAACTGCAAAAAATACTTATAAAAAAAGAACCCTCTAACCTAGCAGACGACTCGCCCTAACTTTATCTATTACTAGCTTACACTTTTAAGCGTTTCTGCTACTACAAGCTTAGACCTTAGTTTTTAAATTAGCGCTAGCGTTTCTGTTCTTTAAAATCTTCTTGTTTAGGCAGACAAGTTGCTAGAAGACAAAAATGCATATAAACTACTATTCTCTCTTACTTTACTAGCAGAGAGTAATATAGAGGCTATACTAGTTGCTAGACAGATTATTGCAAGCAATAGAGAGCAGGCAGAAAAGTATATAAAGTATAAACAACGCATACTATAATAAATAAAGAATAGAGATGCGCAGATGCTTAAGATGCACGCTAGTATTAGGCAAGTATACGCTAGCGCAGACAAATTATTAAAATACTTAAGACGTGTAGATAGGCAGGCAGAGATAGATAAAAAATTAGTAAATTACTTAGTAGGCTAGATCTTTACAGTAGAGAGTAGAGAGGTGCAGCTATTATCTATAGCGCTTATTACTAAAAAAATAGCTTCCCTTACTACTATGCGCAGTACTAGTTACGCATTAATACTTACTGCAGCCTAAGCTGCTAATACTTTTACACTAATTATAACTAGCTTAAAAACACCTAGCTAGCGTAGTATCTCTTTAGCTAAGTTAAGCAGCTAACGCAAAGCCTTCCTAACTTAGCGCAACACTCTACTATTTTAGGTTAAACTTGCATCTAAATGTTACGAACCTAAGAATGGGGATGCACAGGTTATGAAGGAAGGTAATTACAAGAACACTCACGGTCAGCAAACAGGACACTACGTATGAACCAATAGACTTCGCCACCCCGCACGTCACGTGGTCCCACGAGTCTTGGCGGAAAGTTGCTGTGGGACAAGTCACGTGTGTCCCACAGGGTCCTACGAGATCCCACGATATCCCATCTATGAAACCCTATGGGACATATGGGAACTATGGGACAAAATATGTATATAGTCAGTAGACAAGAAGACCTTATGGTTCTTGTATTCACTCTAAGTTACAACCCACTTCTTGGAAATACAATCTAGTTGTTACTTTATACTTCTACCTTTGTTACTTCAGTGTTACCCGCTAGTCATCCGCGAAACCCAACCAGAGTTCTCCAAGATCTCAACATTGTGAATACCCTTAAGATGTCTAGCTTCAGTACCACTGACCAGCCTACCCTTACTCCCGATATGGACAACGACACCCCTGTCAGCATCAAGACCAAACAACCTGACACCTACTATGGGGAACGTGTCAAGCTTGAGGAATGGATCCTGCAACTCGAGTTGCTTTTCAAGTTCAATGAAAAGATCGAGAACGACGACAAGGCCACCTACGCTGCGACTTTTATGCGAGGTGATGCCCATAAATGGATCGCGCCTCAGCTCACCAAATATCTGGACGACGATATCGAAGACGACGAAAACACCACTCTGTTCGAAAACTGGGGAGTGTTTAAGACCAAGCTCCGCCAGGTCTTCGGAATATCCAACGAGAAAAATAAGGCAGTGCGTGAAATTCAACGCGTCAAACAGTTCAAGTCTGCCGCCGACTATGCTGCGAAGTTCCAACACTACGCAGTCCAGACTGACTGGGATGACAACGCACTCATGGCACTGTATCGCCAAGGACTCAAACCCAAGGTCAAGGAAGAACTCATGAGGTCTGGTGTGGTTATGGACACACTAGAACGACTCTACGAGGAAACTATCCGCATTGACAATGACTTGTTTGAGTTAGCCGAAGAAATGAAAGGGATCCACGGTTATAAATCTGCCTACGGAAGGACTCAGGAAGCTGTTCGCTATTTTCCCCAGGGAAGAGGCCGCAGCGTCCCTGTTCGACCCAGGGTCAGATACACCGAGGAAATGGACTGGACACGTGACGTTAATGCAACGTTTCCATCCAAGGCTGGAGATAACAATGGAAGAAAGAAGTATGACAAGAAGAGCAAGGACCCTAAGGGGATAACCTGCTACGGATGTGGTAAAACCGGCCACATAGCTAGGAACTGTCGATCAAAGAACAAGGTCACACGATTTGTCAACGTAACGACCAAGTCTTCATGCCCCGGGGGGGATGAAGGCGAATCGGAATGGGAAATCCTAGAACCCACGCCGGGTGAAGGACGACTCATGGTGGATGACCCAGATTCGGAAAGCGGTCCCGAGCATCATGAAGATGCACCACCACCTAAGAAACGTCGAGCGGAACGGAACGCCCGACAAGCTGCTGCAAGAAGCAGGAATGATCGACGAGAGAAGCGACGTCTACGTCTGACACAGCAGTTCTGGGCTGAAAATCCTACGTCAAGGAACTATGCACCACCAGAAGCTAAACAGATGTACATTACGAAGAATCCACGGGGATTCGGATCAGACTCGGAAAAGGAGTACTTATCTCCTGAGGAACCCGATAGCCCGAGAGGATCCATCGAATACGATGATGACGAACTCGCTAAACAAATTGAAGAACTGGATCTGCCGAACGAAACAGCAGATGGTAATTGGAAAACGAATCAAACCAAAAC